CCTAAGGTCTTATATACTAGGCCCCTTAGTATTTTAGGACTAGTCTTAGTATAGAATAGGTACTTCTAGGGTCTACTATAGTCCTATTCCGTAATAACTAATAGTACTGAATAGATTACTTCTAGATATCTTCTCTCTAGCTTTCTTCTACCGAAGAGCCTCTAGATTTATATTAATTATATAGAAAAGAATATAGTACTTTCTATAAGTTAATAGAATTAGCGTTATAATAAGGGCGCTCTTTAGGTCGTACGAAAGGTAGTTTAATATAAACGTCTTCTTTACTAGGTCGGCCTAGTTTAGTTCGTTAGCCTCGAGTAGCGTATAATTAAACTCGACGAGAAATATACTAAAGGACTTTTCGTTCTACTTTAGCTAAGAAAGCTTTTATAATACTCTTTCTACGACGTCGACGTCCTCGTACGCCGCCTTTAATTAACTAATAAGTTCTTTCGTATTTATTTCGAGGGTTAATTATACGAAATTAATCTATAGACTAACCTAGGTAAGGGCGTAGCTCCTTAGTCTACTATAGAAATACTAAAATCGTATAACTTCGGTTTCCTCTTACTTATCGACCGCTAACTTAGCTCGAGCTTAAGTAAGCTACGACCGAAATTCTAATCTTTTTCTATTAAATTTAGCTAGCTCGAGAAGCTTAGCCTTTCGTCGTATAGAGTCGGATTTCTATATAGCGCTCGCTATCGTAGAAGTCGTTACTTTAGGCGTATAAGCTCGTACTCTATTTTATTAGTTAAGTTAATTCTCGAGTACTATTATTCTTTAGTTTTAAGCCTATAAGAGCTAGTATAGCTCTACCGCCTATACTAGAGCGGTTTTCGTTAGTTACTATTCGTTATCTATTTCGTACGCGGTACTCTTTCGCTACGTATAATAGGAAGCTTTAGAATAATATAAGGGTTTAGCTAGGAATTTAGAGTAATTCGTTTAACTATCGTATAACGAGAATTCTAAAGCTAAGGAGAGAAAAGAAAAGAGAAAATCTATCTACTATACGAATAAAGGAAATACTTCCTACCCTCTTCTATAGTAGATTAGTATAGTTTCCTAGGAGATAATCGATAGTGAGGAGTTATATAGCTTCGGCTATATAGTTATATAGGCTAAAGGTATACTACGAGTAATCGCTCTAGGGCGTACTCTAGAGCTTTATACGGGTTTAATCCGTAATACCTAGGGCTTACTAGGCTACCCGGTCTAAAATATAGATGTACTTTAGTTAGAGCTACTTATAGCTCGGATTATAATATTAAGCTACTATTATTAAAGAAACTAATAATAGATATAACTTACGATAGTATACTAATAATTAATAATATACTTATAAAGTATCCTCTAGTTAAATGCCGCGTGAATAAAGGACTAGTACTAGATTTCCCCTCGAGTAGGCTACGCAACGAGTTAGTATTTTCCGTAATCGGGTTAAATAACCCGATTAACTAGTTTACCCTCTTAAAAATTTTTATTTTTATTTTTTAGTATAACTTATTAACTATTTAATATAATTTTTTATACTTCTAAATTATAATATTTAACTCTAAAAACTATCTATTTATTAATTAATAACGCGAAATAACGCGTTAATTACTAAGATATAGTACTTCGCGTAAAGTGGATTTTAAGTTTAGGACGTAATAATCTTAGTAAGTACGTTAAATTTATCGATAAGAAAATATCTATAGTAAAATTAACCCGACCCGATCGGGTTATTAATCGGGTTATTAGTAAATATATACTTATTTAATATATTAAGTATACTAAATAAGAATATATATTCTATATATTTAATATTATTTAAAAAAAAAACGCGAAAATCGCGTAAAATACGCGTTAAATTTAAAGTTTTATATTTTCGCGTAAAGTGTAATTTTAGACTTTCGGTAAATTACATTTCTTGGCAACCCGTTGCGCAGCCTACCCTCGAGGAATGGCGATTTCACGGAATTAGTCTACCTCACAAGCAAAGCAGTAAGTACCTCCATCGCACTCAGGGCCTGCCCAACGCCCGATGTGCCATCCCACCGCTCGATATACCACCTTGCGCCGCAGGTAATCTCGTCGCCACCGCCTGTACATATAGCACACGCAGCAACCGAGGAAGCCCTCAATATTTCTCGAATCTTTTCCGAGGTGAGCGGAACAAGAATGCTTGTCTGGCCCAACCAGCGAGACAAATACGCCTTGAAACTGTACTGGTCCACATTACAATCCCACGTCAGTTCACATTGCTGCTCATAGATAATGTTCGTCGCATTTGGAAATGGTGACATAAAAGCAGATGCTCCGTTTAGGAGTCCAATAGTCCGAGATGTCCACTCGTCGGGTTGAACGGTCGTGTTTGCAAGCACCGCAGCCCCGTGCAGATATACCGCTGAATTGTAACTCCACCGAGTATGATCAAGTGAAGTGCAATTCAGGGTTTCGTCCGCACCATCAAACACGATGTAGTCTCCGTCAGTATTGCTGACGAGGCCTATAGCTGTGGACCAAGTCCAAACATCCTCTGCCCATTCATAATATGTCGAGTTTCCAGTGTAACGCCAGAGGCGAGCCGCAAGTTGGAAAAAACAACCATTGGAAATCGAGTTCTTGTAATAATACCCCGCGCTTGACTCGAAGATCTGCCACTTAAGACCACCACCGCAAGTGTTACTGGCAAGTTCCCAGCGGGCTACGAAATCATTAAAAACGTTGACGCAAATTCCCAGCCACGTTGGATATGACTCCGGTGGCTCTGGCCAACCGTACTCTGCTGCCGACATTGCCCCAAAGGCCCAGAATGCCACATCATCGTTTCCCTGGCATTCAGTTTTAGTTTTCCTTCGAAGACGGCTAGCTCCAAGACGTACCTCGTCGAATTTCTCGGCGATGGGTAGGTAATTTAAGGTTGGTGATATCTGCGAGACCAAAGCTTCATATGTCACATTGAAATAGCTTTGGTCGCCAGTGTAGTGTTCGTAATCTACCATACCACCCCACACTGCACCACTCAGCCACCAGTAGAAAGGTGGATATGGAAATTTGCCAAGAACACCGCCAGAGCGGTTGCCGGTGTACATGGCCTGTAGTCCATAGGCAGCTGTGGCAGCAGCACTCCGTATAGAATCTAGAAGAATCTTCAGTATCGTGTAAACAGCATACGGCAATGCTCAACAACGGGAGGTACAAACCAACATCATCGACGTTTAATTCGATTGCAGCAACGGAGACGTAACATAGAACACTATACAGTAGAGCTGACTTGCAGCAACTGGACTTAGGGAGATACATAGGCAAGAGGCGATGCTATTTGTGACGATGAACCATGCACAGAGTACGGTAAGCGAGCTAGAAGATTGGATAAGTCGACCAAAGTATAAATAGTCCTCTCTGTCACATGAGCATTCTGACATCATAGATTGAGTTCCAAGATGTTTAAACATTCAAGGTCGCGGGTAGTTAGTCATGATCGGAACAGCTCGAGGCACAATTTTCGTTAGGCACATCTGAAGTCGCATCACATTCAGGATTTCAGCCATGGTATATTCCCCAGATCGACAGGTGCGCCATGGGACGTCAATTGCCTTGGAGGCACAACCGAGGACGTCCTGTCTTTACACCCACGCATCGATATGTCATAAAATGATACAGTAGCTACTTCTATGCTGTTCGCCACTACGTCTTAGCAACGCAGCTCTGGTAGCCGCTTCAAAACTTCATCCACCGCTTCACCAGCTAGGCTAGAGCATTCGTAATATTGTACCGCTCCGCATTGCTTGGCTATCTCGGCAGCCTCTTCTGCGTCTATGAAGCGCACCCTTCTCTTGCACATTTGATGCTCCATGAATTTTTCTTGTCGCAGATCTTTTTTCAGGCCCACGATGGTGATTGGCGTCCCAGGACAATGCTCTTGGGCTTCCCTGATCCATTTCTGCCGTGCATTAAAAAAGCTTTCTGGGCTCTCAATGCTGAATGCGATGACCATCACATCTGTTTGTGCGTATGTTAGAGGGCCTATCATTCCGCAATATTCCTGTCCGGCCGTATCGTGAAGGGCTAATTTTACCGATTGGCCATCAACCCAACAGTCTATCGCATGCTTGTTGAAGACGTTTGGGACTGGGTGAGCTGGTAGGTATCCCAGGCTAAAAGTAGAGATCAGCGATGTCTTGCCACAGCCTACATCGCCAATTATTAGGAGGTTCCTGAAAAAGAAGTTAGTATGTGGCTAAACTAAATCATGGACAAACAGGTGAATAGATATGAAATAAAAGCCAGATATGAGATAACCCCTAGAACAGCTATGGCAAGTGGGCGCTCCATAGTGAAGAAATCAGGATACCTTCTCACAAAACGTCCGCGAGCCGGGTCGGGTGGCATGTGCACAAACCGTACGTCTTCTCCGCCGAGATGATCACGGTGGTAGCAGTGAACTTTCTTGAGTACACTCCGGAGTCTTTCTGACACCTTGTGCTACTTGGCATACAACAGAACTGCTTGAAGCCACAGAAACGACCTCTTATGCAGACTCTGGGGTCGTCCACTTCGGTCTCGGCTCTGGTTGAAGGTTTCGACTAGTGGATGAATTAAGCCGAAAGGTTTATCACTCCAACGATAAATTTTGCCCGCCAAAGTAAGCAAGAATCTCTGCCGATTGACTTGTTTGTTGGCGCCTTCGTCCCGAAAGATCCGACTGCGCATAGTATGGGGTCGTGCTGTATTGCAAAACTTCATTCAAGAAAGATCCCTAGGCTCGGCATCGACGTCAAGGGGGAGTGACGATGAAATGTCAATTTCAGCCACCGGCACTGGCATCACTGCCAGCCTTTGTTGCGAGGCAAGTATAGGATTACAGTGGACAGTGCGAAACGAATCCTATTGAAATAAGCCGATCAGGCAATAGAATTGAATCAAGACGGGATAGCGATGCCAACGGTTGGACAGGGGTCTTAGGGCGTGGCTTATTTGGTGGCAGATTGGTGGACGAGGTCGATGAAGAAGTTGAGTTGAGGCGGCAGTGCGAGCAATGAGGTTGACTACAGCACGTGGGTGCCTGATCAGACAGATGCATGGTGGAGGGCGAGAGTAGCGTGGTGGGTGATAGAAACTGGGCAAGTGTATATCGCTAATGGATTCCCGTTTGAGAGTGGTGGAAATTAGAACAAATCAGATTCGAGGAAACAAAGGATAGTTAGAAGGAATAGGAGTCTCTCTTTGCTCTTGCAATGGACATTGATACTTGGATGTAGGTGCATATCCAAGCACGGGATGGGTCAGGAGGGAGAGACAACGTAAGAGCTCGCATGGCGTGGGAACCACACGCAAGGCGATCCTAGCACTTGCTCATCGCTTCACGGTATCATGATGACTTGACAGGACGGTGACAGAGCATCCGCATGGGAAGGAAATTCAGCAACGGTGGTTGGAAGAGCTAGAGCGCGAGGAAGTGACAGGCGTTTAACAGACCAAGAAGCAAAGGAGATACCGAAATTCAGCTGGCTGGGGGGAGTAGCCACAACTACTCGTACATTGTTGGCGCCAAAGTGACTAGCGCAGGCAACCTCATAACGACGAGCAATGAGTCAGTGCTACAGCCTCTGGAATGCTTTGGAATCATGGAAAATAGGCTCCAGGAGGTCATTTACCTAGTAATTTTCTATATAAACCAGAACGGTGACCATAGAGTAGAAGAAGACAGAAATCTCAACTACGCTGACTTGCCTGTATCGATTGGCCCGTACAGTTGTACAGTCCAAATCCTCCAACATACATGCTCGCCCTTCGGGCTGCAGTTAGGGATGAGGCCCAATCAGTGCTGTCCGCCAGTGGTATGGAACCCAGAAATGTGTGGGAGAGAGCCTCACAAACCCGTGGATTGATTTTGAGTGGAGAGGTAAGTATTGTCGAGCACCATGTACAAGTACTGTAAAAATGGGATCATGGATGGAATACTCGTACTCTGTACGCAATTAGTAGTGGGACCTTCATTTAACCGATCTCTAGATGCTCAGTTAGCCTCTACAACTAGCATACTGATCTGCACACCAATGAATGGCGAACGGTAAGACGGAGATGAGGAAAGGTTGGCGTTGGACGGTCTCCGCCTGGCACGCTAACTGCTCGCCCATCTCACAACAGCAATGTAGCAGTCTATGACTGTTTCACTAAGTCTTCGCAGTGTTACCAATGCACAGTTAATGTGGTAAAATCTCCGTTGTAAAATCGGATGATGTCTGTTCTCGTTTTCTTTATTCTTTTCTGCCTATAAATCGGTATTTTCGTCTTCCTGTCGCCTCATTAGGTGGCGCTTGACCTAGTTGCCACCTTGCCTGAGTCAGTTGACACCGTTGATCTGCTTTCACCTACTGTAAGTCTTGCAGATATCTAGTGGAGCACTCGTTAGGAGGTGCCACCTTGGTGGATCTTGAACGTCTTGGCGTCAGCAAAAGACGACTGGCAGCGCAATCTATCGACTTCGGTTTCTTTAGCCTCCAGGAATGCCGGGGACCTAGGCTGCTTGATGCTTACTGTAAGATCGGCTCGCGATTGCGTTGAAATTCGATCAGCCTGACGGTCGACTGTAGCTTGAATTCGTCAGACCAGACTAAATCCAAGCTAAACAATCCTTCTAGTACGGCTCGGGTTACGAACGTCATCTCGCATTCAGGTACCCCATGCTGTTCTATCCCGAAATGCTGAGTCTACATTCGCAGGAAGCGCATGTACCCCAAGATAAAGCAATTGCTAGTCATCCACTCGCTCTTCACAGCGGCGAAGACACAACACACCCGTCTGCTTCTTAGCAACGCGTATCTTCTTCTTTGCCGATGTTGTGAATGCTGCAGTAGTACAATACTATTTCCGCTCATGACTCCCTCTCGGGTGATATTATACGCCGAGCGGGTGTTTTCTTAGAGTTGAGATTTGGAAGAACTCCCTCGTCGAGTGAAGCGGCGTTACCAGGTTGTGAGCTTAAGGTTGGGTGCGTCCTCTCAGGCAGCTCGCTTCCACGCTCTAGACGTGCGTCTTCTCTTTCTTTTCGGCCTATGTCACCAGAAGCGCCGAGTGGAATTTTAGTTCCCAATTTTACCAAGGGAACAGTCATGCCATGAATAATCTTGAACAGTCAGATGATAAGCGCGAACAAAATGTATTTACTTACCACGCTACACACCACCAAAAACCAGATCACGACCGTCATTGTTTCTCGCAGTCTGACAGCATCTTGCCGTGGATTGTCGTCTTGGTCCAGGACGGACGTGCGGAGATATTCTTGGCTGATAGCGAGATAAAAGATGGCCCCAACACCAATGGGCCCGAAGAATCCAACAATACTAGCTTGCTTCCATTCATCAATCTGGTGGATCCGTTTGTGAAGCAGGAATATTGTAGGCGGCCGACGGATCAAGAGAATTAGGATGCCCAGCGGAATAAGTCGATATATTGGGATATAGTCGTTGTGCGCAAATTGGTGCCACGGACAGACAGCACCAAACCATATAAAAATAGTAACATTGAGGATCATGTCAATACTTGGTTGGAGACTATCGTCCATGGTCTGGAGTCGAAACCAATCGTCCCACGTGAATACGTTGCCAGCAGCAAAACATGCCAGCACATCATCACTGCCTACAAGTCCGTCGGTTCCGAGAATGAATAGCTTGCGTCGTCAGCAATCATGCTTGTAAGCTACTTGGGTAGACCTACAGCTAGGGCAAGAGCGAAGACCAAGAAACTTTCTCTGTCGACATAACTTCTGTCTTCTGCCCACCGGAGGAGCTTTTTGGCAATCCATCCACATACTGTGCCGTAAACACAGCTCAAGAGCACTTCGTAACACCAGGTCTCATAGAACCACATACCTACTGCTCTACCAGCTGTGTGGCCAGATGCATTCTTGCCAATGTAAGTAACAAGATAAAGAGGCAGAAAGAGAAAGGGATAGCCAAGGCCATCATTGGCGCCAGACTCAGCAATAATAAGATTTTGAAGCGCTTTTGGCAAATGCTTATCGGCAAACTTTCCTTTCACAATGGAATTTGATAGGACGGGATCGGTCGGGGTGACGCAGGCGCCAATCGCTAAGGCATAGAGAAATTCGAGGTCCGGTACAAAGGCCCATATCAACAAGCTCGACAAAAGCCACATCAGGGTCATTCCGGGACCTAAAAGGTAGGCCAGACTTTTCCATTCTGTTTTGAGATATCTTGGAGGGAGCTGGATACCAGCTATAATCAGTTGAACTCCCAAGACGAGTCGGCAGAAGTTGCGGTTAATAAGCTCCAAGTTCCCTTCATCGTCCAGGGCGTACTCTTCAGGCCGGATCCATCCCGCACCTGGCCCAAAAAGCACTCCAGCACCAAAGGATATCACTACCGAAGATCAGCAAAAGGTATGTCGTGTTCTAGGCCCGACAATTCCTCGACATACACGCTTCTGATAAATAGAATTTTTCCTTAGCAAGAAATGAGATCAGTCCGAAAGCTGCAGTAAAACCGCCAAGCACGGCGCAAACAATATTGAAGTTGCTCAGGTCTAAGGCTGGCATGATGAACTCGGTTTTGTGGAAGCAAGCACTGAGTGAGGCACTGAAATAACGAATTGGCGCAAACTTTGATGGCTAGCACATTGCGGCTAATGATTTCTCGGCAATTAGTATATGTCATGAATGTGTAGGGACTGTGGTCAATAATCCTAGGAGGGAAACACAGGGATTTTAATTAAAAAGTAAAATTGCATAGCACGAAAGAGCTTGGCACATTGGCGAAAATCCACTTGAGAAGGTGTGGTAGCTTGGCAATCACGTGGAAAGGAGCCACAGAAGTACCTAAGATCCGCCGTATAATAAGCATCAGATTGCGCATCACATTTTTGTATGAACCCTGTGTCCGATGCAGATCGGTTTACTCCAAAACTGGCGCTCATATCGATGGGATGAAAGTCTCTCACACTCTATCGGATGTCGCTTACGCTCTTTTTTGCTTCTTTTCTATGTAGCGAAGACCTGGAACAGTGTTTTTCACCCTCTCCCTTTTTCGCCGTCGTTGTATCATTTCAAACCAGGACGGGGAGTCGACAGGACGCCCTCGGATTCCTAGTGAATGTTCCATACTAGCAGGATTCCAGCCTAGTATTAGCAGATCCTAGCAGCCGCACTACGCTTTGTGGCAAGATGTCTCTGATATCTGAGTCTGATGTTGCCTAGTCTCCACCCCATATATCTTATTCTTCGCCCGTGCAATGACCATGTCCTGTTCCTTTCCCATTAAGGAGAGACCTAGACGGCCTCTCTTATCATTTCACCCTCATTCTTCAGTTGCAAAATGTTATTGGCGATACCGGCGTGTAGCAAGAGGTGGCGCCGATATTTGGCAAGATATCACGGCTCCTGCACTTGCAAGAGAGGGTCAAACCAATATATATACTATCAGTAGGGGACACAGGCGTTGGCGCTCTGCACAAGACAAGTGGTTAAGACGGGCCTCTCCTCATAGATCTTTCATGAGACAGCCTCTCGCAGATTACTCGACAGTACGAGCACTGCCAAGGTTTTATCTCACAACAACTCTGTTTGAGAGCTTCAGAGGTAGTCGGTAACAGATACTGAAAATAGCCGGCTCACAACGTCGCTGATTGCAGTAGTAAACTAGCCAAGAATTCGAGGCGGCGCCCTGCTTCGAGATGTCATGGTGGCTTTAATGCTTTCAATGCCTTCAAATTCTTCTGACAAAGAGGACATCGAGCTCGGTATTTACCCAGCCACCACTCTAAGCAGTGTGCATGATATAGGTGGTGACATTTGGTCTGACGCACAAAATCATCATCTTGGAAAGTCTCTAGGCAGATGCTGCAATTAGAAAAGGGTTGACAAGCTTCTGCAGGAAGGGTAAAGGTGTTCACAGTTGGGGTGGTGTCATCAGATATTGAACCATTGTCGGTCGCTTTAGCATCCTTGCGTGAGTATCCAGTATCAGCTTCCAGTGACCCATCTGTATCTTGTTCTCTGCCGAGTGGAGATGCCGAAACACTGAGAACCTGGGCGACCTGTAGAGATATCGAACTACGTATCTCGAGGATTTGTTTTTGATGCTTGTACTCCGTCTTGGCCGCAATGTTATCAATCTCTTTCATGCTGAGTTGGGACTTGGGAGATGATTTCCGCGTGCGTAGAGCAAAGTCGGCTGTGTGATGTACGTCTGCCGGAGAGGGAAATGGATTCCCCCGGTGAGAGAAACGCAAACGTGTATTCATCGGGCTAGGTTTTATCCAGCATCTAACTCTACTATAAAGTTATCTTGAGGTTTCACTGTGCGCCCACAATCGAGTGACAAACATGAAGTGTGAAGCAATGACTATTCCTAGCACTGCAGCGATCATAATGTATGGTGCGATAGTTCCACTAGTTGTCTGACCAGATTTCGCCTCGTCATGGTCGCTATTGTGGCTTGCTGTTGAGTTCTTCGTCTCACTTCGTGCAAGATACATATCGCATGGCACCGCTACCGACGATTGAGAGACAGGATAATGGAGAGTGTGTACGTTAACACAGACCAGGGGAGTGCGCAATATTCAAACATCCAACACCTTAGACAAAGTGTGAGGGCTGCCTGGTGTTATACAGTTGACCAACATAGTCGAAGGGGCTCAGCGCTTTTAAAACCCTGGGTATGCGACATGAGCGTCACCGAGAGCCGGAAAGCCAAGCTTTATGATGCGCTGAGTTCTGCGTAATAGAGGGGCACCAGACGCATATCTCAAGATAGACAATCCAGAACGTGGGTTATTCAAAAGCGATCAAGACCTGTGATGGGGAACTCTTCCTCTTGGCCAATTTAGGTGCTGGTGTTGTCTGCTCTCTCCGTCTTTCTGTTAATGGAGAAGCCCTGCAGAAAGGGTACCGAACCGCCCCACCAAGCTTCGAATTTGGGTGATGTACATATCTGCCAAGACATTTCCATCTCCGTCTTAGCTGTTGGCTGAAAAGCGCTATTAGATCATCATCGTCCCTGGCTCCTACATCGCGCACGAGTGCAGGGAAGGAAATCACATGCTTCTCGGCTTTGGTATGACGAGAACGTTAAAATTATCACTATCATTATTGACACCAGCGTCTCCATCGAAAGTATTAAAGCCAAGTAGATTGTTGAAGCCACATTCTATCCGTAACTCCTCTGCTTATATAATCATTGTATCTACTTCGTTTTGCAAGCCCACATTAAGTCGAGGAAATGTGCCTTACTCGTACCATAGGTCGGATATCCGCACAGATGGCGACGTGTTGACTGGGTGGGGCGATTAGAGCTTGCAGCTGTATATGCATGCTTTGTTCTGTGACGTTGCTTTGCTAGAGTTGAACCAGTGAAGACTCAATTTTCCCAGTATCACATTCGACGGGGTGGGAAATTCGAGGGTGACCATCTGAAAGTATTCAACTCGAACATAATTCTCTGGGTGAAAGAGGTGACCGTTCTGTGAAAGTATCACCCAAAGCAAGAATCAAGAAGATTTAGACGGCACTCTTCTTCAAACTGAATATTTACTGACGCGCAGGAAAATCCAAGTGGATTTCATGCACTTTGAGTCTTTCTTCTTCAAAAGCCGACCCTAAAGCTAATGATAATCGTGAGATTGCAAGTGATTAGCTACATACTGAAACTATTAGCAATTATCGTACTCTACATGTATAGGTACCTCATCAACATAAAAGCGAGACCCGAGTGGCTGCATCAGCAGGCACGATCGAGGCAGGAATCCAGAAAGATGCAATCGAGGGTGGAAAGGATGATATCGCCGAACTTGACAACAAAGGACTTAAGCACAGGCTATGAAACCCTTGGTGACAGATCAAGAGAGCAAGATTGATCAGCAGTGAAAGGACCATATTCTGCGTCTAGAGGTACTTCAAGATGAAGCGTTCTGGAAACTTAATGGGGACTATGCACTAAAACTGAGTGGCAAATAGAAGGAAATAACACCCCCTCCCCCCCAAAAAAGCTTTAGGTTTTGGGATGCTTTGGCATTTCCAGACCTCCAGCTCTGGTTAAGGCCGACTTCGCGGCAAATTGGCTGATTGACAATTGTTTTGATGTCAAGAATAGAAGTATACAGTAATAGCTCAAAACCTGCGCAGCTCACTCAGGTTCTCATCGGTCTCTGAATATAGCCCATTTCTCCGGATTACCTGCTCCTCTGATGAAGCGCTGTGGGTAGATATCTGATACCGTGGTGTCTACCGCCATGTTTCCAATTTGAATCCAATTCTTTCCCTTGAGGGGAAACCGGTCTGAGAGCTCTTCTTTCATTTCATATGGGGCACTTAAGCTGGATCCATACGCAAGCGCTCGTAGAAGTTTCACAATGTGGCCATCGTCATCCATCATATGGGCCTTCTGGAAAATTGACTCCCAAGTCGTTCGGCTGGGATCTTTTGCCTTGTATGTGATGATCTCGTCTTCGTGAAGTTCAGGTGAGAGACGAGAGGCGTAATTGATCAAGTCGATTCTCCCCTTCCATTCAAGTAAACGAGCCTTGTTCTCCAGACTTAGCCAACTCTGCTGGTTGAGCACTGGGTAAAAAATTGACAGATTGACCTGATGCATCAGAAAGAAGTCAATCTTCACCTCCTTGGGCTTATATTGTGCTGCCCCCGCTGCGTAGGCGTTCACGTTGTACATTTCAGCTGTCTTGATATCGAGGTCTGTGGGCGTGACTTGCCACTTGGCCGCAATCTCGATGAGTTTCTGTGGTGCATTGGACAAGATCTCATCGTCCAGATTATCCCCCCCACGCCAGTGCTGTTTGTCCCAGAGCTCGGGGTGTTGCCTTACCTCATTAAAGAGGTCAATCAGTTTTACTTCCTTTTCTGAAGGTTGCTCGCGTGCAATCTGCTCAGCTTCGAAAAAGAACTTGGCGAAAAAGCCCGTATGGCAAGCCGCTTGAGCTAACGCTTCAGCGATTATGGCGGGTTGCTCGAACTCTATGCCGAAACCCAAATGGATGATTGGGTGTACAATGCCTAGAGAATCCAAATTAGAAATGAATGTAGATTATGCCCCTCCCACAGGCTCCTCAACTTGCCGGCATAAATTCTAATTAATATTTGCTCTGCGAGCTGGGAGCCGGAAAATAGATAGTCATTTACAACTTTCTGCCACCCTTCCTTTAGCATCTTGCGCTCAAAGAAAGTCCGAAAATCGCTGAAGTAGGTTCCTTCGCCCATTTTTTTCCCCAATAACTTTAGGAAATACGAATCGTCTTCGAGTTTGCTGATCCGATCTTCGTTCGGAGGAGAATTTGGCCTTTGATATGCCGTATTTGCGTCAAAAGCATGCTGGATGCGGTCGACTCCCGCACCCAAGGCATACGCTGTCAGCAAGAAATGAACCTGATGATTGTGGTAGCCTAGATCGTTCCAGAATATGTGAAAGTCTTTGTGATTTCGCTGTAGTAGCGACATCGTACGGCTCGCGGAGTTGCTGCTGAGGTCAGGAGCATGATAAATGCCTCCATTTGCAGGCCTCAGCTGGATTGTCTCTGCCATAGTTGATGTTGAAATTGAAAATGGTTGCTTGATTTTAGGTGGTGAAATGGCAATGTTAAGTTAAGTTATAGCAGGGTAGGTTCGAGATTGGTCCCCAGCGAAAGAGAGAATCTCGAACAGAGGCTCATGTACTACCCCTGTTGCATTGATTGAGATGGCATGTGATCGCGACAAGTCCGACGCGAGACGCGGCCCTGAAGTTAGACTGGGTGGGCTCAACTGACCGGTGGTACGACGAATACAACTCCGAGCACGTGAACTTGTTTCAGAAACCTGCTAAATTTGGCACCAATCTCCCGGAGAAGACATGAGCGGCTAGAACGTTTTCTACCTAGCAGCTAAACCTTAAAACATCTTCGCAAGGCTTTGTTAAACAACTGCATTCCACATATTCACTTTTACTAATCTATCTCGTTACCTCCCGTTACCATGATATGCGTCCCATTGATCCATCTTGCTTTCTCCTCGCAAAAGTTGACAACTGCATATGCGATCTCACTAGGGTTTGCCGCCCTGTGACCCGTTGGCGTCTGAGCATAGGCTTTTTCGAGAAAGCCCTTCAACTCATCAGGGCAATTTTTCAAGCCTGGGGTCATTGTAACACCGGGGCTGACGGCATTAACTGTACACCCATACAATGGCGGTAACTCTTTAGCCCACACTCGAGTGAAGGCGTTGACCATACCTTTGCTACCAGAATAGAGTGTCTGACCAGCAGGAGGAAACCGATTTGACGTGCTGACGATATTGACAATCCTGCCTCTCCCTTTAGTGAGATGTGGGAGTGCAGCTTGAGTCAGCAGGAATGGCCCTCTCGCGTTCGTGTTGACAATGAACTCCCAGCCTTCCAGCGTCTCATCAGAAAGGTTGGCATGGTTGATGACACCTGCATTATTGACCAATATTTCTAAATGACCATAATGTTTAATGACCTCGTCGACTATTTTCTTTGGTCCATCTACTGTAGAGAGGTCGCCCTCGACAATAATCCCTCCAGATCCGACCAGGCTGGACAACACGGCTTCTGCATTTGCCTTTTCCCTCTCAAATGGATAGTTGATGACGACCTCGGCCCCTCGCTCGGACAGCTCCCGGGCGATGGCGGCGCCGATCCCCGAAGAAGATCCAGAAACGATGCCGACCATACCAGCCAGACTGCCTTGAGAGATTGGAGAAGCCATGATGAACAGAAGGGTAGGTAAGTTCAGAACTTTAGAATGTCAAATGATTGTAGACTTTAATATGTTAATAGAACAGTGAAAATTTAGCACTATATGTTGGCCGAAATTTGGTGGTAGGGTAATTCGATCTTGTTCTCCCCCCCAACCCCCACAATGGGGAAGCATTCGCACGAATCCGAATCTAATCCGACAAATATCTGTGATCCTAGCCAAGCAGATCAAGGTTTCTGCTAATAGACGTCCCGAACGTCCCCCGGAAGGTAGTAGGCCGATCACGTGTATCAATGAAATATGTATGTGTCGCGGGGTCGTGCGCTCTCCAGTTGCTATTCTATGTTTCTGCCTCACCTACCTATTCAACTATTACCCCACTGCAGCCACCAAGGCTCTCTCTCAACTCCACATTCCTCTGATAGGACTAGAGATATCGCTTCTTTGTTTCCTCAAAACGGTATCACCTGATGGTCTTCTTACCCCTTTCGACTTTCCAAACTAGATTGTGTCTCCTGATATTCTAGAAGATCGGTGGTCACCACAGTATTACTATTCCAAGTCAAGTTAATCCAATCAGCTTCAAGATAGCCCAAGATGCAAGTGAAACTTGTCATCGCTATTAACAAGAGAGACGATATTTCCTATGAAGAATTTGACCGGTAGTATGTAAACCAGCTAGTCACCTTCCGTAAGAGGCTAATGCAAAGAATAGCTGGTCCGAAGAGCATCCAAAGCTCTTCCTTAAAGTCCCAGTTTACAAAGACAAGCTGATAACATATTCACAAGTAAGAATCAGATAACTTCGGGGCGCTGCGTCGTCGCCATCATCAATTGACCTCTTCAAGTTTCACATTGACAGATCAAACAAAGAAGAGCTCAAGAAGCTGGGACTACCAGTTGCCTCCTATGATGGCCTAGTTACAATGGTTGTCAATTCTCTGGAGAATCTTGTTCAAGTGAGCCTACCAACAAACGAGCCAACTCACGCTATGTTCTCGTCTTAAAGAGTGAGACAACAACTAATCCTTTCTTAGATTTTCAATGATGATGAATATAAGCGTCTGGTGGCGCCCGATGAATCAAAATTTGTCAAACGCTCGGAAGCACAGGTTATGATCGGTTACGATATACTCAAGCATGATAATTATGTGACATTTCCAGAGGTCTTTAAATAGAATCTATGAAATGTGGCGTCTGGAGGTGCGTGAGGCCTCTGCTCCTATGGAAAACTCAATTATGAGGACAGACAGGCTGATAGACTGCTCTGAGTCCAGTTATCAGGTAGCGTCGCTTTCATTCATAGAATGTGCAACCGATTTTGAAGACCGCATATGATTTCTCAAGGGACTCGTTCATTCATTGCTATTCAACTAAATATATCTTGTTACTGAAACATAACAAATACGGCACACAAATATTGCACGGAGAGTACACGAATCGCCACTATCACGTTCGACTTATACCGTAGGGTTCTCTCAGTTTGCGGATTCAATAAGGAGTCTCCAGTAGTATACATCCAATATGACAAGTAATAACACTGTGGTTGATCTTTTGATTATGGCCCAGAGCAAGAACTCTCTGCTGAGGCCGCTCACTTGCGGAATCATAGATTGCCCTGCCATTTTCTTCCAAATCTTATAAGAATCTCGTGTAATGCATAGCTTAGTACACGAGAATCGAGTGTTAGTGCTTCCTCGAGATTGAGTTCAGCATGAACTACGCCAACATTCCTGGCGTTGCTCTAATTACTGGCGGGGCTTCTGGTACGTGCGTTTCCTTTACGGGGAATCACATTCTGTACCACGAACTGTGCAAGATCTGATACTGACTCTACGAGGGATTGGCCGGAATATTGCCGTCAATTTTGTTCGAGCAGGCTATACAGGAATTGGTATTTTTTACCGCGATCAAAATGGCCTTGCAGATACCAAGAAACTCATAGAGGGGATAAATGCATCAATACGGCTCGTCTATGTTCTTCTCGATATTTCTAACCCAGAAGCCGTGGCCAGCGCTTACCGCCAGATTGATAAGACCTTTTCTGGTGTGGACTACTCTATTCACGCAGCAGGAATAGTAGTTCTAGGTGCATCGAGCATGGAGTTGTCACTTGAAGACTTTGATCGACAATACAACTTCAATTGTCGCTGTCTGTGGCTTTGTTCACGCGAAGCAATCAATATCATGCGAAGTCAGACCAAGACCAGTGAAGCGTATCCAGATGCCCAAATACCATCGTATAGGACCCAGGGTGGGCGATCATCAGTATATCCGCAAGTCTTGCTCTCCACACACAGCTAGGTATGCCCGCATATACTGCGGCAAAGTCTGCAGTTTTGGATCTCACGGGTGCAGATGCAGTTGACTTACCCAAGGACAGTATCCGTGTTAACGCTGTCTTGCCAGGAATGGTTGGTACACCAGCGACAAATCCCAGTCCGGAAATGAGGGCGTGGCTCGAGGCAAATCCACCGCAGAGAACTCCATTGAAGAGGATAGCAGCTCCAGCTGAAATTTCAGACGTTGTTTGCTTCCTAGCGAGCTACGGTGCAAGTGATGTAACTGTGCAAGTTGGGAGATTGACTGGGGTTTCCTGGCTGGATTATAGGTGATAGATCTGGCACAATGTGCTTGGATGCGATTCGGGAAGCGCTCATTTGGCTCCAGTTCAGCACCAGCCTACCAATGAAATGCTGCACTGGGACGGGTTCACACTTCTGTCTGATCATTGAGGCTGCTCGCTACTTGAAATTTCGGGATCTGAAAATAGGATTCACTCATTTAGATTTATTGCTTACTCGAATCGACGTGCACTTTATGCTAATCGAGCTTGAGCACGATGCTTCTTGGAACATTGACGTCCCTAACTAAATTATACTTCATCCCTTTAGTTATGTTGGTTTGCCTGTAAGAAGAGTTTCGAAAGATGAAACGCGTCCTCGATCGCTCACCGAACGGGTTCGAGATCTGGTTGGCGACTCCGCGAACAGTGCTGGGTGTTTACTTCCCAGACATCAGAGATACGAGAACGGTTGGATCCTATGGGTGCTGTCTGTCAGTTCCTACCATCCACGAAATAATCAGGCTATACGTACTGCATAGATCTCCAACTTCTCGATGTAAAATCTTCCCTTGTCCTTGATCAGGTCGTAGGCCGCAACAGATCGGCCATTGACACTCGTTCCGCCTTCTCGGGGAACCGACCAACCGCCTCGGACTACAACATGAAGGCCTTCCGGATCCGAGGTGTAAACCGCATCCACGAAGTGTGTCATGTGTGGCCAAGAAGCTTGGATCTCATCTCTCTGACGACGAATGTCTGTGAGGCAACGTCAGCTCCGAAAGCCACGCGTGCTTGAACGAAACAAAGGAGTTGGCCGCTTGGGTCTGTCAACGTTGATTTACTTGCCTTGTCGTCCCAAGAACTGTGCGGTCCTGGAGAAGAGATATGCCCCATCCTCCGTGAATAGTTCAGACCATGCTTGACTTGCTTCTTCGGTTGGCTCATCTAACAAGGCAAAAAAGGTGTTTAGCAAATCTAGAATGGGTCTGGGCGCGGTTGTCTCAGGCCAGTCTATTGAAGGCGACATATTGTTGAGCTTTGAGTGAACGTTGGATATAACGGGTTAGTACCGTTCAGTATCGTGTGCACCAAGTCTAAAATCATGGGGCACCCCAAAAGTTGTAAAACACGCTGCCACCCGGGGAGCTCTGAATATTTTCTCTTATAGCTGTCTCGAATATTGGCCACTAGTTGAAGCAAAAGTGGAAACATTAGTATCGACGCACCCGACGTACTCCCCCGGACTACATACCCCACAATCTACTCGCTTCTGATCTCAGAGCCCTCGTGATCGGAGAACCTTTGTGGAACATTCGTATTCTGGTGCACGCTTCTGCATCCATATATACTATATCGTGAAATGAAGCCCTACTAACGATTGATGTTGTCTTTTAGTTGCGCATGAGAATAACCAAACGAATTGCTCGTTGTACACAGCATTGATTATGGCGACAGGTAACAATACTGCCCACCCCAGTGCGGTGGTGGAAATGCCAAGAACAGCAGTTGTCACAGGAGGAGGTTCTGGTATGCTATATGCACGCGTTACCTCTCTATGCCTGCTCTGACTGAGATATCATGTAGGTATGGGCCGGGTTGTAGCACATCGGCTTGCACTTCAGGGCTGTACGTGGATAGCCTTGCTGGATCAGAACGAGGCCGGACTCGCTGCAGTACGATCATTCATTGAATCAGAGGATACAAATGCAGATCTCAAAATTTTGACCTTGGCTTGCGATGTCGCCGACGAATCATCGGTTGCAGCATCATTCGAAACTATTCACCGCGAGTTCAAGCGTATAGACTATGCAATCAATTGCGCAGGGATCACACTGCCCGCAAGTCCCACAGATACTTGCTCTACGTCCGACTTCGACCGTACCATAGCTGTCAATCTTCGTGGTATTTTTCTTTGCGCACGAGAGGAGTTGCGGATAATGAAGTCGCAGCCATTGGATTCCGAGGTTTTTCCAGGAATTCCTGCTCTTCGAGCGCAGCGGGGAGCAATTGTCAATATTTCCTCGGGACTTGCCCTGGCCGCGATGCCAAATTCACCAGCTTATTGCGCGTCCAAAGCTGGTGTCCTTGCGCTGACTCGGTCCGATGCATTAGATTATGCAGCTCACCGCATACGAGTAAATGCAGTGCTCCCTGGCACAATCGAAACACCGATGACACATGCCAACGAGAAGATGCGCAGGGTTATAGAAGCCCATGCAGTTAACGTTATGACACCCATGAAGCGTTGGGGCCAAGCAGAGGAAATTGCTGATACCTGTATCTTCCTTTGCAGTAACAAAGCGAGCTTCATACAGGGAGTTTCGCTCCCTGTAGATGGAGGGTATACAGCAATTTGATCGAAAGGAATTCATCACAAATCCCAATATAATGCATCTTCACGGTCAATGAGCATAGTAAGATGTCAAATCTCGAGGCGATATTGCCGATTTAAAGGGCACCATGCGTATTTAGCAGTAGTCGAGGTACTGTCAGTCCCACAAGATTGGTTTATTCCTCGACTTGATTGTCAAATTGCGTATTGAGGGATATCCATTGCATTACAAACTAAGATTTCAGACTGGAGGTCCAACAAATACCTCCACAGCTCCTTATACTATTGATTTCAAACTTGACACCCTACGTCTTTCGCACAGCGCCAACCTCTTGCTCCAGCTCTAAGATGTTAGGCATAGGGCCGACAGGCGTGATTGCCGATGGATTGATATTCTTATGACTTTTTGTATAATGGTTCCTGATGTGCTCAAACTCTGTAGTTTCGCAGAATGCAGGAATCGTCCAGTACAAATTTCTTAACCATTTATGAATATTTGGGTAGCCAGAACGGATGTCTCGGATATTGCACTTGAAATGTTGAATGTAGACTGGGTCGAAGCGGATCAGAGTCGTGTAGAGCTTGATGTCGGTCTCAGTGAGTAAATCACCAAAATAGAATGGACCAGATGAACCTGCGAGGTCCGATTCGGCCCGGTCGAGGGATTTGAATAACTGTGTTACGTTGCGGTTATATGCTCCTTGTGTCGATGCGAATCCACATTTGTATACACCGTTGTTTATATCCTCATAAATCCATAGATTGGTCTCTTCAATTCTGCTCAGAAGGTCGTTCGGTAGGAGATTAAGTACCTTGGACTTATTCGAGTCCGGCAAAAGCCCATCAAATTCAGTGTTCAGCATTCTCATAATCTCAGCTGACTCGTTGTTAACCACAGTCTGACTCTGTTTATCCCACAACATCGGCACTGAAAAACGTCCCTGATAGTCCGCATCAACGGAAAGATATATATCGCGGATATGGTTGTAACCTGGATGCAATGGATCCGGAGTCACATCATCGCCGGGAAGATTTTCAACGGACGTGGCAAATCGCCAGCCTGACGAACATTATCTTCAGTCGTATTTTGTTGATCAAAGAACACGCACCTTTCTCTCCCATGTGCCAGTGCACGCAGGTAACGGAGATAATTTTCTCTAGGTCCTTCAGCTTTCGAACAATTAAGGCTCTGTGTGCTAGTGAAATTTGTCAAATTTGTAATGTATGGCCCTTAACGAGAGGATACGGACCCCATGGGCAAGCATAGCTGACGTAAAGGTGGTATCTTCCCTTCTCTGCTGGGAATTTGGCCTTTGGATCTCTGGACACGAACTCGCGGAAAATCGTGGATCGTCTTCTGAACTCGCCCGATGCATCAGTAAGTCCAGTCTTTCCGTCCTGAACGGCCGCTCTGTTAGTTAAACCTAATAGTGCATACAAAAATGATAAAGAAAAGATTTTGAAAGGATAATACAGACCTGCATTGCTAATAAATGGTAGTAATATTTCACGAATCTTTGATCATGAAATTTTGGGGTACTTAACTTGTGTAGTACTATGGGTTATCGTACAGCATCTTTAAGTACAGCCTTGAACCTGCTCTGGCAGCCAGCGGCCCGCTAATGCCGATATCATCTGCGTTGGTGAAATCAATCATTCGAATTATACCCGAAAAATCGGTTGTCCTTCTCCCCAGGCTGTTCTCAGCCTCGGAGCTTGCAGGGCTAGGATGATCGGATCAAATGAAAGCATAGTCTTCTTAGATACATGCGGAAACAAGCACATCACTGGATGGAATTTGCGTAGATTTCACAATACGTTGCTTGATATTGCGTTCCGAACTACAAGATCACTTCTAGGTGACTTCCCTCTAACTGACTATCGTGACTGTTATGCGAGCACCATCCCACAGCCGAAGATGGCTGTGCTGTTCAAAACGATGGGACAATGCTAATGAATCGTCGATGCCTCGGCCACAATCTTATCCAGCACCTTGAGGGACTTCCGTAAGCTCTCAAAACCTTGGCCTCTGAGTTCTTCTGTTGACTCTGACTCTAGTTTTCTCCCAGCTGCTCGATCGTAGCCATGCTGTGCAACGTCTGGAAACTCTGCGTGCACCGAAACACCAGCTGCCTGAAGCTTCTCAACGGCAACATCGCTCAAAGCTGCGGGTACAGCCGAGTCGTTTCGGCCATGGACAAGGAGGACAGGAGGGAGGTCGTTCAACCGCCCGAACGTTAAGGGATACAGCTTACGTTGGTCTGCGGAAATCGCTTCTGGTCCTTCTTTAGCTACTTTTTCACTCAGACCCAGTACGCCTGTCATATAGTCAGGGAAAAGTGCGTCGATATGAAGTGTTGAGATAATTTTAAGGCGGGGGTCTTGCGCAGAATTCTCTGGGTAGGCGTAACTCGTAAGGACTGGCTGATCTCTAATCGTTTTGAGCTCTTCTCTTATTTGGGTAGTATCGAAAACAGGTAGACCAAATATATTACTACCTTTAGTGAGGTAGTGCTTGTTGATCATATCCAGCATCCCATAAACGCAAAACGTCGCAGCTGGTTTGTTTTCGACGAGCACCGAAGTTGACAATGCTAGGAAGCCACCGGCGCTAGAGCCTGCAAGAATAGCTGGACCTAGCTCGATATCAATTAAACTTGGAAGAGACTTTAAAACCCATTGATAGACATCCACAGCATCCTCCAATGATTTATGTGCTGTAGTCTCGGGAATTAGTCTATAGTCCGGTGTGACGAAGACCCAACCTCGGTTGACGCATGCTTGAGCCAGCCACTCTGGGAAGAACATATAGCGATCTCCAAATACCTATAAAGACGCATTCCGTCAAAAATCGTCACACTAAACCTTAGCAAGAACCTACCAAAAATCCTCCATGATAGTGTACCAGAACCGGAGAGGGAAATGAAGGCTTTTTGATTGGGTACAACACGTCTACACTCAATTCAAGATCTCCAATCGTTTTGAATGGGATCACTTTGTTCACATAACCCTCATAACCTTCGATCTCTTTTGCCATGTTTTCATCAAGTGCTTGAACAAGTGCGACAGTCTTGGCGGCCAATATCAGGTCGCGAAGTGTTCGAATCGTGTCTGAGCATGTTTAATATCAAAGCTGAAGATCGAAAACCTTCGAATGTTCCGGTAACTCCGAGTACATCTCCGTTCTGCAACCTTCTCGAACTGTGAACGTGTTCATCTAACATAATCAGCACTACCCTTCCTTGCCCTTGGAGAGCTTGGTCGGCCCGGTACGCACTTCAGCCGAACTGCCGACTAACACCCAAAGGAAAATAACTCCGATCACGGGGTCGCTCGCAGCAGCCACCTAGGTACACCCGGCGGAATTCCTGGACCCTGCCTAGATTCGAAGTAACCAATGGGCCCGAGGACGGCGCAGGGGCAAACACTTCTGCCTCTGTACCGATGGGTTGAATAGAATATGTCGTTCTATTAATCCGAGCGCTTCTCGAATAAATATCAAATAACGACCTAGTTGGTTCGTTTTCATAGACTACTTTTGACCTTTGAGTACCTATGATCGACATTTTCCCACGATTTATCTGCAAGAGTACAATCCAAGATGGCTTCAGCAAAACTTCCAATCAATGAAAGCTTCGAATTAATATGGAAGGACGGGGTTGATCCCAAGAAAGGGAAATACCCCGGTTTTCGCCCAAATGAAATTGAGAACGTGGATGGCATGACCATTGTTCGCGATGTTGCTGTGCCACTGAGAGACGGAGTCAAGGTTTACGTCGACATCCTTCGACCTGAGGGATCATCTAGAAAACTTCCTACCCTCATGACTTGGTCACCCTACGGCAAACACGTACTGAAGAACTTTGACATGTTCCCAAATTCTGGCGTGCCTCCTGGGACAGTCTCGAAGTATGCCGTCTGGGAGGGCTGCGACCCACTCTACTGGACAAAGCGCGGGTATACCGTGGTTAATGGTGATAGTCGTGGATCATGGGCATCTGAAGGGGATGTAGAAATCCTCAGCGGCCAACTTGCAGTTGATGGCTATGATGTAATAGAATGGATTGCAACTCAGCCGTGGTCGAATGGTAAAGTAGGACTATGCGGAGTATCATACCTAGCAATTGTTCAGTGGCGGATAGCGCAGCTAAACCCACCTCATCTCAGCTGTATCAATCCATGGGAAGGCTTTACCGATGTTTATCGCGATCATCTCCATACTGGCGGTATTCCAGAAACAAAATTCGTTCACTTTACAGATTGGTCCTGTCAATTCTCCTACAATAAGACCGAAAATTATGCTGCAAATCATAAAGCCCACGAAATGCTTGATGCATATCATGAAACTAAGCGAGCGGAGAACCTTTCGGCCATTAAGGTCCCAGCTTATGTTGTTGCCGACTGGGGCGACTTTGGCTTACATACTCGAGGCGCTCTCAACGGCTTTACCTACATTAGTTCTACAGAGAAGTGGCTCGAAGTACACGCATCGAAAAAGTGGGAGTATTTCTACCGCCCATCTAGTCTTTTGAAACAAGAACAATTTTATGCAAAGTATCTCAAAGATGAATTGACTGAAGTGGATTCATGGCCTCGAGTACTGATAGAGATTCGGGATAAAGCATACGAAGGTTTCTGGCGTGCCGAAGAAGAATGGCCGATTAAACGAACAAGATTCTCCCAGATATACCTCCAAGCTGCCTATGGACAAATGACCGATGAGCTACCCTTAGGAATGTCTAGTGTTAGCTACGACGGGCTCTCCAAAGTTGAAAATGCGCAATTTATTTATAAATTCAAAGAACCTACCGAGGTCACAGGAAGTATGAGATTAAGGCTGTGGGTTTCGACTGATATTGGCGATGACCTCGACCTATTTGTTCAGTTGGATAAACTGAATGTAACTGGGAAGCTACTTCCATTTGTCGCGTTCTCTATGTTTGATGATGGACCGCTTGGGCTTGGCTGGATTCGTGCCAGTCATAGAGAACTCGACCAAGAGCTGACGCACCATAATAGACCATGGTTAACACACAAACGGAAACTACTACTACGTCCGGGAGAGGTTGTGCCCGTGGATATCGAGATTGTAGCCACGTCGACACGATTCTTCGCCGGGGAATCCTTGAAGATGACTATTCAAGGCACTGATATCTTTCGCAATGAAAATATCCCACAAATGCTGCTCCATGAGGATTCAGCGAACAAAGGAAGGCATTTTATTCACACCGGGGGGGCTTTTGACAGTTATCTCGTCTTGCCCATTATTGATAGCTAGACAACCACTCAATGAGAAGCTTCGTAGATTGCAATCAACTAAGATTTCCCGAATTTCTAGTGACGGGTCGGTCGTCAGCCCTCTGTACCCTTTTCCTCGAAGACCCATGGGCCATCAAAGACACTGGGATTTCTATTTTTCCAACTCGTCGAGCACTTTCTAAAAATACCGTTACTTCTCTGCACTGTGAATATCACGTTGTAGTTCGGTGAGAAATATGATACCCCACGAAAAGAAGAGTCACAATTTATCCCTGGTGTGGATTTATCATGCTATGTATGGTGGAGCCTACTAACTCTGTTCCACTCACCAAAAAGCTCAATCCTCTATGGTGAACGGCTTGCAACAGACAGACAAAGCAAGCCGTCGCCTGTTTAATCGCTTTTATTGACCCCAAGAGTTTGCTGTATTCAGTCCTGCCAACTTCTTCTCATATCTGATCGTCTGGACGTCTCTCGGAGACTCCGTAATCACCCTGCATGCATTGATATCTTTGTGAGTCAGGATCTGTTCATAGATCCTTGCATAATCCGATGCCTTCATTTTCCACTTGTTGACCTCTCCCTCGCAATTCTCGTCATACTCGACCCGGTAGTCCAGATATGCTTCATTGAAGCGTATGTTGGTTTTTTGTAGTTCGCGGCAAGCAACAGCTGCTAGTGAGTACAAGGCACCTTGCGAGATTCCCGTGACGCCACCGATACCTTGGTTCCCAGCACCACCAGTGACTAGCGTCCAAGTAGCATTCGCGTCCCCCTGTTCGACAAGGAATGGAATGGTTGCGCGGTATGCATCTACGAGAAGATGATTAGGCTTGTCAGCAAACTTATCTTCTGTTACACTCACAAAAGGCGCATTCGCTATTGATTCTCATTGTCTCCCGGTAGTAGTCAAATTCCACCTTGTAAATAGGCGTTTGAGGGTTGAAAGCTCCGACTATGCGCTGGTGAGCTAAGGTGCACTCTGCATCAGCAAAAGTAGAGTTTTGGTGGATATACCTGACACGTAAACATGTTGGAAAGCGGGAAATTCGCCCGCCCTCACGCGGTCAACGACATTTTGCACGCCATTCTCGGTGGTTACATCTGCTTCCACTGTCGTGATTCCTGTTCTTGTTCCAGCGTGGTGGTAAAGCTTTTCCGCAGCAACTTGGTTGCGAACAATAGCAAGGACTTCTCGATTTGCCTTCAAGGCTCCAATAACAACAGAAACGCCAATATTTCCTGTGGCACCAACAACAAGGACTCTCTCCATTTTTTTTTCTCCTATTGCTAATGAGACCGTAGATGATCGTCCTTCGGGACGGCTGGTGAAAACCTACAGCATTTTCGACCCCCTTCTTGAGAGATTGTTTGATGACATACTTTCACCGAATAGCTCCGCTTATCTCCGTCCTTGATGTAATGAACTCGGTCTGGAGTCAAGAACTTCCGACTCAATAAGAGTGGCATGATGTTAAGCGGGCCGGGGACAAATATCTCAAATGGATAGACATCGCTGACAAATGCATATTTTTGTTCATGATCAGGCCATTCTGGCAGCAACAGAAGATATTTTGCCCCGCTGCCTTGGTTCTCTGAACAGATATTCATGCAACTTCGAAATCCAGCGTGCCTGCCTGGAATCTCGAACGAGGTGCGTGAAGCCCAAAAGCCGAATGGCCAGGTCACGTGTCCGGAGTAGTTCAATATCACGTGTTAGGAGACTGATTCCGAGTGACAAATTCAGCGGCAATAACGGTCGGCAACTATGTGTAGCCAGGGCAGCAGGGTTCATTCCTTCTTTTCCGAGAACGACTCCTTCAATCCGATGAAAGCCCGTTCATACCTGCTCCTAAGGGGTATCAGCCTCATCCCTGCTCGACCAAAAGCTTCGGAAAGTCAAATTTGGAATGACCTCGACGAGCGGGCGTCTCTGCCGTCAAGCCAAGGATTCGAGCTACAGCAACTGGCTCCATCTAATTGTTAATCGTCTCATGTGAATTTCTCTTCCCATCATAATATTCATGCTTGTCACAAACTGAAAGGAAGCTTCTAATAGGCGGCTAGGAGGGACTGACTACATTGCGACGGAGGCACCTTTTATATTGTGCCAGCCTACTGCTTAGAACAGTTTTCGTGTTCTACAATTCATATCTCAATTGCTTCACAACTTGCGACAACGTTGTCCCAACAGATCAGCATGACTTCACTGAAGCCCCTCCTTCTGCATGCCCATCCAACAGCCCCAAACCCGATTAAGGTAGCAATTGCGCTCGAACTACTGCAAATTCCCTACAACGTCAAGATATGGGAGTTCAACGACAACAATAGAAAAGGTGTTAAAGGCTCAGACTTCGTCAAAATCAATCCTAATGGACGAGTCCCGGCACTGGAGGATCCGAATACCAACGTGACATCTTGGGAAAGTGGCGCTATTCTGAATTACCTAAAGCGTCAGTACGACACCGATAATCTTCTAGGTCCGGTTGACAATAGTGAGCAAGCTAGAGCGGACCTTGAGGCCTGGGAGTATTTGCTGGTGACAACACTCGGACCATTCACAGGCCAGGTGGTCTGGTTCAAGTTAGTTACCTTTGCACCCCAATGTCTGTCAATTTCCCTGCTCTGTTGCCGCTAATTTTTGTTAGATACTATCACCAGCCAACAAACGATGATGCTGCTGCACGATACATTAAACAAGTCCACCGAGTCTATGGCGTGGTGGAAACACAGCTGATGAAAAGCGGAGGAGACACCATCCTCCCTGGAAAGTTCACAACCGCCGACATTCACTACATTCCTTGGATGCGTTCAAGTGCATATATTGGCCTGCCTTTAGATGATTATCCGTTGCTGGAACGCTGGACAAAGATCATGTTCAACAAACCCGAAGTGAAACAAGCACTTCAGCGGATCCAAGATGCGACCGCCGAGCAGGAGCCTGAAGCTGCAGTGCGAGGTCTAAAGCCGGACTTGAATTTGATGCGCCAAACTGGTGCTCAAGAGGTTTACTAAATGCTCTGGCATGAGTGCATTACGAGAACGCATGTATAGTGCTGCGTAGCTTGATTATCTAGATTAAGATCTGATAAAGATACAATTACCTGATAGATTTTAATTTCATTATATCGGAGCTCTTTCAACGTCGCTTCGTGCATGCGACTGTTCTTGCTGCCGTGGCCGTCTCGCCAGCTCATGTAGGATTTTTGTTGATTCACAGGTACCACAGGAATACCACAGGAAGGATACTGACAAGACCACGACCACGTGAACGGGAGATGCACCCAGCGGGATAGACTTCGCACAGACGCAAATTACAGCCTTCAAAAATCGGGGCGTAAGCGGGTTTCAAACTCTTGCGGAGAAACTCTGGGGAAACAACGGTAGAGGGTGTCGACTAGTCCATGGGGAAGGCGATTCAGACCTTTAGTATCTTGCAGCTGACTATAAGACGAGGTCTCCGAGACATTTCCTTAGCTATTCCCTTCGTCTTCTACAGCTCGCTATCAAATCAATATGGCGGGTAATACTGACTCCAGCACAATTCGCGTTCCTATTACTGAGAAAATCTTTGCTCATAAGGACGAGGTCGAGGACAATTCTGATGCGCAAAATGTTGAAGGGGATGAAGTGAACGCGGATATCGCCTATCTCGATGAAGAGGAGGAGCCAGAACTACACATGAGGACATACGTTGCACTTGCAGCTATGTTTCTCCTGAACTACGCTATGGTGATCGCGTTGCAGGGGCCTCCTGCTGTGGTATGTTTGATTCGCTTCCCGTCCGTCACTAAAGTTGACCCGGATTCTGGTAGCTTACCTTCATCGGTCGGGATCTCGACGCTACTCCTAGTCAAACCTGGATCCCGAACGCACTGTCTCTTGTCCAAGCGGTGCTGGGACCAATGATCTCGTCCGTATCCGATACTTTTCGGGTTCGCAAATCCATTTTGGTTGGCTGCTGTACAGCCGCATTTATTGGATGCGCAATCGCACCAGGGTCGCATTCGATTGACCGACTTATTGCTGCTCAAACTCTGATTGGTGTTGGGTTTGCTGTTGTGCCCCTGGCTTACGCTGTACCAAGCGAAATACTTCCCAGGAAGTGGCGGCCACTAGCTCAAGGTTTCTGCAACAGTGCGGCGCTCCTTGCTGGTATCTCAGGGCCTCTAATCATTGGATACATGGTGAAACAGGACGCGCATCAAGGATGGAGAAATTTCTATTGGTTTCAATTCGCAATTTGGGGCGCGACGGTAGCTGCTTTGTTCTTCGGCTACAACCCTCCTCAGCGACATCTACTTACCGAAATGACCCTACGACAGAAACTTGGAAAGCTTGACCTTCTGGGAAACGGTCTCCTCACATCCGGTCTCACTCTCTTCATTGTGGGCCTGAACTTAGGTGGAGCCTTATACTCGTGGAAAGACGTGAACACCCTCGTTCCTCTTATCATTGGTGGTCTCTTGCTCATCGCGTTTGGCGTGTACGAGTGGCGTGGAACCAGCACTGGAGTCATGCATCACGACTTGTTCCGTGGAGATAAAACCCAGGGCCGAACATTTGCAATCTGCGTAGCTCTTCTGTTCCTTGAGGGCATCGTTGTGTTCTCATTCGTCATCTTCTTTCCGGTGATGTGAGTATTGATTAGGACCATGCAACGATGGCTTGGCTAACGAGTATAGGACGGTGGTATTATTCGAACCTGATCCGTTTCTTCAGGTTTGTCGCGCTCTACCATACTGGATTTGTGCTTTCATCAGCTGTATATTGTTCTCCATATGGAGTTCTAAGGCCAGGTCCATTCGGGTACCACTTTTCGTTGGATTCGTGATCTTCACTGCCGGCATCGGATCACTTGCTTCAATCCAGCCAGATGACGGCCTTCAGTCGCTGGGCTTGGTAGCTCTGGCTGGTGTCGGCTTTGGTGGTCCCCTTGTCTTGGTGGTTGCGGGAGTTCAGCTTTCTGCACCCCATAAGCTATTAGCTACCGCAACCGCTATCACAACTTCCGCACGCGCTGTATCAATCGCTATCTTTACGCCCATTTTCTCCGCCGCGCTCAATCAAGGATTGACCACTCAGATTCCGAAACAGGTTGGCGAGGCGGCTGTCAAAGCCGGTCTCCCCTCTAGCTCTCTCCCAGCTTTCATTACCGCGCTGTCATCGGGCGACACAAGTGGTCTAGGAAAAATCAGCGGAGTCACATCCTCAATCATCGCGGTCGGAGCCGCTGCACTCAAGCAGGCATATGCAGACTCTCTCCGAGTTATCTACTATATTGCACTTCCCTTTGGTATTCTGGCATGCATATTGTGCTTGTTCGTTGGAGATTTGCACAAGACAATGAATTTCCGGGTTGATGCGCCGGTTGAAAAACTTCAGACCAAGCATCATCGTTCCTCACGGGAACCAGAGTAGAACATATCTTTCCACGAGGTCCTCATGATAACATCGACTCCTATTTGTCCACCTGCATCCAAGTTGTCCTTCATTTTAAGGCCAGAGAATGGTCAAAACAGAGTGTGAGATAAGCGTCGCCATGAAGACCGTCCACGTCTTCCCTTCATTGGCAGGGACAAGAGATATCATTATATAGCCAGAGAAATATGTACTAGCAAGAATTATCACTGCCACTAACTTTAGACATATCATTTAATATACTTTGAGTGACTACACTATCGTGAAAGATGCAGCAGCGGACACTTAGAAGTGATTCAGTATCAAATTCGAAGCGATAGGTCACGCGAAGGCTGAGTCCGATGCAGTGAGCGGTGGTGACAGCCGGGTCCGACAGCCTCGTGGCAAGGTTACACTTCAAGCCAGCGTCAGCTATCTGCCCAGTTTTTAATGCTCGAGACGTTTGATATCCATAACAATTGTCCGTAGAGTGAGGACTAGTAATCTTTCGACAACAATAAGCATGACTCTATAGTCCAAATCCTTTGCATGTCCCAATTCTTTGACATTAGAGGCCAAGTGTCTTTTGTGTCCATTCTGCAATGAGGTCAGCCACAGCCTCGAGATTCTCCTGGCCATCCTCAAAAAAGTGTTCGCCAGGTACGAGTCGAAGCTCTTTGTTCTTTGAGCCCACCATGTTGAAGATACTTTCGGCAGTCGATGGGAAGACACCAACATCCCCTGTACTCTGCACTACAAGAGTGGGTAAGGTGAATTCAGTAGCAATGAGCTCGAATCTGACTTTTGATTCCTGCAAACTCCACATTGAGAGCCAAGTCTCAATTGTGGTCGCGCGGGCAAGAAGGCCGGGACCATTATTTGCGGCTTTTGGCTCTCCGTAGAAGCAGACGTTCATTCTTCGATCCGAAGGGTCGATGGTGCGATCGAGAAACCTTAGATCGGCAAAGGTTCGATCCACCGAAAATATACGGTCAGAAATCCCAGCTTTTCTCAACCGCTCACGCTCTGCCTTTGCCCATGCGGTGATACGATGGTTGCGTTGAATTTGAGCATTTCGATACAATGCTTGGAACTCCGGAGAGAAGGGAGGCCCATTGACAGGGTCGTACATATCTAGTGACGAATCACGATGGGTTGGGTCAAACTCATCAATGACAGAAGGGTCGAGATACATAGTAATGGCGTCAGCTCTCCCTGGGTGAGCGTTCAAGAAAATGAAGGCGTCAGCTCCTGTCAGAGACGATGTCTGCTCAGCCGTGGCCTGAAATGCAGCCATTAAGGATCCTCCTCCTGAATTCCCTATAAAGATGAGTTTTTTCGCTTTTGTATTGTTGGAAAGCCACTTAATGCCCGCTGCGATATCGTCTAATGCCTTGTCCAGAACGAATTTCTCCTCCAGCGCTCTGAATCTGATCCCATAACCAAGCACGCCAAACCCTCGTGATGCCAACGGTCCCGATAAGTAATGGTTGGAGAAATCGGCGGAATAGTGTGTGAGCATAAATGCGACTTCTGGATCTTGCCCTTTTGGCCGATAGTATGTTCCAACACAGGGCCACTGTCCTGTCATTGACTTTTTGGCACTTACGGACTCTACACCCACAGGAATTGATTCGACGCTCTCATAGTTCTTGTGCGCGAATGTTGATTCTAATGCCAACGCCATTTCCACTCTTGTTGATGCCTCTGATGGTCTTTGAGTCCGGGTCTGGTTCTCTCCAACAAAGCGACATATCTTAGCTCTTGATAAAGTTACTGTGTTATCTTCAGCATCCAAAAGATTTATATGTAGTCTGCTCAGCTATGAGGCAGATGTTAGCAATAGTTGAAGGTCGTTGACAATTTCGGATTCATGCATCCTCGATCTCGTGACCGGAGATAGAACCACGGGCACCCGACAACGTCCAGTCCAATCCAACATCATATCTGTATATTATTCAAGACTTGTCGGTAGTGATTTCTTTGATGTCGTAGTACGTTGTCCAGCAAGCTCTTCATACTGTCGAACAGCTTTGAAAATGGAACCTTGTCGAGTCGCGATTGCTGGATTTACGAGCAGAGTAGCGCAACTCATCACTTCGCATCTATTAGAGCAACCGGATATCGAGATTACAGGAATCTGCCGGGACACCGCGAAAGTTCCTAGCCACATTTCACAGAATCCCTCTGTCACATTGGTGAAAGCCGAATACTCTGATGTCACAAAACTTCGAACCGCCCTTAGAAATGCATCAGTTTGCGTGTGCTGCTATTTTGGACCGGAAGAATTGATGCTGGGGGGACAACTTATACTCATTGATGCTTGCATCGCGGAGAATGTACCACGTTATCTTGCATCAGACTTTTCTTTCGACTTCAGGGGACTGAAGATAGGAGACTTTCCATTCAAGGATTTCCAGCTCAAGGTTGATGAATACTTGGCAAAGAAAGAGAGTGAAGGACGAATCAAATCCGTGCACATTCTGAGTGGAGGGTTCTTCGAGGCAGTGTTTTGTCCATTCATGGGAACTCTTGAGGTTGAGTCCAGAAAAGTTCGTTACTGGGGTACTGGCGAGGAGCCATGGGACATGACGTCCATGGAGGATACTGCCAAGTTCACCGCAAGGGTTGTGGGTGACCAAGGCGCTACGGGTGTGTTCAACGGTGAGGATATTCTCTTCTTTAAGTCCAATGGCTAACGTTATCTAGTGCGTGGTGAGAGGCATTCACCTAAGCAAATCGCTGACGCATTGGAAATTTGTTATGGCACTAAGTTCTCGCTTGAAAACTTAGGTACATTGCAAGAGCTACAAGAAAAGATGATCTCGGCCAGAAACGCCTCGCCTGGGGACCCTGGTGCGTGGCTTGGTCTACATTACAACTATTACACAATCAATGGCTCGACCTTGTTGCGAAGTTCCGAGAATGACAAGTACCCCGATTTGAAGATTGATGATCTCAAATCCTTCTTTCATCGCCATAAACTTGAACAACTACCCACACTCTTCAGATAGAAACCCAACTTCCTACTATTTATCTAGCTTCTCTCCTCATGGTCCTCATATAAAGTACTTAGAGCAAGCAGTGACATGATATTAACCAAGTAGCGAATGTCGTAGATATCAGACGAGGACTGCAATTAAATTTTATATTACACCACCCAGGAGCCTTTCTCAGTGGTTGCTTACGCAGAGGAGCAGGAGAGATTTGATTGTGGCACATATAGGGATTACTAGTACTTTAATATTCAAACTTGACACGATAGCCAAGCACTATTTCTAGGACCTGTGAATATTGGGATGCAATGATTTCCCATCTCGGACCATATAGCTTTTTCTCCCCAGAGTCATCCTATCGCACATTCATTAGGAACTTGTGCTCAGCAACAACCAAAGAGTTTGCACATACGTTGTCTTGCCAACCTCCACAAAGTTCAGATGATCAGGCATTATAACTTCAAGGAAGTATGGGTCCTGGCCATATGCAAGGAAATGTTCGATCTTCGAAAAAGTGATTTGTGCAATGGCGTCATAGTCGGAAAAAGGAGCAAATTTCTCGTCGTGAGATTCACGGATCAAATCCTTTGTATCATCATTATTGAAGATCCATAGCCGAGTTAGTTTTCCCAGACCATAATGGAAATCGGCATACCTGGGTGTATTCGATGATGCCATATTCCGCCAATAAGTCCGCAGAAAGAACTCCATGGTAACCGTTCAAATGGGCAACGAAATCATCAAAGCTCATACCAGCCTTTTTCCGTACGGTGAATGTGAGCGTAAGCAGCTTGTTATCATCCATTTCAGTGACTCGTCTGGCTCTTCGTTATCATAGAATAGCATGAGAACCTCTATCAGATAACGCAGTTCCACGTTAAGTACATAAACCCCGGGAGTGTCCGAGGATGGATTGTGAAGGCACTCCCGACGCAAGCCCGTGAACACTGTTTCTACAAGAAGCCGGTGATGCGCTTGGAAGTGCGTCAGATGATACATGTGAGAATGCGCCTACCGTTGCAGCTCTTGCCAGTGTTCACTCCAGATTCACGCCACTCGAATCGGCTTCTGGGAGCATTTCGAGCCGATGTGGAAACATGCACGGGATCGGGGATTGTGAGTTAGGAGCCATATCAACAACTGGGTGCGGGAATCACGTTTGATGTCTCAACTGCGTTCAAGCGAGTGCCACGAAGCTCTCTTCAGTCAGAAAACTTATATATAATTATTTGCACTCATAGAGTAACAAGCTGTGAGATTGACGGATCTCTTCAGAATGGCGAACCTAGCTGCAATAATTCCATCTGCTAAAGCTGATCTGGAAATCAGGGAAGTTGAGAGGTATATACCGGGTCCAAACGAAATCCTAGTCAAGAATGAAGTTATTTCATTTAATCCAATCGAATCCAAAATCGCCAGGCTGGCCTTGCTCCCTGTCCCATACCCAACCATTCTTGGTCTTTCTTTTGGTGGCACTGTCGAGGCAATAGGGTCCAACATCAAGAATTTCAAAGTCGGGGATAAAGTGGCTGTTCGAAAAAGATATACTCAGACTGGGATTCAGTACGGTGCATATCAGCGCTATGTCTTAGCGGCTGATGACACGGCCAGCAAGACCCCCAACGGAGTCGATCTCACAGATGCCGCTGTCCTTATCGGAAACTTGACCACTGTTGTGGGATTGTTTGGTGTACGTCTGTCGTTGAACAGACCTGAACTGAAGAGCGCACCCACACCGCAGAACACAAAGATCTTGATCTATGGAGGTACCTCTAGCGTCGGCAGCCTTGCTGTACAATGGGTCACCCAGGCCGGATACGATGCTGTTACTACAAGTTCACCAAATCACCAGGACTTCGTCTCTAGGTTAGGCGCACTTTATGTTGCTGACCACACTCAAGAGCCAAGGGCCTTGGTACAAGATCTCACGAATCACGGTCCATACGGCTATGTTGTCGATACCATCGGGCTTCCCGCGACCGTGGCTCTAAATGCTCAAGTGGTTGCTGCACAAGGTGGTGGCAAGGTTTACGCAACACTCCCTTCGTTTGGTCCCGAAGCGCTGCCAGGGGGAGTGATTCGCGAGTTCGCGTCATGGCCAGACATCTTCGACGAAGACAAAACGAATCTGGAGAAGTGGACATATGAGACGTGGTTTCCTGAGGCTCTAGCAAAAGCACGACTTGTTGTCCATCCCGTGGAGAAGGTCAAGGGAGGACTCAAGGGCGGGGTCAACGCCGCACTTGATCGGCTCCTTGCGGGTGTCAGCGGAGTCAAGTTAGTTGCCGATCCCTGGGAGTAAGGCAATAATGTGATCGAGGTCCTATGCATTTGATGCTGTTGGCCCCCAAAAACAAGGGTGAGCATGGGGACTGAGCATCGTCAATCCAATAGCGATAACGTCCTTGGACAAAAGTCTGAGAAATCAAATCGGCAATCGAGACTTCGCGATCGGTAGAACGCTTGGTTTTCCGGTCGCCAAGTGCATCTTGCTGTATTCGCGCTTCGACACTGGCAGCCATGCCAACCATTAATGCGCCTGGGTACTATGTAGCTAGAGGGCTATTAGAAGTATTCTGTTCTTTTGACCAGGAACCGTATGTTCTAGTCAGACACTTGGCGGTTTCTTGGCCGGCTGTCCCTCCCGGTTCGGACCTTACATAAGCTGCCGTGGTTTCCCCGCACTGAGCTTTTGTCCCTTATTTCGCCATTTTCAATCTCTTTTGTCGATCTGTCCGAACTCAAGCTATTCTATTGCTTGCCAAGTAGCGTTTCCTGAATCACCCTGTCATGCATAAATTGAAACGTTACTCAAGTTGCGACCCTTGCAAACGTGCCCGCATTGGATGCAATGCAAGCTCACAAGGCGGAGGGTCGTGTTTCAATTGCACCCGCAAGGGTATAGCATGCACATCTATCCAGAATCAAAGAAGATCAAGGCTTAGAGATGGTGCTCAGGTCGCTTCAGCGAGCCGATCTGCTGCAGAGAAGCCAAACGAGGCGTCTATCTCTGTCAGCGGCGCACATGACAATGATCAGGCTGCCGCGAATTCATATACATCGATACACCAGGCAGTGACGCCTCTTTCAGACACTCAGCATCGGGCCACAAGAACTCAGCAAGCACTTCTTCTCCATGAAACTCTTTGGAACATTTTTACGACTCTGCTCGAGCCCCGCATTGGCCTTTGGATAGGAGGGTCTTGTTGTCCCTTTCAGTCAACAAAGACAGTGAGTCACTCGGTATCAATTTGATCATGACTGATTGTCCTAAGCCTCCTTCCACTCTAATCTCTCGCATTTTCATATCTCTCGATCCCCCTCAAAGTAACGAGAGTGCTAATTCCGCCATTAACCTTGCTTTAAACTCAGCTGTTTATGCCTATTCAGTTCGTTGGCTGCTCGTTAGCCATACAACCGATGCCAATGATTTTGAGAAACGCGATAAGATCATTTCCTCAAAGAAGGAGCTTGCGACCAACCTTTGGAGAGATGCTCGGCAGCATATTTATGCAGCTATGGCTAGGCCGACATATAGGTCCATCCTTGCACTGTATCTCTTCGGAATTACTCCTTCGTCTTCCAACGTGGATCTTGACAATATAAAAGATCCTTGTCTGGAGACGGCTCTTAATCACCACAGTCTCCTACGCTCCAGGTTTCTAACTAAAACGCAAACTGCAGATTCTATCGTGGACCTACTAAGTTCCGGGCCGCTTCTTAGCACAGAGCCCCCTTCTGGTAGGGATGAGTCTGAGCTCAAGTGCATGACTGATATCGCTTACTGGTTCGGTGTCATATCGGATACTACGAGATCTTTAACGCGTTGCAGACCTTCAGTTTTGTTACCAGGTCAGAGTGGAGAGAAGAAGGTCTGGTCTGCCGTACGTCAACGTACAGATGCGTTTGAAAGAGAATTCCAATCCCTGATCGATCTCCGGGCACCACTGTCCGATAGTTTGGTCACTCTCATCCTCCAGCACGCATTCGCTTTCAAAACCCTAGTATGGGCTGCTATCACTCGCGTCCAGGACGCCGTGTTTCACCAGCTTTCAGATATTTCTCTTCCAGAGGCAATTGAGACCGTACGAGTTGAGAGTAACCGTTTCGAGCGCGTGTTTGGCACGTTACTGTCTTATTGTCACAGGGATTTTATGCTGCTCAACCGTTCAACACAATTAAGTTATAGTAAGCGAGTAAGTGCATAATCGTCGCTCCATGCTAATGTCGACACTAGCACTCTTGAACATTCACTTTCAAGTCGGGAGTCTGATTTTAGCAGACGCACTGCCGTCGACAGTGACCTTTATCGACAATAGTTCCAAAGCCTACGATCTCCGCCTCTGCGCATGCCTACGGATCGTCAACGCCGTCAATGTTGCCCTCCAGACAGATGTTGCTGAAGAAGATCCAACCAGTATCCTGTTACTTGATCCTTATCCGGACCAGATGGTTAATGCCTTGACACGAACGGGTTCCTCCCTTTTTCAACTCAACTCTACAGACAAGTTGAATTATTCAAATTTAAAACGTTTGTTCACGGTGGTTATTACTGCACTTGAGATACTATCAGAGATCTCGCACCATGCTGCAACAGCAGTTCCCCTTCTGAGGCAGAAATTTCTCGAAGGGAGTACTCATCAGACTACCACCTCCCCACACGACCCGTTACACCAAGCTACGCTGTTGGCCGACGGCCTGTTGGACGCTAGTCTTGTGCAAGAACTAGAGCAGCAGGCTATTGATCCTACCTTGGTGCCCAGCACAATTGAGCGCAACGAGAGTAATATTTTTATGTCTACTTTCTTATCTGAAGAAGTTCAATTTACTGCGTCTGACTATTTATCCCACAACTGGGACTTTGACGTGAGTACAGCTTGGGCTTCCTATACTCTTGATACTTGAACATATAGCTGACAATCGATTAGGATTGTTTTGTCGATTTCTAAGTCCTTGCTTTGTTGGGTGAGCGCCTGACAACACGTGTAGCTGATAGATCCGGATTCTTTCGATATTCAATCGCAGTACTATTCGAATGGTGATCTTCAAGGGCTTGATATCCTACACCTAGCTGTTCATGATATTAGAAGTATAATTTTGCAGTCGACACCGCCTAATTCAAAGACTTTAATTTTCAATTTATCAGACGCTTGAGTGTAGATACGTACCACCGCGGGACGCCATAGCCATAGCATAGTTTTGAGCTCAAGTTTAATTGCAAGAAACATCTTCTTGCTGTACGGCGCTTCAGAATTAGGCCTCTTATTGAACGTCTGCTGCGTCTAGAAGACAAGAGCCGCGTGGAAGACATAAGCTGGGATGGGGTTTAAATATAGAGAGTTGGAGTTCGGCCCTTTAGGTCTGTCTTCAACATGGTCTGGTAAAGCCATGCTGTACGGACAGATCCATTCAAAGTCATTAGAGCCGGTAGAGGTCTCGACATTCCTATTAAAGGAGCCTTATATCCGGTAAGTTGTGAAAACTCGCTCGATCAACGACAGTTAAGTTGCGCTTTACAGGAGTAGTAGAAGGCCCAGACTTTCGGTGTGGCGAATAGCTGGAACTGATGCTACCACCCATCAAACGCTGATGTCGGAGGCCGGCTGTCTGTAAGCTTGACTGGACTTTGTCGCCATCGCTCGTTTCCTTACCTGGAGAAAGAATCGCACGTCAAGATTAAGGTACACATGACACCTCGCAGTGTAACGAATGCTATCTTTGTCAACATTACGATGCTACGAGCTACCCTGAAGGAGCTGATTGACAGCTTCCATTGCATCATAGCCATACAACCACATCAGCATGGCAGGCTGCGGCCATTTTGCATTCGCATCCGCAGGGACTTTCAGTCTTTCCGCCATCTTCTCGCGACCTACCTCCCGCTGCCCATGCAGGTAATCGTCCGTAACACGCCTGAACCGACTATCACGCTCCATTTGCTCGGGCCCATCGTGCAACATCCAGGCTTTGCCATTCCCCTTGGCGATAGCTGCCACACGTTCGACACGGGGTTTGCGAAGACTTTCGTAGAGACCGGCTAGGCGAGGAAGATCCTCTAAGGTTGTCAGAGTGGAAAGCACCTCGCCGAGCACAGCTGCATCTTCCATCGCCATGGCGCCTCCCTGCGCGGCGTGTGGAGACATGGCATGGGCGGCGTCGCCAAGAAGAACTATCCTTCCGGACCGGCTGGACCAGGCATTCAGTTTGGGAATTTCGGCGATCATCCACTTTGCGCACTGCTCGACAAGGCCAGTCAGCTTCTGCACAAGCGGGCTGAAATCACTGAACTGGGCTCGTAGCTCGTTGGTGTCGCCTGGATGATTCCACGCTGTCACTGGTGTGTCGTCTTCCAGTGGCGCAACCATGGCGAGGTTGAAACGCGTGTTATTGGAAATCGGATATCCGACAAGGAACCGGCTTGGTCCGAACCATGCCTGGGTGTCTGTACTGGCCATAAGCTTTGCTGTCTCCTCGTCTCTCATCATGGCCTCCGCTGGGATCATCGCTCGATAGTTGTACTCTCCCAATGGTACAGGCACTGTCTTGTCATTGCCGACGAGAAATCCGCGCATCTTGGATCGGATTCCTTGCACCAACGATCAGCGATATATCTCCAACACCCAAATAGAAAGAGAGCCTACCGTCTGCGCAAACAACAACATCTGCCACGAGTACTTGACCGTTTGCAAGGTAGACCGTGCCTTTCTCTGCATCAATCTTTAAGACCTCACATTTATATTCGATCGCCGCACCAGCCCGTCGAGCCCCATCGGACAGAAGGCGCTGACAGTCCGGCCGATAGATCTGCCAATATCTTGACGCATAAATTCTCGTGCCGATTCTTACTAGGGAGATATTTACTTACGGGTATCCGTAGACCTCGGACGCATCGGGGTTCTGATGGTTTAGCCCAATCTCCGCGTCGTCGGCGAATCTCCTGGCCACGGACACTTTTGGCACGTTGCAATACTCGCGAAAAGCGCCGCTTAAATTCCAAGCATCAAGAAGCCTCGTCGCATTAGGACTAAGCTGGATGCCAGCACCGTACTCCGAGAGGCCTGCATTTCGCTCTAGAACCGTGACCTTGTGTCCTTTTCTTGCGAGACAAATCGCGGCAGAAAGGCCTCCAAGCCCGGCTCCAACAACGATGATGTTCAGCTGCATTCTTGAAAATACACGTCGTGAGATAGTCGAGCAGCAAATTTGCGTTCCTTGTTGTTAAATCCCAAGTGAAATTAAGCTTGTTGTTCCTGCTGGAGTTATTTTTGCTCGGAGAGTCCGTGGCGGCAAGAGTCTGATTCAAGCTAGCATAGTAGCTCTGACGAGATGGCCCCTTTCCGGGCGGCGGAATTTGTGGCATCTTGTCGGAGGATCAGCATAGCAGCTGTTGCTCAACAATTCCATTTGTGAACGATATTTGGCCGGAGTAAATCCACATACAGAAGCGAATATTTCAGTCCGGGGAAGCCGAAGTGGGGGCTAGCCAGGCCCGGCTAATCTCGGTGGTACATAGAGTGCCCACTCGAAACCGTTAGTCGGCTTGAGGGTTTTGGAATCGATATAAGGGATGCAGTGTACAGCCACTAGACCAGACACTAGACAGTGAAAGAAAGAAGAAAGACAGTCTCAAAGAAAATTGAGGGAAGACCCCAGTCCTAGCGTACGAGTAGTCAAAGGTACCAAGAAACAGAAACAAGGCATACCTCAGCTTAACTCAGCTTGCCATCTTCGTCATGACCTCCACAATCACCAGCAAGAGCAATGGCAACAGCGTCGAACAAGGCTCTCCTCCTAAGATGCCAAACGGTAAACGCTCGTTCAACGGCATCAACCATCTCAAACTAGCGACGACAGACCTCTGGAGATGCCACGACTTCTACACCAAGATCTTTCCCTTCACTCCTTTGCCACAGTATAACCACTACACGCCCGAGCATAAATTGTTCGCCGTTATGTTCGAGCACGCACCAACCAAGCTTATCGTGGAGGCGCGCTATGAGCCGAACCAGGCTGAGGTGCAAAAGGGCTGGGACCCTGTGACTTGGGGCGTGGGCACGCGCGCCGATCTCGAGGAGTGGGAGATGTGGCTGGATTTCAACTCTGTGCCACATAGTAAGATCCTGACGGGCATCAAGGGTTGGCTTATGGCGTGCGAGGACCCCGACGGACGTCATGTGAGGCTCTATGTCGATGACGAAGAGCATGAGTGGTCTGACCATCCGGACTATGACGAATATTGGTTGCATGGACTTGTGGCAGATCCTAAAGCATAATACTTTGTAGGAAATATAGTAGGAACCGTACGGCGAGTGAGGACAGTATGTTCTTAAATGCAGCAAGTCCATGGTAAGAAATAGCTAGGGCTGATTTGAGTCTTACCAAGGAAGTCGGAACGTCCAGGATAGACCCTAATTTCAATGACAAAGAGACCCTGAATGTCTCAAGTGCGAGCGAGGGTTAAGAGACGGGTGGCTGCAAATCCAATGGCACTGGGAAGAACTTATCACTTCACGAGTGATGCTTGGTTTCTGGACGAATACACTCAAGCTGCAGCACACATCGCAGGTATGTTGAGCACTTCTCGACCGCTGTTGGTCCAGTGACATGTGAGCAGCTAGCAGATGCTATTGTAAAGGAACTTCGTTGCCGTATATCCCCTCCCATAGCAAGCTTCGACATTGCGGCAGGGAGGCTCTTGCCGCTTGTTGGAGCCACGAAGTCCTCAACACTCAAATATACTCCTTTACGATCGTTCTAGTGGGTTTCAAAAGCCTTAGCTTATTAGATTGCTGATAATGCAAGCCAATGCTGAAGACTGCAGAAACATTCAACTCCAGGAGCTGAACAATATCTTGTGAGGGTCACGAAAAAGCGGTGCCCATAAGCCCTTGGGAGACCTAAAACTCTGAAGAACATCACTCAGCCTTGGATAGCAGAGAGTCAAACCGTCTGATATGTACACCATCCCGTCGCCACAGTCAGCTACGACAGAGTTCGCAGAAAAGCTCAGCGAAGGTAGAGTCCAAGTCAAGTCAAGTCAAGGCAAGACGCCCAACCTCACTTTGGGCAGGACTTTGACTTTTGACTTGGAAAGTCGGAGAAACTTTCTTGATTAGGCTTGGCGTTTTCGGATCAACGATATTCCGACACCGGTCACGCCAAGACCGCCCCGCTAGTTATCTATCATCGGCACCTTCTGTACGAGTAGAAACCTGTTTTACTCGCTATTCTAGCTACTTGTAGCTTTAGCCAGTCCCCCCTGGAATAATGTTGTTCCATCCATTCATCCTAGAACAACGTTTTTCCGTTCCCTATTTTCCACTTGCCTTGCGTGCTTTTCTCTTACTTGCCAAGGCCTAAGCGAGAAAGTGGGTCACGACTTACGAATGATTTGGTATCTATGACTTACTCGCAGACTCTGCCATCGCTGAAGTCTTAGCTGCCTAAATACAGTCACCCAACAGTACTCGATTGTCTTGCTTAGTGAGCCTAGGCTAACATCAACATACAACCCAATGCAGCCATAACTCGTTCCGTCTGTTCATACTATACCATTTCTACAGTCTTCCTTCTACAATGTGTAGATGAAATCAGGATGATGATCCCCCAGTGCCTTGACTTGTTGGTCCAATGGCAGATGTTCAATCCCCCGAAGTAATTCTTCGCGGTTCTCGACTTTCTTTTTGTTGAGAGACTTGAAGAGTACCACCTGTGCCGCAGCAAGCACAATCACTGCAGCGAGCAGCGCAACGTTGACACTTGTTGCAGGAAGATATCTCGGAGCATTCTTCGTCGGGTAGATCCACACACCCAAGATTCCGCCGGAATTGCTCACCATGAACCCAATTGCAACGGCCACCGACCGTTTGCCATAGGCTGCATTGTTGTTGGGAAGCCATGCAAGGACGGTGGGTGCGCACGAATAGATACCTCCAATCAAGAAGAACAAGGCGGGATACCTGACTTGGAGAGACGTGCCGGAGTAATTCAGGATACATCCAAGCACTCCAAGAGCAGCAGTGACTATGGCGACCAAGCCACGTCGGCGATAGCGATCTGCCGCCCACCCGGCTATCAAGGTGGTGATGAGTGCAAACATGAATGGTGGAACCGTCAGAAGCTGCGTGGTGGTTCTGCTGTATCCAAAGGTCAGGACAACGGACGGCGTGAAGTATGACACGCCTTGAGCTACGGTGCCCACGCAAAAGGACATGACTGCCATCATCAGAAAGTGAGGTTCTATTAAACACGCAAGCACATCGTGTGGTGTAACCTTATCGTCGTCTTCGTTGGTCTGTTTGTCTGCGGCCATCCTTTTGACATAGTACTCCTTTTGCTCGGGCGTGAAAGTGAGCACATCTCTCGGGCTGCTCGGCATGACCCAGAGCGTGGCGAAGCCCCAGCAGATGGTGAAGAGTCCTTCGATCAGAAAAATCCAACGCCATCCGTCAAGGCCGGCAAGGCCGTCCATCTGCTGAATTGCTGCCGCCAAGAGGCCTCCAAACGCCCCAGCTAAAGCCGCTCCGCAGTAGAGGATGGCAATTCTCTTTTGGATCTCGTGACGCCGATAAAATTCGGACAAGACAACAACGTAGCCTGGGAAGACACCACCTTCGCACAGACCGATAAAGAACCGGCAAGCAATCAGGCCGGCGTAGTTTTGTATCAAGCTCTCGAATGTAGTCACAATGCCCCAGCACACGCAAAGGCCTGGTAGAAGCCAGCGAGGTCCGATGATTTTCAAGGCGTAGTTGCTCGGGAGTTCGATCAGGACATAAGGGATGAATGTGACCATCAAAGCTGGTGCACCAATCAGTATTCTGCGTCAAAAGGGGGTTTCACGTAGACATACAAATCTGATATTGAGAATCGGTCAGGTGAAGGGACTCCTGTAGACCAGCAACCCTGGCATTCCCTACATTGGCTCGGTCGAGCAGCAGAAGGATGAAGGTGCCGAACAAGACGGGCTGTAACAAAAGATCCAGCTTGTAGACTGCATTCCTGTCAAACTTGGGGTCGACGTGGGAATCGAAGCTTTCCTCTTCACCAGGACCAGTCTTGGAAGCCACTTCGACCTGGTCTTCTTCAGTGAGTTCCTTACGCACACTGTCTAAAGCCATGATCTGGGAAGGTGATGACATTTTGCGGCAGAGGGTTGATTGTAGAATGGGTATAAGTGATCTGAACTCGACAGGGGCTCTGGGCTGCAGTTGGCCCAAGTCTGTCTCTAGCAAACGATTAAATAAGCCTTCTCTCAAGGAATCCAGGTACGGTCAACATTCCGCGCCATCCCCCACCCCCGAGAGTAGGGTGCAGCAAGAAGGATCTAGCTCCTCCAAGCAGAGGTAAGCCACGGCTAGGAGCAGGTTGTGATTGGTTATGTGTGCAATGTCCGGCTAGTGGCAACACACAAAGTCAACTATGGCGAAATGCGGAGAGAAGTGGAGGAGAAGCCATGCCAGCCCGCAGAGGTAATACTGCCTGCTGACAAGAAATGAGTCTTGGTCCCAATAGCTCATGCATTCTGCAAATTGTCGGCAGTGGCATTTCTCCCGACCAAAACAGAACGTATGCTCCATTTCGGGGTTCCTCGTTGGATTCCGATGGAGTTCAGGCCTCCGTCCGGCTGGAACGGGCGACCATCTTTAGCGAGTGAAACATCCAACTACTTCGATGGCAGAAGCAGAAGACATTTAGGATAAGAGCCCTTCGCAGAGCATCCTGAAAAGCGATCCAAACCATCTCCGGAAGAAAATCCAACGGTAGGAGTTTGAGCTGAAAGACAACAAATCAGGACACCCAGCGTAATGGCCAGATTCACTCTTGCGACTCTCCAGACCTCTGATGGCCCTCGAGCCGCAATTGGAGTCGGTGACAGCTACTACCAGCTATCCACGGCGTCGGAGACGTTTCAGCAGGACAGTGTCAAATCGTTGTTGGAGGCGTGGCCCGGCTCCTTCACCAGGCTGCAGACCCTGGCCGATGCGATTGCCTCGGGGAGCAACAACCGCGCTCCTGCAATCCTCATGGACAAAGCCGACCTTCTCACCCCCATCTTGTGGCCAAATAAGTTTCTGTGCGTCGGCGCCAATTATGTCGGCCACCTCAAGGAGATGGGGCTGGATACCAACAAATGGAATGTCATGCCCTTCTTCTCCTGCCCTCCTACCACATGCCTCGTCGGCCCAGGTGAGACCGTTGAGATCCCAAAAATGACCGAGGAATTCGATTGGGAGCTCGAGCTCGGCGTGGTGGTTGGCAAACGGCTTCGTAACGCCACCCCGCAAGAGGCAAGCCAGGCGATTGCCGCATACACCATTGGGCTGGATCTGTCCTGTCGAGACCTGACCTTGAACGACACCGCAGTTCGCGTAGATCTTATGCGTGGCAAGTCTCAAGACACCATGGGACCCTGCGGTCCACATCTGGTTCCTGCCCAATTCATGCCTGAAATTACGAGCCTCAAGCTCACTCTCGACGTCAATGGGAAACAGATGATGAACTCTTCGACAACGGAGATGTTGTATTCTTGTGAGGAGATGCTCGCGGTCATCAGTGAGTTCGTCACGCTGGAGCCTGGTGATCTGGTCTTCACCGGCTCTCCGTCGGGGTCGGCGGGTGCTCACGGAAATTGTTGGCTCAAGTCGGGAGATGAGATTCACGCCGAGATCCAAGGTATCGGATCGTTGGACGTCCGCATGAAGAGGTCCTAAACAAAGACAAGATCCACGCTCTACTCAATTATACGTAATTGTTAGCAAATATGGCACCACTTCAGGTCTGTTTTACGGGACTAAGCGAGACGCCTAGACCCCCCTATTTAGGGGGATATAGAGTGCATATCCTGCCTATTCTCTACAATCTCTACACAAGTTTTCACCACTATTAAAAAGGCTGTTTTGATCTCACCAACAATAATGTATTGGACCGAAGTGAGTTCGCGGGTTGAAAATATTTGAGCGCTCTCAATTAAAGTGTAATCATTACCTCAGTGCTTTCACGCTTTGGAGAAACCTATTGAAGATGTTGCTCGCTTCTGAAGTTGAAGAAGGATTTGCCTCTGGCTCCAAAGGTGCCGTCTCCCCTCTGGTTGTTAGCAGATAGCAAGCGAAATGCCAAAATTCTGGTCCAGCATCTTTGAGGAATCCGCTTGTTTCAAGTTGGCTTGGACCTATCTGAAGTATCGATGCATCCCATTTCGCCTTCCAGAGTTGGAGACCTTTCCCGAGTCTACATCCTAGCTCTACTGAGCTGTCGCAATGGAGATGGCTCTGGATGATCTGTATCAATCCTGAAGCCATGCGTCAGAGCCCTCAGATGGATGATAAGACATCACGGTGATGACTTACCAAAGAGAACTGAAAACAAGTACAACAGGTTGAAAGACTCGGTGTCCGGAAGGAGGTCCGTGCGGTTGCCGGCGAAAGCCGCGATGGTACCGGGCAATGAATAACAACCGGTTCCCGTTTCACATGCGAGCGCCTCGTAATATGCACCGACAGTCTCTGCCATGAATACATTGGGCGAGCATGGCATGCCGACATGCAGCTCATGGTAGAACAATCGAGGCCGCTCGCCATAGATAGTACTAATGGCCACGTCAAGGTGGAAGATGCCACAGAGAAGCCTATGGGATTATGAGCTGGCAAGGATCTCATCAGATATCATCAGTGAGCAAGGAATCGTACCGCAAGCGAGACTCGTTTTCAGCGAAACGATACCAGCTAGAAATCCCTGTCTCTTGAGTTGAATTGTCGGGCAACAGGAAGTCCCCATTGTGAAGCGCCATTGTTCGGACAGCCTGTAACACAATTAATGTGCTCTGTTGCCTAATTTCTGGGTGGATTGAACTTACGGAGATGATCTGATCAAATCGGACTGTCCGCATACATTTTCTCTTCCAGGTTGTGCCCTCCCGAAGCTGCAACTGTACAGCACAGAACGCTGCCTGAAGGGCTTTTAGGGCTCGTCGACGCTGCTCAAGTCCTTCTGGGAAAATGCCAGACGCGATCCTCTGGAAATCTGGGTCACTGAATGCAAATTCCTCTGCAAGCTCGAGCATTGACCGGGCAGTAGTAACTGCGCCGGGTGCCAAAGAGAACAAAGCTCCCGTAAGCGTCATGACCAGAAGCAAAGGCAAGGGTGTTCTGAAAACACCAAAGGTGCCCGGATGTACGACCGGACTATGGCGGTTCCAGTGCTGGAAATAGAGCTGCAGAAATATTGAGATGTTGTTTTGTGTTAGAGTTCGCATGCCAAGGGCGAGATGGATGCTTGGGGCGTGCTCTGGATGATCGTGTGGAAGAGACAATGTTAGTGCAGTCAACTGATCCGCTAGTTCTATTGAGATATTCCTATCCATGCCCACGAGTTGATCCGGATACTGACTCCCATCCATGAGAGATAGAAAAGCGGTGGAGGAGAGCTGATCGTGCATGCCCAGCTCAGACGACGGAAAAGGGAGTGCACTGGCATCTGCGCATAGCTCCAGGTTGATTAGGGAATTGTCGGGAGTCAAGAATAGCGGCAGGTAATCTGTGTGTGGCGAGGTCAGCGGGATGACTAAGCTAAGCCAGGATGGTGAGTAACCGTAAGATTCACTGCCTCCAGCTTTGCAATAAAACGTTGTGTCATCCTGACTCTGAGAGCGAGTGTTTGCGTGGACGGCGACATCATCGCTTGATCGCTTGAAAGTGTCGGTGAGGCCGCTGGTCGGACTGCTCCAGTTCAGCAGGAAGGAGATACGGATTTTGTGGCTGGTTGAGCCTGTTTCATTTGATATCTGCCTCGGCGCCGACCTCAGGCTGCCGTAGTTGCCTGTGCTCAGCGTCGATGGGCTTCTAGCGGTCCGCTCGGTTCTCAAATAGGTGCAGCAGGACCCAGAGAAGAGACAGTTCTCGCAAGGTGAGTCTAGATCACAGGATACTCTGGTCCTAGCGCAGAGATCACAAGCCTGCTTTCTCCTGCCTCTGGGCAACCGATCTGGGATCTGTCGACCGTTTCTGTGTGGACACGACACATAGTGCCGCCTGAGAACATCTCTGTGCCGGTGTATATCAGCAGGAGACGAAAGAAAATGCAATGAATGACTTACGATCTATGGTACGTCTTCTTGCAGAACTCGCAAAGCCAACCTTGGACAGTTAGCCAGACAGTACGTATTGAAGACGATGACTTACTCTGCGGCAAGCCTGTCTTCCGCATGTGTCGAGTATTTCGAGGCCTTGAGCCGAAGAAGGGGGAAGACATCAAGCATCCAGACACTCGTACTTGGAAGACGGATAGAGCTTGTCGACGGCGCGTTTGCAGGATGCGTGAATGTCACTGGAAAGTGCGAGAGTTTCCAGGAAGATCGAGCCTACGAAGTCAGTGACGAGGGAGTGGGTCCTGCACCCTCGCCGAAAATAACCGCTAACAAGCATCTCTGGGGGTTGGGGGTGGCGCGGGGCCCTCAGGCGGAACGATGTCCGGACGCCCGAACAACGTACATCAAGTTTAGTGTCTGCTCTGAAGAGATACTGTAGTTGTGCCGTCAATCTGAAGCAAGGCGCACATCTTCGAAGGGCTGATCTCAGCCACACCGACCCTCTCGAGCAGATTCTACTGTGGGCGTTGTTGCTTGCTTCACATCCAGGACGGGATGCCAAATGGTGCAGATGATTCCAGAAAGGGACTTTCGAACCAGCCTAGTTAATGAAGGTTGATGCTGGGATTTCTCTCGAGCCTCTCGACACCGAGGAATGCATCGAAACCGTTGGGATCGGTTGGAGTGGTATCTCTACCGTCAAAGTACTACACGATTCGTCGCCGTCGCCGTCCTCGGCTAACGCTGTTGCTGCCAAGACTTACCTAGCGCGTACTAGTTCTATAAATACGTTGCGCACTAGTAAAACTAGCTACTAAACTCTAGAGCGCTACTATATCAGTATTTAAGTAGTTAGATTAGATGAGTTGAAGGAAGCATATTAAAGACGCGTTAAAATCGTGCGTTTGATGCCTAGAGTAGTTCCTGGCTTCTGCCGGGCTACCCTTAAATGCAGATTAAAGCGGCGTCCAGATGATTTCTAGAGCTACGTTGATGACTTTGATACCCTTGGGCACTTTTTATAGAGCAAAATCGACTGTGAATGACGCGATCACACCATTGGATGAGCTATAGTCAAAAAGGTGAGAATTCCCCATGTTCAAGTAGAATTGATAATTAGTGAAGCACGCTTTATATGTGGCAATACATACTTAGTCACAGCAAACGTGCTCGCTCAAAATTGGGGTCCGAAATGTCTGCTCAGCGGTGTCCAGATTGATGTTCTTGAGACCCTGGCAAGATTCCTGATGCCTCCTTAGGAGAGTTGTTCACCAATACGGACAGCTTGCCAAATTTCAGCATATAGGAGTCGATGGCCATCTTGCAGTTTTCATCCTTGTGAATTCCAGCGTCACGTTCCGAGCTTGTAGCCCTTCTTTCGCAATATGTCTTTTTTTTCATGGTACCTCTTCCTTCTCTTCGGGTAAGTAGACGAATGTGATTTCTGTTTGGATGGCTACAGATCTGTCAATCCTAGGGTCACCGCTAGTGATTTGCACGACCTTGTCCCTAAGCAAGGAATGGAGTGTGGGCGTATCAGAAATTGTTGATGACTGTCGAGCTCCTTAGAACGACATAGTCGCAATAGGTGTCATCCTTCATTGCTGCATGAGGCACTCCCAGAATCACAGTCGGCATCCATCTTAAACTCTGCTTAATGCAATATCGGATATAACCTAGCTCATTATAGTCGTTCGATTATGGGGAGACGATTATATCTAACTACCCGTTCAGTCTATACCTGAGCCTTATTATGAACTTTAAGCTACATTATTATGGTTAGGATGTATGTGTATAGAGTCGAGGATAGTATCTAACCGGGCCTCTAAGAGAGACCCGGTTATGTAGTCTACGATATTACCATTAGCTTCCCTATCTACTTCGCTCGTATATGTAGTTATAGAGATACGGCTGAAATAAAGACTTTTACTAGAAATTCGGGTATTACCCTTAAGTCCTATTTACCACCTAATAACCTACGTAGAGTTTTCTCTCGATTGAATTTATATAGGCACTGCTACTTCTAACTAATGTACCCTAAGATGTAGAAAATATATAGAACTAAAGGATTAGGCTCCTACACACAATCAGAATAGTTACTTTATACTGCGTGTCATAGATATCCGAGCAGCGAAACTCGAAAATTATCTGCGTAGCCAATGAATAGGTAAAGCTGCGGGTGTGATCAAGAAATTCTTTCGTAGTGTATCCAACAAGCTATCCAAGAATATTTTGCTCCCAGGGTCCTAGTATGGCCATAAGTCACGGCATCCTTAGTATTAAGAATATTATAGATCATTTCATAGATTATGCGCCAGTTGTCACCGTATTTCTATACTAGCCGTTAATGTCTAACATGGCCGAGATGGGGTGATCATGCCTGCGTACCATTACCACTGGCAATTCTTTGACCAAAGAAAATATTTAAACGGCCTGGTCGGAAGAAAGGACAATCATGGTCTTCGTCCCGGGCATTAAAGATCAAATCGATCTGAGGACGCAACGCTGTTAGAACGCACGGTTTTGTTTTTGAATGAGATCCCCTGGCTTCCGGCGACTAGATTTGACCTGTATACACGAAGCCTAGCTGAGAAGTACACTCTAGGCTTGCGGGACGCACTCTAGTTGCTACGAGAGTATGGCAGGCAGCTAACGCAGCGCGCGTAAGGCCGCCTCGTCGAGATTCCGCATAGAGCCACTGTTTGCTTTCGAGCAAGGCAGCGGCGACACGTAGCTTTAGCAGCATTCAACAAACATGGCGAGTGCGACAGGGTCCGCAGGCAAGCGCGGCCCCATTGACTCCGCCTGCTGATGATGGAAGGTGTCCTTCATAATCCATTCTTGAGACGGCCTCAACATTCCATTGAATAGATCCTGTTTTTTCTCATGGGAAGTCGAGAACAAACGAAGAGGTCTACAAAATTTCTCCTTGGAAACTTGCAAAAGCCTTGGTAATCCGGGTACTCGGCGACTCGGGATGGCGGACTCCTTAGGCCCGGATATTTATCCCTACAGGGTTTATTGAATTTCTTTGCATCCTTCATCGTGACCTCCAATCCAGCCCAGGATAGTCATGATCGCTCTAGCGTTGGTGGTGAAGATGAATAGCCTTTCCTTGGTATTAGAGGCAATTCTTCCCTCGCCCGCATGAGGACAATCGCGATTGATCTTGTAAAATCCGAAGTGCACCGTCACTTGATGAGTCAGCCTGGAAAACGAACCCGAAAATGGGCCAATGTCCTCACGGATACGGCTGTCTCTGGCCAGCACCTTCTGGTGGGAAAACTTGCAAAGCATGCAAGGACAATAAGGTCGGGTCTTAGAGGCTCGATGCCAATGTGTATCCTACCCTTTCGGGCACAAGGCTGGTATTCTGGTACGTCCTAACGTCTAGTGCGCGCAATTGCATTGATTTACTGATGGGTCATGAATCAAATCCTGCGCGCATCTATAACCTTATCCCGGTCAATACATACATTCAGGAAGAGGTTCTTCGGTGAATTTCGAGGGTCCGAGTACGAATCGAAGGAGAGACTTACAACAGCGAGATTGTCTCAAACAAATCCACCCCAGCAACAAGCCAGCCTGAACATGCTTGCGAAGACGTTCCAATTCCCCCTGACACTGACATTGCTGACCCTCAGAACCATTCCATTGCGCTGATTTTGAACTCTTCGAGCCTCCCCGCTTTGCCATGCAGCTTAAAAGCATTTTTGTTACAGAGCTTGGAACTATCAGTTTTTAACGTCCTTAGAGGGAACAGTAGATATTCCAGCATACCAAACAACAAAGATCACATTAGCTTGAGAAAACATTTAAAAATGCAACAAGGGATTTCAATGTGTTGTCCGGCTTCGGGAGTATTTGCGGAGACGAATGAGTAGGGTCATCGTACTATCATATTCTACGAATATATAGTGCCTCCTAGTCGTCTCGCCGGGTACAACGTGACTGCAGATTTACTGAAGATCGAAAAATACCTGATATTCACCCTGAACATGGCCTCTATCTCGATTTAGGACCTTAGGGCTCCGCCAACCGTAAAGGCTAGGACCGAGTGTTAAGATCTCTGGACTACAAGCTAAACCAATCAAGCAATGCATCAATGGGTCTGCTATCTAACGACCAAAAGCAGACAAGGCTGGGACCGTTGCTGCAGCTGATCCTGCTCTTGCAGAGAAGTCGTCCTCTTTATTCGGTCATTTCCTCTGCTGCACGCAGATATCGAGAATTTACTGACACGCCTGTTCTATTGGAGAAGTGATAAAACCCAGGACCCCAGGAATCATTGGAAAAAAATCCATCATCCCTTTCGATGATGTGTGTGGCTCACAGTCTCACATCGTTATTCTTTAGCTGCATGTTTTGCTTCCTCGACCGCAGCATCAATGACGACTAAGCTGGCAAGTCCTTCGCTGTCGACCTTCTCCTTGGACACAACAAACACGGCTAAGAACTGCGCTTCTTCGTTGCCTACATTCTCGGAGCGCACGTGATGACACCCGGGCGGCTCATACCAACTTTCTCCGACAGAGTATACCTTTGGACCAGTGCCCTGAGAGTTCGGATCATGATGAGGGCACACCATCTGATTCAACATCTTGCCCCGGATCATAGTTGCCACGACTGCTCCTCCACCGTGCGTGTGAGGCGGTGTCGCCGCGTTGACGGGTGCTGTCACCATGAGACCTAAGTAATAGTGGTTGGGAATATTGGACGGGGATTCCTGGAATGCTGGTGCGACGGTGGCTTGTGGTCTCCTGCGATGAAGGTGGGTTCATGTGAGCCCCTAGTTAACTCTCGTCACGCCGATGGGCAACGTACCCGTCCACTGTCCACTTGCCATCCTTCTTGACGACGTTTTGGTCTTGCCAGCGAATATCAGTAGGGGATGCCATGGTACGCGTACTGGTGAATTATTGTGTTCGCGTCTTAGTCCTGTGACTGGGTTGTGGTTCTAAGTACTTTTGCCAAATCGAAGTTTCAAGAAAACGTATTATCCGAGGCAAAAGTCAACGAGCACAGCTTTATGTGAATCGCGCTCAAGGAATGCCTTCGGTTTAGACTATAGTTCCGATGTACTCCTTTGCCACTCTCAGGTACCAGCCCTTCAATGTTTGTCAGCGGTACCTCTTGAGTTCTGGCCTGTCAGGATCTTCTACCCGCCGATCGCCATGCTTGGTGAACCTGGACAAGATGTGAAGTGTTTCAGGAAATGCCGGAAGTAGCCAGGTTTCCCCGAAAAGAAAGGACCAACCTTTGACCGTGATTGAATCATAATCCTTGTATTCGGAATTACCGGGGCGGCTCGGGCATCCTGCTCCAATTGGAGAGGAGCACGGATAGCCTACTCGCGCCCTCCCAGATGTGCTCCGTCTTGGCGATCAAGGGTTTTGCTAAGCATCATGTGATCGCTACCTGGTGCAAGTACAATGAAATGAGCCTTGGGATTCCCACGTCGATGTTTTTCGTTAATAATGAGGGCGGAAATAATTGCGCTATCAAGCCAGGTTATATATGGCATTTAGCATTTTGAGGTAGTATGTAGACGGAAGCTTAGTCCATCTTGATTTCGATCGCTAACCGAGAAGGACCGAGCTTTCAACATGCAAGCCGTTCGGGTTCATCCAAATCATTCAGATCCGTCAGCACCATTCTCCGCAGCAAACCCTGCCCCTGTGTCAGCCATTCACATCGACATTGGTATCCCTATACCTCAGGCAGCTAGGCCAGGAGAATTGCTTATCCGCGTCCGAGCAACGACAGTCATTCGAGATGCCTTAACCTGGCCTGAGACGTACTCGAAAGAGTACACAATTTTGGGCCACGATTTTTCGGGGACGGTAATGTCAGTCTATGACGAAAGGGAAGATTCGCCATTCAAGCCAGGGGACGAGGTCTATGGAATGGCACATGCAGATCGTGGAGGAACTTGGGCCGAGTATGTTGTAGTGAAGGTGAACGAAGCGTGCTTGAAACCCAAGCGCCTTACCTGGGCTGAAGCGGCCGCCGTGCCTCTATCTGGGCTTACAGCATATCAGGCACTTTTCGAGAAGGCAGAAGTGCGGCCATTGGATTTGGCGAATCCTGGCAAGTTATCATTGTCACAAGTGAAGGGCCACGAGACAGAGCAATGCCGTCTCCTAGTGACCGGGGCAGCTGGCGGCGTAGGCACCTATTTAGTTCAGCTTGGCAGACTTGCCGGGCTGTACGTGGTAGCCGCAACGAGTTCCAACTGCCGCAACAAAAAGTTCCTCGAAAGTCTCGGCGCGTCTGAGACAGTTGAATACGCAGATTTGCAAAAGATTACCGCGACCTATAGCATCATTATCGACACTGTTGGAGGACACGTTCTGGAATCCTGTTGGGAACTTGTAAAGGACGGCGGGAAGCTTATTTCTATCGACAGTGCAAGTTACAACTTTGTGGAGCTGCATCGGAAGTCAGGTCTGAGTCAGCAGAAGACGAGTGTCAAGGCCTTGTTCTTCATCGTCACTCCATCGCGGGAAGGCTTGGAACAGCTTTCGATAGCTCTAGGGTCGGGTCTGCTGACACCGTTCGTAAGCAACGAGCTGGCATTGGCCGACGCAAGGCTGGCCTACCAGCAGTCAGTAGAGCAGTCCACTGGGCGAGGAAAGATCGTTCTGATTCCTTGACGAGGAAAGATAACGTGAAGCACAGGCCATGCCGACTGTCTCACTGCTGCGCACCTCAGTTCGGATTGGCAGAGTAAAGATAACGAGGATGCGCATGGGCTACAAGTTTGTTACTCTTATCAGTGGGGAGCAAGGATGAGGACAATGTATGGGATGGAGGCGGGCTGTGAATGCTGATGGAATTCTCGTATGTGCAGACAGAGCATCTCGATCATCCTACGACGCTGGGTTGTAGAAGGAAATACGGCTTGCTAGAGACGAGACGCCTCGAGTGCATCGTGCAGTATTTTCATACCGCCTACAAATCAAAACCTGCAATCACCTTATCGTTAGCTGACCGAGTCTAACATTCCCAGGACTGGCGAGTTCATCAGAGTCAATATTAGCATATACTGTTGATTATGATTTACTCTCTGGCTCTTCCCGGTCGTGAATACCTTACTGTAAGGCATACGAAAGATTAGTAAGGCGTTGAAGACGCCTATGAGAATTTCTTAGTGGCTGTAAATAACGATTCTGGTTCTGAAAATTCCCGGAATAGTACGAAATATACGCGGCCGATTGACATGTAGGTAGAATTCTCGTCCTCTCGACAGCTCTGACTTAATTCAGATTCTTCTGTAGGAGGAGGATGGGGCTCTCTCCCTTTGACCTCCGCTTGCCAGGATTGTTTCAAGGAACTATCAGTCGTCGGACGCAGAGCCGCAAGCCGAGATGCACGACCAATGTAATCCGAAAGCCTAAGTGGGGTGTCTGTTGACCCAGCCGGTGTTCAACGCCGCTGAGATGGCTGGGATGGGGGAGGCTACGCAAGACGAAGGAGACCTGTCAGCATCTAACCTGATGGTCATTGGAGAGAGGAAGCCTTAGACCCTTTGAGATGCCGCTTGCGCCATGACTCAGTCTTTCGAACTCAGCATAGAACATTTTGACGCTGGAGATTTAACCTACTCCGTACAATTACCATGATGGCATTCAGTCATTTATGAAGGCCACTAGAAGAGAATTTTCTAAAAGGTGCGCTTGTAAGTGCATGAAAATTGCCCTAGATTTTATTTTGTAATCCCAAGTACCTCGAGGGCCTCAGAAAGCCTCCGATTTATCAATCTCCAAGGGCTGCCCTGCCTCTTCCATCTATTGTCAGTATTCCGTACATGGTATCGTAGCAGAAGAAAGGTCTACTACTAATCATTCTCCACAGATCTACACTTGCGGGCCTCCCCATGCACCATTCACGGAGTTTAAGTTGTGATCCCTCCTTGATCCCTCACTTATTCCCCCGCAATATGTTCTCGGCAGATGTCCACTCCAGCGTCAAAGTGCCTTCTACTCCTCACAGGAGATCTACGGCAATCCCCGATATCTCTTCAGTCCCTTTGCCGAAGATTGCCCCTGTCAATTGAAGTTTCGTGGAATACGCTCTTAGCAGAAGAAACGCTAAGCTCAGCCAACCCTTTTTCCCTTCGGTGCACATCTTACCAGGTTGAAGAGGAATAACCTTTGTACAATGTAGGACAGGGCCATAAATCTTGAGGGCTATATTTATCCGTTGAGCGACGAACCCCTCCCTGAATCATGGCGTGGGACTGAGAACGACCCCCGCGATATACTTAGGGTCAGTTATCGCTTCCGCACCTCATTTTCGACTAGAGGAAGAGCGGCTGCACATGTTTTAGAAGCTATAGTCCCACCATTCCTTCTCGGTGCTGTTGTTCAGTACAGCCTATTCTAGGGTGTCCCTCTACACAGTCCCTCTACAAAGGGACTGACAAGCGACGACTCGAGGTGACTCACACCAACTCCGGCTACAGCGGCAAGGATATCCTACATGTTTCTGGATTCAAGATGCCTGAAATGATCCCTATGTATGTTTATGAAAATATTGAAGGTAAGATGACTCACCGGTTGCGTCCTCTGCATCGGTACGAAGATAATATGCAGTGGTAATCAGTGGGATCCGAGGCAATGAAGCCTTGTTGTTGCTGTTTCGTATTCGCCAGCTTCATCCACACACCCATAACCCACACAACTTCTCCCTGCTCAAGCGCCTCATTGTGTCTAAAAAGACCTTGGATGGTGCCTGAACAAGAACTGAATCAGGAGCAATATCCATAGGGTTTACACTGTCAGTTTTGAAGAAAAGTCTTATCCACAATGCCCTTGGTCGACCTCAATCCCCAGTGTTCAGGCGATGCCCAGCCAAAACCTTCCAACATATCAATCAATCTTTTCCATGGTGGTGCTGTTTTCCATCGCGTGTACAAGGCAGTCATACCATTGCCCACCCCTTATTAGCATGGCATATATGCACCTGATCTGCTAGGGCGTCGTCATTCGGGGCGCCTCCCCCTTCTCAAGGTCGACCGAATTCTTGCTGAGAGCGATTAAGAGCTAAAAGCTGCGAGCTAAAAGCTGCGACTGAAACGAGGATTGCTTGGTGGGCATAGCACTCGGAGGACAATATGTGCTTAATGTGCCCTGAAACGACAAGTCAGGACTTGTCGACTGTGCCATTGTTGTCAGTTCTACAAATTAGCCGCCCGTCCAAGTTGCTAAATTGAAATTCCCCACACGGCGCCAAAAAAAAACAAAAGAATGGCTAGGCCTCATAATGGAAGACGTGGGTAAGATACGTACGGAACACTTGCCACAGATCCAGACCGAAAGCTTCAGATTCAAATTTGAGGGATGTCACGGACTTCCACCTGTCTTGGTCATTTTGGGAGGCGGGCATGTCGCCATGACTTGAAGCTGGAGCTGGGCCACATGTAACACGACCATCCCATTGATATTCCCGACAGGTTCGCAGTGGTGGTTGAAGGCGTGGACCGAGTGTATGTTGGAATAAGAGGAGCCCTCACTAGCCCCGGTACCTACGCTGGGTCATGGAGCCTGGATTTCCAAGACCTCTTTTGCAATTTCCTACGCTCCCTCTACTATTTTTGTGAGAGAACAACGAAAAAAGTTCTACCCTGTCAGACAGTGCCCCAACAGTGGATCAAGAGATTCGCAGTGATTTGAATCGAGGTTCGTGGCCCAGTTCAATGTGCCCCCAAGCCTTGGGGTCTTCGCGACATGGAGAGTTCTCAGCCATAAATACATAGCATCAGATGTGATAAGCCACGACGTCATCGGCGCTGGGCATCCTTTCTCAACGGAGCCACGACTGGCGACTAGCAAGGAATGCTAGTAACCAAGCAGAATCCATTCCCCGGTAAACAACACTTGTCCATGAGTTGCATGGTGAATGAGAGGTTGGAAGATACCGACAGTATAGTGTGATTGCGAACATCGCCGCTAGAACAGGCACCAAGCAAGGAGCAACAAAGTTGGAAGCTTGAATAATTCACTACCATCACCTTCGCTTGAACACTTAGTCACCAGTAGATCACGGGACATCATCGGAGCGGCACATAGTGCTTCATTCGGAAAGTCTCTAAAATGTGGATCCCGGCGAGAGTGACAAAATATAGAAATGATAGACTCCATACCAAATCTTAGCGTCACCCCGGGCCTTGGGCCCTGAGACCGCATGCCCAAATCTGCCGAAACCGGGTACGAGGGTCGTACGGAGGTACTTGTGTCATATAGTAGCATCTCATGCATACTTGGCAATGGGGCGGCTCAACAACTTGGCTGTCGTCACAATCCCGACAAGATTACAAGGCTTCCGTCAAAACACCAAAAACCGTGGTGTGTCAAAGCGCTGCGTAGTACTGGATCCAGCCTAGCGTATGAGCATCAATCAACATCTCACAATCGGAGCAGAACACTTTCCTTGCTGAATTTACCTACGTAGCTATTCAGTATCCACCCCTATGCTTCAGCCATTCCTACAGATCATATACCGCAAGAGCTTAACAGACCACGAAGCATATTACGCTATCATCGGGGCTTTAGCCTTTCAGAGCCATCTTGGAATGAGGACGTTGGTTTTGTATTGGTCCGTCTACGTCACATCTGTTTAGCCTGCAAGCTTGGAGCTCGATCTCGGAGGCTTAGCAAATACGTTTTCCATCAGTATATATAGAGGAGGTCAAGCCGTCCAAGATCTTGCAATGAACCCTAAATCCCCAATACACATTCTAGCTTCTCCCCTTGATTATGCTCTACTCACAATATGTACTTCCCCTCCTTTGCCTCCATGGCACCTTGGCCGCTGCAGAGTTTCTAATAGGGACGTATCCTCCCCCCCTCGACCTAAGCAGTAACAAAAGTCTGATCTCTCAGAGTTGGAAAAACCTGAGTGCCAACTTCGACGCATATCTCAAAGAGAAGAAGACCGCCGGCCTCGAGGCTTTCGCCGGCGTTGAGAATGTCACTTTCTCTCTTGGCTTGTTTTCACTACATGACCCCACCGCCAGCAAGCTCCAATACCACTATGCTTCCCCAGAGACAGTCAACGCCGTCAACGGCACCAATGAAGTCGACGGAGACAGCATCTACCGAATGGCCAGTGTCACCAAGCTCATCACAGTCTTCGCCGGGATGCTCGAGATGAGTGAAGCCCAATGGAACACCCCTCTGAGTGAGGTTTTCCCTGAACTTGGAGAGTTTGCTCGCGCCAACGAAGGCAAAGCAGACCCTATTGCAACAATTCGGTGGGACGAAGTCACTGCCTGGTCTCTTGCCAATCAACAGTCAGGTTTTCCAGCCGGAGGGATTGCGGGGCTCGACCTGCTTGGGCTTGGTATCCAGGCAGGAACGCCTAATGCCTTACCAGATGCCTATGGGTTCAAACCGACCGACATCAGTACACTGGGCCCATGCTGGACGAGTTCAGATACAAGCGGATGTACTGTCGAGGAACTTCTCAAAGAGGCAAGTTCTTTGCCGCCGAGCTTCCTCCCTTGGACGAGCCCCAGTTACACCAATACTGGATTCATGATGCTTGGGATAGCAATATCTGGCATATTGGGCAAGCCTATCGACGACATTTACATCAACTCGGTCTTCCAACCCCTGGGAATGACCTCCTCACGATCGAGCAATATTCCGCCGGCTAATCAAGACGAGATCGACCGTTCTGTGGTTGTTGGTGATCCCACTCTCTGGTTTACCCCTGGGGGGCCTACCACTCCTTCCGGTGGCCTGCTAAGCACCATCAATGATCTTTCCAGGTTCGGCGTCAACCTCCTCAACTCAACCCTCTTGCCCCAAGCAGCGACACACAAATGGATGAAACCCACCACGTTCACACCCAGTCTCAACTACGCCGTCGGCGCTCCGTGGGAGATCTACCGCTACATCCATCCATCGACAGGAAAGATCACGGATCTTTACACCAAGCTTGGCGACTCTGGACCATACGGTGGGCTCCTCGCCCTGATTCCCGAATACAACGCCGGGTTTTCGATGCTCAACGGCGCCGCCAACGAAACACTACGAAGCTCTGCCTCACTCGTCGTCCTCGACGCTGTCGCTGAAGTGATCCTCCCGGCCCTCGAAGCACAAGCGGCGGCCGAAGCAGCCCGCAACTTCGTCGGCACCTACGTTTCGACCGATCCCCAAATCAACTCCTCCGTGACCGTGTCCTTCAACAAATCCACCGTGGCAGGCAGCATGTCGGGGCTGAGCCTCTCGGGCTGGACCTCCAACAGCACCGACTCTCTGGCGTTCTTCGGTCCCGAGGTTGTCCCAAGACTTCTACCAACAATCCCCCATTATTCCGAAGACGGTCCCGGCCAAATCGCTTTGAAAGCCTCGACAAACCCCCAGCTGAGCACGTACGCGGCGGCAATCGAGCAGGGCATCGGGCCCTTCACAGGCTTCTACTCCACTAACGGAGACTGGCTTACGGGCGATTCCATCGGGACCTATTATAGTGGCCGTCCGGTGACCAGATTCGTCTTCGACGTCGATGCAGACGGTAAAGCCATCGCCGTGACACCCGGGGCCACTGAGATGAAGCTGGAGAGGAAGGCAGACAAGTGAGCGAGTTTCCCCCCCGGGCGGCAAAACATTGGGTGAGCATCTAGGGAGAATCGGGGAGGATCTGCATTGGAAATATTGCCTTGTCCAGAGTGCGCTGTATATAAACATATAGCTTGGCTTCGCCCAGAGTCTGTACTATAGATACTAATTAATCATATCTCAATTAACTGTACCTTGTCTCCTGACAAGTAATCCTCAAATCACTGGTACCATTTCCATTCTCTTTTCTGAACACAGCAACGTGCTCAGCTGAGATGATCTGCGTGAGAACCCGGTTGCCCGGCCGACTCTCTTTGACGCGTCTCTTTCGAGCCCCGCATGATGCCCTCAGGCCACGAGAGAGGTGTGGGCTTCCATGATCTTCTGGCGCCTTTTACGTCAGAATAAGCATTTGCCCATGACGATATGCTCCCTCCAGAGACAGAAGTTCAAGTGTCCTCTACTTGTATTAACCACACAGTCTATGGCTGACTGAGATGCCCCTCAGGTGTCCTTAGCTTGGGCGGGAATGTTCTTGCATCCTGAGGCTCTAGGATTTTGTTGGTTTCTCCTTTCCTTTTGCTGCTTCCCAAAGAGGAGCAAATATCTGATGGCTTGTCCCCAGCAAAGCAGACAAGGCTTTCTTGAGGCATCGTCACACGATCATGCCCATCCTGCCTCCATCGTCTTGCATATCGATGGCCCTATCCCGAACTCGCGATACTGAATGCTTGCCACCAACCGTTCTCCAGATGCCTTGGCCAACACAACTAGAATTTGATGTCTTCTCTTCAGAGAACTTTGACAAAATAACGAGGTTTTGGCTGCCAATTGACAGTGTTTATTCGATCGATTGTCCATTTGACCCGATCAGGCGTAGGCGAGCAGCATAAACGTTCTCGTTGGTGTCATGTCCTTGGTGATGCCAGATTCTGGTTCCCAGCATGGTTCCAGGTTTGCAATGTCATCATACATTACTTCTGGAGCACATCTGTCTGTCTTTCAAGGTTGTCGCATGTTGTAGAACGAATGTAGCCTCACGACTTGACCTTTGTTGCTGGCTTTTTGGCAAAAAAATCACTCATCTTTTTCATTCCAGTAACGTTAACCTTCTTCAAGTCTCTGACTCCCCGTGACTCGCCCGCTTTCCTTTTGCGATCTTCCTCATCCTGCTTCCTCTTTTTCTCTTCTCGCAGGTCTGTTGCCTCCTCCTCCTCAAGACCGCGTTTTCTGCTGAAGTCGCCGATTGATCTCGATGCATTTGCATCCGCCTTCATCTTAGCAATGGTCTTGAGATGCTCCCTCAGAGGTGTGAAATTTACAGGGGAGTTCTCAGCAGCAACTCGAGCTTGTAGACGCTCTGCTACCACGGGAGGGACATATGACACGAGGATGTACTCAAGGACAATATTCTGTTGCTGGAGGTCTTGCATCTTGCCAGGTATATTGTCTGGAGCAACACTCGTCATTGAACTGCCTGCAGAGAGCTCCGAGAAGACCACAGATGGTGCTGAGCTAGTGGCAGATGACTGCGAGTCCAAATTTTCGGGAGGAGTGTCACAATTGTCTTGGAACGAGACTACTAAACTTGTAGAAATCGAACTGTTTTCTCGCCTGACACTTAGCACAGGCAGTTCTAGCTTCCTCTTTACAAACCTCTCATCAAGGCTTGCCGGTAAGCCAGCACAAATTGCCGCGTTTACCTTTTGCATAACCATCCGCAAGGTTTTCTCCTCGCTGGGTCTGTATAAATGTTCATCCCCGGCCTCAATGCTGTCGCAGAATCTCAACATTGCTTGCTCAAGAAAGCGTCGCCCATGGTTGAAGAGATATCTCAAATGCTTATCTTCATGTATGTAGTCTTCGAGGATATCGTCAATTGGTTGGAAAAGCGCCTTGGAGGATTTAAAAGTCTTAGGCAAGATCAAGGCAAGGAGAAGGAATGCGACATCGAATGTGGTTGCGATGAAAAAGTCGGGACGCTTGCTGATGTAGCCATTGCTGATGGTTCCGCCTTCTTTACAACCTTCCGCGTTGTCATTCACTTCTGCTGAGGCATAAGACTCGGATTTCGAAAAGAGAAGGCTGCGCGGATCATCCGCTGGGGCGTTGACTTTGGTGAATTCGAAAAGTCCTTTCTCTGGGCAAAACAAGAAACGCTGTGGCGCGGAGGATCGTGGATGCTTAAGCAACAGGAACCGGGCGTTGCTGGACAATTCTTTGGGCAATATGAAGTGCTTGAGGGGCTCGCGTTGCTGCTTGACTTGTGGTTGGGAGGGTTTCTGCGCAGCCTTTTTCACCGGGCTGGTCGAATTCGACCTGGTCAAAGGTGCCATTTTTGGAAAAAGAGACGTCTATCTGTATGCTCAAGGAAAACATGTAGAACCAGTACATCAGTCCTCTCCAAAAGGCACGCTCGTAGTCTGCAAGTTTGTACGAAAGTTGCAGGGATTAATTGTGCGGGGAGACGCGTTGTTTCGCCGACGCGTTTTGAGCCCAAAGCGCGTTTTAGGAACCCACCAGCCACCATCGTCACCACCAATTGGCAAATATGCATCATTGGCAAACAATTAGCACTTGATCCGAGTCGAACATCGACGGATTTCGATTAACCCTTTACTAGCATGCAATTCGCCGCAGCTTGGATATCCAACGGCTTTACGATACTCTCTTGATGATCATTCTATCAACAAAGCGCAGGCGCTATTCCGCCCCAATACTTTTACATAAAGGAGTCTACCGACACGGACACCAACTCCCACTCATCACTTGCGACAGATACTCGCATCCGTCATGGCCCATGAGGCCTCATGGCCGCCTCACTCCCCGCACGCTGCTCTCCTCAGCTCACCCAGTGGCCGCAAGAAGTACGAAGCAATGCGGACCTCGCCCACGAAAAGATCAAATACCACTCCCAACCTGCTCGACCGCGTTCGTGCAGCTCGCGGCGAAAGGAACTCCGAGGTGAACGACGACGACGGCGACGGCGACGACTATGATGTCGAAGATGACGAAGAGATACTGCAGCTGAAATTGGCAGCGATAGAGGCCAAGCTGAAATTGAGAAAATTACAACAGAGCAAGAGTCGAGCGCAAACACCAGCCAGGCCACTCTCACGTCCTGGTTCCTCGCATGGGCCCTCCTTGTCGAACGTAAATGCAGGCCAATGGCATGAGAAGCCGACCGACAGCCTCACTTCTATCGAAGTCCCCCTGTCTCCTGTCAGACGGTTGCAACCGGCAACACAGCAAAAGTCCCCGTCAAGGGTTTTACTCGGAATCGACAAAGGGGTTCGCGCGGTTGATGTATCATTAAAAAGGGCGAACACCACAAGCGGTGCCAGGCACAGACCCAGGGCGACTCTAACTTCAAGTAACGATAGACCTTCACGCTCATCTGCTTTCAATTCATCGCGTTCTACCACTTCGGCTAAATCAGCCAGTGAAGTAGAGAGAAGAAAGCCCTTCAGCGAACGTATGGCAGAAGCTCGCAAGAGCGAAACTGATCTCTCTTCTCGGCGAGAAGCTATTGCCCGGAACCGCAGCAAAGGATTCGTCATCGATCACGCTGAGCTTGAAACGTATCGCTCAGCCTCAGAGCAGTCTGCTGTTCTTGATGCCCAAAGGTCCCCCACACGTTTAAGTCAATACGTAGAGTACTCTCGAGAGGAGGTTCTCCATGTTGTAGGACAGCCAAGTTCTGGCGACAGAACTCTCAAGAAGAGCCGGACAATGCCAAATCTACGAGAAACACCGTCTCGACCAACATCGGTGGATTCGGGGAGTCCTAGCGCTCAAGGAGGAGACCCTTCACTGTACGAAGGCTTCTCACAATTGCACCTGTCTTCCCGAATCCTGCCTCATTCATTCCTGAAGCGCACATTGCCTGCAGACCGATTCTCAACCTACCGGATCCCAGACCTCTTGAGAGAAATCAAAGCTCCAGGGTACGAACTACCCGAAGAAGTCTGCGATTACGTGATTTTTGGGATCATTGCCTCGAAATCCGGGGCCATGGACCATAAACAGCCTGCCACGGACGACAAGACAGTCAGCACTAAAGACTGGCAACGGAAGTGGGAGGATGGATCCCAGAATCATCGGAGGTTCATGGCTATCACATTGACTGATCTGGCATGGTCCGTCGACCTCTATCTTTTCGGCAATGCTCTACCTCGCTACCATCGCCTCAGCCCCGGAACAGTCGTAGCAATATTGAACCCAGGCATCATGCCCCCGAAGCCAGGCAGGGAAGAAACTGGTGCTTTCAGCCTTTCCTTAAGCGGAGGTGACGACACTGTTCTCGAAATCGGTACATCACGGGACTTGGGATTCTGCAAAACCCCGAAGAAAGACGGCAAAGAATGCGGAAGCTGGGTCGATGCTTCAAAGACCTCTATCTGTGAATGGCACCTAAATGCCGAGCTGACGAAGGCCCAATCAAGCCGCATGGGAGTCAACACCGGCTCGAACGGGTTTGGAGCCAACGGTCTCGGAGTAGGTGGTAGAAGTCACTTCGAAAGGGGACGAAATGGCCGTGGCGGAGAAAGAGGCCTCAAAAGCGAGGGCCAACAGTACGATCGCCGGACCCAGAGCAATTTCTATATCTCCAGATCAAACACCACTGGTTCGAAGCCCGGACCCAATGATGCTCGCTTCACGCAGTCAAATCCATTCGGCGGTCAAGATCACCTAGACCGCAACAAGGACGAGCGAATCCGCAGGCGCTTTGCAGCCCAGGAGAAAGAGCGCGAGATCGCAGAGAAACTCGGCGGCCTGGGTGGTAACATGGGCTTCGGCGGTGCTGGTGCAGAGTATCTCCGCCAGACGGCTCAGAATTCCGCGCAAGAATTAAGCAAAGACAACAGGAAGAAGACTAGACCAGGTCACCCTACCTACTCGAACCACGGCTCCACTGCTACCACCTCCCAGTCTGGAGATCCGGATAAAGCAACCCAACGTTCAGCTCTCGCAACGCGCTCGAACCTGCTGTACGTACCAGGCTCGAATTCTAACGGAAAGCGGAGGGCAGAGAACGTGCGTCTTTCGCCAGTCAAGAAGACGCGCTTCGTTACGGAGAAGGGGATCCGCGAGGCAGGCAGGGATAGCCTAGGCGGCGCCTCTAATCTTGGAGGTGGAGGGGCGGACAGTGACGATGACTTGGAGATTGTCTGAATGATGTGGTATGATGGTTAGCTCACGTAGGTGTTTTGGGATCAGGATGATGCGTATGAATCGCGACAGCTAGGATGCGGCAAGCGTTAACATACTCTCTACGACGCAACACTGAGGTTCAGCGTGGGAATGCCGCCAAAAGCTGGCCTTTGCTCTCTGTATCCCGTACTGCATCACGAGGCACCTGTTATTACGAAGTGACGATCAGTATGTGGTAATGAAAGCTGTATGTACGAAAATACGATTTTTAGTGGACATCTCTTTGGTTCTGGTTCTGGTTTAAATTGAGGTACATATGTATAAGGGCAATTTAGCCTTTTTCATGGTCAGGATGGAATTTTGCCCAAGGGAAGTGTGCCATTGCAGTCTGATTTGCAGTATTGTGACTATTTGCTTCTGTGGAAGCAGTCGGCACGGAAAGTTGGATAGACATTTGATGCTCCGGCTCCAGGGTTTTGTGTCACAAAAATAAGCCATCCCATGTACTCTAGTTAAAAGGTCAAAGTCTCCATCCACCTTCCTGAGGCAAACGGAGGAAGGTCAACATATCGCCTGATATTTAGTACGTGAAGTGTGGCAATGATGTTCGACAGCTCTTCTACCATCTCTTGCTTTGCCGCCTTGAAATGAAAGCCTGATCATGATGGCCAGAGGTCACTGAGGCTTTGATACATTTTCGCGGACCCCCTGTAGGAAGCTGGATACTCCCAACTCTCTAGGTAGATGTTGGAAATGCTCCTGTGTTTAAAGAAACTGGAGACTGCTGACTCTTAGGCGGTGTGCTTGGACCACCTGCGCTTGTAGCAAGACTTGTTCTGCTCTGGATTGACACAATTATCTATTCCACAGCCTCATTCATTTCGGCGAACAAGGCCTTGATGGAAGAAAAAGGTCACCAGTAGAGCAGACACCGCTAGCCTAGTGACTTCGGTCTGTGTAGCTACTTGAGAGGTGAGAGCGCGTGGCTGAGTTACGCTCGTCGTTAGCTAGGACTGTCCCTTGATCACGCACATGAGAAGAGACGGAGCTCAAGTCTTGGAAAAGTAATTGGCGATCGTGTTCTTCTGAGGGATTTTCTCTACAGTTTTGAGCTTCTTGGCCTTTGGTGACTGATCGTTGTCGGCTGTCACCGGCTTCTCGCCAACCTTCAGCAGTTTCATGAGTTCTTCGAATGGTTCCACAGGTACAGCGCCCCCGCTGGCTTCTTTGTGTCCGCGGGCAAAGCTTTCGCCGAGCCTATCTCTTAGCCCATCAGTCGAGAGGTCAGCTGCAGCTTTCAAACTCTCGATAATATTCACTGGCGGCTCTCTTGACCTTGCGCATCGTGCGATTCGACACGAGAAGTTGACCATACCCGGCAAATATCCTGAATTGGCGCAGACAACAATCTCGAGTGCTTTGGAATTCAGGTAGCCTGCCCATCGGGTTGCAATAACTGGATGGACCTGTGCGGCGGTGTTGATACGTAGGACAGCAATTCTCCCGTCTGCACTGAACTTAGGGGGCGTGTGGGTGTTGAGTTCGACTTCGTTGTTAATCTCCGCACGAGCACTTTGCAGTCTGCCGTTGCTGAGTAGCGTTTTTGGGTCAGTGGAACTCAGTAGGGCATTCCACGCAGTGATAACATCATATTTCGCGGTCCGACGCGGTGCATTGATGAGTGAGACAGCATCGTTAATTGCTTTCTTGGTATGTGCTTTGAATGTCTCTGTCATGTCTGGGAATGGGGGATTCCACTTCAACGTATTACCAAGATCACCATGTGTGCCAATGCAAGCAAGGTAGGCACAATCAGCACCCAAGTCCTTCGAAAGAGACTTACAGATTTCGTAGGTCAACAAAGAGCTTGTGGAAACAGGCGGATAGTGGCAAGCTGAGACGACTAGCGCATTGTCGGGAAACGCATCACTCAAATGGTGGTCAACGATGAGAGTTTTCGCGGAGGGAGAGTCAATCAGCGGTGGTGCAGACACTGAACCCTGATCAAGCACAATAATGTATGCTGGAGCTTTCGCAGCCATAGCCTCTCGCTCAGATTTGAGATGGATGTTTGCCCCCTTCTCGATCAGATGCACCTCAATCAGGGAAGAATCTAACCCTAGCTCAACCAGTGTTCGATAGATTATCACACCGGATGAAAGGCCATCTGCATCTTTGTCGGGAGCAATAAGAGTCTTCTTGCCACTTGCCGCACTAGATGGATCAGTTTTATTATCACGCATGAGCCTGGTAGGGTTGAATACCAATCTTTCAGAAACGATCGAGCTGCTTCGATTGCTGACTCGGGGGCGGGCCAGATGATATTGCCCGCTCCATCTCTCCTTGGTTCAACATCGCAATAATCTGGTAGTTTGTCTCGCGGCTTGGGCTTACTCGTCCGCTTCATGCCTCTCCCAATGGTGATTCCGTGGAATTGAAAAGGAGGCTGAGAAGCTAACTTCTGCGCGGAAACGCATGTATTCGGGTTCCAAGTCGATGCTAGAGAATGGAACCTCACCTCGAATCGTGCTAGTAGTCTAACCACAGAAGCAGTTGCGATCATACTACGGTGGTAGCCACCGTTGGAATTCCAAAAGTGATCTTGATGATTTGGAGGCCTGAGGATCCGATCGAATGCACAAACCTCGCGCATCATGCCCCGTCGTCATCGAGCAGGCAAATCCTCGTCAGACAGAGCCCTATTCCTTCGATCCACATTCTTTGAACGTGTGTTTAGCATGAGAATAATGAATATCGGCGGTCATTTCAATCATTCCTGCCCCCGCATGTTTCATGATCCCAATCAGCATCTAGCAAGGCAGCAACCTCAACTACATATATCCTCGGGCCACACCGGGCCATGATGAGAATTGCTGTTTGTAAGCCTGCTTTTCACTTGACACGATTTGCGACTGCTTATTGAACACTTGATTTCTATACTACCATGATGCTGCAGTCGAGCATGTCGCTGCAGTGATGGGGCCACTCAATATATTGCGCGGGTGGGTCAGTCTTGTTCTTCTTTTCGCACTTCAGGTTGCGCAATCAGCATCGGAACCATGTCCAGCAAGACCTATTACGCACTGGCCAAGTAGCTATGCAGCATTGGGCGACTCTTATGCCGCTGGAGCGGGTGCAGGCTCGCCGATTGTGTTTAGCTGTGGTCGATTCTCAGAAGCCTATCCGGTCCAGATCGCTCATAGCAAGCACTTGAACATATCTGATGCCAATATCCACTACCTGGCATGTGGAGGGAGCGACAGTCGCAGTGTATTGATTCACCAAGTGCCCTTTATCGAGAAGTCTGATGTTATCACGATGACGGTCGGAGGCAATGAAGTCCACTTCTTTTCAGTACTGAATGCCTGCGTCTATCAGTGGTTGCCAATCTCATCGTGTGAGAAAGAACTTGCAGAATCAAGAGCTCTTATTGAATCGCGGAGCCTCATCCGCAAAATTGATGCAGTGATTTCCGAATCAGTGAAAAGGAAGCGCTCTGATGCACTGCTTTTGGTCACGGGTTATGCAAGGTTCTTCAACGAACGTACTGATCTCTGTGACCATGTAACCTTTAGCAGGACAAGACCATTAGATTATCTTACCAAGGACAAAAGGAGAGCTCTGAATCAATTAGTTAGTCTGCTGAATGATGTGGTTCGAGCGTCAGCGGACATTCATGGGGCAAAGTATGTTGATATCGATGGCATCTATGAAGGTCATCGGTTTTGTGAGGAGGGCGTGCACGAACCAGATATTGGACGAGACGACACATGGTTTTTCAACCTCCCTGCGGCGGGCTTCCAGACAGACAAGCAAAATGAAGGCCTTAAGCTACCAATTGTCATTGAGGCAGATTCGGACAGCCAACAGCGGTTCATAATACGCAAGCTGCAGTGGTCGACTTCTGATGACGACGAAATCGACGGCACTCTAGGTTTTCCAGACTTGGAAACAGCAAGAACGTTCCATCCTACTAAATTCGGCCATGTAGCGATTGCGGATGCCATTGTTCAAGAGATAATGCAGGGCAAGTGATCTTATAGGCAAGGCTGAGAGGTGCGATATGGCCACAAGGTGCAACCAATTCACTTACGTTGGAGCAAAAGTAAAGTCGAGGCAATCGCCAGATAGAGCCATGTTGTTGTAGTAGCTAGGAGATCCTGAAGATGGCCATATGGATGCCTCTAAGAGATTCACCTTCACGGTTTGAATTTCTTCAGATACGGAGTGCACTATTACACAGTCAAAGGCGGCGAGTTGGTGAGGCAGTGAATTTGTTGTGTTGTTGCCAAAAGCGGCGTCAGGCCAGTAGCCCGCCACGTCGCAAAGCCTTGGCGCGTACCGCGTTGGGTCGAGTGTTATCTTTTCTCCACCTGCGCCACTGTTTTTGTTTACCTTCTCCCAACACCGTCTTCAATCATGGCGGAGAAGCCAAAGAAACGTGTGTCTGAACTCTATCAGAAATTGACTCAGTTAGAGCATATTATCAAGCGACCAGACACCTACATTGGCTCCGTTGAGCGCACCGAGAAACAACTATGGGTCTACAATACCGAGAAGGAGTGCATGGAATACCGGGAGGTTTCCTTTGTCCCCGGTATTTTCAAAATCTTCGATGAGATCCTGGTCAATGCTGCCGACAACAAGCAAAATGACAAGAACATGGATGAGCTCAAGGTCACCATTGACCGCGAGAAAGGCGAGATCAGTGTCTGGAACAACGGTCGCGGCATCCCCATTGAGATCCATTCCAAGGAGAAAATCTATATCCCTGAAATGATTTTCGGCCACCTCCTCACTGGTTCCAACTACGATGACGATCAAGCAAAGATTACTGGTGGTCGCAACGGATACGGCGCAAAACTCTGCAACATCTTCAGTACGGAGTTCACGGTCGAGACTGCGGATGCGAGGCAGAAAAAGAAATACAAGCAAATATGGACCAAAAACATGTCAGAAATGGGCAAGGCGAAAATCACGGACCACAAAGGCGACGACTACACGAAGATCACATTCAGTCCAGATTTCGCCAAGTTTGGAATGACTGGGATTGACGATGACTTGGAAGCGCTCTTCAAACGTCGCGTGTATGATCTCGCTGGCACCTGTAAAGGCGTCGCAGTCAAGCTCAATGGCTCCCGGGTCCCGGCACGGAACTTCAAGAAGTACATCGAGATGTACACCAAAGCCATCAAAAAGGAGAGGGGCGAAGAAGCGGCGAACGACACCTCCGAAATCATCACCGAATCCACTGATCCCCACTGGGAAATCGGGTTTACCGTATCTGACGGCTCCTTTCAACAAGTCTCCTTCGTCAACTCAATAGCTACTACATCTGGAGGTACCCATGTGAACTACATCGCCGATCAAATCGTGACGCGACTCATGGATATTGTAAAGAAGAGAAACAAAGGAGGCGCAACTTTGAAACCAAATCAAATTCGCAACCACATCTTTCTCTTCGTCAATGCATTGGTTGTCAATCCAGCGTTCACATCACAAACCAAAGAGCAGCTTACCACCAAATCATCTCAGTTCGGCAGTAAATGCCAGGTCTCGGAAGAGTTCATGAAGAAGATCGCCAAAACAGAAGTCATCAACAATATTCTTCACTTTGCGCAGCAGAAAGCTGATCAGATCCTCAAGAAGTCTGATGGAAGCAAGCGCAGCCGCATGAACAACCCAAAGTTGACTGATGCCAACAAAGCAGGAACCCGAGAAGGGCACAAGTGTACGTTGATCCTCACCGAGGGAGACTCAGCAAAAGGCCTTGCCATGGCAGGACGGTCAGTCGTCGGTCCTGACTTGTTTGGCGTGTTTCCCCTTCGTGGAAAGCTGTTGAATGTTCGCGATGCATCCGTGGACCAAATCTCGAAGAATGCCGAAATTCAAAATATTAAGAACTTCCTTGGTCTTCAACACAAGAAGGTTTATACTGATACCCATGGTCTCCGCTATGGATCTTTGATGATTATGACGGATCAGGATCATGATGGCAGCCATATCAAAGGCTTATTGATCAACTTCTTACAAGTCCAGTTTCCAAGTCTACTTAAAATCCCCCATTTCCTGGTGGAATTCATCACACCAATCGTCAAGGTTTGGAAAGGGGATCCCAAGAACCCTTCCCAGTCCCGGTCATTCTACACCATGCCCGAGTATGAAGCATGGAAAGAAGCACACAAGGGCGACAAGTCCTGGGACCACAAGTACTACAAGGGATTGGGTACCAGTACAGCTGAAGATGCCCAACAATACTTCAATGACATTGACAAACATCACAAGGAATTTGAAGTCATGAAGGATGACGAGCCAGCATTGATTGAGTTGGCGTTCTCAAAGAAGAAGGCCGACGAACGAAAGGAGTGGCTCCGCCAGTTTAAGCCAGGCACCTACCTGGACCATACGAGCAAGGAAATATCTTACACCGACTTTGTGAACAGGGAGTTGATTCTTTTCAGTATGGCCGACAATATTCGATCCATTCCTTCTGTGATAGATGGTTTGAAGCCTGGCCAGCGGAAGGTCATGTATGGTTGCTTCAAGCGCAACATCAAGAAAGACATGAAAGTTGCGGAACTTGCAGCACTGGTCTCAGGATTAACAGCATATCATCACGGCGATGTCTCTCTCCAACAGACAATTGTGGGCCTGGCACAGACTTTTGTAGGATCCAACAATGTTAACTTGCTGGAGCCGTCTGGGCAATTTGGTACTCGAAATCAAGGGGGCAATGATAGTGCTAGCTCACGTTACATCTTTACACGCCTATCTGGATTCGCTCGAAAGCTATTCAACCCAGCAGACGAACCTCTTTTGAAGTCTCAGACCGATGACGATAAAGTCATCGAGCCTGAAATCTATGCACCAGTGGTGCCACTGATTCTGATCAACGGTGCAGACGGTATTGGAACCGGTTGGAGCTCTTCGATTCCAAACTACAATCCAATGGATATTGTTGATAACTTGAAACGCAGAATGAAGGGTGAAGAGTGGACACCCATGGTGCCTTGGTTCCGAGGGTTCAAGGGTGAAGTCAAGGCAACTGCTCCCGATCGGTTCCAGTTTAGCGGTATCATTCATCAGACTGGCGACACAGAGGTTGAAATCACCGAATTGCCCATTCGCACCTGGACTCAAGATTTCAAAGACAAGCTCGAAGAAATCATCAAGGCAGAGAAAGTGCCTTCATTCATTAAGGACTACAAAGACTACAATACTCATGATAGCGTCCACTTCGTCATTCAGATGGACGAGAAACACATGAAAAATGCTGTCGATGAAGGACTAGTCGAAAAATTCAAACTCACAAAGTCTGTTGCAACTTCGAACCTGGTGGCATTTGATCCTCAAGGTCGCATCACCAAGTACGCGAATGTGGAAGCGATCCTAGACGAGTTCTACAGTTATCGCCTGCAATTGTATGCCAAGCGAAAGGAATGGCTATTGCAAGACATGCATAGAGTTTTGCGACGCCTAAGCAATCAAGCCAGGTTCATTCAGATGATCATTGACAATAAATTAATCATCTCAAAGAAGAAGAAAGGTGTCTTGATTGCGGAACTCCAGAAACTTGGGTTTGATCCATTCCCAAAGACTGCTGATGCCGCCAAACAAGGGGAGATAGAGCCTGTAGTGGATGATGACGATTCCGAGGACTCTTCCGTTGACGCGAACTCCTACGACTACCTCCTTGGTATGGCGCTCTGGTCCCTGACCCAGGAACGAGTGGAAAAATTGCAACGCCAAATTGGGGAAAAGGAAGAGGAAATCGATATATTGATGAAGCGATCGAAGGAGGAGTTGTGGACAGCTGATCTGGATGCATTCATTGACGAGTGGAAATTCCAGCTCGAGGATGAACAAAACCGAAAGCGCAACATCCGGAAGGGCAGACGCGTGTCCAAGAAATTTGCAACTGCCGCAAATTCTAAAGCCGCCGTCAAGAAGCGCAAAGGATTGGGCGATGCCCTTGACGATTCTGAATTTGAAGAATTTGCACCGAAAGCGAAGAAGCGTGCTCCTGCTCCTAAACCGATTCAAAAGGCCATTACTACATATACTGCACCAAAGACTAACGCCCTCAAGAGTGCCATGGACCAGCGCAAACTCTACACTGACGGTCCAGGTGATTCCGCCGCCGAGGACTCCGAACTTCCCATGAAAGACAGTGTGGACTTGTCAGATGAAGCCCCGAAGCCTGCAGCACGAGAAGGGCGCGGAAAGAAGACGGCCAAATACACAATTGACAGCGATTCGGAAAGCGATTTAGATCACTACTCCGACGACTCTGAAGATGCACCAAACAAGAGTGCAGGATTAGAGTCGGCAGACCTATCAGACTTGGACGAGGTTATTTCCAAACCTAAGCCACGCGCTGCCGCGAGTCGCAAGAAATCTCCACTCGATGACGATCTCGATAGCGATTTCGACCAACCCTCGGAAGCCCCCGAAGACGCTCCCAAGGTCAATGGCACCTCAAATGCAAGCGGGACATCAGATGAGGACGAGGTCATTCCCAAGCCAAAGAGCCGTGCTGCTCGTCCTGTTGCGAAGAAGCCCGTCAAAGTTCTCGACTTAGAGGACGAGGACGGGACGGGACTACCTCCGAAAACCAACAGCAAGCTGGTTCCGAGTGACGAATCCCATTTTGATGAAGTTATGCCCAAGCCGAAGAGTCGAGCCGCGCGTCCAGCCACCAAGAAACCAACAAAAGTGACCGAGTCGGAAAGTGAGGATGAGTTCAAGACTAGCTCCAAACCTATTGCCGCCGATGAGTCTGACTTTGATGACGTCGTGCCTAAGCCTAAAGCCCGAGTTACGAAACCTGTCGCAAAGAAAGCTGTAAAGGCACCAAAAGCGAAGAATGATAGCGGTGATGAAGTTGCACCCAAGGCGAAGGGCAAGAAGGTGAAGGCAGCCGAACCATCTGATAACGATGAACCTATTGCAAAGCCTAAGGATCGGGCCCCTCGCGCGAATGTCAAGAAGGTGCCAACATACACATTGGAATCAGATAGTGACAATGGTGACGACTTGCTGGCTGATCTCGGTGACATGGTCAAAGGGCTACCGACAAAGACTGCGTTGAAAGACACACAACCCAAAGAGAAGAAACCTCCGGCCAAGAAACCTGTGGCCGCAGCAAAGAAACTGGAACAATCACCTATTGCGAAGGCTTACGCAAAACGATTGGCGAAGAAGAAGGCGGTTGATTCGGATGATGATATGGATATGACCTTCTGATTGACGAGAGATGAGTTTTCGCACTATTTGGCTGACGATGGTGTGGGATCGAGGACTCGTTTGTCGGTCACAGTTGCTGGGAGGGTGTCAGGAAATTGAGACGGCCACGCACTACAGGGATTGTGGCTGGGGCTGACGGCATGGATGAGACATCGAATTGACAGCATCGGGGATTGTGCTAAGAATTGCAGCGTATTTATTCTTTATTGACTTCCCATGCCCTGTACCGATCAACGAACTGCACTTCTAGATCTGAACTGTTTCAACAGATTCAATCCGAAGTTTCCAGATTCGTCGGCAGCTGGAGTTCGGACGGTTGGAGTATTGCCAGGTGCTACTAGTTCATGTTCTTTCGAAAGACCTCAGATAAGTGAATCCACAACTGTCAGAAATCCATTCCTCAATTCCACTCTATCAGGCTATACTGTGCCTCACGCAGGCTTGTGCAACCTCTGGTGCAGAATCTGATACCGAGATTTCTTTGTCTGTTCATGGAATCGGCAAGGCAGCCCAATCAGATTCTTGTTTGTACAACCTCCGCCCTGTCCGTTGCGGAGTCGGGGCTCGAGGCCTCCATGACTTCTGAGCACCACCGAGACGTCTTGACGCCTCGTCAGTCTTTCCCTGGGATTAATTTGCTGCAAGATGTGCCTGCGAGCATCTTGATACATATCCCCATGGCTCGATCCACTATTGTGGAGGTCGTGTCTGTCTGGCCCTGGACTCCCCCTCGATCGAGTTCACACAGGCTTCACTAATCTACTGCTATTGACCCCTCTTAGGCCTGAGTCTCTGTCTTGGTTATCTATTAACAGCGGCATCATGGCTGTAGGCGCCCAGAAAAAGAGACTGGAGAATTTCTAGTTGGTAAACATGGCTATGACTTGGACTCTCAAGCAAGTGCTCGGTGCTTGAAGACCTCCACCCGACCTACTGCGCATTTCCGTAGATTCAAAGACGAACGTCCTCACCGCTCATCTGGCGAAGCGATTGAGTATCACCGATTCGTTCCGTTGTTGGGAGGTCATGCTGGAGAGGAAGGGCTTTTCAATTCGCATGGGTCCAGACTGGAAGCTTGCCTTAGTTGGCATCCTTTTTGACGAATAGGAAAGCTAAAGTTCAATTCTTTGATGGCATATGGGGCATTGAAGGGATGTCAAAGACAGTTGTCGCAGACTTACAAAGCCTCACGCTTTGTCTTCAAGGGCAGACGCGCAGATTACTGTTTGCTACTGAAACCAAGCGCCGCAGATGCCGACTTGGTGACTTCCTCTGCTACTCATGAATCTAAAATAAGAGCTTTGAGGCAACCCTCTTTGATCTTCTGCAGCAGCACCATGGCTGCGATCAAGTTACTTCTCAATCCTCTCGCGGACACCGTTGATCAGTACAGCACCAGCATGGACAGCAAGGATGAGGCATCAACAGCGGAGAGCGATGCCGGGCTCGTCTCAGATATACTAGAAGGTGTTCGTGGGAAGCCCAGTCGAAAGAAGCAGAAGGTCTCCAAGGATGCTGCCGTTTTCAAGGCTGGTCCAATCCGTGGCGATTGTCGGTATCCTCCTCACGAGGAGCACGACGAGTTCCTGGCAGAAAAGCATGAGATGTTCAATGTTTATCCAGTGGGCAGCATTGCCAGCTATGCCAGACATATTCCCTACAACAGCGAGAAGAAGCTTTTTTTGGAGAAGACTGGTAGAGATTATTTTGAAGGTATGGAAGATATCAGCCTCGCAAAGGGGGATAAGATGTCAAGCTGAACAGGGCCAGTGTTCCAATACGAGTTCAAGCTTCCGGGCGAAGGTCCCACCTACACCATGATCTGGGATTACAACATCGGCATTGTACGCACCACCCCTCTGTTCAAATGTGGACAATACTCCAAGGTATTTGCAAGATATCCTTGACCAGCTCAGCAAGCAGCTCTAACTTGAATCAGACAACTCCAGCAAAGATGTTGGCACGAAACGAAGGCTTGAAGGAGATCTGTCATAGCATCACAGGAGGAGCGCTGGTTGCACAAGGTACCGTTGCTTGGACGACATACAGTCGGGGCTCATTGCTAACGCGAAGACAGGCTATTGGATCCCCTACGAGGCAGCAAAGGCAGTGGCAGCGACATTCTGCTGGAACATTCGCTATGCCCTGACTCCAGTCTTCGGCAAGGACTTCCCTGAGCTCTGTATCCCCCCAGACTCGGAGGACTTTGGCAACATGCAAATCGACCCCGCGATCACCAAGAAATGCGCAGAGCAAGCCCGACTGTACCGTGAGCTAGAGTCGACACAGAAAGAGGTCTTTAACTCCCCATCTCTCATGTCCACCGTCTCCAATAGCGGCACGCGCACACCCACGACCCCCAAATTCAAGCGAGAATTCAAGAAGATCATGCCCAAGCCATTGAACATCCCATCCGGGTTTGTCAGCGACGATGCATCGTCCGTTACCAGCCGGGAAGACGACAAGTACGTCTTGTCATCTCCATCTCCCCAGACCGGCTTCAGCAACCCATGGTCCGCAGTCAACAGTCCACGCTCGCCATCGCCCAAGATCAAATTCAAGAACCCGTGGTCCCCTGCCACCAGCACTCGCTCCGACTCGCCATGCGGTGGCTCCAGACGCAAGAAACACCGTGATGCAGTTAACATCCCACGCTCATATGCCCCTCTGGACACAATGCCGCCTCCGTACAAGCCTCTGTACCACGTTACACTCGGCGCAGCGGAGCAGCAGCATGCTGATGGGGATGAAGCAGAGTCAGCCGCCCACGACAGCGACAGCTCACCAGCAGCATACCGCCGCATGGACCTGGACGAAGACTACGACGCAGGCTCAGACGACTCTGACGCACCGTCAGGCTCCGCGGTGGCAGTCGCATCCGTCACGGCCATGACCACCACGGCTCGCAAGAAGTCCACCAAGGCGTTCACGGACTTCAATGCCGCACTGGTGCTCATGCAGATGAGAGACGTCAGCAAGGGCTTGACTACAGGCTTGAGACGTCTCAAGCGTCCTGCCTCCATGTAAGGATAGACACGCATGAGTTGGCCCTGCCTGCTGTGGGCACGGGGCTGGCTGACATCATGAGCTGCGGCCGGGGCTATGCTGCTGTTCGTGAGATTGGAACAGCGTTGATGGACCAGGGGGGAATACGGGCCAGAGGCGATGTAGAACGCATGTACTTTAGATAGCGCATTTCCAAGGTTCTCTCTAAAGATAGCAATGATATCAGTCGGAAAATAAACACCGTTTATTGTGTAGGTAAAGGTAATTCCCTTGGCCCCTCTCCCGCACGGGCTGAAGCTGGTCCCTAAGCCTCGTCGACCCTTCCACGATGCACCCTTCTAGACTTCCAAGAAAAACCTATATGTATCACAGGCCCGAACTTCAGGTTTAAAGCTTCACATAAACTATGAATGGTGCAAGTTTCTTTTTACTTTTTGTTTTTTGTTTTTTTCACTTTACTCTTCTTTTCTTTGTGTGAAGACAAACCCGGGGTTCGAGGCCGCTTCGGAGCAAGTGCTGTATCGTGCCACGCTCCATCACTGCTGATAAATCTCTTCAGGTCCTCCTACCTCTTGGTCTCCTTAGTCACGGTCGTGCTCGATGGAAAGCGGAAAGTCGAAGAAAAGAGGCAAGAAACGAAAGGATGGAGAAGTCATCCCGACCATCCTGCTGGTGAGTCAGCGCAGTCGTTGAGAATCGAACAGATAGCCATGGCTATTGGATCCAGTCACTCGGTTCTACAGTTTCATCTCCGGGGCTGCTGAGGAAATAGACCAACGCAATTACATGCGTAAAGTGGGTTTCTCTTTTGCATATGTTTGTCGCTCTCAATTCTCCTCTCTAGCGAGTCATCTTCACTATTATTCCCAACGACAAAACGGTCTCCCCACTTTCGCGTCCTCAATAGTGACGTCCGCGTAGCTTGTCAGACCTCCTCTCCATGCCCCAAGAAACCCTGTCGTCCATAGGTTTACGGAATGAAGCGTTGGAATCGTGACCCGGGTGAAGTCCAACACGGCGAACGCCGATGCCTGTGCGTGTTGCACCGCACCAGCCTCATGTGCAAAAGCCCGGTGACTCGAGGCCGCAAACCCAGTCCCGTAGTCCAAGTCCAAGTCCAAGTCCAAGTATCAGCTGCACAACCTGCAGCACAGAAACCTCTCGTCTCGCAGCCCTATCTCTTATCTTCGCACAAGCGGCGGCGATAAGAACTTGGAGTTCGAAGTCGACGATACCGGGGGTGGTGCAGAGGCCCTATTCTTGCCCTTCACGTTCTTCCGACTGGGCTGGAGACTGAGATGGTGGCTGGAGTTGTGAGCTTGCTGCTGAGGTTCGCTTCCATTCTCCCTCGACGCCTGCTGCGCCTCGGCCTGGTAGCCTGAGCCGGATCCTGATCCTGATCTAGGTCCTAGTCCCAATCCCCCACCGAGGCCGGCAGCCAGGTCTTCCATAATGTCGTTGTGCGTATGGATGTGGCCCTTTCCCTTGGGTGTCGGGCTGCCATTGCCATCGTCGACGACGGCGACATCGGTCTTTGCCATTTCTTCATCTCCTTCTCGTTGTTGTTGCTTCGATTCTGCTCCGCGTCCATCGTGTTCTTGGCTGCGAGGCGCACTAGCGGTGGCATCACCACCAGCACCAGGAGCAAACGAGTGTCGTAGTCGAGAGTCGCGCCAGCCCTGGTTGTTTGGATTGGGGTTGGCCGGGTGTGGTGGCAGTAGGACAGAGGCAGCTTGGCTGAGGCGCTGTTGCGACGAAGGGGCGTACGGGTCGTCGACGTTGTAGAAGTACGTTGCGCCGCTGTGCTCGCCGGTTGGATTGGCCATACTCTGGAACAATAGTGTCCTGTCAGTATAGGTACGGGGGAAAACGAATGCTACTGCGCTGGGCATCTATCAAACAGTTTCAAGTCTTACCTCTCTATTCTCCCAAACACTCCACTCATCCCAATTCCTGGCCTCACCCTTGCGATTCGCCGCAAACATGGTGGTCGGCCTCAATTCGCCAACCTCGCGTTTCGCCTGCCGGCCGCGCTCCCACGCATACATGTTGTTGATCCAGCGGACCTCCCTCATGCGAGCAACTTGGCTCGCCGGCCGGACGATGTTGGGGTTGAACAGATCGACTTCGCTGAGGTCCTCGTCGAACGGGGCGTTGCCTCCATCGCGGGAATTCTTCTGGCGGCAGAACCGGAATATGCTGGCGGCGATGGTGATGGCGACGAAAGCGCAGAGAATCACGATGCCCACAATCAAGGCGGGCGAGATGCTAGGCCCCGATGACGAGTCGCCTGGGGAGGTCATGTTTGCAGTGGAACGTGACGTTCTGGAAGAATGAGAGAGACTTTGACAATCATGGAGAAGCAGCGGCCGTCAAGATAATTTGACCCTGTGACATACACGTACTATTCTCAGAGGCTGCTGATGATGAACACTGATAACTTTGGAGATGGGAGAGCAAGATGAAAAGACCAACATAGAACGTCTGCACTAGAGCTATGTGGACATGATGCAATGCGGCAGATTGCAGATATTCACTGTTTGATCTGTGAATGCTGATATCTCGTCCTGAAAACCGGTCACATGCTTCACTGCCTCGTGGCGTGGCGAAACATCGTATGGAACAGCAACACTGATCTATCAAGTTGATCACTCTGGGAGGAAATCGCCCAGCTTTGCGAGCTAGAGTGGTTTGGTCGCCTGGTATATTCAGGACTCCTCGCCAATAGACTGGCCTACCTAGATGGATTTCCAGACATGCTAGAAGAGTGATACTCTCGATTAGAAAAAGATGAGAAGGGTACTCTCGAACGTAGCTGACCTCGACAGAAGGGGGTTGGATGGGGGCACAAGCTGACACGTTTGAGCATACCGTGCCGACGGCACGGCATGGGAGAGATGGGAAGCAGGGAACTAGTCCTCTTCACAACATGTCTGGTTCCAGAGTTTTCATCTCACCACCAAGCTTTGGGCTTCCCAACTGATCAGTCGACGGGAATTGGCCAGGTTACAATTCTGGAAACATAGTATCGTGGATAATGCCTTCTCAAATTGCGGAGATGTAACTTCATTATGGCGCCATGTTGATATTGTAAGCTCAAGGGCAGAAAGAAATGTGCTCTTAGCGTCAGGGGGAGATGCACGTGGGCAGCCTTGGCCGGAGGCAAGGTACGACAAGGCTGCGAGTACGGTACCGCATAGAGCAAGCCGGGAGCCTCGTTTTCTATCACGTGGCCTTCACAGTCCTGACTCGTGAGAGCCCAAGCACACGTGCTCTCAGGTGAAGAGGTCTAGAAAGGCAGATGAAGCATGACTTGTTATGAACAAGCTGATGAAAACCAAACATTGGGTTACAACGCTCTTTCCCTACACTTGATAACGTACTTGTGCACATGCGTAATAGGAGGTTGGCTATGCACAACGTAAGAGCTCCTAGCCGCATAATACCAATGGGCAGCTACTACGATAGTCCCATTCTCATTCTCATTCTCATTCCATCAGTCTCCATCTTTGCATGGTAGCCACAGTAGCGTGAGGTCGCCGAAACAATCAGACAATCACACACTAACAAGTCGGTGTTGAGGAGGGGATGTACAAGCCAGATGAGGGAAAATAGACAACAGTAACAATCCCAGGGTTTTGATCCTTTCCAACACCGTCGCTAAAATGCAAATGGTATCATGCGCTACAAGAACAATAGCACGAAAAGCAAAAGAACCGCCAATGCAAACACCAACAATCACTCGGGTGTTGAGTATTTCCTTCCTGATGTTCCAAAACAAACCCGATTGATTCACCCGCGTAGAAAGCTGTCTAGAAATCCAAACACACCAAACACATCATCCCACGCCACGGGAACCCGTTTCTTTTTGAGGCCCTGATAGCGGTCGTAAATTCATTACTGGATCTGTACGGGTAGCGTCATCTCAATAATCCCCCTATATCTGTAAACGTCAAATCATCGGGGCCCTGAGGTCGGACGATAGGTTCTTCATCTTCTTGATGGCTTGGTAAGCGGCCCTTTTTGGAATCTTTCCTATGATCACCCAATCTCATGGGGGACCTTGAGGGAGAGCTTCTCTTTCTCGGGGCCGATGTGATTTCGTCTTCTTCTCGGACATGTCTTGACAATAAGCCACCAATATCACTGAGGAATGCTTTTGAACCAGATCGTGTGCCTGGGTGGTTTTGTGTTTGGCTGAGCCGTCTTGTAGATTCGTGGGTCGAGGTCTGACGAGATCGAATACTGGGAGAGTCGAGTCCTTTCTCCACCAAGCCACCCACATCGAAGAAGCCCATCTTACTGGGGGTGTCAGGTTCAGCATAGCCTGGGCTGGTGGGTTCTGGGAATTGCGTGTTCAGCTCACGCAACTTTATATCGGTGGAGGAGCTGCTGATGGAATCCATCGAGCCTTTTCTTCGGTTCCGCGAAGCTTCGGCAAAATTCCACTTGGATTTGAAGCTGGGATTGTGTGCATCGCCAGCTTCGAGATCAACAGAGTTGTGGTTGGGGACGGCAACTTCGGCCAATCGAGGGAGGTGGTCGACGGCGGCGCCATGTTGTAGAGTCGGAGGTAGTGATACGCCTACACTCCTGGCCAAGTCTTCGTCTGAGCCCCAATGATGATGAGTAATTGATCTGGTTCTTGTTCGTGTAGGCTGGCGACCGAGGGAACTTGTGTCATCGTTGAACGAGCTGGCCCTGAACTTGGCTTTCTTAACACCCTTGTCGCGGATGAAACTTCCAATGACAATGGCATTGGAAACGCCGGCGGCTGCCAAGATTTCCAAGGAGGCAAGTAATGATCGGAATTGCTGGGATGATCGACGTGAAATGGTGGATGGGATTCGGTAGGCCGTGATGGCGATGAGGATGAGTGAGAGGAGGAAGAGGACTATGAGTGAGACCTTTTTCCGGAATCGCATTGAGGATTGCCAGACAAGCGGGATGGGATAGACGATGAGAACAACGTCGGTCATCATGTCGCAGACACCCATGACAATCAGCTGGACCAAGCCCTCTCGACAACTGGGACCAGGATCTGGCACGACTTGCCAGTAGTGGGTGAAGGGTTGGCATTCGGTGAGGGTGCCAATTACGACACCAATGTAGGTGATGATTAGGAAGGCATAGATGAGTCTCAGGCCGACTTCGTAGGACTTGGCCCAGGAGGCACCGATCAGTCGTTTGAGAAACTCGAGGACAGTAAACTTTGCGACCCAGATGTAGGCTGCATAGAAGATGCGAGCGGCCAGAACGAGTTTGCTTCCTATTTCTCGATGTCGGATCTCCGTCGGGGTCAGGCCTTGGATGACGGTATTATTAGTGCCCCAGATAAGAATAACGTGGACCAAGCCCATCCGAATTAACAGAGGAATGGTACTGTAAAACATTATCTTGTCCTCGAGGAAGAGTTTCTCGGTACGAATCCATCTTCCAAACAGTCTGATGCCGATGGCAGTCAGAGCAAAGATTGTACACCACCACGAGACGATTAATGTTGGATTCACGTCGACTTTGGACTGTAAGGCGGGTGGGTCGCCATGGTATATACGGGGATACAAGGTGTGGAGGTATGTCATGGTCACCCTTGGGATTAAAGGATTTGTATGGGCAATGACTTCATATCCTCGAGGTGCGCGATGGATGAGGTGGAAATGCTCTCGAGGACTTTGCAAAGGCCATGGACAGGAGGAGTTCGATGAGGTTGGGTCTGTTGTTTGTTCTGATTCCCAGCTCTTGATCGTGTAATCATTCAGCCCGTCTCAAATCGAGGTCATGGCTGCAGGTGGTGTTATGTACATTGCATGCGAAGTCGTGGTCGTGGTCGTCGTTGATCTGGTCGCGAGGGATGATCGCAGGTTCAACGAAGGTGTGAGTAAGACTCAAGCAGGAAAACAAGAAGAACAAGATTGGCAGAATGCAAGAGGCTGTGGTGAATACGAACTAGACGAACTTGCCATGACGGAGGGAGGCAGAACAGGTCTTAGTTGGATGAGGTTGGCTGGGAGTCTGGGAGGAGATGATGGCGCTGGGAGACGATAACGGGGATAGTGCGATGGGCCACCAATGGCGCGGGAGGTTGAACGTGAGAGGTGAGAGAGGTGAGAGGTGGGTGGCGCAAGACTGACATGGGATCATGGCGCCAGCTAGGGTGATCTGAGGTTAGTGGGGTGACCGGGGACGGGCGTAGGTCTGTTGGTAAGGGACTGTCGGGACTCGCAAGAGATAAGTGAAAGTGGACTTGGGTGATGAGAAGAACCAGTGGAGCGAGAGAGAGCGGGCGCGGGTGAGGGCGAGGGCAAGGATGAGGAAGAGGTGGGTGAGGGTGGGTGAGGGTTGGTGAGGGTGGTGATAGGGTGAATGTCGGGATAGGAATCGAAAGTGCGACGAAATGGTGGGACAAGGACTGTTTGGGACTGGTACGAGCGCCATCGACCAGTCACGTTGCAGAGATCAATCAGCCGAGGGCACAAGTGGGAAGGAAGTTGCCACGAGGTTCTGTTATCGCCCAGGGCGCGTCTTGGGACTTGGGACCGGGACGGGCACGGGGGCTGATAGGGGCACGGGGGCACTGGACGCTGGGGGCGCTGGTGGTCGGTCTAGGGGCCCCGAGGCTTAAAGGTTAACGGTTAAGGGTCCTGGTCTCTCTTGGGGGGCGAGGTGGACGGCCATTAACGGGCAATGATAGGTGCCACGCTGAGAGGCGGCAGAGGGCAAAGGGCAGAGGGCCCCTAGGCTTGGCCACCCTGAGCTGCAGTCCCTCCCTCCTCTCCTCCTACAGCCCCAAGCGTCGTGGTGGGCAATACTAGTATCTAGGCAGTCCTAGTATCTACACAGGCAGTCCTAGCATCGTGGTAGCTGACACAGTGACTTGTCGGAGCAGAATCAAGGTCTCAGGGTCTCAGTCCGCAGCATGATTGCCGTTTCAACACAGTTGGGAGTAGTTACTCGTACGTGCCACTCCTTTATCGCTTATCGAGGGCTACGAGTCCTCCGTACGTACATTTGTTATGCCCCTCCGGACGCCTGCCCTTTATCCCTTTCCAGTTACGGCCGCCGCTCCCATCTCGTGTCTCGTCTCCCCTACAGCGCCACGCACCCGATAAGCAACAACACTGTTACTGGTGCTGCTTCTGGTACTTGGCATCGAGCACATGTTCAGATACTTGTTCAGGTCCGGAGTAACATCCCTCGGCTTCCCTGCTTCACCCACAGCCCATCAATCCACCAAGTACTGTACATCCTCCGTCCATCCCTACCCGACTTCTGTCCAACTCCACTTGTCTCTTACCCGATAACGGTGGCGGCACGCTTCCCGCACCTCAACGGCAAGGTCCCTTCATTGGCTCTTTGGTGGCTGTTGGGCTAATACTGACTAGCGACCTACTCGTAATTCAATGCTTTATCATCGTTGTTGTTGCACTGCCCGATCATTCTCACTCTGCTCTCACGTGACTCTGTGAAGGTCTCGTACATTTGAGCCGATTGCGCAGCACCACGATATACTCGTATATGATGGACGTACGGTCAAATTGATTATGCCTTCAACTTTTGATGATGGGGATGTGTGTGATCACGTGCAGCGTGGACACATTCAGTGGTGGTTCTCGGAACGCTCGGTCCCAGTGGTGGCCTCGTTTTGCCAAGCCCCAGCCTCGTCCATATGCCACTCAGCCTTGTCAGGCATAAGTCACTCCCCATCATAGGTCCAAAATGACCAGTATTCACATCAAATGAATCACTTGGTTCGGCATCTCCTCCATTGCATCAAATCGATGCCCATCAAACACCGAGATTCCAATCCTCTCCATCCAGTGAGGCTTCACATATCCCTCAACACCGTCCAACACCTCAACAGAGAGCTTCTGTGAGCATGGCCTCAAGATCAGGCAAATCGTGGCGCCGCCTTCGGGACACTCAAACAGCGGGAGGAGGTAGATTCTCGAATGATCCCCAGGCAAGTCGTCCCCAGCGTCAATGCAGTACTCTTTCCCGTACTCCCGCGCGTCTGCAAGAATCTCTTGCGCGTCCCGTGAGAAATCCCAGCTCCTCACGAGGTATTCCGGTACAGCCCACGCATATTCTTTGAGGCAGAGATTCATGCTTATATTGAACTCCTTGCCCCGTCCGTATGTAGAGAAATGCAGGCAGGCATACAGAGAGCCTCGGATGCGAAGATACCGGCCACAAGGGTCTTCAGGCCAATTCGCAGGGTCTAATCCACGCACCCTGAGGAACGGGTTCTCTTCATCCATTAAACACTCGATGCGTTCAATGGATGCCACCTCCACGCTACCTTTGAACTTCCACGACTCGTAGACAAACTCGCAAGGCCCAAAGCGAGACGCCCATGAGAAACTCGGTATGGGATGGGCTGGCGTCCACGGGATCCGTCGGGGATGCGGTCGACAATTGTTGCACGCCCAAGTACTCGCACGACTCGACACCCATTCCCGACTCCTCCAACACAGCCACTTCAGCAGATCTCTTTCCCACAGCCCTGCGATGTATCGGCCCTGGTCCTGCCTTTCGCTAAATGCCATGGCAATCCCAGCAAATCCAAGGAGAAGATCAGACCTACGCCCGAACATCCGCTGAGTGTACTGCCGGACCAGTGCCGCCCAGTCTCGATATGTGTTTTCCTGCCTAGCTTTCGCTCGTGGGAGGTAGCCGGCGAATCCCAACCCCATTCCAAAGTGATGCTTGCATTGACATTCAGACAACATACCTCCCTCTTCATAAAGCACCTCTTGGCTCGTGAAGTGTATCATGCGATGTGACAATGCCCGTTCCTGATAACACCAGCCCCGTTGGGTCACTGAGCTCCAATACACGTTATCCGCCACTTCGTGCACCTCGCCAACTACTGGCGCCGCGGCTTCGCTGTCGACTATATCGGCTAATTCGGGAATCCGTCTAACATGAACAACAGCCGATTCGCCACCGATGGTAAGATGTACGTCTTTAAACGCCATATATCCATGCGTCGTGTCGTGCATCGCGATAACAAACCATGCGTTGGCATAGATGTTGTGCATATCCGCTGCTTCGCGTTTCCAATCAACCGAATCATCCTAGATGATGCAGAGCGAGTCGATCCATAAATACTGTACGCCGACTCATCGACACACGGATATCGCCTACCGAAAAGTGTCAGGGATATCACCCAATAACATCCCTATCCGCCGAGATTCAATATTGCGAGACATAGTCTTGGTCGACTCGATGTCTTCCCGAAGCCAGCAATGGCTCAATGCAGCATACAGGGCCGCATCTGATTCGGGGGGGCCCTCCAGGATGCTAATCTCGTCAAGAAGCACATCACCAACGGCATCGCCCTCTCCCATAGTTCTCACGCCCAAGTCTAGAACCCGAGTCGGCAGTCTCGCCTGCCGCGGATGATCCTTCATCAACCAGCCTCTCAGGCGGTCCATATCCAATGAATCATCCCATATAGAACGGATGTGTCTGGACGAATTAATGGTGCTTGGGACGATTGATGAGATCTCTTCTCCTGTGTATTCTAGATGGATCAGCGCTTTGAGAAGGGAAGCATCCCCAGGTGAAACACCTACCCGCACTGACATAAAACTCAATCCGGTGCTTCTTTCCATTATCATTCCCGCTCAGAAGCAACCCACCGCTCATAGTCTCTAGCACCAAAGGCCGTACGGTAAAGTACAAGTTAATATCTTCAAATGCCCGCAATGCATCCACGAGCAGCTGGCAATATGGACACTCGATCTTCTCAACGTGGAATAAGCTAGAAGCTTGGAACCCGTAATAAGAGCCGTCGAAGTTCGCTCGCGAGAGATCCCGGCAACGGGCACAGGGCAGTTGGCTGGCACCTTTGGTACTGACTGTCTCTAGTCCTGGTGTGTTCTGTTGGCTAGTTTGATCGCAAGATTGTGTAGCGGTTGGTAGAGGTGCCACGGGAGACGGACTTCGGGCTTGTTTCGGAGGTCGCTTCGATCTCCTGATCAGCGTGGGAAGACGTCGTAGCCCAGCTGAGAGGTGTGAAAGAACATGTCTCCCCATTGGGCCGCACTTTGAGAACAGTCGCACAACGGCAGCTTGCCCCCCCCCCCCCCCCAGAGCAGAGAGAACGACCGCTGAAGTCACTCCCGACGCAGCAGGTGGTGTAATGGTCTGGATGCTGAACGATGTCGCAGGCCAAGTTCGTGCCTGAGTCCGAACTCAGATTCTTTCTGGTGATGTAGGGCTAGCATGTCAAAAAAGATGATGGTTCCAACTTCCAAGGAATGACAAGACCGTGGCTGAGTGCGGCTGAATCTTGCTTGTATCGTGGATTTCTGAATCTTGACCGCCGAGCCCATTCTAATGACAGATACGAGGTATTGTGCCTCTTGATTTATCGAAAGAGATTAGTAAATGTGCTGCCCAGCCCAACCTCTCGTTCCAAGTGCCGCAATTCTTGAAATGTCATCTCATCCTTCCGGAGGACTACCCATAGTAGTCTCGGTGAGAAAGCATCGCCCTTGCAAGGCAGTGTATGAGTAGATCATGTATCTACAGAGCCTTGGCACCTGATAAGTCCGGGGCGAAGGTCTATCACCGTGCCCAGCTAAGCTGAAGGAACATCAAGAATAGATATCTAGAGACGCATAGTTGTGTAGTAGTCCATTGCAGTCTGGACCCCGGCAGGGCTAGATAAGATACCCACACAATGCAGGGATCAGGCACACTGCAACAATATCACTGCCGAAGCAACCGATACCCAAGAACTCATGAAGCAATAAAGCCCAGTTGACTGCTTGGTGGTGCTTTTACAGAAGCTAGGATCTTCCAAGCTGAAGGGTTGGTTCTCACTGTCCTCCTCGGGACACAAATCCACCAACCTACCGTCCGCTCAATCAAGCTGCCCCAAGCCTCTACTTACAATATCAAACAAATCACACGGCTTCTCTCAGGTGGCTTGTGCTACAAAGACTTAGCTAATGTCTCTCCAGGACCTCGTATTAAATCATCTCCCCAAATCAATTCCATACTTGGCGCCACCTCCGTCATAACCATCGACGATCGCCCATCCATAGCTAGCTAAGAAGCAGTGGGGCATAAACGAATACAGAATAAATATCGCATCGGCAATTAAATCCGACTTGCGGGGTGATTTCCATTCCCTTGCGAAGTCGAATACAGTCGCCACTTTGTGATACTCCTAGGCAAGAAAGTTGCAACGCGGCAGCTCGTAGAACTCGTTACATAAGTGAGTCCCCGGAAAGTTGTATAAAGCAAAGAATGCACCAATTCGTGCACGTGCTTTATTTCGGCTGAATAGTCCGTCTTCTCGGTGGAGCGGTGGAGAGATGAATTCCGCGGTAGTCTGTACCACCCGCGGAGAACCGATCCAGCTGGGAAGGATGAACTCTGGAGAAAGAGATGCCCAAGGTATCGCGAGGCTCTTATATACCTGCGAGGTACTTGTAGACCCACGTTTGGCCTCATCACATGACAAAGGACAAGTCCCCGGATAGAGCGGGGTAACGATCTGAGATCTCGAGTTTCATGCAGTCACCAACGCAAGACAGTACCCATTGTAGCAGAATCTTAGACATAGTCATACAAAACCCGGCCAAATACTGGATCCTCGCTGCCGGAGCAAGCCTTAAGGCATGACTCGAAGCACAGAAGACGGTCGGTCCATCGATCAACACCAACATGGGTCTACAAGTTGAGATAGTCTTCACGAACGGGCTCGCCCTCGGGTCCAGCGTGGAGCCTCATTTCCTGGGCGACGCAGGTATCGACGGCTACATTGCTCTGACGAACCAAAGTGACGTCGCTGTCGACTTCGATATCATCCTGATCTCTCTACACGGTGGGTAGAAGCTCTTGGGGATGTGCCATCCGTTCGTCTGACACCCAGAGAGGCACGCTTATCAACACCATCAGGCGCTCAGAGTGGTACGCCGTGGCATTCTACCACCAAGCTCAAAAAGTACGCATGCCCTATACTCACTCACCTGTGCACCTCTGAACATCCATGATGACAGTTGCTGCACCTGATCGACGTCAAGCGCCCCACCGACTTCATCGGCGCTGCGGGCGTCGGGCCAGCATCAAGCCCGCTGAAATGCTTCTTCCACTTCGAAATCCCACAATATCTGAACTGCGAACTCCTCGGTGAAAACGCCGGGTATCTTCGAGACCTCCCTGCCTCCTTCTCCTGTGGCGAGGGCTCGATAAGGCGCGCTGTGCTGCAGGACAGATGCGAGGGCGACTGCCACATCTCGTACAAGGTCCTCGTGCGCGCCCTGCACGGCCACGAAGTCATCGCCAGCTGCACGCAGCACGTCAAACTCGTTCCCAGCTCCGAGTCCCGCCCGCCAGTTTGCGTCGCCGACTTCCCCAATGAATATGCGCTTGCCAAGTCGAAGTGCCTCCGGACGGGCTTCCTGGGAATGCACCGCTCGGGAGAGTGGCGCCTCGAAGCTGGCGAGCCGGTCTCGCTTATCCTAAACCAAGTCACCGACCGGGTCTTCCTACCAGTCTCCTTGACTCTCACGCAGATGGTTCGCTCGAGAAGGTCTTGTCATGGAGAGGAGCCAAGAGATGTGGCAAGTGGTGTTTGTACTGGCGCGCTAATATCCTCCACATTCATATCGAGCGTGCCGCGACAGAGTGTTCCCACTCTGTCAGAAGTCTCGAATTCTACATCTCTAGGCCGAAAGATCCATGTCTGCGCCAGGACGAAGATATCCGTCCAGTTCTCGAGATGGGGCGAAGCGGCTTTGACTTTCCACGGTCAGCATAGCCAGATGACTCCCTTGCCGGTGCCCACTCCACTAACGAGCTCTCCAGGCGAGGATTTCTCCTCCGAAGTCACAAGACGGTGGCGATCAGACGCCTTGTTAACACTTGGATTCCCCAACGATGGGTATTTGGTTCCCACGTTCGAGTCTTCCTTGGTCTCGCGGCGGTACAAACTGATGCTTGACGTCCACATCGCGAAGCCACACCGATCCAATTTCCGGCTTACTCTACCAGTGCAGATATCCTACCAGAAAGACAGAGCTCATACCGACCACCCTTGGAGCTGGTTTCAAGAAGTAGAATCGCCTCCGTATGTCTCATAGGATTGGGGGATCGATTTCGGCTATTAATATCGCATGTGATAATCTCAGCAGCTTGCGAACCTACACGCACCTAATGAAGAAACCCTTGTACGATGATATGGGTGCTGGGGATTTGACTATCAGAATATATCCAATCACATTCCGGGCCAGAGCTGGTGCTTCTCGCTATCCAAACTCCTTTCTTCCTCGAAGGTAGCAATGTCGAGACGTAGGGACACCCGATATTATTAGTGAATAAATCAATTCATGTGGAAGAGATAAGATCAAAACGTGGAGAAAAAGCAGTCCGCGGCTGTAATATCAACAATGCTACCTCAAATCCTTCAACAACAAAATATTCGAGCTAGCAGTGAAAGCAATACCACCCATCCGTAAGCTCAAAATGTGAAGTCTATGATCCCCATCAATACCATGAACTCTTTGAAAAACGCCCTGTATTTCTGCCTCGCCTCCACGTTCACCTGTACCTTCAAAAGATGGGGCCGGCAAGCCGTGTGCTGCACATAACCACTCGAAGGAAACGATCAAGTCGATAATCATAGCAAACACGTCCATCAGAGAATAGATCCTTGGCCATATTCTCGTATTCTGTTGGTGTATCGTCGCCTGAGCCCATAGTGACCGGCGATCCGCCAGATTCGTCGTCATCTTCGAAGTGATTGCGCTTGCAGAATGGAGTCGGATCACCGGCGGAGTCATAATGCTCGGGTTCAAAGTCAGATTCTTCACCGTTGATGACGGATCCCTGGTCTCCGTCATACCCTGAGTCGTCGTCGGCAGCGGATTCCTTGTCCTGATCATCTGCACTGTCAATGATAGTGGATTGGTCTGATCCCTCTTCGGCATAATTGGACGGGAATGCCTCGACTGAGCAAGCGCGGAGGTCGTCGTCTGCAGAAGCAACTTCACTGAGGTCTGGACCATGCAGTAACGAGAATCTGGTGTCAGGCTCATTCCCACGCCTAGAAACATTGCTTGTAACGAAATTCCGGAAGAGTACCTTAGCCTGGCTTGTGAAGCTGCCTCGCCCTCCTCGACTACAGCGACAGCATAACCAATGAATCTTGGTAGATCAGGGCTGTAGGCAAGACTACAAGGATGAAACCCCCAAAATGGAGAGACAGGCTTTGATGATGAAGGCCTTAATCCTAGAATGATACCGAACAGCCAGGTAGATTGAAGTGTACAGATGTAAGTCTTCGGAGGAGGTTAGGAGGAACAATCAATGGCTACGAGAACCTGTGCGTTGGTGAGTGTGACTGCACCTAAAGTTGCGACCTCCATGAGTTCTTGGTAGCAGGGTGAAAAGGGGCTTCCATTATGGCGCAGTAAGCATGATCCGATGCGAAGAGAAGTGGGAGGCAGACCAGGCACGGTGCTAGAGCAGATTGGCAGATCGGGAAGACCGGAGGGAATGGCATCTTGAGGGCTGTACTTTTGGTCCAATGCAGTATTGAGCGATATTCTGGTGATTGTGCTTGATGTTGTTGCTGTTGCTGTTGCTCTTCCTTTGCTTGAAATCGTGAGATGAGTTGAAGTGAAGTGGTTGATTGATTGATTGAGAAGATGTAGGTGGACTGGAGGACTTCTTCAACTTTCTATTCAATCGACACCGGATATTTAGAAGGAAACCTCACCGATGGCAGGGTTTCTCTCTTTAACATTCCCCAACCAATTCTTTGTGTCTCTGTTTATCAACGAAATCCCAATTTGGGCTGTTGCATGTTCTAATTAAATGCTGTCTCAGATGTCAATGCGAATGCCGCCATCAAGATATCGTCTTCTCAAAATTCGGCGCTGGCGCCCTGCTACCTAATACACAACAAAGCGCGGGCAGCACAGGTTACAGGTTCCTTATGCACAAACAGATGGTTCTTGCAAAGCCCCCGAAGCGTAGCCTCGCAGAGCGGAAGTTCATTTCCACAACAACACTGTCTCTATGACCTGCATCATTAATTTCACGATTGATTGCCAGAGATCTCACTCCCTGTGTCCTCTTCTTTGTCTTCGTGGGTGGAGTTGCTATCAGGGCTGACCGTTGTTTGGGTCATGATTGGGGTACTATCGGTCGAGAGATTTGTATCGTCCAAGATCAAATCAGAGACATCGTTGTCTATAACTGCGGACAGCGGCATGGAACTCTTGGTGCGTTCTTGAAGTTTCAGTTGACTGCACCACAAGTTATGATATGGTCCTTTGTTGATGATGAGCTTTGAGTGAGCCCCAGATTCGGTTATTCTACCATCTTCAATTACAAGGATCTGGTCGGCTTGGAGGATTGTGGATAAGCGATGTGCAATCACAAATGCGGTCTTACCGGCACAAAGCTTCGCTAAGGCTCCTTGAATCTGTGACTCTGTGATGCTGTCGACATTGCTGGTTGCCTCGTCTAGCAGCAAGATATTGGATTTCTTGAGGATCGCTCTGGCAATGGCAAGTCGCTGCAATTCTCCACCAGATAACTTGGTACCACGTTCACCGACCTTCTCGTCATATCCATTTGTGAATGTCATGATCTTGTCATGGAGAGCAGCTGCTTTGCATGCTTCGATTGCCTCTTCATCAGAACATTCAAGATCGGGATATTTGACGTTCTCCATAACCGTCACTATACATCGGGGAGGGTTAGAAATATAGAAGCACTTATGCGGGAGAGATTCAAGCATAGGAGTCTGTTCCAAATCATTGTCGGAAGATCATCATGCCAATTGCACACGGGAAATGGACTTACTGTTAAAAAGAGCTGGGTTTTGTGGGACGGTGGCAATGTGCTTGCGGAATGTCTCCATTTTGACTTTTTGAATATCCTGCCCATCAATGAGGATTCGGCCCTCCTCGAGGTCGTAGAATCGGTAGAGTAGTTTCAAAATCGTGCTTTTTCCGCCGCCACTGGGGCCTACTAATGCAATGGTTTTTCCCGGACTGGCTTGGAAGCTGATCCCGTTGCAGACTTTCCGCTTGCCGTCATATGAGAATGTGACATCTCTGAACTCAACAGCACCTTGGGTGAAATCAAAGGTTGAAGCATCTTCTTTATCACATGTGGCAGGCTTTTTTTCTAGCAGCACAAGTAGCTTCTCTGCTTGGACTAGTTTCTGCCCCATTGTCGTAAATTCATGCGCCAGCGAACCCAAAGGTCCCGTGAGCTGACCCCAGTAGGTGACCAAAACCACAAAATCGCCGATTTTGTGCTGCTGGTGGATGATTTGTATGGCTGCGATACCGCATGCTGCTACAAAACTGATAGTGGGGACGAGCTGACGAGCCGCTCGAGCCATTAAATCACAAAACCAGTATGTCATGAGCGCAGCTTGAGTAATACTGCTTTTATCACGGTACTTTCCAATTTCGTGTGGTATTTGGCCAAACTGGCTCACAGTAGTCCAGTTTGTCGATGACTCGGTCATTTGATAGTACTCGTCATGAAATGCATCTATCCATAATCGACGAAGAGTGGTCTTTTGTTTCAATGTTTGAAACATTAGCCAATAGAACATTACAACCGTGATCCCAATTGTGTAGAGCATATATGGGCCAAATAAAAAGGTCAAAATTGAAGCCGCGGCGACAAGATCAACGAGTGTGGGAAGGACGCCGAATATGGTGTCATGGAATAGGCTGATTACTTGTTGCCCGTTCTGCATGGAGCTCCACATGATGGAGGTCTTCTGAGAGTCATGAAACTCTGCCGATAGACTCATGATATAGTTGTAAGAATATCGATTCAGGTTTGTGGTCATATCCGTACTCACTTTGATGTGCAACCAGTCATTAAGCATGGGGATTCCAGCGGCCGAACTTGCCAGTTTCAGTGATCCATACAATATGATAGCTCTCCACGGCATTTCCGAGCTGTTGAGGCAGTCGATCACTCTACCGAGGCAGAGTGGTAAGGAAAATGCAATCAGCCGACCAAGCAGAGTGCATATTGACATGCCTGTCACATAAATTTGCTGTTCCCTGGAACTTGGATACATAAAGGGTATGAAAACCTTGAAGGAGGCGAGATACTCCCAGAACGGTCTTCTTCTGATATTTTCTCGGTCAAGCTCCTCTTGATCCTTCTCCTTCCCCTTCTTGGTCTTAGATGGTTCCTCTGAACTCAACAAAGGCTGAGCTTCATCTGCCATGCCGTCGTCCTGCGGTTTGCGGACGAAGAGGCAGATGGAGCCCACTCCAATTAGGCTGAAGTTGAGCACCAACCGACAGAGTTGAAAAATGAAAAGAAGCGGGAATAGGTTGGCTTCGTTCTCAATCTTTCGAATCACCATCACTCCGTTTGATAAGACGAACAGGATAGACCATGAACCATAATGCGGATACCCTGTAGCCCCCCAACAGCCGATCACACCAAGAAAGAGTATTGTCCAGATAAGGTTTAAGAAGAGCTGGTAGACAAGTTGTGGGTCAGCAGTGGAATAGGGGTCTGACTTCAGGGCAACCACAAAGGCTTCTACGGTGGTGATGACGACGATGAGACTGCTGATGCATATTTGGAATCTCCACAGATTCAGCCTCTCATGTTTTGTCTCGGCAGTGGAGAGGAAGGATTGAACAATTGCTGCAGTGGTGTAAAAAAGGAGAGGGGCGACGATGGTTGTGATCTGAAGTCCCCTTTGAAAGTTGTCCAGTATGTGACTTGACATGACTGTATGAATGAGGCCGGTGTCGATGTGATCAAGAAGACCACAAGAATGCCAGATGCCGTGCGAACTGGTTTTATTGCTTCAAGGTGGCTGCCTGGGCGTTGGACTGCGTCGCTAGCACGGGCAACGGTGAGGCTGAGTCGGTGTTTTTTGGTTCTCGCCCGAAAGACGGTCAGCTGAAATACTCGTTCACTATCGACTCATCCTTACGGCGCAAATTCTTTGAGAGCTTGAGGATGATGGAATTGGTTCTCTCGCAACCTGCCTTCGTAATTCGAAGATCAAAGGCAAAAAAGGGCAAAATTGCGAGCCAATCAGTTCTGGTGCGACTGGAAGGACGGAGCGACGTTGTCGTCGGCCTCCCGGAGAAAAGATGCCTTGCGTCTATGGTCTTGCAGCTGTTTGTTCGCAACCTCAACGTCGGCTACGAGGTAAGCTTTGGGCCTTTGCTGCCTGACAATGCCTCGTACAGACGAACAGGTGGCCGAAGAAAAACGGCCCGTTAGAGTTCGCCTTGAGTAGGAAACTGGACGTGCCTCGGCGCAGCAAATATTTAGTTAGGATGTTTGGCCCATGTATCAAGTCCATAATGAAGACACATCTCGATAGTGTAACAATAGTTCTAGAGTACAACATTGTCCTATACAAAAAATTCATAAAATCGCCATTGGCGACATGTTGGACCGGATGAGTTTACTGTATGCACTTCCCGCTTTCGTCCAACTCTGGACCAAAAAGGAATCCCTGGTTTCCCGAGAAATTGCTACAAAGACTCTTTCTCAAGCCTACGGAGTACTGGTGAATGTGATTGAGACTGCATTCAAGAACAAAGTTCCTTATGTTCCTGTTGTGTAACCGATATGACCCGCACCTGATCTCGTCTCTTCCATGCCGCCCCATTTATGGCAAATTCCGCCTTGGGGTTCCTGGGCCCTGACTTCTCATTTGTTTGCTTGTGGGCTGTTGTCCCGCCTGTAAGCGCATAGTCCTTGTTGATGCCTGGAGTCGGAAGTTTGCTCGAATGAAGAAGCTGGAATAGTCATGCAGTGGGAAGATAGCCGCCACGTGCCCACTTTTGGTGAATGGCAGACTCGAAGTGCAAAGGAAAGCGCGGCGGTTGTTGGCACAATTGAGCACGGCGTCCATTGAGGACGTTGGAACGCACATACCGATTACAACTTTGGCCCAGTTTGGTGACACAGATCGGCAGAGACGCCACTCATGCTTGGTTGGGACTGTATCCTTGGGAAAGGATTTTATGCACCTGGGCCCTTTTGATCGTGATTAAAGACTGGTGATTGCTATCCTCGGCCCAAGTCAAGTTGCCTAACCATCGGCAGACGAGAGCTTTCCGGCGCTTCAAGACCGAGGAAAGGGAGGACAGCAGCCTGAACAACTTCCCTCAATAGTCCCCCTACAATGCTGTCCTGCAGATCCTGCCCAGTTTGTTTGAAGTCGGGGTACGCATTTAATTCCAAGAGCCAGACATTAGCACCCTGGTCGACCAAGAAATCCACACCAAAAATTTCAAACGCATTGGGCAATGTTTGAAAATGAACCATTTGTTCTCTCGCGGCTGCCTCGAACACGTCCCCTGTGATTTCACATATCTGTTCGAATATTTGTTCTTTATTCTTGGGCGCTTTTTCCGGGAATTCAAGATCCCAAAATGCATGGACCGACGAATTCTTGGTTGAATCGTCCTGGAAACAGGTATTCGTCAAATGCTCCGATAGATTCAGCAACTCCGTGTCTTCGGCCTCTGAAGGAGATCGGTAAGGAAGTGCTGCAAAGAGGGCCAACATCTCCTTGTACACATATACCTTTAACGCACCAACAGCCAATACGTAGGTCCGAATATGGAACTTTCTTCTGCTATAAGCGTCGAGAAGCAGAGGTGGATCAATGTACGGCTGAGCGATGAAATGCCTGAGTTGTGATGTCATTGCGTTACCATCACACTCATCTTGGGCTGCCTCGTCCTCTTGGACCATATCAGGATTGTGGTCTTGCATTTCGTCACTCTCTTCATTAGTTTCACTATCCTCTTGTTCTTCCCACTCCTCGAAGATGGATTGGAGTTGTGCAATGCTAGCGAACAGTCGAATGCCATTGCCGCCATCGCTCATTCCTGGCTTTAGAATCCACCACTGCTTTTCGTTGGGTGACGTTGCCAGGTCATTCTTGACCATACTCTCGTTCAAGTCCCACGCGTCTACAAGTGCTTCGTCAAGAAACTCGGCGTAGTCAAGCTCAAAGTGCACACCTGGTTGAAAATGCTTGGCCAATGTGCTGTGTTGATGCTTTACCAGCCACGTGGAAATTGTGTTGGACAAGTAATGTTTACGGGTCAACGCCTTTCGTATGACGTAGGCGCAAACAAGCGAGCTTTTGGGATACTTCATGGCATGCTCGAAATCCAACGATTCATAGCTTGAAAACTGAAGTACGAGATCTGTGACATTCTGAAGCTCACTGAGAGATGAGATGTAGTTGATCGATATATTCTCTAGAGCTTGAAGAGCCTGTATCAGTAATGGCTGCACGTATGCATCCGGATAGGCAACCACTGCATTTAATGTTCGGGGTTGATCTCTTGCAGCGGTGGAAATACAGTTGGGACGGGCGTCCGCGCTGGCTCGGGTTCGTTAGTATCCACTTGCGTCTGGAATTCCAACCATTTGCATCACATGACAAACTTACTCACAGCTTGATTTCGCCAGTGTAATGCGGCAAATGCCAATAATTCGCGACTAGTGGTGTGACACTGCTCATATCAGCATGAATATTCGACGAGACAAGACTCCAAGAGACGTACGTGACATTGCCTTGTTGCACCTCCCAGCCGTCACCCCTTTTCGCATCTGCCACAGCACTGTGAACGTCTGCAAAATTCGGTGACCACTTGAACTTGCGATGAGCTCGTCTAGGGCGTATACTAGCTTTTCCATTCGTAGTGTTGTCACCATCACGAATGGCCTGCTCTTCTAAATTTGGATCGGCATCCTCCGCTTCCTCAGGAAGCTCTTGGAACGAACTCCCGCTAGTCCACCTATTTTGCAACATTTCAGTGTACAAAATCTTATTGTTCTCGAGCCCTTTTCTAAGAGGAACGTTAATACTGTAAAGATGCACGTCCTTGGGCCACTCATTGGCCAGCTTATCGATCAGTTTGGTGCTCAAATTGCTCGCAGCAGAAATAATCTCCGGGTCGTGTATCCTCGAGTCAAACGCATAGGATAAGGCAATACTCTTGGTGCCATTAACTGCACTCTCGAGTGCACCGCCGATGGTCCCACTCGAAAGAGCAAACACCGCAGTCGTGTTTCGACCGTAGTTGGGCCCGCTGACAACCAGGTCGATAGGGGGCCTGTCCTTAAATACGTGATGAAGACCAATCTGCACACAGCTTGCAGGTGTGCCGTCAATGAGGATCCACTCCTCGCCACCATCATCGAATGGGCGCTCCGAGGTGATACCATCGTCACTGTAAAGGGTGCCCGGTCGGAAATAGGTCGGGGTCAGTGTCTGGCCCACCATGTGTGCTTTACCGATCCACGACCTTTGCACATGGGGCAGAACCACAGATACTAAGTGGCCAGCTTTCTCAAATGTGCTCACCAGTGAGTGGACATATGGCGAAGATTGATTTGACGGCGGTCCATCGTCATTTACAACCTGATGCGATCATGTGAGTGGGTAGGTCTACCAAACAAAGTTGATTCAGACTGTATGACTTACAAGGATATGCATGGTTGGGAAAGAAATGGCAGCAAACTCTCTACTCTAGAAATGAACGCCGGAACAATAATGATCGAACCAGTCACTTTGCTAATATCGAGGAGTGGAAGATTATATCGATGTCGATATTATGGAAAAACTTTCGAACCACGTGGGCCCGTAATTCTTCCGAGCCTCGGAGTGACAATGTTCGGAACTCGGGATAACAGTATTTCCGGTTAGCCCTCCATCTCCAACTGCTGTACGGAGTATGGCGATGTCAATCTACGCCTCGGTCTACTCTCCTCCTCGTTCGACCTAACATCAAACACAATGCTGCGAGAACGACACCGATCACGATCCCGCTCTCCCCACCGGCCTGATCGAAGACAAAAACACAGAACTCGATCACCACACCAAAAAACACCGTCTGTGAAACGACCGCTTCCGCTCGGTGCCCATGAAATATCTCGCCATGACCTCCCCAAGTACCGGCCAATGTTCGCCCTGTACCTGGACATACAAAAGCAGCTTGACATTGAGGGCCTGGATGAGACCGAATCAAGAGGCCGGTGGAAGAGTTTCGTGAGTAAATGGTACGATGATGGTCCTCCTTACTCTGCCCAAGCTTGAGCGCTTGAGCGCTGGTTGGCGAAGATGAATGTGGAGCCGCATTGATGCTGACATGGCAGGAATCGTGGAGAACTCGCAGAGGGATGGTACGACCCTCATACACTTGAAAAAGCCAAATCAGCCTCTGTATCTACGCCTGAATATGCACTTAGCCATCCTGTTTCCCACAAGAAACGCAAGGTCACCGCATCAGATCATAGCGAAAACGACGACGACGCTGGTGATGACTACGGTCCAGCACTGCCCTCTAGTGAAAGCACTCTACGGCGAAGCTTCACAGACAATGGGCCGGTGTCCGGAACTGGAGTCGGAGCTTCAATTCCAACCCTCGAAGATCTGCGAGCCCGCGACGATGAGGCCCGTCTCGACTCAGAGCAGGCCGGAAAATCTCAGTACGCCTCCCTCAAGCAGGAACGCACGCTCGATCGCAAGGAGCAAAAAGCACTACTAGACGATCTCGCACCACGGGCGGAGGCAGGGACGCGCGAGCGCCAGCTGGAGAAGAAGCGAGAAATCGCGGACTCGAATCGAGCGTTTGCGGCAGCGAAGGATGGCGGTGGCGATGCGGATCTACGAGATTCCGATATTATGGGTGACGAGAACAGTCTAGGCGAGGTGAAGAGGATGAAGAGGGAGAATGAGCGCAGGAAGAATGAAAGAGAGATTAGGAAGGAGGAGATTCTACGTGCCAGAAAGGCTGAGAGGGAGGTCAGGCTGGCAGCTTTGAAGGAGAAAGAGGATCGGACAATGCAGATGTTCAAAGATATTGCAAAGGCGCGGTTTGGTGGCGATCATGATGACGAGTAAACTTAAAAGAGACAAGCACATTTCAAAAATTATGGTATTGTCTAACCAAAAACACGAATTTTTGAACCTGCCACTTTCCCCCACAATCCAACAAACATTACTACACGGTTATCATCTCTTCCAATCAACTTGCTGACAACGCGGCGAGAGCATCTGTGCCATCCTGGGGCTGGGACGAGCTGGCTCCATTTGTCGTAGAAGCGGAGCTGAGATCCTTCGCCTTATTCTGTGCCGCCATTTGCCAAGCGGGGATAGCAGCAGCCTTGTTGCTGGAGCCTGCAAAGGGTGCCGCCGACACTGGTCTCATAGCGGGCGACGCTACAGGCACTGAAGTTCCCGCGGGGTATGGAGACTGCTGCGTGTTTCCAAACGAGGAAGGCTGACGAGTAACAGGAGGAGCACCCGGCGCATTTTCTGTGGAAGGAGTTGCAGCTGTGGTATTTGTACTTGTACTGGGAAGAGTCCCTGGCTGTGTGCGCGGGATCGCTGAATTTGTTGGGCTAAAAGTGCTGGCAGAACCCATGCGATTTCCCATAAGCAGTTTCAGACTTGTCAACTCGGTGCTCAGTTCCTTCAGCTGTCGTTCGCTCGCATCTTTGACACTGTCTATCGACCTCGGAAGACTGTCTTTCATAGTCTTGATTTCGCTCTCCATGCGGCGAGCGTCGTCTTCTCTTCTCATATTCGCTGCTTTGAGATCACTGACTATGGATTCGATGTCCCCGATGGCGTTATCCAGACGCTGCGTTCGAGCTTCTTCGGCCTCTTTCAGTGAGGCAGTATCGGACGCTAGTGTGTCGATAAGAGCGAATGCCTTGTTGAATTGTTCATCGATGGCGGCTTTGTCTTGTTCAAGCTGAGGAGGTGTAGGTGGTGCTATCAAGGGCCTGATATATCTCTGAGCGAGGACATAGAGACCATAGCTGGCACCTCCAACTACTGTGGCCATGATGAAGTAGTCCCGCCAATCTCGACGCGGAGGCTCAGGAGGCGGAGGCGCTTGCCATTCGCCATATGGATTATAAGGATATGGATATGCTTGATTTGGTGGACCTCTCCATTGTTGTTGAGGTGGGGGATAGTATTGCGAATTTGGAGGAGGAGCTACCTGGGAGGAGTCATTGGCCGCTCGAGCAAGGGAGAGGTCGATTTCTTCTTGAGTAAGGTTTTTGGATTTGAGGAACTCGATGCGTTTTTCCACAGGGGCTGTTGCGACCGATGGATCCTGTAAGAAGGTAACAGCGGATGAGATGAGGTCTTCTCTAGGTGCCATTATGGGCAGAAAGGAAACGACTTAGATCAACGCATGCGGTACTCCGTGTTTCTGAGTTCCTGATGAGATGTGCAAGAAGGGCGACTGTGAGGGTCAAGGGGGGTGGCAGGGAGCCAAAGAGCACACGAGTAAATGATAAATGAGCACGATGAATTGATGGAAGCCGAATTGTCGAATGTCCTCGTTACCAGCCTCCGAGCGACAAAACTCCAAGCCGAGGTCCAGTGCCACGTGACTTAGGTGAGACTTGCTGAGTCATTCGTCGTCGTGGTGATTGACGCTGCTTGGCAGGCTAGGCTATTTTCGGCGCGATTGTTGACATTGATATCAGCACTAACACAAATCCACCTACATGTACTCCACCGGTTAGACAGTACCTTAGTTCTGCAGTAGAGCGTTCACTTTAGATCTTTACTACAACCAAACACAGAATCATCAACACCATTTCGCGTTGCTCCTGGTCCATATCAATCATATCGATCATATCGCTCAGTTGCGCAACGCGCGACCACGTTTACCATGTCGCAACCAACTGGCATGTTCAGCGTGCGCAGGCCTCGCGAGACCCTGGGCAACATCCAGAACTTCTCTGGCATCCCTCAGCCCGCTTCTGCTGTGAAGCGCACTTCCTCTAGTAATGAGCTGCGCAATGTCCCATACACTGCTTCTCATATCCGATCTACCTCCATCAACCAGAACATGCAGCGACCTGCTCAGCCAAACTTTCATCGATCATCCTCGGGGGGAAATCTCGCAGATATGGGAATGTCAACAGCCCGACGATCCGCCTCGACGAACATTTTTGCAGGAGGACACACAGGCAGACAGAGTCTTGCTCCCAATCAGCTCTTTGGTTCACAGACGCCGGCTTCACAGAGTCTACAGAGACGAAGCAGCATTTTCTCAAGGCCCTCAGGCCATGCGCCAGTGGCGCATCAATCTTTCTTTTCGCAGCCACCTGTCCCAGCTGGGCTCCCCAAAGATCCCCGACCATTGAGAGATTCGTCGTATAGAGCGCGACTAAGCCAAGAACTGTTGGACTACTTGACCCAAAACAACTTCGAGCTGGAAATGAAGCATTCATTGACACAAAACTCAGTCAAGTCTCCCACTCAAAAGGACTTTACTCTCATGTTCCAATGGATATATCGCCGCATTGATCCTGGATACAAGTTTCAAAAGAGCATCGACACCGAGGTTCCTCCAATCATGAAACAATTGCGATATCCATACGAGAGAGATATCACCAAATCCCATCTAGTTGCTGTCGGTGGTCAGAATTGGCCACGTTTCCTCGGGCTACTCCACTGGATGATGCAGCTAGCACATATGCTGGACAATTTCTCCAGAGGTGCTTACGATGATGCGTGCGCGGAAGCTGGAGTTGACGTGGGTAGTGACCGGATCGTCTTCAGATTTCTCTTTGGAGCTTACCAGGACTGGCTACAAATGGGCCCAGAGGACGACGAGGAGAGTGAAGAGGCCGCTCTACAGCCACATATGTTGGCAATGGCAGATGAATTTCAGAGAGTCAACGCAAAACATGTGGATGAGCTCAAGCTTTATGAAGCCGAACATGAGGCACTCAAAGCGCAAGTAGAAGAATTCGAAAGAAATGCACCTGATGTTGGCAAACTCGACAAACATTTCAAAATCCTCGAGGACGACAAGAAGAAATTTGAGGAGTACAATCTCAATGTCCAGACCAAGATTGAAAAATACGATTCAAGGATTAAAATCCTCGAGGCCGAGATCCAGAAAGTCGAAGCAGACCTCCAAATGGTTGAGCAAGAACGGCACAGTCTCCAACAATCGGTGGACCGACAAGGCCTGAACATTCAAGACATCGATCGTATGAACACCGAACGCGATCGACTGAGCAAGAGCCACGAGGACGCTCTCGCCACTCTGGACGAGGTAAACAAGAAAGTCCTCGAGAAGGAAGCCGAAACCGCACAAAAGCTCGAAGACCTTGAAGCAATCGTCAAACGCTACAACTCACTAGGCTACCAACTATCCCTTATACCCTCCACCGCACACAACGCCAAGGGTGCCTCATATGAGCTCAGCCTCAACATCTCGGAAAATCCCGTCTTCTCCTCCTCTCAACAATCTCGCCGCCGCACAAGCCCAAACTCGTCGTCCGACCGGCTCCTCTCCTCCCCCAACGTCGGCTACTCGCCAATCCACCTCCTCAACCTCGACCTGCGCGGCCAAGTGCGCAACACATTCATCACACTCCGCAAGGACATCAACGAACGGCGCAAGGCGGCCGCAGACGCCGACCTCAACGCGCGCGACTTTCTGGACAACATCTCTGAGGCGCTGCACGAGAAGAATACCGAGATCGACAACCTCAACTACCGCGTCAACGAGGCCAGCCACGCGTACAACGCGCTCAAAGAGAGCAACAACACAATTTACACGCAGCAGACCTCCGCGGTCGAGAAACTCGAGAAGGAGCTCGCCAGGATGCGAGAGGGCTTGGAGCGTGGTGTCGTTGAGCTCGAGCAGCGCGAGATGGAGGTCGGTGTGGCCTGGGAGGCTATGCGCGAGGAGGCGGCGCGCGTAAGGGAGGAGCTGCATTCGGGGATTGAGCGATGTCTCGAGGATGTGATTAGATTCAAGGTGCATGTGCAGAAGGGCCTGGAGGAGTTCGAGGGCTGGGTTGGTGATGAGGTTGAGCTGGAGCTGCTGGGCGACGAGATGGAGGGCTTGGCTGTCAACGAGAGTGAGCACGCTGATGATGACGCGGATGCCCGTTGAGACGGAGCGTTGGCTTCCATTGACTTACGATATACCAGGTCCAGTCCGCCAGCTCCTCTTACATGCTGGGGACTGTCGCTACTTGGATGCAAACAACTACCCTACGACAGGGGGATGAAAGCATGCATCAAGGTTGGCTTGGATCGCTTGTGTGCTTGGTATTGGAGGCATGTTGGTTTGATGGCCTACATATATGACGAATGTAATGTGATGATTGTGACGACTACAGGAGCCTGTGGATGGTCGGATGGTCGGTGTTTAGATGAGGTATTGACTTGTGGCGGGAGAGTGCAACACAGGGTCTTTCACCGCGGAAGGCTTGAATACGGGAGAGGACTTTGAGTCCTTCCAAATCATCATTGGCTTCTTCATTTCCTCGTTTCAGACATAGAGAGACTTGCTTGTGTGTCTCTTGCGTTCACTAGGATTCTTCCACAATGCCGGCAATTCCTAAGGCCCCGTAGTCCAGTCGGCTGGGAGTATCGTATAATTACCCACCGCGTTGCTAGGTCTGAATTGAGTGCGGGGGGTTAATCGTGTCTCCAGATACCCAATCTACAAGTGATGGGTTTCGTCGCGGGTGGTTTGACGGCTGCACCTCTCTGCGGAGAATTCGTCGCGGTGGGTGCACAATTTCTGAAACACCAGATCTAAGTCTGACTCAACGCCGGTTGCTGTTCAGCCTGCTGGTCCCTCATCCGGCAGCATCTCAATTTGTCTGACCAGAAAGCTCTTCTCATCCAGAAACTGGTCATCGTCGGTCCTGCCCTCAAGAAAAGTTGGCAGAAACTTCAATAGTCTCCCTTTGTTCTTAATCAAGATCTTCCTCACCTCCTCGCTCTTGTTTGGATTCGCAACAAAGACTTTGAACACGTGAAATGCTTCGTATTGGACCATTTTTCGGTCATCCTTGAGCAGGTTCATGGTTAATTTGAGGTTGTCACCACTAGCAACATACTGGGTCATAATGACATAGTTTGCGCGGTCCAGGAGTAGTTCACCCAACAGTTTTATGGACTGTCGTTTTGTGACATACGAGGACGAGAGTAGAAGTAAAGGGTTATATTGCAAGGTGAAGAAGAGGTCGTAGTTGGTAGCGAGGTATTGGGATACGAGTTGCTTGTGCTTTGTGAGTATTTCCTAGACACGAAGGCGTCAGTCACTTCTTGGTCGTCATGGAGTCACCTGTGGCGGGAACCTACCCTAAACGTGGTAAAAGCGTCAGCACTGACTTCGAATGTGCCTTTGTTGATCCAAGTGAAAAACTGCCAGAAAAGTCCCCTGCCGGTCTGCTTCTGGCTGACATCAACGTCTTTCAATTGAACGGCTTTCCCCAGGGGTTTCGACTCGTCATATAGTATAAGTGCAGCAATGGTATCATACTGCAAGGCCTGTCTCAGAATAGTACCGCATGGCATGGCACTCTGAGAGTGTTCGTAGCCCCGGCAGAGCTCGACAATGATCTCAGGCCGCTGCAGAACGAGGTAGGAGATGGCAGAGGGATCTCCCGACTGTGCATTGGCGGGTTTGAAGCGGAGGATATGGGAGAAGATAATTTGGGCGTCTTTCCGGGCCTCGAACGGGAGGAGCCGGATGCTTTTGGCGAGTTCAAAAAGAATATCTTCTTGAATTATACAGGAGACTAGTTGGTGGACTTGTTCGGGGCTGCAATCCACTTCTGAAAATGGCATTAATGGGTCGCAGGGGGCGGTTGCAGACAGATCAACTCACCAGGAGTGCCTTGGACAATCAGCTTCATCTGGGACATGTATTTGGCAACATCGTCCTCGACCTGCGCACACAGCCAGTCAGCGCGTGCATTAGAGCCTGCTTCGACAGCAACAGACCTTTGGATTATCTTCCAATTTGAGCAGGACCTCTTTTAATGATCTTGCAATTTCAGCCGGAGATCTCTGGCGGCCCCTCCCACCGAAGAGGAAAGCCATATTGGCGGATAGATAGAAGCTGGGAGTGCGCAGCAGGTCAGCTAGTCAGTTGGTCGGTCAGCCTGACAGGGTGGACGACGGCGGTGTTGGAGGAGCCTTGTGCTAGGACTGTGTGGTATGGCGGTGGTGCGGGACGAGACGAGGGCGCAGGCAAAGGCGAATTGCAGATTCCAATGTTTACCATTCCCGTTGATTAGGTAACCGGCCTCGCGTCCACGTGCCACCCGTGCGGTGCGTGCAATTCACGAATATAATATCAAACTTACATGGAGAATGAACCACCAATCCACAATGCCCTCAGCACGTCTCAGAAGCGTCCAAATATCAAGGACAGCAACCCCAGTCTCGAGTCGTAGAGATCGGCGGTGGTCGACACACGGTGCAATCAGCGCAATCAGGACAATCCCTATACTAACCAGAACGTTCGCCACGCACGCCCCTTCAATGATACCATGCACAACGTCGGTGCCCCAGTCAATGTCTTCCATGGAACAATCAGTACCAGTTAATGACGGTGAAAGCGAGTGATGGCCGTTCCTTCTGTTCTGATATCATGCCAGTGCTACGAATGGTGGGCGGGATGATAGGCTTATCCACTTCTGACCTGGCAAACATATTCCGATGTCTTCATCAAGGCAATGCAATCCAATCAATGAACATATGTGAGTAACTTGAATCGAGCTAAAGGTGAGGATTGGAGCCTAATGAAGGAGCTTTGTGTGAGAGTCGATCTTTGGCAGAGGAAAGTTGACTCCTGAAGACGCGTTCGTTCTTTCCTCGTCAATACCGCGTACGACCGCGTAGAACCGCGTAGGAACGTGTGCCTTCCGTTCAGCCACAACGCGACTTGGACGAGTGGACAAAAGTGGAAGGAGCGAGAGCGATGTGTGACCAGCCGTGGAAAACAACTCAAAACCAACCTCACCTCGTGTATAGCATCTTAGCATGCACCACCTCATCCTTGTCTACCGAGGAGATATCTCCATCTAGACCATAGCCCAGGCCAACATGATCCGCTTGCCCCCTACAAGTATCTCCCTCTCCGAGCATGACATTATCTTTCACATCCAACAGCTTGAGATCTATCAAGGCCTCCTGAAGCAGGGGTTCAGCAAGCAGGATATCTGTCGTTATCTTGCAGATGACAGAAAGGATACTCTACAAGAGACTGCGTCTTGGGCTCAAAGTCTAACCACCCGTGCCCCAACCACTCTCGACTTTGCATGTCAAGGCGGAGAGGAATCCCCATCTCCGGACAGCTTGGGCAGAAAGAGCACAGATAAAGCTTTTGATCGATTATCCGTCTTGGGCGAACCTTGCACATCAGACGAAGATGTGACAAGCCCCACCCTGAGTGACAAATACGAAGACTCCAGCGACGAGAATGCCCAATCTATCTCACCAGCTGTAATTTCCCCTAGGCTGACATCAAATGTACATGCTCCACGCCAGAGCTCTCTTCTTCGGTTTTCCACCGCTGTCTCTCCCGAACGTCAATCTAGCTCCTCTCAACTCGCTCAGACACCCCAACTGCCTAGTTCAGTTCGTACGCGACGGTATAGACCCAGAAGTCAGACTTACCCCTACCATTCGTCCGAAAGAGAACAGTCTTCTACTGCTGCATCTGAACAACTGAGTGAAAGAATTGCTCAGCTTTCCTTGGAAGAAACTGCGTCCTCTTCCTCATCAGACGAGATCTCCCGTCTTCCACCACCTCGCTCAGATGCTCTTCGTCGACGTCCCACATTCGTCGCCCTGAGATCCATTGCCGGTCTCATAGAAAGCCCCGAGGAGCGTTCTGAAAGCAGCTTGCTTCCAAATGACCAGCAGTCCATTGTGATTAGTCCTCGCCATAGTCCCTTGTCCCACCCTCTTGACCAGCGAATCGATCTACCAAGTTCGCCCCCGAGTCATAACTCTTCGTCCAGCGACGTATTAGCGCAACCTTCAGCCGGATTGAACTCGCTGACATGGCCAAGCACTCCTATTACCTCCAGGCGAATCGCTACCTCGGCTCAAACAGAAGATCGAGATCATGAACCAAGATATCTAGACGGCAGTGTATTCTCAGTGTACAACGACTCTCTCCCTGCCAGCTCTCAGCCTCAAACGCCTGCTGATCTTTCACGAAGTCGCATCATCACAGAGCGCGAAGCAGCATACACAGCTCCGCCGGGCATGATGCGATTCGGATCTTTGTCAACTACCCCACGCGAGCCACCGGCCTTTGTGGGAGGTGTTGGGGAGCAAAGCCCGGTCCTACGTGCCATTAATATGCGAGAAAGACGTAGTAGGGAGCTTTGGAGGAGCATGCGAGTCGAAGGTGCCAGAATGCGGAGAAATAGGTTGAGAGGTGAAGGATTGTTTGACGAGCCGACTCCAGGCAATGCTCGTGTACGACGGAGACAGAGAGGTCTGGAAGAGCCTTGGAGGGACGACTTGAACGCTGACCGAGTGGGCGAGGAGAATTTTGAGGCCGAGTTCTCAATCCGACACGGAGGAGTCATGAGAGTTGTAAGCGGTAATGCCAGGGGCCAGCCCTAAGAGAACAGGTACTTGTGCTGTCACTGCTGTGCAAGTCTCTTACAAGGTATTCCCAAGACCCAGTTGGGTTGGCAACTGCTATTGATAGATGTCAGCATGAGTCCCTGTCTTTACGTTGATCAAGCATTGTTTAGACCAAAGGGCGCATCTTCTCAGCAGACACAACATCCTATTTCGCAATGAACATCCTAACCCTCAGGCCACGAATGCCGACAAAGGACTGTATCAGTTCGCAGCGCTCTGGATCAATAGCACCCATCGGGCGAAAATACGTGACTATCAGATCAACCTGCGAAACGAAAGAAGAGAAAGAAAATTGAAAATAGAACAGAGCAATAATATCGCCTGACATCCAGCTTCTGACAACTGAGCTGTCTCTGTTGCCCGGCGAGTCTCCGCTTGCGCCTCCTGACCCCGCTAGTTTGGCTTCTGTTGGCTCATCGAGTCTTGCTTCATGAGCGACAATTCTCCCATAATAAGCGCAAGGTGACGGTTCGATTCGTGCTCAGCCTGAGCGCATCTAGGTTGAACATGCTGGCTGTCGTTGACTTGCACATCTGATATAAGCGAGCTTCTGCTCTTGTTTCACCTACTACGATGCCATCAACCCATCATCATGGCATAATTAATTAGCCCATTGCTGGAGCCAAGGCTAAGCTTTCCTGCCCAGCTTGCCGCTCAAGACTTGCCTTATCCAACATGAAAAAGCTCAATCAACAGGACGACGACGGAGTTCCACCGAAGGACCATGCTGGCTGGTCTGCTGGTTTGACATTGCTGCATTACCTATCCCCCGTTTTCCACCCAAGCTACCACACCATAAAGCGAAGCACGCTTTAGGGCACATCCTAGGATACCTAACCCCCCTTAATAGCTGCACAGTGCCGGTCTTGAGTTCTGGAAACCTGCAGCTTGCCGTCGTTCCATCCCGGCCAATGCCCCATCGGACATTTGTCAAGCCTTGGAATCACTAATGAAACCCAGCATCGTGGTATTGAAACCCTCAAATAAGCGTTCCCGGCTGTCACCTCGTGTCTGTCTGATGCGAATCATTCCTAGCGGGTCGCGGTCTCTTGGTGTTGACGTGCGGAAGATCGAGACGAGGCTCGGGACCATGCGTGGTACCTCCGGCCACACGGATCACAGATCGTGTATCTGCAAGATGATGTGCAGATGCACCAGACATGAAGACCGATTTGTATTTCCGTACGACTTATTCATTGCCAGCTTGACTAGCCTAGCTGTACATAGGTACTCAACCCTCTCCTTTGGGCGAAATCAGAAAACCAATCCATTGAACTGGTCTGATAGGTTCTTGGTTAACGATTCTAAATAGTGAGGGCATACCTTAAGGGACTGATGCCCTTATTATTTAGTTTCTAGAACGATCTGGAGTCTGGAGTCTGGGCACTAGACAGGCCTTGATGATAGTCATTAGTGATCCGACATCAATAGAAGCTGCGGGCTGGCATGTGACTCTCATTAATCAGTTATGGTGGACTCAGAGTTTCTATATCTATGCAAGAGAGGGCGTTACAACTACTGAAATCAATGGGCGGCGACTCTAGCAGTGCGTCAGCAGTCCAGGTCAGGGCTATTTAGGGATCTTCTCAATTACGTCCTCATATGCGAGGCTCTGGTTTTAGTGACCCCGAACGCTCCAACCCGAATGGCAGATGATCAATGTGAAAGGAAACGTCTCCACGTAGTATTCAATACTCCACGAGCATTGAAGACTGGAACGTGTACACAAGACGTGCAAGACAGCTTCTTGGGGAGCACCATGTTGGAAGCTGGTGTATCTACCTGGGTAGGTCTAAGGTAACCATGGCCTCGCCGGGCTGAATGCATCTAGATGTCCTTGCCCTCCTTCCCTCAGATGACAGGAGCAAAGAATTCACTCAACCTGTCTCTTACAAAACACGAATGTGAGGGATGGCCTCTACCGCCGACGGGCAAGTGGGGATATATATCCTGGATAAAAGAAGTTGAATACAGAAGCTATTCTGTTGCAATGGGTTTTCTCACGATCCTGCTCGGTATACTTTGTCCTAGCAAGATAATAATATATGCTGTAAACTAAACTAATGAAGCAAAGCAAATATCATTCCCATGGCTGCGATTGTGCAGACTCTACATTCTACCGTGTTTGACTGTTACGCATAAATCTGTGCTTAAGCAACCACAGCCTCGCTAGCGCCACTGATATGGCGGTCTTCTCGGAAAGGAGACGACAAAACCATTCCACCTGTCTAACAATTGAACAGTTGTCCTTGTTACAACTTGTTCGCGGGTAACTTGACGTTTGGGTGAGAAGTTTAGTAAGTTGCGGTGAAGGTGGCCAATTTTGCGCTCCTAGATCCGCAAATGTTGGGGCAGTGATTACGTGATATTACTGTCTCTTTTCATAGCACTCGTCTTTTGTATCCCGGCCTTGTCAAGCCTCCTAGCGACGTTGCAGAATGCTTAGCTTAACCAATTGCCCATGCTGCAGCATACCTCGGGGCTCTAGCACCTTTTTAAGTAGTTGGTCCATGTTACACCGAGTTTATTGAGAGCGCAGCCACTGCGGTGAGAATGCAGGCGAGGCTGCGTGCGACTGACGGGGCATACTTAGTCTTCGCAAGGCCGGATTGGTGATATGTCAACACGAGCTGTCAAATACTCAGTGTAGCATAGTCCATCATTGGATAGGAAACAATTCCCGCAACTCTCGAGTCAGGATGAGACAATCTCGCTCCATAAGAGGCTGTGAAATATCAGCTTCAGAGTCGTGGAACCACAAATGTACTTCATGAAACGCCTGCATGATCCTGTGCATTAGTGATGAGGCCTGACATCAAGCTGCAGGAAAGCCAAAGCGGGAGGGAAGGGAAAAGCAAGCTTCCCCGTTGGTTCTGCATGCAGATGTGAAGGTAGGTTGCTGCGAGCATCGCGTTGAATCTGCATCAAATGACGTGTGCAGAGCTCCCGCTTCGGAATGCGTGAAGCGGTGGTGTTTGCGCATTGGATATAGGAACACCAGCCGCTTTCACGTCATGCAAAATCGTAGGCAAGACGTTCAATGGAATTTGAAGCCCCTATCGCCTTCCCTATCACAAATGGCCAATTGGCGTTGACAAGCAGCAGTGCCTCTACACCGAACAGCCGTCGTAGTTTCCAGCCCATTCATCGACGTGAGACCTCGATAGTCAAACGGCGATTAGGAAATTGATCGTCGGAACTATTTGGGAGAGTCTCGGGCTTCCAGACATGTTACAAATAACGAGTACGCAGCTCCAGAATAATCTCGCGAGACTAGATAATTTCACTACTGTCACACTACGAGAATATCCATCACCCTGGTGAATTCGGGCAATCGGGGATCTCCAAATGCAAGTTAGCTGTCTCGTGCATACTCAACACGTGGTCCAAGCTCAAGCAGCAGTTCGATTGTCGTAGGTTTCTGATCCCAATAGCAAGTAGTTAGCCTCCGAATGTTCCTGTGTAGTATATGTGGACTATGTGGCCTAATTAATATGTGGGGCCTTCATCCGAAACAGAGAAGAGACCTTTTGATCTCCGCGTCTCATGTGGGCACTTCCTCGTCTGCCACATGATCGAGGCCTGTGGTTGCCGGGGAGTAGTCAGGATACCAAGTACAACTTGAAGAAGGCTGGCAATGGCTCTACTTAGCTAGAGGGACCTGCTCGCAACTGGCTACAGTGTTTGGTAACAGCCAGTGTACGGAATTCCTTGTGATGCTATGGGAGTACTCAAAGGTGCCGGGCCAACCCCGTAGTTCACACCGCTTGTCCAACATCTGTGCTACGGTATCAATCTGATGTTCTGAAAAGGCTCCTTAGGAACCCAACTGTTTGGGAAACTCTAGGATTTCGCTTACGCTCCACCCACTGCACCCCGTCGCGTTGAAAAGCTTCATTTTCTTTGACCCTTGGCGATGGCGTCGCAAGGCTTCCAGAATGTCCATAGCAAGGGCTTGCAAGCCATGAACATTTGACCCACAAATTGACCCATCCACAACTGGCGTTCTTCAACGCGCCATCGACGGGGAATTGACCTTTCATAGGCATTCAGGACGAGCCAAGCAGGTACTATTCTGAGAAACACTGATATCAAGGGCTCGCGGTCAGCGGAGAGATCACCGGTGACGGCTTTCTCCAAAATGCAAGACCTTGAATGGGAAGACTTTGCGAGCAGCGTAGACACGAACAAATCCATAATGGGAAAACGCTGTTAGATTCTCATTGGGCTGTTATTCTCAAACAGGTTGTTGAGACCGAGGTCGCTATTGCGGGCGAGACTAGGATCGGACCACATGCAAGAAGTGCGGACGGCGCGGGGGGTACCCTAGGCTCTTGCATTGTTAAGCAAGTCGATGGTGGTTGACCTGTAGTATTTGGAGTAGCAGTTAGAGTCATGAGTCGTGACTGGCCATGCCTGGGATGAGGGCGGCAGCATCATGGAGCATGGCACCACTCTATTTGAGGAAATGGGGGTGAGAAATTGGCGCTTTGGGATGGGGACGAAGCGGGAAAGATGACTAGGCGAAGTTTCAAACAACCTTGCGAGTACGTTAGCACATTTTGACGGAGCTGAACAGGCTGATAGTTCTTCCTGTGAGCCATTGTTCCGCAAAACAAACATGGGATAATAGTAGATGATGATGATGATGGTGATGATGGGGTTTTCCTTTCTGATTTCACTGGGCGAACAAATCCTGGCTTACGCCGAATGCGGATGGAGATGGAGCTCTTCCGGAGGGGCCCCTCGTGGCGACCAGGCTGCGGAAGAAATTAGTACGAGAGTGGAAGGGATGTCCTGCAGGAAAGTGCTTGTTCTCAACAAGGTGCTGACAGCTCCATGCTTAGCTTTCTGCCATCCACGATACCGATTGGATGTTAGCTTTTACCTCGTATTCGTTCAATGAGATGTTGCGGATCCGCTGCAGCTCTGATGGTACTCTGTACAGTGGCAGGGCTGCGATCCCTGCTCGCTCCCAGGCAAGCAAATGCAATTGATCTGTGAGTGGTCAACTTCAGACAACGAAGCATCATAGCCTATATGGGATTTGCACAGTTTCTCATAGAGGAAACCGCAGAGGTCTTGGAGGCGAGACTGATCAATTCTCGTCGGCTGAAAGGCCTTACTTGCCGTGTGAATCCAGCACACCAATACAGACCCGTATGTCTGTCCATTGTGGTTGCCGCTCATGTCCGAGCCTATCGAGTTCGGCATGTTTCGGCGCTTGGAGCTAGACGATGTCAGGCAACGGGCTAAATAGGTAGCCGTCGAGAGACCATTTTGAAGAACTCTCAGCTTGAGGGAGGCGGCTAGCCCTATGGCAGGAATGCAGAATTCTCCGGATTCCTGGCCAACGGATATTGGCTTGACTCCTACGTAGGTGGTAATTATCGAGATGGAATGACGAATGTAAAGGCACGGTCCAGGAGTTCCCGACACGGATGGGCTATAGGCTCAATTCCTGTGTGTAACGATTGAACTGGGTGTCAAGCAATTACGTTTGGCAAACATTGCCTTCTCACAGCTATCGGTTGCCAATTAGGCGGTACGTAGTAGTGTACTCTAGGTTCGCAGTAACCTAAGCCCGAGATACGGATATGCCGTGCGGTGATTTCTGGTGTGTGACTTTTGAACAAGTGGATCCTGCCAGGCGGAGATAACCGGAAGCATGCAGACCCCTCGCTGCTGTAACGGGGGTGGAGCTTTAGCGCTCTAAGCGCCCTTGCCGCTTTGTACCTCGTCTTCGACTGCTGTTTTACTGTTACATTCGTGTTGAGGCTTTCGACGCACCACCTGCCCTTTACTGTCCTCCAATGTTTTCCCTCAGTATCGTTACGTGACGTTTCGCCGAAGCCAAACTCGAGGACGTTCCCTGTCGATCGAAGTTATTAGTATCCTGCTCCACCAAACACCCGGACCAGGAGCTAGGCATTATCCCCGAGTCATCGCCACGCACTGTTACCAGCCTGGATTCTCTAGCCGTCAGCCCTGCCAGGCTCCTGGCCTGAACTTGCACGCCCAAGGTATCGGGGCGTACCGCCGGTTGCTGGGAATATTGGGTGCGATGTCTTATCCCATGGAGATCGCAAGTTTGACTTGGCCAACCTCGTCATTGAATAAGTCAGCAACAACCCCTGCAACTACCAGATTGGGTTTGGCTTTAAATGGGTTCTGTCTTCTCTGATGGCTTCGCTTCCAGGAGAGAGCCGAGTGGCCCTGCTGCCAGCTGACCCGGAGTTCAAGAGCTGTTTTCTATTCTCAATCTGAACTATGGGTATTTTGTCATCCGACCTGGTGCCCCTGGAGGACCCCAACCCACATACCGAGTCCCTTTCTCCAATTTCTATACATCGTACTCATGAGTTTCAGAGTCATGCCCTTGTTGCTAGCGCAATCGTGGCTCAGCCTCCATTTGAGCCTTGTCGGATGACAGTGTTCGAGCTGCCACCCACTGTTAGGGCTTCTCAGAACCCGGTTCGCTTTGCATTGCGTTTAATCCCTGTCCCGCAAACCTGCGTGTCGGCAACCGTGACTTTCTTGCATAACACTACGTCTCTCCTGAGTCTCTCTCGCACCAACACGCGACATTTACTCCAGAGAACGGGTCTGTAGATCAATGGCTTCTTCCCAGCTGGTCTGCTAACCAAGTTTCTGAAATCCACCTCTGATCTTGCCAAGTCAAAGAATCATCTCATAAATCCAATATCAACTTTGAGAACCAAATACTTTTGACTGATTATCTTCGTCCTGAACAAGCAATGCCGGGTGAAAATGACGCCAAACCGAAATCCAAGCACCGTAAATCAACGTGTGCTGGTTGCCGTAGACGAAAGGTATGTCTAATGGTGGATATTTTGCTTGCTCTGAGACGAAGATGTGATCCAGGCTCATTTTGCTGACTGACACAGTCTAAATGTGATGGGAAGACACCAAAATGCACGACGTAAGGCAGAGCATTGTGAAGCAGTTACCGCCTGCTAACCCCAGAAAAGCTGCATAGCCTATAAGGATGATTGCCACTATGACAAACCGCCATCAATCGCTTATGTGCGATCGCTTGAGGAGGAAATCCAGGAGCTGAAGGTGCAATTACGACAAGGCAAAACCCAAGTCTGGCTTGGTAGAGTAGGTGGCTAGATCTTTCCCCGATTTCACCAGTAGATTGATGTCGAATAGGAGGAGAGAAAATTACCATCGGCATCACCTGCTAGTGAAACTGCAGGTTCGCAAGCGTCCGCATATGCTCTACCGCGGCGGATGCGATCCATCAAACTAGAATCAGACATAAGCATGGACGACGACGGAAGTGTCACCTTCCACAACTCAACATCTACAATGTACGAAGCACCATCCTTACAGAGGCATCGTAATATGTCCCATATCAGCAACTCATACGCTCTCGATACTGCTTCCCACGATGATCAGCAGGCACGGAGAGAACTCGTTTTGAATGCAAATCACCAACGCCAGATAGAATCGTTTGCAATTGCCAATGGTGCTGCGAAAGTCAATTTGCCAAAAGAGACTTCCCTCGAGTTGTTGAAATATCACTGGTGTTGGCAGCATCCTCTCTTCCTTGTGGTCTACAGGCCTGCCTTCACGAGAGGAATGAGTGCGGTTGATCTAAGTAATTCAGGAGCAGATGACCCTCCGTATTTTTCAGATACTTTATTAAAGGTACTCTTGATCGACTTCATCATCAGAACAATGTTGGCTAACAGAGGCTTAGGTGATTCATGCGCATTGTGCGAGGTTTTTGAACCACGACGTGTATCAACAACGATATCAAATTACCATTCATCGGAACAGCCCCCTTTCGGCAGCTGTAAACCCTGGGGAATTCATGGAAAAAATGACTGAGGAGGCGAGATTCGGTTTGGGAATGGACATTCTCAGGAACAGCTCGATACCCACTATTCAAGCACTGCTCCAGCAATCTAGCCGCGAGGCTACATTTGGGAACTCGTCCCAGGCTTGGACCTTTGCGGGCATAGCGTTTCGAATGGCATTCGATATAGGGTTGCACCTACCGAGCGATAAGCTTCAGCTTTATGTCAAAAGCCTGACTATTGAAGATATTGAGATCCGGAAGCGATTGTTCTGGAGCTGTTATACTTGGGACAAGATCTTATCATTATATCTCGGGCGTATGCCAGGGTTCACGCCAGCTGTTGATGACATGTCATTTTCTTTCCGGGACGATTACAGCGACAATGAGCTTTGGTCGCCATATTATGGCGAAAAATCTCAAGTCGACGCAAACAGTTCAGTCAATTACCCGCCTTGTTCAGGATACATTATCTCCTGTTTCCGTCAACTTTGCAGACTGTGTATCATCTTGAACGACCTATTGCATAGCTTCTATTCGGGTGACGCAACAGCTAGTCAAGAGCTTGAAGAAGATCCTCCAGGAGAGATGAGAGCGAACAATGAAGCCCCATTTTCACGCATTTCAAGAGACCTGCGAGACTGGCTGATTTCTTTGCCACCACAACTACGAATAAGTCCAGATCAGATGCCCCAGCTGGCTCCACCCGCGCATATTATGTCCCTTAACCTTCTCTACCATTCAACAACAATTCTACTACACAGGCCAGTTATCCTTGGAGCCCATGACCTAAATGCGCCAGATCCGGCAAGGTCATATCTGATATGTGTACAGGCAACTGCGGCGATTCACGATCTTATCCTTTTGCAAGCGAATACCTTTGGACTTTCTCACATCTCTTTTCTGAACGCCTACACTGTCTATATTGCTGCCACAGTTGCGGTATTGAGATTCGAAAGAGAAGTTCGTCCTGGAGAAGATGCCTCTGCTTGCGCGCAGAACACAGGACTGACGTACTTGTTGGACGTACTACAGAAAGTGTCAAATTCTATGCCAGCACTCGAGAGAAGCAATGCTATAATCCGAAAACGAATGAAAGTAGCCCTCGACCGACACCGAGCCCAGCGTAAACAAGCATACTCAAACGGATCAACTCCGCCGAAGTATAACTTACCAACACCCACAACCCAACAGACAAACCTGGCACTGCCCACAGCATTTCAAACTATATCGAATGGAGTGATGGCGTATTCCCACTATCCACGGTCAGACACTACAGATTCATTTGGCACGCCTGTCTCTTGGCCAGCAGGAATACGAACCAGCATGCATTCCGAGTCAGAGCAGCATACAGAGGACTTCATGCCTGCCTTTCCAGGTCAGCAATTCCCAATCGGTTCAGAAAACAGCTTTAGCGCCATGGGGGTGGATCCTAATGCAAGAGCGACACTATTGGGATACACCCTCGACCCTCATCCAAGACTAAACTCGAGCGATATTGACTGGAATTTTATGGATACCTACGAAGGGGGCCAAATCCAGATATAAAAGAATACGAATATTCTGCATGATTTGGGAAGCGAGCATGGTTAGGAGTCTTTGTTCAAGGGGTTCAAAGAAATTCCCACCATGCATCTTGGTGGAGTGGTACCACCTGGTGCCCAATTCTAACGGCCTTTTCACGAGCAGGGCGTTTCTTTTTCTCGGCAAGTAACGACAATGAAACATGTACATAGAATAGACGACCGAATGCAGCGTGAGATTGATGTATGTGAGCGCTAACATTCTATCACTTTCTGTGTCCCTGTTCCTCCATTTGCAAGAGGCATAAATCAGTTAATTTAGACTTTGTCCGAATCGCTTACATCGGGTAGATTACCCACCTATTCACGCGGCAGCCCATGAAGCTCCCCACACCGCACTTTCAGCCTTGTACGGTAGACAGCCAGTTAAGATGCCTGCGGCCCAGCCAGTAGAACAGGACTTGTCATGCCTCACAAGCTTAGATAAATTTAGAGCAGGATCTAAGTTGCATGGGATGGAGAGGATGCTTTCGCCGAGTCATAAGCGATCAGGGCTTAGCGGAAGATCGTCTCGAACGTGATCAGATGAACACGAGGCGAAAATCACGACTCCTCGGTCAAGGGCTAGACTCGTGCTAGCAATGGGTCAATGGCATGGCATTGGTCGGTAGGTTATACATGCTAAATTCAAACACAGTTAGGTCGGGCTTGTCAACGGCCCTAGGCATGAAACATCAAGCATGGTGGGTATCGAAACGATGTCGTTGCCAGCCCCTCACTAACGTGGCCCCCAATTAATATGACCAGTGAGGAGCAGACAAAACGGGTGGATTACGAATCTGTATCATTTTGTTCTCTATCGATAAATCTTGGACAGCTGGGCCTCAGATGAGACATTGTACTTCTGCATTGAACTGGAGGCTAGGAACAATTGATTTCAGTCCTATACCAACTAGGAAATTCGTTGGATTCTTGGACTCTTGGACCCTCGTCACAATTTCCACATCTCAACTAGTAATCTACTTGTCCCACAGATGTCAGAAACAACGCCGCTAGTTCCCTCCCGCATGGCGGGAAACGGACGAAAATGCCGCTTCCAGATCAATCTGGTTTATCCCCGGGAAGATGCTGACACCAAATCTTGATTCTGACCTCGGTCGTGGACTATGCGCAAACTGGCTATAAGTGGCGCAAGGCTGAACACGTAAGCTTTATCCATGTCCTGTAGGGTATATCAAAGCATGGGGCTTGCGCTACCTGCGCTCTCCAATCTGTTGCTCCTTGATTGGGAAGGTGGTTATCGTCGGAATAAATATAGCTCCGTGTGTATTCGTAAGAATTAGGATGGGGAACCCGTTCCACTCGCTCCATTCAACCATACTTCTGACAAGAAGACATGGGGAGGACGCTTACCTTGTAGAGCAACCGATGGAGGCGAGAATGCGATCAAGCTTATCCTCCAAAGAACTCCAAAACTTTGTATACGAGGAAATTGAATTCCTGGCTCTGGGCCGCTACAAGCACTTCGCGTTTTTTGGCCTCGCTTCAATCACAGCCCACCAATTTTGCCGGGTCACCGAAATGGAGATGCGAAACCGTACGAATCTTTGTGCGCCAATCATGACAAGCTCTACAGGCCTCGAAGCTTGACGATGATGTTCCATTAATTTGAAATACTTATGCGCACTCTCTAAGCCTCATGTGGTGCGTATAGCTACCGTTTAGATCCACCTTTCTTCTTAGAAGGGGAACTTCCTGCGCTTCGTATCGCAATCAACTGTTGAATACGACCAATCCCTAAATACGAGATAAGTGAAAAAGGGATAGATTACGCAGGAACCGAGAATGCGAGAACTCTTGAGAGGCCCGGGTATCATTCTCCAGTCGCTGCATGCATGAAAAACTTGTATCTTGTTTTAGAACTGAAACAATTCTTTATGCCACGAAGCTCAGTGATGGAGGGTTCCTGTTCCACTTAAAGCAGAATGCGCTCTGGTCTTATGCGCATTTCATTGACTACCCTTGAAATGCTCCAAATTCAAAGACCACAGGTTAGGGGGCTGAGCTCCTAATCATGCAGATGCGTGGGGCGAACACACATCTGCTCGCAATGGCGAGGGAGAAATCTATGTAGTACCTGCTGGAGCATAGGACCCATTCTTGAGGGGCGACAACATCTCGTGAATTTCTAATTGAGATTACTGAAGCGTCTTCTATTGATACTGTACGAAGCTCTAAATCCCAAGAATTTGAGCCATTAGAAGAGCATGTAGGCCCACAGTCACGGATGATCGTTCCAAACTCCCTTTGCATCTGGTCTAGAATAACCACTCCCAGATCAAAACGCCAAGTGTGACGGGGAATGGACTTTATTTCTGTAGTGTCAAAATCTCTCGTTCGATCGCTTCACCAAATGACTGTGTCGTTCCTTTACCGCCCATATCAGCCGTGATTACCATCTCTTCAGAGCGGGAGAGAACATTCTCAATCGCTTGCAATACTCCAGCAGCCGCCTCCTTGTGCCCAAAATGGTCCAGCATCATCTGGCCTGCCCAGATCATTCCCACTGGATTTGCAATACCTTTGCCTGCAATGTCAGGAGCACTTCCATGCACCGGCTCAAACAAACTGGGAAATTCTCCTGTTGGGTTGATGTTCCCCGACGGAGCGATGCCAATTGTCCCCGTACAAGCTGGGCCGAGGTCGGAGAGAATATCACCAAAGAGGTTGCTTCCGACAATAACGTCAAAGATCTGAGGTCTCTGTACAAAATGTGCAGTTAGAATATCAATGTGATACTTATCGACCTTGACATCAGAATAGCCCTTTGCCATGTTCTCAACTCTCGTATCCCAGTAGGGCATTGTGATGCTAATGCCGTTACTCTTAGTCGCACTTGTTAGGTGCTTCTTGGGTCGACTTTGGGCAAGATCGAAGGCATATTTCAAGACTCGATCCACGCCCGTTCTCGTCATAACAGTTTCTTGGATGACGGTTTCTCGATCCGTGCCCTCGAAGATTTTCCCACCGATGCTGCTGTACTCCCCCTCGGTGTTTTCTCTTACAATCCAAAAATCTATGTCGCCGGGTCTACGTCCCGCAAGGGGGCAGCGCACTCCAGGCATCAACCGAGCGGGGCGTAGATTGATGAATTGATCAAACTCACGCCTGAATTTGAGCAAACTTCCCCAGAGGCTGACGTGGTCGGGTACTTGATCCGGCATACCTACTGCACCAAAATAGATAGCATCGAATTTGGAGAGCGTGGCGTTCCAGTCCTGCGGCAACATGTCGCCGTGTTTCTGGTAGTAATCACAGCTGGCGAAGTCGAACTCTTCGAACTGAAGTGACAGGCCATACACTTGCGCTGCGGCTTTGAGGGCACGCACACCATAGGGCATGACTTCCACCCCGATGCCGTCGCCAGGCACAACGGCGATCTTAAGATTGTTCAGTTGCGACATGATGGAGAAGGGTGTTAGTTCCCGATTTGGTCCAACAGTATCAGCGAGCGACTGGTCAATGGTCTTTTGTTTGGGTTGGCTATCCGATTCCACGCGTCTACGATTTTTTATGATGTTGATGTAGTCTAATCTACGGGAAGAAGTGTGGCCGAGGGTAATCTTTTGACCGATATACTCTTCGTTGTCTGACAGCTTCAAAAGACACTCACTAGGGTTTAGCCAAGGACTCATGGTATAGTGGAGCTGTGTAGGCCATTATCTTTTGTAATGGCAAGAGAGCGCTCAGTCAGACAAGAGCATCGATCCTTCTTGGCCCTTTGTCCTCCCATTGCGATGTCGGAAAACCTTCAATGCCTCACGGCGAGGTATGACACTCATTCCTATTTTCCCCTATCTGGCCTTATGCGATCCAACTCTGGGTTCATGGTGGCTTCGTTCAGCGGTAGTATGCTGCGAGAGGTCAAGCTCCACCACTTGCTTTTCCCGCTAATCGTCGCTCCCAACTTGGCATGCCTCTGACGCCTCATATCAATGCATATCGCGGTGTGTCGAAAATAACTTGAGGATAATCTCCCGCACACATTCTTCGCATTGGCAGTTCCAGGCAAGGTGGATGTATTCGGTCGAGAACAGCAGAGTGGACTCTTTCTTAGATCTGGAAGTTGGAAGGGTCCCAGGCTCCGGGAACGGCTCACATTCCTCATGAACAAAGAATACTAACATGGCGCACGAGCAATTCGTTTGAATGCGGCCAATCCTATAAAGGCAATCAGATTTGGACGTAAATTGCAGGAATTGAGATATTCACAATACCTGCTATCTACGGAGGACTCCCAACTTGCCCCAGCCTAACATAGGGGCCTTGAGAAATTTTGAAAATCTCACAATTGTCGGATCCCAGCCCGATGACTCTCTGCACGAAACCCACCGCGTGCGGCAGCCGCTTGTAAAGTCAGACCGCATATTGTCTCGCTCTTTGTGTGTAGGTTCACAATGGCGCTACGTACAAGTGGTCCTAACAAGCCTGGACCTGGCCTTCCGTGTGTGCTACGCAGTCACGATGAGATACTCCCAAAGGGAATCACCATCCTGCACTAATATCGCTTTGAGTATTGAAATCAAAGGCAATAAAGTCATATCAAGAAGCGAGAATGGCACCGAAAAGGCCTCCACCGAGGCGCAACCCACCACGTGCGGCGCGTCCGGCAAGAGTAGGTCTGTTGGTCGGTCTCCCACCACGCCAACCTGGTCCACCTGGCACATTTCCTTTCCTCGACCTACCGCGAGAAATCAGAAACTCTGCGTATGACTATTTCGATGACAGGAACATTATACTTAGAGAGAGGAGCTTGTGGGGGAGGAGTGTTGAGATCCGAGCCCTCATCAAAACACGGGAATCATTGCTCTCAGTTAGTCAGCAAGTGCGAAGGGAGTTTCTTGGCTTTCGCTGGAATGGTGGCGAACTCTTCTACTGGCCGGGGCGAGACATCGAAGATGATTTCTTGAGGATTGCCCGGAATGACACGATCAGGGCTCTCAGAAGACTGACTATCCCTTTCCAATTAAAGCCTAGAAGTCATCGTCTGGACCACTTAAACGTCCACGGCCCGTATGATTGCCGTCGTATGCGGGGTCTCACAGATCTGCTCCAACGATGGCCCAATCTTCTCGATTCACTAGAAGTCATCGCTCTGTGCATGGACCCCCATTATTACTATACCCCGAGAAGGCCATTCCCTCCTGTCGACACAGAGGCACGGAAGACAGCTTTGTGGGAGTACGTAGCTAGGGACCCTCTGGATTGGGAGGCCACGAGACGACGCTTTCAGCCTCGATCACCGCGATACAAACTTCTAGCAGACTGGCAAGCTGTGCGGCAAGTGCATTTCATCTCCAGACAAATCGACCAAGTGCTACGGCCTGACGCACATATCTCTCGCGGCGTGCTTATGTTCCGTAAAATGTGGCAGGTAGTGCCACCGGCCACTGTGGCGGGTCAGAACCACTTGGAGCTGGTTGTAGGAGCGCGGGCAAGGAGATGACCATAGTTAACCAAAACTTGTTCGAAACACAGATTCGCTCATGCTGGAGAGCAAGCTTGCTGCTTCGCTGAATAAGTTAAAACGCGTATTACTACAAAGAATGTACTCACTTCCCTCGATGGTGCCCGCTAGATATAGTTGGCAAGTCCTTTTGTTATGAAATTGCCATAGCTGGGCCACTCAGGTCTTAATGGTGCCAATTTGAATATGTTCAACCCTTTAGACCGGTCTCCCTACTATCTTGATACTCACTAATGTGTGGCAGAGGCACATCGCCATATCCATAATATGTACCTTGGCAGATTCTCGACACAGCCTTTCCACGAACGGGGAGAGGCCAGGAAGTCGGCTCATTGGTCCGCGACGCACACGCCCAGGGGAATTCAGCGTCGCTGAGCTACAGTAGCTGAGTTTTTATTTTTTATTTATTTTTGAATCTTTTAGATTCGGTTCTCGTTTGGTTTGAACTACGGCCCTCGCAACGCCGTTCATAGCACGTCGGCAGCCAGTTTTCAACGCAACTGGTCGCCTAAGGGTGCCCTTAATACACGGCAATGGGGCTTTCCGAAACACATACTTCACACCGTTGCATGCCTTGAGCTAAGAATCCTGGGACACAGCATAGTGACGGCGTGGCGTTCTTGCCATCTCACTACGTCCTTCGACTCGCCGGTGTACCGTGACGTAGCACCGCATGGAACCGCCGTGCCGTTTGTCGAACTCAGCAAGGCGCTACAGTTCAGGGGCGCTCCCGTGCGCCAAGCGGATGACACGAGTCCAACAACACACTGCATCCAGTACTCGCATACTTCGACCAGCCCCGCTCTGCCAGACACAATGCTAGAAAGCCTCCTAGCACATTGAAGCCGGGCTATGGTTTACCGGGCCGTGAGATCCTCTCCGCCGAGTCATACCCGTGGGACTGATACCGTGGGACTGTGGCAGCCAGACCCTCGCCACCAAGGTCACGTCACAAGCGTGAAGGCTGCCGTTCCGTGACACATCTTCTCATGGCCAGTCGAGAACCAAGACCCTTCAGTAACGTGGACGTTTTATAGGGGGAAGATAGACAGGCATCGAACGGCAGCTCTGGTAACTCAGAATCAGAGTTCGCGCACGGTGTTACTGCAATGCAAAATTTGGGAACATCACAGACATAGGCGATAATGGGGCATACTGTGACGCGACGGGGAGTACTAACAGATTGAGCATGACAGATAGCTGTGTCTCGTTGCGTTGTGTTGCGTTGCGTGGATTCTGATGAAACAACGGTATTTTGCTGCTGTTTCTGTTGCTCGCTATCCCTGATGGGACCAAACTGTCACGGAGACGATATTCAGTGGAGGAAGAAGTCATGATTCTCATCTCGGTATCAAGTGTGAGGGCAAGGAAACCCTGCTCCTCCACTCCGCATGGGGCATCACTACTCATCAAGATCCGTTGGCGTAGTAATATCCTTCCATTCGCCAAGCAGCTTGATTGTTGCCTCGCACTTGCCAGTGATCACCCCATATGCATCGCTGCCTAGAGCGAGTCTCATCGGGATCTCCCTGCCTGTAACTCCAGTGAGAACATCAATAATCACCTTAACACCCTTCTTCGGATCACCGATCTGGTTATTGTTGGCAGCGACTAAAGCTTCCTCGCCCTGCCTGACGGCCGAGCCTTTGTAGTCTGCAATCTTGTTCTGAACGGTGAGCTTGTTCCCGGGGTTCAGCAGGTTGGACCGAAAGTAGCCAGGCTCGACGCAGCAGACTTTGATGTTGAAATCGGCCAGTTCGTTGGTCATCGCTTCCGACAGGCCGCTGACAGCCCATTTCGAGGCACAGTAGATTCCAGCACCGGCAGACCCACCCCATCCGCCAATGCTCGAGAAATTGGCGATGACGCCCGATCGTTGAGCTCGCATGTAGGGAAGTACCGCTCTGGTGACGTTCAGGAGGCCGAAGACGTTGGTTGCGAATTGCGCTTGTGTGGCCTCCGGGCTAAATGTCTATGTCAGCGAGCAGTGTGGGAGATTACTTAGGGCGTGGCATCAACTTACGTTGTCTCTTCGATGCCTCCAATCTGAGTGTAGCCAGCATTGTTGATGAGATAATCAATCCGTCCGTATAGATCAAACGCCTCATCGGCGACTCTTTTGATCTCAGCAAGAGAGGCTGTGACATCGAGAGCCAAGGCGTCTGCACCAGCCTTCTTGAGGTCCTCAAGCTTGCTAACAGAACGAGCGGTAGCAATGACCCTGTCTCCTCGGCTGAGTGCTTGGAGTACAAATTCCTTACCGAACCCGCTAGAGGTTCCAGTGACAAACCAAACTTGTGGAGGCGCCATTGACTGAAATTGTGCCTTGGGAGTGGTTTTTCTTGTAGTCGACGGCTTGATCAATACTGATCGATGAATGGCTTTAAAGATCTCGTCAAGCTGTTGATCAGTGGAGGTCTGAAGACTTCCTTTGAAGCAGGGAGAGATCCCAAACGTGTGAGTAACCAGTTTTATATTGCTGGTCCAACCTTCGGTGATGCGTTGATATCTCCGTTAGATTTTAAGATGGACATAAGTACCTTGACACAATAATGTGCCATGGTGATGCAAAGCCCGTCTAGACCCATAGCCCACGATCCACGGTCTTGCGAGGGGGGCTTAAGAGTCTGTCGATAACTGGCTATAGTGGGTAGAAACAATACGATCGGCACATCGCAGTAATAGCTCACCTTGGCCGTCCATTGGGCAATATTCTGGAGGAGACTTGACCTAGTCAGCCGTCCAAACAGCCATCTCTTTCTATATCTCAATTTGGGAATAGACCTAGATGCTATGAGGCCTATCAGCTTGGGGAAGACGGTATCTCAAGAGATCTCTCGGCAAAATAGCCCAAACTAGCAAACGATATTTCACATAACCATCGCTTCGTTGCATGGAAGCGTGGATCCTACCCCGTATGTAGCTGATATCCTGCCTAGAAGTCGGGAGAGGCGGCCGCGTCCTCTCAACCAGCCTCCGTACGCTGTGAAGACATGAGGATGAGCAGTATCGCTAAATCCATAAATCCATCAGTGCCGAGACGCCAAGCCTTGTCGACTTGGAAATGAGCTCTACCCGCTATCTTATGTCCGGCATGGCTGGACGCTTGGCGAATCCAAGGGATGGGCTACGAGCAGAACAGTAAACGCCAGGGCGAGAGCTTAATCAGAGCTGACATAAACGCCTTCAGCCCAAAACCTTGAGTCAAAGGCTCAAGGCAGGATAGGCTGGAGGCTGTAGCAGATATCGGTACGGGGACCGTCCCAACCACGAATCAAGTGATTGAAAGATCCAAGTTGTGACTCCTCTCTGGCTGTAACCGCACTCCGCGAAGATATCGGTTCTGTCAGAATGCGGTCTACAAATCTGAGAGCTGTGTGGATTGTATAGAATCGATGCATCTTCATCCATAGGTGAAACACTGTTTTCGACCCGCCCTGCAGATGCAAGATAGAGAAGACCGCAGAACCCTGCTCTCTATACCCCGCTACTGAAACAAATGCCCACAGCTCGACCTTAGGGAGCAGCATCTACTTCTTCTCGACAAGTCTTCCTTCTCCCGGTAAGTCCAGATTGAGAAAATAAATTGACTAGCCTCCATGACATTCACAAGAGCACGAAGCCAGCGGATTATACGAAGACAAGCCGAAATATTGTTGGTGGCTTTTGCTGGGTGGATGCTACCTATGTCTTGCTTGCTCTATATTTTCCCAAGAACTTTTGATCAAGAATCAGCCGGAAAGGGAACCACCCATGACTATTCTGGACTTAGTCTTCATCATCAAGATCCTCGGTCTCAACTACAGCAGCGTTGTTTTTGTCCTCTGACCCGGTGATCACCTTAGTTTTGACCGCAGGTTCATCCTCCTCCTGTTCAGCTTCATCGGCATCATCTTCAACATCGCCCTCGTCATCTTCCGCCTCGTCTTCATCTTCATCTTCATCTTCATCATTGGCTGCGGGTTTGGATTTCTTCGGGGCCGGCTCAACGGCGTCGGCTTCAGCCTTACGCTTCTTTGGTGGGGGAGCTGCTAGCCGTCATCGTCAGTCATGGGTTTTACGAGTGGAGGTGGGTTCAAGCACTCACCTTCTTCTTCATCGTCTTCTTCTCCGCCTTCTGCTTCCTCTTCCTCTTCCTCCTCTTCCTCTCCTTCATCAGAACCTAATTCCGAATCCTCATATCTGCACACGGGCAACTTGTCAGTGTCATGAGGCACAGAGCAATGATGGAACCATTTCAGAGGCTGTGGGTAAGGTATCGCAATGCCATGCAACGGAGACGGCCGCTCCCAAGTATAGAGGTACAAGATGACAAATAGTTCGGTGCGCGCCCGGGTTGGCTACAACAATGCTCGAAGGATTGAGATGGCAGGACGCAGGTAGCTCGATTGCACACGAAGAATGGACTATATGGCAACACACTAAGAAGGAGAACACTTACTCTTCTTCCTCCTCATCCTCGTCAGAGGGGAGAGCTTGGAGCTCTTCCTCCTCTTCCTCCTCGTCAGATTCCTGACGGCGCTTTCGGGGGGGGACCATGTTGTAGAGAGGGCGACCCAATATAGAACGAAGTAGTTGACAAGCTAGAAGGATACAACGGAGCTTGAGAGGGAGCAAAGACAACGAGAGAAGGCACAAGGTAGGAAGACAGACAGACAAGAAGACAAGGGCAAGGTTTTGAGAGCGTCCGGCTGAGGCTTGGGGAGGGCAGAGCTGGGGGGAAGGAGATTCGGGCAAACGTCAGGGCCTCAAAGCTCAGGAGAGGCAGAGAAGCTAGGGAGAGATCTATGTGCTAAGGGACAATAACAGGCCGTGAGGGAAGCAAGAAAGATGAGAGGTCAGAGGCTAAAAGACCATGATGCATCAAGTGGGTAGCCGACTTGACCCTGGGGAGGAGCAGTCAAGGTTAAGCTGGGAGCTCCAGGGAGGGAGCTGGCGTCAGTCACCAGCAGTCAAAAGTGTGTCAAGGAGGGAACAGAGGAAGAGAGGGAGGGAGAGGGAGAGGGAGAGGGAGACCCGAAGCAGGGAGAGAAATGAAGAGGCTGGCATGGGGGGGGGATGGCAGAAGGGAAGGAAGGGGAAGAGGGAAGAGGGAAGGCGCACCTGGGTGACGGAAGGGGCCAAGCTGAGGTTGGAGCTCCAGCGAAAGTGGTCTGGTGCTGTGGTGGTTGGGGGTGATGGTGGTGGTGCACGCCTGGGGGAGGGGAAGGACGCTGTGGGTGCTCGTCATGGAGGGAGCGAGGGAGGGAGGCTGCGGTGCCGGAGGTGCTGGCTGCCCCTCGCCGAGCGTTCTGGGAATAGCCCAGGCTGGAACTTCCGGCTGGGTTTTAGCGGGTGCGCCCAGGGCACCCCGTGCACCGCCTGAGCAGCCATGACGTGACGGCCCCTACGAGCACGTGATTTATGCCAAGCACCACGTGACCGTTTCCCGTGCTTAGTAATATCGCATGGCTCTGTCCTATCGCCCTCACTCTATAAGTGAGGCGCCCAGCTTTGTTGCCACCCACAACATTGCCTGGCAATATTTTCGGTAACCCCGTGCATGCTTCATTTTGTTCTCGGCTCTGGTGACTAGGCAAGGGGCGAAGGCTTCCATGTCGTCCTTCATCACACCTTGTCCTCGGTGGGCATCATGACCATAATCAGACTGGGCCCTGGTTCGTCACCCGTTCGTCGCGCCGTCCGATGCTTAGTCATCGAGGTACATTCTCAGGCACACAGAGGCTTGTGCTCTGATAATGTATCCATACTATCTTCAACAGCTGTGGAAATTCTCAGGGACGCAAGGAAGACAAGGGCTACAGCCAACGCTGTCTCAAGATGATTGTTTCCTCGTTGGCCACGCTCTCCCTTGTCTTTCAAGTCTTCTCTTTCAGTCCACCACTTTTTATTTCAATTGTTGGGATCGGTTCGATGTTTGATCAGGTCAAAGCACAGGGAGCAATCCGGATTTTTGATCTGGTTACTTCAGCGCTGTATAACGAGACACTGGAGTATCTATCTCCCCGGGATTTCTTGGCGGGTGCTACAATAAAGACCTACTACTAAACCCGCCTCCCTGCATCTCACCTGGTACCTGTCTTACATTCGGAGAATTTTCCGGTGCGCTCTACAGAATCTAGCTGTCCATCACATTTGAACTACCCACGAACACTACTAAAACCGCTGCAAAGGCAGTTGTTGACATGAAGACATCGGCTCGCCGCTGAGCAACAACACTCATGATGACCGAGAAAACCAGACTCATCAAGCAGATTGCCGTCAACCGAGCTGCCATGCTTTGTACGCAGACTAGCACCAGGATCGACAGCGCTGGCAGCACTGCTGATAGTAACATGCAAACAGTATTTCCAATTCGCACCAGCATGTCCGGTGCATAATCCCACGTGTGGCCGAATTCTTCCGGCATCGACCGATGAATCTTCTGCCCTAGCATCCGGTGGTATAGGGGTACTACCTTTTCACCTAGGAAATTCGCCAGAGGATCCTTGCCGCCAGGGCTTTCACTCAGTAACATTACATCCAACTCCATTTCTGGCTCCCGGAAGATTCCTGCCTCCAGGCCGCGCAGAAAGTCGTCCCCGCCGGCTTTGTGGTCATACCAACACCTGCGTAGCTCCATATCATCATGCCTTGGACTCTGAAGGGCGTTGATCCGGGTGGTTCGCAGTGCAGTCTCCTCTGTCTAATCATCAGCCCTGTTTGCATGCTGGTTTTCTCGAGTTACGACTTACGATATTGTTTCATCAAGCTTCTAGACCTTTCAAAGATCTCTTGAATGTCCTCCTGAGACATGTCTTTCGCACAATTGAGCCAGCCTCTGTCGAAATGGCCTATCTTGTCACTCTTTCTGGCCTCATCAATGACCAACTCGAGATGCAACAACTCCGCCTGCATATGCAGCATGATCTCGATATTCAATGTCGAGAATTTTCTGAATACCTCTTGATTTCGATGGCTAGCCATCATTTTGGCCAGCGCACCGTAACCTGCCATTGCGTCAATCTTGATAGTGGGATGGTTCGCTTTCTTCTGTGTCCGAAAGACGGGCACTATGTCTTGGAGGGTGCACAATCAGCGGCCCCCCCTCTTATACATGGTGGCTCTGTCCAACACGGTACACCGCCCCGCTTCGTGCTCATTGGCGCCCTTCACTCACGCAAATGCATCGCTACCCAAAGATTCTTGCAATGCGCACCCTGTGTCTTTGGGAGATATCGAGATTGCCAAGTGGTGCTCAGTTCAATAAACGACCTCTCAAAGAGCTCCCGAATATGGTTGCCTCAATACAAGACTTCCAGGAGTTGTCTGAAACTACCTCAGCTGCTTGTTTTCGCAGCGTCTTGCATACAGTGCTGACAGATGTCAGCGCTGCAACGGCCTTCGTTCCCGAACACGTGTTGGCCGAGTTACACAAAGCAGAGATCTACCATTCTATCATACTCGTGGTGTCCAAGATGGGCAGTGCAAAGAAACGAGATAGTGGTATTATTTGGGCCAGTAGTCTGCGAGGAGAACTCCCTAACTAACCCCCCTGTTTTATGCTACATGGAGATTGTATGTTTTTGGGTCTGCTTCGATACCCAGCAAATTTTAACTTCGGACCGAACCGCTTCAGGTGAGAGAGAATACCCAGGTATGTCTGGCTCGGAGCCTTCAGGTCGAATCACATGTTAAATGGAGGATACATGCATCTTGTGTGGGCCTGCGGAAGAGGAAATAGGGGGTTCAGTGCTCTCAGCTTCCGACTCAACAATTTAGTATCACCCAAGCTCGGGTCTTTGTGATAGCCTTGTTGGTTTAGAGTTTCACGGACCTGTCTTTGAGAGCAACACTGTTGAAACCTTCTTAAAAGGTCCCGGGAACTCATCGCCAATACCACCAACACTACCGGCTAGTCGTTGCGACCATGTCTTGGACCAGCCGGAAGTGCACTGTGTGCTCCAACTGTGACTGGAGTTCACACACTCAATGTTGTGGTTTCCTGCTTCAAGCCATCGTGCGATCGTGTGATCCAGCAGTTTCCCTGGTGAGCGGTGCAGACCTTGTGCCACGGCCTGTCCCTTTGCACAACGATCCACTGAGACTGGAAACTTAGCTATTAATCGATCAGATATCTTGCAAATATTCCAACAATTGCTCTTTGAGATCTCAAGAGCAAGGTGCTTAGATTTGCTGGCTATAGTGCAGTTCTCTTTTTCGGGCCGGTGGCTTCTGTGACTGCTCGTGTCGATAAAACGCTGTTCATCTCTCGATTTTCCTGGGACAACGGAAACCAGCCGAAAGTCCTTCAACAACAAGTGTTCTTCTCGAAAGCCCATCATCATGCCATGTCCAAGGACCGCCGCAGGCCTGGAGGAACGAGTTATTTCCTCGCAAGCACAGATACCAAAGGCTTCGACAACCCGCCTAGGAACTCCTTGTATATTCAACACGTGCGTTCAAGTGCTACGCGGGTTTCTCAAATCGCTGAAATGGTTAAGGGACAAGCTGGGTCTGATTTTTCAGCATGATCGTCGTCCGTTGCAGGCATTCGCAGGAATTGCCGTTTCGATGGATCCAGGACCATCCCCAACTAAACTCCCATCAATTCGTATGAATATCATTCTTGATACCGGGAAATCTCAGGGCTATGGCAGCCAACAACCCACAACCACCCTGCGAATAGGCCTTCTTGATACCGGCGCCTCTTTTAACCTGATATCTCATCGTGCCAACGCAGCACTTAATTGGCCCATGAGACCTTGTCAGGCTTCCGTGCAGTCTATCGCCGGAGACACCGAAATGTGTGGCTCGACCATCATTGAGTGGCGTTTCTTACCGGATGACGAACAATTGGTAGGGTCTTCAGGTACATATCGCGCCAAATTCTTCATCTTACCAGAATCACCAAAACCCATATTCGACTGTATCCTTGGATGGCCATGGCTTGCTGAGAATTGGGGTGATGTCGGGAAGCTCTTCGATGCGAAGGCCACAGGCCTGATGCAATGATTTGACGTTTCAGCGAAGGAAAACAAAATCTGACAATTTTGCCTAGAGGACTGAACTTGCTTTCCTCTTCTCCAAGATATCCAAGTTGAAGCGAAGGCACCTGTTGCGGCAAGAAGCGATGAGAATCTGGGGAACAATTGTTCGACCCCAAGGTACAGATTGACACTTACGACAACAGTTTCCAAGACATCTGATGCAGTGTCCCATTACTATGGTGGGGTGGTTGCCAGGCTAGAGTGTACCGGCAGGCGAATCCGACTGAGTGACATTGTGGGTGGTTACACCCATGGCGGTCTGTCCAAAATTATTTGTGAAGGAAGGCGGTCAAGTCAATGACCCTGGAGCCACATGTAGGAATCCTCGGCGAATTGCGTTGTCTCTGTAAGAGCCGATCAGATCTCCTTCAGTATATTGACGAAGACTTTGTTCAACCATTCAGCTCCATTATTCATTTACCTTCACTGACACATGTTCCATCTCAAGACTGCATTTGGAATAATGGCCTTAACTCCGCCCCGAACACATTATCCGATTGTTCTTGGAGGCTGTCCAAGCCTCAAGAAGCATGACGAATCACGACAGATTCACCTTTCACCAAACCATATATGAAGCTGAACGTTTGCGCCAATGTATCCTCGCCAGCACATCGAATTTCAATTCGAACTTGGGCATCGAGAGGCCAACAACCTCAAGTGATACAATAGCACTACTCACAGAACGCGGGAGCCCTATTGGCTGAAGCAAGGGAATGGCAACAGGGCGCAGTTCATCTCAATCAAAAGTACTGAAGCAGGAAAGTCAGCTCGTGGGTTCTTATCGTTCATGGCAAAGCCACCGGCCTGAGCTTTTCCAACAATCACATCCAGCCTCTCCAATGGTAAGTTGACGAGCTCGTATGTACTCACCGCACTTTGTCGATCTTCGAAGTCTTCCCCGTTTGGCTAGTTTTGTCGACTCTAGAATTGCAACGTTTGTCCTCCGTGCTAACTGGGCCTTCTCAGGCAGCGAGTACTGCAGTCCGCATATCTGTTGTTGCAGATGGGCATGAAACTATTGTCAAGCTATCGAATACAGTCTATGACGGGTCGCTGCAGAAATCCTTGATTTCCAAGGCTAGAGCGTATGCCACGCATGGATTGATCCAACCCAAAGCTCCAATCACTGTGATCGACAACCGCGGTACGAAGCACACGTCCAGCGCATCCATCACGCTTCGCTGGTATTATGACAGTGGACTTCAAACCTTCAAGGAGACATTCTACATTGTTGATCGGCTTCCGTTGCCCGAAGGAGGTGAATGGGATGCTATGCTTCGTAAGGGCGTGGAGCGCAGCCCCGAGCATTCGCCTCCCCCGGCATACCCCTATGTAAATACACCGCCTCAGAACAAAGATCCGCAACCGGGAACCCTGTCAGCGAGAGAGAAGCAGCTGAGATACCTCAAGGAGAAGGAGGCAGAAGCACAGCGGATTCGGAAGATAATGGAAGCAAAATCAGGATCAAAATGATAGGACGCCAGCACAGCAGCAGATCATAATGAGTTTCGGGTGTGTCAGATTCGTGGAACTATGAGCAGTCACTCGCTTGGAAGCTACCTGATTTATTCTTATGGCCTGACTTATACATTGGCCCTGGCCGTGACCTGTACCTCGTATGTGTGTCTTGTTGCAGCTGTTTCAACATCCCGCAGGCTTACTAGTAAGACATGAGCCACAACGGACGCCAGCGGGTGGTCTGAGCGCAAAGCAGTCAGGAACAAGTGTACCATGCAAGCAGTCCGAATTTGATTCTGATTCCCACTCAATGAAAACAACCTCAGTGCCGAAAAGACAAACATGGCAAAGAGGTACGCATAGCAGGGTCACTGACTAGTAGTCGTACAGTATTTTAAGATTAAGGAATTTAAACATTCCAATTAACCTAATGTCTTTAAAGCGGATTGCTGGCTCAGCAAACCCTGGTTCGCTTCCGAAAGAGGACGCCGACCTGCCGTTTATGGGAATCTCGGCACCTGCGAGAAAGGCGCCTCATGACGTCGGAGGCAGAATGGGCCGGTTTTAGGCCAGTTTGACGTTTTAAGCATGTTTGTCGATGCAACCACTCTATTTTTCTTTAACTTAGGCGGGTGATCTCCGTACGGTTCCAAACGTCCCACGCCGGCTTTCTGGGGGCGCCCGGGGAAGAGCGAATGCTTGATGCGAGTGGTGATGGGTTGAGCCAGGCCAGCTTCCACGTGTTACGTCCACTATCTCGATGAGCCTGGGGCATTCGCATCCAGCTACTATATCCTCCTGTCGATGGGTACCCGTGGATGTTGCGTGCCGAACTGCCGGTATCCTTCGGGCGACGATGTGCACTTGCATCTTCCTTTGGTTCCTCGATGTAGCATGAACGCTCGCTCATTGAGGCCATCTAATATCTGCCCTTTGTTGATATATCAAGTTGTTGGGCAGGCCCTCGGCCGCCATACCGTCAAGGTCTAGAGGCAGGACAGAGGAATGCTTCAGCTGGAATTCTGTTGATTAGATTTTTTAGACTTTGGGGCCGTGGACACGCAAAAAGGACTCGCCCTGAAACTGCGAGCGGGAGTAAGGGAAACTTCTCCATTCCTCTCTGCGAAAGAGCGGGTATGGCAACATGATGGAAAGTTGCTACCAAGTACAAGGAAAATCGGATAGGTAGCAGGAATGTATGAGAACGAATTTTGCGGCTTGAAGACCGTAGAAACGGATCTTATTCTTCCCTTGAACAAGACCTCAACACAATTCACTATTCAACATACCATTCTTAGTCGATTCTGCTCCCTATGGTCCTCCATCCTTTTGCAAAGTACGTCGCTGCTCTCTGTTGACCATTTCAAGCCTGTCCACCATTGACCCGCACCGTTTGCCCAGACACCCACTTCGCTCCATCACCAGCTAGAAAGACGATCGCTTCGGCCACTTCCTCTGGTGTCCCGATGCGGTTGTTGGGGTTCAAGCTTGCGACCATCTTCAAAACCTGCTCGCTCTTGCCTTCGTAAAACAAGTCTGTGCCTGTGGGCCCCGGTGCCACCGCGTTGACCCGGATGCCCTTCTTCGCCTGTAGGTCTTTCGATAGGACTCGGACAAGCTGGTCAATGGCACCTTTTGTCGTACAGTATAGTGTGTAAGGCGCAGACACAGTCGATGCGAAGTCTTGGGTTGTCGAGATCAAGACGATGGAACCACCTCGTGGAATGTGTGGCAGGGCTTTCTGCACAAGGAAATACGGCCCTTTCACATTCAACCCGAATGCCCGGTCGAAATCTGCCTCCGTGGTGGACTCAATGTCTCTCATCGGTAGGATTCCAGCGTTGGGGATCAGGATGTCGATTTTGCCGTATTTTTCGACTGTCGCGTTGACTAATTGCTCGACGCCGGTGACTGTCCCAGCATCTGCTTGGACTGCGTACGAGTTATGGACACCGAGTGTCTTCACCAGGCTCTCTGCAGTGGGAGCATCGCGGCCGTAGTTGATGACTACTTTGGCTCCTAGTTTGACCAGAGCCGTTGCTGTTGCGGCGCCAATGCCCTTCGAACCGCCTGTCACGACCGCCACCTTACCGGAGAATGGGAACGAAGTCATTTTGGTAGATGGCGGAGAAAGTTGAGGTTCTGCCTTGCGCTGGGTGTCGAAGGGCTGATAGTATCTTTTGAGACGCTCCTGCGATGAGAACGTTTCCGCACAGTGGCTTTGAATTGCTTTATATATGACTGAATGGGCACTGATAATGATGGGTCTGCAGGATCTATCCGTCAGGAAACAGCCAGCTGGGTTGATTTATTGAAGGAATGCATCTCGCATTGCATCGCGACCGCCGGGGCCTTACATCTCGTGCGCCGCGTTTGGAGGTTTACTCCCCGTTAAAAACCGACGTTCATGAGACCAAAGGCCACAGATGACAAGGGAGACAAACAATAACTGGTGTCTACTGGGTCAGCTCAGCCGTGTATGGCTGCTGGTTGGCGGATCGTTGCGGGTATCGTTCATATTGCCGAGAAGGTTGGCCGTAAGAACAATCCCCCCGCAGGACTTAACCTTTGGAGATAGGAGCTGTGCCAAGGACGAGGCTGAAAGAGGAAGTTTTGGATCCCGCTACCTCCGAGGCGTGGTGTTGTTGGTTCTGGATATTTATCATCGCGGGGGACGATCGGAAGACCCCAGTTACAGGCAAACCTCGCTCGTGACATCATATCTTGACAGTCTCTGAAATGCACCGAGCTCATGACTGATATTGCGCGAGTATGAACAGTGCTGGGTAATAGCTACGTCCTGTAATGCCTTGATGGAGTACCCAAGCTTTGGTGTGTGCACAGGGGAATATGATGCATTTACTCGTAAGCCTCTTCCGTGTTTATGTCAGCATCCCGCTGAATAGTAATCATCAAGCAACTCAGCGGCCACCAAATTTTCTTCTTTGGATGTTGAAACCTCTACCAGGAGATGCTGGTGGGATAATGCATGATTAAGAAGAGCCATTCCGACACTGCCCACACCAAAGAATATGGACTCATTAGGGGAAGGATCTGCCATGTTGAATATCGAGATGCTAGGTCACGACCAGGCCCGCAGTGTCGATGAGTTATGGGCAGGAAAATCCGACATCAAGGAACGACGCAAACTGCAGAACAGACTCAATCGGCGAGCTTACAGTGAGTGGAGTACCGCGGTAGTGTCGCAAAACATAATAATAACAAAAGAATGTCCAGGAAAACGCCAGTCAGATTTGAGGGTCCAACAAATTCAAGAACAGCCTTTCGATGCCACGCAGAATGTATCTGGCCAACGATCGAAGAGGCGCAAGATTCCCGGCTCGCGTGTATTTTCGATCAACAGAGAAGATCCAACGCAAAAACGCGGCCAAATCTTCTTGAAAGATCTTGTCCAATCCTCAAAGCTGTCACCAGTGTTAGCCTTCAGCATCAGTGAAGGCGTCGCAACGCCTTCCTCTCAGGAATCGCCTGACGGTCGCTCATCCACAGAACCATGGGATGAACCCTTCCAGCACACGACTGAACAAGCCTTGACGCAGCCCGAGAGGTTTGGCGACATCCTCGATGCTGCCTCCAGCACCCCAGGGTCACATGCTGCACTTTTTGAGCAGAATTTGAACGTGTTCGACGACGGATTGTCATTATATTCGCCTTCATCTGACGGCCTTCTTACATTGATATACTACAATGTCTTTCGGGGGCTAAGCAAGAACATACGGGCGCTGAAATTGGACCTCAATCTGATGCGGACCCTGGATTACCAGTCACCGTTCATAACTGGCAACATTGATCTGTCAACGCTCCCGCCCGACTTTCAGCCCACATTGCTACAACAAACTATTCCTCACCATCCTTGCTTTGATATCTTTCCGGATCCTGTTCTGCGAGATAATGCGATCCGCAGCTGGGCCGCCGATCTACCATTCGGCAATCTGTGCATTAATTTAGCGGGGAGAAGCCACTGGCAGGAGATCGACTTTTCACAAAGACATGGCTGCATCTTATGGGGTGCGGCAGACAGTGCAGATAGCTGGGAGGTCACTGAGGCATTTGCTAGCAGGTGGCCTTACCTGGTCAAAGGTACTTATCGCCTCCAAGCGGCAACCAACAAATGGCGATCTATGCGAGGAGAACAGCCAATTTATTTCGCATAATAGATGTGCAAGGGTGATACTGCTTATGCTAGGAGTCGCTGCTATTGGGACACGAGCGTTCCCGAGATGAGAGAGTCATTAGTAGCAAGACGGTGTCCAGAAAGAAAATGAAGAGGCTTTTGTGCCGAACCGGGTGCGTGATCAAGGCGGTCAACAGCGATGCCAACGAATTCAAAGCTTTCACAGCTTTCACAGTCACTGCCCCAATATGCGCCTCGACCTCACGGAAGAGAGATTCGCAGCAACCCATTCAAAACCGTGTACACGTCAGCGCTCGCTGGGGCACCTTGCCAGAAATAAGCAGCTAGGCAATCCACGACCAACAAACCATGCTCTTAAGATTTGTAAGTCTTCAAAATACCCTTCAAGTGCTGCGATTGCTGAGTCTGCGGGCAGGTTCTGAGCGCAGCATGCCTGTCAAGCGTTATCTCCGGTACTTCTTTCTCCAGGCGAATGGCAGGCGCAGCGTTTCTCTTGGGCAATGCTGAAGAGGTCGGAAATATCCAGGACGGAGTCGGAGCTGGTATCGATCTGTACAAGCTATACACGGGTGACGGATCAGCTGCCGCTGGATGGCCAACCAAAGACCAGTGGGTGTCGTTCGAAGACATGTAGGGTCTTGAGCTCCTCTCTGTTCCCTGGCTCTATATCTGATGCGAAGGAGGTTCAATGCTAACAGAGCCATGATGAGAGCCTCATGTGTCAATCTGGGTGCAGATTGCGGCGCCAACAACTCAGGTGAAGAAATCGATCAGATCTGGAATGCGATTCAGTTTGTAGCTCACCTGGCAGGGGTCGATCATCGATTCATCCTGGCGGTGATGCTACAGGAGTCTAAAGGCTGCGTGCGAGTCCGCACGACCGGCAGTGGACTTGCCAACCCTGGACTTAGGCAAAGCCATAATGGGCAGTACTCTTGCAATCAAAATTCTGTTGTCCTAAACCCATGCCCTGGCTCACATATCTTCGGGATGATCCATGAGGGTGTTAGAGGCACCATGGACGGGGACGGCATCGCTGGCGTTCTGAACAAAGTAGCTACCTGTGATGATGCAGGGCAGTACATTTCAGGCAGTATTCCCGATGAGACTCGGCTTGAGATTGCGGGATTGTCGACGGCTTGCTATGCCAGTGATATTGCCAATCGACTGACTGGGTGGGTTGTGGCGCCGAGTCAGTGTCACTTCTGAAAAAAAACTAAGAAATACACTCTGGACACCATCGCTTTGTGTGCCCTATCGCATTATCCTGGAATTGGGGGTGACGTGGTTTAAGGGGGAGCTTGAATTGTCCGCTGCCACTATGGTCGGAGTTCCTATCAACTCCAACAGTCTTTGCATCCCAGTGAGCTGCAAACAGTGGCAATAAAACATTGTTGAGATTTTTTTGATATGTTTATGCATGCATCAATACATGATGGTGATAATGGTTAGGAAAGCCACGAGCTGCCCTCGCAGACGAACGAGCTGTGCCCGGAACGTACGGGCAATGATTTGGGGGTTCGGAAAAACTTCGGCGGAACATGTGACATAGTTTCTCCGATCTGCCACCTGGCGAGTCCAGATCAGAATTACTGTACAGGACAGTATGTAGTAATAGCGCAGGCATTTTACCATCATCCACCGTCCTAGCAATTGGTTCTGTTCTCATCACCTCACGGGATGCCGAATAGCTGCTCGGAGTCATACACCAGATATCAAATGTGATTCACCAGACGCCAAACCACACACCATGTTGCCTTTCCTCGCTCCCTACCTCGCCAACCCGCGGCAATCGCTCTCACAGGTGCTCAATTTCGCTCTCGTCTTATCGACAGCGTTTATGCTGTGGAAGTCACTGTCAGTGATTGCAGACTCGCCATCGCCGATTGTCGTGGTGCTCAGTGGATCTATGGAGCCTGCGTTTCAGCGAGGGGATCTACTATTTCTCTGGAACCGGGATCAGGCCGCGGAAGTGGGTGAAATCGTGGTCTACAATGTCAAAGGGAAGAACATACCAATCGTGCATCGAGTGGTGAGGAGCTACGCTCCCGCTGTCGCAGTGGAAGCGAACAAGAGGTAAGGACCACTCGCGTCGAACAACACACTGGGGGCTCAGGCCAAGGAAAGCACAAAGACTGACATTCGGATTCTCTTTCTAGCGGCAATCTTTCCACATCCTCCCCGAAACTTCTGACCAAGGGCGATAACAACATAGCGGATGACACAGAGCTCTACGCGCGAGGACAGAGCTACTTGAACCGCAAAGAGGACATCATCGGGAGCGTGAGGGGCTACATACCGGCCGTAGGATACGTGACTATCATGCTCAGCGAACACCCTTGGTTGAAGACAGTCATGTTGGGAATGATGGGGCTGATGGTCATCTTGCAGCGGGAATGAGCAAGTAAGGAACGCGTGTGGTCATCGTTTGAGCAGAGAGTTGCGTTGGGAAAGCCAATCCCTTGAGGCAGGAAATGAAACAAGGTCTGCTCAGTGTCGATCCTCCGTCTGTCTCCAGGAGGATATTTGGCATCCTCCCGGAGTAGGAGCCTGGGCCAGTGGAGACAGGTGCGAGATCACCTGACCAGACTAGGCTGCCAGTGGATGAGGGAAATACCGAATACCGCGTACCGCGTATGGACAATAGCCAACGGATGAAAGCCCAAACAGGGGAAAGGATGACAGCATGTTCTTTAGGGATGATCCGGATTGCGTATGTTTGAATTGTTTGTGGCTTCGCATCGCCAGGCCTGTGACATACCAAGAGATCGATCCCAAATCCTCCCAGGGGGTCATTTCAGCCCCGGCGGTATAGACCAGTAATAGAGCCAATGAAGCTGGTATCGACGGAGCACCTCCGCGTGTGCAGGAACCACAACTGAAAGGAGCTCGATTCTCGCCGGCCGTCGGGCCCAGGGCTGAGGCATGGGGCTTACCCGTAGGGCTTGAGGCTCTCGCAATCCTGGACAGGGAGAGAGGATGGGAGTAAACTAGCCCCCAAGCCTGTGTTGTGGCAACGCCAACGCAATCAAGGAAGGCCTCAGAGGCTGTCAACCAAGGATAGAGCCTTCCTCTGTCCTTCATACTGTAATCAGGACCAAACAGTGTTTTAAGCCCGTTTCTTGCATCGTACGTCTCTCTCTCCCCCCCTCTCTATTCGTAGATGCTCGTAGAACACAGAAGTCCTTTTGCCCCAGACCCCTGTATTGTGCCCATGCTCTGTGCGTTCGTATCCACGCGGTGGGCGCCCCCTCGCCCACTACGAAGTCCTCACTCCTGGGAGCCCCCTGTATCTAGAGGTTAGACTTTCCGTCCTTAATCAGCCATGGCAATGGTCGGCTGGATTCATTGGCGCCGCAAGGTTGGTGCCCAGATCGCTCGAGGTTCAGCTGAGCACCCGATGGGCCCTGACTCGTCGTGCTATTGACCAGATTTGCCGACGCCGTGGGAGTGGCCTCTCTTCTAACGGTAACTGTTCCATCAAGCCACATCTATTCCTACAGGGACCGATTCATGGGATGGACTGGACACGTTTTCTGTCTGTCTTTCTTCGTCCCCATCTCACCCCCCTTGAGCTCTGCCGGCTCTGTGTGCAGAATATATCACTATTACTACTATCATCATCACCACCACCACCACAGCAAGACCTGCCACCCTTGAATTGCCTAGGTGTATCAACCAGACACCCAGCCTCCCCGGTCTGGACTACCACTGCTCGCTAGCCGTAGCGACTCCGTCCTCGGCCGCCGCCGCCGTCTTGATTGCACCTTGGTCATCGCCTTACCAAAGCAGAGCAGGACCTGACTGGCACTGGGCCCTGGCCTTGTGGAAACGCTAAATCGGGGTGGTCATCATCCAATTTGGGTGCTGCATGCCACCAGCCCCATCGCTACCCGCCCTGCCCTGGCTTATCTGCTTCACGCTCCAGCTCGACCCAACCCAACTTCTTTTTGATGACTTAAACAACGTCTCCATACTCGCGCTCTGTGCAAATTATCGGCGCATTCATCTGGCTGCCGCGTAGAACCAAGCAGCTGTGCGACCCACGAATCTATACACTTTATTGGGCTCTGCCATTGCGAACCAGATCCGCCAGCCAAGTTGCGTCAGTTTCAAGCGCCCGGTCATGCTTACTTGAATCTGGTATTCGACCGAATCCGGCGTGACCACCCAGCTGTCAACGGGGCCCGACCAGTCAAAGTCTGGAATCATCTAATTGCTGCCTTCACGGAATTTCTCAACATGTCGATTTTGACACCCATGACATATTCAGCCATTGCGATCACCAGGTGACCAAGACTGGTCTTGGACCTTCTGTTTCGATCCTTATTCCTGCAATATCATCATTATGGACGACAAACATGTCCCGTCGATGCAGCCCTTCTCGGCTGCCACCTTCGACGACAATGTTGGACTACTCGGCAATTCTGGCCAGAACAGAATGAGGATAACCACGGCTGTGTCACCACCATCTTACTATCGCGGCTTACACTCGAGGGGTAATTCATCCATCGATATGGGTGAAAGCCCTTACGATGTGGTTGAGCCGCCTACGCCGCAGAAGGAAAGGGGAGGCAACCCTGGTCCGTCTGCGACTGCCATGCTAAGAAAACTCACTACCAAGGTCAATCCTATGTCGAGGGCGCATTTCCGAACCATGAAAAGGTCGCAAGGACGACAGTACGCGACTCTCGAGGAGGGTGACAATGATTCGCCCACCGTCGATCTTTCCTCTCTGGAAGGGATGGGTTGGGAGCTCACAGACATGGCTGGTCAAGGCGAGACCAACCTTCAAGGCCAGCAAACTGAATATGCTCCGTCAACATCGACCAGTGGAAAACCGGCATTTCGAGAATTTGTTGACAAGCGGCGATCCGTGGGAGAAGGCATGAGGGACATTGGTGTCCAGCTGAGGCGAGATCCTACGAAATTAATCCGTCGAAGCTCGGCGCAGCGGAACGGGAACAGCTCAGGTATTGATCGAACCAAGACCGTGCGCGAATTCGGACAAAATCTTGCTCAAGAAAAGAACATGATCGTGGAGGTGGAAGAGCCCGTTGATCTGAGTGTCCTGGAGGGCGGCCAACCTGATAATCGAGCCAGTCAGATGTTCGAAAGCAACCAGATGAGCGCCAGGAATAGCATGATGCCCCAGGAGACAAAGAGTTATTTCTTCCCCGAAGACCCGGACATTCCCAATTGGAAACCATGGTCGATGAGTGCCGGGTACATCCTGGCCTTGACAGCCCTTGCATTGGGGCTCGCCGGATTTCAGGAGTATCTGTTTCAAAGGTCAAACCGCGAAGCCAGACAGGGCGGGGGACTTTTGGCTTTCAACGAGGTCTCGCAGATATCTGTCTGGGACTTCTTCGCCTGGAAGTGTGAGTGTCTTCGTGTTTGTCCAACATCAGGATGCTTGCTAACCCGTCAATAGATCTCCCAACCATGATCGCAATCGTGTTTGCCGTCCTCTTTTCAATCATGGATTTCGATATCCGCCGGCTCGAACCATTTTATCAACTCTCTCAACCTGGTGGCGCGAAGGCATCGTCGAGTCTCAATCTCGACCATTTGACCATGTTCCAGTATTTCGTCCCTTTCAAAGCGTTTCGTTTGAAACAATGGGCTGTGCTATTTTCCACCACGGGCAACATTATTGCCTCGATGGTTGCTCCTGCGCTTCAAAATCCCTCCATCCAATTCGACACCAACCCCAATTGTGACCCCGTATGTGCGGATCCGGACAGAGAAAACCGGTATTGGGTGCGGGTATCGAGCGTTTATTCGCGACTTCTTTCGGCCAGCTATCTTGTGATTGCCATGATTTTGGTCATTCTCTTCGTTCAATTGCGGCGAAAATCAGGCCTTCTCAGTGATCCTAAAGGTATCGCTGGAATCGCATCCATGGCGACCAAATCACACATCCTGCAGGACTTTGCATCGACCGACGAGGCAAATCTCGGCCAGATTCACAAACGGTTGCAACATCGACGATACGTCCTTTACAAATCCTCAATCTGGCAGGGCGAATGGTCTTCGGCCAATGAAGCATTTCAGGACAGCGAACGAAAGCTTACAAGCCCGCATCCCATAATGCTGCGGACCAGTGCGGCAGTTCCGTTTCTGCTGTTCATGGGCTTCTGTCTGGCGTCAATACCTCTGGTCACTTTGACACCCGCTCGAATAGTGCCGAACGCTGCACCCTGGCTTCCAATTGTGATTGCTACAGCGTTGAAGTTGTTCTTCAGCACTTTCGAAGCAGACGTGCGGCTCATGGAGCCGTTTTTCATCCTTTCCGAGGGAAACGCGCCACCACAAAACAGTCTCACCTTGGATTATCAATCTTCCGTCTACGGAATCATGCCGTTCAAGGCACTATTCAACAAACATTATCTGGTCGCATTGGTGGGATTCGCATCAGTCACCCTAGATATCCTCACTGTTACAGTCAGCTCTTTCTCGGTCGACTCGCAGGATTTCATGCATCTGAATGTCAACAAGGACCTCTCCAATGGTGACGAGACATACATCTCCTTCTGGGTCTCGCTCATTCTCTCAATGACGATCCTGGGCTTCGTCATTTTTGTGACGACATTGGTGTATATCAGGCGAAGGCATCCTTTCCTTCCTCGCGAGCCTTCCACCATTGCAGCAGTCCTGGCATTCATCTACTCCAGTAACATGTTGAACGATTTCATCGACACGGAAACGCTCAACAACAAGCAGATGGAGACCAGGCTAAAGACACTGGGGAAACGATATGGTCTGGGATGGTTCCGTGGTCGAGATGGCAAGGTCCACTGTGCGATCGACGAGGAGCCGATGAAGAGCAGATATGTACACGGCAAGTCGTATGCGATGGCGCAGGCGGGTCCTTTGCAGCCAGCCGAGACCTTTTATGCCGTCTAGACCCCTGTTTATTTGTACATTCAAGCGATGGAGTTTTATGTTGATGATAACGCCGATTCCACAAGGAATGATTGTCGGGCCCAGAATTTTATGAAATATGAGAGATTTGGGAGGCTTATTGGCCTCAGCAGTCGCGCAGAACCATAGTCTTCGTAATGGCTACATGTTACTAACGACCCTGATTCGAGGATCAAGAAAGCCGTTTCCAGCCATTATCTGTTGTCGTCATTCGCCCACGTCAACTCACGGGAAGCCAAGTACGGATACTCTTCACACACTCATAATAGAATCCAGATATGGCCAGACTAACCTGGGCCTAGGCTGTCGAAGCTAAACGAAGAGGAAACCTTGGATTCCACGGTCAGCCCCCAAAAAGCCAAGGGGGTGTGGGGACACCACCGTTGGCGGCGATTGACGAGCATTGAACCCCTGCTGCCCACCGATCAGTGGAAGCAGATATCGGTTGGATGATGATAGACGAACAAGCTGGAACACCTGGTGCCGTGATATGTATGACTCCTCCTACTGGGCGAACCCTGCCACAGCACCGCCGTGTGTGGATGGGCGGGTGGGTTTGAAATGGGGAAGGCGCGTGCCTTGTGCATCTGTGGCACATCGCTCCTTCCCAGGAACAACACCGATGACGTAGGCTACCCACCTGTCAACAATACCGTGTCCCCTGCACAGCATCAGAATGCTATTTCTTTTCTTTTGGCTGGCATGTCCTCAATCTGGACGTCTCCCACAGCTCGTCGTTTCAATCTCTCGCCAGGTGCCTAACTCTAGGTCTGGACAACGAGCGATATCAGTCTGCTCCATCCAGTTTGACTTCGGCCCCAATACGCACTCCTGCATGTCTAAGGATGCCCACCCCCGGCTATATCTTCCGTGATGGCGGTGCCACTCCACCTCTAGAAGAGAATCCAGCCTCAGAGGTTCGAAAAAGAATCAGCCAGCCCGCAAAACCGCTGGCGGTAGCCTCTCGGCCGCCTCTTGGTCAGAATACTTCCACCAGCCATCAACTGGCAACTGCCCAACATGACATCCTGGGTACTGCCCAAAAGGCCGGTAAGGAGGATCACATTACAAATCTAGGATGGCAAGCCAACGCTGTGGGTGTAGATACTTTGGTTGGAGGTCTGCCGAATGAGGAACTATGGACACTCGTGAGGAGGTTCAATAAGGCAAGTCGGGATTTGCCGAACGGCGCATTCAAAGAGGTTGAACACAAGCTTATTAAGTTTCCAGCAAATGTACCATGTCAAGCAAGTTCTCGTGGCTCCTCCAGGCGGACTGGATCTCAACATTGCGGATGAAGATGAATTCTCCCCGGACAAACTTCGTGCCAACCTTGAACGTCTTTATATGACTGTTGTTGTTGGTGTCATCGGGTTTGGGAAGCATATTGCAAGATTGAGATCCTGGCACGAGCCTATACGAACATCTGTGTTTGCGATTGCCTACTTCCTCGCATGGATGTTCAATCTCATCATGCCAACACTGCTCATCTTCATTATCGTACTTATCACCGTACCCAAGTCTCGGCGTATCGTTTTCCCACCTACACCTCTCGCTCTTGTCAGTCACAAGACAGGTGGCATCCAAAAACCCAAGGCTGGTGTACTTGGAAGTCATGACAGCGTAACAGGGGCACCTGAGAAATACAAGGGAGAAGCCGTGGAGCAAGAAGCCAGCAACTTGGTCTCCGGCATCGCTTCAGTTGCTATTTCCAGCGCCGCCGGTCGTCATGACCAAGCGGCACCAGACGACGAAGGAGGTAGCAAGGCACTGGATAGTGGAATGCCTGATCCTACCAAACTAGCCAGCACTGCCGCTGATGCTTCTTCTTCAGCTCAAGGTGGCGAGGAAACTCACGATAAGACCAAACAACCAATGGAAGCTGCTGTGTGGAAACAAATGCGTCCAGTTATGCATGTCATTGGAGATATCTCCGACGCTTGGGAGCGATTTGCAAATGCTCTATCACCAACGCCACCCTTCTCCGACGACAAACGGCTGCAACTTGGGGCGATATTTGTACCCTTGCTTTTGATTTCTCTCATTACCAAGCCTCAATGGGTCATGAAGGGATCAACGTTCTTTGGCGGCTTCGTTTTCTTCTCCGATCCGCTGATGAAAAGAGGAATTGAGCTGTTGAACGAAAAGGTCCCTGACTGGCCCAAATACCTTGAGATCCGCAATACGCTACTCAAAGGCGTCCCTACCAACGCTCAGCTCACTGTTACTTTACTGAGAATTGGTGAGGCCAATCGGGCACCTCTCCCTCCACCTCCTCGTTCCCACCAACCACCACCTGATGAGCCGGCTGACTTGGATAAGGCTGCTATTACTGCTAACGGGTTAAATGCTACGCAATCAGAGATTGAAGATGTTGTCACAGTGGATGGCCCAACAACCGAGGAAACAGAGCAACCAGAAGAAGGAACCCCCAAAAAGAAAAGCGGATTTGGTGCCAAAGTCATGTCCACACTTAAGCATGGCACGGCTGGCGCTGTAGAGACAAAATTGGCAACTGACTCGGCCCGAGCAACTTTAGGTTCACACCATGCGAAGGAGAAGCTGGGGGTTCTACCATCCAAACGAGAGCAAAAGAGCAAGCCAGTTGAGGGGCCTGTCGAGTTCAAGGCGCGGTACAATGGCCGGAAAGGAGCCGTCTACATCGACAGTTCCATATCTGGCCCCAGTGGAAAGAGACCTGCTTCTCCTTGTGTCTACTTCACCCGTCACCTAGATCAAAACGAGATCGTCGAGAGCATGCCTTCCGATCCTGAGTGGGCCGTGGCTATTGCAGACCTCACAGAGGTAAAGAAAATCGGTGGGCTGGGTTGGAAAGGCAAGATTGTAGTGGGCTGGGCTACAAGCAGGGAAGTGAAGGATGGAATCGAGTTGGTGGCCAGGGATGGGTCGGTCTATCGCGCCATGGCGATCAAAGAACGTGACGAGCTCTTCAATCGTGTTATTTCTATGGGTCAACAGGTTTGGGAAAGCTATTAATTTCATAGTAGCGTACACACAGATCAGAACACAGATCACAGAGTCACTCAGACACACGAACTTATGAGCATGATTATGAAGACCTGGATGTGGACTAGGGGCCTGCCGAGGGTAAATTGCGTTCCATTCATGACCACTATTAAGGTATTTCTATCAGATACGCACTCCATGCTCGAATGAATGCTAGCCTGCTGCGATTCCATCGGCGCGAACTAACTACTCCCCATGATGTGAGAGTACTTAAGGAAAAAACAAACAATGTTCACAACGAGTATCTATCCAAGGGATAACAGTAAAAACAATATTTCGTCTCCCCTTTCCAACCAGACCCCTGTTTTTCGACCAGTTCACAATCGCACCTTTCTGAGGGATGTGGAGAAAACAGGATTTCGTCTTTGGCGGCCATGAGGCCCTCACTGCTAAATCAACGATCAAATCGTTCTTTCAAGGGATGCAGTGAAGGGATATTTCAAATTCTTGTTCGATAGATGTCTTTCATTTTGTTTTGACACAGGGGACAATTATCGAGCCAGCTTGAGAAGCTGACGACGTTCGCGCCGCTGTCTCCGCCTGTGAGTCCGGCAGTGCGCACAGAATCGACTAGCTCCCGCGGATAGCCTAGACAAATTTTTCGACCTCAAGAGGCATCCTTCGTGGTGGCCTGATCGACATTCCGAGCAGAAGACTGGTTTGGGAGGCACCGATTTGTCGTTGTCGATATCAAGCCAGAACTCGCGAGTCGCCATACAGGCTTCGGGGTTCGGATTCGGTGTTGTTGTGGCCGTGGTTGTGGCCGTGGCTGCCGTTTTAAGAGAACGGGTTAAGGTCGAGTAGATCTTGCTACCGAGCGATTGCAGACTTCTCCCGAGCGCGGTGGCCAGCTTGGCCCGTGTTGTGGGAAGATCATATGGGGGAGATACGTAGAGATCAAGTCCGCAGATCGGGCAGTCCACCTTGGAGTTCAAACCTGTCTTGTTGTCAGTGGCTGTTTCTTGGCCTCGTGCAGAGGAAGTATGCATGTGGCTGTGGTCTCGGCGTACCCAGCTGAGAGTTTTGAGAGCAGACAGCACGAGCTGTGCGCCGGGAAACTGAAAGTCGAGATAAGCTTGCACGGTACAGCCAACATTGCCCTGCAACTGGGCGATTAGACGACTCTGCAATCCAAGAGCGTCCTCTGTAGTAATAGCAGCGAAGGGCAACTGAACACCAGTGCCAGGCGAGCCGTCACTGCAGCCCAATTGTCCCAAATCGATTTTCACCCAGGGATGCCGAGAACAGAACTCTCGAACCTTCCACCGAAGCTGGTGATACCCGACTATGAGCTCGATCTGTGTATCAACAGCCAGATTCTCCAGGCCTGCCGCTTCCAGTAGCTGTTGACGGGCAGCGAGCGCGTATCTGTTAGCTATAAGAGCATAGAGACGACAGTGGATCTTGAGGCAGGTTAGTATGAAGCGCGCGTCGTCCTCCTTCCGCACCAAAAGCTCATCGAAAAAATGGCAGTACGCTTGATCGTACATGTCCCATACGGCCATATGGTGTTTGTCCAAGCCACAGAGGTACTCACCCTGGGCATCCACCGCAGGAGACATACCCTCGAGGTCTGAACGTCGCGGGTCTCTTCTACTCATTGGGTGCGACTCGTCTAGTCGCCCGTGGAGCAAGGTGAGCCCTCTCGCTAAGTATTGTAAGCACTGAGTTCGGGATCTCGCATTTTCTGGCGTGGCTGTCGCTTGCAGTGGGGACGGGTTAGCATTGTTGACTTTGAACAGCCATGCTCCTTCTTTCACTTCGATTCTGCCCCTCAGCATGAATGGAGTTGGAACGTATGGTACGTGTCCCTGGCAGTGGGCTGCAACTCCAGCAAGAGCTAAAGCAGCTGCTTTGTTGATATTGACGCCGAATCTGTCACTCATCGTAAATGAGTCTACTGAGCTTGGGATGTGGACTTGCCCCGGGGCTTCAGCTCCACCGCTGGCCATGTTGGCTGTTGCGTTGTGTCAGTCGGTTTTGGTGTGATGCACCGTTTACTTTCAAACGTTCGGAAGGCAACCAGGTCTTCTCGTGGACGAACTGGATGATCCTGGTGTGTTGAAGAGAAGATAACATGGTACAGGAGTGATGAGCAATATTATTCCCTGATACCACGGGTCGAGGGAGGCAGTGACCACAAGAGGTACAAAGCTACGGTATAATGGAAAGGACAAAGTCCCAAAGGACATTGTTGGCTTCCTTGTCTAGCACTTAAACTCTGGGTTTGGTCGGCTCCACGTCTTTGACTCTTTGACCGGGCAGGGGTCCTACACTCAGGACGACGAAAGGTTAATTCTCGAGGCAGCTCGAAGACCTGCTTCATGCCACCGTCCTTAGCAAACATGACCAAAATGACTTTTGCGTGAACACGTGGGCATGGATGGAATCCAGACCTTAGTATAGTGCAGCTGCATAAATAGACAAAGGGAAACGACAGACAATACCGGGGATCCATTTTAAAGGCTTTGATTACACCTTGGAGAGACTGGTTTATGGAGAAGAAACCCCATCTCGATCAAAGATCTACTGCTGCAGCATATGGATAGGGTAATATGGCGCGCCTCGGGGTGTACAAGGGGCTTTTAAGCCAGGTCCGGAGCAATGGTTGGCGAGTAATAGCAGCAAAGGCCAACGCTTTGAGGTCCACGGACCACTGTTCCCTGACAAACTGTATTCCAATGACCCATGCTTTCTGCGACAATAGGTTGAATCTCTCCTTAACACATGTCAATAAATGCGCATCGAGCTGATGGCGACGTCTGAAGAGAATTACTCGTGCCTGCAGTCTTCTCAAGCGATCTTCAGCAATGGACGCCTCGAAAATCTCAACGTTATTCTGTTCAAGGTCATCAGTGGTCTTGGTACGGAGACCGAGAAGTCGCTAGATCTCGCTCAGATTGGTGGCCGCCTTACTCCCATTCTCGGATACCAGAAGGTTTCCAAATGGTAGAAATGGTCGACCATCCTTCTCCAACGCTGCTACATAAAGTCCTTTGAAATCTCTCCACATCATCGAAGCTGCATGTCAGCCGTGAAAGATGTGCCATCTTATGTGCAATCAGGGCCACTTCTTTGGAACGGAACGATGGCTCTGTGCCAGCAGGCATTGAAGCAGACATTCTTGAAGATGATGCTGTGCCGTATGTTGAGTTTATGTTCCTGAGCCCTTCAACTTGGAGCGCAGAGGTGGTGGTAGTGGTGGTGGTGGCCGTACTAATGAATAATATAAGGCTAGGAGAACTCTCCTTGAGAACAAGTTATGGTGGCTTGTAGTTAAGGTCTGCAGAAAGGTCCAACGCACACTGCGACAAAGAAAACCGCTGCCTGTGTTAACAAGGGGGCTTTGTCTCCAAGCAAATGGTAGACAAGGTATGTCAGCCTAAATTTGTTCCGTACGACAAATCGACGCACCTGTCAGCAGACGGGCCAGAGGAGACGGCGGTTTAAGATGAGTTGCATATCGATCTGATTGAAACTGTCTGCTGAGTGCAGATCATTTATGACAGGGACTAGAAAAGCAGATAACGTCATTCTGGTTCCTTGACTCCGATGTTTAATTACTTTTAATTGTGTTGCGAGATTTCTATATAATACTTTAGGTCATTTACAATCGAAGCACTGTTCATAAGAAATCCATGTTTTCAGAGGCCGACCCCATTAGTTGGCATCTGGAGCTCGACTTCCGACCCCCTTCACGATGGTCCTTAAGGAGCGAAGATCGTTTACCATTGTACCCTGTCTTCTTCATCCACTCCTTCACAATTTTCACCCTTGTTTGCAAGATCTCATCCAGAAGCTTGTAGTCACACTTTGTCAACTCAGCCTCCCAGGTATTCCAAAACCCGGAGAAATTCTCTCTGAACGTGATGAGAGCTGGATCATTGCGGTTTGCTGAATGCCCAACTTTGTTGTCTGGGTAAGGAAATATCGGGAGAGAGAAGTACTCATCAAGGCTGACATCCTTGTATACTGCTTTCCGACCAGTCACTTCGGTAAACGCAGTAGCGAGATCCTTCCAAGCGATGTCCTCCGTTGCAACGTGCAACTCCAGGCCGCTACTTCTGGCAGGATAGTCAAAAAGCCACCTTGCATACGGCCCATAATCTTCAAGGTAGATGAGGGGACATTTTGCATCTCCGAGAGGGACGGTAAATACCAGTGTGCTCAGGTCTTCTGGATTTGGGAAGGGCTGAAGGACTCTGAGGGTCTCTCCATGTAGAGGCAAGATGTCAGGACAGACCAAGCCATGGGAGTCGTGGGCTGCGCCGATATGTAGTCCACTACCTTCCCCTTGCCATCCAGACGACCAGTTCGGTATTTGGGGTCAAAGTTACCTAGCCTTGAGGCGTACTCAAGACCAGCGTAGAGGGAATGTATAACACCAGCCCCTCGGGCAAGCTCATATAGACGGATACCCCAGTATATCTCTGACATCTCTCCGATTGCAAATCCATTGGTATTAGCGAAGACGTATTCGACTTCTTCAAGGCCTGACGGAGCGTCGGTTCATGGTAAGACTTGCCCTCAATGATGGTCGCGCCTGGTAGAGACGCAAGATCTTTTGCCTCAGCAGAAGACGCGCTTCGAGTAAGCACTCGTACAGTATATTTCTCACCGGGGACCAATGCTGTACAGCAACGTCAGCAATCGTGTATGGAAGGCACATAGATTCCGAACCTTTCACTACCGGCACCCCCCTGGGCGCCAGTCCCGCCAATGACCAAAACTGAGTTTTGAATCTTCGACATAATTTCCACGGATATTTGTTGGTTGGAGACGAGGGGTCTGAGTACTGGTAATATGTAGCTCAATTTACTATGTTGGGGCTTTCTGATGAATCAGGGTGGATCCTGACTTTATATCAATCACCCAGTGCGTAAAAACACTCTCACCCTGTAGCGGTCGTACCATTCATACAATGGTCATCTCGCTTTCTAATGCCGTGGATTTCAACACAGGTTCATTTTACAGAACATCCGTGATTACTGGCATCGCGAAGGGGTAGGTTTGCTGACTGATTTTGCATTTCCCCAAGACTGACTATTTCATAAGCAACGGCCTTTCTAGTAATCATAGTAGTTAATGGGCATCTCTCCGAGGAACCAGAGGAGCATGAAGTGCTTCTACCCATTTCCAAAATAATGATACTGGTCCTTTCAAAATATCTGCCTCTTTGACAGCCAGCGTACGTCGCCTCCACTCCTGGGTATCTTTGATTACATATGTAGCTCGCACCGTCCATACTCGGCCATGGGGCATGGCTTAATCACGTACGAGGGAGAATAGTGGCTGGTACACGGAACAAAAATGACGATGACGCAACGAACCAACTAAGAGGGAGCGCCCACCAGCCAACACCTCACACCAGGAGGATCATTCGGCGCCACCAAGCGAGGAAGGTTTATATCGTACGTATGCCTAATGCGACGTACCGCCTTGGGTGAATCATTAGGTGGGATAAGCTATGCCGGAAACTAGTCCGAAGGGGAATGGCTCCATAGACGCTAATTAAGTCCCCGGGCCAGGAAATGACCCGGCCTAGTAATGACCCACGCGTCTCAACGCGTCTTTTTTTACCACTCCTCCTCTTCTACACCTAATTGCTCGTACAAACCACCTTTATATAGCTAAAATGGCATCAAATCACGAGTCTCGAATCCAACAAGCCATCCTGGACTATGAAACCCGACGACATCCGACTATTCGCTCCGCTGCGGCAGCAAATGACGTAGACCGAAAGACCCTCGGCCGTCGACTATAAGGAGGTGTTTCACGGGTAATTACTCATGAACCATAATAGCTATTAACCAACGAATAAGAGTAGCTCCTTATACGATAGATACTCGACCTTAAGGGCTAAGGACACCCTCCTAGCCTTACTTAAATACGAGAACTCGTCGTTATTATACGAGGCGAGTTAGTATTAACTATAAGCATTAACTAAAAGTGGATATTACGATTTATATAGCGTTATCTAGAGATTTACTTAAAGGTGGGTAAAAAGATCTATGGATTACGCCTATAGAGCACTACTCCTAAGTCCTTAACTCGCTAGTTTAAGCATTTTAAGGCCGTACAAGAGCGATATTAAGTTCCCTAGGAGAATGTCTATAATATAGACGAGATAGGTATCGCCCTAGGCGTCTATACTAATCAACGAGTAATTAGTAGGGTCGATACTACTTAATTATATAAAGTAATACTAGAAAACCGTAAATAGATATCGATTATCGAGATAATATTAGTAAGTGGCCGTCGACTTTAATGCCTCATTATATTTAAAGGAAATACGCTTTAATCGACCTAGTTTACTGATCTAGACCTTCCTAACTACTTCTATACGGTCTCACTAAACGGCTAGACCTTAAATAATATTAGATTAGCCTGGCTACGATAGATATTTATACCTTAAACGGCATCGAATAATTATCGACTCCTCCTAGTCGACGGATATAAAAGTTATATATATACGAGTTTATATAGGAATACTATATAAATCGAATTACCTTAGTCTATTTAATACCCTATACGAGCCATATTCTACAGCTACTCGATCTTACTTACTTTTCGCTCCTAAAATATCGTTATCGGGACGAAATCGCTAACCTAGCTAGGTTCGACGACGCCTCGGCCGTAAAGAAGAGTAAGTTCCTTAAAACGTACGAAAAAGCAAGCAATGAAGGTCTCTCAATATTCCGTATTACTACTGGGTGGAATGCAGCTGGCATTTATCCATAGAATCCTCGTAAAGTTGTACGATCTCACCAAGTCCTACAAGACAGTCAAAACAGTCAAATATCGCCGGTAACGCCGCCATCACGCAGGCTAATTCAACGTACATAGAGTACTATTCGTACGCCTCTAAATTAGCGTGGAATGCGGCAGGAAACGCAGTCGATTTCACAGCATGAGACCATCTCTCGATCAGTCCGTTTATTGCTTAATAAGACAGGCAAAGTTCTCGATCGATTACAGTAGGATGTTACACTTAAATTATAATAGTTGACTATCTAGCGTACACAGCTAAACGAACTTCATGCTATACGATAACGGCGAGTAGCAATCGACTGTAATGAGATCTTTGCGAATATCGAGACGATAAGACAGGTGAGGCAAGGTATGGAGGCCTTACAGGCGACGGCGAGGTCGACATCTCGCTTGTCTACAAGGAATACTACACAGGATGGACAGACAGACAATATACTCACTCCGTACATACATCAATTTAGTATTAATGACGTTGTAGAGTAGACAGAATACGATTATATTGACTGGTGGCAAAGTGCATTGCGTGGGTCATTACTAGGCCGGGTCATTTCCTGGCCCGGGGACTTACTCCACGAACGACTCCCGATCGAGCAAGCCAACATGTTGCTCTCCTTTCCGCAGGGTTATAGCTCGTTCATTCTCTCAAGGCACATGTTCAGACATAGACATGAAATCCCAGAACGTTGAAAGACGAATTACACATCAACATCAATTCTAAAGCCGGTATGCTCGCTCATGCGATAAAGATCACCATGAAAATTGCTATGGAGATTGGTAAGCTGTCTCCATGATTTCATCGTTGTAGGCGTGTAGACAGGCATAAATACACGAATGATTGCTCAATTCTATAGTAACCATGCAAGCAATCTAGAATAAAAAAGACTTCTGCTTATTCGACGGTTTTGTTCTTTGCTAATTTCCCGTCCTCAAATCTTCAAGCCCGAGCGACATCCTTCTTATCGTCTTGATTCTTCAGAGCAAAATCCCAACCTGGCCGCAAACATGCTTCCCAAACCAGTGCTGGGAATGCTTGCTCGCAATAGGTAGGTTGAATTGGACGAGAGACGCACCATACTTTCTGAATTCTTATTAACATAAACTTGAAAGCGAACTTGCTCGGAGTTACCAATCACCCCCAGGGCTCATGAAGATGGTGGGAGCTATGCGAGCATCCGGGGCTGGTGTGGTCGTTCTATCCTGTGCTGACCCTCGCATTTTCCCGGAAAGATTCTGGGGCTTGATGATACGCTAAGTATGCCTTCATTTTCTTTTCGCTTCCCGCATTTGAATCGGCTCCAGTTTGGACCGCCATGCGAATCACAAATCAACAAAGGGCTAATCAGATTCAATTATAGAAGCAGCGCAAGTACAGAACGCTGGAGGGAGAGCCTTTGATGCCATCAGAACTCTCTCTGTTCTTCAAGCCATCGGCAACCCGGGGACAATCGTAGTGATACATCATACGGGTAAGTGCTCTTGATCATCATAATGGATGGCTCTCAAAGATAGTACTACCAGAAAACCTGCTAAACTAATTTGTCTCAGATTGTGGAATGACTCATTTTCACAATAACGACATCAGAAAAGCTCTTGTTGAACAGAATCCGACCTCTAAGGGGTTTGTGGAATCAATGGAGCTTGGAGAGATTACTGATGGGTAAGCTATCCGCCCTTATATGAGGGAAGCGCGTGACTTCTAACGATTGCTTGCAGGATTGAGAAAAGTATTAGAGACATCGTGGCACTCAAAAAGTCCCCATTGATTAAACAACATACTAATATCATCGGTCTTGCCTATGATACCGATACTGGTCTCCTAAGCGAGGTCCTTGAGAGGGAAAGTGGAATTTAAGGAGGATAAATTTTAGAAGAAGTTAATATACACCGAGCTCTTGGAACGACGGATTTTGTATTACGCCGTGGCACTTTTTTTCAGCTTCAAAACGCCTTCTTGCCTTTATTTTTCCTTGGAACACTCAAACCTCAAGCAAGAGAGGATGCACGGACCCTGCTGGATCGAATTGTTCTTACCATCAGACTGATATCAACTGAGCAAATAAGTCAGCAGCACGATTCTAACTCAGCTCAAGGTTTCATAATCTCACTTGATGCTCATATCTGTAAATACCTACAGAAAAATCCATTTTCGAGCCACGACAGGGCTTACAGGTCGGGAGGGCTTATCGACCTACAGTACGGAAGCATTTTGCTCGATGTTGCGATATCAATGCTCGAAGAAGATCTCGCTAACAACTTCGTTCTGTACGCACTCCTAGGAAAAGTGTTCTCCATTGTCTCCGAACGGAACTCACACATCAGTCGATATCAGAGCAAACAGTACTGTTTTCGAGCCACGGTAGCCTTAGGAAAGTGGCTTCCTATTTCAAATCCGCCTAATGCGACTGCTATTCTGAGCCTATGGCACCTGATTAGTCCCGAAAAGAATTAGGGAAACCTTGACGCCGCGACGATCCATCTTAAGGGCGCCGGGGCAATATGCGACCTTCTTTTTGTCAGTCACCTGAATTACTTTGCTCTGTTCCAGATATGCAACTCGCTGCTTGCTACCAATATATTCGAACATTATCTCAATGTTTCCTTTTTCTTGTTCGATACAGGGCCCTCATACAGGCATTTCCAGAATCTCAGCCTTGTGCCGAGTATGCATGGACCTTCCATGGAAAACAGTCTTATCTCTTCGATGAACAAAAATTTATTTGCTCCAGGTTTGCGGAAAACAATCGAAGTGATGATATGGATACTCATCTTTGCTGCCATGGTTCCAATAGAAGACCGATCGGAACAAGCCTGGTATGCGAGAAAAATGGTCAGTCTCTTGGATCTCTGTGACCTGGGGGACGCCTATGACTTCAAAAAAAGAAGACATTGCGAAGTTTTCAACAAGTCTCTGCTTGGTTGATGAAATTCAAAGGGCAATGCTGGTGCCTCTTGAGATATTGGTTAAGTCTGTCAGACTTGAAAAAGCTCTCCTAGCCCTCCAGAGACCTACATTTTTCTCTTGGTATACAGGTGAGGCATTGGGTGAAGGCAAATAGCACAAATTGTCGGATTGGCAAAATTCAAGGCAAAATTCAAGGCAGAATTGAGGAATATCAAAATGACTCGGGATACTTGGATTCCTTGCTGCACGCTTCCCCTAGAATCAACAACTGAAGACAAATATGTTGCCCTGCATCATGCATCATGGGTCTTCAAGCTTTGCAAGGGCATTCAAGTATTGTCCTAAAGTTTTCTAAATAAGCAATGTTATTGCATGCGGAGAATGTCTCGAACTAATGGATGAATGTACCCGCAACAAGCCACCACTTTCTAAATTGGCCAATTATTGTCCTTAGACTCTCAAACCTTTTATCACAAAACACTTCTTTAGTTTCTTTCCAGGGATTACATTCGACTTTCGCTGCTTCAAATAGGCTATGTGGAATGAAGGGTGACATGAAGGTGATGTTAGTAGCATCGAAATCGGCGAACAAAGCCTGGAAAAGTCCGTAACCCGTACAGATGTCGATTTCATACTATCCGTAACGCGAAGCTGATTCAGCTGGTCGACATGATGATTGTTCGTCACAACAGCGCTATAGAGCGCGAATGTGGAACTGGGATAGTGTTAGCTAGAAGTAAGGGTCCTGATTCTGACATGGTGGGTAGCAGACCTGGTGCAGATAGGGAATGCTGAACAGTATAGACCATGCTTGCATACTTCCTCCATCAGAATGGGTACAATTGGCTTCAAGGTGCGCTCAAATATTGTTTCTTCAGCCTGATGAGATCGACCGTCAGATACTGGATCTCGACAGTGCCGTAGAACACGACTAGCCAAGTATGAAACTTGACATTCTTGAGCTAACAGTCCAACAAATGGTCCAAAAGCGACATCAGATGCGGTACCTAAGGATAGATAGACCGGTTCGGGGACATCCTACATTCGTTGTTAGTTATACTCGATGGTTTCTACCGTCCTAAAAAGGCAGTGAATGCTGTTCCACACATCTTCAAGCCACATTGAGTCATCGACGGGAAGCAAGTCTTTGACTCGTGGATCCTATGTGGCGAAAAATGCATCTCCATTACAAATTGATGAACCTGAAATGTAAGTTAGTGGTGAAGATGTAGATCATTATATGTGGCAACCGCATTTGAGGAATAACAGTAACTGGGAAGCGGGCCACAGTATCTTACCTATCAAGATTGAATAAGGCCCACCAGGCCCTTCTCTCCTCCCCCACCAGGACGCTTCTATGCACATTATTATTAGGCCGACGCCAGCTTTCATGTAGACCAAGAGCACAAGCCAATTCTCGCGTATGTCGCAATTGATATTGATGCAGCTGGAGAAATGCCGTGCCCGACCTCATAAAAGGTTTCGAGCCGTCGGCATTGAATCTGCTCAAGCGACAGATGATACCCTGTGGACTCAAGTAGGCTAATGATGTCCTTGAATATGATATAGATGGATGTCTGCATGCTCTGAGCTGCTTGAGGGAGATGTTGCAGCAGGAGATTGATGCATGAGCATAAAGGGGCGAAACCTGCAGGGTCTCCATCGATGCCACAACTTAAACGGTCTAAAACACGTTGCTTCGAGATTACTAGAATCTTGACTTAAATAGTTCTGAAAAAGTGGTGAATATCGCTGGAATTGACTCGAATTTAGGTCCAAAAATCTTCGACAACTTGTCCCGAACCATTCCATCTATTATCAACTTTGGAATTGCGAGCCCATTAGGATTGCAGGCTTCTGGGATTTGGCCTCCGATGAGCAGTGTCTCTGCTCGCTCATGGAGCCGATGGCCACTGTGATTTCTTGTAATCAAACGCTTGCGCGATCACCGTCGGTCACTACCAGGAGAGCTCAGCACGGAATGTTCTTCGTAGACGCAATACCGTCTAGAACTAAATGATATCAAGACGAGGAGGCTTAAGATTGGATCAGAAATAAATGGTGATACCAACCTGGTACAAGTTGAACAACGTGACATGACTCCGTCACATGTAAGCTTCCCACGACTGCACGGAAGTCATGCATTTGTGGCCATGGAGCACCACCCTGGTCAGCCAAATTCCCAGCTATAATGATTCTGAATAGGTAAGCCAAATTCGAAATGAATGGCAGAGTTCTCTTCTGCACCTATCGTGTCCTAGTAACGGGCTTACTGGAATTTTCAGCAGACACACAAATCAAGAATTGTGGTGTGGAAAACTCTGTCTGGACGAGGTGCCTGATGTTTGGTAGTCATCGGAGGATCTGCTTGACTACCGAAACCTTGCCAGCTCCAATCAATCATCAAGGGACGAAATCAGACTAGACCTGCCTAGGATGGTGAAAGTCCTAGGATTTATGTAACATGCGAGGTGGACATGGAATAGTCCGCAATGTGTAGGAGAATGCCGTGGGGCTGAAGCTAGTGATTTTGGCACTGTCAACATTTATGATTGATGAAAAGCCTGTGACAGGGTAAAGGAGTTGATATACACTGGCTTGAAATCCCCCTCCAAAATGATCCAAAGTAGGACCTTCAGTACTGTTGCCTGACAATTGACAACTATACCTTGGACTTCTCATTTCCAGTCTCGTTCTCGATATGCGTCGATTTTGAAAGCACCTTTGAATTGGGGTCAACGTCGTCCATATTCTCCACTGCGATCTCATCGCCAAATAAAGCTGCAATCTCTTCAAGTGACTTGCCACCCTATATAGCACAATTAGTACTAACTACTGATGTCATACAGAACATCTGGAGTTCATAGACTTACCGTTTCCGGCAGGAAGAAGAAGTATATCACTGCGGCTGCCATATTGCATGCAATGAACAAAGAGAAATATCTGGACAGAAGATTAGCGTGTCGGAGGACCCGCTTGGAAATTCAATAACATACCTCCAGCTCACATTTGCTAAAGCTAGAGGTGTGATTTGTGACAAGACAATTGCGGTAATCGACTTCGACAACACAGCAAACGCGAGACCCTTAGTGCGTAGGAAGAGTGGGAATAATTCCGAAGGGACAACCCAGATCATAGCGTTAAAAAAGATTGCATAGCACATCGAGTAGATGAAGATGAAGGCAATCGCTGCTCGAGCACCGGATTCATTGTTGTTGCCTTTCGTGCCGTATTGAGCACTGAGAGCCATGCAAATGGCGAGCATCACGCTGAGTACGATCGAGCCGCCAATCAAGGTCCATCTTCGAGGCCATCGGTCAGCCACGACAAACAAGTATATGATCTGACCTATGATGCCCATCATACCATAGACTCCGCTGATGAGAAGAGAAGTACGACCCGTGAATCCAACCTGAGCATAAAAAACATTTTGAAAGTTCTGGATGACAGAAGATCCACTGAGCTGGCCCATTGTGACGATGAAAGCAGCTAGAAGTGTACGGCGAGCATATTTTGGCGCGAACATTTGTGTCAAAGCAGTGGACCAGGCAGTATTTCCTTGCTCTCGTTCAAGTTGAATTTGCTGGCCGATTTGAACCAACTCTTTCTTGGCAAAGTCGTGGTCCGAGGATGGATGAAGTCTAATGAGAACTGTCCTTGCTTCTTCATATCGATCCTTCAATATCAGCCATCGTGGCGAGTAAGGTGCGAAGAATAAGCATCCAACCAACAAAATCGGTACCGGCATCTGCATTGCGAGTGGAACGCGCCACTGTGCGTCTCCCGAGGCGAAGGCGCCTGCATATCCGATCCAGTTGGCGACACCGAAACCGATGGCAATCATCATGCCTTGTAGGCCAACAAGGAAACCTCGTCGACCTGGTGGGGCCACTTCTGCAAGATAAATTGGTACCACAGAAAGAATCTGCCCACAACCAATCCCAGCTATTAGGCGGCCAGCGATGAGCATTCCTACATGGGCTGCTGCGAATTGAAACACTGATCCAACAATGGTGAGAAACGCGGCCAGCAAGATGGTCCACTTGCGGCTGTATCGATCGGCCAGGTATCCGACAGAAAATCCACCAATAACTTGACCTGCGTTGTATACGGAGACAATGGCTCCTTTTGGAATTAGCATGAACTCTGAAAGCCCCGGGAGAGATATGCTGGTTTCGTACCTTGCAAACTAGTATTTTTCTTCGACAGCCCATACATGGCCAAACGAAATGAATCGTGGCCGAAAGTGGTCGCAATGATACCTATAATGTGTTATTTCGACCATGCTATCGATCTTAGAACTCTGTCTTGCCCACCCGAGTCGAGACCATAGATAAAACCACCTTGCGCCGCCACCATAGCAACGCCAATTAGAGGCCAGTGAACCATTTTTACTGGAACGATTGACAGATTTAGCGTTATGGATGATGAGAAAGCGACTGAAGAATATCACAAGGAACATCAAATCCTTCTTATGCCATTTCAACAACTCGACATCCCTGCGAATGTTTTCCCCAAGTACTTTGAAAGCCGGAGGATAGTTATGCAGCGAAGAAAATGCTGGGGAGCCAAGACCCGGAGGCCGGCCGATATCTTGTTTCGCCACACTATGAAGGTCACTTGGCCGGCCTCCGGATCTTGGCCTGCTCCTCGGTAGAAAACGGGGCGAGACATTCAGTCCGGGCAAAGGCGAATGGCATCATGAGCACGCTGCTCTGCATCACTCTCGCTCGTTGTAGCTCCGAAGATGGGGGGATAGTTGGACATCAGTTGATCTAATACGAGGTTCTTCAATGTCTGCCCAGTAAGATATCCCGAGCTTAGATTCGAGCAATCAAATACACCGAGAGACACCGATTCTTCGTGGGGCTAGTGCCCAAAGTTACAGCCCACCGGTCGAGTAGCGATCAGGGTATGAATTAGAAGAGTAACGACAAAATTGTTTCTCGTGGAGAACACAATCTCAACCAGAATCCCCGTCACTAACTATGATAATCATGACTTCACCAACTGTGACAAACCCAACATTTGAGCACCATCACAACGGTCTGGGACTCGGGCGTCCAGATCCAAGAATATCATGGAGATTCGAGACCGAATCTTCAACAGCACCAAGCTGGGTTCAAATTAGATATGAAGCCGAGGTCAAGTTCTCTGAGACGGAGACTTACTCGCGGACAGTCGAATCAAGCGAATCTATTCTTGTACCGTGGCCATTCAGAAATTTAAGATCACGCGAACTTGCCAGTGTAAGAGTTCGGGTCCTTGGTAGGAGTACTTCTATTCAATTTGAGGGATGGAGTGATTGGTCTGCCAGCTCGAGTGTTGAAGCTGCACTGTTAGATCCTGCCGAGTTCAAAGCAAATTTCATTGCCGCGGCAGAACGAATTGGTCCCCATGGCCCTCTACAGCCTCTCTGTTTCAGGAGGGAGTTCATATTGCCTGAAATTCCCCAGGGGAATGCTAGGCTATACATCACTGCTTTCGGCGTCTTTCACGCTTGGATCAACGGAGTGCGGCTCAGCGATGAGGAGATGGCACCAGGCTGGACCAATTATCGGTCGCGCTTGAACTATCGAATATGGGATGTGACGTCTCTAGCTGCTGGGAATAATGAGATCCACATTGAAGCAGCTGAGGGCTGGTACGCCGGACGACTTGGATTCAAAGGAGGGCGACGCTTCCATTACGGAGATGAGATCGCGGTCATGGCCCAGTTACAGATCGGGGACTGGACCCTGCTGACGGATGAGTCATGGACTTGTGGCCCTATCCCGGTCACTATGTCTGAGATTTATGATGGTGAGGTTCATGACTTCAGCGAGAGCTCGATTCATGACAAGCCTGTGAAGATTCTCAGTCGTCCATCGGTAAAGTTAGTAGCAGCCGAGGCACCCCCTGTAAGGGTTACAGAGACCAAGCCTGCTGTAGCTGTCTTCAAGTCAACTTCTGGCAAGACCATTATCGATTTCGGTCAAAACCTAGTAGGAAAGCTGGCGGTGAGGAACCTCGAATTACAGGGCCAGGTGACCTTTATGCATGCCGAGGTGATGGAGCATGGGGAGCTTGGTAGTCGCCCCCTTCGCGAAGCGAAATGCGTTGACACGGTGAAAGGCAACGGTATCTTTTCGTGGACACCGAAATTTACGTTTCATGGATTTCGGTACGTCCAGATCGACGGCTGGGAGCCACAATTGGAAAATATCTCTGCACTTGTCATGCACACAGATATGAAACGGAGAGGATTCTTCCATTGCTCCAATAGCTCAGTCAATCAGCTACATCGGAACGTGATATGGTCAATGAGAGGAAACTTTCTGTCCGTCCCAACCGACTGTCCTCAAAGAGACGAACGGCTTGGTTGGACTGGAGACCTCCAGGTATTTTGCAGGACGGCATCGTTCCTTTATGATACAATTGGGATGGTGGGAGAATGGCTGCAAGACGTTGCATCTGAGCAGAAGAACGGAGTTCCACCAGTCGTCGTTCCAAACGTTGCTCCGCCGAATTGGCAGGATTTCCCACAGGCTGTCTGGGACGATGTCACAGTCTTAGCCCCTGATGTTCTGTATGAATTTAGTGGTGACAAAGACCTCTTGGAACGGCAGTTCGACAGTATGCTTTCCTGGCTTGAACAGGGGGTCGATCGAGTCGAAGGACTGTGGAACCCAGACAGGTGGCAACTCGCAGACTGGCTGGATCCAGTCGCTCCCCCAGAGGAACCAGCATATGGCAGGACCGATAGTGTTCTTGTTGCTGATGCCTACTTGGTCCATGTGACTGAAGTCTTTGCCAAGCTATGTGCCGCAATGGAAAAAGACGCGGAGGCTACAAAGTACGCAAAAGATGCTATTCTGTTGAAGGAAAAGTTCCAGCACAGGTATGTGACTCCCGCTGGGTTACTAGTTGGGAACACTCAAACTGGCGTTGCACTTGCACTTCACTATAATCTTTTCCCGCCTGACAAGATTCCGATGGCGAAAAAGAGCCTTGACCGCTCCGTGCGAAGCGCAGGCTTCCGTATCGCAACCGGGTTCGCTGGCACACCGGTTATTTGTCATGCTTTGACGAAAGTCGGGCTATCCTCATTGGCATATAGAATGTTACTTGAGAAGAAGTGTCCTAGCTGGATGTACCCTATCACCATGGGTGCAACGACAATCTGGGAGAGGTGGGATAGTATGCTACCGACCGGAGATATTAACCCCGGCCAGATGACAAGTTTCAATCATTACGCACTGGGTGCAGTCGCAGACTGGCTCCACACCACTGTCGGAGGTATATCTCCACTAGAGCCTGGTTGGAGAAGGGTACGAATAAGTCCAATTCCTGGAGGAAATATCAGGTGGGCAGATATCAGTTTCGACGGCCCATACGGGCTGGTGCGATGCTCTTGGAACATTCAGCTCCAAACATTATCAATTACTGTGCCTCCTAATACTAGTGCAGTCGTCTCAATTGAAGGCCAGGAGATCGAACTTGGGTCTGGAGACCACAATTTTGCATTTAGCACCGAAGCTGTTTCATGGCCCCCCGAGCCATTTGTGGCAAGTTACAAACCTCGTCCTGAAGACGACATCGCGGTCTAGATTCTAGAATTCAATGTGTAGGTGCACACGTCAGACGTGGTAACCACTGATCACATGGAGAGCAGTAGAAAATACATCATAATCATAAGTGCAGAGGGATATGCCTTGATCCTCGATCTGAAAATAGATCGACATCACCCGTGCTCCAAAACTTGGACAATGTTGCCACTTTTACAGTCTGAGTGAGCCATCCGGTGATAAATATGTGATGTTATGCTACAATGTATGAACATATGCTGAACTGATTGCCGGGAAGCAGTTCTAGAAGACCCAAGTTTTGTCAAAATTAAAAATGTCATCTTCATCGTTTTCGAGAATAACATTGAGATCAGAAAAACCAAAGCCAAGATCAGCAGTCGAGTAGCGTTCAAGGCCCTCGATTGGGAGGTTCGAAAGAACTCCTGCCGGCGCGAGGAGAGCCTCATTGTCTGGTTCGCCCGCTGGATGGGGGCGATTGTCCATCTCTGGGTCTCTTATCTCTGAGGCAGTCGCATGAGGGACGATTCGTATAGCGTTTAGAAGCCGGGTCGTGTTTGTTTCTTGTAATCTCTGTAGAATTCTGTCTGCATAAATTCTTGGAGGGGCTCTCTCGTCCACAGCCAGCTCTCTCATGCATAAGGCCGCCTCTCTCACAGATTGTATATGATGATCAAGACTGAGATCCGGGCCTGCAAGCACTTCTGAAGCCATGATAACAAACACGCAACTAAAGGTGATTTTGGTAAAGTTGATAGCAGGAACATATCTTGCTGTCTCGATCGCAACTGGATCAAGATCAATGAAAAACCGACACCAACTAGCGGCTGCTTCTACAGATCTTGAGAAGAGTTCCGTGAGCTGAGGCGACAGCGCTACAAGTCGCGAAGCTGGCGCACTGGCCTGTGCACTCTCTGTCACTGCCTTGTACAAGGCTCTTGTTGCATAAGTGCTAATGTGAAAGCGCGCATATCGAAACAGCGACTCGACCGTAGTATTATTGAACCGACCAGGGCTCATACCTGCTGAAACATCATGCTCAACAAGCGACCATTTCTGACGCCAGTCAAGCAAAATCTTGTCGAACCCAACGAGCATCTCCACTGTAGAAGCAACATCCGGCTCACTCTGAGGAGAACTCCACCACTCACGCAAGTCGGGGTATTCAATGCCTGCTTTAGCCCATTGAAGATACAAATCGACTTGTGCTAGAATTTTGCGAATGAAGGCATCTTCTTGGATGTTTTGCAGCAGCATCGGGGCGGATTTGATCGTGCTGTCCTCAGAAATTGTTGGAGGTGTTCGTGTAATTAGTGAATACTGCTGAGAGGATGTAAAGAGCCACAGCCAGAACAGGTAGCGGCGTAAGGCATAGTTCTTGCTGAGTTCAGGTGTGGAGAGAGTGACACTTCTAGCAATTTCTTCATGGGATCGATGTATTGAAGCATAGACAGCTAGTGACTCTACTAGAGGCTTCAACACTCGAAAGCTCAGCTCAGGGTGATACGGTGATGATGATTCAGAGCCTTCGGCATCTATGGGTGAAGCGTACAGGTAAAGAATTCCCAAAGCTTGCAGGAGCGTCCACATGTCCTCATCACTCCGTCGGGATACGTAGTGGTTGCGTCTGACGATTTTTAGTACATGTGGCGTCAGCGAAACACGGAGCGGACCATAGCCTGGAACGAAAAAGGCGGTAGTGAAGGCAATGCAGTGCGCAAGTTCAAGCTTTGTATGGATGAGGTCGGGGAGGTCTTCAAGATCTTGCGGCGCTATGAAAAGAACATTTTGGACCACCTTTTCCCGAAAACTGAGGCACAACAACTGATCAGCATGCAGGGCAGCATCTAAATACAGGGGGGCTTAACTCACAACTGCAGTAAAGATAGCAGATCATGTTGTCGGATTTCAGATCGTAATGAAGATGAGTTTGGATCAGATGAGGAAGATTGAACTAAGGCCTCAGGTTGCAAAAGGTGGTCCGGTGCTGAACTGGCATTCAACTGGGCATCTATGGTGCCAAGTGGCGAGTTCATATACACAGATGGAAGATTGATTATCTTAACATGCCTCGATGGCTGTGTCATGTTATCAACTGTCCATCGTGGAAGGCTTGTTTGGAAACCACTCGAGCTTTCAGCTTCGAGTCTTCGTGAGTTAATGGACAACTCGGGGTTGCCGGTACACACTTCTAACGAGTTATTGAAGTGGGCTAGTGCTTTCAATGGACGGAGACTGGGGGTTGCACTGTCATCTGATTGAATCAAATGCGATAAAGCATTAAGTGAGCCTTGCGAGTCTCGGACAACGCAATTGCGATTCACTTTAGCGCACCGTATGCAAGGCGGGTTGTCAGCACCAACACAGCGCATCTGCAACAATCAGCTTCAGATTGATCGAAATGTCTCGCAGCGAGTACTCACCTTTTGTTTTCGGCATGCTTCACATGCTACTGCAGCAGCACCCAAAAGGTGACGACTTTTCTGTCTGGACCTGGGTGTACTTATGTTTCGCCGCATTGTTATTTATCCTTGGTGGCTCCTATCAGAATTGTTGCTATCACATATTATAAGGTGAGGAGGACATCAAAGCTAAATCACTGCGGAAGTCTAGACTAGCAAGACTTGTATTCGCTGCGATAGGTCGTCCTCTGCGAAAAAGAGCAATTCCGGAGGTTACTAGGGTGAAATTCACCTAAATTAAACCGAAGCTCCTCTGGCCAAGACTGTGGGGCACTCGTCGGAGAGGTCTCGCCGCAAAAGGGTCCGAGTTTGATCAATGGAACGACTGCGCCTCGGCATCTGCTCGTAATTTATAAGAATAGCAATCCTTTTTAGAGGTTTCTCGATTTCCAACTTGCCGACATATTCATAGATTTCTCTATTCACCCAGGCATTCAAGGGACTATCAAGGTCTACATTGCACTTGGTCTCCGGCAGGCCACGGCAAATGATAGTAGTTTAGACAAGAGTTGATGGCTCTATGGCCAGGGCATATCATTTGAAGGCCGGACGTATCTATCCTACTATGAGAATGTAGCCAGCGAGTCGATTATATTTTCTTAAAGTTCTTTTCTAGCAACCCAGTGTGATAGCTGATACGTGTTCTGCAACATACCCCTGGGGTTGGCGATAAATCCTGCCCGTCCAATGTCGGGGTTCTGGACTTCGACCACAAAGCCGAAATACTCAAGGACGCATAGGACCTCATCATTAGAGAATTCTAGCATCTGAGGGCGAGAGTCTTTCAGATCACTAGAGTCAAGGCGGTGTCGTGCCTTGCAAGAGAGGTCATCATCAACATCGCCCTCCTGTCGTCCAGCCGGACCATTTTCATAACAGTTCCAGAGAAGTGGTCCAATATTGATCCATATTCCGCCAGGTTTGAGACAATGATTGACTGCAGTGATATAATCCAGTAAGTTGCGGGCGGTGTCGATGAAGAAAAGAGTTGTTACTGCATCAAAAGCATTGTTGTAGGAGGGTTTGAGTATTCGACAATAAAGTCGTTCATGCTAATCGTTAATGTGCCAGCGCGTGCAGTCCGAGTCAGTAACGTTTTAGCTTGGACGTCTGGTATTAGAACCGATGCAAATTGGTCGACTCAGCGAACGTGATTAGAGAAACTCAATGCCCATGGGTAGAGTGTATGTTGAGGGTCATTCTAGCTGTGTTTCCACATGAATAAGCTTCCCAGCAGTTGGTGGTGCGAGACTTCATTGGCTTCAACTTCGTATCCTGCGAGTTGGAGGGATAGTGGCAGTCTCAAGAGCCCTGCACCTGGTACCAAGATGCGTTGCCTTTCCTCAACCGTTCTTCCAGCAAACACTCGGGCCAGGTCTTGAATTATGGTCTTGTGGCACAAGCCGCGTTCTTGTGAACCATCTTGGGAGAAATCACGATATAGTTGCCGTAGTGTAGAGCGTACGATGGCATCCTCATTCTCGATGTTAGTGTGCGGTCGACCTCCTTTGTCCGTAGTTAGACAAGATAATAGGCCTGAGCCATAGTCTGCGATAGACAATGCCAGTCTGGAATTTTCATATACGGCAGCACCAACCCGCTTGATGTTCTCCACACACGAGATAGGTTGTTGACACAAAGCTTCCTGTGGATCAGGTGGCAGGCTCAGGAAATGGCGAAGGCGTGGGGAAACGAACTCCTCCTCATTGCTAGTGCGGTATGCTCTAATCTGTGAGTAAGGACAGTAGCAGTAAATTGCGTCAACACCAACCTGAAAGCATTTATTGCATTTCTCACCTCCTTCTCACTGACATGTTTGAACGAGATCTCACTGAATACTGGCCCAGGCTTGGCCATGGTATTGTTCTTAAAGACCGTCATGGTTTTTGATATGCAGCCGCGGTATTACACCTCATAAGCAATAAGTATATGGGCAGCGGGGGGCCTTTCCAAATTTCTATATTTGAGGCTCATCCTCCTTGGGCAGTGATATTCAAGTATCACTTCCCTAAAGCGTCAATAAACTTCACTGGTCAATACATGTCGAGCCGAAGGCTAGATGCGTGAACAAATCTATCCTTGCGGCGATCCACATTCTGAGCCCAAAGTTTCCACTCAAGGTACGCCCACGTACTAGTGTTGGGCCTAGGCACCTTTCAACGACAAGCCACTTTCAGCCGCACACGACCAAGGCCGAATGATCAGCCAGTGCACACCGTCGTACATGATGGTTTCATATTGGGCTGGCTGATGTGTCAGTTCAGGGTTATTAGGCAATCAAGCAAGAAGGCTGGACTCTCAAGCCTTGCTAGCTTGAAGATTATCTTAGTCGAGATATGTAGACGAGGCTCAAGGCATAACTTGGCCATCAGCTCCGGAATCTTCGGCCACGGGCTGTGGTATGCATCGATGTCCTTTCACGCGGCAGGCTAATCAAGGTCCTTCTGGGGTACCTAGCCGAGTTGCAGTGTCTCTGATGGCGAAGTTTTGTTATTGACAATTCTCTTTTCCCTTCGATCGTTTTGCTACATACTTAGGTATTATGGCAAATCGCTAATCCTTTGCTTCAGTGTGCGTGGAAAATTAGCCGCATCAGTGGCGGCCACGGAAATTACTCAACTCGAGTCGTCTAATGGCACTCCGCAGCCTCTATGGCTTTTACGGTGAGGCTGATACCAATTTCTAATTGCAGCATTTATCATCGAAGCCGTGTTATGGGGTATATACATTATCCACTTGTCGATTGCGCATGGCCAAACACTAACTATGAAGCCGTAGGATTCGTGCTTAGATTCGGTACCTTTCAATCTTTCTACAGCATATCTGATGCTTTCGGCGAGAATGCCTACCATCCAGCTGCAGGAATGCTGGCAATTGTGAGCAAGTTATCTTCCTGCCTAACTATTAGACTGATGATGATACAGGGAATCCCTTTTATCGGAGCCCCTTTAGCGACTGCCCTTACCACCGCATTCAAGGAAAAACGACAATCAATGGTATGTGTCGGACTCGGTATCGACTGCCTTGCTCTTTGCCTGGCCAGCTTTTCAACACAAGTATGGCACATCATCGTAACACAGGGTATCTTATACGGGGCTGGCTTCTTACTTCTCTACTATCCATTGTTGTCCATACTCAATGAATGATTCGTGGAAAATAGAGGTCTTGCTTATGGACTATTGTGAGTGTCATATGTTCTGGCACGAAGGTCTGGAGTATTGATAATCTTTCAGATTTGCCGCCAACGGTCTGGGAGGGATGGTTCTGCCGATTATTTTGGAAAAGTCACTACTTTGTTACGGTTCCACAACAACATTAAGGGCTTTTTCTATTGCTGCTGTGGGTAGCACGAGTAACGGTTGATCCCAGCACTTCTTGCTAACGTTTCTATTAGCTCGTCGTCGTGGGACCAGTATTGCCACTCTTGAGAGCACCTCTGTCAGGCCACTACCACAAGACTGTGCCAAGACAATGGGGTATTCTCAAAAAACCATTATTCTGGCTTATCGTATCTTCAAGTTTGTTTTAGGGCGTAGCATACGACATACCATTTGTCTATCTACCTTGGAGGTCTCGCTGATCTGTTCTTCTAGCAACCGCCATGATTTAAAACTACGCTAACCAGCACTATCAAACATACGCACATAGTCTTCAGATACCAAGCCACCAAGCAATACTTCTGCTCACATCCATGAACTTGAACACTATCATCGGCCAAATAGTGTTTAGATTCGCATCAGATCGAATAAGTGTCTATATACCGCTTCTTGTATCGAGTATATGTACTGCGGTCGCTGTGTGTACACTTTGGCTCCTTGGGACGGACTTTCCGGCCCTTGTTGGGCTTCGCGGTTGTCTACGGCCTCTTCGCTGGTGGCTTCAACGTGCTCTACGCTCGCTTCGCTAGTATGCTAAGTGCTAATGATGCAAATGCTGCTTTATGGGTATATGGTCTGCTGGCTTTCCATCGAGGCCTGGGGTACATTATCTCTGGGCCAATAAGCGGGTTAATCGTTGGTGGCAATTCTATAGACAAGGGAAAAGAATCAGCCTACCGGTGCTTGATCTTATTCGATGGTGTGTTGTTTGTGCTTAGTGCTTGCGGAGGACTTGGATGGTTTTCACCAGATACCGGGAGAGACCCGCAACACAGTACCCAGCATAAGGCGTGTTATCACTATGACTGACGTTACACTACTGAACAGTCAAGCACATTGTAAGTGCTTACATTGATATCCAGATCATAAGATGCACTGGTGTTGCGGTGCCCTTCTTTGCGAACTGAGCAGTCTATGCCAGCTTCGGCCAAAATTTCAATGGCAAGAGCACTGTCGGGTCCGCCACAAATGAGATTTCATTCTGAGCCAAAAACGATAGCAAACGCCCTCTTCCACATCGCCTTAAATTTCTCTTATGCAGATAATTACACGCACATCACGGCCCTTGTGCCTACCATACACTGTGTAACAGTTTCTTTGCGCAGTTTGCAATCTTCGGAAGAGTCCTTGGCTATCACGAGCTCCCTATAACCTCTGTGCTTATTCTTCTAGAGTTTGATCGACGTCGAGGGTAATCCTGCTGGAGGAGTCGCCTTCGCTCCGTTTCCTCAAAACTGAGACAAGCAATTAAACTTTTACATACCTGGAAGATATGCTTCCACGCTTCACTTGGGCTGAGACCTCTTCTTTAACAGTACTGCTTTTATTTCTAAAGTGGGAAATTACGAGTCGTCAAATATTACACCCCAAAAGGATTTTCCTTGGGCGGAGAGAGGCTACCACAACGGCTACCTGAAAATCTGTCGAAAAATATGTATCCCGCTATATTTAGTGTTAACACCCAGGAATCAAAACGTCTTTCCCTGAGTATCTGCATTTCCAAAGCTCTTCATCGAGAGCTCTCCGACTGCGAGGTATGGTCGAGAGTCTTTCCCAGACCATCACCAATCTATGCAAACAATCTGAGCAGCCCAACGTGTGATAAGTGGTGCATTACTCAGCTTTGCAATGGAGGAGATTACATTGGCTCGCTCGCAATTCACGCTCTCCCCTTCACTCTACTCCAGATCACCATCACAAACCTCTTTTATCTCCGATGTCGATTCTGAATATCCTGAAGCTGTCAAACCATCGGAGGCCTTTCGAAATGACATAATGTCAAAATATCTGTATCAGTGTCAACTGGAAAAACTCTGGAGCGACAACACTCTCGAAGATCAAGATGTGATGTTGGAGAGAAGCAAGAATGACTTCATATGCAGAAGACCTTCTCTTTCGGACGGGAGGCTTTTACGACCAAGTCAAGCTTCTGAATGTCAAGTTAGCCATCACAGTCAAGTCGAATGTCGCCATCATTCAATGTGAGTCTTACACCATATTATTCGAGCCTACATGGTTACTCACTGGAAATTGCTGGTCTCGTCTGGTGTTATGAACGTCACGACATCGTTTTTCGAAGCAGGCATCACGTTCTTCACGAACTTGGTCTACACCGCAATCCAATTTGCGGTGGAAAATGGGGATGTGGCGCTATTCGTTGGGCGCAATGTTTTTCTACGCTAAGATATATAACAATCGCGGAGCTGATCGCTCATAGAGCCGACTGATATCTATAGCTGGAGTGCTCTACAAGATATCTCCTACTAGCAAGCTGGAGTGGACAAGTACTGGTCCGAAGAGACCGTTTCCGAGGACTTCGACATGGCTTTACGGCTGCAGTCGAAGGGCTACGACTTGCGATTCTCCACGGTCTACGGTGGTGGGTTTCAAGAAGGGGTTTCTCTGACTGTCTACGACGAGCTCTCCAGGTGGGGAAAATATGCCTACGGTTGCTCGGAGCTGATCTTCCACCCCTACCGGTACTGGTCCAATAGAGGGCCGTTCACCCCCTTATTTTGCCGCTTTATCGCATCCAAGATGTCCGTCATGTCTAAGATCACGGTTTTATCATACATCGGCACTGAGTACCGTTGTCGCGTTTCATTTCCTTATGCCGCTGGTGCTGAATCCGGGGTTGATGCAATTCACTTTCTAGACGTCTCCACTCCGGGGTCCATTGCCGTCTCGAAGCTAGCTACGTCATGTTATTGTAATATTATCCAAGTTTCAGCCTCCAGGTTAAGACTTTTCGCAACGGAATACCGTACCATGAACCATCTGACTATTTGGGGTATTGTAAACTAAGAACGCACCAGTTGTCCGCTTTCAGCGATCCTTTACAGCTGGCACTAAGCGGCTATCGCCTTTCGATCTCCCCACCTTGACCAAGTCATGTCTAAATAGGGACATGGCAACAACTCACCCGCTCACCCACTCACTGATAATCACGGGTAATCCGGTCGCACCAGTCAAACAACTTAGCAGGCTCCCCGTCTGGACCCTTGGCAATCTCCTCCTCCAGATCCTTCCTTGTACCGAATTTCCTGCCCCAGGGGACGATGTAAGTGCCCTGCTTGGTGCTTAGAGCCGGTTCGTCGCGGCTGAGTCCCGCGTAGATCTCCGTATATGCGCCGTAGATCGGCGGGTATAGAACCGTTTTGTTCATCATCCACTGGAATAAGCTTGGGAGGTGCCGCTGTAGGTCGGATTGGAGGTTACCCGGGTTGTAGCACTAGTGTTGAGAGAGACAAAGTATTAGCGCATTGAAGTATGACTTCTTGTTTTTGGACTTTTCACGGCAGAAGTCCAGTGCAACATGATGAGTGCAAATACTTGAGACTCGAGAAAGGAGCAAGAAGACTCACGTTATGCATGACCGCCTCGTCGGCATATCTTCGCCCAAATTCATGCGCGAGGTAATAATTCGCAGCTTTGCTGACTCCGTAAATAACCTCATTGCGGAGAGATTCGTCAAGGCCCTCGTTGCCATCCTTATCGGCCTTCCATTTCTGACCTTTGGGAGGTGACTGCAGCACGACGGCGAGACTTCCAGCCCAGCTTACTCTTACGGTGCCCTTGGGCTCGCTCTCGGCTGTGCGCTTGAGCACGGGGAGCAGGAGCTTGGTGAAGAGAAAAGGCCCGAGGATGTTCGTCTGATAGGTGAGATTCAACCCCTGGGCGCCGCGCTGGGCCTTCGGAGGTATCATGACGCCGGCGTTGTTGTCGAGCCAGTGCAGCTTGTCCTCCTTGGATAGGAAGTCATTGGCGCTCTCTTTGATGCTGCTTAGGTCGCTCAGGTTGAGGTGCAGGTAGTGGAGGCTTCCTCTGGAGTTCGGGTGCTGCTTCTTGATCGACTCGATTGCCGTCTCGGCTTTTGATTGCGAGCGTGCTGCGACGTACACTTTTGCGTTGTGTGAGTACAGAATTGATGCTACTTCGTACCCAACTCCGGTGTTGGCACCCGTGATGATGTAGACTTTGCCGGTTTGGTCGGGCAGGTTCTTCTCCGTCAATGGAGGCGCTGGAAGGCGCATGGACTCCTTCCAGAATGTGATGAGCCAGTTGATCATGGTGAAGCGTGTGTAATGGGGCTGAATGAGGAATAGAATCGTGGGTGGTCAGCTCAGCTAAACAGTTTCCCGTCCTTCACTTCGTTGACTATTTGATTGGCGCGGACTCCGCTACCAGAACGGCGAAATTCCGATGCTGTTGATTCCCGAATCCTGAGTGAGCGATGAACCTGTCCAGCAAAACAGTGGAAGACTCCTCTCTTATATGATACTGAGGAGTACGCATATTCCAGCAGTTAGCTTTTATGATGCCATGGGTGGCAGCATGCATAAAAGTGTACCGAGTACACCATGCGTTCCAGGTAGATGCTATCCAAAAGGCGAATATCTCGCTAACCAGGGTCCAATTTTTGCGACAGGCAGCAGCGTTTTTCGGCAATTTATCTCATGCAAGTCAACGAGTCAGTTGTCTCGAAGATCCGTCGTGATGTTCGATGCCACGGGCATCGTATGTAAGATAGTTGGCGGTTGCTGAGTGAGAGAGCAATTTGGGCTAGTACAAGTCTCTACCTTGTGCATTCTAGCCACCCACTAGCTACAGGCTAGTCCCGATTTGGGGCTAGTCTACGAGGCAAGGCGAGCTAGCACAAATTAGGGCAGGGCTAGTGGGCCACTAGAGCATGTTAAAGTGCTTAACCCCGAAGGTTGCAGGAGTATGAAGCAATGCGGATAAATCCCGTGGGGAGGTTCAGCGGGTGGCCTGGTGCTGATGGGCCATCGACACTGTTACAAAAGGGAATCAACGGCACAATTTCAAAAGTCAGATGACCACCTGGACTATCCCCAGCCTTTTCCTGATGGAGGGGACCGCCCGGAATGTGCATATGTGCAAGGTCCGGGGGCAATGATTAATAATCTACCAACGTTTTCAACTTTGCGACCTTGTCAGCCATGGACACATATAGATGAGACAGAGCCAATGCGGCGATATTGCGTACTTGCCGATTCCAAGGCATCAAGTCCACAAACTTAAAATTGCAATGTTCCCCTTGAGGTATTTTGTCTCAGTATAACTCGTTGGCCGTGGACGAAGCCGGCCGAACTCGTCCAGCCGCCCTAAAATCATGCTAACATGACCAAGAGAACAACCACATTGCGTCTAAAATCCTTGCAATTAGTGTGACATGGGAACATGGGACTCTGAGGATGATCTTGTCCGCGCAAAAGCCTCATTCAATCTAGAAGGACGTGAGCTACGGAAGCACTTCGCCTTATAATTCTTCGAGGATCATCAGACCACTCTGATTCGTATCGGTACCTGCAGCGGTAATTGTTGATATGGCTATCTGTCGTCAGGTCAACCTAACACCAGAGTCTCGCCGATGTTTACCAGCCCGATCTCTTCACCCCATTTCAATCCTGCAGTATCCGCGGCCTCTTTCCAATTTTTCGGCGGTGTTCTGACGTCCTCATAGTACTGTGAAAGGCCTCCACGGACAGTACCATAATGCATACCGATAGATTTCTTGCTCCTGACATCTCGATGTATGTGAATGGAATCCCATGGGTTAGCATGGACCGCAGACATGAACACCCTCGGTTCACACAACCCTATCGGAAGCAGCGCGAGGTCAAATGGACCAAGCAAATCGCCAATCTGTTTGAAAGCAGGACAGGCCGGATGTGACTCTTCTTCTTCATGAGTGAGATTAGGATCCGCAATCGCTCGATATGCGGTGTCGCCTGAGAAGAATAACTTCTTCTGATCGCCTTGCAGTTCTTCGATGCCGAACGAACACCACAGGTCGTAGTTACGGTCGAAAGGACTTCTGCCCGAGAAGTGCTGGGACGGGGTGCATGTGATTTTCACAGAACCAACGTCCTCAACCTGCACTTCGAACTGATCCCACCAGTCCACCTCGGTAATGCAGGATCGAGAGATGCCATGTCCAACCAGCCAGCGAGAGCTATGAAGCCCGACCAGGATGTGAACCTTGGATTTCCGATGGGCACAGATTGCCTTCAGGGTTTCAGCATCGGCATGGTCATAATGATTGTGGGAAATCAGAATGAGATCGATTTCGACATTGTCCAGTAATTCATGTATCGTACATGGGGCAGGGTTGTATCGTTTGGGACCCAAGAAGGTGACCGGGGATGTGCGTTCAGAGAACAGCGGATCACATAGGATATTGAACCCACGGGATGCACCAGCCGGGGTTGAAGTTTGTAATAGGAAGCTGGCATGACCAATCCAAGTTACCTTGAACCCAGGATCGGGAAAGGCGAAGTCGATCTTTTGTACCTGCACAAGCTCCGATCGATCTGGGACCGGCTTGAACGGAGGCTTATCTTTCGAGAACCGGGTCTTGAATACGTTCATCAAACCTTGACTTTGATGGGGAAATGATGGCCATGGATTTTGAAATCCAGTGGGTGGATTCCCAACATGATGTGATTTGGCTTCGCCAGGGAGCAGTGAGGGTAGAGAATTGATGGTAACCATGATGGCAGCACCGGTAGGGATACTAAGATAGTTCCACGTATCAGTGTGAGGAAATCACTCTGGCCATGTTGAAAGAGCCTGGCGCAAGAAATGAGATATGCTTTGATGTCTGCCTGAAGAGATACCAGGTAGATAGTTATTGGCTTCATCGGAGGCTGTGGTTTGTCATGTCGATGAGCCGTTCATCTGAGGCATTATGGCCGATAAAGTCCGAGCGAGGACTGCCTCGTGCGTTGAGGTTGGGAGAAACACGTGCGCATAAGTGTTAGTGCCGCTTATGGTTTAGCGTTTGGCGGGCCGGATAAACATTCGCAGTCACGTGAGCTGGCAACCACGGTGATCACGTGTGCCAAGGATATCAACCTCGGCGCAGAAACCTGATGACTCAGCATCACTTTCAACATCTGTCGAGCTTCGTCGTACCATTTACTCGTTGCTGTGCCCTGTCCATACTCCATATCTTTTCTTTCTGGTATTCCTTGTACAAGTTGAAGATGCAGAAAGACATTGCGATGTGCGTGTTTGCTACGAGTCAGCTGCACGGAAGACGGGCACTTGTAGCCACGTACGGCACCTCCAGGTAGCTCCATGACTGCCGGTCAACTACTCTTTTGGGTATTTCGCCAGAATATCGGATCGGGGTCTCCAACTCCGAGAAACATTATTGAATCATCCGTCGATCTGATGGACTAGTAACTCATATATACGACCTGATCTACTCTTGATGCACCACCGTCAAGACCCAAGGTAGGTCAGGTCTGAGGGATCATTCCACTTCCATTCTGCTTCCCTCTGTCAACTCGATCACGACACTGCAATCAGCCCACCATGATCCCCCCTCTCGTCTCCCTCGAGGAGCACTTCTTCTCCGCCGCGATGCTGGCCTCCCCGACAGCAGCGCAATACGGCGAGCAGTTCAAGCACATCCCGGGGTTGCGCGAAAAGCTATCGGACGTGGGCGCCCTCCGCCTCTCCTCCATGGACGCCAACAACATCTCGCTCCAAATTGTGTCTCACGCCCCAGGCTCCCTGTCCGCAGGCGAATGCAGGGCCGCGAACGAGCAGCTCTCACACGCCATCGCGCAGCACCCGGACCGCTTCGCCGGCTTCGCCGTCCTGCCCGTCAGCTCGCCCGCGTCCTGCGCTGCGGAACTCAGACGGTGCGTTGAAGAGCTCGGCTTCGTCGGCGCCCTGATCGACAACCACTCCTCCACCGGGGCATATTACGACGGGGCGGAATACCTGCCTCTCTTCGAGACCGCCCAGGCCCTCGACGTCCCGATCTACTTGCACCCAACCTGGCCGACCGAACCCATGCTCATATCGCTCTACACAGGCAACTTTCCCCTGTCGGCAACACAATCTATCTCCGCGTCCGCTTTCGGCTGGCACTCGGACGTCGCGACACACATCCTGCGGTTGTTCGCGGCCGGGCTCTTCGACACGCTGCCAAAGCTAAAACTCATCGTCGGCCACATGGGTGAAATGCTGCCATTCATGCTGGCGCGCATCAACCAGCTGTCCGTGCGGTGGGCCCCAGGCCAGCGAAGTTTCCAACAGGTCTACGATGAGAATCTGTGGATCACAACGAGTGGGAACTGGAGTGTCGATCCCATGGCGTGTATCTTGCGGAACACCAAGATCGAGCATGTGTTATTCTCGGTGGATTATCCGTTTGCCAGGAACGAGGATGGAGTCAGGCTTATGCAGGAGTTGGAGGAGAGCGAGCTTGTGGACGAGAAGGGGCTCGAGTTGATCGCGCATGGAAATGCGGAGGCGTTGTTGAGGGTGAAGATGCGAGGGGGGAGGAACGAAGGTGGTGATAGGGGCTCGTGATAGTCTGTGAGGATAGTCAAGCAGATGTTTCACCTGAGGCTTAAAGAGGGAACAGGCTGGCACGGCGACCATGACATGAGCATTGTGAATGTGATTATGATATTGGAATGAAAAAGCCAAGGGTAGATTTTTGGCCATTATATCCTCTGCTCTGCTTGTGCTCCAGCATTCGATCCGTCCAGATAGAACACGTGAAATTGGAAACCAAATCTGCCTCCGTTGAAATCCTCATTTGTTGACACACATGGCTTCACCTCCACATACCTCATCTCTTAATGCTTGACAACTTGGAGCGACTGAGCATGTCCACCAGATATAGAGCACAATTCCCAACCCAAACTAACGCCATCGCTTCAAAACAGACCAAGGCTAATTTCAGGACATAGGGCGGACGTCTGTAGAGCGGGCCCAGCAAATAGACATAAGTTGAACCATATATTATCGCTTATGCAGACTCCGCCTGGGAGCACCTCCACCACCCAACTCGGCCGGATCGACCGTGCGGAAGCCGCTACGTCGAGGAGGATCCCTCTTGGGCGGCCGCACGGGCGAATGCTCCTCGATGACCTCAACAACATCATCTTCCTCCTCGTCGACGATGACGCTATCAGGCTCCATGTGCCGCTCCTCCACCACCACTCTGTCCTCCCGTTCTCGCACGATCCGCTCACGCCGTGGACTGCTGACTTCAGTCATGGCGCGGGATCGGCTCCTGGAGCGGCCGTGCGAGCGTCGGTGATGGTGTTCTTCCACGATCACCTCCTCGCGCTGGTTCCATCCAGAGAGACGGATGGCGGATAGGATGATGTACAAAATGACGATGAAGCCTGCTATTGCGCCTAAGGTTATGCCCACAACAGCACCAGGCGCAGGGCCAGAGTTGAGGCCTGCATAGGTGGTGGGGATGGCGAGGACAACCCCTTGGCGTTTTTGTAGAGACGGCGGTGACGTGAGGTATACGGGTTCGTTGGCTGAGGATGTCCGGGGGCCAAGGGCTTCCCGTATGGCGCGGCGGGTGAGGTGCCCTGCGTCTTTTATGATTGTCGCGAAGACAGAGGCAAGGGGTGGTGGGCTCCCGTCGTCCAGAGCTCGCGAAGACATAGATTGAAAAGAGCGGGAGAACAGTTGGAGGAGCTGGTTACCCACGGAGCCAGTGGCGGCGATGGTAGGTGCCATTTGCGAGAAAGCGAGGTGAGGGTGCGAGAGAGCTCTTTACTGAGAGTTTGTCTGTGCTCTTGCTGTGGGTATAGAAATATAGGCAGAGTGGATAGAATAGATAGGTCCGTGTCGATAGGTCTCAGCTCAGCTGCGGGCACAAATGGCCGGGATATCGAGAGAACAAGTAGCTAGTCAATGGCGATAACGAGCGACAGAGAGCATGGTATGGATCACGGCTCATGGATTGAGAAGGAAGAGAAGAGCACCTGAATCACAGAGACGAAGAATGAGCGAACAGGTGAGCAGAAGGAAGCAGATGGAGGGGTGGTGAAGGTGACGGAGGTGGTTTGTAGAGACGAGATGGGAAGTAGTTGAGGATGGAGTGATTGACCGAATGGAACAATTCAATCCCAGCCACGTCAGATTTCGAAGATCCACTGTGTCCACAATTGCAAGGATTCAAGCATGTCCAGGCCTTTGCAGCTGCTGGCCGTCCCGAGAGCCCCGCCGAGTCACGCCTAAAACGGGTTAAAGGTCGCCTAAGGACGATGAAATCATGGTGGTTGGTGTTTGGCCTTTCGGCGCTTGCGGGGAGACCAGGGGCTGCTAAGTGGAAAGTCTTCGGGCATGTTGGTTTGGCTAAGGTGATCACTAACCGACTGCCCATTAGACCCACAAAAGCGAAGCCGATAGGCGTTAATTCCCCTTGAACCGAGATTCTCCAGGGACGGTGCTTAACTAATACACGGCGAAATCTTAGGCATCTATAATTACTCCGTACATACCACCAGTGCTGGTAGGTTCAATTCCTTGTCTTTCAACGGACTCTATATATCAACATCAGACGCCTTGCATGGGCCAGGTCAGATCACATACGCCTTCAGTGCTGCCCTCAAAAGTCGTCAACATTCCCCAGATCCCATTTCCGCGTCGTCAACTTCCTCTGCTTCTTCACTGTTGCTGGCTGTTGTTCAACATCCCTGTCCCCGTCTCCCTCACGCGTGGCGCTTGAGCTCCTCAGGGACAGTTTTCGTGGTGAAACATCACACATACTCAGACTCTCCTTACTCGCCTTCGCCTTGATTGTCGTCTCACTGTCTCGAGCTCGAAGTGACGCAAGGAATGGATTCGTCGCAATATTAACATTCGATCCCTCCTGCAACACCGATCCCTTCGTCGGTGATTTCTTTGTTGTCCGTGCCTTTTTGGTCGGACTTCGACTTTGCAGCTCTTGTTCCAATGCTCGAAGTTTCGCGCGGAGTCTCTCATTTTCGTGCTCCAGTTCCGCAACCACAGCATCTGCCGACTTGTCTTCATGGATCGTCATCTGTTTTGTCTTTTGTAGGATGTCCAGTTTGTCGTCCAGGAACTCCTCCGTCCGCACCTTTTCTTGTTCCCATGCTTTCCGCCACCTCGTCTTTTCCTCCTCCATCTGTTCTTCCATCTCAGTCCAACATTCATCTCGCACTTCTTGCTCCATCACCTCAAGTTTCTCCTCGGTGGCTTGGAGCTTCAATTCAGCTTCCGTTCGCTTGATTTCCACCTCCGCGAGCCGGATCACCAAGGCATCACATTCTTCCGCTAGCCTTGCGACTTCATTCGTTGCCTGCTCTAACTCCTGTGCGTTGAAATAACCGTCCTGTGGTGTGTGACGTCCGTTGTGCAATGCAGTACCTGGTCTTGTTTGAGATCCATTGCCCAATATAGCACTGGCAACACTAGGGATTCGGGGCACTGTAACTTCGCGTGCAAGTGCTGAGTATCGCAAAATCTGGCTGGTCGCGTTGAAGTCTCCTTGGGGATCGGCTGTCACAATCATCACGGCCTTCTGCGGTGGTCGACATGTGCTGTTGTGGTTCGATGTCGGAAAGGAGTTTGAAAATAACAACTCCGTCAGCTTGCACTGTCGGAATGGTACAATCGGCTTGCTACCCTCTTGTTGGCAATCACTCTGGACTTGCAGGCACTGTCCCAGGTACATCAAACTCTCGTTGATCTTGCCTGCTTCAGCAAGTGTCGAACCCGTGGTTTTAGCATTTCTCGCTCGCTCAGACCCTGCCAAATCAACAATTGACATGGTCCCACCCGTCCATGTTGGCATTCCGTACCCATAACCCCGTGTTTCAACTTTCTTCTTGACCTCAATGCAGAAAAATCCATGGCTTCGAGAACTGACACTGTTGCTGCCTGTTCCAGCCACTCGTCGTTCCATAAGACCTGTCTCGAGCACCATCATCGCTTCATCATAACTCCCACAGACAATCTTTCGAAGCCCAGCCACCACCTTTCGATCGTGCGACATTTCAGTGTTCTTGAACAAAAGTGGCCGCCTGAGCAGACCTTTTTGAAGCGCCGCTCCTTGACGCGTTGACATTGCAGGCGCGTTGGGTGATGTTGCATTCGAGAGTAGATCGAAAATCCGGTCATTGTACACCTCATACATGGAGATGAGTACAACATAGTCTGTGTTGGGGTCAATGTCTACCGTGAATGATGACACGTCGGGCTGTTGCGCTAGAGTACTTGGGCGCGGAAGCTGAGGCCGCCGAGAGTGATATATGGTCGATTCCTTTACACAAATTGCTTTAGCAGAGGACCTCCTTGGACTTTTCAACCGTGAAAATAGGGGAACTTTCGAGGGGGGATACCACCGCTCCTTTTCCGGGCTACCTTCAACCTCGAGAGCCATGGGTAGAATCCGTCTGGGGGCAGGGCTACCGGTGAATTGGCCAGGCACGAAGTTCAGTCCTGACAACTTTGCGGCATCCATTTGTAGGGAAGATGATGGAAAAGAGCTGGGAAGCTCGATGGAATAATTGCCTACCAGCATGGGGGTTTGAGCTCTAGACATGGGTGTCTGCGCTCGCGATAGCCTGGCCCGGTCACCATCTCCATAAATCGACTCCAAGAAGGTAATTGCGGATGAAATTTGGGATTCGGCTGGGTCTGATGCTTGAAGCGAGGCAAGAAGTCCACTGTCAGTGGGAAGATCTGGATGGTCGGGTCGCCGAATATTCTGTCCGATCGACCTAAACAAGACGTCAAGTGTCATTTGAGTAAGGCCTCGTTGCGACTTCGATCCCAAAATTGTGTGACTCTGCACATATTGTTAGTAAGATAGAGTCGCTCGTTCAGTGGGTGACTACCTTTCCGCTTCCAGTGACTCCTAGTGTTGCCACCAACCCATCTCTTCCAGTCTGCAGGACAGTTTTGATCGTTTCAGCAGTCCCAGTCTCGTCGAATACATCCAACTGGTTAGCTTTCTCTTGAAATATCTTGGTGAATCCGAAGCGTTCGATCGCCCGTTTCCTGGAATCATTCGGGGGCTGCAGAGTGATATGAGTAGAAAACAGCGAGCTCGGTGGCTTCGCTTGCATGCTTTGCGCGGAAGGTGGTTCCACGATCAGCCAGGGCTCGATCTTGTCCTTGGAGGTGGATGTGTGAATTGGTGGTCGAAGGCGCAGGTAGACCTGAAAGAGCGAGGTCTGAGGTGCCATCTTGGTCGGACTGTCCATCCTGAAGATCGGCTGGGGAGTTTTTCCAAAATATATGCAAGCACAACGTCGGAGGGTAGTCGAGATGATGGTCGTCTGTCAGTTTTGGTCACCAGCACCCTGATGGATGCCCTCAAGAATTCGTGCTGCATCAGGCACTCTGGAAGTCTTGGCGCGTAAACAAATCGGGGTTGCCACGGCAGGACCGATGGCGCATGTCTCGGCTAACTTGCCCAACCGTTGGTGTAGTGTCCACGTGACCCGTCGCCAAATCTCCTGCCTTTTTATGACTGCATCTCCACCTCTCCTCAAAACAAACGGTCATCGTTCTATCTACATAATCACCTCTCATGTGCCTTTGTTCTGTGCCTAATTATGACTATAGCCTATCCTCACGACCTGGATAAACTATTGATCAACCCTGGTCTCAATGCTACCTTCCATGCAATTGTCACCGGTGGCAGTCGTCTGATTAAGTGCCTATTCTCTCATTAGATGCGAGGAAAACGTCATGTCGAACCCTTTTCCTCCATGATGGCGTTGAATTGCGAACGGTGTTGATACAAGATGAATGCACTCCTTGTGAATGGTGCCACTTTACCAAAAGTCATCCTCCAAACTTTCGGTGGCCGTTGGATTCATCCTCCGAAGAGGGTCTTCCAGTTCAACCCATCCAATGAAAGGCTTGCTCACTCCGAATCCGGTATATCTTTGTAACCATATGGAAAACTCTTTGATCTTTTCAATGTCATTTGCGAGGTATTGATTTTCTTCTTGCCTCAAAGAACCTCGCGTAGAGAACGCCCGCTATGCGTGTTCAGCAAAGGCCGCGGCCAGAAAGGCGGTAGTCAGTGTGATGCACTTACCATAAATCAACCTCTCCTCGTCCACGGTGGTATTTGCTCCAGCACCGTGGAAACAACCACCAAGCATCATGAACGCATCACCAGGTTCCAAATCTGCGCATTCGATCGATGGATCATCGTTTGAGGGAGGTGGGAGAGAATACTCCCAAAGATGGATTCCAGGGATGATTCTTGTTGCTCCATTTTCTGTTCTCGTCTTGATTCCTGCAACGAAGAAACACACCATTGCGTCTCTTCCAGGGTGGTGTGCTGTTACTCCCGGATGAAAGGTGTGGTATATGTGATCACCCCGATGCAGTGATTGAGCTTTGGTCCCGGGGCGAACAGAGAAGGTGACTGTGGTGCTCAGCTGAGGCAACGAAACGGAGTTGTGAGATTTGGGAGTTTTGCGCAACCTGTACTGATACGAGGCTACCATGATGGTGGCTCTTCTCCAACAAGTATGCCTGTAGAAGAAGTCCTAATTTGAGTGGAATCCTTATTCGATCAGAAAAGGTATTCACTTCGCCTGTTCAGAAATGTCACCATGTATTCTGATTCACCAGAAGTGAAGGCATTTCTGACGTGGTCGAAGGGGGAACCAAACCTCTGGCGGAAGTAGGGCTATAACTACCACAACCGCCAGGTATGCTACATTACTTGAGTGCGTCTCCATCTTTATCCTCAGCCATCTACCGCTACCAATACTTTGCACCATGTCCCCACTTATCTACCTGCCAATATGGTCTTGTGATTTCCTTCTCAACGCACAGCATTAGGCCTCATCATTATCCTAGGTTTCCTCGTGTTCTTAGCATTCTTTCGCCTGCCCGGCCCTTTCCGTCCCACCGGCCCTTCTTTTACCCTCTAGGACGCCCTTAGATGCACCATTGGCCGATACAGATCAGTACTGTAAGTTCTTCCTGGATTCCAAAGATGTCTTGATTGTTGTCAAGACTGGTGCAAATGAGATCCACGACAAGCTCCCGACACAGCTTTTGACCGGACTTCGCTGCTATCAACACATACTCATTTTCTCCGATCGCGAGCAACGCATCGGCCCGTTCGTCGTCCATGATGCATTAAGAAATGCCTCCGACATATTGAAAACTCAGGACCCTGATTTCGATTACTATCGCACTCTACAAGACTACAAGGGAAATGGCGAAGATAAAACCAGTCTGCGACACAAGAGTGGAAAGGCCGCTTGGAATTTGGACAAGTACAAGTTCCTTCATATGCTAGAAGAAACATGGAATTTACGACCTCACCGAAAGTGGTACATCTTCATCGAGGCCGATACCTATCTAGTCCGGACGAATTTATTACTCTGGCTAGAGCGCCAGGATCCCTCCCAGCTTCTTTATTTCGGCTCTCCAACTTATGTTAACGGCGAAGCCTTTGCCCATGGAGGGAGTGGCGTGGTGCTGTCAGGAGCAGCTCTGTCCAAATTTGCCAACGGCGACCCTGGAATTGCCGCGCGATATGATGCTATGGTGAAGTCTGAATCATTCGGTGATTACGTCCTGATGAAGGCTCTACGCGACAAAGGAGTAGTGTTTAGCGGTCGCTGGCCCATGCTTCAAGCTGAAAAGCCAGCAACAATACCGTTCGGTCCTGGGCCAGATAATGGAGTAAGACATTGGTGTCAGCCCATCGTTACCATGCATCACATTACCCCTGAAGAAGCATGCGTTATTTGGGATTTTGAGCAGCAGAGAAAAAGCCCTAAGGTTTGTATTCGCCACTACCGTCCATGGAAAGCCAACGCAAGCTAAAATCTCGACAACAGGAACCTCTTCTTCTTCAAGAACTCTACCAGGAAATGATCCACCCCGCCGTCCAAGCCAAGCGCGAAGACTGGGACAATTCCTCCGATGATCTCATGTATCGACCGCCAGGCGTCAATGGCGATCGACAGAAGTCTCGCGATGAGATGTCAGCGCTCGAACGTGAAGCGCACGTCTCATTCGAGCATTGTCGCCGAGCCTGTGGAGAACAGCCCCGCTGCGTTCAGTATATGTACTCGGGTCAAGATTGCGCATTCTCTTACTCTTATCGATTGGGCAGGAAGCGACGCCCAGAGTCGGGGGCTGCGTTTATGTCGGGGTGGGATTTGGCAAAGATCTCGCGCGATCAGACCAAGAATCGGTGTTCTTCTCCAGCATGGCTTTGAACGACATTCTAACGACATTGTTGATCTTCTTCATTGGTCCCAACTTTTCCCTCCCAGCTAGTGATGTATTAGCGTACCCTGCCGTGTTTTCAGTAGGCACGTGGAACATGACCAAGGGGATCATATTTTGCGAGATAATCGGAGCTCGCTTTTTCGACACATGATGAGACGGTTGTTTTCCTTTTGTTTGCTTTTGCCTGTAGCCTTTGGGGGATTGACCAGCATAGTCTGGATAGTGCATATGCATCTGGTATAGCTAGGACATTTATATTGCCATGATCATGTGTCTGTACCATCAAAAGATGATTGCATTCCCGACAATAATTTCCCAAGATATCTATGGGCTTGCTGAGCTTCAAATAACTCTGAACGCAACTAGACTTTGTATCTGGCGATTCTGGTCACCTAGAGCTGACTACGACGTCGGCTCGGATCACCACAAGTACTACCTTTAACTTTGCTCCTGCACAGAGAAAAATAAATGGTAGCTGATCGATGGAGCGCAGTCGGGGAATGATAAAAATTCATATCCTGCCGCGCAGAAGAATGAAAGGAGTGAGGCTTCAGAGATTATTCGCTTAGCCAAAGCTGGGGTGATTTGTTTCTTCAAGCGTCACTTATGCCAGTGAGTGAGTGGCGCAGCATCGGTAGGAGTGCAGAAAGTAAGACTAGCCGGATTGATGACCTGTGCCGGAGCCGGGTTAGATGTAGATTCAGGCGGGAGGCTGGCATCGAGAGTCCGGCGAGCAAACAACTATTTCTTGGTAGGATATGCCTTCGCTGATGTATAATATCACGGCCTTCTAGAATATAGTGAAAGTAGGGCATTGTTACAATCCGAAGCGCTACGCAGTGCTGACCAAGGGAGTTTCTTGATAAGTGGGTATCAGAATAGAATAACTAGGGATATATCGAAGAGAACTATTCTCGTTCGAGTTGTCCTAAAATATAGGTATAGGATTATAGACGAAGTTAACTAAAAACAGTTTTATCTAGGGTAGTGAGCGTATATTATAGTACTAATAGCTCCTCTAGATCTATCCTAGTCTATAATAGAGCCTAGAGAACTCTTAGATCTATAGCTCTATACGGCTATATACTAGAGCCTTGAAGGCTAACGGAGTGCGGTAGTAGTGGTGTGATGGGAAGGGGATGGTCATTCCCAAGACAATCCGAGGGACTCGTCAGACTGTATAGTATCCCAAGTACGTACTAGACTAGCGCCTGGGCGCTCTCGGGTCCGCTTCGGATAGCGTTCGAATAGCTCTCGGAGCTAGTTTGGATGCGTCGAAGCGATATAGTAGGCCACGGTCTTTACAATCGCTTGGCATCGCTAATCACAGTGGGAAGGAGGTATGGTGGCGAAACTTGTCGACTAATTAAGATCTAGGTATGGCCGCTATCAAGTAATAATCGGCTGTAAACGAATCTAGGTGGCGTGCTAATTATGCTACGGGGGCTAAAATTATAGGAGTTAATGGTCACGTGATGTAGCCTCATTCTCTATCGGCTAACTTTCCTAACTCTCCTTTAGGCGCGGGTGGCCTCGCTTTGGCGACCCTTTACGAGTAAGTGACCCGGGTTCGTAACAGTTAGGCGCCCTGTCACCAGCACCAGCCTATACTCGCCGACTTACCTCTAAAATACCTGTCTCAGCCAATGCCTGCGTGACTTAGCAACTGCTTTCGACTCTGGGTGACGTAGAGGGTTGACCAGGCGAAATGGTGACAGGGGGAATCGTCTTAAGGCATGCGACCTCCCAGGGTAGAAGTGGAGGTACGAGAGCCATCACTGGAACCTTCGGATGCGAATGCTACTGAGTCGCCCCCCCTGACATTACTACCGACGGCGGGGAAGGCGGCAAAGAACGATGACGACATTTAGTGATCTTCCATGTGTACCTTCTAGGTCATTCAAGGACCTTTCTAGAATTACGATACAGTGGGTGTTGGCATCATTGTACGAGACATCAAGTCCTCCTATCTTTGTCGAGATGATCTGGCGCAAAGATTCATTGACGTAGAGTACAGTCCGATGGGAGACCTTGACGATAACACAATCGCTGCGATCGAAACAGTCATTGTCAACTTGACGAAGTATACATTTCGATGATGCGGCAGCAGGTCTACGGAGCAACTTGTACCCAGGGAGACTATACTACAGCGGATGACCAATGACCAGCTTTGGAGAGACCTTGGCAGTGATGTGCACCTGATGATTGAATCGTGAATGAGAAAGACGAAGGGCAATGCATTACCGACGAATTCGCGCGTTAATATATATGAGCCTGATCCATCTCTCGACCGGATGAATTGCCTATGCCTGTTCGTCTCAAATGCCGTTAGTCCTCTGCTTAATCATCATATGCAAGTTTCTCCGAGATTTGGCGTTATCTCAGTTGTGGCTGACTGATCCTCTACTCCGATTGGGCCGACATGAACTTATGACGTTCGCCTGCGGGGACGAGTTTGGAATTCCATGAGAACGCTCTACACTGGTATTTAAATATTATACCAGACAAGATTTACCTACGGCAGATCATGAATTCATGCTGAGCCGAGCCCATATCGAATCAAGGCTGTGATAAAAGAGTGCAGCAATCCCTACGATTTGGAGAATGAGCATACGGGCTTTGCCCACGAGAACCTCGCCATGGGAATAAAAGGATGTTGGACTTGCAGAGGTAAACACATCAAGAGCGGAGAAGCTGCTATACGAGCGTTACTAGACGGGCTGATTTGTGCTAGAGCGCAAAGTACGATGTGACTTGCATTGGCCGAGATGTGGCAATTGCACGAAGGCGCGGCGCCTCTGTCAAGGCTATGGCATCCAGCTGTCCTGGCCTCGAGATGACGACAGGAAAAGAGCAAGAATCTCGCGAGCTACCTGCTGTACAGTGAATTCTCTTCAATCAAATGTCAAGAGATTCTTGAATTCATCCCCCTGGGACATATCGCTATCGGAGGAGCTGCAGAACAGGAAGGTTTCTGGTGCAAATCACCTCCGACACAATGCCAAGCTGCCTGATACTAACAGCACATACTACTTGTAGCTCGTTACCTTCGTACCATGAAAGTCCCTAGCCCAACCCATCTATCGCCGACCGTCATAAGTAGAGAAGAGTCACATCTACTGGGGTTCTGTATGTAGGGTAGCTCTCCTGGCCCAATCATCCTGCTGACCAAACCTCTCAGTCAACGAGTCAAGATCACTGATATTAGGACCAACCGACGAGGAGGTTTTGGCACAATTCATCTTGAGAATTGCCTTCTCGAATCCATCCGATGCGACCAACCCAGTTCTACAAGGCGTTTTTGCGCTCGCATCACTACAGCTTCACGGTAGCTTAAAGAGCTTTCCTTACAAGCATCTTGTCATATCATCAGTCAAAGAGTCAATCAACTGGCTCGACGAGAAAACGCTGCTTCAGAACTTGATGGCAACAATGCTTTTGTATCATTATGAGGTACCTAGTATAACCCGGTCCGCATAGGCTTGCCATGGTCGCCTAATAATCACAGCTCTCGCTCGAGTCTAACTCCAAAGGGAGTTGGGTAATATATCTATGCGCAGTGAAAAACATTATCAACAGGTCACCGGCAATTCACAAGCTGGTTCGGCAAGAATATTCGGTCTTCCTCGATTGGATTTATTATCACGAGGTCCTCGCAGAGTTCACAGTCAGGCATTGGAAGGTACCTTATGAAGGTTGCGGCTTTGCTCCAGAAGCAAGGTCACCCAGAGCCATCGAGGGAAGCGGTCCAAAGGTAAACGGGAAGCCTTTTGTACTTCCTTCAGCATCATCTAATACTGCGGCAGGTAGAGGAAAACATCGGCTGTCCAACTGATGTGCTCCAGCTTGTTGTACATGCATGTAGACGAGCTATGGTCACGAAACCTTCCGAGATCAATTATTCAAATGCTGGGATGGAGCGTCCGAAGATTCTGGAACAGAACATTTCCAGGGCATTGGGAGATCATGGCCCAATTCACGTGCAGTCTGCGACGCCGATAGACCGGAATACGATGGTCTCTGATCTTCATCGACTAGCGTGCTTGATATATGTCAACCGGGCCGTCCATTGCGTTGCAGGAACTGAATTCCGTCATCGACGACTTGTGAGAGAGGGATTATTGCTGTTGACCAAGATGAGAACATGCCAGAATGCGTGGCCATTGTTCATTATCGCCTGCGAAGCAGTTGGCGATGATCAACGACTTGCAGTCCTGGACGTTTTTGAGCAAAGCCTACAAGATCGAAGACGAAGATCAAGCCACATTCATTTTATTCAGCATATGGTTGAGGCTGTATGGAACCAGCACGATTTCAATGCTGAGAGCCAAGTCGATTATCTCACAATTTTCGATGCAGTTGTTGGCGGAGTTCCATTCATACCACCATTTGCTTGAATTCACATCTTGGCCCCGTCATTTCCATCCTTTGTTCTGATGGGTATTCTATCAAGATAAGATAGATCCACTCAGCTTCTAACTAGAACCAATCCTTACTGTCTCCGTGGTGTGATACAAATTTCCCACTGTTCGCTTCCGTCAAGCTCTGAATCACCCGAAGCTGAGCGGTGACTGATTCATCTACCGGTATCGGTCCATTGACGCTTGGGTCAAGTTTTCGGAATGCAGTTAGCATGAATTTGCGTACATCCGGATCGCCTGTCACTGCTTGAGCTGTTCTGGGTCAGTCATCTGTGCCGACACGATTCGTCTTGTGTATTGACTGACCAGCATCTGTATTTACCCATCCTGGACTCATAGACAGTGTCTTGATACCATCTTGGGCCAATTCGATGCCGAACTTGGTGGTAACAATGTTCATGCCAGCCTTGCTGATAGAATATCCCAGCAAGGCTGGAAGGCCAGTGATACGAGTGAATTCAATGTCTCCACTCTGACTGGAAACGAATATTATCTTCTTCTCTTTGCCGTGACGAATGAGGTCGAGGAAGGAGTTTATGACGTAGATGTTACTGATCAGGTTTGCTTTGATCTATGTGGACAGTCAGCTTTTGCTCATATCACTCAAGTGCTAGCGGAAGGATCATACGTTCGCATTAATCTCGTTCTCCAGTGCTTCCTCCTTGCCATGACTGCACTGTGTCAGCAATTTTGAACTCTCAAGTAAGCGCGCATTAGGTCTGTCCACTCACAACGCACTTGGCGGCAGCACGCTGGTCTCCGGCCCTGCAGAGCCGGCGTTGAGAATCAAGACATCAAGCGAACCGGCCGTGACTTTAGAGACTTCGGCGGCAGCCTGATCCAATTTCCTCGGGTCGGAGATATCGGTCACTACAATGTGGATGTTTTTGCGCTTTGCGGCAAGCTCCTCAAGCGGACCGGCAGTTGCTCGACTTCGAATGATGGCAAAAACTTGGTTCTTCGGATCGACAGACTTTGGCGACGGGGTCAGTGGCATGCCTTGGCCATCACTACAACTGTAACAGTAGACTTACAAGATTATCGACAAAGCCGAGCTGCAAAGATATTCTTGTTAGCATTTTGAAGATGTAATCGTTGTGGCGTTGATCTGGGGAAGCTTACGCCAATGCCTCGCGTCGCGCCAGTGATAGCCCAGGACACCATTTTCCAGTTTTGCCAATATTAGGCGGTGAGAAGCGAACAGGACAGAATATTGAAGACAGGTTGGATGATATAGATCGTTTTGTTCAGTTGGTTTGGCTGTGGTGATGCACCGACAGAAGGGGAGGTTGTCGCATCCTCTTATAGCCATCGCGATAAGCTCCGGAAGTGAGAGGCATCCGGTCGAATACATACTGTAATCACTGGAAAGTATTTGCGAAGTAATATTAATAATCCACGGTTGGAGGGCTCGCTGATACAGTCAATACGCGCATGGCAGTAGAATTATGTAAAGTGATGCAACTTTCTCCGACTCTGGGCAAATATTGAAGGTGGAAGAAGCCTCTACAGAAATCTGCCGACCGAGCCTCAATTTCAACAGCAACCTCCTTACGGATGAATGACATGAACTGCAACAAGATTACCTAGAAGACCTGAGTTTAAGATGTGTCTCTTGCTGAATGCGAGGCAGCAGGAGGCGCATCTGGAGACACAACCCGCAAAGCCCATGGCTCTCACAGTATTTGACCTCAACGAAGGAACACAACCTCGTACTGTTCCCTTGCATCAAACGCTTCCTACACTACATACGGAACAATTCCTCACAGGGGGTACAAGCTACAATTGGCCTCAGTATCGTGGCCAATCTGCGGGGCGGAGCCTCTTCCTATGCCGCTTGTCAGCTCGGGATATCGTTGTCTATCTGACGAGACTGGAGATGATCCACCGGTAAAACGGCACGGGCTCTACGTCACAACGCACCAAGTCCGTCGTCTACTTGAATCCAGTGAACTGAGGAAGCATCAACGCCCATCGAGACCTTGAAAGTTACCATGCTCACCACGGGAGCGCGCATTGTCAGCGAGACTACTGTCCTGCTACATCTCTCCTGTGGTCCAACACCCATGGGCGCTGGTCTCGTCAGCCCGTTCGGCAAATGCATATCTAATCAACGTCAATAAGCACATTCGACTATTCACCTTCGATACTGTGGGGTTCATCGCCTCGGCCGCGAAGGAGGCTTCGATGGTCTGAACACGGGCATTCTACATCCAGCCATCGCATAGCTGATCGATATGATGGGTGTCAGGGGTTACATGATGCTTGTTCGGTGGCTTTACGTTCTGGCAGACTACGTGCCCTCGATGGGATTCGAACATAATAGAGGCCAGCCGGCTTATTCCGAGAATTTGCCCAAAGAGACGCTCATCCAGTAACTGTTTTGCCCAAGGCAAGTGACGCTTCTGGGACGATGAGAACGATTCAGCTTCACCCGGTAGTCCAACGCCATCAAAGCCAAAGTATCGAATCAAAGATGCACTCAACCAGATCCATCCAAGTCCAAGCCTACTCGGAGAAAGCTTTATAATTTAGCGAGTCCAATCATACATGGTGTTCTAAGATTGGGTGGAACATTGTCATCGAGGCTGTGCGCCTTAGATCGTCATCACCAGCCTTGGCCCTAAAGCTCTGGTACGTCCCGCTTGCAGCCTCATCTAGGCGATCATCCTGACTCCGCGGATTGAGATACTTCCGACATTTATCACCGTGCTGTGTACTACATGGCTATCTTGGAAATGTGGAATCAGGAAGTGATATATAATGTCTCCTGCAAACCTCGACTGCTTAGCATTGTTCAACCGAGTAATATCAACGTACTGAGTGAGGTCAATACAAACCTCGAAAAGCACAGATAGCTTCAACGCTTTTGATCCACCAGGTTACAGAAATGGCCTTGTATTCACGATATCTCAGGATTGGCGCATGCCTATTGCTTGGGCTTGTTCTTCCAGGTTGGTCGCGTTCTTTCGCGAGTGACCCGAGCGATTCTGATCATAACTTGCAGTATCAAGCCAAGAGAATTCCACCGTGGTCGAAGGACTCGTCGATCCCAGGGCTAGATACACCGCCAACTACACAATCCCTGATCAGGGATTCCCTGGCTTGCAAAGTAATTTCGAGATAGCACCTGATTGCGGCGAGGACAATTACGTTGGGACAGGCCGCTTGGTTGGACGTAGGGCCTTGATTACTGGAGGAGATTCTGGCATCGGACGCGCGGTTGCAATCGCGTACGCCCGCGAAGGTGCAGACGTTGTGATTAACTATCTTCCGGAGGAAGAGTCGGATGCTCAGGATGTCGTGTCGGTTATCACATCGAGTACATCATCCCAAATCTTCACCATCCCCGGAGATCTGCGAAACGAGTCCTTCTGCGTTGATCTGGTGAGCAGAGCTGCCGAGCTCCTTGGTGGCCTTGACATCCTTGTCAGTAATGCCGCTTACTCCAACATTTCCGAAGACATCAGAACACTGTCGAACGAACAGTTTGATCGGACCATTTACACCAACATCTATGCAAACTTCTGGCTCAGCCGAGCAGCTCGACCTCTCCTCGAGCCAGGGTCGAGCATCATATTCACGTCTTCGGGGATCACCCAGGCTCCCAGCGGTGGGCTCATTGACTACGGCGCTACAAAAGGTTTCGTCACGACATTCTCGCGGTCTTTGGCGTTGCAACTGACCCCCTTTGGGATCCGGGTCAATGCTGTTGCACCCGCTTTGGTTTTGACCAATTTCCTGTCGACCCAGGGGATGACTACTGAGATAATGAGAGACGTCATTTCTTCTACGGCACCTCTTGGAAGGATCGAACAACCGATTGAGTTGGCCCCGGTTTACGTCGGACTGGCCGAAAATGCCGCAACATATGTCAGTGGCTCTCTCTGGTCGGCCTCTGGTGGACAGGGTTGAGTGCCATGGCTCCATGAGATGGCAGCTTTCCACACGTGGAACGCTGCAGAATGCTCGCAACGGGGATGTAATATGTCTGTCGATGTGCTATCTCCTGTGAGCTCTTCTATTTACTACTATGTGTGAGAGGCCCGGTTTGTTTATAACTTAACGGTTTCCTTCGTTCAAATAGACATGTTAAGGCCTCCTTGTTCCCCTCAGGTTACGAATAGTAGTCTCGCTATCTAAAGGATATCCACTCGAGGTCTAAGGAACAGAGGATTCAATGCTGCTTCGTTGCTACTCCAAAAGCTACGATTTCTGAACATTGTATGGGTCCGTAAGGTCGTCCTCCTTACGTGTATCAGAACCCTGCCCTACCTAACTAACTAGTTCTCGCCTTCATCCGAACTAGCTTCTTGAGACGAGTTCTCGCTGCTTTCCTGGCCGTCAGAGTCCACTTCCTGTTTCGGTTTGCCCTTCTTACTTCCCTCATGATGTTTCTTATCTTTAGTCTTGGATTTCTCCTTTTTGGCATCACTACTCGACCGCTTCTTTGGAGTCGAGACCTTCTTACTCTCGCTGTTTTTGGCAGATTTCTTCTTCTTTGCCATAGGTGATGACTTGGGCCCAGAGTGTCCATCGCTGTCATCGTCACTTTCTTCGCTGGAGGTTTGTGACACATCGGCGCCTGTCTCATCGGAATCGATAGTGGCCTTCATTGAAAGCTTCTTCGGGTTCGTGCGTATCCCCTGGTGTGCTGCTCGCGTATCCTCATTCGCGCCATACATTTCAAACAAATACCTGTCGAAGATCTTTGTGGCCTTGGCAATGGTTCTGAACTGCTCAAGGCCTAGATACGGCGATGCATTTTGTTCATCTCCCTTGTCAGCCTTTTCGTTCGCTTGATACTCGGCCAACGCAATTGCAGTTTGGAAAGCATTTCGAATCTGTCTGCCGTTCCACTGTAGTGACTTCTCGAAACGCCGTTCCGCGAATGCTACTAGTTCTTTTCTGTCGTATTTCATGACTGGGAGACCTAATTTCGCACGGTATTTGTTGTACTCTTTGATTCGCCTGATGTTTGATTTCCAAACCTTAATGGTTTGATTGCGGTCAAGTTGAGGATAGAACAGTGTCAGGTGAATGCGGGATCGGAATGCGTCATCGATGGCTCCCACTCGATTGGTTGTGAGGAACAATATGCCTGAATAGTACTCTAAAACACGAAGGAAGACTGTGCAATGACATGTCAGCTCAGCTAGGTCGTTGTGCTTAATTTTGACCCACCAGATACCAAGCCATTATGTTTGACATCCTGCTTTTGACGCTTCGCAAGGAAGACATCAGCCTCATCCAGTAAGAGGACACATCCCCATTTATGCGCAAGCGTAAAGATATAGTCGAGGAAAGTCTCGACCTCAGCTGGAGTGTAGCCAATATCTCCTGAGTCTTTGTGAACAGTGAGGCCATTTGGAATGCAACGACTGACATACCACATGTAATGGGAAGAAGAGGGCGTTTAGTATATGCTGCGACACACTCTGAATTCCAAATCAGCTTCCACTGCACCGGTGTCTTGTTGCTCCGTTCCACCAGGGTCTGACCATGATGGTCATCCAGCAGTCGGGAAGATCCTTACCAGCTGTTGAGGTCTTGCCGACCCCGGGTACACCATGGAGCAGGATTATGCAGCCTTTGCCTGTTACACTGTTAGGGGGCTATCAAGATCTCATGCCAGGAAGAAGGATGAAATCGTTCTTACCCTTGCCACGCACAAGATCCGCTTCGAACTTTTCGAATTTGCCTCGGGGGCTCGCTTTGTCTTTATCGGCAAACTTCTCCACCATCGCTCGTACCATCTCTTTATGACCGTCTGGCAAGACAAGGTCATCCCAACCTCCATCCAAGGCATTATACTTCATCTCCTCGAGAAGGTCCAAGTTCATCATCACTGAAGATTGTTAGTAAGCTATACATTGTGATAGAATATCAAGATACCACTGACCCCACTTCCTGTTCCGCAGGGGGTAGCCTACGACCACGCCGGGGAGAAGATGGAGAAGATTTTTCTCAGTCAGCCCCTTCAGGTATTGTTGTGGATTCACTTGAATGCGTCTCGTGCTGTTGTCCAATTCTTCTAGGTCTTTCAAGAGACGGTCCAAGGATTTATTCAGCACAGTCTTCTGGTGCGCCATATACTGATCTTTGCCCACTCCTGTACAGCAGCCTAATGCACATCCGTGACCATTACCAGTGACCTCACAGGACTCGCTCCGTTCCAATTCCATAGAAAGATCAAAACGAGTAGGTCTGAATGAGAGGGGAAACTTCTCCTGGTTCCTCGCTTGATAGCCTGTTTTCATGTCGATAATGACGGGGCTAGCGATCTGAGATGCTCGGTCAGAGTAACGCTTAAGCAATTGAAGATAAGGTCCAAACATACCTCTTCACTACTATCACCAACAGTGGGACCCTCATAGCGCAGGTGGCTAATTTGTGTCAAATTAACATACTTTTGTCCTCTTTCAAGTAGATCTTGGTGGGGATCAACAGATTCTTTCAGCTGCGATCGATAATGAATAGGATAAGCCTCCAGATCAGTAATGTCCATGAGTCCATCAAACGGCTTGAGAACTATGTGATCCAGAACAGGTTGCCATCCGGAGCCCGTATATTCGATATAATAGCATTGGAGAGAGAAATCCGCAAAACAATCCCTTGTGCTGGTTGAGACCGTTTCAGCTGCGAAGGCCTTCTCTAGTCTCCGGTGTAGAAAAGTTTGCAATCGGCCGCCACCCATGGTACTGACGATACGAAAAGATTGGGGAGTCCATAGTCTCTCCGTTGGCATATCGGGTGAATCGATGAATTTGTGGCCCCCCTTCCGAGCTCGACAATAGATATCCGTTCCAGATTCGAAGAGCATCCACAGTTGTTCAAAGGATATCTGAGTCTGTGTCAATCCCTTTAGATTTTTCAACGTTGTGAGCTGTTCAGAGAAATAGGATTCAATGATGTGATGGAGTTGCATAAAATGGTCCAGAGCCTGGACGTTGTCCTCTACTGGAGAATCAGCATCTTCCGCCTTTCGTCCGTCAACAACTTCATCAGGATTTGCTGGGGAAGTTTTATCATCGGATGCCAACGTTGAGCCGTGACTTTGAGACTTGCGTACAGTTGTTCCGTTCTCCGAGTTTTCACTGGCTTCTGGTAGAGCGCTAGTCTGGAGTCAGCAAGCTAGCATAGGATAAGACAACTATGTCGCATACTCAATTTGTTTCACAAGCTTTCTAATGTGCTCTTGGATACTCTGCTCCTGGCGTATTAACAGGCGAAAGGGCTCACTGAAAACGAGGTGTCCATCCTTTGTCAATGTAGTCTCAGTCATCTTGTTTAAGAATGTGGCTATCGGTTTAGATTCAATTCGAACTTCCAGCACTACAACGTTGCCTGGGTCTGGCACTGCTGTAGAGTTGTTTTCGGCAACCCAATCATCGGATCGTTTGTACAACACCTCGATTACGTGTTTCGATGGATTGTCCCACTGTCTGAGTTCGGATGGGATGGAAACACAGAAGAACTTGGTTGTCTGTTCAATCTCTTGAGCCGGTTGATCTTCTGTAGGAGGTAGGGGAGGTTCCTTCCCTGGCTCTAATAAAGGCCTGACAGATTCAATCTTCTCGATCCGCTTCGAGAGATCTTCAAAGAGGTTAACAACATTCTTGAGGAGCAGGTCCGATTCCTCGTTAAGAGCCGGGTTCAACTTCGCAAAGAGCTGCACAATGCTTTCTCTCCTATTCTTTAATGCAGCATGGTCAGTAGAACCAATATCAGGCTCCGTATTGTCTGTCCCATTTAGCGATGCTGTCGCTGGCGTTGTCGTGCTGCTGCTCCCGCTTGGCGTTACCGTCGAGACCGGCCTCAGACCATTTGTATGACTGCTGGGAGGTGCCCCATATGGTCCCGAGCCTGCATATAATCCAGGTCCAGGTCCAGGTCCAGGTACGTAGCCATTGCCATGAGTGCTGCTCGGAGGAGGCGGAAGATGTGGCCGAGTTGAGCCGAGCATGGTTTCTGGGCCTGGCGCCAAGAGAAGCGGGGCAATGTTGTTCCCTCCGCGGAGCCTCAATTCTCCTGCGAGTCAGCGCAGCTCAAGCCTCGTAATCTGACGCACAACACTGGTTTGTGATAGCTCGCGAAGCCGGAAGAGCTTCCTCGTGCTCCAAATGTGGCGTCGAACACTGCTATCAGCTGGACTGAGACGATTCGCGCTCAGTTCTGCTGGAAGTTGAGGCCGAACCAGCGATTTCTAAAGAGAGGTGGAAGATGAAAACCTCTCAGACACGGACTCCACGGCAAGTAAAGTAGGTTTTCAGTCGGGACGCACACCATGTCTTGCGCGGTGAGGCTGGAAAGGCCGAAGTTGCGAATTGTACGGATCGTCAGGCTGGGGTTACTAACCTCCCTGCTCCAAGCGAGGGCGCGAGTCGCTCAGGACGTCTAGCCTCGACCTTCGCCCCCTTCCCCTCACAACACGGCGCAGTAATCTGGTAACATCGTCGAATCACTGCATGGGTTTCCTGCATCTACTGTTACCGATATCGCCCAACGTGGGGGTCAAAATGAGGCCAGAAAGCCCGGTCCTATTCCACTCAATGATTCTACCCATGGCAATTTCCAGTCTAGGTGAAACAAGACACCCTCCGCACGGGCTGCTGGCGCTGTGGATGACATGAACTTGTTTGACCTGCATATCAGGCCGTCCTCCACGGGTGGGCGGGTCAGCTTGCGGCTCATCTCTGTGCACATGCTTTTGACACTTCAGCCTGATGCTATCGGGACTCTCGCTGTCGCAGGCCAACACTCTTACTCTAAAAGCGAGAAATACCTGGCACGGCGCTCCGTCTTGGAATGAGCGAGCGAGGCCGTAGCCTTGAAAATTGACCGCAGCCCATGGCGCAGTGCATAGAATCATCTAGCAGGCCACAGAGAGAACAACTGCTCACAAATCCAGTTGTGGAGTTCCTGGAAAATCATCCGGATCAAGCCTGCTTAACAGAGGTCGACAAGCTAGGCCACGCCGCAGACTTGCAATACAATACTCGTTCAGATATATGGGTGCACCAAGAAGATCTCCCTACGTAAGACGCTTGAGCTCGTCGAAACACGGCATAGGAAATTGACAAGTACACACAGGGCCTCGTTATATCAGGTCTCCGAAGAACGAAAGCGCACATTACAAGTGGCACTGGCCAATTTCAGCCGAGCAGTCGAAAAGTATCAAACAAAATATCCCAACCGAAAATCTATCCTCAATGCCAAACCACTGCAACAATATGCTATGGAAGACGTGCTCGCCGCCATCAAGAGCATCGAGGTGTCCCAGGAGGTCAAAGAATACCCTCAAGGACTCGCAGCACTCGGCAAAGGCTTTGAACGCACCATGAAGAGCAAAGGCATGCTAAGACAGTTACTGGATTTTGTCCCTAGAGATTCATACTGTGCTCCCATTTGTGGCAGCTTCTCATTTATCCTGGCGGTAAGCACTTGAAAAGCGGATCGCCGCTCATGGCAATAGATTGACCCACGATAGGCTTTAGATCGAGTTGGAGATTTTCGCAAGGAGGTTGTTGCAACTCTATCCCACATACCCACACAGCTCGAAGGTATCAAATCTCTTGCCAAGGTCTATCGCAAGTCTGAAGAGCTTCAGATTTGTGTGGACCACGTGTTCGCCGCCATGTTTGGTCTGCTCGAGTCACTGGTCAAACAAATGACTGAGAAAATATCAAGTGAGAACCGAACTCTCGTGCCCCTTAATAGAGTTAACCCTGCTAATGTCAGCCGCCAGAAAAAATCGTCAGCTCCTTATTCCAAAGCTATGCCTCCCAACAAAAATCAGCCATGGTGTCATTCAGTGAGTCTATCACGAGATTCCGAGAGCAGGCGTCGATCGACAGCCACAAAAAGATTGGTGACATAGATGAAAGCGTCCAGAAAGTGCTGCAGCGTGTCAACAGCAACGGCCTGGTCCTTCGAAGCATGACCTCTGCCGGTCAGGAAGCATTGAAAGAACTTGAGGACCTCAAGAGTAGATTCGCCGAAGCCAAGAAAGAACGAGCTCAAGAGCGGGAGGAGTTCTTGATGTATTTCAACCGGATGTATCAGCTGTTAGCGAGTACTCAGAGCCTGGACAGAAGTGCAGGGACGTGTACGTTACACCCCTCCTCCTGACATATCAAGGCTAACGCAAGCTATAGTCAAAAACAACATGCTCACAGCACCACGAAAGCCACGCCCGTTCCGAGCAGCGACACCCTCCCCAGCACCAGCAGCCTCACGAGGCAAAACCACACTGCGGTTGATCAAAGATTGGCTCGCCGAGGCAGGTATCGGCAAATCCACCGCCCAAAAAGATCGGCGACTCACCCTAAGCCGCTTCTACGACCTGGACATCGAGTCCAAGGATATTCTCTGGTGGATTCTCGGCACGCCCGAGCTCAAAGCCTGGCTGAACACAGAAGGGCCTCAGAGCCTCCTGGTCCAGAGCGAAACACCACCTGATGACCTCCTCAACCCACTCTCCTTCGCGGCAGCCTTCCTAGCGGACCGCATCCAGTCGATTGATGCAGACAACATCCCCGTGCTATCATTCATGACAGGCGTCCGCAGAGTCGAATCCGTGCACTCGAAATCTGAACTCCGGCCACTCTCGATCATGAACCACCTCAACACGCAACTTCTGGCATTCATCCTTAAGCAACGCATCCAAATCGACCTCTCAGCGATCCTAAAGCCCGAAAAGACACTCACCCGCACTCAATCCAACCTCTCAGCTGCATTGCGCCTCACGGAACAGATCCTCACGCAGTTCCCCGAGGACTCGATGCTATTCATCATCATTGACTCGGCGGCCGCGCACGACGGGGCCGACGACGACAACCGCAGCGAACTGCGGCTCTTCACAGGATTGCTGCAGCTAGGCGACCGCACCGGCGTGGCGGTCAAGGTCCTGCTCATGGATACATTGCCGGGGCTAGCGGCGTCGCTCAGAAAAGTACCATTCGAGTGCTTGCTGGTCCCGGATAGCGTGGACGGCGAGCGCCAGGACCTCGCCTTCGACACGCTGGCAGCGGATGCGGACGAGGCCGCGTTCGTACCGTTCCTGCAGACTCTCCACGCGAGCCAGGATGATGAGTCTTCTGACGAGTCCGAACTGCGTGAGGAGGCGCGTTGGTCGAGCTCGGACTCCGATTCTTGATGTAGTACGAGCGGCCAAGTTGATGGGTCATGACCTGTGGACAATCTCGGCGGCCTGAGACGCTGGGATCTTTATTGACATGTTTGCCCGAGGCAGTCTATGAGGTTGTGATGACTCACATGTTGAGAGCGCACTAGCTTCGACATCTCCGGGCCGTCCTTTCTTCGCGGGACAAGATCATCGACGCCCCTGGCCATGATTCAGTAAAGCCTGGCTAGAGGACATCCCGTGCAATCTAGCCAATTTTCTCTGGCGGCCTGTGTCTAAGGCTTTGTCGAGAACAACCACCACTACCCACCTTGCATACGCTCAGTACAAGAGATGATCCGTCTCCAAGTCGCAAGATATTGAGGCACAAAGCTACCTCGGTATTTGCCTTCGGTTGCTATAGATACATATTCAGGTGTCACTAATTGGTGGATACGCAAACATCACGACGGGTAGAGCCTGCGGGGTGTAGGACAAGTTACAGAAATGAGTCAGAACCGCCCATGGGAAGTTGATTTGAATGCGACCAAGCTGCGTGATCATATAGATTGACCAGGAGGCGATAGACTTACACTACGTCACGCTGGAGTAATCAGAACCAGCTACATTACAGCTTCAGCTGAAAATCGCAGGTTTAAATGCCGCTGATGGCCAACTTTTCCCAAAAAAGACTTTTCAACAAAAGATGCCTTTCATCTCGTCTCCTGGTATCTGTATATAGGATGTGTTGCCGTAATTGAAAAGTTTCAGCCTCCACTTTTAGCTTCTCCCATGCTACGGAAAGAATGGTCATTGAAAATTGCGTACGTCGCCTGTACAAACACGCCACCCCAATGTTTAGGCGTGCACATCAAAGAAATTATTTCGAGCCTAGTGGCCGCTTCGCTGCTTCATTATGACTCTCCGCTCCTTCTCCTTGGCTATATTCTGTTAGTGACGGACTACAAGTTAAGGAGTCAAACGAAACATACCTTCATCGTATACCAAGAATTCATGTAGCGCTCGACCAGCGGGTACCATAGGCAGAACCGGCACCTTCTTATCAACAACGACCTCCAAGAGTGCGGGCTCATCACCGGTGGTGTTGACGAGCCATTCCAGGCTCTCCTCTACCTCTGATGGCGTAGCGCATCTCCGAGCTTGGACTCCCATTGCTTCGGAAAGCTTGACGAAATTGGGGTTCTTTTGATGAGTATGGGCGAACCGATCTTCGTAGAACAGGCTCTGCCATTGAGTGACCATGCCCTGTTCTTCGTTATTGAGGATAATGACTTTCACACCAATATTGAATTGGTTTGCTGTGCTTAGTTCCGTCAAGGTCATGTTGAACGATGCATCCCCATCGATGTCGACCACGAGTGCATTAGGCTCCGCGACTTTTGCTCCGATAGCAGCTGGCAGGCCAAATCCCATGGTGCCAAGACCTCCAGAGGTAACCATTGTTCGTGGATGTCGCCATCTGAAATGTTGCGCGGTCCACATTTGATGTTGGCCAACGCCAGTAGCGATGATGGTCTTCTGCTCTCGGCGGGAGGTCATGGCCGAGAGCTTTTCGATCAGCTCTTGTGGCTTAATGAGGCCTTCAGGGGTGCCCCTCTCAAAATTGGTCAGGGGAAATCTCTCCTTCCAGTCCTTGATCTGAGCAAACCACTCTGCTCTCTCGTTCACCTTGTTGACCTTGGGAATGAGTGTCGCAAGATTGGTTGCAACATCTCCTTCAACAGCCTCGGTCGCTTGCACGACCTTGTTGATGTTCTTAGGCATGATTTCGAAATGAACAATCCCACCTCGTTTCTCCGCAGCAGCCGCTTTCGCTTGAGGGGCGAACTTGGCAATGTTGAGAGTTACACGGTCGTCAAATCTTGCGCCAAGGGCGATGATCAGATCGGCTTCTTGCATAGCCATGTTAGCATACGCTGCTCCATGCATGCCTAGCATGTGCAAGGATTTGGGGTCAAGTTCATCAAAACCACCCAAGCCCTGTAAGGTCGTTGTCACTGGAACATTGGCCTTGTCAGCCAACTCTTTCAGGAGTTTGGGTCCTTCGGGAGTGGCAAGGACACCTTGTCCAGCATAAATAACGGGCTTTTTGGCAACATTGATGAGGTCGGCAACGCGATTGATGGTGCCATTTAACTGTCGTCGGGAGAGTTCTCGGGCAGCCAAGGTAGCGGCTGAGGGGTGTGCGGGCAGCGTGGATTGCATGGGGATTGGACGCCTTAGGATACCAGCGGTTACATCTTTCGGCAGATCAACAAGAACAGGGCCAGGCCGTCCAGATGTAGCGATTTCGAAGGCTTCCTTTATTCGCTTTGGCAATTCTGCCACATTCTTCACCATGACGTTCCACTTCGTACAGGCTCTCGAGATGCCAATGACATCGGCTTCTTGGAAGGCATCTGTGCCGATAGCGGTAGTAGGTACCTGACCACAGAAAACGACCATGGGTGTGCCATCTGACATGGCATCTTGCATGGGAGTAATGACATTGGTGGCACCTGGTCCAGACGTCACAAGAACAACACCAGGCTTTCCAGAAGCTCTTGCATATCCTTCAGCCATATGACCAGCGCCCTGTTCGTGTTTTGGAAGGATGAAGTCGAAGTGTTTCGAATTGTAGATGGCGTCGAAGACAGGGAGAATGGCGCCACCGGGGTAGCCGAAAATATGCTTGACGCCTTGTCGCAACATCATCTCATGGAAGATCTCTCCTCCTGAGAGGCCAACAAATGAGTCATCAAGCTCGGGTAGCTGTCGATTGACTAAAGGAGAGGGCTCATTGCGGCGGAAGTCGTTGTTGAAAGCAGGACTAGGAATAGGTCGAGCTGTCCTGGTAGAAGGTCAGTCTTGAAGTCAACACCCAAATGTTGCGAGCAACGTACTGTGTTTGAGCTGCGGCAGTAGTAGCTGGTCTTCTAGCCTGCTCAGTGGTGGATTTTTGGGATTTCCGATAGGGTGATAGAGCGGCCGCGGGTGTGGAGGAGGAAAATGACTGAGAGCAGGAAGGTCTTCTTCTAGAGATCGAGCGAATAGTGCTTGAGCCAGGCCTCATGGGCATCATCCTGGTCGCCATTTGACTGACTGTGGTAGGAAGAGATCTTTCTCGAGGGGTGAGCGTGCCAGCAGTGAGTAATAAGAGGCAGACAATTGGAAAAGGTGTGAGTCAGTGGTCTTGTGCAGGTCGATATGGATTTTGCGGAGAACCCAGGGAATTTGCACCACCCACGCCACTCCTCCCTCCCGAGATCGGTCTTGGCACTCTCGGTTCGGCAATACTTTATTCCAGGTCGCCTTTCTCCTGTGCCCCGGAACAAGCATCCCAATGCCTCACTTGTTGTGCGGCTATAGAATGGGTAGAGAAGTAGTTGTTCGACTGTGAACCTATGCTAGAGACTCATTCGATGCAGCTTAACAAATCTGATGGCTTGCTCGCCGAACATAACCTCAATTGACAGTCGAGTCGACTCCGATTCCACATCCGGTTAGACGCCAAGACATGGGCGAAACCGGCAGGCTCGCACGACATTCGAGACTCGGGAAGGTGCAAGTGGGGAGCCTAACAGATTCGGGCCACCAACCACCGCGTATCCCTCAGGGCCACAACGCGCACCCAGCTTGATGCAGGATTCAAGCAGCACGGATACCAAGACCATCCTCATCTCATGGCACTTCTAGCCTTGTCTGATAGTTCATTGGGTATGCCTTGTGTTCAGCTTCCTCGCCCAGGTGACTCTAGTATGGATCCGACTCTTTCCCCAAGGACTCATGATAAAGAGCGCTTCCGGGCTACCAAAGGCCGAACATGACTGCCCGAGAAGTGTCTGTGGTCTTTGACTGCTGTCAGTCCACTTTTCCCGCAATGTAGCCACCAGGTGCTTCTGCGGCCTGACATCTCGATGTGAAGAGTCTTTGCAGCGACCATGCAATGACCTTGGAATCTAGCAAGAGCCTGCCGTCAGAATGATGATCACGTCATGCTATATCTTTCAAAGGAGTAATTCTTGGTACACTGCTCATCACTGCTGATGCACATATCATTGCTCTATTGAGTCGACTCTGGGGGTCCGTTTAAGATGCACAGCCTTTCTGTAGGCCCGCCTTGGCTCAAAGTGAGCAGCCATATAGAGCCACCGTACGCTATTGGAGATGCCTCGTGAGGCCACCCCTAACACTGACCAGAAGTGGGTTCCTCCTTTTATGACCAGCTCGCGTCCCAGATCAAATGCTCTCTTTAGTCACAGCAATCCCCTCCTTCTCTTCAAAGGATTGTCTTCGCTCACGGCTTTGCATTTTGGCCAGACGTCGAGATTCGTCAAATGAGATCTTAGGATTTGAATGATACTCAATCTTGAAAGCCAGGTCGACCTCCTCCAGGGACAAACCAGCAGTCTCGACGTAGAAGTACCAAATGAAAGGGACCCAGGACAAGTTGAGAGCAGCAGGAATGATATAGAAGCGCCACTGGATGTTGGCAATTGCTGTGGGATAGTTAGCCGGTCGGATGCCAGCATTGAGACAGCACAGTGAGACTTACCGATGGGGGTGATGAGCACAATCACATAGACGAACACCCAGTTCGTGATCATGGCAACTGCGTTGCCCGTATTGCGCATGCGTTGGTTGTTAATTTCTGATGGGTACATGAATGGAATCGACAGGAAAGACAAGCCCTGAAATGTAGCTGTTAGCAATTGATGGACGCCCAGCAGATCGTAAGCGGTTGAAGGTGAACTTACGAAACACACGTTATACACGAAAATGAAAGCCACCGCCATTCCGTTTGAAGCCTTGGTGCCGATACCCAGACCGACAGCAGCAAGAGCAAAACTCAAACTCATACCCACGGCACCATACAACATCAGCTTCTTGCGACCGATACGATCAATGACAAAGAATATCATCAACCCCCAAAAGCACAGGGAGATAAAATCAACAGCGGTGAGCACAAGAGCCATACGGCCACTAAACCCGAACGACTTGATCAAGATGACTGGCAGGTAATAGACGACGATATTAATGCCACCCATTTGCTGAAATAGAGATGTTCCTGCACCGAGACATAGACGCCGGAAGTTTTGTTGCTCGCCGTTCGAGAAGCATTCGCGCCAGCCGACTTTGCCGCTGGCCTTCTCTTCGGAGATGGTGTCAATGATGATCTGGAGTTCCTCTTTGACGCTCATTGAATCTTCAGGCACGGCTTGCAGGCGTGCGATGACTTTTCCGGCCTCGACATGTCTGTCAACGTAGCACAGCCAGCGGGGAGATTCGGGCATCAAGAGGACCAGGACCATGGTAGTCAATGCCAAGAAGCATTGGAAGGAAAGCGGAAAGCGGAAAGCAACCTGGTTATCGGGGACGTAGGTGAAGCCAAGGTTGACGAATTGGGTGATGGTGATACCGAAGATGACTATGACCAGTTGCAGGGCAATGAGTTTGCCGCGATGTTCCGGTTTTGACGTCTCAGATTGCCACATTGGAATGGTTGCTGAGTTTTGACCGATTCCAAACCCTGCGATGATGCGTCCTACGATCATATGTGGCAGGCCGAACGATGTGCCCTGCAGAAGACCTCCAACAAAGACGAAGCAGCAGGCCATGACGATGGACATGCGACGGCCTAGCCGATCTCCGACGAATATTGACAGAGCTGCGCCGAGGATGCATCCAATGTCATATGTTGAGACAATTTGTCCCTGAATCGTGGCATTGGGGTTATTGAACTGTTTGTTGAAGGCAGGGTTGGAGAGGATACCTCCGAACATGCCTTGGTCCCATCCAAAGAGAGTGAAACCAATACCGCTGGTGATGGTGATACCAGCAGTAAGCGCCCGACCTTGAAGATTGTCGAATAACATCTTGGCGTTGTTCAGCGAAGAACACTTGAGAAATACTGAGGTCTAGTAATAGGTACCAAGCGAGACCCGAAAAGACTGGGGGATAGACAAGAGTCTTATACCACTAAGTACCATTGATCGGCTATGTGGAGAGAGAGCCTAAGCATGGGGAAGAAGCATCAGATGAAAGGGGCCCCGCAAGAGAACGCATATAGAAGTGTACTTCCCCTACGGCACACAGAAGACCCGATAATGCGGCTCCAAATCTAACGGGGGAAAACCCAGCATACCCACCCATGTAGCCGCAACAGAATGTGTACCACGCCGGCCCATGCGGCCTCTTCTGCGGCCTCTTCGTGGTCCAGACGCTTGACTATCCGGTCCCACTGGCGGATACCCAGTTGAATCAGCTCGGATGTCTGCCGTAGCACGTGCGAAACACTTCACTAAGCGACATTCTAGGCGCACGGCGTTATTTCTCAGCATACCTAGATCGGTCGGGGCAGAAGGGGCTTGCGAGCGTGTGTAAAAGCTTTCCAGTATGTTCTAGGCACCTCTTGGGTGAGTGTACGACCAGGGTGCGAATAGAAGCACATAGTGACTCATCCCCTGTCACTTCAACGCAACAATCTGAACTACGAAAAGACGATTCCGCCGTCCACTATGACAGTCTGTCCCGTGACGAAGTCGCTGCTGTCAGAGCAGAGAAACCCGCCGACCATCTTGGAGACATCTTCGGGCTCAGAGACCCGCCCAAGAGCTGTGAGACTACTGCTGTAATGCTTAATCGTATCTCCCTTTGTGCGGCCTTCTATCTCTCCCAACTTCTCATCGACTAGATCCCACATCTTGGTGCCCACGATGCCAGGCGCATAGCAGTTGACCCTGATACCATGTCTGGCCATTTCCACTGCAAAAGTCTGAGAGAAAACACGAACCGCTGCCTTGGTGGCGCAATAATGCGATAACATTGGAAACGGCTTAAATGCTGCAATCGAAGAAGCACCGAGTATGCGATAGTCCAGTTCTCCAGTCGTTCGAGGTCCCTGTTTTATCATCTGCCTTGCTGCGGAGGTGTAGCAATTGAATACCCCCATGAAGTTGACGTTCAACACCTTCTGTACATCGTTCGTGCTCAACTGTAACGAGGGACCCACGTGGGCAATCCCAGCATTGGCAATCATCACGTTCAGCGGACCCAGAGCCGCTACCGTCTTCTCAATCATTTGATCGACTTGATCGGCATCTGTCACATCTGCGCACAAAGAAATCGCTCTGCCCTTTCCATGTTGTGCTTCGAGTTCGCTTGCGAGTTGCTCTGCTGCTGCGCGGCTACTCTCGACATCATTGATGCAGACCGGGAACCCGTCTTGTGCAAGACGACGTACGATAGCTGCTCCACTATACACGCATGACGGTCAGACATCTCTTCTGGCAAAGGATATGAATTGTGACGTGATACTCACATGCCTCCTGCACCGCCGGTCACTATCACAACGCCCTTCTTACTCATGGTCGGAAGGTGACTTGTGAAGGGCAATGATGTTTATCCTGCTGCTCACCAGAGAAAGGCTTCAAGAATACACGCAGTCAGTAGACGGAGCCTGACTAGGTGAGAGGTAGTACACATCTGGCCACTGCAGAGAAACTGAGAGTCTCGGGTGTGATGTGTATGCCGGTAGGCAAGTCGATTTTCTGCGGCCCGGTATCTCGGCTTGCGAGTTTGCGGAACCAATACTCTAGAGCGGCTATATGGTGTGGAACCTACTTTGGCCAATGATATCTCGAGTCCCGAATTCGGGTTGACGATCGGGAGATGCCTTCGGCACTGATGCCAAGACTCATGCACTGTTTCAGTCTGGGGAAGGCCATCAAACCCCGAAATGAGAGCGAAGGGAGCTTAACCGTGTAGTTTGTCCTGCTAATTTATGATCACGCAGATCGTTCTGTCTGTCTCGGGGACTCAATAGATCTAGTAACGCAATAACAACACGATGCCTACATACAAAGCGTTGCGATTCCACGGGCAGAAAGACATCAGAATAGACAGTTTAGAAGAGAGGTGAGTTGAAGAGTAGTCGTAGGACCTGGACAAAGCTGACACTGTCGGTCAGGCCCTGCGGCCCTCGCGAGGTGCGAGTTGCCGTCGCCTTCTGCGGAATCTGTGGCACCGACATCCATGAGTTCCTGGGAGGCCCGATCTTTGTACCCGCACAAGGCTCAAAACACCCTCATACAGGCGTGGAGATGCCTATCACCCTCGGGCACGAGTTCTCGGGCACGATTACGGAGGTCGGAAGCGAAGTGCCTGGATTCCGAGTAGGTCAGGAGATCGCGGTGAACCCTACCGTAGACGATCGTCACCACGGACAAGAGCTGTGCGCACGATGCCGCAACGGTCGGCCAAACATCTGCCAGCGTTGGGCATGCTATGGACTCAACGGGAATGGTGGCGGCCTAGCTGAGCAAATAGTAATCGATTACCACAGCGTCATCGGGTTGCCCAACGGCGTATCGCTGAAAAGCGCCGCGCTTGCAGAACCTCTCTCCGTTGCCAGCCATATGATTAGGCTGGCTAACTTCCAGGCGAACAATAATGTGCTTGTTCTCGGGGCGGGTCCGATTGGCCTTGCGCTGCTTCTATTGTTGAAGGCGTGGAACGCTGGAAAAGTCATCGTTAGCGAGATTGCCGCAGCTCGCGCAGAGAAAGCGATACAATTTGGTGCAGACAAGATCGTCACCACAAAAGGTCCGGCAGAAGGGCCCAACGATGCTGTCGTGGATGCCGTCCAGGCCATAGCAAGTGACGGCGTCGATATTGCTTTCGACGCCAGCGGCATTCAAAGCACTCTGGACACAGCATTTGCGGCCACGCGGCCCGGAGGGACTGTATTCAATGTCGCAATTCATGAAAAGGCCCTGAAACTGAATCCGAATGCCGTTACCTTACAGGAGAAACGATATATGGGCGGGATTTGTTATACCGACGATGACTTCCATCGCGTGCTTGAGGCTATTGCTTCGGGCAAGATCCCAGCTGATGATATGATCACGTCAGTCGTTCCTCTGAGCGAAGCCGTCAGCGGCGGGTTTCGGGAGTTGATTGACCACAAGGATAGACACGTCAAGATATTGATTCAGCCAGACAAATAAGCGAGGAGTGACGAAAGATACAGACAATATTGAATGTGTATTGCTTTCCTTTCCTCTTTGATGCGGAAGTCTCGTGAAGGCCTCCAGTGGTGTAGCCAAATCAATGCTTTGAAGCGTCTGATATTCAAGTCATGTTGAAACAAGCCTCTTGGAAAGTGGTAGTCATAGAGAATGTGACCTTTGTCTCGGCCCTCTGTGAAGAAGGAAAAACGGCCCGGGAAAGCAGAAAGTCGACTCTGTTTAGCGGTACAGACCTTATTCTACGCTCATCTGAAAATACTTTGAAGATTAAACCATCATGAAATCGCTAGGGTTTTCGAAGACTGGAAAGAGCAAACCGTCGTTGAAAGTTCGGGCCAGCTGTTGAAATTGCGGCGACTCCCAGTCAATAGAGTGCAAAACATCTGCAGCAATCAAGGATGGATCATTGCAGTCCAGACCATCGTGGTTCATGATCAAGTGCGTAGGCTGTTGGAAGTCGGCTGGGCCGACAATATTCATCGCGTTGTCTTTCTTGCTCATGTTCGACAGCAAAAAATCAAAGACACGAAGCATCCATGGCCCAGCATCCCACTGATCGCGTGCTTCCGAGATGATCATGCGGCAGTTGTCCAGCGTTGCTCTTCCGATTTCTGCCATCATTTCGTCAGATCTGATAATTTGGCGATAGAAAACGATACCAGCTACGGAGAAAGCAGTAAACACCTCGTGCGGTAATCGGTTCAGTGTAGAGTTTGTGACCAAGGACAGCGCACTAGCACTGATGATACTTGCTGCATCTCTCGCTGTCTGCATGGCATGTTGGTCGGCTTCTCCTGCTCCGGTTTCGCCCGCTTGGTCGGGCTTAGCAGAAGGCTCCAAGTAGATCATGATGATGTGATGATAGAATATGATTTTGAGGCTGGACGAGAACACGCTGGATCCTCCTGCTCCGACTCCGTGCCACTTCAATTCATCGGGAAGGCCTGCCTTCCAGCTCTGTAGCTTCGTAAACAGATCACTAGTATCGGCGGCACTTTTGTCCTTGTTAGATCGATATGCCACAATCTGTCTCAGCAGCATAGAGAGCTCAACAACTTTGATCAGATACAGAGCTTGCAAATGGGAGTTGAGCTCTCCTGCTCCAGTGGTTGATGAAAATGAGTCTTTATTGAGCGCTCCCGCTCCAGTTTCCGAGGCAAAGTCATCATTGTTGAGCGGCTCCATGTCGCACTGACTCAGGTTGATGCGAAATGGGCGCCCAAGGAAGGACGCACAGGAAGCATCGCGGAGAACAAGAATCCACCACAGTCTCCTGAGGAGACTCTTATCGGTCGGATTCATTCTTTCAATTGCCACGGACTGGTTGATGCCCAGAGATTCGGCGATTGTAACCGCAAATCCGACCCAAGAGCATGGATTCCAGTAACTTCTCATTTGAGGGCCCCAAAAGGTCAGCATAAGGACTGTTTGGAGCAATGTGACCTTGTTCGTCTCGTACCCAGTGTCGAACAGTATTTTAGCCTTGTCGTAGAAAGAACGTCGAGCGTGCCAGCGACGTCGAAATCCCGCTTGATGAAGCACGCTTTGGTCGCAGAAGGTCGCACCAATGAAGCACACTGCGTGCATCAGTATCCACGGCAGCTTTTGCTCTTGGTATCGTTGCACAAAGTCCTTCGGATCGACAATAGGATAGACGGGCAGGAAGTGGAGCAGAAACGCATCGATCAAGGACGACAGAAGATCCGCACTCGGAAAAACGAACGCGCCGTGATCATTGAGGTACGTGTAGCTAGCGGCAGCGAGATGCGATGGGTGTACACTGGCATTTGGAGCAGCATTTCCCGTATCGTCCTGAGCATGCTTTGAGAGAGCTGAGCCAACGTCGTGGAGCGAGGACTCACCCTTTGACCGTCGAAGTTCTTCCAGAGCAAAGGTAAGTGGGGACGCCTCATTCATGAAAATAATACCACATTTCTCGAGAGCATCGCCGCCGTAGCCGTGTTCGTCCAGGAATTCTTCAAATGCTGCTGCAAGTGATTTTCTCGCTTCAGATGATGTTACGGGGTTTGCAGAACCTCGGGCAGAGTGCTCGCGAGGTGTCAGAGTGCCATGGGCTGCTGACCGTGGTCGTAGTAGCTCAACGCGGGGGAGAAAATCCATGTGGCGGCGTAGCCGTGATGTTGGCGATGCTGAGCGCGAGTCCATCATTGAGTTGTTGGAAGGTTCCCCAGGCGTCGCTATCGAAAACATGTTTAGCAGAGGCGGGTTTGTGGGTGACTGGTCAAGCCCGCCATCATGGATCGATAGGGATCCAGGGGCGCTGGCATTGGACAGCTCGATGTCGCTTGGTGCCTCCCTGCGATTTTTTCGAACTACATTTTCAGTTGCAGGCAGTAAGCTCTCCCATGTGCCTATGGACGCTTGCTTCTTCGAAGCCAGTCGAGATCGATCATACGTTCCTCGCCGAGACTCAACGAACGTGCAATTCCCCCGTTGATCTAATTTGCACCTGGTGCACGGCAATCCATTCTCGGCCGCATCACATTTGGTTTTACGCTTGCTGCATCGCTGGCATGCACGTGGAGCGCGAATTCGAGCCTGGTCTTTTTGGGCCATCTGCACATTCGGGTGATGGAGGGTAGAGGCCCAGGCCAGCTTGGAGTAGGGCCTCGAGAAGACCTGTGGTGCCCGACTGACGAGAGACGAGCCAGGCAATACTGACCAGGTTTCCAATAAAAAAAAACCTGTCCGCGCATCTGTGCACTGACAAGAGAAACCTAGTCCAGACGTGTAGTTGCGGACAGGAAGATGATACGGAGTTTGAGAAGTGTAAATAGTGATTAATTCACAGCAGCAAATGGGTGTGCGCGGGACCTCGCAGGGTCCTTCTAGGTAGCAACCACGCTTAGGCTGTTACCATGTCGCCGTGATCATGCCTATCTAGATCGTCCTACAGGCCTTCTATCTCCGCTAGTCGAAGCAAATACGACTAGGTCCGCGGGGTAGTTGATCGTGTGATTAGCGGGGAAGCTATGTGTAAAGGCACTGGGTGTTGATCACAGCCGGGTGAGCACGATCCCGATCCCGAATACTGACTCCATTTCAACACTCTACAGTATTATCGTAATTTTGTCTCGTAGAGGGTGCAGCCTCATTCGTGTAGCTTCCGACATGACCGGCCCCAAACAAATTTCGCTTGCTTCTTCAATGCACCAATCGAGAATTCTGGGATGCGAATGCTATGGAGGTCGTCGCAACGAGCATACTCTGTAACATCGACCAGCTTGTGACTCTGCTTGGTGGGGAAAAACGTTGTCGGAAGATTGTATTCAAATACAGCGAGAAATGTGCCTTCGGATGTTGGCACTTTCTCCCCTGAGCCGGCACTGTCGGGAACGACGCCCAGCTCATGCAGGTCGAGACCTTCCGGAGCCGCAACCCATGTGTGTGGCACTCCAGGGGCTATGATAACCAATGTTTTTGGTGGTATGACATAAATTTCGCCCCCAAGCTCTGCGACTGCAATCCCGTTCAACACCAGAATCTTCTCGACAGCAAAGGTAGGCTGGGATCCTTCATCGCTTGGGGTGGAAATGTGCACATGGCGCGGCATCCTGCACGTGGTGTCAAACTCGAAGAGACCGCTAGAGCCACAGAATGCTGGACAACTCTTGTCCATAGCGTGCCCAAGGCTAAAAAGCTGCAAAGTGCCTGGGAGATTTTGGCTTGGTGGAAATGCCGTGCGAACGATGGATCCGTCGCCATGAACTATTCGTGTGCCGTTTGACAATGAGAACCCAAGATCAGATGGGCTGGACATTTTCGTACAGAATTGTGTGAGGGGAACGTGTTGGTTCGCGAATTCTCAGTTGATGAAAGCCTTTATTTGATCTTGCTGGCTTATGAGTGCCAGATACATGTGCTGAAGCATCAGTGTCGCCCTCGGGACCACAGGCATCAGGGGTGACCGGCGAAGCAAACCGTTCTCGGCTGAATGACTGCCGCCCACAGCTCCCAATTCAATGACAGGTCTGGTAACCCTCGACATTTCCTCGGGGTGGATCATTGGTTGCTGCTGGGCGGGGTCGGCTTTATGCAAGAACAGAGCCAGCCCGCACAGGTAAGTAAACATAGGTGACGTCTTGCCAATTTTCCTCACCACCAACCAAGCAGTCGTCAAGGAGAGATCAGCTCAATCCAGGTGAAGTGCTGCCTCCAGAGTACAAGCCGAATCTACGACATTCGACATTCCTCCACAACCGACACCATGACAACCCCCAAAAATGTATTCCTCATTGGCGCGGGGTTTATTGGCGGCGAGGTACTTGAACTGCTCCTCGAAGCCAAGTACAGCGTAACAGTACTCGTCCGCCGCGAGGAGCACGCCCGGGAGCTGAAAGCATGGGGTGCACAGTGCGTCATGGGCAGTCTCAGCAACGGCGATCTGATCAAAGAGCAGACGATCAAGCATGACGTTGTCATTCACACTGCGACTGCCGATGACATGCACTCTGTGCAAAGTGTCATTGCGGGACTAAAAGAACGAAAAGCGAAGAGCCAGTCATCTATTTATCTGCACACAAGTGGCTGCAGTCAATTGTGCGACTATGCAGAGGGCGACAAGAAGAGCGATGTGATATACAAGGATGACGACCCTGCACAGATCGACTCGCTCTCTGACGATGCACCTCACAGAAAAGTTGACTTGACCATCGTACAAGCTCGCAAATACCTCGGAGACGGCGCAAAGATTGCCATTATACTTCCGCCTGTGATTTATGGTGTCAGTACGAAGGCACAGCGCCTGTCCATTCAGCTTCCAACGCTGACCCGTTTCGCCATCAAGCACGGCTTCGCCCCTCATGTTGGCCAGGGACTACCTATCTGGAACTACGTGCACGTTCGAGATCTGGCCAGGGCCTATGTGTTGATCTTGCAATGGTTGGAAGGCGACAAATCCGAAGATATCTACCAAAATCCATACTTCTTCGTCGAGAGTGGCGAGGAGCACTCTTGGAAAGAGTCTGCAGAGGCGATCGGACAGGCACTCCAGGAAGCTGGCAAGCTATCAGATCCGAACCCCGCTCCTGTTCCGAAGGACCTGTACAGAGATATCTTTGGCGAGTACACACCTCATGTTGTTGGCGCAAATGCCCGCAACCGAGCAAACAGATTGCGTTCTCTGGGTTGGATTCCAAAGGAGAAGGACACTTTCAGATCATTGCGGGAAGAAGAGATTCCTCTCATTCTGCAGGATTTGGGCCCTTTCATGGGATATAGTGCCGCAGTAGCATCAGGAAAATAAAGGCAAAAAAGATTTGCTAGCTTCTCTGACATCTTGTCAAATACGAATCGAACTATAGCTGTCGCAGAACATTGCCAAGCAAGGCAACCGTATCCACTACAACTTCTACTGCCAACCACTTGTAGGATTTCCCCCTCTCTTCATTTCGTTAGATAGACAACGATGACCTGAGACACTCTTATATTGTAGTGGATTACTCGCTCATTTACACACCTGGTGCCTCCATGACATTACAGCAGCATCTAGAGCTTCGACTTCAGCTCCCTCGTCGCCTGATCCTTCAGAATCCTTCTCAGAATCTTGCCGCTTGGACTTTTGGGAATGCTCCCCACGAATATGACACCTCCTCTTAGACGCTTATAGTCCGTCAGCCGAGTCCCCAGCCAGGCAGCGATCGCGTTTCCATCTTCAGCGGTTGCCTCTTCATGCGTCTTGGAGGCGTGAACGATATATGCTCTCGGCACTTCTGTTCGTCTGACAGGATCTTGAATGCCAATGACAGCACAGTCTGCCACATCTGAATGCTCTAGCAAGCTTGCTTCAAGCTCAGCAGGGGCGACCTGGAACCCTTTGTATTTGATCAGCTCTTTCACCCGGTCTGTGATGTGAACGAATAGGTTTGAATCTATATGTCCAACATCACCTGTTCGAAACCACCCATCTTTTCTCAAACACTCTTTGGTGGCCTTGTCGTTGTTATGATAGCCCAAAAATACATTTGGGCCGCGAAGGTATAGCTCTCCGGTGGCGCCTGGTGATAGTGGGTTCACTGCATCTCCGTCAACCAGGCCAGGAGAACAGAATTTGAGTTCCATGTTTGGTAGCAGCCAGCCAACGCTTCCAGCGCCTCTCTGCCAATCCTGCCAACGGAGGTGACATGCGCCAGGACTGGTCTCCGATAAGCCGTAACCCTGCTTTATCCGGATGCCAGTTCGCTGATAGACTGCCGACACCAATTCAGAATCCAGAGGCGCACCGCCAGATCCGGTCATGCGAATGCTCCCCAAGTTGTACTTTGTTGCTGAGGGGTGTTTGGCCAGTAAAAGTGCAATTGGGGGGACGATGTATGCGAAAGTAATCTTCTCAGTCTCCACTGTAGAGCACCATTGATCAATGTCGAATCTTTCCATAATGAAAGTCGTGACACCGATGTACAGCGGAGATAGAACGAACATTGTCAACCCAAAGATGTGGAAAAACGGCAGACATGCGAGTATCTTATCACCCTGGGGACCGGGAGCTGGAATGTCTCCGGATGTAGTTGACCCGTTCCAGGTCATGTTGTACTGCTCGATGGCATAAAGTTGCATGAGATTCGATGTCATGTTGTAGTGCGAGAGGCGCACACCCTTTGGCGGTCCTGAAGTACCACTCGAGTACACCAAGAAGGCAAGATTTGTTCTTGGGTTGATCTGTGGCTGATCGAACACAGCTCCGTTTCCGTGTTCCATGATGCTCTCCCACGACGTTGCTTGGGGACGTTGTTCTGACTCTGCGCCGATGACGATGACATTCTCGACTGCAATATTTGCCTTGGCGCATGCATGCCAGACCTGCTCGGCACAATTCGCTCGTGTAAGGACTGCTCTGGCTCCACTGTCGCGGAATTGATGAGCCAGCTCTGCGACTGTGTACGTGGGATTGCACGGCGAGATGATTCCGCCTGCACGAAGAGTTCCTAGAGTGGCCACGGGAATATATATACTATTGGGCAAGCAAAACGCCAAAACATCGCCCTTCCTCCATTTGAAGACTCTCTGAAGCCCGGACGCAAAAGCTTTCGCTGCCTGGCGGCATTGGTCGTAGGACAGCGACTCATTTGTGGTCGTGTCTACAAAAATTCCTGTCCATTGTTACAAATTGGATCGACTCTGAAGGGCCCCTGGGGAGACTCACTGTAATCTTTGGCGCAAGGTGGCTTAGAGCGGTTGAGTAAAAAGTCATAGAGATTAGTCTCGGGCAGTTGTAGCCGTGGTGATGGCGATTGAAGTATTGTCGCCGGTTTTGTGTTGTAGGGGCTTACCACCTCCATCATCGAGATATAAAATCTCTTAGAGAGCGAAGTACGACAAAGGCGTGTGATAGCGAGACGCCGTCCTCAAATGATCGAAGCTGCACAGCACGAGTTGATCCAACTGTACGGCAGGAAGACAGAGGCCGATACTTGGATAAGTAAGTCGGTATGAGAAAGTGGCACAGTGGTCGAGATTGGAGGACTATCCGATAGCACTCAAGTTGCCAGTTTTTGCTCCTGCCTAAGCCGAAACCAGGCCAGGCGTTGAATGCTTGAGCATCACAAAAGCTTCTTCAGCCGCAACAATGCGGCCAGCTCGAACTTTTCCACTCACGCCGGGTAGACAGCAGAAAGTCGCCATTCCGGCTATAAGTGAAGACACGAGGTGCGGGTGAGTGTTCAAGTGAAACAGTCATAGCCATTCTCATCCGGACTTCTATAGCTTCCTAGGTAGCAAGGGTCTGTTCGTTAGCATAACCAGGCTCACGGGCTCCACACGGCAAGCTTGGCTCATACAACCGACATCCAGAGCGGCCGCTGCGGCTCTGCACCCCTGCAGCCGCCTAGATGTGACACAGAACATCGGCTGGCCTCGAAATGATCATTGCGGGATCTGCGGACTGGGCGTGCTTTAGTAGGACTGCGAGATTTGAGGCTAAACTTCCCAGCCGTGCAACAGTGATGAACACCTCCACGCGACCTCCACTAACAGACTCAGCATAGATTTCACACCACACGCAAGTCAACGCACTTGAAGCTCACGTTTGAAAGATGTCTCTGACACCGAAATGGGTCCAAAATCTGAAGCCTTCTGGGCCTCAGGGTCATGAGCTCCTGACTGCTGAGAGGACTAATTCCTTTGTGAAAGATGACGAGATTGCTACTTTTATGTTCTCGGAATTGAACTTGAAAAGGGATGCAGCCATACTACAAATTCTGAAGGCAGATCCTGCATTTGACAAACGGAACAACTATTACGCAGGTCGCATTGATCGCATTCGAACAGCACTTGCACGGGGAAAGCGACTTCAGCAACTCTCTGCAAAGCACGGTTGGAGTGAGGATGAATATCAAGTCGCTTACGACTTGATAGGTGAGGCTACGCCGTATGGCCTGCATGCTGGCATGTTTACAAAAACACTCAGAGAACAGTGTACACCTGAACAACAAGCCAAATTTCTGAAAGCTGCGATCGATTATGAGATCATTGGGTGTTATGCGCAAACTGAACTTGGCCACGGCTCGAATGTCAAAGGCATTGAAACCACGGCGACTTGGGTGGCACAATCTCAGACTTTTGAAATACATTCGCCTTATCTGACCGCCTCCAAATGGTGGATCGGATCACTTGGTAAGGCCGCAAATCACGCTGTGGTTATGGCTCAGCTTCTTATTGAAGGCAAAAGCTATGGCCCGCATCTCTTTCTGGTCAAGATACGAGACTTGTCAAGCCATCAACCACTTCCGCAAGTGTATGTCGGCGATATTGGACCTAAAGTCGGCTTCAATACCATGGATAACGGGTTTCTGCTGTTCGATCACCTACAGATTCCTCACGAGAACATGTTGGCGAGATTTGCAAATGTGGACCCTCTGAGTGGAAAATACTATCAATCCCCGAATCCTTCACTCGTCTACGGCACTATGACATGGGTCAGTCTTAATACGGCGCATGTGATGGATTGGTCTAACGAGTGTACAGGTACGGTCCAACATTGTGCTCCGATCTGGGCGGGCGCTGGCCCGTGGTGTCACCATCGCAGTTCGGTATTGTGCCGTGCGCCGACAGTTCGTTGACCGAGACAACGCAGCACCGGACACAGAAACCCAAGTGTTAGATTACACTATGGTTCAGCACCGGCTTTTCCCTTTGCTGGCCGCCACGTTTGCATTACACTTCACGGGAAAAAAGATGATCCAGATGTATCAGAACCACCAGGCTGCTGGTGGTAAAGCACTGATCATAGAGCGCCCGACGGGACCTGAGGAGGCGCCAAGCATAGTATATGATGCGAACCGAGCGTTGGCTCAACTACATGCTCTATCTTGTGCACTTAAGGCTCTGACTTCAACGATCGCTGGAGAAGGATTGGAAACTTGCAGAAGAGCCTGTGGTGGTCACGGCTATTCTGCATTTGCGGGTATTGGAGCTTGGGCGGCTGATTACTTGCCAACACTTACCTGGGAAGGGGATAACTATATGCTTACGCAGCAAGTGAGTCGCTACTTGTTGAAAGCTGCAAGACAGGTGCGCAAGAATCAACATCGTTCGGAAAACGGTGACGCTGTGCAACTCCTTGCCGACTACACTTCTCACAAGAGCACAGCAACTCAGAGCCTTGACTTCGAATTGGATGATGCAGGGTTAATTCAAGCATTCCGCCACCGAGTCGGTCACCAAACATTCGACTTGCTGCGCCGGAGAGACCAAGAAGGCGCGTCCTGGAATAGTCTCCTGGTCGATTTCTGGAAGCTGAGCACGGCGTACGCCCAATACTCACTCGTGAGAAATTTCAAGGAAGCGTTACAAGACGCCACGCAGACTGGCCTCGCACAAGGTAACATTGAGGTCCTCCACAACCTCTTCCGCCTTTACGCGTTGAGCGTCCTGTCGCAGGATTTCGCCGGTTTTTTGAAGAGTGGAGCATACACGCCAAACAAATTGGTCCAGATCGAGGCGGAAATGCTGAAACTCCTCCTGAGTATCCGGCCTCATGCGGTCAAGCTCGTGGACGCGTGGAAGCTGTCAGACTGGCAGTTAGACAGCAGTCTTGGGCGAAGCGATGGTAAGGTGTATGAGGATCTCTTTCACAGAGCTAGTGTGCTCAATCCGTTGAACCTGGTGACGTTCGACTCTAACCCGAGAAGTCCTGTGCTGTTTCGCGAATGGCATTCCCAACCATCCAAGCTCTGACTTCGGTAGACAAATTCAAGTTAGCTGAAGATGCACAAATTTCGCGCAACAATTGATCCACCTTCGCCATAGACGAATTGTCTTACTTCCGGACAAGGGTCCCATCATGTTGTAGGAGAACCCATCTAGATAGGCCTACGTGTCTCCAAGCTGATCCCCAGATTATTGGGTTAGTATATAGCCATCTTTTCCACGTCCAGGGGATGTGCGACTCGTCCAGCTTATACCCGACCAATAGAAAGTGGTTCGGGTGTGTCTTCTGCTCCATACCATACTGCCAGTGCAGATAGTGAGGTTCTACACCCCACGGCTCACCCGAAGGCCCTGCTGTACTTCCGTACAAGTAGCTATCTACCCGTTGAACAATAAATACAAGGGTCAACTTTGAGTGTAAGATCTTCCTATCTGGCTCTGTTAAAACTCCCAGGACTACCAGAACAAAACATGGCTTCGCAAGGAGACAAGAGTGAGGCAGCTACGCACGTTGAGCTCGGGCTTGCGGCATCGTCCCCTGGGCTCAAGCCTAGCGAGCTCCAAGAATACGATGCTAAAGCTCACCGGAGGCTGCGCCGCAAGATCGATGTGCGATTGATACCTTTGTGTGCCTGGCTGTATCTTCTCAACTATCTCGACCGCTCCAACATCGGAAATGCCAAGATCCTGAACAGCGAGACGGGCGATTCCCTACTCCAAAATCTTCGCATGGACGGCCAGAAATATTCAATCGTTATTACTCTGTTTGCAGTGGCATACAGCGCCTTCGACGTTCCTTCCAACTGGATACTCAAGCGCTATGTGCGCCCTTCCCGCTGGCTGGGATTTCTGTGCTTTGGCTGGGGAACACTTACTCTGGGCTTTGCATTCTTGCATACGTATGCAAGTGCGGCGGTCCTACGTGTCTTCATTGGTATGTTCGAGGCAGGGTTTTATCCTGGTAAGTGACGAACTCCGTTTTTGACGAATAGGACAAGGAACTCATGCTCTCGCAGGAATTGTCTACATTATTACCTTTTGGTATCGACAGGAGGAACGTTCTCTGCGTCTCGCTCTTGTTTCGGCATCGTCTTCTCTCGCTGGTGCGTTTGGTGGGTGCATTGCTTACGGAGTTGGCCATCTCAACCAAAAAGCCGGCCTCGAGGGATGGCGCTGGTTATTCATCATCGAAGGAGTCCTGACTATCATCTGCACTGTGCTGTTGGTTTGTTTCCTTCCTGATTACCCACACGACGTCCAGTGGCTGTCCGATGACGAGAAAACATTTGCTGTTGCACGTTTGCAAGTCCAGGACGGAGGCTACACCAAAGAACGCGCCAGTCGACGGGAGATCATCGACACTTGTATTGGTCCAAGGATGCTGGCACATTACCTGACTTATGTAAGTTATCGTCGTGCATCATTGTTTATTCCTGACTGAGATGATGCCAGTTCACCAATGTCGTTATCGTCAGCTCTTTGGTATACTTCTGTCCGACAATTGTTGCTGGACTCGGGTACAGCAGTATCACTGCTCAGCTCATGACCGTTGTTCCATGGGCTTTGGGGTATATCGTCTCGCTCATCTTCGCTTGGAGTGCCGACAAGTTCAATGCTCGCGGTTGGTTCATTGCAGTAGCGTCAACTATATCAGGCATTGCTTTTGTTGTAATCAACGTCCTTCCCGTGCACGCTTATTCTGGAAGATTCGCATGTCTGATCATAGCATGCTGTGGATGCTTCCCAAACACTGCGCCTCTGGCAGCGTGGGTTACATGCAACGTCCCCAGCAGCAGAACCATGGGACTTGCTGCTGCTATCAACAACATGACTGTTGGAGCATCCTCGATTCTGGCTGTGTGGATCTGGAGAGCAGCTGAAGCTCCGCGCGGATATCCAACAGGGAATGGTGTGTGCGCCGCTTGCAGTTTCGCTACTGCTGTTTTATCTGCGGCAATGAGATACAATTACGGTCGGATGAATCGAGACAATGTTCTGGACTCGACGTCTACTCCAAGGATTTGGAAGTACTGACCGCTGTAGCGAAGCAGTTCTCTTCAAGATAGCAGCTTCATTCGTGGGCCGAGCACGCACAAGGAATCATTCATATTGAGTGGATTCTTTCGCAAAAATATCAGTGGCAGTCTTGTTGGTTGCAGGTATTGTGCTGTTGATAGATGCAATATTATGCCTGCTATGTGCAGAGAACACCATCAGTGGTGTTTCTCGACATAAATGTCGGAATGAAATTTCTGATTTGTAATGCACACGGCTATATGAAAAGCAATAGGTAACTGGGAACGTTGTTGTCAAACATATTTAGTTGCTGCGCTCTGTAAGTTGACGGTGAGCCTGCAGCTATTCTAGCAGTGACAGTCCTACGCGCAACGAAATTATGTCACAAGTGGAGATCGACCCCAAATTGCGGTACAAGCTCACAGGGAAAACGACCCTCATCACTGGCGCCGCAGGAGGAATCGGGGCAGCCATAGTCCAACTATTTGCGAAACACGGGGCAAACGTGGTGCTTACTGATCTGGAACACAACAGGAAAGCTGCAGAAGCGTTGATAGAATTGCTTGGTGGCACGAGCAGAGCAGCATTCATCCCAGCAAACACATTAATTTGGGCGGAGATGAAGAATCTGTTCAAAGAAGTCATACAAAGATTTGGTCGGCTTGATATTGTTATTGCGAATGCCGGGCTCATGGAAAGCAACCCAACCTTGGACATGTCCTTAACGGACGATCACGGTGACTTGGTAGAGGCAACCGATGCTTCCAAAGTTATTGATGTGAACATCAAGGGCACACTGAACAGTGAGTAGCAGATTACTCTGGACTATACACCTCGACGAAATACTGACGGCTGCACAGCACTGAGACTTGGGCTGTTCCACTTGAAAGACAACCCTATCGAGGACAATCTAATGGCACGTGGATCAATCGTCCTGGTAAGCTCAACGTCTGGCTACTTCGGGGCGTCTGGCGTGGCTGCATATGTATCGTCCAAGCACGGCGTCACAGGACTCTTGCGAGCGTCGCAAGTCTGGGCCGAAAAGTATGGCGTGCGAATCAATGGTGTTGCACCTTTCGTCACGCCCACTAATATGGCTGCATTTCATGAAATTTGGGCGTCCAAAGGATTGCCATCGAATACTCCAGAAGGTGTTGCAGCAGTGATAGCACAGATGGCGTTGGACCCTACAAGAAAAGGCCAGTGCTGTCTGGTAAGTCCCATATTGCTGCTATGCTTTCCTTTCAGTGTTATATCATGCTAATAAGTCTAGACTTGCGGATCCATCCTAGTCGAATTGGAGGCTAGTAGGAACGCCCTCCACACCTCCTGGGTGGGCAAAGAGGCAAGCGAGTTAATGGCAACAGCAGGGAAGACTTTTCGGGATATTGGAGGCTATCCTTTGCCACAGCTCTCGGCTCTCAGTAGGATATAGAATGGATCATTTCTATCAAAAACGCTTCCGGCGACCATACAGTAACTGGGATTGAGGTTCGTCTTGCCTTCTCAGCAGTAGAAAAGAGTTCGGAACCAAAGACAAGGGCTCGATACGCTGGAGCTGAGCCCTGGAGTGTCGGGGCGGCTGCGGTTATTGCAGTATCTACCGTAGAAAACCCCTGGTGCAGCCAATGACTTCGTGAGATCAAGTCTGCTCTTCAGAGGCTTATGGGCCAGTCCGGATCACGGAGTACACTATCGGGATTGAAGCCCATCATTCGGGTTGCTGGCTCCTATCGGCATGATTTACTGATCGGTTACATGTTTTCTTGAACTATTTCCCAAACTGACAAAGCTCGGGCTCTAATTAGTGTGGCCACCGAAACCATCCGGGGTGCCCCTCCGCAATTGGGACCAGAGGCGCAGACATTGCGGAGACTGAGATTCCCCCGGATGGTGATCGTCGGCTGTATGCAGTAACTCCAATACATTACCTGAATTCGTCAGAATCTAGAATCGCATTCACACCAGTAGAGAGCCATTGCCGCACTTCTTTTCGCGAGAGAAAGACTACAAAGCTGGATAGTCGCGAAGTGGACGCAGGTCGCATCCTTCTCCATCCGCAACTGTAAAGAAGAAGCATATTGAGAATGGGAGTCTTTAAAATTGATGCTCTCGTAGTCGGGGCCGGTTTTGGAGGGATCTATCAGCTGAAGAAGCTACTGGACCTTAAGCTCTCGGTCAAAGTCATTGATGCCGCAGACGATGTCGGTGGCACGTGGTATTGGAATCGCTACCCAGGTGCTATGTCAGAGTAAGTCGAATTATAGACCGTGCCCAAATCCCGAACCTGATATGCTGAGATCGATGTGTGCGCAGCACGGAGTCCTTCCTGTACAGGTACTCTTGGGATGTGGAAGATTTGAAGTCCTATCCTTGGAATCGACACTACCTCCAGGGACCTGAGATCCTCGAGTATCTCGAACACGTGGTCGAAAGAAACAATCTTCGCAAACATTTCCAGTTCAACACAGAGCTCATAGGCGCCACTTGGAGTGATGCAGAGGAGAGATGGATTGTGGAGACATCTGTCGGCGATACCTTCAAGTCCAGGTACCTCGTCACCGCGTTGGGGCTGCTCTCAAAGTCCAATATACCGAACATTCCTGGAATCGATTCCTTCAAGGGACAACTTCACCACACTGGTCGATGGCCGAAAGGTCTTGACATCCGCGGAAAGAAAGTGGGTGTCATCGGCAACGGCTCTACTGGCACACAAGTCATCACGGCAGTCGCCAAAGAGGTTGAGACCCTCGTTTGCTTCCAACGCACACCACAGTACAGCGTGCCCAGCGGAGATCGAGAGGTGGCTCCGGGCTACCGAGACGATCTGAATCAAAAGTACACTGAGGTATGGAAGGACGCCAAGAACACCATGTTCGCGTTCGGGTTTCAGGAAAGCGACCGTCCTACCTTTAGTGTGGATGAAGCAGAACGCGAAAAGATATTCGAATCAGCCTGGCAAAAAGGAGGCGGCTTTAGATTCATGTTTGAAACTTTCTGTGATATCTCATATGATGAAGCGGCCAACAATGCTGCTGCAGACTTCATTCGAAAGAAGATTTCTGAGATTGTGAAAGATCCTGAAACGGCGAGGAAACTGACCCCAACCGACTACTATGCGAGAAGGCCTCTGTGTGATTCTGGATATTATGAGCAATTCAACAGACCTAATGTCAAGCTTGTGGACCTTAAAGAAACGTCGATTAGCCAAGTCGTCCCACAGGGGGTGAAATTGGAGAACGGCGAAGTACACGAGCTGGATCTGTTAGTGTTTGCGACTGGGTTCGACGCAGTCGATGGCAACTACAGTCGAATCGCCATCAAGGGTCGCGACGGACGCTCTCTCAAGGACCACTGGACTGCTGCTGGGCCAGTCTCATATCTTGGCATATCAGTCCCTGACTTCCCAAACATGTTCATGGTTCTAGGACCCAATGGGCCATTCACAAATTTGCCTCCTACCATCGAGACTCAAGTGGAATTCATCACAGACCTCATCGAGATAGCTGAGTTATCACGGTCTAGACCAACGTTGAACGGCGAATCAAAATCACTATCGACTAGCAACGCCACGGCCGACGCTGTCAATGGTACTCCAGGGTATGGTCCAGAGGTTATCGAAGCGACCAAGGAGGCCGAAGAAGAGTGGACCGAGCTATGTGACAAACTGAGCTCGGGCAGTCTCTTCCGCAAGACAGATTCCTGGATCTTCGGCGCCAATATTCCTGGAAAGAAGCCGGCTGTCATGTTCTTTTTTGGTGGACTTGCGAATTATAGGTCGAAGCTCCAGGAGATCCTTGCGAACAACCTGCAAGGCTTTGTCAGACGAGGTCAGGGCAAGGGTTTAGCCGCTCCTAGTAATGCGCCTGTAACTCAGAGTGTGGCTGTTGGATCCTGAATGAGCATGAGAGGAAGGATAATGTCCATGCGCTTCTCTGGAAATGGTGTCTCTAGTCCGCGGAGCTAAATCTGCTCAATATTTTTGTCATTCCGATCCAAATGAGCCAGGTATTTGGGTTTCGAAAACTACACCGCGGGAATTGTAATAGATAAGTCCATCCTCGGATAAGTCTCAGGCACTGAAACCAAGGGACGTATCAAGACGATTTGCGATCATACTGGGCAAGTACGAGAGAAAGTAAAGTTGTCATTCCCACTTACAACGCCAAGGTATTACGAAGGTATTCGTGGTAATTACGCCGAGGCTAGGCGTCATTAGAAAGGAAAGACGAGAAAAATCCTAGATTCAAATCTCATATAGCAAGTGACACGGGTTTTTAAATTTTTACGAGATAGGGCTGCTGGTGAACTCATCTTAGTAGGTTATCAATGGGATTGGTTATATAGGGGGTGTCCGACCTACTTACACAACCTATCTAATCCAGTTCAAACCGCTGGCCCCCTCCAACATCTTTTGCATTAGCAATATCCCTGCGCGGAACCTCCGCAACGGCACGCATTTCAGACGACTGCCTCCCATGCTCTAGAGATGTCACGCCATCCTTCTTAGCCGCTTGGTCATATATCTGGTGAATCACTTTCAAGCGTCCCCTTTGTTGCTCCTCCTCATGCTCGAGATCGTGAAATCTCTGGGCCACGTCCCATTCTTCCTGATTCATTGATAGCGCATTTGTACGATTGGTAAGGACCCTCTGCATCAGTTGCGCCAAGCCCTTGTCCACATTCAACGTGGCCGACATTATCTCGAACATATCCTTGGACCCTGCCCAGAGCGCCATATCTGGTGCGGTGACACCAGTATAGTCCTTTAATTTTGCGTCCGCTCCCGCATCCAGAAGCATCCGGAGGATATCTGGGCGTTTTCTCCATACCGCAGCATGCAAAGCCGTCCCGCCGAAACGACCTGCTCGTTTGTTGAGATTCGCACCCGCTGCGATCAGACTCCGCACCGTTTCGCTCAAGCCGTAGCTTGTAGCATAGTATAGTGCTTGGCAACGGGTGAGTTCGGATGTGGGAGAGATGTAGCCGTGCTTAGAGTCGAAGAAGACAACTTGTAGCCAGAAGTGGAAATTCTGATTCGGCTCCGGTGTCATAAGGCGTAGGATGAGAGGTTGAAGCTCCGCCTCTTCTTCGGACATTTGCACATGAAAGGGCCAGTTCTGAGCAGCATATCGGAGTAAGGGGTAGTTCCCCAGTGTCCACTCTAGTTCCCCCTTCACCAAAGGTCCAGCATCGAAGTCTTCTAAGAGAAGATAAGAGATGCAGACTTCTGCAATGTGCCGGTGGGAAGTTGTGGCAGGAATCGAGAATCTGGATGACGGGCTAAGCCGGCCGGTGAGAAATTCGCGAACTGAATGGTGTGCGATTCGGGTAGTTTCAGACGAGGAATTGAATGAGATCAGACTTCCACATATCTCTAGGATATCTGTGGGGTCATTCAACATTGAGTCTGGGTCGAGCCATTCAAAGTTGGATTCGAGGACAACAGCCTGCGAGAGTTCTGCTAGGGTCAATGGATTCGTGGCATATGCAAGCCAGAGCAGCGTCCGTCGCGCAAATTCCACATCGCCTGTGTCAATGCTTTGCAGGATGCGAATATACGAGCCTTCAAGACTCGACGGAAGTGAATTTAGCGCTCGTTTCACCGCTGCATCGGTTCTCAAATGAGATATTGCATCTAGTTGACACTGAACCCACCGAAACCTGCCAAACGTTAGCCCAACAGCATTCAATGATATTCTCCAGACACTCACATAGCATGTGAATCCCTTCTTAACGTCTGCTCAACATATTCCTTCATTTTATCACTCATCCTGCGGAGGCGGGCGTCGGACTCGATTCTCTTCTTAATATAAACTCCAATGTCACCATCGATGGCGTCGTCTGGCACAGGCATTTTCTGAAACAGCTCTAATCGTCGTTGGAGATCCATTTCAGGCCGGCTGCTTATAAACACTCGGAGCGGATATTGCCCTGATGAGACATGCGAAGTGAGAAAATCGCAAACAACATCATAGTCAGGGGATTCATCCAGCCCGTCAACCACAATAACGCTGGCTATTTGGTCTTTCAAGGTCAAACTCAGAAATCGTTCCAGATCTTTCAGGTCAGGCTGTTTCGGTGTCCCTGCTCGTATCGTAGCTCGCTGGTACAGGCTGACAATATCTTCGGGGATCTTGCTCATCTCTGCGCAAAATTGTTTGATGATTGTTCCGAAAAAGGTTTCCGGTGTGAGGCTTTCAATTGTGCTTGCATCGTAGTAGAAATAAGCTAATCTTGTCGATTGTGGCTCGAGTTGAGTGCTTAAATAATTAATGATATAACTTGTTGCGACAGTCTTCCCAGATCCCGCTTGGCCATGCATCCAGAGGAGCGAAGACCGCTTCGTCATCCAGGCTTGGAATTCGTGCTCATAGAGCAGCCAGGCACACGTATCCGAGCAGTGAAGCTGACACCCACGTCGGTATTGGGCATCGTACTGATGCTCTGACAGCCAATCTAAGATCTGTCGACGTTCTTGTAAAGCTTGGTTAGATTTGATGTCCACACTGAGATCTGAGAAAGAGTCTGCTAGATTCTCGAGCGCAGTGGTTTGATCAATGAGCAAGTCCCTGCTCCTGTCAGCGCGCATTTGCTCCAATCCGCACTTCCACCACTTACACAGAGACACTGCTTAAACTCAATGCAAGCGAATTTTTGTGCCGCTCAAGTGCAGACACTATATCCTCCGTCTCACCTTTCCGCAACGGCCACAGCAGTCGTTTAAGTGTCCTTCTTCCAGCAGATTTACCGGACTCTGGTGATTCCTTCTGTAGCTTTGACGACAACGTCTGTAGTAGAGACCGTAAGTCTCGGAGAAGGCTATCAAATTGATATGCGGAAGGGTCTGCATGCTTGAGTACCCCTTGCACGCCAACCAAAACTCCACTGATGTTTGTGACTTCAGAGACGAGCCTCCTGGCTTCATCAGGGGCACTTGAAACCCCACAGCCATAACGATAGCATTGGCCGATGACTAGCCCTGCCAATTGGATTAATCCTGCGACGCCAGTTGCGATGGACAAGGGGTCGGTCATTTGGCTTGTCACCGGAATCGCGATCGTGCACGAATATGATTCCGCCTGGAAGCAAATTGCAGTCGGAGATGAGCACCAACACGCGCTTTTTCAAATGTCCAGCACCATGTCCAAACCCAAAAGCGGCAGTAGCAACATACTGGAACTCAGATGAGGTGAAGAGGAAGAATACAAATGCATCTGTCGGCTAGCTCAGCCACACAGCGCCGCTTTAGGGGAAACGTGTTCTTTGCCAAGCAAAATTATAAAGCGGCGTGGTAGTTTGAGGCTCTTGCTCAATCAACCCCTTTTTCGACTCAACCTTCAGTCGTTCAATGAAGGCAAAAAGCTAGTGCACGGAACACATGTTATCGCCTAGATCCGAGAATCATATGAAATTGCGCTCATTCATACTGGTAGGAGGTTGCTCTGAATCCTGGCGCCTAGAACCTTCGCGCGACGTTCGCCGGCTATTCAGCAAATCTCAGAAGATCCCTTGACCTTCAATGCTTAACGATGAGCAGAAGTTAGTAAACTTTTCGGTGAATTTGTTGGCGGTGGACCGCGAGCCTTGCAAAAATTAACCACAGACCAGTTACCGTGGAGAGATTCACCAAACTCATTGCCTTGATTGGACCGCCGAGTCTGACCTCTTCACCCGGTTCCTGTGGATCTTTGGATGTTGATATCTGCCTCACTCGGTGTCTGAAAAGTCAGTGTCTGTCCAGTCATGTTCCGAGTTTTCACCAAGCGTTGTTTGTGGCTCCGAGTATCTCTTTAAGTGAACACGGATCACGTCTGCAAAATCCTCAAAGTCACCATACTCGTTCTCCACAAGAGTTGCCCGCTCTCGATCGGCTCTTTCGGCTATCACTTCAGCTTCATCCGGGTCATTCAACCAACGAATGCCTTCTCTTGCTCTATGCTCTACACCTGAGATTTCCGGAAGGATATGTTCAGGTCATCCCACCATAAATTCCAGAACTCTTCAACAGAGCCGCCTCGGGTCTGACAGCCTTGTCCATAGGCAGCCATTATGAGATCGAGATGTAAGTTCAGCTCAGCGTCCTCCTCCTGGCATTGAACTCTATTTTCTTCTGGCATAGGAGATCTGTAATACCCGCGATGGCCGCAGCAAGTATGAGTCAGCCCCAGACGCTCAAAGACTTCGATCCTGCAGCACTCGGCATGAATCAATTCCCTTCAATTTTGAGATCAAAGAGACTGGAAATCTCTTTCAGCTTGTCTGTCCTCCTCTCCAACGAGACTAAACTGCCATTATCCTGGGGAAAATATTAATTGAAACCCAGTAATCATGCCACGGCAAGCATCATGATGTTGAACAAAAGCAATCACACCGGTCAGTACACAGTGGATCTGCACTTTGTAGATAAAGTGGGGGGTCATCGTCGAGTGGTTCACCATGGTGTTGCCTGTAAAACAGCCATGGCAAAAGATTGAATAAGATGTTGGGCCATGTATCCGCCGCCCCGAAGGTTGGACTTGCGCCTTTCTCAAGAAACCATTCCGCACAATGATTCCGTCGTGGAACATAGTGTGTCGGCCAGTCCCATGGACACAGTGGACACTCGTAATTCTCGTCCCAACAGGTCAACTTCTTGAACTCCCGCAGCATACAGTATTTCCAAGATATTGACGGAGTTTGCAGAACAGGGATCCAACACTTTGTAGTGGTACATAGAGGCTGAGCCGGACATGATTGAGGCATCTTGAAGCTGCTCGTCAGTGCCTCTATGTTTGTCGTACATCTGAGACCCAGAAGCTCTCTCCTCTTCAACGCTTCTCCTGTTCTTCTCATATCAGAATTCAAACTCCCGAGCAACACTGGGTACAATGTATACGTGACAATAAGTTTTTGCAAGAACGAAAATATCCAGTTCCGCGGGGCATGGCTGTCCCAGATATCGATATCGAAGAAGCTTGTACGCGGTAAAAGGAAATCAAAAGAGACAAAGTCTTGATCAAGAATTGTCAATTTTAGAGCGTTTCATGGGTCAATCCAGAGTCGCACAGAACTTTCAAGCCGTCCAACCACCCTAATGCGAGACACATGGGGTCACCTCCGCTGGCATCAATCAGCTTCTCCAGAGTGTTGGTTTGTAGATATTTGACCAGTGATCCTTTTGACCGAGAAAGTATTAGGGGGCAATTTCACCGAAACCGAGAGCTAGATCTCAATCAGTCTATGATCCAGTCCTGGAAAAACACCCAAGTGTTCGTCCATACCATATGTCTGCATGAGACGATACAATTGTAGGATGTTCTGAGTAATATCCAAAGCTAATCCTGTGGCTGTTATGAGCAGACACAGGCCGGCCGCACTGCTAGGGAGGGTCCTTCCAATCGTTAATTGCCGTTCATGCACAGAAATACCCTGTAGCTCGGGCGTGACACTTACAAAGGACACATCTCTTCTGAATCCTGGTAGTAGTAGCCACAATTCAGAGCTTGTGAGAGCGGACATATCGGACCCTGAAGCGAGAGAGAGTTCAATAAACCACTGAAACAATGGTTGCAAGCCCTCTGATATGAGATGCGTCATTATTGCTGCCAAGTAGAAGATTTGCTATTCATTGATAGTGACAATTGAGCTCAAACTAAGTTATTGCAACTTACATGAAGCATGGTATTGCCATAGTGATCTTTGTCAAACCCTGATACACTTTTCAAGCAGACTTAAGCCTCAAAGTTGTTAGTCAAAGCAATGAGCTCATTTCTAACCGCGAGAATGTCTAAATCAAATTCAAACAAAGTTCCATCTCCTTGCTGAAGAACCATTTGGCAATCAAAAATACCATCAGCTTCTGAAATTCTCCTGCCACATCGACTTGGGAACTCGTCAAATAACTTCAGAATTGGTGACTGGGATCGTTCGACGGTAAAATACGCAGTAAGCGGGGGGGCGATCGAGCAACAAACTGCCTCTGAAGTCAGACTCAAGCCCAGCTCTACTGTCTTTTGGACGAACGGAAGCAAACACGCCGATGCTGCGAATCTCCAAGACTGTCTTCCTGATCGATAGTAACTACATGATCGGCGATGCTGAGATGAGTATTCAACCTTGACACCGAACAGGCCATATATGGAAGATGATAAAAACCTTAATGGCAAGCAATTGCAAGGCTTACTGCCTCCCTTCGGCGGGAAGACATGTTCCGAAGCCTCTTGTAGTTTGCTGGGATGCATCATAAGCTGTCCCGCGACCTGTGATCCCAGTTCTGCACGTTCATGCTTTGACAGCTGAGCGGCAGCAATGCGCTGGTCTCGGAATAGCTCTTCAGTTTTACCAATCATCAGACCTATCACAGCGTCTCTCAGGGCTGGGAGTTCCTCGCGTATGGCTGACTGCACGGCAACTCTCATCATGTCATTTCTCATCATGTCATTTTGTGAGTTAGATGAATGCACAAGTGTCGCCATTTGATGTTGGATCGATTGTGTTGAATCCTGAATCGATTTCAGGCTCACCTCGTGGCTGTGTTGATTGGATTGTAGCCGTGCCAAAGTGTAATTGGTCTGAAGGATGTAGCTTTGATTGCGATCAACGATCTGCGCCGTACTTGTTGCAGTGATTCGTAACCTGTCAAATGAATGGCTTGGTGATTGCTTTGAACATTTGAAGAGATGTGTTGCAGTTCGCTCCTGTGATTCTAGGAATTAGTTGTGTGGAGTACGAGCAATAGATGGAAAGGAGAAAGATATTCGTACAGAAGCGACGCATCCGACTCTAGGCCCAAGATTGCCTGCTCACACAGTATGCTCACGTTAGCACGATTGATGCTTTCGAGAAGGGCTGTGATCTCATCTTCCTTCGTAAGAGAAACAACACTTTTCCAAGTCCTCTTCAATGGACCAGCCTTTGACCCAATCAGAGGGACAAGCTCCTCAATTTCACGTTCCAGGGCCTGCATTGCTTCCTCCCCTTCAGATACGACGACATTCAGCCGCGCCAGTTGGTCTACCGTCAACTGAACGGCGACGGCGGAGCCTGGCAGCAGAACCGTAGTTCTGACGAATTCGAGTCGCGCAATGGATGCTTCCGTCTCATGAAGTAATTTTTCCATGCGCTCAGGAGCTCTTCGCAGATTTCGCAGCAAAGTGATGCCGCCGATTACAGCCTTGCAACCAGCCTCGCCCAATTGGAGGCCAGCAGCCGCAGCCCCGAGGATGGTGATTGGATCAGTCATCTTGAGGCTGGCGGAAGACTTCGGTAGTACTATAAGACTCCCGCGTCGAATCTCTGGCTCGCGAGGTCGAAAATGCGCGTGTGATGGGATTTAGTTAAAGCATGATTGCAGGAAACCGCTCGGCTAAAGCAGAAGGGTTTAAAAGCTCCAAATTGTCAGGTGGTAAAGCTGAAGGCTTTAAGAGGATATTCAAATCCTAAAGATGACGAAAGACTTGATAAAAGAAATGAATCTTCAAAAGCTTCCAGCCTGCAGCTGGAACGAAAGCGACTAAAAATGAAAGGCAAGAGGCCGCCGAAAAGACACAATGTTTCGTGTCCAACAAGCAGAACTGGGCAAAGCCTATATCAAGGCGCACTCCTCAAGCCTTAGATGTGTGAATGGTGGTAGTCCATGTCTCCTTGCAGCAAGACGCCCAGGTTGGCGTACCAGGCACGGCGGCTGAGCAGACCCTAGCCGCCCAACAGGCGACGTATCCGATCCTGGTAGGTGAGCAGGTTGCCAAACATGCATATACGACACGCACAGCCAGAAACTGAAGGAGGGCTGTGCAAGTAACCTGGCCATCTCTTCAAGTACCCACTTAAGATATTAGAGAATCTGTAAGACTGGGACTTCAAGAATAACACCTACAGGCCGAATATCTCCGATTAATACAGACAGATCATGACTGAAGATTACGCCAGTTGAACGCCTCCATCATCGTCGTCGGATAATTGCGCATCTCCTTCCTGGGCTTCACCAATCTTAAGCTCAGCCTCAATATCAGGCTCTAGTGAGCTGCTGTTACGGCCCCTCGTCTCCAACGCCAGAGTTCCATTTGCGTGCTGCATCGGTTTGCCGGCAGCAGCCTGACCGTTGGAAAGCCCACCTTGCTCCTCGCCACTTTGACCCTTATTGCCAGCCCATCCTTTGCTAAGGTTCACAAGCGGTGTATCGTCGTTGAAAAGTCGAAGAAGCATAGCCCTCCGCTCCTCTTTCGGTAGCATCAAATTCAAGCTCTGCACCGATTTCCACAGAGGGAACACCATCCGCTCACTCAGGCCGTCTTCAGCATCGCTGGGCTCTATGATCAACACGCAGCACCCCATCTTGAGCTTCAAGATTTGCTCACCGACCTCGCCAAGACTTTTGTACTCCTCGCCATGGAAGCGGGGGAACATCTCAATCAGTAATTTTCGTAGCGTTTCTTTCTTGTGCAGCTTGACAACCCGCTCGTTGCCCACCCAAGTCTCGAGCAGCCGTAGCCCGTCGGTTTGAATCCGCCAGGGACATACATCAGGCGCAGGTGCGTCCTGTTTGACGAACATCTTGAGACCTGCATGTACGAACTTGAGACCTTTGCCTTCGTTCTCCTGTAAAATCTCTTTCGCTAGGGCGTTGGTGTAGTACATATTCTTGGTTGCTGTCCCCTCCGGGTTTCGGACCATGAATCGGTCTCTGGGGAAACGGCTGGAAAGATTGTAGAATTCTGTGATCTGATCAAGTTCAGGGATCGATGGGGACAGATATTTGTAAGGCTCCTCGAACGGTTGATCGCGATTCCTTCTTTTCTGAGGCCTCGATGGAGCCGCTTGTGCCGACTCATATGCAGGTGTCTGACCATTTTCGGGGGGTTTGGTGTTATCTTCAGTCGTCGCACTCGCCGCTACCTGCTCGCTCAGAGAGGCTGGACCATTTTCGACGCCATCTTGGCTTCTAGCTCGTTTAATGGGTATACTCACCGCCTCATCATCGTCCCGTTTTCGCTTTTGCGCACTGCTTTCGGGGCTTCCTATGTTCTCAATTTTGTCATTGGAAGCAGTCTCCACCTTGACGATATTAAACTCCGATGTCTCAACCTTTACAGGGTCCTGTAACACAGCCAGCTTTTCTCCTTGTTTGGCTTTGATCTCAGATTTCTTCTCAAGTATGGCAATGAAAAAGGCACCTGTATCCTGCAAGTGTGGGTAGATGCGCATGGCTCGATCAAGCGGTATGTCTGACGCTGGCGGGAACATGCTTGCAGATAGTCGGTTCAAAGCTTCGTCATCGCCGTTTTCCTTTTGCTTCAAGACAGAGTTGTAATCATTCCAGATCCTACCCGTCTTGTCCATCACAGACCACTTTTTGAAGCCTGGGTAACGTTTGAGACCAGGGAGATAATCTTTGGTCTCGAGTAATTCTACCAAGTGGGCTCCACCACATCGGCTGATTGCCTCAGCTAGGACAGCCTCATCTTCCACAGGGTTCATGCTGCAAGTTGAGTAGACAACCCGGCCACCAACTTTGAGCATTTGCAAAGCCCTCATTAGGATGCGAACTTGAGTAGCATGGAGACCCAGACCATTACTAGGAGTCCAGTTCATCCAAATCTCCATGTTCTTCCTGACAGTACCATCGCCCGAGCAGGGTACATCGGCCAAGATGCGGTCGAACTTAAGGTACCTATTTTGGTTGGGCTTCCCGTCTGTCGAAGGTACGGGCGCAATCTTAATCGAAGGGAAGACAGTTGCATCGTGATTAGTAACGATGATGTTGGGAGAGCTGAGTCGCTTAATTTGATGCACCAACATGTGGGCTCGCTTGTAATCAACATCATTGGCGATAAGAAGTCCAGTAGATCTACCGTCGTCAACGAACTCCTCTCCTTCAGGGAGATCCAGGCCTTTTGCTGTATTTGAAGCGACTTGTCTCGATCGATCCTCCTCGCCGGCATGGATCATCTCTATCAGCTGCGCCGACTTGCTCCCAGGAGCAGCGCAAAGGTCCAAGACCGTCATGTGTGGTTTCAGATCCATGAGCAGTGGCGGAATCATGCTGACCACCTCTTGTCTAGTGATATTCCCAACGTCGGTCTCGGCAACTAAGAACTTCTGGAAGGATGCAAAGGGTTTGAATCGTCGGATGACATTCTTGGGAGTTGTCATGAACCAAGCAAGTTGGTCGGGGTACCACTCGACGGGTTTTGGTGCGTCTACATATCGATCTTCGTAGGTGATAGAAGTGATCTCGGGGATGTAGTATTTTCGCAGGCGCTCTTGAACAGCCAAGGCATGTGCTTTTGAGCCCGTGAACCTGAAGCTGTTGGGCAAGTCTCTTCTCATTGCTTCCCAGAAGTCTTCTGTTTCGGTCTCAGCCACAGCTCCCAGGTTGTTGTAGTAGCGCTCAAATTTCTCGTTGTGACGAGGGATGTCCGCCTTGTTGACTCGGTTATCAGGTCGAGGCCGCTGACCTCCGCCGCCTCCACGACCACGACCGCCCTACATATAATGTTAGTGCATCTCTACGACACCTGGGCAGAGGGTCACTTACCTTCTTGCCGCCGCGCTTCCCCATGTTTGCGCGACAAAAAGATACAAGTACTGAAATGATTATGCACGGCAAGAAACGAACAGACACGAGCGGTGGGGAAATTTTTGAAGTTCATGGCACGATCTATTCTTGTGATCCGCCGTAATGCCAAGATGCGGGGTGTTAGTGCCTTGGCGTTATCCCGTCGACTTGCCTCACTTCTCAGTTCTCAAGTTCACAATCCTCCGTTGGCCTCATCGCAACTGTCTCAGCAACTGTCCAAATAACTTGCACTTCCTGTCAACGACAGTATCGGGCGTCATAGACTTGAGATCTGTCCAGATATCGTCGAATTTGTACTCTTTCCATGACCTTTGTATCCGCTGGTGTCACTCTGCCTCACCTTGTGACTGTGCTCTCTTGCCCTTTGTACCTGCGACGCCTTTTTGTCCGGCCGCCACATTTCTCTTCGCTGCCGCCTTTGCCCGCCTGATTCGATGCCTCTCATTGTTTGCTGCTCTGATCTGATTGCCACAAGGTGCAGGAATCGGTGGTTGCATGGGTTTCTCTGTCAATTCGACCAACTCTCCCGTGTACTCGTTCCCCTCAGGATCCTTTGCCCACCAGACCAACTCTGCCTTGATGGCTCTGAAAATCCTCAGTCCTGCGACTCCTCTTCCCTCCTTGAAATGTGCGTAGAAATGGCGTGTTTGAACGCAGATGTGGCCGCAGAGCTCGCACCTAAAACCCCAGGCATTGCTGACTCCAGGGACATCTGAGGCTTTCTCCAGGCCTGGTGGAAAGACACTTCTATCGTCATCTTCCCCCTCTTCGTCGTCGTCTTCGTCTTCCGAGGCGGCGGTGGAAGACGAATCGTCGATCTCCGAACGAGGTCCAGTCATGGACTCGAAATCCGCCCTCGCACTGTCGATGATCCCCTGGTCGAAGACAAGCTTTTTGTTGCCGTTGGCGTGTTGGTGTAGCTCAATCAGAGCCTTCTTCTCTGGCAAGGTCTGCGTACCCAGCAGGTACAGCCCAATGATGTGCTGAATCCCTCTCGTGTGGTCTTCGAGCTCGTCTTTTGGGATCCGCTCGATTGCGGATCTTGCAAGGAAAATAAACGCTGTCCCCATGGCGGAATCCATCTTGGTTGTGAGGAGATGGGGGATTATTTGTACAAGATTGTGTACGAGAGAGAGTTCTCAAGAGTGAGAACGAATAAATATATCTGGAGAGTGTTAGTGAATGTCATTGCCCAATATTCACTGCCTTGCAGCAATGACTCCGAGCACAACAATGGCAGCGATGGTGACAAGCAATTCTTGGCGCGGCCGGTCAGGGAGGGATCCCAGGTGAACTTACATATATGTGTTCCGGTGCCACTAGGGTCTTGGTTTCAGACCCTATAAACCCCAGGGTTGACACTGGACTAAACCTGCGTCAACTCCCCGGGGGAGATCCCACCCAAAATAACCTTGTCGAATGGCTTGCGCAGTGTCTGGCCCTGACATCATGTCTGTCGAGTACAGGTCCGGTATCGAGATGTGGTCAGGGTAGCCTATGTGGCTGAGGAGCACTTGATGAATATAAGCATTCTGTGCTTGTTGGGGCGTCAATGCGAACCAAAATAACACAAGGCACTCGAAGAAAGTAATCATGGTATTCGACAATGTTCCAGTCTGGCTAAAAGCTGCGGGGAGGGGTATCGAGGGCAAGTCGGCTGATGAATTGGCCTTGATCAAAATTATCATGATGTTCAAGATGCATGGATGTTGAGGATCGAGATGGCCCTAACCAAACGCACGGAATATCTTATGAATGGCTCTTTTGAACCGTTTTATCGCGGCCTGGCTCGTGGTAAGCTTCAACAAGTGTATGAACCGTACTTGTCTCTTCGGCAGTCCACACGCCAACGGAGATTGCGGTTGTCAGTTGCATCGCAGTGCCGGTGAGGGCAGAGTTTATGCGTGTGTTGTGATGCTTTCTGCGGCGGAATTTCCGTGGCCCACGCCGACCAGGGGCCGAGTCCTGTTGGAAGATGTGAACCAAGTCAGCCAAACAAGATCCTCTTCCAAGACAAGAGCAAAGCTACCAGAGCCAGAAGGACGTACCTGCCTTGATGACATGTCGATGATTAGCAGCAGAAGCTTGAAGGCTTGGTTGATGCTGTGGGAGGAGAGAGGATGATGGGGTTTGGAACGAGGTGAGGTGGAAGGTTTGAAAGAAGATGTCCAGCGGATCTAAGAAGTGCTTCGTGGGCCAAAAGAGTCGCCAAGTCATCGACGACTGCCTTGAGCGACGACATCATCGCGTCAGTATCGTCCAGAGTGATAGCCATCATATCGTAGCTACCCCTCGTCCGCGAGGGGATGGCCGGAAAGGACACCAGGTGGCAGGATTCAGGAGCTACCAAACGCGAGCAGGGCCGGAGCTGCAAAGGCCGTGACTGGTCATCTCCTCCCTGACATGCATGATATGATGTACACCGGGCGAAGTGGAAATGTCTCTGGAACGTCAGAATCAAGTAGGCGGAAGCACTGCCCAAGCTTGCTTCTACCAAGGGACGAGGCTGAGATAATTACGGACATGTCACGGTAGGCTGTATGGCATTCAATAAAGAAGCATTCGTAGCAGTGTGAACTTCATGTGTAAAACCCCGTTCCAATTATGTTTGTTCGCAACCTGTGCATCAAAAGTGTGCACAACGCACCTCTCCCTAAGCCTGAGCAGTTTAGACCCAATAAAGGGGTACTATCAGGTTTGCCTGCGGCCGTCACAAGCAGACAGGGCCATGATCGATCGTGTCTTACACATCTGTTCTCTTTGGACATGAGGCCAGGACTGGTGGGACCATGTGGATTGACGATGGACGTTGAAATAGAAAGGCATGTCACGTGCGCCGCGCCGAGCCTCATCGGCCTTGCCATCCGTCGAGAAGGTGGTTTTGAGTCTGGATCAAGTGCAGGGCTTTCATCAGCCAGTCCACGATCTGATTTCTTCGGGAGGGGGGGCCGGCCTATCGACTCAAGTCTGCAATGATGCATTTCATTCAATGGGTATCCAGCCTACCTAGGCAGCACATGCCATTCTGGTTTTACAAGTTAATTCTCTGGTTCCGTTTCAAGCTCCACACCATAGAAATATGCCCCTCCCGTTTTATATATGCAATCCGAGACTCCACGCTGTAAGAAACAACCTTGGCTCATTCAGAAAACCCATCGATAGCTGGCATAGCGACCGGCCGTCTCACTCTTGCGAATGATCTTGACCACATTTCCTCTCTTGAGCCCCAGGTACCTGGCCACCGGATCACCGAACTGGATGCGCGGGAGCTGAGTCTCTTTTAATCGGTATCTGTCAAGCAAGACCTTCTTCTCTTCCGCGCTGAGCAAGACATGCTTGGGAACAAGCTCGTGCCGCGTGATGTTGATCAGAAGGTCCTGTTCTTGGAAATGCTCGGCGGTGATTTCTCGCTCGGCCAGCGGCTCAAACGCGCGCAGAGCAGCGGCTGTGACAGGGCCTATGGTGATGAAGATTCCAGTGGTCATCTTGTTGGCGTCGAGATGTTGGGCAAATGCCCGCAGGTGCTTGATGCCGATTGTGGTCTCGGGGCTGAATTCCACCCAGATTGTGCCTGCGGTGGTTTGTGGATTGGGTTTGACTTTTGTCGGTCGAGGCGTATCGCGTTTGATCATTTCTTCAGTCGGGTAGGCTTGTAGTTTCATGAGCCGTCGCCTGAAGGAGGGTGTTAGATAGTCTGATGGTTGAGGGTGGGAATTGCGTCGAAGGTACTCACTCTGCATGGCCGGTCTGGGGATCGCCGAACTTGCGTTGAAAGTCATCTCGAGAGATGGTCATTTCACTGTCGGAGATGGCGTAGCCCTGGAGGAGTGTCTGTCAGTCTTCCTTGTTCTCGAGCCATGGTTCGAAGAGACTTACTCGATCCACCAGCATCTCCAGCACGGTTCGCCATGTTCTCCAGAGCCGCGTCACTTCTCGTTCTGCCTCTGCGGACAACTTTGGCCGATCGTCGAGATCCATGTTGATAGCACAAAGAAACAGAGGATGGTTGGTATGGTCTGCCTGGGTTGACTGGGTTGGCGGTTGGCATTCGACGGTGGGCTGGAATTTGGGCCAAACTTTGAAAGAATCTCCATGCGCAGCGAAAAGTTTGGCTTGGCGGCGGGCAGAATAAATGGGGTCCGTCTGACACAGCTTTGGTCCAGGAAGAGCTACTGTGAATGTCTGTCAGACATGCACGAAGGTCATCCCTCGTGCGATTGAATAATTTCTCCACACTGCAACTCGAACTGCAACTCGAACTGCAGCTGGAATCGAATATCTTCCACCCATTCAACTTTCACTTTCACCGACATCCAAACCAGCAAAGACCCAGCCGTCTATCACGGGGTCCTGATCTGGTCGTTCTGTTCATCTTCTGCCCTTTGTCACCGCCCTCTGCTGTCCATTCGTCTGTATCATCATGTGCTCTTAGGATGGATCATTCCATTTAAGATATCACCACATACTTCGTCTATTGCTACCCGATCTGTCCTCTGGTAATTCCAACTCGGTTCCTTGCTATCTCCTCCAACAACCATGGCCGACACCGCTGCTCCTTCTGCGACCGACGCCGCTCAAAAGGGTCGACCTGAAAAGCCTGACGAGGCCAAATTCAAAGCCGATCTAGCCAAAGCCGAGAAAGAACACGAGGCTGCCCAGGCTCGCTTCAATGCTAGCCGCACCAAACTCGACAGTGCTCGCCCTGGAAAGTCCACGCCTGCAAATGATCGATTCAAGGCCTTGGTTGATGACCAAAAGGCCATTCGCCTCCAGCAACAGGAAAACAAGAATGCGAAAAAGGAGCAGCAGGATAAATTCACCAAGAATGACAATGAGATCAAAAAACTCATTGCCGAGCAAAAGGAAACTCGTTCCCGTCTCAACTTCCGAAATGTCGATGAGCTGGAGGCGAAGGTCGCAAGCATCGACCGCCAAATCGAGTCTGGTTCGCTGAAAGTCGTCGACGAGAAGAAGGCTTTGGCTGAGATCCGAGAAATCAGAAAGCAGAAGCCAAAGTTCGCCGAGGTCGAGCAACTACAGAAGGACATTGACGCAAAGAAGGCTGAAAATGCCGAGCTCAAAAAGACTTTCGACAACCCCGAATCCCGCGCTTTGGCCCAGAAGTACGAAGACAATCAGAAGGAATTGGATGACATCAAAGCGGCTCGCGAAGATACCAACAAGAATTATGACACTTTGAAGGCCGAACGCGAGAAGCTCTATCAAGAGCAGCAAGTCACCTACGCCAATATCCGAAAGGTCAAGGACGACTACTACACTGCAAAGAAGGCCTACAAGGAACACGAGGATCAAATCTACCAGCAACGTCGTGAACGTCAAAAGGCTGAGCGCGATGCCTATGAGAAGGAGAAGCGTCGCCGCGTTGCTGACCAGAAATTGGAAGAGGCCAGTGAGCCGGCTTTCCTCGAGCAAATCCGTACTGCTGAAGGTCTCATCCGCTACTTCGACCCTTCTTACAGCACCGGTGAAGACGACAAAGGACCAGGTGAATTTGCCGCAAGCGCCCAACGTACCATCGATGACTCCGGCTTCAAGGGCATGAAGGTTGTCAAGAAGGAAGATGAGGATTTCTTCGTCGGCAGTGGAGGCAAGAAAAAGGGCGCCAAGGGCAAGAAGACCGGTGCTTCTTCGGCCGAGGCTGGTAAATTCAACTTGAACATTGGTATCATCGAAGAATTGGCCCGTGTAGGAGTGGATCCTCCCAGCACTCAAGCCGATGCTCCAAGTGTTGTGGAGAAACTGAAGGCCAAGGTCGAGACGTGGAAGAAGGACCAAGACAGCCAGACTCAGAAGGTAAGAGTATTGCCGTCATGGTATCAGGACGAATCACTAATCGCGAACCAGAACATCGAGAAAGCCAAGAAGGAAATCGAGAAACTGGAGAAAGAGGCTGACGATGCTGCTGCTGCTGCTGCTGCTGCTCCCAGCACCTCTGGCCGCCGCACTCACCAAGCCAAGAAGCCCGCCTTGAAGGAAACCGCCCTCAACGGTGGCCCAACCGCAGATGCTGAAGAAGCGGCCGAGAAAGGCGGCCTTGCCGATGCCACCAAAGACCTAAAGGAAGCCAGCCTCGAAGATAAAGAGAACGGGGCCGTTGCAACTGCCTGAACATGACTGACACAGCAATCTACGAAACCCTAAAGCTCTGGGTGAGCATTCTGGCTTTGGGTGGACCGAGCCTACTGTTTCTCTGGGGGTGTACCTGGGTTGTCAGCCACCTCGACGTTGACATTCAAGTTCGGGAGATCGAGGATGACGATGACGCCGCTGCCGATGGGTGAGCGGTGAGGTGTTGCAGACCGGTTTCATGGGAGGGAAAGATGTGCCTAGGTCTCTGGCCAGGCCGTGCTTATCCTGAATATGCCAACATTGAGCGTTAGCCGACGATCAGTAATTGCCTCTGATTGTCCTCCATTATTAGAGACAAAATTCTACTTATTTCTGTGACCATCCTGTTCGTTTCACTCAGTCATGTTTTCAACGGCACCATTCACCGAAGGCTCTGAGAAAGCAACCTTTCTCCTTTTTCGATGGTGGCTTTAACACCATCTATGCAGGACAACGAATTGTAATACTCAGTTGCCCATTGCCGTCCTGCCGGCCACCCTGTGTATGTGCATACGTATCAGTGTCTCTTTGCGGAGAATCACCGAGTCCGGAATATATTTATTCCACCAGATGGACATCACGTCTCCCAGGCCTTGATCCCTTTTCTCTGAGTTGGTTATCTACCTCGGGTACTGCTCTGCTTCAGCGCGAAGACATCCATTGAAGTCAATCATCAGCATTAGCGCCCGCTTATTGAACAATAGATCACTCTCGACAACCCTGCCAGCTTCGCCGAAGCATCCCCCGCGACTGAAGCGTATTTATCAACCAAAGGTACCCCGCTCAGCTTCCACATTACGATCTGGTAGCGACAGCACCGACGTCCGAAGATATGTCAGCATCAGCATTCAGACCGGGTGCACTCGCGCTCATCAGCGGCTCTGCATCAGGCGTAGGATACGCCTTTGCAGCCCATTGTCGGCGACAAGGCATGAACCTGGCTCTCTTGGACATAAACAAGGAAACCCTGTCAAAAGCCCGATCCGCACTGGAATCAATCGACTCGCAAGGCAAAGTGCAAACCTACCCCCTAGATGTCTCCGACCACTCTGCATGGCTGTCCGTTCGCGAGTCCCTCTCCACAGACTTCCCATCCAACAAGGGCATCGACTTCCTGCTCCTCAACGCCGGCACGTCCGTGAAGCCCACAACCGCCCAACCCTGGGAAGACATCGCCTATTTCCAGAAAACGCTGAACACCAACCTGTTCGGCGTGATCAACGGCCTCAGTGTCCTCATTCCTCTGGTCCAGAAATCCACCGGCCCGTCTGCAGTCGTCCTAACAGGCAGCAAACAAGGCATCACCAACCCGCCTGGCAATCCGGCGTACAACGCTAGCAAAGCCTCCGTGAGGTCGCTTGCCGAGCAGCTGAGCCATAGTCTCCGTACACAGGGCAACCCCAGCTACGCGCCGCATGTGACAGCGCACTTGCTCGTCCCCGGTTGGACGTTCACGGGCCTCAGCGGGAATGCGGGCCCGGTGAGCGACGAGGTTGCGCGCGAGAAGAAGCCCAGTGGTGCGTGGCTTGGGTCCCAAGTGGCTGAGTATGGTGTTAGGAAGATTGAGGAGGGCAAGTTTTATGTGATTGTTCCCGACGAGGATGTCGATGAGGCGCTTGACCAGGCCAGGGTTACCTGGGCGGCCGCGGATATTACGGAGGGCAGGAGTGCGTTGAGTCGCTGGGATGAGACGTGGAAGGAGAAGGCTGCCGGCTGGATTAAGGATGATGCGGAGAAGAGGAGGAAGTAGGGACAGGCGAGACGATGGGAAACATGTCCTTTTGTATCGCGCTGTGAATGATAGCTGCTTAGGAGAAAAGTCCCATCTTTATATGAATTTACCATTATATTATATGCTCAATCCTCAAGCCCACTAAGCAGTAGGAAAGACGCCTGTGTGCCCAAAAACGATCACTTACCGTAGCTATCTCAAGATCTCCCGAAGCTTCGTCTCCGGTGGATCCCACACCACATCCTTAATACCAACCCTCTGCCTTGCCGGAATCTTCAATCCTAGATGTCCCGGGCAACCCACCCACTCTTCATTCTTGATGAGGAGGATATCACCTTTCCTGCCTTCCCAGAGCAGGTCTTGACTCTGCGCCTCCTCGCCACCACTGATATCACGACCACTCAAGTCTAGTCCAATTGCCCGCCGCGCCCTGGTACTGACACACTCCAGCAGAATCCTAGCGTCAGCCTCCGTGCTGGCCTGGTACACACCGACCCCCAACGATGCAAGGGCAAGCGGATCTCCCGATCCCCACGGCGTGAATGCATTGCCGACATTATTCACGCTCAGACATGCATCGAGTCCGGAATCGCGTATCATGCTGGGTATCTGCAATGTTCCCCTTGGGCGATGTGCCGTCCTCAAACCCCCTTCATCCCCATCATTGCCACCAGCACTATTCGGCCGACCCATCATAAATAGGTCGCTCGTAGGCAAGCCCACAAAGTGTACAGGCAACTTCGAGTCCCGAATCTGGGCTGCCAACGTCTTCATCTGTTTGTTGCTAAGCATCGTCAGCCGTGAACAGTGTCCCAGCACTATGGTCTTTCCGCGCTTCGCTCGCGCGTTCCAGTCCGCCTCTTTCAGCAATCTAATCACTTCCCAGACCATCGGCCCCGACTCATCGCCTTCATTCAAACTGTAGTCTAAATGGAAATCAAGGTGCAAGTCATGCTTCAACGCGACCTGAATCGCCCAAGAGATATTCTGCAGGCTCGCCTCGACACTCGCCTCCACATACGGCGTCGTCCCCAGCGCTGCGATCATCCCCGCGTATTTCTGCAACGTATCCTCCAGAATCTGCCGATTCTCGCCTCCATGCTCCGAGCTGAAAACCGGATCTTGTGCAAATGCGCAGATCTGGACGTCGACTTTATCCTTGAAGGCCCTCTCGAGCTCAAAAGCGGCGTCGAGACATTGCGTGCCGGTTACATGGTCGAGCTCGACGAATGCCCGGCACGACGTCACGCCTTGAATCAGCGATGTCGCGAGCAGCTGCGAACCCCGCAAGTAAAGATCCTGCGGCGTGTACCGCGCTTTCGCCTGCCCGGTGAATGATAATGCTTCGCCGAATGTGCCGGTCTGGGGCGTCAAGTCGGAGTAGTCGGGATAGTGACTTGGGTGAGAGTCTTCCTGTGACTGGGGCTGGGATGGGTGGTGTTGACAGTTGCAGGTCAAGAGATAAGGCTTGTCAAGGTGGATATGTGGGTGGCACAGTGCTGGTAGAAGGATGGATGCCGGCTGCGGTGACGAAGCTGCCTCTCCAGCTGGTACCATGGAAATGATGGTGTTGTCGTCGAAGACAATGTCCCATCGAGATTTTGGATCTCGGTCAGGGAGAATTATATTATACAGTTTCATGTCGGCTGAAGCTAGAGAATGATCCACACTGGGTCCTGGTAGGTAAGTCAATTTTCTGCGGCGGCGAAGGACTAGCCGTCCTCAGGGTGTAAAGGCTAGGGAAGTACTAGTATCGATCCGCCAAGGAGTTATTGATCAATATGCTTGTATCACTCATGAGGCTCTGCGTGTCGCTCCGGGGAGATCGTCGCCGTCTAAACTTTAGGCCCTTAGTAGTCTGACATCACGATGTCGACGTTATCTTCACGCTTGGATTTTTGGAATGGGACAGGCGAAGAATGTCCTTTCACGAACATGTAATTAACTAGGAGGAAAAAAAACTTATACAAGGCTTTTAGATCATTGTCGTTGATATCTCGCCTTGAGGAACAGTTGCATGAAGTCGTACGAAGTCTGAGTGGTTCAGTATGACGGTGCGAGGACGGCTCGAGGACGGCTACGTGTGGATTCAGTCACGTGCTGACATACACAAGGCTGAATTCATGGAAGGCCAGCCTCGTCGCGGAGTCGTACCGCTGGTGCTTCTGCTGTGCCCTCTCACTACAGCCACTCTATCTCCCCAAAATTTGAGAACGAGCCGTCCAATGAACGTATAGGAGCTAAGTGCAAGTTCTGCCAACTTGGTGAGAAGTGATGCAGACATTACTTGGGCCATGTTGCGTGGTCGGTCTCCGTACTGAGCAATAGGTCGATCACGAATGGCAACCAAACAATGTTGGTCTCAAGGTCAATTTCCGATATGCCTATATCTCAACATAGATACATCCCGAAGTAGAATTCCATCGGGATAGTAGCTCGCCCTTCCCAAACCTTCTGCATAACGATAATTACGATCCAGACCGGGGCTCAGGGGTAGCTCCAGTCGTCCCACCTACGAAAGCCACTCAAACTTTTCTCCGAGATACTTATTTGCCCTCACATCACCAGATCTTGCGTGACCTTCAAAGAGTTCTGCTCTCGCAGCTCGCCCGCATAGCTTACCTAAATCTCCACTTTCTTTCTCCGACGTGACCTCTTGATAGGTTACAGTCTTGAGATACTTACCCACCCAGAGGCCGCCCGTGAACCGTGCAGCACCCTTGGTTGGAAGGACATGGTTGGTTCCGATACACTAGAGAAGCGGTTAGTGGATGATGGCGCCTGAGGCGTCTTGAGACCACCACTTACCTTATCGCCATAGCTTACGCACGTCTTCTCTCCTAGGAACAGCGCACCATAGTTCTTCATCGCGGTTAATGCTTTCCTTGGAGCCTCTGTAAGTATTTGCACATGCTCGCTCGCGTACGTGTCCGCAACAGCGTATGCTTCGTCCAAAGTATCAGTAACAATAACCTCTCCATACGTGTTCCAGCTCACACCGGCTAAGTCTCTCGTTGGAAGAATCGCCAGTTGTCTGTTGACTTCTTTTATTGTCTCTTCGCCGAGTTTCTTCGAATTCGTCACCAAAACTGCAGGAGTATCTGGGCCGTGTTCGGCTTGACTCAATAAATCTGTTGCTACTGTAGTAGGATCTGCGTTCTCATCAGCGACGATCAGAACTTCAGTCGGTCCTGCGGGTAAATCGATCCCAATTTCGCCAAAGAGTTGGCGCTTAGCTTCGGCGACGAATGAATTGCCAGGACCTGCGATAAAGTCCACCTTTCCAATTGTTTCTGTCCCTAGAGCCATGGCCGCAATAGCCTGAGTGCCACCGAGGATATGGATTTCGTCAGCACCAGCAAGATGCGCCGCAGCAACAGTCGCTGCAGGGATTTCGCCACGAATGGGTGGAGTACAAGCAATCACGCGTTCAACACCGGCAGCCTTTGCAGTCACAATGGTCATGTGCGCAGACGCCAGAAGCGGATAACGGCCGCCAGGAATATATGCTCCCACGGATGCGATGGGAATGTTCTTTTGACCTAGGTGCACACCAGGTCGGATCTCCATCTCGAAGTCTTGTAAAGACTCGCGCTGTGCAGCTGCAAAAGTACGCACACTATGTTGCACTGTTTTTATATCATCGATCGTCTGTTGTGGTACTCCTGCAATGATGGATTTGATATCTTGGTTAGAGAGCTTAAATGCCTGAGGCGTCCATTTGTCGAACTTGTCTGAATACCCTCGGACAGCGGTGTCACCTTTCGAACGGACATCGCTGATCACTGAGCGGACGATGGCAGGAACGTCCAATTCACTGGAGGTAGTGTTGATCTGTGCCTGAGATTTAGTTTTCAAATGAATCGGAGCCATGGTGACACTGTGGTGCAGATCCTTGGACGTAATTACGCAAACCAAGAAGGGTGAAAAAGGTCGTTCTCGAAATCCAACTACAAGGGGGCAGATGTATACAACTATCTCAATGGTTATGTTGTACCTGCTTCGTCATGATTGGCGCAGCGTCTGAACCTGTTAGTAAATCCACCTTAGCAGAGAACCCAAAGACGTGTTTTGAACGGCATTCACTCCAGGTGCTCTGGTCCTGGAGCTGGTCATGCAGCAAGCTCTCCGACGTTCGCGTGGCTTACCTCATCTCATGGTCCATTCTTAACACTATCAGAGACGAGGTGCATGTATCACCGTCATGGGCCGGTGCCGTAAGGTTGACGGAGCAGATTCGTTATGAAGTCGGGGCTATCGGGGAGCCTCGGTGTATTGTACCGGTGCCAAATTTAAGCAACCAGTTACACACGGTCGTTCAACATGGCAAGGTAGGGTATCCCGAGATCTTCACCCTCTCTCTCTGACACATCTCCGAGCACGTGCAAAAGAAAGACGAAGTTCGAACACTGAAGCACTATTTTGCACTAGGCTGTCCCTTGTACATAGCGTGCATCAAATTCAACTGGTGCCTGGAAGGCCTTCTCTCCGTTGCGGAGTGCCAATAAGAAGATCGTCCGAATCACCTTTCACAACAAACAGGGCATCTTAGCACCCGATATTTGGGAGTGAGAAGTAGCTTTACTTTATTGATCTGCTCGTGTGCTAAACCTGGGCGATGTTGCCCGGAATGTTTTCCCAGTGACTGGACATGCTGAAGTAGCTCGTCTCTTCCTCCTGACCGCACGCTTCTCATCACGACTTGCTTCCAGCCATGGCTGCTGTCAAAGTTAGCCTCATTACGGCATCCTCTGCAGGCCTGGGCGCTGCCATTGCAAAGCGCCTTGCTGCGGCCAATTATAATGTTGCCATAAACTATCACTCTTCGCCTTCCAAAGCGGAGGCTGTCCTCGAAGAAATGGAGGACTCCATAGGTCATAGCTCCACCAATCCATCTGGACGTTTTCTTGCTGTGCAAGCAGATATCAGCAGTGTGACTGAGATCCGTCGGCTTGTGGATGAGGTGGTCTCTCGATTTGGACGCTTGGATGTTGTTGTCTCAAATGGCGGTTGGACACGCATCACCAACTTCACAAACCTGGATGACAACATCGACGAGGCAGACTGGGATCGATGTTGGAATATGAATGTAAAGAGCCATCTGATCCTGTTGCATGCTGCAACAAAGCATCTGGGTGAGCAAGATGGCGCTTTTGTGACTATTGCTAGCGTAGCAGGTGTCAAGCCGAGTGGGAGCTCTGTGGTGCGTGTTTCTCAATGATTGAATTTGTGCCTGCCAGTTCCGTATGAACTGATGAGAACATACAGCCATATGCAGTTACCAAAGCAGCGCAGATTTATCTGGTCAAGTGCCTGGCGGGCATTGTAAGCCCAAGGGTACGAGTGAACTCGATCTCGCCTGGAATCTTGATGACGGTGAGACATCTGACCCTCGATTCTGGTGCTTTCAACTACCATAGGACATCATTGACTGGGAAAGGACTGGGGCCGCCAATTTTCTGCTGAGCGGTTGCAAATTGCCCAACAGAAATCCAGCTTGAAGAGATTCGCCACCGTAGAGGCATGTATTCATTGTGTCCAGATTTGACTTGCAGGGTTTCCATATTCTGACCTTCTCAATACACAGGATGTCGCTCAACAGGTGCAAGCAGTAGCTGAAAACAAGTCTATGACAGGTATAAACTCAGTTTTGGATGCTGGGTTCTTGCTCGGGTGACGAATCTGAGGAAGTATAACGTCGGGAGATAATATTTCAAGAACACTCATCCATCACTGCAACTTTGAGGCAACCCAAATATGAATTTCATAATAGCTACACCTGCAGAAAGTGTTAAACTTCCTGCCGTCTCAGTTATTCCGATTTGGTATTGTGCCCATCCTTGTTCTTGAAATGCGGACAATGGATGACGTAGGCGCATGTGTATGAGCGCCATGCTCTAAGGCGGTACAAGGACAAAGGTAAGTAAGACTCAAGTATAGATATGGCTATTTTTTTTGAGTCGTCCTTCGATATAGAGGATTGGATGACTGAGTTCCCGATCGACGCCGATCTTAGATCATGCGACCATTATCTACCAAGGAATCTCTTCACGAGTATCAACATCAAAGAATCTTCCCGAGCTATTCTCACGTGTCGCTGAACCGATCAAATTTATGATATTTTTGGCACTCTCTTCACTGGAAGTTTCGGGTAAGGCAATGCCCGCACTAGTAGCTGCTGCGATTCCCATGTCTGTCGAAACAAATCTGCAAGGTAGACTTCTCAGCGAATTTCTTTGACTCTTCGATCTGTTCACTGTCTCAGAAATGACTTACCCGGGATGGACCGCAAAAGCGGTGAGTGGTTGGTTTCCAATATGGAGAGCTCTGTAAATCGCATTAGAGGTAGCATGCGAGTGTACCAACTTGAGCCAGACCTACTGTGTGAACCAATTTTGTGCGGCCTTTGACATACAATAGGCAGCAGCGTACGGGTACCAAGGAAGTGGAGCTGCGACAGACCCTCCTCGACTCGAAATCGAAATCCACTTCGGGTCGCTCGATTTGGCGAGCAGCTTGTGAACTGCCTGGAACAGTGCAAGACCGGATACCACGTTGACATCAAAACTTGCGTTGAAAAATTTGAGGTCAACAGCTTCTAGAGGACCGCCGCCGATCGAAACGGCCGAATTGGCAATGACGATGTCAATATAGTCAATACCGGCAGCTTCAACTTCTTCGATGGCGTTCTTGGGATCCGAGAGATTTGTGTTTTCGATGCCAACCAACAGTAAACGTGAGCCGCTCGCTGCAGGCAAGCTACGCAGTTGTTCCGCCTGCGGGCCTTTAAGGTCGCGAAGAGTTCCAACAACAACGTGGTCAGGGAATGAGAGATATGTGGTTGCTAGAGCCTTGCCGATGCCTAGATTTGAGTGCTGTTAGAACTATCAGAACAGCAGATAGGGATTAGACTGATCTCACGACCAACTTACAACTTACCTCTGCCAGCGCCAGTAATGAGGACCACTGTTGGTGGAGCCATGGTGTCACCTCGCTTGCTTGCTGCTTCCGCAATCTTCGATACAGTGGTGGCTGCCCCTTCCAAAGGATGAGGAAGCGAGCTTTAATAACATGTTTTCAAGGAGTTGTCTGATTTCAAATCAGATTATCCGTAATCCTTCTAGACGGGTTCCAGGCGAAGTGATTATGACAAATCTGAGCTATCCTTATGCCTACAATGCCATCTATCAATGCATAAGATCGCAATTCTTAGCAAGGCAGCCAGCTCGGTATCAAATTCGGCTGTAGAGTCGACTTATTACGAAAACTTAGCAGGAATGGTTTGGTTCACCCCAGGGCGAGTCTTAGTACAAGAAAAGACTATACTATAAAAGAAGGTCACCTGCATTAACGAAGCTGAAAGACTTGTGGGGGCCTGGAATCCGAGAATCATTCGGAGTTACTGTACCGGGACAAGGTCCTCTTGGCATTTAATATCTAGTAGCGTTGAAGATGTAAGGTTTCGCGAAGGGTTGCGGCTTGAGAGTCGACCATTGGACAACAGGGTCGGAGGTCCAACTAGGCGGGAATAGAACCGAGGTTTGCTCCATATTCTGACAAAGCCTAACATCAATGGCATCGAGAATGGAACCGACCAAGTGCATCTCATTACCTGCGCATGGCTAATGAGTTCGGGCACGAATATCAGCAGCAGCAAGGCTAGTAGTATCAGCTTAGTGGTCGACGGTAGGACAGAGCAGGAGTGTGTAGAGGAGTTCCGAATAAGCCTTTCAGCTGTGGTGGCTAGGCTTGTGTATCATGACTGAATAAATTTGGTATCAGCTTTCGACCTTGGCCGCTGGTTGTGGGCGGTCGGTATGCAAATGACTCTACGTGAGACATGAAATGATCCCCATCTGCCAAGGTTCCGCTCCATTCGCCTATTGTGCTCGTAAGGTCAAGTGTAATGTCTAAAGCCTCACCCATCCTCGCCCTGCTTGAGAATCTGCCACGCCATCCTAGCATACTCAATTGATCTCTCGTTACCAATAATGCCTGTGCCCATCTTGTTCATGACATACGTAAAGGTGACGCCACGGTACAAGTCACAGATAGCAAAGCTACCACCCCATCCAGCCCAGAAACACATCTTTTCTTGTGGCAAGTAATTGAAAGTCTGAGCTGACGGTCCACCGCCGATAGCAAAACCTATTCCGAGCCGTAATGGTATGCTCAAGACCAAGTCTGTTGACTCAGATTGCGTTCGGAAGATTTGCTGAACGGTCTCAGGTGACAACAGCTTCGCATCATCATGGGATGTCCCGGATAGCGTCACTGCACGTAATATCTGGTTGAGGCCCTTGGCTGTCCCGTGGCCATTAACCGCAGACATGTCTGCCTTCCGCCATAGGGGCGTCCGTGAGAAGGTCGCGCTTGTTCTAGGGTTGAAGAGGCTTTTGTACACTATGCCAGTCTGGTCAAGCTTGTTGACATCCCAGGATGGAGGAGGTGGCGGGACGACTGGTGTGATTCGAGGCCAGTCTTCCTCCCTTGCTCCGATCTGGAAGTCTGCTTTCAAGGGCCCGGCGAGTTCCTCCGCAACAAATTGCTTCATAGGCTTGCCAGTCGCCCGTCGGATGATCTCGCCTAAGAGATGACCCTGTGTAGTGGCATGGTAGCCACTGCCAGTGCCTGCCTCCCACCATGGTGCTTGTTTTGCCAGTCTGGCAGTGGAATAGGGCACATCACATACCTCCTCCATTGTTATGGGACCTTCCCAACCTGAAACCCCTGAGTTGTGGGACATGACATGTCGAATAAGGATCTTTTCCTTCCCGTTTTCGGCAAATTCTGGCCACAGTTTAGCAACAGGGTCATCAACGCTCAGCAGACCACGCTCATGGGCCACGAGGATGGCAATTGCAGCAACAGTCTTAGTTGAGGAGTACACGTTCGTGATCGTATCTGCGGCCCATGATGTGGTTTTGGCCTGGTCGGTATAGCCTGCCCAGACGTTGACAACATCTTCACCGCTGATGTTAATATTTATGGCCCCGCCAAGCTCCTCGCCCTCTGAGAGTTTATCTTGGAAAAGATCTACGAGCTTTTGAAATGCCGGACCATAGGTACCCTGAATTTCAGCCATAATGATTGCCAATCCACGAGGAGTTGCAAAGCAGTTGGCATTCCAAGCTGCAGCCCATCACACGAGCATGGGCCCTGGCCTCTTACATACTTATCGACCTCGTGCGGGCTGCAGAGCATTGGTGCGTACTGATTCTCGTCCGTGACCATTCAAACTTACTTCAAATAGGTATATCTCGTTCAGAGTGGGGAGCTATTCTAGCCGTCCCGAGCAGTCGAAAACTGGGCGCGAATATCGGAGAACGCGGATTGTCAGAGCTGGTCACGAGTCGCAACTGGAATACTGTGATGCAGTTGTCCCCCACCCCATCGCGATGTTGTGATCCCGCGCAGAACTCAGTTAGCGAGTGGGGTTCCGAATTACTCCATTTCGTGCTGTGGCGGCTCGGACTTACCATCTTCAATGTCAATGCGAGGCCAGGAGACAGCTTCAGATCTTGGAAGACCTTAGCTTGCTCCTCACGTATTCAATTCAACTGATATGGCGAGAAAGCGACACACCACAGCCTGTAATCTCTGTCGGAGTCGCAAAGTCCGTTGCGATGCGGTCCACGTTGGTGTGCCCTGCTCCAATTGCTCGAAGCAGAAGTCGAAGTGTGTCGTGTCGCCAGCTCACTCAACCGCACATCAACTACAGCATGCCATACCCTTGGACAGGACACACAAGTTCAGAGTCAAGGCTCACCGGAACCATGTGGGCCAAGACAGCATCGACACATCAAGGCCTTCATCCAGTCCGCTGCCCGACGCAATAGCCGAGGAGCATGACTACGGCGCTGTCAACATTGAAGCCAACGTTAGTGATCCGGGGCAACTGCATCTACCAGCCTATATCACGCCCTTATCCACGACCATCAATTCGGACAATCTGCAAGTGCTTGTGCAAAGAGATGCACTGGTATTCCCTCCACCGGATATCATTAACGAACTAATTCGATCATTTCTATGTTATGTTTACCCACTACTGCCGATCCTACGTCTAGATGACTTTCTAGCAGCTAGAGAACAAGAATCTGGAAAAACCATCAGCTCACTCTTATTCCAAGCTGTTTTGTTGGCCGGGGCAGTGTTCACCGACTTTTCCCAGTCGCAACATCCGAGCTTTCAACGAAGTAAGGATGCTCAGAAATTGCTTTTTGGTCGAGCGAAATTATTGTACGATATGGAAGTAGAGCCTAACCAGGTTACTGTGATCCAAAGTCTGCTCTTAATGACTTACTGGCATTCTCAGCTTAACGATATTCAGGGACGTGTCCACTGGCTCAGAATTGCTCTATCCCTGGCGACAGAAATTGGCCTGCACAACTCTGATTTACAGCATGAAGAGCTCGAGGAGAATAATTTCCGCCGCCGACTGTGGAGTTGTTGCATCATCAGAAGTGCTTTGCTATCCATTGGAGAGCGGCGACAAATTATGTTACCATGCTCAGTATCGGGCCCACCCATCTTGTCTTCTGAGCACTGGAACACCACTTCTCTTTTACGTGCTCTCGATTCCTATCCGGTAAGCGAGACAAGAGAACAAGTGGAGATGTTGGGCTGTATGCTCATCCAAGAAGTAGAATTGTGTCGAATAATTCTGCACATTCTGGATGCTCTGTACGAATTGAGCGGGCTCCGAAGGGATACATCTAGCAATTCAATCCTGGTGCTGATCCCTAAGACCAAAGCTACCGGCTCTTTAGTTATTGCACTGGACGAAAAGCTAAGGGAGTGGCATGAAAATGCGTCGCAACTTGGCCTATTTGACCGGCAGCAAGGTCACCACGGTTCGATTGTTCCGGTTCATTCTGCGATGCTCGAGATGCTGTATCTTACAGCATTGTCTGCTGTACACCGCCCACTTATGCTGCAACAGCGGCAATGGGAAACCGCTACGGAAGCAATGCGTGTGTTCTCGTCTGCTACCTTGCGCTCTTCTGCATGCCGAATTACAGAGATAGGCAGAGATCTCGAGGCCGACAAGCGGATCTCTTACCTTCCTCCTGTAGCTACAGCCATGTTAATTGCAGCAACTATTCAACATCTCAAGGATGCCATGTCACCCAACCTGGAGTATTGCCAATTAGGCTCTCTGTATCTGGGGCACGTTCTGCGCATTTTTCGTCTGCTCACTGACCGATACAACCATGTCCATACTGCCATCGACTTCATTAGCCGCGTGCAGAATGGGGAACACTTTGATCATTCCCTGGAATGGGAGGATCGAGTAAGTTCCACCAGTGGCAGGCAGCTGATTTAAGAAACCCCAACATCACAGTAACATGAGTGTTGCAACGACAGGGAAAACTATGTAGCATACTGCGCGAGGCATCGCCTTGCGCCTAGACGGAGAGTATCATGCAGTTTCCGTTCGGAACCCCGGTAGTCCGGACGGCCATGGAGATGTACGAACTTTCGTTACACCGCACTTAGATGCATCGTCCGAATGTGGTTCGAATCACAAGGGTCTACGTCGGTGAACGGTGCCATTCTATCGATTCTGGGGCAAGACTGAAATACTCGCCGCCCTTGCTAAGTAGCTCTGGGGATGTGGACAAAGGCCGAGGAGCCGCAGTAGCAGCGCCTGGACCAGCTGTTAAACGTTTGAGTTTTTCGTTTAAGCTTTCCTCCATGCGGGGGTCCTTTTCAAGCTTTCCCCATGGAGTAATTCATGTCCCGAACACTGGGAACGTCTTACACATCCTCGATCTAGCCAAAGTCGGGGCTCTACATAAGCCCCGCCCGCCCCTGGACGTGAAGAACCTCTGTCAAAGATATTGTTCACTTCGACGATGGCATTCGAAGGACACCCCGACCAGCCAGACACCACCAAGTTGGACTGCAGCGCAACCCATTCGGAGGAAACTCATGTCACGTCTGGAAACGACCAAGAACAACACGCAACACGCAAGATCGATGTTCGTCCGGTTCTGGGTATATTGGTAACTAGTGTCGACCGAGTCGATTCCTATTCCATTAAGGTTAATCATGTTGCAGGCTCTGGCAGTGACTTACGAATCATGCTTATTCTCGTTCGTACTTCCCGTTTCAGTCCTGTTGAGCATCAATCAAGACATTGGCTCTTCCAACAATATTGCTTGGATGGCAACAGCGTGGTCTCTATCAAGCGCTGTGGTCATGCCGGTCGCTGGAAGATGTAGCGACATCTTCGGGCGTCGTCCCTTTTTCTTGTGGGCCAATTCTTTGGGAATCATTGGATGTGCAATCAACAGCAGGTAATTCTTGCGTGCAGAGAGAAATAGCTCCGACCGCTGACTCTTGCAGGGCAACCCATGTATCAATATTAATACTTGGATCCACTTTCATCGTACGCATGCTTCAATGGGCAGCTTCAGTCCTTAAATTGATCCGTTGGCAGGGCTTATCTGGTGGGCTGCAGCAGCTTGCATTCGCGGCGGCCAGCGAAATTGTACCAAAGAAGTATCGAGGTCAGACACTGGCCATTATGACACTTGTATCGTTGCCTGGCTCCGCTTTCGGGGCACCGATCGGTGAGCTTTCATCCGGGTCGAGCAGTCGGTCTGACCATTTACTGACTGCACAAAACAGCATACAGCATCATCACGGTCGCAGATTGGCGCTGGACCTATTACATTGCTCTGATAGTCAACGGACTTGGCTTTGTACTTATCTTGATATGCTACTGGCCTCCGGACTTCCTAGCGCTTCATCCAGAGGGCAAAAGTAGACGCCAACAGTTTGCAGAGCTTGACTTTATCGGCATGCTCCTTTTCGCTGGAGGACTCACTGTTTTTCTCATCGGCATTGGGTTTGGCGGGAATCCATACCAGTGGACGAGCGCTACCGTCTTGTGTCCGATCATATTGGGCGGGCTCTGTGTCTTTGCTGCGTTTCCGCTCTGGGAAGTCTACAGCCCCGATACAATCGTCAAGGTCTGTCCTCCCCACCTCTTCCGGAATTTTAGGACAGTCGTCATACCTTGCGGTGTAACTTTTGTTGCGGGGATGGCATTGATTAGTCTGGGAACCCTGTGGCCACAGCAGATCGCTCGTCTATTCACCACGGTCCCAAGTACAGTTGGGTGGTATGCTCTTGCAAATCAGGGGTGCGCAACTGGTATGTTAGGCTCTCAAGATGGCTTACAGCAGGCTGATCTCGATAGTTGGATTCGTGATATTCGGACAGAGCTTCGGAACTCTTCGGCGAACACGATGGCAGTTTATATTCGTGGTCACCATGATGGCACTCTTCCTAGGACTCAACGCTACCGTCAATCAGCATACGCCTGCGCGAGCTGTGGTCTTTGTAGGCATTGCCTCTGCCATGGTTGGTGCAACGAATTGTATTGGGACTCTGATCGTGCAACTCGGCGCAAAAGATGAAGACATTGGATTGGCGACAGGTCTGCTCAATTCTATTCGCGGAGTCGGTGGTGGAATGGGAGTCGCCATTTATTCAAGCTTGCTCAACAATCGAATAGCGAGCACATGGGCAGTCGAAGTTGGCGATGCAGTGGTGCAAGCCGGGCTGCCAACATCTTCCGTTACGAACTTCCTCGGTAAAGGCTCCAGATGACATGCTAGAAGATCGCTAACAGTAAGTTAGAGGCTCTGCAAACCGCAGACTTTACGTCCCTACCAGATATTAATCCAAACGTCCTCGCGGTGGGCTTGGATGCTCAGAAAACGGTCTACGTCGGCGCTTTTCGGATGGTGTATCTGGTCACAATTGCGTTTGGAGGTAAGTATGTCATGTCGCTTTTCAGTGAAAACTGCTCATAATCATAGGGTTGGCGGTAATTGGAGCTCTGTTCGTTGGAAGCGTTGATGACAAGCTTACCCAGTAAGCCCTTTGTATTGCCTCAAGACTAAACTAACGCTATTGTAGACAAGTCAACGTTCAACTTGACCGACCACATCTGGTGGGACAGAGAAACGGCGAGGTGGAAGATGCAGCTGGGGGAAAGTGCTGATAAGTGCTCTCGTTGTTTTCGAGCATCAGGGACGATAGCCACGAATTATCTCGGCCATCAGAACATGGCGAGCATCGTCCGAGAGGAGGGTCCCCAATGAGTCCTGGGGTCGTCCGGTTCGAACTGGAGGGGAATGGGATCGTTCCGAGCGCAGGCAGAATGAGATTTCAGGAGGAGCGAGTTGACAAGGGGATCGGAGGGAGACACTGTAAGCCTGTGTAGGGCGAGAAAGGCTGCCATGCCAGCGCAGGCAAGGAAAACAACATCGTTGCTCAGCCTCACCGCCTACTGTTCGTTGATGCTCCTCTTGCCTTGTGGGGCGGCCCTCGACCAATCTACGCTTCTTTTTCTGCCCGGTCGCCGATCGCCGATCACCGTGGGCCCTTACCACAAGAGGCTAGTGTCTTGGCTTTGAGTGGTCCTCGGAGCGGTCTTTCCTCCATCATCTCATCCCTTCCACATCTCAGTGCGAGTTCCCGTCAAAGAGATTTCGACCACGTGCTCCACTACTCTTGCTAAAGTGGCCAGATTTCGCTGTTGCGGCCTGCAGGGTAACGCACCAAGCTCTGGCTCCGAATGCCAAGATCCAAAGCTAGGTTGGCCGTGCCCATCAAAAAGCCCTTTATAAGAGTTTCGGATGTGGGCGCGTTGCATGGAGCTGCGTGCCGCTGAAGAAGCGGTTTTGACGGGACTTCCAATTAGACCTGTGTCCCCCCCGGCGCCTCAGACGAATTCAAACACATCCTTAGACTCCAGGTGGTGATAAGTCCAACACTAATGACAAGTGTAGACATAACCAACAACCTCACGCGAGGCATTTATATTCCCAGAGGCAACCCTTTAGCTTGCGGAAGGCCATGCATGAAGCCCCAAAGGTGATGCGGGAAATGAGTTCGAGGATGAGGACGTATCGAGAACGCTGGTAATCTCGAAATGGACAGGATTGAATTGTGGGCTGTGTCTTTCGGAATGATCCGGTTCTCTGAAGACACCCAAGGACTATGAGGGTGCGATCCTTGACTTCGAGATGCGCAAGCAGGCCAATGACAAAGCCATGATTGGTCTGAAGGAGTGAAGAATTGGCTCGATACTGAAAGCGGACCCTTGACCTAACGACCGCGCAGAGCGACGCAAAGGAAATAGCCTTTGTAAGGCAGATAGGCGTCCTTGATCTTGGATGGACATTTCGGAGGAAGCTCCGTCTTGAAGTTGAAGTCGCACAGATGGACCGTCGTCATTCTTGCCTCATCGTCTTTGAACATCGACAATCTCAACTGAAGGTGCACGTCAGTTTGTTCGTCCCGCCACGGGCCTAGTGCTCTGCCCTTACCGAATGGCTAGTAATTTGCCACCTATGACTTCAATACCCGACAACTCGTCGCATCTACTACCTTTCCTCTCCATGCTGGTGTAAGTTCGCTCCAGTATGTGACAGCTGCTTGCAGAAAAGACCGAATGCCAAGTCTGCAGGGCGGTACGAAGGGTCGTGGTGTCGGATACAACAGTGCAGTTGGGGAAGTGAACACCTCAGGGAATATTCCATCTCCGTCCAGTATTGCTTTTTCTGAAACTGAACGTCCTTTTGCCTTTCCATGATTGTTCATGTGGCAACGCCCTAATCTCCTGGTGCACTCACTCTACACCACCTCGAAATGCTCCTTGTCCACCGACACAGGAGTCTCTGCCGGGTAGCGGACCAGGAGCTGCTCCTGCACCAACACCATTTCCGTAACTCGAGGTGGGAGAGTTGTAGGATGATGGTCGATCAACTCGACGATAGTTACCTCGGTCTCAACGCCGATCGCAACGATCGTGATCATGGTCCCTATTTCGGTCCCTTTCGCGGTCACGCTCACTTTCGCGATCTCGTTCTCGCTCATATTCTCGGTCTCGCTCTCTGTCGCGATCACGTCGGGACTCACCCCTTCTCTCGTCGGGTTGTTTGGCTTGTTGTAGATCCATCTTCGTGCCCTGGGCGCCCCATCTCTTACTCTTACTTAACCTCCTCTCTCTCGGCGGTGATAGCGCCTATAATGATAATCATGAAACTCGCACCATTGATCATCCTCGCTTACAGTGACGACCTTTTACCAGTCCATAAATTATTCGAACTATGGACGTTGAAGCGACAGGTGACAGATGGCCCGGCCAGGTGCAAAGGAGAAGACAATTTCGCGACAGCATTTGCCAGAGCCAGCATGAGACTTGGGAAACTGCAAAACGTCAGAAAAGTGAGGCTGGTGTCGAGGGCGATCAGCGGTATATCTTCCCAGTGGTCCACGGGAGGCAACACTCGCCAACGTCAGTACATCATAATACCATGAGCCCCTGTGGTATCAAAAGGACTAAATCCTCATCTCCGGGTGGCGATTTCACCAGACCAGCGAAACATTCGTACCTTCTACCCCGTCCCCGTATCGAGCCATCTGTACTCCAAGATTACTTTAACATGGCGCACTCTCAGCATCAATGTCGCCATCTGGCCTCGCAGCCATTGCGCACAAGAGAAAGAAGACAAGACACAGTGATCGTGGAGGATTTGACCTGCGGCGACAAGCACAGCATGGCTTCTCCAGCATCACAACCCACGGATACTAGCACTTCTCTTTTTGCACATCTTCTCGAACCTTCCGGCGTAACGCCGTCGATATTTGCTATTAGTCGGCTTCTTCCAGTCACGTCATTGATGGATTTCGCCTGACATAGCCTGAGAGGGATTTGATAACTAGTCTCCTCAATCTAACTGACCCAATCACTTGTCCGGCAGGGAACAAAGGTTCTGCAGCAACAAGAGGGAGCAGCGAAGACGTTGACGTGGAGGATGGCCCAGCTCTTCGGGGCGATCATTTTGAGCACAAGTACCCGTCGCGATGATCTGGCGGCGTATCAGATTGCGGGACCAATGGAGGAGTCAAGTAGAGATCAAGCCTGGCTGCAACGGCGGTGGAGCAAGGTGAGGAAGATGAAGCTGAAAGGGTCAGAGTCTATCCGTGCGTGCTCATTCCTGCTCCCGCTCCTCCTTTCTCAGACATTGTCATCACATTTGAGTTGTTCTGTCTCACAAACACACAGAGAGAGAAAGGGGGCCGGTGGTCTGAGTAAAGTAGGTGGCAAGCGCGCCTTGGCACTGTCATGTGAGCAATACAGCTTGGCACCACCAGCTCTTCTTTGTCATCGAGTTCTCACGACTGCCCAGGGGTGTTTCATTGGCAGCTGGCCGTGACAGTGGTATTGTGAGCATGCAAAAACGTTTGAAACGAACCCCTCGAGCGTGTGAGCGCTGCAGGATTGCACGACGGCGTTGTGTCCCTCCATACCCCTGCCGGCAGTGCGTTGAGTCAGGAGTCTCTTGCAATGTCCGAGCCAAAGCACGCCCGCAGCGGCAACAGCAACGACGGCATCGGCAAGAAACCTTGGCCTCGCCGAATTCAGATGGTCGGGACTACGGCCAGTCTTACAGCACAGATGTTACAGACTCGCCGGCCCACGAGTCAAGAGTGCCCAGCAGATTGTCATTCCGTAGGCAAAAGGCACAAGGCGAGACATGCGACCTGCTCAAAGGTCTCGTGCAAGATATTATGCAGCAACGGCACGGTATATGAGGCTACCCTACCTCGCGAATCAGATGCTAAACACTGCAGGTTACGAGTTCGACTGTGCACTAACCGAGCCCCAGTCCTGCAGGCCTGCTGCTGCTCATCACTCCGCCTCCCATCACCAAGGTTGTGATGCTCAACCACAGCTGCCACTCAGCTCAGCGCAATTCCAGCACCTACTAGAGTGTTCCGCTAAGTTTCTGGGGTGGCGAAGTCCCCAGCTTATAGACGTGGAAGAGTTACACACCACCTCCCGCATTCATCTAGAAACCTTGGTGGACCTGTCTCCAAGGGGCATCTCAGTGCTGGTTTCGAGAACTCGTTTACCGGTAGACACCATTGCCTTGGTCTTCGCAGCTCTAGCGCTTGGAGCTGTGGCAACTGGCGAACCCGGTCATGGCCGATTTTACTTCGGGGTGTCCACTGAAATGGTTAAATATTGCGTGGGTGAACTAACACTGGACCTCTGTCTCTCCTACTTCCTGCAACATCTCCATGCACTCCGCTCCGGCACTTCGAACTATGCTCAGGGTATAATCTTACAGGCAATCCACGTCTCCCGTGCACTAGGACTCCACCAAAATACGCATGGAAACCGCGGTCTACTCCTCTTCATGCTAATTTATATGGCAGACCAGTTAAGTGCTTCCAACGGTGATAGAACGTCTGACTAACGTGGTAAGTAGGTACGGCTCTTTACAACACAATACTGAGCCTCACATTCAGGCATCGAACCTTGAAGATTTCCTCTTTGCTCCTTTAATTGAGGCTGAGCCTGAGCTTCAAGCAGTTGTTGAGCTAGTAACGATTAACGGTCACGTAATTGAACAGTCGTATAGGCGTTTAGATCTCTCAGATGAAGAGTTGCTGAAGCTCGAAACAAAGATTGGGAGCTTTTGCTGGCAACGGAGAGGGCCAATCCAACCTGGTTGTGGAAGCTACAGACGCAACTACGACCTAGTCGCTCACATCCATATGTTGTGGTTTGCTCAGCCTCTCCTCGAACTCGAGAGGCAAATGCTGACAACGAATTCTAGTTGTCGCTTGAAACTTCGCGCACCACGACTTTCTGTGCAGTCTTCGTGGCTGCTGTCACTGTCAACCTGTATTCACGCGGCCCAGGGCGTCCTTACGGCTTACCTTCAACTGTACCAACCAGTGCTTGCGATGCTGGCCAAGCAATTCAGGAATCAAGATCTACCGGCTGATAAGCTCTCAACACCTAGCGTCGCTGCGCTGGCGGTTACCTGGAGACAAGTCAAAAGGATAATGCTGTCTACATTTGTAGTGATATTCGCCTATTGGCATGGTGAGCTTGTACACGACGAAGCTTCGCGGTACATGGCCATGGCAAGATTATTACTTGAGTACCCTCGTTGGCGATGGGGTGAAGCTCTCAATGAAGCCGTAGTGACATTGTATGACATCTCTGGCCTTGCCAACTTTTCCATCTACCAGCATCTGCAGGGGCTGCTGCCTGGACAGAGTGAGCATTTCCTACGATCACTTTGCGACCGTATGCCCAAGGCAGAGCCAGATGGCTTTGATACGGACCAGCCTGAGTATGCAGATGATGCTTTATTCGGAGCAGCATTCTGGCCCACAGTGAACGCCTTCCCTTGGAGCCACGACTTCCCAGGTTTCGACATCAGCACAATTGAAGACCAGACTGATTTTGGCCTCGCCGAAAGTATGGAGTATCATTTGAATGACGTACAGCAAAATAGCAATACTTGACGTATTAGGTGTTCCGGTCCGGCACAGAGTCTAGTTGGTATTAATTACTCATCCGTGAACTTATCTATGCGGTGAAAGGCAATGGTAGTGCCTAGAAATTGACAGAAAAGCCCACTATCCAGCGGGCGATCCGATCCCCTGTGTGTCTAGATGTTATATCTGGGAGGAGAGAACTTTTTTGATTCGTTCAGATTTGAGCCAAGGTCTGCTGCTAAATTCTATCAAAAGGCCTTTTCAAAGAAACCGAGGCCGCAATAAAGCTTGATTTGATTTCAGCACATATACAAAATCTACAACTTGTGCCTCTTCTCTCCACGTTGCATCTTTCGGAACTGCTCTTGAGGATATCCACGCTGGAACGCCTCCACACCACCCACCAGCTCGCGGACCGAATGCGCATCATACGCTATTTCGTCGGATCTCGACATTACTTGCTTAGTTCTCAGCATACTTGCTGAGCTCAAATGCGCTCCCAGTCGTCCCTCGCAAATCTCGGTAAACACCGTCTGGGTAAATTTCTCAGCATCTTTCCCCGAGGCGTTTGCTGGGAAGACGCCATTTACAAAGCGACTCGCAAGCAGCTCATCGAGGGAAATCTTTCTAGCCATGAGTAGAGCCTCCTTCGCCAGGCCTGCGCCCATACGATTGATCATTGATTTGGTTGCGGCGCCCTCAACCACAATTCCGATAGAATTGAAAGGTGCGAGGAGATACGTATGGGGTGCAGCGTAGATAAAGTCCGAATGAGATACCAAGGCCGATGCCAGCCCAACAACGGGACCATTCAGGGCAGTAACAATAATGTTTGGGTGCGTGTAAAATGTCTGTGCAAGATCAAGAATGTCGGCCATCTGGTGGACATAGTGACGCCTGCTGTCTTCATCGGATGGCGCTTCGCGGTCCTCGCGAATGTCAGCGCCTCTGGAATCAGAATGCAGGTGGTTAGAGCATATAATATGGAGCAAAAGCCGGATAAGATGACTCACGAGGAAAAGAATCGTCCTGTACCAGCCAAGAGCGTAATGTAGACGTCCTTGCGGTCAGCAGCTTCACGCATATGGCGACCCAACCGAATCTGTATGTCCCGTGTCAGCGCACCTAGTTTCAGCGCGTTGTCAATGGTGATAATGGCCACGTGACCTTGATAGGCGATGGTGCACGACATATTGGAGTGCTGAACTTGAGGAGAATTCTATTTATGTCCAGGATTTCCCTTCCTTATATATTACTCTTCAGCGTCCGGCATCGCATTGTACTAGCCTCGGCTTGGCTTATGCCAGGATTTTTCGGACTCGAGAAGATTTCGGATGTTGTTCATATGAATGACCAGAGTCACCGGTTCTACAATTTAGTTTCCCGTTGCTGTGGGAAGCACTGCTGTCGTAGTGCCTTCTTCTGAACCTTCCCCATCTCATTCCTAGGCAATTCCTTCACTACGTGCAACTTCTGCGGCAATTTGTATGCCGCGAGCTGACTCCTCAGGTTCTCTCTTATATTAACAATCGTGAGATCAGCTTCTTTGCCTCGGACGGGAGCGCAAATAGCAGCCACTACCTCTCCCCAAACTACATCGGGTACGCCTACAACCGCCACCTCTTTGATATATGGCAATTCTAACATTGCCGTCTCAATATCAAGTCCCGAGATCTTGTAGCCACCGGACTTGATGATGTCGACACTGGCACGTCCTTGAATGAAGGTGGCATTGTTATGCTCAGCCTTGATCATTGCTAGATCACCAGTTCTCCACCAGCCATCCAATGTCACCTCTTTCTCTGCTGCACCTGGCTTTCCCCAGTACCTACAATAAGTCAGACAATAATAATTTGCGTGCAATTACTAACTCTTTCAAGAGACCACGGGTTTTGATCTGTATCTCGCCCATAACATCGGGTATGTTAGTCACATCCTGCCCGTCGGCGGTAATCAGTCGTGATTGCACGCCAGGAAGCGGCCATCCGACGCTCCCCTGGAACAAATTAGCTTCATATCGCAGTCTTTGCCGTTTCCGCAACCTACCTCAATTCGCCCGCCCGCAGTCAGTCTTTCAGAGTACGTAATTCCTGTCTCGCTCGTTCCGTATCGTTCCAACAGCAGACACCCATTGGCTATTTGAGCCCAAGCATCTCTGATCGATACAGGCAACGCAGCTGAGCCACTGATTGCCAATCTCAGCTTCCCAGCCGAGTCACTGGCTTTCTTTGCTTTGGTCGGTTGGTTTTTGAAATATTGATTGAAATAGCCTATCATTTTGACCCAGATCGTGGGCACAGCCATGAAAACAGTAACTGGATGCAATGACGTACTGAGAAAGCGCTGCCAGACAAGCCTCTCGTCGAATTTTGCCATGAATTCTACGGTGGCGCCTGTCCAAAGCGGTAACAGCAGTGACAGAAAGAGACCATGCCCGTGATGAAGAGGGAGTACATGAAGTACCCGATCTTCAGATGTTAATTGCCATGTTTCTGCAAGGGATCTGAACTGGAATTCAAGGCTCTGCGCAGTTTGTACTACCCCCTACGTTGAAAAGTTTGTCAACGAGATATCTCCTACGGCAGTATAGAAATATCTTACCTTAGGAAGTCCAGTCGTGCCGGAAGTGTAGATTATAGTGCAGGGAGTATCAGCTGGCCATTCCAGTGCAGAAAAGTCAATGCTCTGAAACTGTTCGTTAGCATTCCGGAAGATTAATGGGGTTGTTGTGGTGCAACCTGTCCCGGTCTCGCTTCGTGCGGAACAGTGGTTACATCAATACAAGATCTCCTCTCGATTAGTGGTCTTATTCTACGTTCATAGTCTGCATGAAAGATAATGAACTCTTGCCCGGAATCGGCTACCGTGTGAGTGATTTCCTTCTCAGGATGAGTGACACAGATCGGAACTAGATGGCATAATGTCAGTCCATGCCACAGGCATGACGCAGTGCGGTGCGACTAGTCATACCCACGATTGCCCTGACGCTCCATATAGCTAGCAAGGCAGCAACAAAGTCTAGTCCAGGAGGCACCATCAATCCAACCCTTGCGCCCTCAAGCAGCCTCTGTGATTCCTGCGCGGCAGCAATGAGTCTCTCGTGAAAGACATTGACACGCAAGAGGAGTTGAGCATAGCTATGTGTCTCTGGTGACGATGACTGCGACGAGACTGGATCAACGATGGCCAAACGATTGAGGGCAGCATGTGAGGCCAATCGGCGGAAGTAATCGGCCATGTTCTCGGTCGAAATGATCTCCGTCTGCACTGGGGAGAATTCGGGAGTTCAAGCAACTGAAACTAGCTGTGGGTAATGCGAGCAGGGAGGGTGGCTCATATGCTGGGAATATTTGACAGGTGTAAGTTCAGCCGCACAAAGATCATGAGCCCTTTTCAAGGCCGGCCTCAATAGGAGACTGATGAAGAGGACTTCACGCTAGGAGGCAAAGCTAGACAGTGGATATAGGAGCGGATGTGGATGTAGAGATAATGAAGAGTGGATGTAGGGCGGATATAGAGCGGATATAGTGGATATACGTGAGAGGGTGCGGGGTGGTCGATGAAGCTATCCGGCTCAGACTGGGGTACCATGGCTGGGTTGATATACTGGGGAAATACTCTGTATACTGGGCTAATATACAAAGATGCCTCTATAAAACTCCCAACTTGTGTCCGCATCTATCCCAATCTGTACGACTCTCAAAGATGGCCTCGTTTGACATCAAACCACTGGACCAATCCGATGAAGTCGCTAAGAGGGATATCAGCCGCTCCGACAATATCGAACTCGAAAATGCAACTTCGACCAAGGACTTGAACAGCCCGTTCTCTGCATTCACAGCGAACGAGGAACGAGTATGTCTGCGAAAAATCGACAAATGGCTAACTCCCATGATCATCGTTTCTTATGGTCTGCAATATATCGACAAGGTCATTCTTAACGGGGCTTCACAGTTCGGTATTGTGCAGGATCTCGATCTATACACGATCGTGGGCCACAATGAACAAACCCAAGAGCCGATCCTGAGTCTCCATCGATTCTCTTTAGTAACGATGATATTCTACTGGGGTTATCTAGCAGGTGGTATGTGGACAGCCCAGCCCTAGATAATACCACTTGCACCTTAACTGACGCCTGTGACTGCAGCTGTCCCTGCAGCGTTTCTTGCGCAGAAACTTCCTCTGGGCAAATTTCTGGCTGGTCTTATTGTCACCTGGGGAGTCGTCACTATGCTCACCGCCCTAGTTCCATCATATCCGGGAATGTTGGTGCAGCGTTTCTTCCTCGGCTTCTGCGAAGCTGGCGCAGGTCCCGGTTTCTCGCTTATGATTCCGTTGTTCTGGAAAAGAGAAGAACAGCCTCTCCGATACTCATTTTGGTACTTGTCTCAGGGCCTTGGCATTTTCCTCGGCCCTATGATGATCTATGGTATTGGTCATATCCACGGTGATCTCTCGCCGTGGAAATATCAATACTTGATCCTGGGTGCAATTACTGTTGCCTGGGGAGTTATCATGGTATTTGCACTACCGAACAGTCCCGAATCAGCCTGGTTCTTGGATGAGGCTGAGCGGACGGTCGCTGCTGCACGAATCCGACTAGAGCAGGTCACCGAAGAGACCAAAACTATCAAGCTTCACCAGATCGTTGAAGCAGTAAAGGATCCAAAAACGTGGCTGACAGTGATCTCAACATACTGCATTCATTTCATCAATGGTGCCTGCTCAGGGTTTGGGGCCATAATCGTGAAAAGTTTTGGCTACTCACCATTCAAGTCAGTGCTGCTGACTGGTTGTGCTGGGATCTATCTGCTTGCGGTTTTGGCCATCACCGGAGCAGCAGCTAATTACCAGCGCAATACTCGCACAATCATCTGGTGGATCTGTGAGGTGTTCGTTATCGCCGGAGCAGCACTCATCTGGCAGGTACAATGGGCGCCTGATCACTCGGCTGCACTTGCAGGTTTCTTCCTACTGTTCACATTTCCACCCGGGTATACCATGCTGTTGTCCCTTGTCGGCTCAAACACTGGTGGCTACACCAAGAAAGTCTTCGTCATGGGTCTGGTGTGGATGGCGTACTGTGTCTCTAATGGAACTGCGCCACTGTTCATCAAGACAACCGAGGTCGAAGAACATTATCCTACTTTGTTCCGTGGGGCTCTTGTCACGGCATCACTCTCGGTGGCCTGCAGTCTCGCCATGAGGTTCTATCTCATAAACGCAAACAAGAAACGAGACCAAAATCTCGATGCTGCAATCCGAGATCGAACTATTGCCCAAGACCTTACCGACTGGGAGAATCCCCATTTCCGCTATACTTTATGAGCCTTTGCTTCGGAGGCAACGGATGAATTCCGAGAACAGAGTCTAGACTATGGGAGAAAAGACGCATGTCTTTTACAACCAAGGCCAGGACTGACTGATCCTTGCTTGAACTACAATTGTGAGCCGATAGACATGACATCTTGAATCCGGCATCTGCTGAGCGAGGCTGGAATCTCAGAGCATAGCAAGGCAGACAGTACAGAATTGTTGGATTTACACCAGGAGTGTTTTGACCTATTCAGGTGTTGCTCGGATTGGTTTACTATTATCCTTGTTCGATCCTAGGTATACAGAACCTGCTCTTGGCGATAGCTTCTATAGCCTCAAGTATGACTTGTCTGCGACCAACATCGTGTCCATGCCTGTTTATCTTGCATATCGGGTAACAGCAAACGTAGAGTAGGGATGTCAAAAGAAGAAAAAAGAAACCCTTTCCAGCAAGAGTGAGTGCATTGGTCGAAAACTATAGTGGTGTTGTAGTTGGACTTTGAGGTCAATCAGTAAAAGCGATGTAGGCAAAAATATCTCCAAGAGGTAACTTACTCCCAACCATGGAAATCGTACTCGTCTGTTTCAAGGGCAGCCATCTCAGCTTCTGAGAGTGTGAAATCAAAGATGTTGATATTTTCTGCGATGCGAGATGCCGTAACACTCTTTGGCAACGGATTGAAACCCTACAGTGAGCATGCGTCAAAAGATGCCGGAAGACTTTTTGTAGCAGCAATGTCACTTACTTTTTGCAGACTCCATCGAAGAAGTATCTGTGCCTCGGTTTTGCCTGTGCGATGAGCAATACTCTGAATTGTCTTGTCACCCCAGCGGGTTGCTTGAGCTAGAGGTGCCCATGCCTGCACAATCACACCGTGCTTCTTGCACCACTCAACAATGTCCCTATGTGGTAACCACGGATGCAGTTCGATCTGGTTGACACTGAGAACACCGCCCTTGCCCTGCTGGCTATCTATCTCTGTAATGTGTTGCTCTAGTTGAGCAAGGTGCTGTCTTATGGTCAGAACATTTAATAGAAAACTTTGGGGTTGAATTTAAATATACCGCAACGCCCCAGTTCGACACACCAATACTGCGAACTGTCCCTACCTCCCCTGCTTCAACGAGGGCTTTCCATGCGCCGAAACGGCCTTCTGATCCTCCCCAGGGAGCATGAAGGAGCATAAGATCAATGTACTTTAAGTCTAGGACTTCATTAAAGCTCTGACTGATAGCAGCCTTCGCTCCCTCGTATGAGACCATGTTTGGTGGGACCTTCGAAGTGTAGAAGAATTGTTCGCGGGGAACACCAGACTTCAGCAAGCCATCAGCACAAGCGGCTTCATTCTGGTAGAATGCTGCAGCATCTACAGCGCGATAACCATATGCAATCGCCTGTTGTACGACGGAGCTTGTCCCTGGGGAGGAGTTTTAAAAACCTATTTTTGTCTTATTAATATCCAAATCTCATATACTCCATGGCCTTATAACGCACACCGAAGCCTAAGAGTGGGATCTCGAAGCCCGAGTTTAACTTGTAGGTAGACTTCAGGCTGAGAATTCGAGCCATAACCTTATCTCGTATATCTCAAGGCTATCGTAGAATCAGTTCCCAAAATCCGCTCAGTTATATTAATCTTGAAATATATAGATTGTGCAATGACTAATGCGTGCGGGAATAGGAACGGAGTTATATGTGTAAATTTCCGAAAACTGACGCGCCGCGGCAGGTGCCAAGGTCCACGGATCGAAAGCTGCTTGCTTTCTCAACAATTAGTACCCATGATGAAAGCTTAGCGGAAGTAGAGTACCTACATTGTCATGCAGAGTATGGGAAATGCGCCGCTAAGTAGAATTCACGACCTGCGGTATCGAAAGGACGATGAAATACACCACACACTTAGAACTACTGAAGAAGTATGAGATATGCTCATAAAGGAAGTCTTCGACTTGAAAGCCAAATTCGAATAAGGTGTCATATTAATCACCAGTAATACATATATCTAAGCGACACATGCGTAGTCAAAGTTGCTACAGTCCAGAGTGGTGGATAAATATATCTTGTGACTTGTCGAGGTCGCTGGCTTTACATCCAATGTGTGAAATTTGCAACTTCGCAATTTTACGATCGTTTAAGGATTTTCTTTTCATCGATTCTCCGCTGATTTACACAACGCTTTTGCTTTCTGCTTCCACTTCAACACTCTGGTGTTTCGGCGATGAGAAGAATCATTTCCTGTAAAGAGCGTCGAGGAGAGTTACTTCCAGGACCTCAAGGACACCGAGCTGTCTTGAGTTGGTATTGAAGGGTGTCAGGGTTCGAAGTACTCTCCGTAGTCGCAGTTTTGCACGAGATTTTGGGCAAAGCCCGACAACCGATTTGATCAAAGACACTCCCAGCTATCTGTATAGTCCTTTACTTAGGCGGAGGTGCTCTCTGCCTAACAGACCCATGGACGATCGTTGCTTCCTTTGGGCGGAAATTACCGACCTACACGAGTTGTAGATTCCTGCTGTCCAACCAGTTGTGCGACCGACCTTGGAAAATATCTCATCCGGCTCAGGCAGTTTAGTTCAAACCAACGAAATCTGACGTGGAAGCGGTCCTGGAAAGCGATCGTGTGGCAGGCCAGGTATTCGGTGCAAGTGTGGCTCATTACGAGCAGATAGCCGTCGATTTATATCAGGCACCATATCAACGGCTGCGAAGACTATGTTTGGTAACTATGGGGTAGTCAGCCACCTTTACCAACACATAGCATAGAGGCAATACCTCACCATATTGAGCTCTGCATTGGAATTCAAGAATGTGTCGTGATCAGGTGGTTATCCAGTGCCTCAGTCATCAGGCAATCCACTACATAAGTATTCCTCGGCACCCCCGTGACAGTTACTATTGTCTATACTAATTCACTATATCTTCCACCGTCAATAGACTTTTCTGAATCTCTTACAGCGGCGTTGTGATGTTATAATTATTAAGGAGAATAGATTTATAATCCTTCTTAAGGCCTTCAAGAGAATCCTCATGATGGCAAGCCGAGCCCACACACTGGCCCTTCCTCTCCCTCGGTCTCCATGTTTGAGTGCCTTTCTACAGTCGAGCCCCATGCACTCTGACCCATCGTGTCTGGCCACATGCCGGGGAGCATAAAATTCGCCAGCTCACTGGACATGTTGCCCTCAGCAAAGATGGGCGAAGGGGTCTTATTGGGGATATACCCTTCCTGCAACAGACTATTGACTATCATGTCGATATCAAAGGCAGAACCTTGGCTTGGATCAAGTTGAGGTTGTCCACTGGCGGGTTCCACATGAGTCGGCGAGGGGATTTGCTCCACCGAGATTACCTCCTCCTGCTGCTGCTGCAGTAACTCGAAAGCTCGGATGATCTCGGTGAGCATTGCCCCATATCGACGCACAAGGGATGCTCCGGAACCGCGAAAAAGAGGTAGCGTGTCTCGACATCGAGCGAGCATCTCCGTCACCTCATCATGAGGCACAGTGACGAGATCGGACCGAATCTCGTATTGGTGGAAACAGTAGATGAGTATAGCGCAAGAGATGAAGAAATGATACAAATTGACCCAATGCACATTGAGTTGTTTTCGGAAAGCTGCATGGTGAAAGACGTTGACAGAAAGGCTGGCAGATCTCTTGAGGGTGGCCATGAAGGTTGATGAGACGCTTGGAATGAGTGGCGAAGGCTGATGAAGAGCCATCATCATTTGGTGGTATTGTACGTCGTCGAGTAACTATTCAAATTCAGTTCCATTGACTAAGTGAAAGAGAGAAATACGACATACGTGTCGCTTGACACTGTCATCTGAGAACGGTACGACAGTAGCATTGAATCGACTCCACATGTACCATTGCCTCACCTGATGGACATACTTGGCCACTACTTTCTCTCGCTGAGCGGTGGTATCGCGTTCATTTGGTCTCGATACTCCATACAGTGACTCATAGATCTGGCCATAGAGCCGTCTAGCTTGCAGGTGATGGACCCAGAGTGCCTCGCTTGAAGCGGTGGCATATTTACCCTCCGGCCACATAGTCAATGGCGGCAGCTAGAGCCAATAAGCAAATTGCCAGATGGGACAGCAGAACACGCTACCAGCTTACCTCCACATCGATATCCTCGTCTTTGATGGACGCCGGGCGGTTTAGAGTGAACATCGTCAACCTATCAAGGCTATAAAACGCCCAAAAAAGGTCTTTACGTCTTTGATTTCGTGCAGATATCGTGGCAGGCTCCTCGTCGACAGCAGGCCAAGAAGGATACACTGTAGGCAGGTATATGTCGTCGCGACGATGAAGGCTGATAGCGATAGCAGTACGTCCAGTCAGGCCGACCAGCTGCCACAGACTTGACCCGTTGGGCTCGTGGATGGCAAGTTCACAGAGGAGCGTCAATGCTTCAACACAGGCCTACGTCAAGCAAGTCAGGTAGATAGTCTAGAAGTAATGGAAGAAACTTGTCTCACGAGGTCCTCTCTCGATGTCACAGACGCCAGTTCCTTCATTCCAATCGCGCGACAAGCAGTTGCTCGAGCGTCCGTTGTGACGTCCTCACCATTTACGGCCGCCGCCATACACATTGCCAGATAAACTGTGATAAAGCATCTAAATCGATTATTCGCATACTCGAGAGCCATGAGGCCATCCGGGCCATATACCAATCGACAATCTTCCTCGAGCTGTGTCTGTCCAATAATCTTGTCTAGATTGCTAGGACCATGCTTGGCTGATTCGAGCAGGGACCGTATAATACTGCGTGTTTCTTCCATGCTTGGGAGTTCATTGAGACTGCTCGAAGTGGAGACCTCATGACCAATTAGTTGATTCAACGATCTATTTGAAGATCCATCGTCCTGGTCCCAATCATCGAACTCATCAGAGAAGTTGTAGTCCCGTAGTCCAAAAGTGGTGAGAACGAAGCCTGGCAAAGATTGTGGACGAAAATTCTGGGAGAGAATGGGATGATCGTTCGTCGCAAGCAGCGCCAGAGGCCATACGGGCAAGGAGCTGGAAGAACCCGACGACTGTAAGAAGGTCTCGGGAGAGTGTCCGATATGTTGTCCACCCTCGAGCGTATCATTGTGCACGCCCAATTTCCTCTGAAGACAAGCGATTTGTTTCTTTAAGCGTGCTGTTTCATCCCTCAGTTCGTTGTTCTGGCTATGGAGGAGAATCAACATCAGTCGCAGTTGCCTTAAGCAGGTGAACTGTTGGACATACCGTGTGAGCCTACGATCTGCGGTATTGTTTGGCGCCTCGCAAGGCACAGATGCCAAAACGCATCCTGTACAACGCGGAATGAGTCGATCACACTTTGGCGCATGAGAAAGAAATAACACGCGAGATTCTTGGACGACCTGCCTTCTTCTTATGGACGGAGCATCGCTTGCAAGCTCGACGAGCATATGGCGGGGATGGTGCCGTCGGAGGATCGGACATGGCTGCTGTTGCCCCAGGGTTCTACATAAAGAGATTTAAGAACGGCCTGTGTGTCTGTAGAAGGAGGGGGAGATGTGTCTGATCTAGTGGGGCTTGCTATCCCACGTGACAGCTTGGTGAGTTATTAGTGGTGGAGGCTGGATCATGGTAAGTGGACAGAAGCCCGTGAAGCAAATACACAACTATCGTACAACTTTGCAGCCACATTTCTTAGCCAATTCAGGGTCTATTGATACACAGGTAATTTGACTTATGCCGATCCGGACAAATGAGGGAGGTCCGAATCGAAACAAGTGTTCCTCTATATTTGGGAAAATCCCCGGTCACCACTCCTGTCGGAAATACGTCCGGTGCCGCTACGTCCTACCGTGATTCGATGGAAAATGCTCGTGCGACTGATTACCTCAACAAGAGGACTTTAAATCCTCTCCACAGTCTTCTCCATCTTGAGTCTCTTCGTCACACCCCCACTCTCGTTGCGTCGACATGGGAGTGACCCGGATCATACTCGACACTGACCTGGCGATGGGCAATGGTGGCAATATCGACGATGGCTTCGCCCTCGCTCTGGCTCATGCCGACCCAGAATTACATATTGATATGATCACGACCGTTTATGGGAACACCGACGTCGAAAGCGCTACGGTCCTCACCGGGGTAGTCGCAAAGCATCTCGAAATCCATGATACTCCAATATTTCGCGGCGCCGCGACCCCTTTAATACGGCCTAATCAAAAATGGTCTCCTGCTCCTCACGTCGCTGCCCTGAAGGGTCTGTCTCAATCCTGCTGTCCTTCTCCCGGCTACGCTCCAATGGCGATCATTGAGCACATCTTAGCCAACAAAGATCAAATTACCGTCGTTGCGATTGGACCTCTGACGAATATTGCACTGGCTTTACTCCTAGAACCTCAAATAGCCACGGACATCAAAGAGCTTGTTGTTATGGGTGGCACGTTTTTCGGCTCTACAGGTTTCCATGATAAACCCGGCGAGACAAACGTTTTCACCGACCCAGAAGCGGCGCAAACGGTCCTGCGTTCTGGTATCCCTCAACGATGGGTAGGTCTCGACTGCACCCTACAAGTCCGCTTAACGAAGAAACAAGCAAAAGACCTCGAAGCGTCCCCTTCAGAGTTTGCTGCGTTTGCAGGGCATGCTGCAGGTGCTTACATCGATTGCCAGGCTGCTCGGTACCCGGGACGACCCCGTTCAGACTCATGCCCGGTGCATGATGCCTTGGCAGTAGCGGTTGTTTCTCGACCTGATATCTGCGAATTTAAAGAGGTTTTTGCTTCAGTCATTACGGGTGAAGGTGAAGCGAGAGGAGTGATCATTACAGATCAATTAGAAGGACCCAGACCTCCTAAGCCAAACTGCCGTGTTGCTGTAGCTGTCAATACGAAGGCATTTGAGAAACACTTCTTTAGCCTCATACAGACATTATAGGTTAGAATAGCGTAATACTGATGTCGCTCATGGTGTGCTGGGCGCGCGCATGCATGCCATTTCTCAGATTTCTTACTCTGGCCTTCGATCTTGCCTAATCCTGTTCTCCCTTCCTCTCTGAAGACGTAAGTTTCGTTTTCCCTACCTGGACTCTTGTCTGCTTTATTGCTAAGTCCGATTTCAACTGCCAAGAGAAGGTTCTAGAATTACTACTTGAAGGCGAGTGGAGCCAGCCGTATCATTGTCAGCCTGACTATTGAGTATTCTGGTAGGCAGGCAACCGACTGGACTTACTATTGAGGAAGAACGCCAGCGATAATTGAGATACACTCGGTTGACACTGCATGAAGTAGTAAACATACCTGATAATGAAGCTCCCTACATTTATATGACCAACACTTAACTTGCCCATCGACCTCAGGTTGAGTCATGGGATATAACACCAAGCTCGTTGAAAGTGGATCGCATCTTACAACCTAGAATCCTGCTGATAGCACGTCAAGCCATCCATACTGTGAAACAACACAGTGTAAATTGGCCTGCGAACCCCTTTCAAGTCACGGGATCACTACCAAAAGTCGGGCAAATTCCCGGTGGCTAGAGAGGAGATGTCGGGAATTCGTCCGGTATCTTCGATGGAAAATCTCGAGCCTCGAACTCCATACCAACAAGTACAGCTTATTCTTGTGGTGCAAATTACAATACCAGTCGGAGCATGATGATGTTGATGATGCTTGCCGGAACTGTGCCTGTAATAAACGTGCGTCCTGACACGTGCGCTGTAACACTTGCATCCAAACAGCCATTGACGAACAACATGAATATATAAGAACGTGCTCGAGCGGACGAGCTGCATTCCCCTCTGAATACAGCTTCAGCCACTTACAATATTCAACACACGCAGCAGCATGGCCCTAAAGCCAGATCACAAAGACTTGCAGGCCAGCGAGCTGCACTTTCTTTCGCAAAATGGTGCAGATAGGATGAAGACGCTGGACGATCTCATTGAGGACTCCATGGTAGCAGGGTACGTCGACCCAATGCTCCAGCTCGACTCGGAAGAGAACGCTCGGTTGGTGAGAAAGATTCACTGGCAGTAAGAAATCAACTCTCGGGATTGCAATTGAGAAATGCTAACTCCCGACAGCCTCCTCCCAGTTATGTGTATCGCGTACATCACTCAGTCGCTGGACAAAGGTACACTCGGTACTTCATCCATCATGGGCTGGCAGCAAGATGTTGGTGCCTTCGGTCAGGATTATGCCCTCACCTCGACCTTTCTCTGGGCAGGTGTCATCGTCGGCGAACCAATCGTGAACCAGCTGAACCGACGACTTCCCGTGGCCAAAGTGCTTGGTGGAGCCATGGTGATGTGGACAGTGGTGAGTGGTCGGAACGTACACTCTATCATCAGCCGTGCACTAATGCTTCACCAACAGCTCATCTTCGCGCTCGCTTTTACTAAGAACGTGCCGGGTGTATGGGCTATTCGTTTTCTGCTCGGCTTCTTCGAGTCGGCTTTCGCTCCTTGCCTCCTGGCTATCACCGTTCAGTGGTACCGCAAGAAGGAGCAGCCAATGGTCACCACGGTTTGGCAAGCGGCGTTCGGAGCCGCTCAAGGCTTCTCTTCTCTTATGGGGTATGCCTTTATCCAAGTCGATAATACTCGCAATCTTCGCGGTTGGCAGTGGCTCCATATTCTGGTGGGGATCCTCTCACTCAGCTCAAGTCGTAAGTCGGAATCCAATTTTTACATGTCAGATATTAAAAGTCAATCACAGTCATCATCTTGGTGTTTCTCCCAGACTCACCGACCAAAGCTCGTTGGGCTACCGAAGAAGAGAAGATCAAATTTGTGGAGCGCGTCCGCGAGAATGATCAGGGTATTCAAGCGAAGCACTGGAAATCCGGTCAATTAAAAGAAGCCTTCCAAGACCCACTCGCCTGGCTTCTCGTAGGAATGATCTTTGTCCAAACATTGGTCAATGGGGGTCTCTACACCTTCAACTCACTGCTCATCAACAAGGCATTCGGATTCGATGCTGCAACAGCTCAACTTCTAGGCATCCCATTGGCGGTCTTCACGATTCTCTTATACTTCCTCATTGGCTGGGCCGTCACGAAGACCGGCCAAACCATCTACTGCATCATTACATACGTGATCATCAATATGGTCGGTTCGATCATTTTGATCAAGGTCCCCCCCAGTAGCGACACCCGTGGTGGACTACTTGTCTGCTATTACTTCATGCAGTGCATCCAGGCGCTCAACCCGTCCCTGTACTCTCTACTCTCGCGTAACATCGCTGGACACACGAAGAGGTCAATCGTATATGCCTTCTTCTGTAAGTGGCCTTTCAAATATTAAAACCAATCGCTGACAAATCCTTCAGTCGTCGCTTGGGCAGGAGGAAATGCTGTTGGCCCTCAGCTGTTTCAGGCGAAATGGGCGCCGAGATACTTCAACACCCTGTACATCCATATCGGCCTTTACGTGACTCTAATCATAGTTCTCCTAGCCATGAGACACTTGATTGTCAGAAGAAACGCCAAACGTGATGCCTCCCTTGTCGGGGAGAACGTCCACGCGCACGCTTTCGAAGATATGACGGATCTCCAGAACACCGAATTCAGATATTCGTACTGATTACACTCGGCGTCGTCGAACTGTTCATTAGAATTGAGGTGTATTTGAACGATGGGAAGACAGTTGAGACGAAGGCTAGAGGAAGAAACGTTTAACGGGGCTCGGGTCTCGATAAGATTTGGTGCGCACAATCCTGCAGACCAAGTTTTATAATCTAAACCATAGTTGACATACAAACCCACCATGAAGCCAAACATTCAGTCGTATTTGATACCATCACTTCGCCTGTCTGCCTACTATATAGAGCTCCCAGGGGCTCCGGGACGCCAAATCTCTGTCCTCATCAGCCGATTATTCTGCTTGTGTGGACTTGATAGCGATTAATCTATAGGATAAGGTAAGAGAGACTGTTAGCTTTGGCCCATAAGCGGGGGTAAAATGAGTAAACTGCGAGTCTCTCCTGCGCTCTCATGGAACGGTTTGCGTGCGTGCCCATATATAATACAGTAGGCACTTCATCAGAAGGAGCTGCTTTACCAGAGTCTCTCTGCCACCGTGTACCCTGAAACCACCCACGAAAGCCACTTGGTCGGTATAAACCTCCCGTACATAAGGCGTGATTTGGTGTTGTAATAGCGTTATTGCAGCAAGTCATCTCATACTGCCAGATGCTCCGTCGTTTTGAAGCACGATTCGACCGCGTTGATGACCGTGTCCTGCTCAGCGCCTTGGATGGCGAAGCAGAGCGGCAAACGGAGGACCGTTATGCTTACTCGTGTGGGATGTTTCTCTTCTCCCACAAATCGACCCTATCGAAGCACTGAATTTTGGCGTAGGTAGCGGCATGTAGTAAAGACGCACCTAGATTGATCGGTTCTTCAAATATGTCGTGCATCGCCTGTTGTAGAGCTGGTTCCGGATCAGTATATAAAACAGATGTACGCTATGCTAACAGCATTCAGGTTTTCCTGTTGAGATCTCGACGGGGACGACCTAGAGAAGTGCTCAGCACACAACTAAGTAGTTGACAGGTCACGCAGGACGCAGTCGAATAGAGTCAACCAGTCTAGAGCCGCACTCACTGGCTTCCATAATCAATGGAAAGGATTAGTATCTTCTGGAAATCACTCCATATCCCGTGAGTTGGCTCGAATTAGTCAACACGAGTGCATTGCCATCGCCTATGTCCTCACTCCACAGGCTGTGACAAGCGTGCATCAGTCACACGATTTGATCATCACTATGTCTTCTGTCGTTGATTTCATCGTCCAGCTCCGACTCGGTCAGCCTTCTGAGCCTTAGATCAAACCTCCTAGGTCTTTCCCTATCTCTTCGGAGACCCGAATGCATACTCATGGTAGTGCTCCTACCGCCATGTATGCCGAGAATGGCCAGTGTACCACCAATGATCTTTTCAATGCAGCTAGCTAGCCAATCTCTCAATCTCTGACTAAAGGCAAAGACTAATGCCACAATTGCAATGACAATCGAGATAGGGAAGACCACAGCTGCAATTAGCCCAAGCGTCAGCTGTCCACTATCCTCCTCCTTGAGATTCATGCCAAACCAGGTAGCCAGGAAGGACATCGGTAAGAAGATGATAGTGACGACGGTGAAAAGCAGCATGATTCGACCATGTCTTGCCGAGTCTTCCACTTGATATCGATTCGTCCTGGCCTCGGCCAGGCTGCTTTGCTTCTGTTTGAGGTCCATTTGGGCTTGGATCTCGGTGTATGCTATCTTTGCGGTCCGAGCAATCCCTGCCCAAGTGTTTCTCCGTTCCTTGACAATGTCGCTGACGGTGCGCAAGCTGCGGGATTTCTGAGTGCGAGTCAATGCCCGTACCATGTCGTCCTGTCTTCCCAGGATGTAGTCTATGCATTCAAGCTCGTCGATTATATCCTTGATCTGACTGAAAAGCGTGGCCTCGACACTGATTGAGAAAGCGGCGTCTTCAAGCTTGCGGGAGACTTCAAGTAGTGATGTTTGATTGATCTGCAATTCTTCGAGTTCTTGAGATGTGAAGCAGAACCGGGTAAATGCAGCCTTCTGTTTGTCGCGAATTACTCCAATGGCGGCAGCGTAGAATTCAAGGAACCATTTGTCGGCTTCGAGTTGGCGCTGGAAGAACACGCCTGTACAATGCTCAACGATGACGGCGGCTAGGTCATTTGCACTTCGCAGAGGAGGCTCAAGGCCGCGCTCAAGGTGTTCGATGACACCGTGATACACGTCTGCAGAATCGTAGCATCCGTTGAATCTGCCAGGAAATGCTGTGATCACTAAATCCGGCATCGGTTCGTCATTATCCTGCCCGTTCGACCCTTTCCCCTTAATGATCCAAAGCCACAGCTGATCCACTACAAGTAGCTTCGCTTCCTGTTCAGACGTCATCTCTGCCGTGAATCTTTGCATGACTTGGTCATACTTTGGAAGAGACCTCGTCATGCCAAAATCATGGTAGTACGCTTGATGAAGAGTGCGGCGATCGTGGAGTGGGGAGGTATCATGGTGTAGGTACATTTTTATCAATTCGCTGTCGGCCTGTCCACTGATCTCCCGTCCTTCTCTGGCCTCTTGAATCAATTCTTGTCTCTGTTTCCACGATTGTGCTAGTTCCCAGTTGAGATAAGGCAGGTATAGAACGAGGTTGTTCCTAGGACCCTTGGTTGACTCACTGGTCGAGTCAGACTGTTCATCCTCCAGATCAATCGAGAACGGAGTGCAGGTGGGCCCCATGAATCGTGTCTGGATTTGATCAGAAGCCTTCCCGTGGAAGAGATGAGCCCACAAGTCCTTCCTTAATAGCGGGTTGATCTTGACAGGGGTAGATGGCCGTTGGGAGTTATGGTCTTGCATGGAGATGTGCCTCTCTTCACAAACCTTCTCCATCAAGTCTTCTATCCAGCTCATGCAATTCGATCGCAGGTGGACCCAGCGAATGCTTGTCCTGTGGCCCTTGATTTCACTCATGATCTCTGAGGGGCCACGCTGCAGGAGACTGTCGACAGTGGGCTTCCTGAATGTCATTCCATCCTTTGGGAGACGAGAAGACGGATCAATATCCAGAATCGTTGCATGTTTAACCACGCTATCGTCCTGCTCGCAGGCATAATTGCGTGCGGCAGCTGTTCTTCCGGAGTCCGAGCTCGCTACCGTGCCTGACTTTTCAGACGACTCGCGAGCAAGGAGATGTGATAGAGATGTTGTCATGTTGGACCTTAGGAAGCTGCGCTACAGGCCTAGTGGCAGACTCATTAACTTTGAGCCACAAGGAGTTTGAATATACAAAAGAAGAGCCATTTTGGTAGTCCACTTCACGAGGCTATATCTCAAGCCCCTCCAGGCAATCTAGTCCGTTCCGCCTCGCTACCCCGCTAGGCATCAATCGCCTAGAAGACAGGCCCACCGAGCCATAAACCAGGGTAAGAACAAGGCTCCGCGGGGTGAGCATCTTTGCCATGCATCCTTAAGGTGGCACCTACATTGCGGTTTGTGTCAACCGAATCAGGGCAACCCCAGAGTTTGAGGCAAATGCAAAGCGCGATGTAGGAGTGGGAAGAAGTGGCTTAGGCGGTGCATCCCGTGTGTTGCAATCCATGATCGTCACCATTTGCAACCTGAGGATGCAGGGCTATGGCCGCCCTGCTGTGGATATATGCAACGATAGCATGCAGGTGGAGAGGCACCGGCAGAGCTCAGGTTTGCATAGCCTCCAGGGACCAGGGTTTGGCGAAAGTCCAACAGGGGGCTGTGCTGATGTTGATGTTGTGATGGCCTGGTTTGTGACCTCAGCCTGACATAATTATCACCTGTAGAGTAATTGCACATTGGGGAGTTCGATGCATTCAAAGCCTTGCGAGACGAGATCGAAATGCCCCTGAATGTCAAGGCGACCACGACACCCACCGACCAAAAACGCACTTTAATATTTCGCAGTGCGAATAAGCGGGCTCAGTGTTTGTAGGTGCTATCACACGGGTATTCCACATGCACAGGAGTCGACACGAGTGGCTTTCTGATATAGGTGACTTGAGATTGACCCAGGCGGCTGTTTGGCACCAGCCGCTTCCAAGAGCCTTCTGGCGTGGCTATGATTTGGATTTGATTGGCTTTGTTGGGTGAGCGAGCCTGTTATTTTAGTGACGGGGAATTGTACAAAGCTCGCGTAGGGTATCGGTGCTGCCAGTAGCACCATTAGGCTCCCAGTTAGGGGATGATGAAGCCCGAGGGCCCCCCACGGCCGCCCACACCCGGCCCATTGCCAGAGGGCTAAGGTTTCTTGATCCTTCAGGCACGCCGTGACCCCACTCGCTGCTCGAAGAATTATTATCGTCATATATTAAATCTCCAACCTTTGCCGTACACATGATCTGTGAGGGGGTTGTAGCTCAGGGGTAGAGCGCTCGCTTTGCAAAGCCTTAATTGCGAGATGTCGCGTGTTCGATTCGCGCCAGCTCCAGAGACATGTTTCCAATATTTTTGCCTGACTTCTATATTTTTACCGTTTCCTGATCTGATCAGCAGTCCTAGGAATGCCTACTGCCTAGAGAATTCGCTGAGCCTTTTTGCACTTTTGAGTTCGTGCTGCGTCAGGAGTCGAAAAGAACACTACGGCGGAGGGCAAATGCTTTCATCCCACTTCATTCTTGTACTGAAAACCTCACCGTAGCTCACGTGATCCGTATCGATCTGACAGGCGACCGATTGTAACTGCGCCGCCAGAAATATTCAAGAGGCCGTGCCTGGGTCTTGACAAAGTCTATTTTTGTTTTCTTGTCGAGGCTTGAGATTTCTCACATCATCTGAGTATATCTTTGGTTCTCCAAAACTCTGCTCTTGATCTCTTTCACCACCCTCGCTCAATCCTTTCCTCGCGAGAATACCAGACATGAACGGCACCAAGCCTGGGCCTTCAGTGGCCGATCTGGCTGCCATGACCACAGAAGAGAGAATGGCGGGCATGGAGCACTCTGAAGTCCGCTACTTCACTAGGTAATCATAGTTGGGTGTACGGTCAGGAAATCTAGCTGACTCTCCCGCAGCTATGATCATCATGGAATCCACGAAGAAATGCTGGTAATTATCCTCCCAAGGCACTTTCGGCTGGTTCTAATATCCAATCCCAGAAAGATGAAGTCCGGACCAGGTCCTACCGAGACTCCATCTACCAGAACAAGCATCTCTTCAAAGACAAGGTCGTTCTCGATGTTGGCTGCGGTACTGGCATCCTCAGCATGTAAGTGCCCTGACCCTACAAGATACCGAAATTTTCTGACCGTTCCAGGTTCGCCGCAAAGGCTGGCGCAAAACATGTGATTGGCGTCGACATGTCGAGCATCATCAACAAAGCCAGAGAGATTGTCGCAGCGAACGGATTAACGAGCAAAGTTACCCTTCTCCAGGGCAAAATGGAAGAGGTGGAAATGCCAGTTCAGCACCTAAATGATGGCAAGGTTGATATCATTATTTCCGAGTGGATGGGATATTTCCTTCTCTATGAGAGCATGCTTGACACGGTGCTTTACGCACGGGACAAGTATCTGGTCCCAGGAGGGAAAATATTCCCTGACAAGGCTACCATCTACATGGCAGCCATTGAGGATGGAGAGTATAAGGAAGACAAGATCGGATGTAAGTGGAAAGCCGGAACATGTTGGAGTTTGCAGCTGACATCCTCTAGTCTGGGACAACGTCTATGGATTCGATTACTCGCCCATGAAGGAGAGTGCCCTGACAGAACCACTGGTTGATACCGTGGAACTGAAGGCTCTGGTCACAGACCCCTGCCCAGTCTTCACCATCGACCTCAACACCGTCCAGGTCTCCGACCTCGCATTCTCCGAACCATTCCAACTCCGAGTGCAGAGGAATGACTTCATCCATGCTCTCATTGCATGGTTCGATATTGATTTCCAAGCATGCCATAAGCCCATTCGATTCTCGACAGGCCCGCACACCAAATACACCCACTGGAAGCAAACTGTCTTCTACCTGCGGGAAGTCTTGACTGTGGAGGAAGGTGAGCACGTGCGTGGGTTCCTCTCCAACAAGCCCAATAACAAGAACCGACGAGATCTCGACATCAAGATCGATTATGAGCTAGCGACCGAGGACAGAACACGGACAGCTGCTGGCTCATGCGAGTACAGAATGTGTTGATTCTTTCGCTATGAATTTGACACATATCTCCGTTCGCACTCAGGTTATCCATTTTTCGTTTTCTCGCACCATGCATAGCAACCAGGTGGCTTTTGGGATGAGAGCGTGGTATGGATTTCTGGTGGTCTTCGGTTCCAAACCCAAGCGAGTCAGAGCACTTTTAGCGATTCGAAAGATTCACAGCACAAAAAGGGCAGCAAGTCAGAGGGGGCCGCTTACCAGCGAGAGCTGCAACGATCAAAAATGACCGTAATGAAGAAATCCCAGGAACCGAAAACTCAAGCTCCTCGTTTATTTATACATGAGATACCCCACGAGTTGATGCTGATTTTTGACAACATGGAGCTTTTTCACGATGGACATATGAATAGAGAATCAGAGAAGCAGGGAATCAGAGAGTCAGAGAGTCAGAGACATGACTTCACTTCTGTTTATTGTATCATTGCCGACTGAATAACCGACTTTGCCTAAGGGCCACCAATCAGTACTCGGTACGTCGTATCGAATTGGCGATTAGTTATCCGGACACAGACGCATCCCGTCCCCATATTCCCCGTCCTATCCCAGCCAGCCACCGAAACCCCACCGGGCTACCAAGCAGTCCCTAGTTACGAGTAGGCCTCTCAGACCGAGACGAATTGCCTCGGTCCCTTTCCTCGGTGAGATGATTGCTGATTCCCCGCAGAAAGCTGTACATAGCTCTACCGATGGACTGATTTGCCTTTTCACAGATTCATATCTCTCCTGCTGTACTCCGTATGTAAATTTAGCTCCTCAGCAATCTTTGAACTCAGCGCACAAGACACCAGCGTCAGCTGCCACTGCCAATATGCCGGATCCAGGTGTTGGTTTCGAATATCCTCGACAAGACGTCTCATGGCTCAAGAGGGATGTGCTCTTGTTCGCAGTCAGTATCGGGGCAACAGCAAAAGATGAATTACATTTTATCTATGTAAGAGAAGACACCTAGACCTTTCAGCTGGGTCAAAGGACGAACGCGACCGTTTTCTAATCATTGTCAACAGGAATTACACCCCAAGTTTGCCGTCTTCCCTACCTATCCCATCATCCTACGTTAGTCCTGCCTAACGCGGTCACCTCCTATCTGGCTCATGGAGTCATGGCTGATTTCCACATCTAGCATTCAAGAAGACCACGCAAGAGGTCATCGATTTCTACGCAGCCCAGGAAAGCAATCCAATCCCAGGTGTCCCCAAACTCGATTCGAGACGAGTGCTAGATGGTCAACGCCGCATTGAATTCCTGAAGCCCTTGCCCACCACCTCCGAGGGCCGCAAGTTCGAGCTCCGCAGCAAAGTCCTCGGTGTCTACGACAAAGGCAAGCCCGGGACGGTCGTTGAGAGCGAAACGCTCATCGTCGACAAAGAGACGGATGAGGTCTACACCAGAGCAGTCGGGAGTGGATTTTTCGTCGGCCAGGGTGGATGGGGTGGCCCCAAAGGCCCCTCCACCGTCAACTACCCGCCACCCAAGGGCAAGGAGAACAGCCCTGACAAGATCCACGAGATCCAGTTGACGCCCGAGAGTGCGCATCTGTACAGGTAAGACGTTCTCAAACCCTGGGGAGGGGAGGCATACCTCTGAGGGCCGATTACTGATCCAAGCCTCGCAGATTGAATGGCGACTACAACCCACTGCACGCAACACCCGAGCCAGGCCAGAAGATGGGCTTCGGCGGCCCCATCATGCACGGCCTCTTCAGCTGGAACGCATCCGCCCATGCCCTGCTGAAAGAGCTTGGAGGCAGTGACCCAGAGAACATAAAGGACTTCCAAGCCCGATTCGCCGCCCCCGTCAAGCCTGGCGTCAAGATCCTTGTCAAGATGTGGCGCACCGGTGAGGTCAAGGACGGCTTCGAGGAGATCAGGTTCGTCACCGAGGTCGACGGAAAGGTCGTATTGAGCAATGGCCGGGCCTCGATACGTGTCGTTGATGGCAAGAGTAAGCTGTGAACTGCCTAAGTACTGGGCCATGTGGCTTCGCTATATCACGTGCCATCGTGGACTGGGCTTGGAGCTGTGTTAAAGTCGAGTCGGAGAGACGCAAAGGCGGCCTGTATACTTGCTCCAGATCCTGGCAGAGGCAATGCTATGGGCGTGGACCAAAAGACATGGCTTCCCATCAAGACTGATAGGTTCGCAATAGCTAAGAATGAACGGTCGTTGAATCAATGTGGCTAGTAGAGCCACGCGGCTCTCAAGATATAGCTGACCATATCAGAGGATGCCCATGTTGAATGCAATACGTAGAAAAGCTCTACAGTAAGAGTAAGGCAGCGCGTGCCCGGGATCGAGGAGGCTGAAGTGTGGTGTAGGTGCGACGGCACTCTTGCGCGCTGCGGTTTTCGTACGAGAACATCTTCGCACAATTGCCTTGAGCTTGAGCTTGGCCCTAGTCGGAACTATTCACAGCAATAATTATTTACAATTATGAGCTACGTACTATAGAGGCCTACCACGGTGCCAATAGTATCACCCAATTTGACTCCAAGAACTGTAGATTATTTGTTCATGGAGGGTCCTCTACGGAAGATGATCGGCCGTTGAATATAGATTTGCAATTTGGCAATTTGGCAGCAATTCTGCATCATAACTACATGTACTCATGCCACTGGAGCTTCTCATAATGCAATCCAACGCTTTCTAAGCGAGGAAGCCAGGGGCAAGGGAGGTGATTCCGAAATCCGCTATTTAAGCACTCTTCTCCTGAGGCTTTGACCCTTTGGGCATTTCCACCTGCTCTCCCGTAGTAGGGTGTTTCTCCTCCAGAACTCGTTCTCTGGCAAAGTGGTCACTACTTTCAGCATCCTTTTGTCCGTATCGGCCGATCTTGTACCACGGAAGTCTGAAAAGGGCATCCATGCCTTCGAGGCTTCGGCCACTCGTTTCGGGAATGAAGAACCAGGCCCAACATCCTCCGATCACCGTGATCACGGTAAAGAACCAGAATGTACCCTTGGGCGACATACCGCCTGATGAGGTGGGAAGAAGCATGCTTGGGACGGCGCGAGAGTTGCCGTATTGATTGACTGTAAGTATTATGTTAGTAGGATAGCCTTTCCAAGTTCTCGGAGGCTTTGGGAGATCATCAACTTACCAAAGTGGAAGCACATGACCAACGAAGAGCTGATTGCTCTGATTCGTAGAGGATAGATCTCAGAATTCAAGAGATATTGGACTATAAGAACGCAGAAGTTAGTACGGTTTTCATAAATGGCAGTTTAATGAGGGAGTCGCACTTGAATTCCAGCCCATTGCCCAACCAAAACCTGACAGGTAGATCATGACGATTGCACCGGTGCTGGCGTGCTTTTGCGATGGTGTGAATACAGTGTCCGCGTCAATGTTGGGCACGGCGGTCAAGAATGCTGCAACATAGCACATAGAGAGTGCTTGAAGACCGATTCCGATCGACAATGATCGCTTCCTACCGATCACGTCGACGAGGAAGAGAGCACACATAATGGCGGCAACGAACTTTACGACACCGAAGATAGCGGTTGCAAAAAGCCTGTAAAACCATGATTAGCGAAGGTCAATGCGATCTGTCAAAGAGAAACCCACTTCTCATTTTGACCCTTGGTCCCAAGCAAAGCAAACATGTCGGGCGCATATATCGTAATACTCTGAGCTCCGGACCATTGACTGAGCAGTTGCGTACCCAGACCCAGGTAGATACGATAGAAATTATTGGGCATGCAAAACATTTCTCGCACGTAACCCCAGGCACCTTGACCCATGGTTGCCTCCTGTTCCTCGGCCAGTTGATGTTTGATGCCATTGATTTCCGAAACGACATATTCATCATCGGCGGGCAAACCTCGCACGCGCGCAAGATTGGTGACGGCATGCTCTGGCTCGCCCTTTTTGATGAGGAAACGGGGAGACTCATAGTTGAAGAATGACAAGACAAAGATGATTCCCGCAAACATCAGGTGAAGGGACGTGGGAACGACCCAGGAGTTGTAGCTGTTCTTGTTGATGTGCAGGCTGCTACCCCACGAGGCGAAATATGCGAGCTAGGGAGGATGATAAGTACTCAATATCAATCACCAATTCCGGTTTCTGCAACTTACCATGATACCAACGTATACGGATCCAGCGAAGACACAGGTGCAAAGACCTCGGACAGCCCGTGGCGCAATTTCGGAGATATAAACGGGCGCGATAACAGTAGTTTGGCCGATTCCCAGTCCAGCAATGAATCGCCCAGCGTAGACTTGTCCAAGGCGGCCATTGTTTGTCAAGAAAATGACGATTCCCAGGATCCAGAGAACGCAGAGCTGTCGGGTTGCCCAGAGACGCCCAATGCGATCGGCAAGAACGAAAGCAAGAAGGGCTCCACCAACGCTACCGATTTGAACCATGGCGGAGACGTTTCCTTTTACATTGGCAAGGGCCTCCTTGTCGAGTTCGTCGAAATGTAAAAGCTTCTGGAAATGAGCGGTGTTGAAAGTTCCTATGTCAGGGTCAGTCCTTGCCGTTTACACTTGTTTGCGAGTGATACGTACCGCTGATTAACCCCTCGTCCACTCCTCGAGCAGCGCCCATGATGCCGAAAGAGAAAACGGCAAACCATAGTCGCCAGTTGAGGACTTCCTTTGGCTCATCCTCAAGGGATCGGCCGAGCCTGAAGATGTTGAGAGGCTTTCCGCCGCCGCCACCCATGGTGAACGTAAATAATCAAGGAGAACCTGAAAGGATGTTTCTGCACGGATCAGCTCGAGATATGTGTCTCTCTCAACTCGAGGACACAAGAAGCCTTGGGCGATTGACGGGTGGTGGTCAAAAATGGGCGACCAAGTCGAACTTAAGTATTCAACCTGAATTTTCAAGAATTGCAGGGTAGAGTACGTCTGGACTATCCCACACGGCGATGAGAACCCTGCATCGACCAGGCAGGGGTTAGTATACCAATCGTCGAGGAACTTGTATCTACCATGGCATCCCATCCTGGAGCAAGTACGCGGGGGTCTTGAGCCAATCCACGGGGGAGGTGTCACTCGCCAAGCTACTGAGTTCTCGTGGTGCTACATAAGCTCGCTGAAGCAATGCTCGGCAGGTGAGGATTCTGAGCAAGGGGCATGGCAAGCGGCGGTGTTGTGACCAACATGACAGGCTTCGAAAAAGGTTGGGTGGTTCGCTGGCCTCCCAGAAAGACTTCGGGTGCTCGAGATGATCAGCTTGGATGTAACAGTAGGCTGAGGTCGGCTGACGAAATTGCAGCAAAAGAGAGGAGAATGCTTGTAGATCCGGCTCAGTGCCACCCACACTGCCAAGGGAAACTATAATATGCTTGAGGCGTGCTTGAAAAGGCTTCCGTGGGGACGACAAGGAAGCGCATGTCCCAGGACTTTACATGCGCGGAGCCTAGACTCAAGGCGAAAACGACAACGCTGAGCCTTGTATAACGGCATCAACTCCTGCGGAGCCAGAGAGAAAGTCGGAGCGAGTCGGATTGGTGAACCGATGGACTTCTAGATGATTTCCTACACATGTGCCATTTGGGTGCCATTTCAAAGGCCGACCAGGCCGGCTATCTGTAGGTAGAGAGAGTACGGCGCCACCTGGAAACTCCTTGTATGGGAGTTTAACTCTTGTCGCTAGGACTGGTTAGGAGATCAGCCCCAGTTTCTCGTCGGCTACACCATATCCTTTAAGGCAGATGCTTTGGTTGTGGGTGACAATCTCCCCGCCGTATCCGCCCGATGTGGGATTTTGAGTATGCAACTGCGGAGCTGGACGCCGAGCAGAGCTCCGTGATTTGGAAAATCCTTTTTTTTTGTGGAATTTCCGTGGCGCTGTGAGGATCTCTCACCTGAGGGATGAGCTCAGCGTCTTACTTGCTCGCGACGGGTGAACAGCTGATAATTTGAGATCCTGTAGAACTGGAGTTCCTCATGGTTCTCGTCAAAGAGTCGAAAACTGAGTATAAGAAATTTGGGACACGTCCTTGCACGATGACGGCTCTGGGCGTCGTTAGGTGGCGTACATATTGGACAGAACCGGGCGAAAGCTTCCTGGACACCAAGCTCCAAAGGCGCCCATACCCATTTGCTTGTGACGCTTGATGTAGCAGGGATGCCAAAAAGAACTAAGCAGATCGAGAATGGGCAAGTCTTATCTAAAGTCTTGGTTCTGAGCCACCTATCTGTGGGATACGACAGCCTGAGTGATCGCTCGTTTCACGACCTTACCGTCCGTCGAGAACAGTTATTCGTTGCACGTAATGGGTAATCCAATCACCACAAACGCGTGCACTGTTCCAACGAGTCTTGACACCTTTTCCGATGTTTGGGAAAACTTATTGGCTGGCTCTGAACCACTGGCAAACACAGAGGGAGCCTCGTCCACGACGCACCGTACCTCGTCGCCAGTAACCTCATTCGAACGTGACCGCTTCCAAAGTCATAAGTCTGAGAGCAGTGTACTGTTCTGCAGGAATCGATACCATGAAGTGGCAGGTCAACCCAGACCGCTTTAGAATAATCACATATTTCGACAACCTCGCCCATTAACGACCATGGAGTCCCCAGCAAGTGCCAAACTCATTGCACTTGATACGGACCTATGCATTCGCCATAAATTGTGGTTGATGCTGTCCTTTCAGTCTCTGCCTTCAAGAGGCATTGTTCTCGGGTTGCGCTCCTCAAACCGCCTCCTGGGTCGCGAACTCCGGGCCGTCAGCAAGAACGCGAACTTGAAGAGTTCCTTCAACAGTCGAAGTGTGGCAGCCTCCGTGTCCAAAGCGGGCCCTTTCCAGAGTCGCATCTGCTGCTCTGGTACTTATCTTGCTCTATGTGCAACCAAATCGATGTGGCAGAGCATCGTCCTGGCAGGCGCTGGACAAGTTGACTCAGTGTGGCTCGGCAAGAACTACAAAGATGACAGTGACAAGATATACGATACGTTAAGGTGAAGTGGTAATTCCGCTTTGACTGCGTTGCATAAGACGGATTTATATCACTGTAGACCACAATATCCGATCGGTCTCTCGCCATCAGAACAACAATGGAAGCAATGGAATGCCGCGGACGCCAAAATAGTCATCAATCGGAAACAGCCCCCAGAGTTTCAAGACCGACAATCGTAAAATCGGATACCATGATCGGACTTCGAAGCTACCCTTCGAAGCCAATGTCGTTATGCGCAAATATGTGAGGTTGTCGACAAACGCAGACGGATGTTGAGATGCCGTGATGCATTGCAATTGGGGTGATTTGTGCAGGCTCAAGCCTTTGGCATACTAACAGCGAGTTCAATAGGTCATCGAAGTTGGCCGAGACGTTGCCCAACAAGGCACTCTGAAGTCCACAATGCGGTGAATCGGAGCACATTGCTGAAGGGAGGAGGCATGCACGAGATATCTATGTTGTATTTTATTCACACAACTTTTCTTTGTGGATGTTCTCGCCGCGGTACTATCCTTGAACTAGGGCAAAGAAAAAACCAGACTTGCTCATTACCTCGCACATATGCCGGTAAGTCAGCTCTTGTTTTCGGCAATTGTGAGTCTCGGGAATAGAGATAATAGAAACGGCTTCGATCCAAGACTCAGAGACCCACGTCTAGAATCGAGCATTGGAACTTTCTCGGGGCAGAATCGGAGATGGCGGCGTCCTATAGGTCAGAACTTCTCAAAAACAGGCACTTGACGCATATATGTTATATGCACCTACATGTATGCATGGCGCCTGTCATACCTGGCAGATCGTGGGCTTTGGAGAACCATGAGAGATATTCGAGACAGATGAGAGATACACACGGAGAAGGAGACAGGTCACAGGTGGTCATTCAGGTTCACCAGGAATGAAATCATACCATCTGCCGTTCAGGGAGCCTCTGCCAGGCACGCCTCTCCGGTATTGTTGGTGGATGGGTGCATCACTGTCTCCGGTCGAGCTCGATCATCATTGATCTAGCGGTCTCGCCTCGTACCGTTGTTCGCCATGGTCCATTGTCAAGCAGATGAGATCTTGCCACTTACTAGATGGATACTCCGGAGGTTACCACGGCAAGAATTGTGAACCACTTTTGTATGCGTCGTGATGATCGAAAGGCGAAGAAGACTGTTGACACGTCGATGCTGTAGCTGAGTATTTGTGTTGGAGCTCATGCAAGGGGCGCTGATAGTGTCCAAAGCATGCCCCTGGCGGCTGATGGCCCAGACCGAACAGCTCGGCGTTGCCCCTCTTTTTGAAAGGGTGTCCCGTCCGATGCCAAACAGTCAACTCGACATACTACTATTCAGAGGCAATAACGAGGCAGCGTTCGCCGCCATCCAACAGGCTGTCATGTAAATGTTCCGCTACTAGGAGTTTGTGGTACGCGTGGCGTACGCGCAACGTAGTCCACACCAAAATTAAGCTGCTCGCGGTCCGGAGTAAGCATTTGGTTGTTAGACGATAGTCGCGGGAATGGCGCAATAGAACTTTCGCTGCTGCATCGATTCAGGGATTGCTGACGGGGCACTGAACAGCTGGAATGACTGTTCCCTCTGCTGATACGGAGTAGAGCACGAACGCAAGATACACAATTGACGATCAATCAGGTTCTACTCAAGCATACTCGTAATGCCTGTCTGTCAGGATGCCAAACTATGTAGATTTGATAGGTGACGTTGATCGAGATACATAGGTCGCGGATCATCTTCGTTGAGAGTGGTTGGCAACCCCTTTTACGACTGAACTTGGATGACTGTCATTTTTCAGGAGACTGCCAGTCGCTCGCACAGACACTTTGACACTCCGGCCTCGCATTGCTCCTCCCTTCCAAATTAGCCCTGTTCGGACACGGATTATGACGGCGAGACTTTCGGGCTGCGAATTAATCCATACACGTTTGGTGCAAAGTGGCTCGCAGCCCCTAGACTCAAGAATGCAGACAAAAAGACTCTCCAAGCAAATAATGTGCGCCACGCTAGCAATAACAAAAGCTCGGCACGTGTCGGAGTCAAGCCCCCACGACACAAGTGTTCGAGACAGGATAAGCCAAGTCGCTGTGGCGGTGGGCGATAAGGCAGCCCCTGGCAGCTGTCGGAGCAAAAGACCCACCGGAAGTTAGGATACTTTGCCCCCTTGGTCCTCTTCAGCGCGGGATGTCCCCAATGTAAGATAGACGATGCCTGGAGGCGTCTACCTCTGACAGCTGAGAATGCGCGGAGGTACGAGGTAGTCAGCTACCGGACTTGGTTAAATCTCGTCAACGGGTTAGCAAGGGCCCCTATGCCTGTCGTCGGCGGCGGAATGTATCTCCTGCGATCTGCCGTCCGCGCACTTGATGATGAGATCAAACCAGAGTATCGCACCACTCAACACTAGAATCATCTTGGCGAGGACCCTTTTTGCCTTACTGCTCAAGCGAAGCCGGCTGAGTCAGTTGTGAGTATAATTACCACGGAGGACGGAGTAACACTTAGGGGATTACGGTGTATCTCGCATGGCCGCTGTGCCAATCCATGCCGATACCCTTGTGAGCCCCACTAGAGTTTTCTTATCAGCCACCTGGTTCGGGAATTGGCTGGCAACCTCCCAAGGTGGATCTCGGTTCGCCAAAAAGCCAGCGTCAAGGCAAAGTGCTAACGCAGGAACCCGAACTTCCTTTCAAACCGCGTTGGAGCCTCCCCTTTTGCCAGGAAAAAAAAAACTAGACTGTTCACTCTATGATTCTCCGCACTCGTAAGTCGTGACTGAGCGCTGAGCCAATACGTAATGCTGAGTTTGGGGTGGTGGCGACGGCTGGGGGTGGCATCTGTCACTGTCGGTCTGGTCCACGTCATGAATGTTGTCGCGAACACCCTCAAAAGGGGCCTGCCGGTCCACCTGTTTGAAGGTCAGGAAACCGACTGCTGTCGAGGACAAGCATTCTGCGGGTGTTTGGAAATGATTTTCATCATGCGATGCAGAGTCCCTGCTACGCCCTGATCGGATGTGCCATTCTCGCTGTCCCATGTCCCAGGAATTCTTGTCGTGCTTATCGCCGCGCTTGTATGTCTCAGGACGCTTTAAAAGGTAAAGTCTAGGATCTAAGCCCGCCAGGTACCCGAAGGGTTCAGATAAGGTCAATTAATACTGTATTTTCCGAAAGCGGTCCACATTTGGATCGCGGGACTTCATTAGCCCCCCGCCCAGTCCAGGCACAAACAAACTCTTTTCACATGTGACTGGCAGCAGGTAATCTCCACAGATGGAAAAGGTGGTCGTTCTGGCACCTCGATCTTGCAGACGGTCGTGCGGTGGATGCCTTTGTGCATGGAAGGTTATGGAGCCCCCGGCTATCAGAGCCCTTCGCCCCTGGCACGCCAATTGATATGGTCCAAACCGAGACCCATGTCCCACTCTATCCTGGACGGAATGCTGTGCATACTCCTTGCCGGGCGAGGCTGGACTCTTTAGTTGGAATGCCACGCACATAATAGGCGCCTCCAAATTAAGGAGCCTTCCCTTTCTACAGCGACAGTCATTCTTCTCGTCCGATGTCGATGTCGATATCAATATAACATTTTTGTCCCCCGTGGCGTGGCCGTAGCCCTTCCTTGCGCGTTTCTATCTCAACCTCGACCGCCGACCACCACTGGAGGGGACAAGCAAACTTTTTCGGCGACGATATGGCCTTCCCTTCATTTGAGCGGTTCTCCGCTCCAGCCAGGATTCAAAGACTGGGCATTTTTGCTGTAGCGACACTCATTCTATTCATTTTCTTTGAATCATCGTTCTTTCCTGAAGTTCCAGTCCCGAATGTTTATAGAAGCGTAAGCATCCAGACCAGAGTGTATGAGCGGGGAGCCCCAATAACACTTCGAATAGGTCAAACACAAAACATCCGAGTATTATCTGCAATGGGGTCCATTCGAGCCGATGCAAATTCCTGGTTTCCTCAATACCGGCCTCCCTGGCAAACGATCGTGCGATAATCTGCGTTATAACTCCAGCGTGGGGGTCCAGAAGAGTTTCTACCTCACCGACGATATCCGGCAGATTGCCATGACCCTCGACTCCCACCCCATTGTCGATTATCCCGACGACGTCATGAATGATCCTAATATGAAGGTGACGGATATTGTTGAACAGAGCTGGGCTCGTCTCTCTGGTTCCAGTGTCTGGCTACCAGAGCAGGGAGTGTACCTCTCGGTGACTCGCGTCATATTTTGCCCGACCCGAACTCGATCCGTCCCCAAGATGAGTTTCCTGAGAGGTCAAGTCTTCAATAAAGATTGGGAGCCATTGAGCAATCATACCATCACATGGGGTGGAAAGGACTTCAATTTCCCCCTGGTTTTTGATATCCCAGCGCAGTGGGAACAAGATGGCAACTTATACGGCCCTGAAGACCCTCGAATCATTCTTGAGGATGAAGTTGAGGGTGCTGAACCTGTGATCATCTTCAACATGATTGGAAAACGCTCAGACTGGAAGCGAGCCATGTATATTCTCCGCCCTTTCTCAAACCATACCACCATTCTCACCATCAAGGACACTGAACGACAATGGACCGAGAAGAATTGGGCACCTTTCTTCATCCCCTACAAGGAGCCTGTCACTAAGGTCAGCAAAGGAAACAAACAGGCATTGACGAACGTTCCCACTGTACGAACGGAGAACGAATACATCCATTTTGTCTACAGTTTCAAGCCACTGCAGATTCTGAAATGCCATCTGCGCTGCGGTGACTGCGAATTTGTCTACGAGCAGATCGTTCCGGAGAATTTCCACAGTAAGCACAGAGAAGACGGTGGGAGTCTGCGTGGAGGCACCAATTTTGTACCAGTACCTATACCCGCACACATGCGTGTGGATCCAAGGGTGCGTGTTTATGCAGCCTTCCCGCGCACCAACATTGAGCAGCATTGCTCTGGCTCCTTTTACCGGCCAGAGTTCGTCGTCATGGTTCTGATTGGTGACCAATTCCATCTGGCATTCGCCAGCGAATCGCTTGACTTTGGCAATGCTATTATCGAACTGGGACCCGACGACGATCGTTGCGACAAGGGACGAATTCTTATTCCCAACAGCGTGGCTCAGTGGGATACTGAGAACGGCCAGGACGTCATGAGCGTGACATTCAGTGTCAACGATGAGACAGTGCAAGTTGCGCGTGTGGAGGGCATCCTAGAATTCGTTCACCGAATGCCTCAATTTAACAACTTGCTTAGCATGGACGGGCCATTGAAGGGCGCCGATACTGATTTGATGAACATGCTTTCTTCATGGGTTGGAGACGACCTCCGCGGTTGCTTGGTTGAGGCCGCTCTCAACTATACCGAGGCTGCTCAAGAAATCACCCATCCCCACGACGATGACGAAGATTTGGACCCAACAAAGGAATTGCTCCGCAAGATCCACTTGGAACAAGAAGAAGAGGAGGAACTTGAGGCATTGGAGCTGTCGCAAGAGGGCAGCCTCTTCGAAGATCTCAAGGAGGACGATACCGAAGGAATCCCAGATCAAGAAGAAGACGAAGAAGACCACGGTGACGAAGAGGAGGAAGGTGACGAGCGGAGTGAAGAGGATGCCGATTCCGACAAGAGCGACAAGAAAATGGAAGGACTCAAAGCCAAGGAGAAGGAGGAAAATGGCGAAGAGAAACCAGAAGGGCAGCCTCCAAAACGAGACCTACATTTGCACCGACATGCTGCACAACATCGCAGATTGAGATCTTGATCCATCAGCCTTGAACTTGGATTGATCCATTGACTTTTCAACTGCAACCGGGAGATGCCATCCCGACAACAAGCCACAAGCCCCTGATAGCTACCAACCTGAGATTACCCCGGAATCTGAATTCTCTTGGACGAAGGCGTCGTAATCCATGCGTCATACGGAGACAAATTCCGTTCGCAGCGCGCCTCACTGCGGCTGGGGAATCCGACCAGGACGGGAATCGTCTGATGTCGCGGTTTGTGGGGATGGGGATCAGAGATCAACACAGAAATGTGGAGAGGCGAAGAGCAGCCGCACGATGCAAAAGTGCCATTTGTCCTGGGTTGGCCTGGCTCTTTCTCCGTGCTTGATTGCTGCATGTTGTACAGTAACGACTTATTTGATGAACCTAGAGCGAAACGGAATGGTCAGATGTGAAAACTTGTCAATGTTAGATGGGAGCATGATTGCAGGCGTTCAAGGGGGGGTGTCACGACCACAGGACTCTTGAATCCAAGATGACTCTTTGGGAGTTTTAGATTTCATTTCCGAAGCGTCCTTTTTTCGCCAGGGATAATGAAAGGAATACCGGGACGCCAGGGGAAAATTCCATGGAGAGAAATTCATCACACAGTGCCCTACACAGAGCGCTCTCTTAGAGGTGCACACTTGGAAGGACAGTTCAATTTCCACAGAATTACCCGATGCAAGACCTATTCTTTCTCACCTATCTGTGCTCTGAGGTTTCCCGACCGGATCGATCAGTAGTTTCTGCTTTATCTATCATGGTGTTCTGATCAGGCTGCTCAAGGCCTCTGATCTGCACCGAGACCTTCGTACTCCCTACCTCGTAGGTAAGTCTAATCTGTTAGGATTTCGAGGAGACCTCGGCATTTTGCTTGACCTGGAGACCTGGGACTGGGTTTGGGTTCGCTAAGTCGGATCGGATGAGAAAAGCCTTGCACCATTTTACCAAATTGAAAAGGGTCTGCTCGTATACTCTTTGTCAGGCCTCCGTGCATAATGCCTCACATGCAAAGCCTCAGCTGCATGTGAAGAGAGCCTTGCTATCTCGTGGCCGTCCTCCGGACCGAGTGGAATGCAAGGGTCGCGCACGAAGGATCATTCCTGTTCAATGACTTGTTAGGGAGACCCAGGGAACCATGGCCTCTTGATTGGACTTTTCAACCACAGTCCCCGCAAAAGAGAATCCCGACTTTTCTTCCCGGTGTCATGGTGGAGGTTCGGGCAGACGTAGGCGTCCTTGGCAGCGTCCGGGCATCCTTGAAGAGCCTGGGCAAGTGTGACTAGTATGGCCGAGTCAGTCCTGAATAATGCAGTTCTTTTCGATGCCTACAAGTGGGCAGTTCCAATCAGTTCAGGGAGGAAGAGTAATTAAAGTGCCTATTATGCATGTGGTTGTGTTATCAGGCGGGCGGGTACAGAAACTCGGGCTTTCGTCTAAAGCATGTACAGAGTTCTATGTAAACCAAGGACGGCTGGTGTGCTTATCTGGTCAGGGTGCTCTTCCGAATCTTATCTGCAACGAAGCAGTCGAATAAACGCTATGTTGGGATGGAGGAAGCTGGTCCACCAGAAAGCAGTCAGAGGCGGGCGGATACTGGTACATCACTCACTAGGAGAGGGCGATACCCCAAAAAATGAATATACCGACGCCGCTTCTGCCGTCGCTCACAGGAGGAATAGGGTTGTTCAAGAAGGTAGCAACTGATGTATGCGGCTCAGAGTCCATGGACTCTGTAGTGTATTCTTCCCGTCTTCAAATCACCAAGTCTCCCTGCAATTGCCGCGCCCTCAAGTCGTGTCAAGCTGCCATATCTTCTGGAAACGCATCAACCATAAACCGCTTTCTGTTACCGACGGGCAGGAATCTTCCAAGGGGAAGTATGGACGCCACCAAGGCCTCTAGACTCTAGACTTCGCCCTTCCGTTGGTCCAAGGAGTTACTTCGCCCCTCGGTCCCCAGGCTCTTGTCATCACTATCCCCGCGCTCCATAATATCCCTCCTGGTAGACAGGGTGCCGCTTCCGGGGTCAATTGAGGCGTCGCTTGGTGTGGTTGGCCATCCTGATTCAGTCAACGCCAGCTGATGATGTATCCAACAGAATTGGATCATTCAAGGTAGAATGCAACCTTCTACATATGATCCCCCGAGCCGAAGCCTTCCAAGCTTCTGGTTAAATGGATTAGTCCAGAAAACTACTTATGTATACATGCCTCTCCTCTTCTTAAACTCATTCGTTCTCATCCCCTAACATTTTGCTTAGCTTGTCATCCAAAATGGCCAAAGACCATAACGTCGAAGAGCGAGGCGTTGATGCTGCAGCCCGTCATTCTCTGAATGACGAGGTAGGCATGGAAAAGGGTGCTGCCTTGCACAGTGAAGATTTCCATGGTGCCGCTGAGAGAGGTCACGTCGCCACTGACAAGTACGGCCATTCACTTGTCACCTTTGATCCCAAAGCAGAGGCGCGTCTTCGATGGAAGATCGACTTGTACATTGTGCCGACTGTCGCACTTCTCTACCTCTTTTGCTTCATTGATCGTGCCAATATCGGTATGTTGCCTAGCGAGGAGCCGGTCTGTCATCCATTTGAAGCCAAGCTAATAAATTCGACTCAGGAAATGCGAGACTTGCAGGTCTTGAGAGGGATCTGCATCTGACGGGTTATGACTACAACACCGTCTTATCCGTCTTCTACATCTCGTATATCATTTTTGAAATCCCAGCCAACATGCTTTGCAAATGGATGGGACCTGGCTGGTTCATCCCGCTTACATCCCTGGGGTTCGGAATCTGCTCAATCGGGACTGCGTTTGTCCACGATATTCATGGCATTTGTGGTGTACGGTTCTTACTTGGCATTTTCGAGGCCGGTATGCTGCCTGGTATCGCCTACTACATGAGCCGATGGTATCGACGAAGCGAGTTGGCCTTCCGACTGTCTCTCTACATCGTCATGGCACCCCTCGCCGGAGCGTTTGGCGGCCTCCTTGCCTCTGCTATCCTCAAGCTACCGGGCTTTGGAAGTCTTCATCAATGGCGTATGATTTTCGCCATCGAAGGAATCATCACTTGCGGCATTTCGGTCATCTCGTTCCTGACAGTCACAGATCGCCCAGAAACAGCGAGATGGCTCACTCAGGAGGAAAAGGATTTGGCTATTGCCCGCGTTAAGTCTGAGCGTGTCGGCACGACCGAGGTGTTGGATAAATTCGACAAGCCCAAGGTTCTCCGTGGTATTTTCAGTCCTGTCACGCTCGCCACCTCCTTCATCTTCCTGCTCGACAACATCACGGTCCAGGGCCTCGCTTTCTTCGCCCCAACAATCGTGCGAACTATCTACCCTGAGTCTAGTGTTATTTCGCAACAGCTTCACACTGTACCGCCTTATATTGTCGGTGCATTTTTCGTCGTCCTCCTCCCGGGGCTATCGTGGAGGTACGATAGACGAAATATCTTCTTCATTGTGTCTGCTCCAATGATGATGGTCGGATACATCATGTTCCTAGCCAGCACCAGCTCTAGTGTCCGCTACGGTGCCACTTTCATCATCGCTGCAGGCGCTTTCCCGTACGGAGCGCTTTGCAATGCTCAAGTTTCTGCCAATGTCGTTTCAGACAGCGCGCGATCCTCCGCCATCGGCACCAATGTCATGCTGGGCAATGTCGGTGGTCTTATCTCAACCTGGTCCTTCCTCCCATTTGATGGACCCAACTACCACATTGGCAACGGCTTGAATTTGGCCACTTCCTCCACCATCTTGCTCTGCTCCATCCTCCTCCTGTTCTGGATGTGGGCCGACAATAAGAAGAGAGAGACCAAGGACGTCGATGCCGAATTGGATGGCTTGTCTATCAAGCAAGTGCAAGATCTCGATTGGAGACACCCTGGTTTCCGATGGAGACCATAGATATTCGGCTTCAAAAGGCAACTGTATTGCTATTCTGTGGGGCCGTCGGATGCCTGGTGCCTGAGTTCGAGCTTGCTGTATGTAACCCAGCTGTTGAAAGATGTTTCATCAAGATTCCTGTAAATACACGCGTCTTGCAAAGGCCCGGGAGTCAATGGGAAGTATCTGTGGATCCTGGGGATCCGAGCATTTATTTAGACGTGAATCAAAACACTTCAGCTCTTCACTTTTTACATGACCTGATTGATATTCATTTCTCGCGCGGTTTGTTCACGACGACCTCTTTCTTACCATGAATAGATCCTAGCCTTGATTGCCTCGTCGCCTCATTGCCTCATAGTCCTATTTCGCTTGCCCTAGCACTGTCCGAACGTCGACCAACAGCTTGCGGATCCTCACCCACACTTCTAAATGACCCGTTCGTCGCTCAATGACTCGTCTTACTTCCGCCTGCGCATACATTACTAGTGCCCGCAAAACCATGAAGAAAAAGACTCGGTGAGTATGGGGGAATTGAAAGAACCACGTGCTCCGCTCCATGATACTTGCAAGGAGCCGTTCGCATGTGCCTTGCCATCCCGCATCCGACCCGAGCTGGGTTACCGATACCGATGCCAATCCTGCCTAGCCAAAATTGGTGAGACGGGATGCTACCCCGGGACCCAGGGCAGTCCATGACCCGGTATGTACTGGAGGCTCGGGCTCGTCGATGATCTGCAATGCAACTTGCTGTGCCGGCTGAAATAATCCCCATGGGCCTGGCACGGATCCCCGAGTCGGTAACGAGTCCCGTTGTTATGGCAGATACCCCGGTCCAGCCTCGCAGTTAGTATCGCTTAGGGTTCTGACTCGGATAGATTTTAACTCGCCCTCGAGGTATCGTTTGTCCTTGCTATGGATCTCATATTACTCAGTACGACTACAGCCATTCATACAGGAAGGTGGAGCTCTCGCAGCCAGTCCTTCCACATTGCGTCAAGCCATTGCCATGAAGAACGTGAAACTGACTCCAGTAATCCGCTGAGCGTCAAGCAGCCAGCTTGCCAGCCGATCATCCCCGCCACCAACAGAATCAAAATGATGAGGTTCATAATGAGCGTAGGAACATGAATCCCAATTGGAGGAGCATCGACCGGCGCAAACCACCAAGTCAAACGGATAAACCAGGCCGGCGGCCCAAGACCTCGATGCTCCCAGTAGGACGAGCCAGACTCCCAATACGCGTTCGGCCAGCCGACAAGTTTCAACAACCTACGCCCGATCTTCTTCTCATCTGACATCTTCTTCTCATCCAGCTCCCTGACCCGTGGACACTCGTACCCCTCGTTGACGAAGCACAGGCGCCTCCGCCGCTCGTCGTCCGTGGACGTCGACTTCAGCCACACGATCTGCCGGGCTAACTTGCATTCCACGCATTCGAGATGCTTGCGCCGCCGCCGAATGATCCTCGTGACTTCTGGGTTTCGCAAGAATTGCACATCAGTCCGGAAATCGGTCTTGCTGTCGTGTGGGATTGGGAGGTAGATGTTGCATCGAGACAGTACCCATGCGATGCGTTGGTGCACACTTGGCTGGGCGTCGAGCAGCGCACCGAAGTACGGGTGGCTGATCTTGAGGGATAGGAGGTCTGGATATGGTAGCTCGGAGGCTATCAGGTGCTGGACTTCTGGTGGGAGGGAGAGGAGTGTAGTTTGTCCGTCAATGTTTGTTTCTGGCAGAGGCAGGTTTTGCCGTTCTCGATTGACAGCCATGTCTATGAAGCTGTACGTGAGCTTCTTTACGACAGGCCGGTCAATGCTGAGTCGTCGAGGTCGAGAACACCATGGGGGCCCTGATGTCGCCAGTACGAATCCTCTGCCGCCACGGCTACTATGTTCCGTGTCAAATCAATATGGCATCCAGATAGTTTGTAGAACGCGACTCTAGCATTATACGTGACGTCGCGCACCGAAGCAGAACCATCGGCATCTGGTGCCCCCGGTCCTCCCAGCCTCGTGCCAATGATATACCGTGTCTTGTCAGACAATGGGAGAATTATTCTGCCTGGCAAGGCTGAAAGGGTTTGGGTTGGTGCTAAGTGCATTGGCAATGACTCTTAAAGCAGTGGTCAGATTATTTCGTGTGGCATTGGGCTAGGCAGTCACCTTGTTTCTTTCGATAACCTGTAGCCATGGTGGCGCGCCCCGATGAGGCCTTTCCTTGTCCGGTTATTTTCAGAAGATGCCAGATGTCGTTCTGACTCAACAGCCAATACAGCCTTTAGCTTAGGATTTGTGGACCATTATTGGGCTTTGAACTTGAATCCCGGGGATCTTCCGAGTTGATGCGCCAGCCCGAGGTTGCCTGAAGAGCCAAGGGGCTACGTTTCAGACCCATATACCAACACGAAATTTGAATTAGATCCACATTTAGAGAGACGAAACAAAACGACAAGGGCTGTCGTTTCGGATGAGGGAAATGGTCCATATGACAGGTCGTTGTGTATTTTATCAGGAGCAGCTGGAGAAAGCTTGGGAGATAATGTTGATTGGACCCTCCGTCAACTGGTGAAGAGAAACTATACTGCGACAGCAACGCAATTGGCCATTAATCGTTAATACCACCCCGAAAGCTAGTATACGGAACAATAATAGCTTCCTCCTCCGCGTTCAATATTTGCTTCAGGTAGGATGTCAAGTCAACATTTTCCCTGTGGATCTGCCATTCTGGTAGGGGTGTACGCGGAACAACGCCTCAGAGGTATGGGCACTCACATCTAATGCCGGAGTCGCAGTCAACCAACTGGCAACAAGCATACTTCTGAGCACCCAGCTTTGTGCGAACACCTGACTCCGGAATCTCTCCGACCTCCAAGTATGAAATCCTCGGTGAGGAAAATTAGCATCGAGATGTAGTTGCAGCAGCCGAGGGTATCGGTCTAGTGCAGTCAGGCTCTTTCGAACAGCATCGCGGTAGAAGCCAATATCACCCATGGCAAAGCCTGAGCAAGCAGCGAAGACGAATGGGATCGTAGCGGTGTCCCAGATCAACGCCCCTACCGTGGCACCGAACATCCCGGTAAACAAGCTTGCAATGGCGCCTGATATTACGACACGGGGCATGCTTCACAAAGTCAGGCAATCCGCGAAGGATTGCGTTTAGGCCTACGAAAGGAAGCCCTTACAAAAGCCCCGGTCCACTGATGAATGAGATTTGGGTAGCTGTTACTCATGAGAATGAAGATGCCGTCATGTCTAGGAGCTTGTCTTCAGCTTCAGAAAGAAAGCACCCATGCACAATAACCAAGGCCTGCCTCACGGTGCCATAGCCACCACCGATTCGTAGGATGTTCTTGAAGGAATCGGCCAAGGGGACCCTGCCAGTTATGGCTTCATTGCCTGGCTGTGGATTTCTGAATGCCATTACGGATCTTATGCGATGTTCTTGATGAACGAAGATCTCAAGCAGGGTAGATATGAAGACAACGTCACCCCTGCACAAATCTGCCGTCTCGTTGTCTAAGGGAGGCAGCTGGCGACCGCTCGTGAAAGCTCCCGAGATAACCAAAGCACGAGGTACGGAGAAGCTCAGGAAGCTCCGGTGCAAAACGGCCGTCCTTGCACGTGATATCACCGGACTTGGAGACGGCATCACGGCGCCCATTCCTATCTGCGTTAGCGACGCATTAGCGTGAATCACATCGCTCCTTTTCCATATCCAATTCTCCGCATCCAAAAAAAGTCGCGTCGTTGCACAGACAGACACGATCCAGGACCACTGATCACGGCGGCCGTCGTTTGTTGACAAGTTGGATAGCGTTGTTTCTGTTTGTCTTGATTTATTTGCGCAAAAATGAAGACCCGGGGCATATCTTTCAGCGCCTTTTTTGCAATCATAGCCCTGTCTCTTCTCGGGGGACAATGTACAGCGTCGTTGGGAGACCGCCTCCCTGAATTTAAGGACTGTGTCAAGGTCAGTGGCCGTCCCGTGCCGGAGAGTGACGCTGCTAACTCCGTTATCCAGGTCTGTATAGAAGAGAATTGTGACACAGGCCGGGGACAGTTGCGTGAGAAGCCTTGATCAGCCTCCCGAGTCTTTAATCTGACCATCAGTAGCCTTTCATCTTCGTTTACTCCTCTGGACATGCCCCTCAGAATGTGATTATACTTGCCAGCATATCATCACGAGTCGGCGTATCGCACGAGACCCGCCTATGATTGAACCTGTCGTCCAGTACCATGGCAAGTGGCCATTCTATCGATTCATGGGCATCCAGGAGCCCTTTTCAGTCCTTTTTTCCTTGTTCAATTTTCTGGCCCATCGGCAGGGGATGCAAAGAGTTCGTGACGCTATCCCAGCACGCTACCCTCTGCGTCCCTACTACCTTGGCTTTGGATATTTCGGGCTGGCCAGCTGGGTTTTCAGTATGATCTTCCACACTCGAGACTTCAACCTCACAGAGAAACTGGACTATTTCGCTGCCGGAGCCAGCGTGCTGTATGGTCTTTTCCTCGCACCAATCCGCATCTTTCGGCTGGACCAGGAGACTCCGACCAAGCAGAGTGCCTTGAGGATTTGGACAATACTCTGTGTCTCGTTATACATAGCCCATGTCACCTATCTCACAGGATGGAGTTGGGATTATACCTACAACATGGCCGCCAACGTTGCTGTTGGGATAGTCCAGAACGTGCTCTGGAGTTGGTTTAGCATTTCAAGATATCGCAAATTACAGAAATCCTGGACCGCATGGCCCGGCCTCATCGTTGCCTGGCTCATCATGGCCATGAGCTTGGAGTTGTTCGACTTTGCGCCAATTGGTGGGATGGTAGACGCCCACAGTCTCTGGCACCTTGGAACAGTAGGTCCAACCATCTGGTGGTACAGGTAGGGTTGGCCCAGAAGATATCCGTCACAAAATGTGACCCAAACTAATCTGTCATGCAGTTTTTTGATCAGAGATGCCCAGGAAGACATGGCCAGTCAACGTCTGAAAGCTTGAGCTGGTCCAGATAAGCACTCTGCCAGACCCGGAACAAGCGAAAGTTAAGGACAAAAGCAAGTTGGCATGTGGCGTTCTGATGGGAGCACTGGTTGGACAGTTGCAGATGTGGCAGGGCTAAGGAGAAGGTTCCCCCAATGCCCCGGGAAACCCCCAGACCCCTAAGGTGCAGGCGGCGACAGGTGGTGATAGGCGCTGCTGGGTGTTGGACTAGGCTATAATTAGGGCACCCTGGGCAGTGTGGACACTTTGGGGGCGACTAGGTCGGTGGGTTAGGGTTAACCCTCGAGGCTTCTCGGCGCGACCCCCAGAGCACCAGCACCAGCACCCGCACGAAGCATCCGGGTGAGGGCCTCTCGGCGCCCACCAGCCGCCCACCAGCCGCCCCCACGCTTCCTCCGGCGTCATCCTGCCACTAGTCAGGCACGCGGGGAGCTTTCCAACCACTACCACTCTCGCCTTGGTCCAAACCTGCGAATTCTCATTTCATCCCACCAATTCACACCCAGCACCGACCGCACCCGCCATCAATCTGATCTGCCAGCTCGGAGATCGCATTGTTTCTTCAACGGTCATCAAGTGCGACTCTCTTACTCTCGACACCAAAACCTGCCATCCGTCCTCTTCTGTCCTTTCCCCATCCCACAATCGCTCACTCCACCCCTGATACCCTCTGCGTCAGCGTTGCGGCTTGTTTGTCCAGCGCATTGTCCCTTCAGCCCATCATGGCTTACACCAATCCGCGAGACTCGGTCTTCAACCAGCCCAAGCCAGTCGTACATCTTCCTCAAGACCTTTTGGCTGCTATTGCAAAAGGCGCTGAGCCCTATGAAATCCCCGCGGGAAGAAAATACGAGTACGGAACTGCAGGAGTGAGTGAACCCGCAGGACACATGCTTTGACTTCTCATTGACTGACTGTTGTTTCTCTCGCCTCAGTTTCGCATGAAAGCGTATGTACCCTTCAGCCGCACCAAGCTGACACAGCCTCACGTTCTCCTTCCCATCCTTCAAGACCGTCACGATCCGGACTGACAAGAGAGGGATTGTAGCAATGCTGGCCTTGACCATGTCATGTACACTGTTGGATTGATTGCGGCCATCCGCTCAAAGAAGCGCAATGCGACCATTGGAATCATGATCACGGCCAGTCATAACCCAGCCGACGACAATGGAGTCAAGTTGGTTGATCCCATGGTATGTCGCCATTCACACAAGCGATGAGACGAGTGACAGGGCTAACATAAAGTTCTAGGGTGACATGCTCGAGGTATGACCTGTCCTCTACGGCGCATTGGTGAACACCACTTGGCTGACATCTGATCGAATAGCAATCTTGGGAAGGCTATGCTACAACCTTGGCCAACACTCGGAATGATCAACTTGCCAAGGCATATGAAGATCTCACCAATGAGACTTTGGTTGACGAGATCCGACAGCTTCATGAGCGACCTGCCAAAGTTGTCTTTGCCCGCGACACCCGTGCTTCTGGACCATACCTAGTCACCGCGCTCAAAGCCGCCTTGGATGCTGCAAAGGTTGAATACAAGGATGAAGGAATCTTGACCACCCCACAACTTCACTACATCGTTCGCGCCATCAACACCCTGGGCTCTCCATATGAATTCGGTCCTCCATCTGAGGAAGGTTACTACAAGAAGATGGCATCTGCTTTCAAGGTCCTCATGCATGGCCGCACCATTCATGGCACTGTGACAGTCGATTGTGCAAATGGAGTCGGTGGCCCCAAGTTGCGAGAGATGATCAAATATCTTCCAACCGCCAAAGAGGGGGGCATCGACATCAAGGTTGTCAACGATGACGTGGTCAAGCCTGAGGCTCTCAACTTTGAGGCAAGTGATACTCTGGATCTACTGTTTCGGTTAATTGACTTGTTCCTAGTGTGGTGCAGATTATGTCAAGACTAAGCAGCGTGGCCCTCCGAGCTCGAATGCTAAACCAGGTGACCGATGCTGCTCTCTGGACGGCGATGCCGATCGTGTTGTCTACTACTACACCGATGAGCAGAACACCTTCCATCTCCTTGATGGTGACCGAATTGCTACTCTTGGCGCCGTCTTCCTCGCAGACATGACACGTGTTGCTGGTATCGATCAGAAACTCAAGATTGGCATTGTGCAGACCGCTTACGCCAATGGTGCTGCAACTGAGTACGTTGAGAAGGTCCTCAAACTCCCAGTCACGGTCACCCCAACCGGTGTCAAGCATCTTCACCACGCTGCTGCGCGTTATGACATTGGCGTCTACTTCGAAGCCAATGGTCATGGTACTGTTCTCTTCTCGGACAATGCCATCAAAGTCATCCGTGAGTCGGAACCCAAGTCTCCTGGACAGAAGCACGCCCTGGAGTCTCTTCGCGCCTGTATCGATTTGATCAATCAAGCTGTTGGTGATGCCATTTCTGACATGTTGTTTGCCGAGGTTGTCCTTGCGCACAAGTCTTGGACTCCGGAAAATTGGCGCAACACTTACATTGATCTTCCAAACCGCCTCGTCCGCGTTGAAGTCGCCGATCGCTCTATCTTCAAGGCTACCGATGCTGAGAGAAAGCTTGAATCTCCCAAGGGTGCGCAGGAGGAGATTGACAAGTTGTGCCATATGTACGTCAAGGGCCGCGCCTTTGCTCGAGCTTCTGGTACTGAAGATGCCGTTCGGGTCTACGCAGAGGCACATTCTAAGATAGAATCCGAGAAACTTGCTAGCCAAGTCACCGAGGTGATCCGAAAATATGGTGCCTAAGCTACGAAATGAATGATGATTGACGAACCGGCCCGGGTCGCAGGAGGTCGCTATTCCCAAGGACGAAATGGCTTGCGCATAGCGAAATGGCGTTTGACGGGATAGGATAGCAGAGCTTTGGAGCCTGCAAAGCTCAATCGCTTACTACTAGGAATCCAAAAGTGCTTTTGCTGTCACCTGTCACCTCAATTGAGGCGATTGTTCAGGGACAGTATAATCCTGAATTCACCACTCATTCGGCATTGGCACTAGATGCTCTTGATCTGCGAGAAAATCTTGCTGTAGACCCGTGACAGCCGATCAGTCCTGCCACCAAACATTGCTAATTGAGTTCGTATCCATGCTGCCTTTCACTCGGGTTGACCTTGGTAGCCTGCATATCTGTGGATTTAGGTGCCTGCAGCCTGCAGAACTCCGCGATGCTTCTGTTTCTGTTCGTGCTATTGAAGCTTGGAGAGAAAATTCTCTCGGTTAGCGAAGGCTGGCGTCGCCGTTGAAGCTTCTGCGGGCCCTCATAGAGTCATGGGTAACATTGACTCCTCATCTTGTGACCAACTTACTGCCCGTACCAGGGGATGTCACCCTCGAGGCCAATGATGGAAAGATGGGCCAACGTGTCAGACTGGTACGAATAAAGAAGGCTTTCCGAGTCAGTACGTCGAACCAGTCGAACTGTCTAACTACTCTCTCTGTGCGACCGCCCATGCGCTATTTATTGGTCTGGTGGGGACACGCAATCGCCAGGTTACTTTCATGCTGGAATCTTGCCACCAGCTCAGCAACCTCGGCCTAACACCGTGTCTACGAGCCAGAAACAAGCCGAGATCGACAAGACGGCGAGGCCGGTTGCATCATCGTGAACGGCCCTCTCCACGACGACCTGCTTGAACGGGCAAGGCTTCTTCGCCAACCTTCGAAAGCCTGCCCATAGTCCAATAATAAGAGGTCACCCCAGTGACAACAAGCTTGTCCAAGCCTTATCAAGCATCCCAAGCACTCGCTAAAGAGCTCCTCCATGATGCAACCTTCCTATCTGGAAGTATGCTGTGGAACGTCACGCTTGCATCTTGTGTTGTTGTGTGCGTGACGAATCCCTTCATATAGCTATGGTGGAGAAAGTCGTCAGTACGGTGTGCCTGTCTTCCTCTTCTCCTCAAATTCTTGGAGCGGTCAGGTATTCCCCTAATGCATTTCACGACTGTTGTCGCAGCTTGCCTCGCCACCGGTGCGCTGGCTCTTGAGAGCCCACACCAGCATGCGCCAAAGAGAGTACATCATGTCCGATCGTCACCAGCGCGACGCTCTCTAGCAAAGAGGCAGCAGTCAACCTACCTGACAGACCAGACCAAAAGTATGTGCATCGGTGGCTGAACAGGGCGAGGCAACCTAACATGCGAGCAGAGTTTGCTGTAAATGGCACAGGAATCCCCGAGGTAGACTTCGACATTGGCGAGTCTTACGCCGGAACGCTGCCCATTGACGGGAACAGCTCTAATGCCAATCAACTGTTCTTCTGGTTCTTCCCATCCGACAACCCTGACGCCAGCGACGAGATCACTATCTGGCTGAATGGAGGGCCCGGGTGCAGTTCGCTTGACGGGCTGCTCCAAGAACATGGACCATTTCTCTGGCAAAGCGGTACATATGCGCCACAACCGAATCCATTCTCCTTTGTGAATCTCACCAACATGGTCTACGTGGACCAACCGATTGGCACGGGCTTCTCACCTGCAGCCGACGGAGCACCTGCAAACATCACCGACGAGGTCGACGTCGGTCGAGATTTCTCAGGCTTCTGGAAGAATTTCATGACCACGTTCAACCTTACGGGTCGAAAAGTCTACTTGACGGGAGAGTCGTATGCTGGACAGTATATCCCCTACATTGCAAGCTACATGCTAGACCAGAACAACACGGACTACTACAATGTAAAGGGCATCCAGATCAACGACCCCAGCATTGCAGAAGATTCCGTTCTGATCCAAGGTTCGTCAAACACATCCTGCATGCATTTTGGGGGATTCGGCTAACGACTATGAGAATAGCCCCAGCCGTGACGCATCTTAATAACTATGCCAACATCTTTGCGCTCAACCAGTCATTCATGAGTGATATCAACGAGCGCGCTGCAAAGTGCGGCTACCTCGATTTCATGGAGAAGGCCTTGACTTTCCCTCCCGCTGGCAAGTTCATCGCGCCAAACGATAGCGCTCCAGGTTTGTCCAACGTCGACGCCGCATGTTCCTCGCAGGACGGAATCTGACCCGTGCTTAGGCTGCGATGTCTGGGACGATATCGTAACAGCCGAGATCCTCATCAATCCTTGCTTCAACATCTATCATCTGACCGATTTCTGTCCGTTTCTCTGGGACGAGCTTGGATTTCCCTCTCTTGCGACCGTGAGTGCCATCTCTCCAAATCTCGGCTTCGAAAAAGGAACCTAACTGAGAGTCACAGGGCCCAAACAACTACTTCAACCGCAGCGACGTCCAGAAAGCGATCAACGCCCCGCCCACAAACTACGCCATCTGCGGCGATGACACCCTCTTTCCAGACGGTGACCTGTCCGAGCCCTCCAGCTACTCGGCCCTGCCCTCGGTTATCGAGCGCACCAACAACGTCATCGTCGGCAGCGGCTTGCTCGACTACCTCCTCCTGACCAACGGCACGCTCATGGCGCTGAACAACATGACCTGGAATGGCGCACAGGGCTTCTCCAAAGCACCCAGCGATCTGTTCTTCGTCCCCTACAACCCCTATATCAACCAGGTCATCAACGAGACTGAGTCCCAGCCCATCCCCGCCACGCCGGTCGGGCTGCAGGCTGGTGCCGGGTACCTGGGCATCACGCACACGGAGAGAGGCCTGACGTGGGTCACGGTCGATCTTGCCGGCCATGAGATCCCCCAGTATGCTCCCGGTGCGTCGTACAGACAGCTTGAGTTCTTGCTAGGCAGGATCGGCAGTTTGACAGACATGGGATCTTTCACGACCTTGAATGATAGCTTTGTTGGGAATGCGAGGAGGCTGTAGTGAGCGCCGCCGAATGGATCTGCTCTTGTGTGTGAGTAGAGAAACTTCCCCCGCGGTGTCAAAAAGTAATTTCAGTCCTGGCATCGGTCAGGGGGGACCATGACGTAGCCTCCGAATCAGTATAATTGGTGAATGGTAATATTCAGGAACGAGGCGGCCCCGATTCACTGTGGCAACGTCATACAAAGCAGTCGTAGCCTCCTTGCCGCCATGTCGGATCCGTACTCATCGCTTAGTAGTAATTAGCTGCTCGGCAAATCAAAGGGATGACTAGGATATCGCGCGACGAAATTGTCTTCATCGTGTCCATCTCGCAGCCTACGGAGTTCATGCAGCTGGCCAGACTTCCGAAGGCCTGCAAAAATATCCTGGTCCGCTGAAGCGTAGTTGGCGTATCGGAAATCGTGCAGTTGAGAGCTTTCTCGAGCCTTGTCCTAGGAATGTCGTCGAAGAATTTGTAATAGTGCTTGGTATTTCGTGTCAAGGGCTTTACATGACCACCGGACTTCAAGGGAGATTACTGTGTAGAGGCTCCTGTCACTGCTATGGAGGAACAAGGGGACCCCAAAGAACTTGGAGTCCGTTTAAGAGAGCGGTGACTTACGAACGAGTGGCTTCGCCGAGTTTTCAAGTCCTAGCATATTCCTTTTTTTGGATGTTCTGGAGTATCCTAGATGAGATAACGTCAGTGGCTAAACAAGTAAGCTCGGTCTGTATGCTGGATCTTCCGTGAACTCAGACGCCGCTGTGAGATGGGCGAAAATATAAACGATGTCCGTAACAAAGGATGCGCTATCGCCGATGGTGAAGGTCGATTTCTGCTGCCGGAACCCAGATGGGTTTTCATGTCAATATCCCGAGCGAGCTGCGCCTCAGTCATCTTTTGAACGGAGCGGTGCAAGCTGGGAATATCGAAGAACTGCGGAAGGAATGGACTCGAATAGATGGCGCCGGTGCGGGTGAGCATTATTACGAGTATTGTCTGGTTGCTTGTCGCAGCAAATACTACTGATAGACCGACAGAAGCGTAATTGTCGCTCCCTTTCAGCCCAGTGAATAACCGGCTATGGTGTCAACACCAACCGAGCCTGCTCGGGCGCCGTTGACAGAGAGATTCTCATTCTCAATAAAATCATAGACATCCTGCCATCGCGCACCTGCGCCCATTTCTAGCACATAGGATCTCACGATCGGGGAAGCATACTACCTAACGGTCACTCAGGGGTACCATCCCGACGCTCTTTGCGATACACAGCTGACTTTACCAGCTGCCTGATCTCGGGGACGATAGGAGTTGATATAATGGATGATGAGAGGGCCATAGTCGTCAAATGAACTGCTAGCTGGTGGACTTCAACTTGCACCATGCTGTCGATTCATGTCCATACGTCATATGTATAGTGCTTGCGCTCTGCCAGGGATTGAATTGGCCAGGAATTGGATTGGCAAGTCTCCTATAGGTGGCTGGGTTGAGAGCCCGTCCGAATTGGGCAATATGTTCAACAGCGATTTAAAAACATTCCGACTAGATGCAGTAGTCACCCAATCCTTCTTCATACATGTCCCATAAATAAGGCTGTCTCTTCCTGGGGATTTCTGAGCAAAGCTATACACAACTTTGAAAAGTGTCCTCCTCCTCCTCCTCCTCCTCCTCCTCCTCCTCCTCCTCCTCCTCATTGTATTATCTAGACCCAATAATTGACCCATTCAAGAACACCGGCTCTATATTACTGAAATTTTTAAGATCCTCAATCATTAACACCATGCTGTCAGTCGCCGTTGCTGTTTTGAAACTTTCGGCCGAGTTCCAGGTCATGTAGGATGCAGCAATGTATGGTCTTGAATCACCAGGATTCTTGTCGAACTTGATGACCTTCCAGTCCAATAAGCCGTACATTTCCCATTGCTGGAAGACCATTGGCAGATGTTTGTGAACGTAGTACTCTTCGTCGAAGGTGGCTGTCGGGGTGTCGGGGTAAGCGACCATTGTGATGTAAGGCATGATGCAGGCTTTCCTAGAACAGGAACGACTTTTGATATACAGTTTAGTGATGTACCTGAGTATTGGTTCGCGCGGTATACTTTCTCAGCTACTCTACCAGCACGTAAGAGTTCTTCATTCTTTTGTAAGTATTGCTAGCATCGCCTTGAGCGGACCAGGATAATCATGTTGACAGTAGTCTGTGCACGAAAAGACCTGATTCCCGAAGTCCATCACCCCATCATCTCCGCTATCCCGAAGCGCATGGGTTGATCCTCATTACCCCATGCCTGTCTAAGCCCTGCTTCTCCATAATCAGTCATAGTATGTGGATGGGGTTCCTGCTTACCCACAGCACCCTGGCCAGCCGACCTTGAACCATTGCTCTAGCTTCATAGTAGAGGCCGAGCTAGCCATGAATATCTGCTAGACACATCGGTCCATGTTCGAGTCTGTGCATACGTCCCGTGCTTGGGGTACCTGGTCAGATGTACCAGCGCATGGCTTCTCAACTCTTATGGTCACAGCCTTGCGATCACGTGATCATCTCAACCAACCCCATGTATTCCATGTGGGCCCCATCCCCATCCCCATCCCCATCAGAACCGAACCGTGATCGAGCTAGATGATGCACAGAGGTATTGGCACGGGTGCCCTATATGAGGCTAACAGCAGCCGGACCTAGCGGAATCTGGGGTATGAGAGGCTAAACTCCTCGTGCTCCAGCTCGGAATAGCCCATGAGCCTGCGTGCAGTGCAGACTCCTGTATATGAGATACTGCTGACCTGCTTTAGGCGGTAAATCTCAGGGGTACATTTGAAATCCAAGTTCTCTTCAATCTCCTTGCCATTGTTTCTACACCCTTATGCAAGCGCTTCAACTAAAGAACACCGAAACTTTCCAATCCTAATTTCAAACACCCTACGAATCTCTCGAATCCTGATTCCAAGTAGAGGGTTTTCTCAACCTGGGCCTACAAAATGGGTCGAGGCGAGACAGCAGTTCAACAGCAGTCAGCGATGGCCACCACAAACGCCGATGCCCTCGAGGCTGGCAGGGTGACTCGTTGGAATCACGTCAAGACCTTCGCGCTGGTCGGAGTAAGTGTTCAGGGCTGCCTGCTGGGCGAGGACACAGCTGACTGAATATTTCTAATAGGCCGTCCTCAGTCTGTTCTTTTGCGAGTTGATCATCCTTGTCGGCGGTGGGACTTTTGCTCAGCGCGTAGCCTCCGAGATTGGAGGCGCTGGACTCACCTCATGGCCATCACTGGCGGTGATCATTTTTACCGTCGCCCTGGCCGCACCGCTTTCACAAGCTTCCGACTAGTGAGTTTTCCAATGATAGAAACGCAGGGCCCTTGATAGCTCATACTGACATGTTCAACGCTCAGTTGGGGAAGAAAATGGATTCTCGTCATCCCGAACATCGGCGGCGTTGCTGGAGCTATCATCTCCGCTCGTGCGAATTCAATGGGTATGTACATCGCAGGGTTCTGCGTGGGAGGCATCGGTTTCGGAGCCCAAGGACTCATCCTAGCCGTGATCTCGGAAGTTCTGCCACGTAGATTCCGGTCTTGGGCTCAAGCTGCTGCGAACATCATGAACGCTCTCGGCTCAATATTCGCCCTCACTATCGGAGGCTACTTGGTTCAGTCACGGCCGGGTGGTTTTCGAATTTACTTTTATATCTGCGCTGGTATCTACGCCGCCGCCGTCGTCCTTGTGGTATTACTGTACAATCCGCCCCCGAGGGAGCTACAGTCCCTAAGCTTCAAAAAGAAGGTCCAGGCTCTTGACTGGCCAGCATACATCCTTCTAGGATCGGGTACGGTTCTCCTCTGCTTGGGCCTTTTGTGGGCTCAGAATCCTTATCCTTGGAGAGACGTACATGTCCTTGCGCCTCTACTTATTGGAGCTGTCTTGCTTTTTCTCCTAGCTGTGTACGCCACAAGGCTCAAGAAGGATGGCTTATTTCACCACGCTCTCTTCCATGATCGCAACTTTCCCATTTCCGTGGTTGCTTCCGCAATTGAAGGCATGGGATATATGACAGCTGCTGTCTTCTTCCCATACGCTCTATCGGTCCTTCAAGCTGGTCAACTAAGCACCTATAGCCAATACCTTTGCCAAATGGTCGGTTTCTGTGCCTTTGGAATTGCTTGTGCGTTGTCAGGCTTGTATATCTACAAGACTAAGTCAGTCAGAGAGACAGGTGTGGGGACATTCGTCTTTTTCTTGATATTTATGTGCGTTATGGCCAGCGTCAACGAAAGGACTCCCTCGGCCAATTTCTGGGGCTATATCCTCTTCTATGGCATAGCCCTAGGCATGGCGCTCGTTACATTCTTCACATCCGCGCAGCTTGCCACTCCGCCAGAGCTCATCGCTACGACTACTGGAATCTGTACCGGCGTCCGCAGCTTAGGAGGATCGATTGGATTGTCCATCATCAATGCCATCTTTGCAAGTGGTCTTTCTGGCAACCTTGGGAAAAAGGTGACCAATGCTGTTGTCCCTCTTAATTTGCCACAAACAAGCATTGGGCCACTTGTTGGCGCGTTGAGCTCCGGTAACGTTGATGCTTTGGAAGAGATACCAGGAATCACTCCAGAGATCATCTCAGCCGCTGGACTTGCCATCAAGCAAGCATACGTTGTTGGATTTAGGAACGTGTTCATCTGTGGCGCGGCATTCATGGCTGTGGGCATCATATGTAAGTCGAAATTACTCAAACTTGCATCCTGCCTATTTCGACTAATTACCTCGCAGTAACCTTGTTCATGCGCAACCCGCACTCGGAATTTAATGCGAAGATCGATGCGCCTATTGATGCCTCATCAGATGATGGTGTTGAGAATGAATCTAAAGCTGTTCCGGAGCAACAGATCGAGGACAGTGAGATCAGAGGTCGTGTATGAGAGTCTGAATCCTAGGAGAGGCGCAGCCCTGCCGGGTGGCTGATCAGTAGTGCGAGTGGACTAAAACGAGGCATATGCCAAATGGCTTTCGTGATATTGACCTGAAATTATGTTGGACGGAATATGACTCATTTATTAGACTTCTATGAGGTTGCCTACTAGGCAACAATATTACGTTATTTGGAGGATATCGCCAGATTAGGTCTATATATACTGGATATCTATCCATTTTACTACAACAATCACACAAGTTTTTCACCACCAAAATGGCTATTTTGTTTTTCGCCAACAAATTACCTTGATCAATGGAACATGCGTTATTTTGACTATTATCTTTCTAATAGACGATTCGTGATCCAGAATGTACCATATTACCCGCCATATTGATAGAATTCCGAACATGCTAGTCCGGCTATCCAATAAATAAGCCCACCATGGGCAGCAGGATTGTGATGCCCCAGTAGTGAAGTATGGTCATGCCTCTCTCTTAGGTCCAAGAACATACCTTATAAACTTGGCCTCATCACCATGATCCACAACTAATATGCATTGTTTGATCTATTCATCTAATATTGCAGGGCAAGGGCGCCTCCATCGCACCTGACAACAGTTCCGGTGACATTGCTCGCTTCATCACTCAGTAGAAACAAAATGACCTGAGCTTGTTCCATAGGTGTGGCTCCTCTTTTGAGTGCCGTAGCTTGAATTCCAGGGTCGACATATTCTTTTGCGACACTCAGCAGACGTTTAGAGAGTGTTAATCCCGTTGCAATAGCATTCACTCGGATCCCTTTCGGTCCATACTCCGTCGCGGCAGCAGTACTTAATGTACTGACCGCCGCTTTGGACGCGCCGTACAAACTAATGCCTGACTCCGTCTTAGTAGCACTTATTGAGCTCATGTTGACAATTGCTGCGCCAGTCTTCATAGCGGGGATTTGAGACCGCATACAGTTGTATACCCCTCTCGTGTTCACGTTGATCGAGAAGTCAAAATCCTCCGGGACGGTGTCGGCGAGCTTGTTATAGTTATGAACCGCCCCGGCAATATTGGCTGCCCCATCGAGCCGGCCAAACTTTTCGATGGTCTCCTCTATCCAGGTCTTGATCTCGTCCGCTTTGCTGACATCAGCCACCTTTGTGTAGAAGCTCTGGCCAGGTAAAGCTGTCTTTGACTTCTCTTGAAGCGCCGCATTCAGTTCGGCCATTCCTTCTTCATTGACACTAATGGCAGAGATAGTGGCGCCACGGGTCCAAAGGAGGAGAGTGGTTGCTAGGCCGATGCCAGAGCTTGCCCCTGTAATTGCAATCACTTTCCCGGCGAAAGGAGTGGGCGAAAGCGGAGGGGGAAACTCAACTTCCAGAACCATATTGGAAATGTGTAACGGGTAGCTAGGTATTATCGAACTTGAGGTATAGTAAACCGATGTGAAATGTCGCGGTGCAGATTCGTCCCCCTTTTATTCATTCTCAGACACCACTTTGACGTTTAATAAGTTGTGAACTAGGCAGCTCGGTTGTAAGGCTACGAGCCTTCGAACAGCACCCCAACCCTTCGGACCGGCAACCCCAATCTAATCGACTCCGAACAAATCACTGTGCGTCCCCTGATCCGTCCCCTTTCAGGGTGGCCTGCTACGGACCGCGGGATTCACAATTGCTACCCTCACGACCTCAATCCTTGTGCAAGAGCAAAGACATCGACAAAACAAGGTCGGCAGCAAGATTAAATACTCTAACTTTCTAATACTCTTCGTAATCTACCATATTGGATGAAGATGCCTCTTTGTTGTTGCCTCGGTGAACATTTTGCTCCACATACTTCGTGTAGTAGGCCAGACCCCATGCCTTCCGGTTGTCGGGTATATACAATGGCATTTCTGGGGCACTGAGGACTTACCCTTCTCTATTCATTTACTCCAATCGGCGTGAGTAGATGGGCCTCAATCCATACCCTAGTCTGAATGGGGTCGACATCCAGAAATTAAAACTCCTGGAAGTTAATTGTTTGAATTGAAACAGCTGGCGATCGCAACAATTCCAGGAGTGTCACCCTTCGTGTTTTGGAGCTCCTTTGATTTGAATTTTTCTTACAACTGCAACCTGCTTGACAGATTTTAAATCAGACATATGTATCAGTAACCAGTGGTACCTGTTGTCGAATTTTCTCGTCCTCACTAAATTAGGCGTGGGTTTATTGCACTCGCGCAAGATCTAAACACTCTCAGCTCAATCATGATGCGAAATCTCATGCCCCGACCTCAATCGCTATTCTACAGGCGAACGACTTCTTTATCCACACTATTGAGGCCTCCTCTTGTCCCGAAATCGGAGAACCGTCCACGTATATCTCGCACATATGCCACTGTAGTCGAGGTGAGTTCCTTGTTAACTAATGATTTATTACTATCATGATATTGACGATAAGTGTCAGCCACCTAAATACGACGAAGAGTACGATGTCATTGTTGTTGGTACTGGAGCAGCAGGCCTGACAGCTGCCTTAACTGCTACTCTTTCAGGGCGTCAAAAAGTTCTCGTCACTGAAAAGACAAAATGGTTTGGTGGGACATCGGCATACTCAGGAGGAGCTCTTTGGGTTCCCATGAATCACGTTGCATCAGCCGCAGGCTTGAAGGATTCGGCGGGAAAAGCTGAACTATACCTTCGGAACTACCTGAAGGAAGACTACGAAGATGTCAAGCCTATGGTGTCTGCATATCTGGAATCAGCTCCGGCGATGGTCAGGTTCTTGGAAGACAATTCCGCAACAAAGTTCGTGGCTGCACCAACCCCGGACTACTACATGGAACTTGAGGGTGCTTGCAAGGCGGGAAGGACAGTATTGAATGCTCCATACGACGGCCGTAGGCTAAGAAGCATGGTGAAGCAGATAAGGTATCCTCTACAGGGCTACTGCGCCTTCGGTTCATTGCAGGTCGATCTCCTTGCACTGAATACTTGGAGACAGCCGTTCAGGAAATGGCAAAACTTTTCAGCGGTTACTAAAGGAGTCCTTCGATACGCTTCTGACCGAGTGCGATGGGGCAAAGGTACTGAGCTATGTAACGGCAATGCGCTAGTTGGACGGCTGGTTGAGAAGGCTATACAATCTGGTATACAGCTCTGGAACAACGCGCCAGCTGTACAGCCTCTGCTGGAGAAAGGCCGAGTCGTGGGAATGGTGATCAGCAAAGACGGCCGAGAAGTAAAAGTCCGGGCGAGGCGAGGAGTAATTCTCGCAAGTGGTGGATTTGCACGGTCCAGCGAACTCAGCCGTAAATATCTATCGAATCCAGATTGGACGATCAGCCCTCGCGGTAACGTGGGTGACGGGATGCGATTTGGCCTCGCAAGTGGAGGAAACTTACCTGCTCCTCTTGGTGAAAATGCCGCTCTATGGTCGCCTATTTCCATACTTCGTTCTCCGAAAGGGCCTGCTCGATCATATCCTCACTTTGCTACAGCCATCACGAAGCCAGGTTCCATCATGGTCGACAGCGATGGTAAAAGATTTGCAAACGAAGCAGCTTCATACCAGGATCTAGGCCGTGCGACCCACGAAGCTGGTATCCGGGTGTCATACTTAATTGGAGATAAACGTCACCTTCGAAACTATGGAATGGGGATGGCATTGCCTGGAGGCTACCCTATCAAGCATCTTATCAAACGTGGCTATCTAATTACGGCTTCTAGTATTCCTGCCCTTGCACAAAGGATCGGGATAGATCCCACTAACCTATCTGCGACTATTGAGCGATTCAACAACTTCGCTCGTAATGGCAAAGATGACGATTTTGGTCGGGGACAAGGGTCATTTGATCAAGCCTACGGTGATTTCGAGATCAAGCCAAATCCGAGCCTTGCACCCATTGAGAAGAGCCCATTCTATGCGCTGACTCTTTACTCTGGAAATGGGATCACCATGTACGGATTAGATACGAACAAGGATGGGCAGGTCTTGAAGGCGTCGGGTGAACCAGTTCCTGGTCTATACGCCATAGGTGCCGACTCGAATCATTTCTTGAAAGGGCGTTATCCTTCTGGCGGGTTGACGTTGGGGCCATCAATGGTGTTTGGGTATCGCGCAGGTCTTCATATTGTAAAGTAGTCGCAAAATAGCAAATAAAGTTACATGAGCACCGAAGGATTGCAATGCGACTGGAATAAGCTTTACATGATCACAAAGTCGATGTTGGAGCACCCAGGCACCAGGAGAGAACTTGACAATGGCCTCGGATTTTCGCAATGTTGGTGATCAATACCCTGTCCAAACCCGAATTACTCGCACCCGAGCCTTGCGCCAACACGCTCCACCCCCACCGGATGACATCCCACAGACTTCCGCATGATAGTATTTCAGGCCCAATTTTATCGGAGAAGGCAAATATTCTGGTGTGGACTTACTCCATGGTCGATCGCCACAAAAGACAGAATCAGAAGGCCTTTCACGGTACAGACGTTCAAGACAACGGGCGAACATGGGGGGTTTGCAAAGCGTTTCGGCAACGCGGTGTGTCACACCCCTTTACTCATTCTTGGCTACTGCAAATACCGCGGGTAGGGGTCAGGATATGCTTAAATGAGAGGTATATCGGCCTGACATCCAGAGACTTGGTCAATTCAGCGGCATAGCTGACTACATCACTTCGACAAAAGGGGTCCTTGCGTTTTATATCAACTGCGATCTCGCACGGCTTGCAAGCTACTCCTGATCGTGGCGACGTGAAGACAAATTGAAGCTTCTAGACCTCCATTGTCTCCAGACTTAGCAAGATGGCGTCAGCAGTTGCGAAAGCCGTGAGTCGGACATCTATATCAAACAGTGGCACAGCTAATACTCCGTGAAAGACCAGCGGAAAATCTTCTGTCCTCAAGGTTGTGGGGCTGTTCAAGAGAAAGCCAGGAATATCTGTGGAAGCATTCAGGGAATATTATGAGAACAAGCATGCGAAGTTGTTCGATCAGCACGTGGCACTTCCGGGTGTGTTGCGATTTTCTCGCCGTTACCTAACACAGATTGACGGGATGTCCTCACCACTTCCAACGACCACCGGCGGCTATGATGTTATCATGGAGGTGTGGTACAAGGATGCCAAGTTATTTGAGTCTCTGAGGAATAAGCCGGACCCAGAGTTCACCAAGATTGCAATTGAGGACGAGGAACAATTTCTTGATCGGAATTCGATGACCATGTATCTCTCAGAGGATGTCGAGAGCAAGGATGGGCCATGGAATGTATAAACAAGTAGAAGGTCATTGGACTCAATCCTATCTACAACATAGATGCTGCCCGAATTGATTCAATTTCCAACAGATCCAGCTAGCCCTTGCTCAGCACTCCCACACAATGAGAAATGACACCGTGTTGCGTTGTTCTGCGCATTGTTGTAATCTTATGTCACCGAGCTTGAGAGCTGTGAACACTACTGTAGCCCGTCTTTGACCTTGACACTGCCCTCTAAATACCTGTCGTCGACGAAAGTATAACCGCTCAAACGACTGTACGCATGCAGGTCTCGGTCTATCCATAATGGTCTGGTGATGTCCCAGTAAGGCTTGTAGTATTCCTTTTTGATCTGCACCTCCATAAACCAGTCGTTGTCTTTAGTCCAAATTTCGACAAAATGAAACTTGCCAGGCTCGGTTTGGGAGTGAAAGACGTCAAAGTAAACGCACTCAGGTTCTTTGCAGACTGCCACCCAGCATACTCGAAACGCTTCGAGGAATTTGTCGATATTGGCAGCGTCAATCTTAATTGTCCCTATGTGCGTGACGCCTTGATGAGACGGGATGAGAGGATTCGCCATTATGGTTGGGCTAAAATGAAAGTTTAGTTACAATAGTAAAGAAAGGGTGGATTGAGTGCACCATGAAAGGCTCGCACTACTGTTCTTGCGCCACTTGGAGTGAGTCGTGCGCTGGACGATTCCAGGCTGCTTTATAGCAGATCCGGGCTCGTCACTAAAGCTATGGCTGCAAGTGTTTCATGCCTCACCCAAAATACTGGCCAAACAAGTGCAAATTGACAAGTGAAATATGCTGAGGTGAATACTCACACTTAGATACTAGTCATAACACCTCTAGCTATCCCTGAGTTCAAAACGTTGCTATCCATGCTGACACAGGGCGCCGAATGCCTCGTCCATCCAGACCTTCCTGATGGGAGCCTCCAACTTGTGATTTCCACATGGTGCATGCAGATCGACTGGGGTACCGATCGTTACTAAGCAAAAGGGCGGGCCGGGAAACCCAAGGTTACGGATATCCTGGGGCTCCTGGGCCGCCGGTACCCCAGGATTTTATGCTAGCAAGAGAGCCTCCCACACATTCCATTGCCTCGATCTTCTCTCTGGCCTCTTATAATGGGAGGCTCACTTGCTATCTTTCTTCACACATTCTGCGATGGTTTTCGCCCTTCTCAAGTAAAACTCCCACTGACGTATGCGCCCATTCTACCGTCATTGGTCCATGAGCCTGTCCAGCGTTCTCATCATCTCCGTACAACATGGCCATGGTAATTTGGCAAGTTCGTTCTTAAACATGCCGAGCACCTTTAGCGTACCGTACTTTTTTTGAGTACTGGTTTGACAGCGTATTTTATGCCAAACCACCAATGCCGATAGGAATAAGACAATAGGGAGCCAGATCGCCATTTGAGGCGCAGAAGATCTCGAACTTTTGTCACAATGATCCAAAATATGCCAAGGCAAGTCAATTGCTTTGTCGGAAATCTGGAATTGGGCTGTCGATTTTGCCCGCTCGCTGGAATTGATTGATGCTGTTCCATATCCTGCAAGGTGTGGAAGCTCCCATATCTCAGGACACTGCAATTGTAACTGAGAGAAATAGTAAAGGCTAAGGACATCGGAGCCGACATGTTGCTTGAAATGGTCTTCCCATCGTGACAACGCAGCTAGGAGGTGAACTCTTAGGCGGCAGAATTCTGATCCTGCAGTCAGTGGTGCCCAAGGATTCCTAAGTTTCTGGTTTTTGTCAATTAAGTGTCGATCGACGGATGGATTGACTGCATCTTGACGATGGCCGTTTATAGCTTGACTCGAAACAATTTCGGGAAATTGTAGCGACAGGAAGTTGCAATTCACATGGATAACATCGTTGAGTATCGCCGTGAGCAGGATAAGTGCATCTTCTTGGTCGCGCACATCGCATGGTACTTTACAACCATGCAAAAGGGAATTGTAAATAGTACGAAAGTGATGATTAGACGAGGGCATCCGAATGAAGAGCTCGCTCGTTGAATAGTTTGGTGCTATCCCAAAATGCACCGCGTGCAAAGTGTCGACGAGGATCATATAGCTGATCAGTGCACTGCATAATTGTCAGTCAGTCAGCTCGTAAAATACGACAATTTTCAGACCTTTTCGCTGTGAAATCTTTGTTTGCGACATCATCGCCATGGTACAGCGGCGAGTATCCGTCACTTAGATGAAGGCGTCTTGAGATCTGTAGGGCTGGTCAGAAAATGGAAAAGGCATCTGACGCCATCTTACAGTAACGACGTTGCACAGTACTCCCGATGCCTTCTTCCAATCGTTATTGTCAGCAGACAAAACACCATAGGTTGAAAGAAGTGAGGCCTACGTGTCGGTGGCTGTCAGCAATGGCTCCCTTGTCACTAAGAGAGACTTACGGCAATGACTGCATCGAGCAGACGGGCTTCCCGGTTGTCGACCTCAAGCATTACGGACCAGAGATTCACCCCTGTAACAAAAAGTGTAGCTGACACCTCTGGTGTCGAGGACCCTTCTGTAGCATTATATGGACTCGTGTCCACTGAGCCAGAGGTGACGGATGCTAAACAAGCGTACGCAAATTGAAGATAAGGTGGTATTGAGCTCGAAGAGGAAGATAAATTTGCCACAGAGTTTAGAAAGGCATGCTGCTGGAAAGACGTGGAAAATGCCGACTGTAGACGTATCAACTCGTGGTCAGGTGGAGTTGGTGGTACGTCAGATAACAGTGCCATCGGGTAGACGTATCTGAAGGCATTTTGCTATCCTGGGCATCAGTATCTGGAGCAAAGCGCATACGTTTGGCCAACCTACCAAGTCCAGATCTTCCGAACTGTTGATGGCAGAGTCGGAGTCAAGCAATATGTCCTCTTCCGCACCCTCGCTGTGTAGCACTGCGACCCGAAAACGATCTAAGAAGGAAGTACCGGGGTTTTTGTTGGCATCGTCGACATCCCACCGCGTTGGGTGTCGTTCCCCTGGCCATTGGCGTGAGGTTGAGAAGCTCATAGCAGGGTCTAGGACACCTGGGTCAAGAGGTTGCTCAAGCTGCATTTTAAAGGTAGAGTGTCATATATTCCCGACCTGGGGTAAGGATTGTTCCAGTCGCTGTAGATGGCTTGAGCCAGTGAATGTAGATTTCATCAACCTCGGCAGCCAGTAATTATGGCCCATGGTCGAACCGATTTTTCCCCCAGTCTCGGCTTTCATCATCTGGGATCTTGGGGAACCATCGATATTTCTGTCAACCCATGTTCGGTTCCCCATTTCTTAAAGAATCTCTCCACATTCTCAGAAGTCTTCGCAAGTGGTACCACCAAACGTGTGCGTGAGGATATCTGATGGCCACCAACAACACCAAATCTTCAGGCACTCGACAGGATAAGAAGGTGCGTCGAAATTCGAGGCCTGCAATGTGCCTGAGTTCGTGCCTAGCCAGAAGGTGTTCTGCCTCCCGAACCATGTCATTAATTCTAAGCACAGTGTGATATCTGCTTTCGATGCTTTACTCGGTCAGAGCATCTGGCAAGGCATCGTCGCACGCGTGAGCATCCCCACATGTCGAGGCTATGGCTTTGCTGACCAGGCTGAAGATACCAAAGAAAAAGCTTACCACTGCCCATATTGCCCGAGATCCTTCCAAAGGTCCGATGTCAAGGCTATTCACGTTAGAAAATGTCCCGCAGCTCCCTCAGATGACAGCCCTGGCGACACAGCAGCTGAAAGGACTGGCCGGAGGCGCGTTCGCATCGCTTGCGAGAGATGTCGAAAGCGTAAAATGCGCTGTGACGGTAACGAACCATGCACTCCATGTCAATCTACGGAGTCGGCTTGCCACTACCCTTTATCAGACCGGACAGGAGCAGCACCAAGTCAATCATCGCTCCAAGAAGGTTCCGGAATGAATGGCGTTGATCAAACAATTGACGATATTCATGAGACTACTGATGTTAACAGCCACTCAGAATCAATTTCTTTCTCACTGTCGGACTCAACAGCAAAAGAACAGAGAGCGGCCAACGCTGCCCTGGAGCCTCTCAGCAGCATGCACAACGAAGCTGTACCTCCATCTCTTCTAGAGGTCAACTATCAAGATACCATTCTCCAAGAGCCTTCCTTTCAGGACTCCACGAATTTGCCGATCTACGATCTAGATGTGCCAGACATATCCCTTCCTTATGATAATTACCCTTTGCCGGACGCTGATGGTCAGGGCGATTTCTGGCAAACGCAAATTATGGTTTGACGGGGATACCAGTGTGTTTTAACCGCAGCTAACCAGTTTTTAGAACAGCCAATTCTGGTTCAGCGGCTGTGACCTCGCCCAGAGCGGTGGACTATTCGATTCCAATTCGCCGCTTTTCAACCATGTACTGTCATCACCAATGCAGACACTCACAGCGACAATGCAGGAATATTTTGACCGCAAATCTCGAGCGCCTTCACCTTCACTCAGTAAAGCCAGCAAAATGTGGTATTCGGCACCACCAAATCTAAGCGACCATAACCAGGATATTGTCAGAGTTTTCTTAAACATCTTCAGAAGACACATTCCCGAGACTTTCCCGCTTTTCAAAGATGCTGCTGTTGGTCACAAAAATCGAGCTGCGTATACCCTAGCAATGGCTGCGACTGGTGGCCTGTTCTGCCCAGTTTCCGGAAGCGCCGAAGTTGCGAAGGCTTTGTATAATGATTCTCGAAAGTTGTTACTTGCACAAGTATGAATGCCGGTAGTCAGCTGTCAGTAAGGCTGACATGAATTAGTTCAACGTTCGCAATTCTTTACAGGATTTCTCTGAAACTCGGGAGGACAAACTTCTTGTTACCAAAACTGTGCCTATACCCTCCGATCACTATTTTCTCTCACTGATATGCTACAGTTCATTCTTCTAGAGCTCTATGGTCTCTGCAGCGGCGATAAAAGAAGCTATGAATTTGCTGAAGCATTTCATGGCAGCCTCATTCATGTGTGTGAACTCATCTCTCTACCTCGAGGTTGTGCTGAATTTGAAGCAGTCAGTCCAAGAATACAGCCAGGCCTGTAAAGGCGCTGTAACTAGTGCTGACAACAACGACAGCAACATCCGGTAGGTATATCGCAATCAATGCCTTTTGAAGATTAAGATCTGATATGTATGATCAGACTGCTCGAGGCTCTGTACATTCTGGATTGCTATCGTGTTGTCATAATGCAACGTCCAGCCTCCTCATCCTGGCAACGGGCAGCCTCATTTGCTGGGCAATCATCTCCGGACACACGGATATCTCGATTACTCAATCTCATCGCAGAGTTGAATGACGGGGGACACATGACTACAACCGAAACTTCTAAAGACCTTAGTCTGCCCAGCTTGGCTTCCCTGAGTACTCATCTGTGGCCAGCTGTCTATTCGCGGCAAAATGGGTATGGTTCGGATAATGTCCCGGTGGAAAGCTTTTCATTATGGAATCCACAATATGTCGAGTTAGCTTGCGACAATTGGCTTCGAACGGTCGGACAATCTAGAAATCCTACCCATCTTGCTGTCTACCATATGATGAACATCATGCTCCACGCCAACTTGACAATGCTGCAAAGCTTTGCTCATTCGCCTCCAGGCTCAGCAGCACGAGATGCCAAGAAGAGCTCCGTGGCAAAAGAAGTTGTTGCATGGGCTCAAGACAGAAACTACAAGATCTCGCGGTGGCATGCTGAGAACATGATCTCGTCAATCGAGGGTGCTGTTATGGCTCCCAGTACGAAATCGGACCTGTCACAGGCCCTTGCCGGACACTCGGCGTCATACCCACAACAGCGCCGACTACCCTATGAAGCCCCCCACGTTCCATATGCAATCTACTACGCGACACTCATTCTATGGTGTGGTTCTGCAATCGAAGAAGGCAGAGTCTCGTCCTCAACCACTGCTCAAGCCCAACTTGCGAGAGGCGAGCGGCTTCTATCTCTCCACAAAGTTCATATCGCTAAACTCTTAGCACGAGTACTCAATGAAGTGAAGTAGATACATTGATTACATCTAGGCATTCGGACAAGATATCAGATTCAGTTGAAGCGGGGACTACTGAACGTATACGTTTCATACATAGGGTATATGACTGCCCCTGCTCTGAAGACCTAATGGCATTACTCATGCACCATCTGCAAACCCCCGTACTATTCGGTAAATAAGGTAGTGAGAGATATTTTCAGTTTGATCCTGGGAATATTTTCCCAAGTTATCTAAAGTGATTAGCCTATTGCAAAATGAATAGTCGCCCTCAATATTCAATTTTGTAAGACCAAGGCAAGGCTACTGCGTTGTATACCCTCCGTCGACTACAAATGCCTGGCCAGTACAAAACGAGCTACCTGGCCCCCCTAAGAAGACGTACATTTTCGCAATTTCCTCAGGTTGTGCCATTCGTCCCCAGGGAGGCATCCCACCGATCTTCTCCGTCTGTGAGTCAGCGTGTGAGCTGTCCTGCCCCATGACAGGTTCCAGCATAGCCGTTTGTACCCAACAAGGAACGACACAATTGATATGGATTCTGTCTTTCGCGTAGTCCAAGGCCGTAGCTCGTGTCAGCATCAGGACCGCTCCTTTGGAGGCACAGTATGATGCTGAATCTGGGGACCCAACCAGCCCATTCACGCTGCACGTGTTCACGATCCAGCCCCTATCGCCCGAGGAGTGAGGCGATTGCTTCAAAAACTGCGCTGCCGCGTGTTTGATACCGAGGAATACGCCTCGGACGTTGACAGCCAAATCTTTTTCAAGGACCTCATCGTCCATTTCGTGGGCTCTGCAAGGCTGTCCTTCTAGGAAAGACTTTGACCTGAACACAGAAGATATCCCTGCATTGTTTACCATAATGTCCAAGCGGCCGTATCGTTCGACTGCAGCTGCAACGGCGTCCTTGACGGAGTTTGAGTCTGTCACATTACACTGGACGAATATTGCACGAGGTGAAGATCCCGTGGAGGCGTACTTTTGGTTGATCAAGTCCACGGTTGGGGTGACCTTATCTATTCCCGCCTTCTTCATGGCCTCTGCATAGACTGGTGCTTTGGGTGGTGCCGGAGTCAAGTCTGCGGCGACGATGTATGCCCCGGCAGATGCGTATGCTTCGGCCACTGCCCTGCCCACACCGGAGCTGGTACCAGTGACAAGAGCAACTTTGCCGGAAAGATCACCAATGTCTGACATGTCGATGGATCTCAGTCTTCTATTCGTTGAACAGTCGCGTGGTCCTGAGGATTTTATTTGCAAGTATAACAAGCCAGCCAAGTTGCCTGGCGTGGTTGTTATTTGGCGGCAAACTTGCTCATGACATTTTAAGGAGGCTCATTTCGGGCGTTAAAGACGTGGTTTACGGCACGAGATGGGGATGGGGTTCCGAGGTAGTCTCTCACCATTGAAACCAAAGCGATTCTTTTAAGACGCGCAAAATCATTGGATAGCACAAAATGCTTTTGTGCGAATTTCAAGGCTTAAAAATCAGCAACCGTAATCGTTACACCTGAAGAATTACCGCAGCAATATGACTCAAGTTGCGGAGAAACTGGTAGGTTGAGCGCCCCGTACGAACGAACACGTGTGAGTTTAGTGCTAAACGGCCGCACCAGGCTGAAAAGACGAACGTGGTTAAGGTAGTCGGCTTGTTCAAAAGGAAGCCAGGTCTCTCGATGGATGAATTTAAGGACTACTACGAAAATCACCATATCAAGCTCTTCGAGGAGCACGTATCTCATCCTGGTGTCCTACGCTACGCTCGTCGATATTTGGAGCCTTTCGCGGGCCTAGCATCACCATTAGCTACCCCAAAGAGCGGCGGCTACGATGTCATAATGGAGGTGTGGTACTCTGACAAGGAACTGTTTGACTCCTTTAAGGGGCAATCTAATCCGGATTTCAGCGAGATTGTGAAGAAAGACGAGGAGTATTTGTTCGATCGCGGCTCGATGGTTATGTTTCTTTCTGAAGATCATGAAAGTAAAGATGGAGTATGGGTGGTCTGAAATTAACATGGCTTACTGTGTTGATGTATATGATACACTTGCATCGATATCCGTCTCATCTCTCCGTCAAGAGCCTTCAGAGACATTATAATTTTACTCTCCTGAAAATGCTCTATGCCACTGCAGGGTGCCTGTGTTTTGGTATTACCTCTGTCCTCATGTGAATCTACATTTGTGGTTTGTAGTCTCCAATATAGCACGCATGAAAAGTTATGTGTAGAAGCGTGTCCCCCTGAATGAAGACAGCATACAAACTCCGGCACTATTTCTCGGAAACAGCGTAGGATGTCCTGATGAAATTACAATCAGCGCAATAATACGTTCGTCAGGTTCGTTCGTGCGACGGATCTGAACGTCTTTCACGCTACAGGAGGGCGTGAACAACACCCAGACTGCCTTGACACTCCTACCCCAGCGCTCCGATATCGCCTAGCAGTTCTCACTTATCGGGTACTGCTTTTTCGAATCCCGTGTATGCCGGAGAGCTCAAGCCACCGTCGTATTTTTTACTTCCTGGTGGGGACGGAGGATGGAAAGGCAATGCTGGGGAGACACTCGGAAATAAAGACTCTCTGGAGAAATCATGGAGTGGTGCAGTGGTGGAAGGGCTGGGGAGGTCCTATGAGCCTGAGTTTCCCCTGAACTAGTACTACAGGTTTACCCCATCCAACAAGACCCAGGGAGGACGCTCTAAGCGGGACTTCGACGGCCCGCTGTATTTCCGGGGCGGTTCTAGGGGGACTAGAGGTTATCTTGATTGCCTTGGTAGGATACGAGATGCTATGTATCAGGCGTACCCACTTATGGTTCATCACAAGTTTCGGAATCATGCTAAGTAAGTGAGCTGTCCATCCAGAGGCTATCGGTCGAAGACCTAGGTACATAGTACTTACAGCTTAAGAACTGCTTCTGCTACGGTTAGCAGCGCCGAATCCGGGACTGTTACATCTTCTTGACCTGCCAGAGATTGTTTAAGTGTATGTCATTACCGAATCTTCTAGAAGCTGCTCACACTTTAGATATAGAGGGGTTCTTCATGTAGAAGTATGACGTCTCTCAGAGGGAAAGTCATCGCGGTCAGCGGGGCAGCTGGAGGCATAGGGGCAGCAACGGCTCATATCCTGGCTGCCAGAGGAGCAAACCTGTCCTTGGCTGACAACGACGCAAAAGCTTTGGATGATCTTGCTAAAGATATATCTGACAAGTATGGCATCGATGTTATTACCATTGTCGTCAATGTGTCAGACTCTAACCAAGTGGATAAATGGATAACCTCGACCGTGGAATATTTTTCCAAGCTGTCTGGGGCTGTGAACCTGGCCGGAACTATAGGAAAGGAGTTTGGGAAGACGGGCGCACATGAGGTTAGCGACGAAGATTTCGATTTGGTTATCTCGATCAATTTGAGAGGCATGATGGCGTGTCAGCGTGCGCAGTTGCGGCATATTGAAGACGGAGGGTCTATCGTGAACACTGCCAGTGTTGCAGGCAAGATGGGGATTGCGAAGTGTTTGTCGTATGGTGTCAGCAAGCATGGTGTTATTGGACTCACTCGAGTTGCTGCCGCCGAGAATGGCCATCGCAATGTAAGGGTAAATGCAATTGCCCCGTAAGTTTCCTCTGCACACGTATTTGAAAGCCACAGCCTGATTGTTTAGGGGAAGCATCGACACCAAAATGTTAGGTGTAGCGAGTCAAGTCAGCGTTGGGAGCAACGAGAACACGGAGGCTCCAATCAGTCGAGCTGGCAGACCAGCAGAGGTTGGAGCCTTAATTGCGTTTCTATTGAGTGACGACGCCACCTTCATAACCGGAGCAGTGTACACTATTGATGGCGGGTTGAGTCCATGACGGGCTACTTGGCCGTTCGATGCTCATTTGGATTTGGTAGCTAATTATCGGACTAACCTTGCTTTTGAGAGGGTCATGCAAGCCGAACTTCCATGGTTTCGGGAGGATTGGGGAAAGGGTTGTCTTGTCGTCCGGCGTCACCTCACGTGCAGATTTACGAGATACTGGACGTAATGTGATTGAAAATGGATATTCTGTGTGATGCGTCGAGCCACGTTCAGCTTCCAGCAGGGGAGAAACTGGCGTATAGGCGAAGATAAAGGAATCTGAAGTATAGTTAGTACGTAACAGCAACACCAATAGTTTGCAATCTTTGGACGCTTCGGGATCTACAGAATCTAGATCATGCCGCTGGAAAGAGTCTCAGAATTGAGGATGTGAACCAGACCGAGTTAGACAAAAAGGGATTTTGATACCTCTTATAAATGAATAGGCCGGGACGTGTTATAATTCTGTAACGTCCTCGCCACGACTCTTAGCACGTAATTTATCTTTCCCCCCAGGCCACGGCTTTCCATCTTTCCACATCTCCTGTACGACTGGCGTCCGACCCGATGACTTGCCCGTAGGGAGGATATTCAACCAGTCCCAATGACATTGCTCTTTCAACCCTTTTGATCGCCAATCATTCAGGCATTCCTTCGGGCTCGTGTTCATTGTTGGCAGAAACAGAGGCAGAGATTGATCGTGGGCGAAGCATATTAGTACTTGTGGAGATGTGTCGAATGCAATCAATTTTTCCACAGTCTGTTGCGAAACATCAGGGAATGCGAATGCCGAGGTCGGTATCGTTGATATTTTCGAAAATGGAGTTGATAGCGGATCTTCATCTGGCCTCGCGGCGGAGTAGCTATTTGTGAATGTCGTTGCTGGAAACGGATCGCTGTGGTCGTCATTCGCATCAAGGATACCAGCAGGGATTATGGGCGGCAGTGGAGAATCTGGTGACGGCCGGAAGCAGCCTGCGAAATGGCAAATGTCTCCTCCAAGAAACACAAAAGAGCTCTCTGGGCCAACAGACGTGCGAGCGAACCCACAGATGTGTCCAATACAGTGACCTGGGGTGTCTATGACGAATCAGTACCGCAATAATAGCTCTATAAATTAAGAGAGACCAACCGAGGAGATAGAATGACCCGTCCGAGAAGAAATCAAAGGCGCGAAATCCTCCGATTGTCAACTCTGATTGCGAAAAGTCAATTTCTTCAAGATCTCGTCCCGTGAAGGCGTTTGCAGAAACAGGAGAATCTTCCTTAAGGGGATACCCCGGCAACAAATTCGGCGCAGCCTTGAATCCTGGCCCGACCACCAGGGAAGTTGAAAACGGAAATAATGACATGTCTCCGATGTGATCCCAGTGATAATGCGACCATATCACCGCGGCTGGATTCCAGGGAATGGTGGAGTCAGTTGAGAACGAGATAATTGTCGCTATGCCACTTACAGATTTTCTCCAGCATAATGCCGTTCTCAAGCAGGATATCAGGAACATCAGAATCGATTTTAACATTCGATATAATGTCGGTACTCAATCGATGGAGCATCACCTTGGGAAGATTCCAATAGTCCTTCCGAACACCCAGATCAAACATGACGGCACGGCCTGAGGGCTCATGGTCGATTAGGAATGCCACATCTGGGACCTCGTAACACTGCAGACCTCGCTGGCTAGGCTCGAAGAAAGACTCGGCTTGAAGCGTGAATCGAGCGGTGGAGTCAATCATGCGGACGCGCACGGTATTCTCGGACGGCGGCACAGTGAGTTTGTCGGGCATCGTGAGAAGCAGCCTTGCTCGGTTTCGTTTCGCGTATTGACGATGGCTAGATCCTCTAGCCAATCCCTCAGCATTTTCAGGTCGGGCAAGGTGATGATACCGACAAAAAGTTGCACGCTGCCTGTGGGAAACTTGCGTCCATACCGGAATTGCCCCTCTCACATGCACCATTCTAGAATCTCGCTGCATCAATCCCACAATCTGCCCCGCAAGAATGAGACTGCCCCACAGCGCCACCAGCCTTGCGCCACGGGAGGCGAGGCTGCATCTCCGAGGTTAACACAACTACTAAGTCAGGCATCATGTCCTAGTCCGATTACCCACGCGGACGCTGATAATATCAGCTGAATTGACCGTAAGGAAGTAGTCTCATCTGTATAATATCAAATAGGAGTACAAGAATATCATTCAAACCAAGAGGCACACCTCATCTTATCTAATACTTTGTACAGAAATATCACCTGAGATAATCCTGTTCCTAAGAATCCATTTCGACAACAAGAATACAATATAAATATACAGAGCTTGATTACGTACGCAGCGGAGAAGTTCGGCCACCGTATTATCCTAGGCTCAATTCCTGAGTAGATGCCAAGTTCTCATGCAAGAAGCCCTCCGTCTCTGGCCATTGTAAATCTGGCCAAAGCGGCAGAGAATCGAATGGTAGTTGGAATCTCATGCCCTCGAAAGAATATTTGAGACGCCGCACTGATACTCTTTTCGTTAATTTTTATTTTAGAATGTTGCAGGTAGACCTTATATCCTTGAGACCTTTGGCGCCCAGATATTTGGCCATGTTTTCGAGGATCTCCACCCGCATAACCGTGAGTTGAGCCATCTTAGCTGTGGTAAAGACATGGACCCCTCGAGCACAGCTACCGAGCTGGGCTACAACAATCGAGGAGAATAGATGCGCGTAAGGACTGGATGATTGAGAGGTGCATTGTGGGCAGATGGGATGATCGAAGCCAACATTGAGCTCGTGAATCTGCGCAGCCTCAAAGGGGATTCGAATTCACAGATGACTAGAGCGACGGCGTAGGGTACGGCATAAGTCCACAGAGATGCGAACGGCTCCACTTGATTCTATAACAAGCGCAGTCGCAGGCAGCGAGAAATCTGGTGGACTAAACAACGAACCATGAGGACAGTGGGTCATCTCTTACCAGGAAATTGGGAAACTCAAAGATCGGCCTTGGTAATAGAAAGTCCCAGAAAAGTGTAAGTCTCGCAAATGGCTGATTTCGGTGAGTTAAAAATAAGGATTGTAAGCGCCCTCACATGACAATTCTAATCTGCTCAACAGACGGTGACGGACAACTTGTGGCCGTCACGAAGGACAGAGTCCATAATCCAAAGGAAAGTTGCGATTCTTCCAAACATAGGGGTGTTCACAGAGGGAATTTCAGGTTGCCGCTCTCATGAATCGAGAAAGCTCATACAAGATCCTGCCACGAATACACATGGCATTTCAAGGTCCATCACAACCAGGTCCGTCTTGAAAATATAAAGAGAAAAGTCACGGATCCAACGGATCAATATTCTGTGGGACAAGTTCAACAATGTACCCATCCTGCGAAAGAGTTAGTGATGATAGAGCCTCCACTTTACGGCAGCAGGACAAAGATGTAGCATCACAAGAGGCAGGGAAAATTTGGAAGCGCAGTAAAGACTTACGGGGTCCTTGACAAAGGCGATCTTCTCAAAAACCTTCTTATATTCCGGATGAATTTCCGTCCCAGTACCTGGAACCTCCAGGCCGACTCCATTTTCGTTCTCCCACTCTGAGATCGGAATAGATCGCAGATTTGCTACACCAAGATCCTTAAGAACCTCCACCCCGTTTTCCCGCAGCCTCGTCAAAGCCTTCGGGACGCTCGGCACGGTGAAACCCAGATGTCCAAATCCCAGATTCGGTGGGCCGTTACCAGTCTGATAATACCCTTCTTCCTGCTTCTCCGAACCGTGGACATGGTACAATTCCAACAAGCCCAGAGTCGACTGCAGATTTGTGGCAGTGTCCAAGCCGAACTTGGGTAGATCGGCCCTGTGCTCGTCGGTCTGGGGGTATCCAAGATAATAGATGGTGAAAGGGCCCACATTCATGGTAAAGACTGTCCGCATTCCCATGAGATTGATATAGAAATACAAAGAACGTTTGGGTTCTCGAATCCGCAGCATGAAATGATTTAGCTTGAATCCGATTGTCGGGTCGGACGCGGGAAGTGGTGGGTCGGTCTGAGCACCGTTGGCGTGGAAGACGCCATGGGGAAATGGGGATGGCGAGGTACTTGAGTTGGGATCGGCAGCGGAGGGGGCCATGATGATGTCGAGGGAGAGATGTGATTGAGAACCATTTTGAGGCGGTCCATCAGTGAGAACTTAAGTACTACGTTGGTGACCTGTGGCTGTGGGTCTACCGTTGGTCTAGTCTCGAATAGCACCCATCAGCCTTCTGGAAATCTGGGTATTATCCCGAGCGCATGGGGGTGGGGAAGCGAAAAGGCTATTCGAGAAGTTTGCTTGGGACTTGTGGTGGGTTTTCTCAAGCTGGATGAGATGGATGTGAATTTGGTTTCAAGGTCTTGAAGATATGACTAGTTGGTGCGTACAAGGACTTGTTCCATTCGGAGCTACAGAGAAAATAAACACGGTAGTTCAGATGGGAGCAATTGGATGCAGAGGGACGGATGGGTCTATGAACATGAGCTCCACCCCATTCACAATGTGGGTGAGTGTCTGGGTGAGTGTGGTGCCACGTCAAATTATTATATAAGGCGGTTGTAAAGCCCCTCTCACCCCTCATGTAATCACGTGAACTGGAGTCCCCGCCATATATACTGAACTGGGGTTCTTCCCAAGCATATCCCTGCGAAGCTCAATGTCAGAAAATCAACTACCGATACCTACAGACGCACCTCATTCCCGGTGTTGTACCGAGGCCTGTGGCTCGCTCGTTTTCGGATAAGAAGCATCGGTGCGTTAATTCTGAAGAGCAATTTAGACAGCTCGTGCCCGAGGCCATAAATCATACAATTCTACTCTAACTCTGTCTTTATGTCTGCGCTAATGATAACTGTCACCTCTCTCTGCGATGGCTCTAGAGAGGGTCGAAGTAAACCGAGATACCATGTCCGTGTCATTCCTGGCTGTTTGGATCGCCTGGAGTATGTGCTTGACGCCAACCCCAACCTCATTATTACGTGTCGTGTCCCGGATCTCCGCAATAGCACGGGCGGTATCTGCGGCGGTAAACACGCTTGACTCCTTTATAATGACCTCCAATTCCTGATAAGTCCTCACGTTGCCGACTGGGATGTCGGTGTTGAAATGACGCCAGAAATCCAGCTGCTGAAGAACGCTCCTATCAGCCGAGGTAACCAGGACAAGAAGACTACGCCCAGGGGGTGGAGCCTTTCTCAGTAGTGCGACCATGGTCTTAAGGATTGGGTTACTGAAACGAGGTCCAACAGGAGTCCATTCGCAGAACTCCTCAATGTCATCAATGACGACGACGCTTGCTGGACTCTTATGTGCATCCATAAACACCCGACTCAAATAAGAGATCTTTTGGAGCTCATTCATCTCTAGGGTATCCGTGTTGCTGACTAACTTGATGAAAGGATAGCCCGAGTCGATAGCAATTTTGGCTGCCAAAGCCGTCTTACCGGACCCCGAGGGCCCATGAAGGCAAACAGAGAAAGTTGAAGTAGAGTCGGGATGGCGGACTTGTTCCACGAACAATCTACCTTCGTCGAGCACTTCCTTGATCTGCGGCGAGAAGTGTATTATTCCGCCTTGGACACAACGGGTCAATTCCTCTTCCGAAACGCCAAAGGCGGGCTTCACCTCGTCGAGAGCGTTGATGAAGTCATCTCGCTTGACCTTCATATCGGCCACATCATCAGTTATACCGGCCATGGTGCCGACTTTGATATGCCTGCTAAACGCGAAGGAGGTGGCTGATTTAACCAAGCCTCCAATTTCTGCACCGGAAAAGTTCTTCGTCTTCTGAGCCAGTTCCATAACATCAACATCAGTATCAAGTACGCCATTCTCTAGCATGCGTTTGGTGTGGATTTTAAGGATTTGTGATCTCCCAAACTCGTCAGGTAGCGAGATTTCCATATGGAGTTCCAGACGCCCGGGACGCAGCAAGGCATCATCGATCATATCCTTCCGATTGGTCATGCCGATTAGAAGGATATTGTTGAGTTGGTCGACACCATCTAGTTTGGATAGCAACTGATTGACAACGCTGTCGCCCACACCCGTACCACCGCCAGCGCCACTGCCTCTTTGTTTGCACACTGCATCGAGTTCGTCAAAAATGATGGTGTGAAGACCGGATTCATCTCCTTTCTCCTTGTACTCCTTTTCGGCGTCTGCAAAGAGTTTCCGAACATTTTCCTCTGACTGTCCAACGTACTTGTTGAGTACTTCAGGACCATTGATGACCTTGGGTTCTCGAGCATTCAGCATCTTGCCGATTTGTCGAGCAATGAGTGTTTTGCCCGTACCAGGAGGGCCATATAGTAAAATTCCCTTGACGTGCTGGATGCCGAGCTTTTCTACCAGCCCGGGTGGGAAAACGCGACTGGCAAATGCCCTTCGAAATATGGTGACAAATTCACTATCGAGACCACCAATACCCATATCCTCAAACTTGAAGTCAGGAGCGATAATGGAGTTGGCCGCGGGCCGCCGAGAAGACGCCTTGAGGTTTATGGCTGTTTTTGTGTCTTTAAAAAAGTTGATCTGGGATTGCGGTGTGAGAATTCCTCTGGCTCGAGGATCAGAGGTAGTGGCAGCGCCCTTTTCACTCAGATCTGCAAGTTGAACGGTTTTAATGACCAGGTTGAGAGGAACACTTCTAAGATCCATCAGGAACCTTTGACCTGGGGCAAACATCTGATTGCTGAATAACTGTGGAAGGTATGTCAGTGTCTGAACTTCTCTGGCACGGAGAGCGACTTACCCTCGTAACTTCCTTGGCCAATTCATCCTGGTCGTATGGGGTCTCGACAATTTTTCGCGTGCTAGCGAATCCAATTTCGACGTCTGCAGAAGCGATATATGCTTGATTTCCATCCGCAAAGGGGTCATAAACTTCAACCTGGATCTGATCCGTCAAGGCAACACCCATCCATGATCTTTGAGGTTCGGAGAGACCGATTGTGCCCGGGGGGAAGTTGTCCAGCGGTCGAGCGGAGACAACATACGCCTGGTTGACAAGCAGGAGAATGTCCGAGCCATCCCTAGATGAAGGAACATCTCGTGTAGATACCGCAACTAGATTGCGGAAGGTGTACGTGTTATCTGGACTCTTGGCAGGCTGCAAAGTCAGGAGCTGGCCGTGGCCTCCACCACCTCCTCTGCTTGGGTTTTGCTGGTGACCTTGCTGCCGTGGGGGCGGATTTCTCGCAGGCAGACCTTGGCCAGGTCCAGGTCCGTAGCCAGGTGGCTGTCGTGGATAATCATAACCACCACCCCCGCCACCACTCATGGGAGTATCGTATGGTCCTCCTCCTCCACCGCCTCCATAGCCTCCGGGAGGGCGCCGGCTGGGAGAGGGTGCTTGCCCATATGGATCCCTCTGAGGTGGTCCGCCGCTACCACCGCCACCGCCGCCGAACAAGTTGTTTCTATTGAGGAATGACATTTTAAGGAGTGTCTTTGGGGACTTTAGAGGAACAGGAAGGGTGTTTGTGCAGGTGTGAGGTTGGAATGAGCTGAGGTTCTCCAAACACCGGTGAAACAGGACAGGAGGAAAGTCGCTGAAGCGGGTGTAGGTTCTGGCGCAGGTTTGGTAATTTGTGCTTGGAGATTCTGAGGAAGTGCCGAAACCGAGAAGAAGCCAGGGTGTTCTGAGAGAGATAACGCGCTACAAAATCAGTTCGCCCATATGATGCTGCATAGAATTCTACCTGGGTGGCTTTTGTAGGTTCCTGCCCCAACTTACTTTGTAGGTTCTTGGGGAAGGGGCGATGCATGAAGCCTAAACAGAGGGGGATGTCATGGCGTTCCCAAAGAGACAAGTGTACCGGGCGCCGGCCTCGTCAGCAAGGAGTCATGTGACACATATCGCAACGCAGGTATGCTTTGGTCGAGATACCCATGCCGCTTTAAACTCAAATATCTAGTGATAGGTTACTCTGTACCATGGGGGTTTTCGATGGCTAGGTGATTCTCGCAGATCAAGCATGGACGAAAGAACAGGTTGGTCTTTGCTGCATCGCCCTTTTCAGCTTTTACGTTTTGGTTACGTTGTAGCCTGTCGGGCCAGTACAACAAGGCCGAGATGCGCAAGGCTGACACTCGCAAGGCTGCATTTGCCAAGATCCTACGTCATTTCCACCTATCAGCCTCGAGTCACACGTTCTCCGAGCCAGCCTTGCATTCGCCCTTTCGTCTTGTACAAATTACCCATTTCTTCTTATTGCTCTCAGGCGACGGGAGTCACGCGCGCATCTCTTCGCCGAGTGCCCGTTCGGTAGCTTTCTTTCCATCCAGTCAGCGGCATGCTTCATCCCTCCTGCCCCCTCCTCACGTGAAACTCTCCTTTCATCATGCCGCTCCACCTCCTCGGCAAGAAATCGTGGAACGTCTATAATCCCGCAAACATCGCACGCGTACAGCGCGACGAGGCCGAGGCCCAGAAGCAAGAGCAAGAGCAAGAACGCCGCCATAGACAAGATGAAGCAGCAGACAGAATAGCCGCGTTGCGAGGAGAGAGAGAACATGCTGAACGAGACTCAGCATCGCCAAAGCGAGACTTGGACCACCGCGACTACCAAGAGTCTGCGAAACACCGAGCATCGAAGAAACGCAAATTTCCAGGTGAAGATGATACCGATCGAGACATCCGGCTTGCTCAGGCACAAGTGCAGAACTTGCCGAGCACATCTCTCTCAAAGGATCATTCTCCATGTAATATTGCGAAGTCTCGAAACCACTCTATCACCGATTCCGACGGCCACATCTCATTATTCCCCGTCCCAGAGCAACCAGACCGACCTCGACGTAAAACCCTACCGCCTGGCGAAAACCCATCGCACTTCTACCTCTCCGACGCAGCTGCCTATGGCCGGAAAGCAAGCGATGCTCCGTGGTACAGCCTCGCGAACAAGAACACCCCATCCCTGCCCTCCAGGGAGCCATGGGGCTTGACATCGCCGCGAGGTCAACAACGCCAAGCAGCCCGCGCCTCGGCAAACGACCCTCTCGCGATCATGAAGCAAGGCGTTAAAAGGCTTCGTGAATCAGAGCAACAACGCAAAGAGTGGAAAGAGCAGCGGGAGCGTGATTTGCGAGAGGTCGAGGACTTAGCACGGCAGAAGCGGAAGAAACGGTCCGGAGGTCGGCAGAGAGACGTTGAGAAGCGGCCCTCTCGTAAACACCGAGCCTATGAAGAGAGACATTCAGGCTCCGATGCTGGTAAAGCCAATGATGATGACACGGAAAGCCTCGACGGATTCAACCTTGACGAAGGGTATACGAAGCATCCTGGGAAGGACGGCCACCGCCGACGCAGCCATCGCCGGAGCGATTCCCATCATACTCGGGACTCTCACCATCACCGTCGGCGCCGGTCACGTTCAAGGTCTCGTTCGCGTTCTCCAAGGAGAAATTGAACGGTAGCTAATATGTCATGTATGATCGATAGTCCAACTGAAGATTGGTCCCAGTTATCTGAAAAATGCCATGAACCCTAAACGAAGAATAACCAACAAGCCTCCAAAGATTGCCCATGGCGTCCGGCCCGTTGTCTCCTTAATTATTCTTTTGATCTTCAGCCATGTCGTCCATATCATCCGCCCTCTCCTGCATCCAGGATCCCGCCATCCATAAGACCTCTCCGCATCCTCCGTCACATGAATATGACCTCATCGAGGCACGTCGAAAACCAGCCAAGTGGTGGACCGCTTGAACACCTACCTGCTCGTCAGGCGGTCATCTACCAGTTCCTCGTAAGCGACATCGCCCGCGTAATCCTGCCGACTGTGGGCTGCGCAGTGGCCTTGACCTTCGGTGTCGGGTCGAGGCTCTTCTGCCTCAACTCCTCCAACGGTGTGCCCTTCTCAAACATTTTCCGGACCTCTTTCTGTCTATCAGCATGCCCATTCTCCTCAGCGTCTGGAGGCTCTAAGGGAGGATCGTTGAAAAGTGAATCCAGGCCGTCGCTGTTGCTGCTCTTCTTTCCCGAATCTCCGAGCCCGGGAATCTGAGCATTTGTCAGGCTCTGTTCTCCTAACGTCGCGGCTTCGGGCTTCGACAACTGGTTTTCGCTGAGGCGTTGAACTGATCTGGACCTGCTTTTGCTCCGCTTAGGGATTCCAAGGCCTTCTACAGAGTTATTTGGCATTGGATGGCCTGTGCTTGGACTGCCTTGTCTGGAGCCGGGGTTTGTCTTTCGGCTCGACTTTGGACTGCGCGGTTTAGAGCTGGGAGTCGCTTTTCTGGTATTGGGGCTCGACCGCTTTGACTCGGATTCCTGTGATTTTCGGCGTTTCGTTGGTGGATCCAGATTGTCATTGTCGTCGCGGTCGGGAGTAGCCCGTTTCTGATTTTGACTGTCAACACGGTCATCTTCGCGTCTTGCCGCAAGACGAATGCTGCTCTGGCTGTCCTTCAAGGTCAGATCGATCTTGGCCGAGCGGACGTCGATATTCGCGTTCTTTTTGATCACGAATGTTGGGAACTCGACCCTCGTATTGTTGATGGCCACCTCCACAGCAATGTGCCATTGATCAAGTCCAGGGTCGGAAGCAGTCTTTGTTATTTGAAGGGCGGTGGCTGTTTCATTTGCGAAGGCACGAGCGAGCGCTTGCACTGGAATTGGCATCTCACCATGGACACGGACATCGCCTCCGCCACCTTCTTGATTGGCTGTGTTCGTGGGATCCTCTTTGTTTTTATCTTTGGTGTCATCTTTAGTGCCATTGTTGGCATCGCAGAATGGTACCTTCTCGTACATGAGGAGATACGGAGTGAAAGGGTTCTTCTTCCTACTCCTTTGTTCCTCTATGACGGCTTCCAAGTCTGTCTCGGAGACGATCCTGTCGTTGAATTCGGACAACCTCCCGTCCTTGAGCGTCTGGGCAATATAATGACCTGAAAATGTAGTATCGCCACTATGGTTTGAAATACCCACTAGACGGTATTTTGTCTCTGACGGTACGGGTGTCCTATGTTCGACCAAAGCTCGTAGATCAACCTCTTCGGGAATCTGCACTATGACCTTTTCTTTTTTCGAAACCGAAGAAAGAAACCGGGTAAGCGACAAGAAGAGAACCTCCGGCAGCTTTGCGAGTTTGTTCCATGTATAACCCTCGTAATTGTGCATTTCGTATAGCCTTTCTTTTCGCCGTTCGCGGCACTTTTGCAAGTCTGTTTCTTGCCCTCTTTGGGTTTTAACACGCTTGTATATCTCTTCCTCTTCTACCTGGAATAGTGCATCAACGGCTAACTTGTCGGCCTTGGCTTTCTCGCTGCAGGCTTCCCGACCACAGTTGAGCTCACTAGTTTCCGATTTTAGACTCCGTCGCATGCAATCATAAAGGTCAACTTTGGGTTCGACTTTTCCTTTTTTCCCCGTCGGGAAGCATACAGTGAGTGTCCAGACTGTGTCACGTTCCAATCCCTTGCTTCGGCGCTTGGCACTTGTAGCTCGATTGCAATAGACGCAGTTCCTCCTCACTGTCTTCTTGAAACCAAGCAAGTTCTCGATATTCAAGCTGCGAAGAACGTCGAGCTGGTGTTGTTCGGATTTTGGAAGCATCGGGGCTTCCACTCCAGCGAAAAGACGCCTTCGCTGGTCCTGGGCAACCTCAATAAGCCAGCGAAGGAGTTCAGCGGGGTCTTGTTGACCCTTGAATTCCCATGAGCGAGGATTTTCTGAATCATTATCTTCCTCTGATTTATATACCAAACAGACCTCCTTGAGATAGCTCCAAAACCTTTTCATTGCGGCATCCACCCGAGCCTGTCTTTTGTTCGATTTTGTGGGGGCCCAATAATCATGATAGAGATACTTAAACTCAAAAAGGACATCTGTGTATTTTATTTGGGACACCTTTCTGACGTTGCTATTATCAGGCCACAATGGGTGTTCCTTGTCACCTGCTCTAACCAACGAATCGTAACTGACGAGTTCCAAGCCTGTGCGAACAAGCTGGGGCAGATACCTATTCTTGATCCATTGTACAATCCTTGTGCTATGTAACAGCACCACTAGTAGCGAGTTCCGATAGCACAGGAATCCCCTGTCATTAGAGAAGCCAGGGGGGACACGGGAACCTCTCGCAGCCTCCACGTCGTCTTCATCGACATCCGACACGTCCTCAAACTCAGGTCCCTCCGAGTTTGTCGGGCTTGCGAGTCTTTCGTCGATTGATATTTGCTGATCATTCTGCTGGTCATGTGCATTCTGCTCTTCACCTGGTTCTTCTGGTATGGAACTCAAGTCATGTGCATGCTCATTGTCAGCTCGCGGTTGTTTTTGAGTGTTCCTCCTGTCCCCGCTCGCACCTGCGAGCAGTCGGTTGGCCAGTGAGGCCGAGGAATTGGCTTTGTTTGACCGGGACGCTGAAACTGCTCGAGTTTCCCTCGGTACTGAAGGTGCTCTGCTTCCAGAGGCTGCTGGAGTTGTTTTGCGTTGTCGCGCTGTTGGGGTTGGTTCTTTTGACTGGACAGGCGTTGGGAGTTTCACTGGTTTGGCAGCAGGCTGCTTGCCTCTCTTTCTTACGGCCATTACGGGTCGTCAAATGAGGCAGGTTTTGGGTGAGGGAAAAAACAATGTCAATCTGGAAGAGGCATGATAGGAGCAGTGGTTTGTAAAAATAGAGCAGGGGTGAGCAAGGTGGTAGAGACATTGTAGCACAAAGGCACTGAGAGAAAACAATAGAAATGAAGCTTGAATAGTCGTTTCTTCACGTTTTCGGTCCTTGTCAATGGATGGGTGCGGCAAAACGAACAATGAGCAAGGGCGGCAAGGCAAACCCACCACAGCTATATTCGGACTTAATGTATCTTCACGATTAGTCAAATTGTCTTGTTGATGAGAACCTCATGTTGGTAGAAGGGTATCTAAGAAGAGTATGCATGCGGCCAATCTCCTTTGTTGCAATTTGTGTCCTTGCATCTTGCAAGTCGAGCAACCGTTTGCGGCAAGGCTGCCAATAAAGGGGACCAACCCAAAGAGACGACTGGTTGAACGTAGCAAATGGGAGCCTCGAAGGGGGCGGCATGTTGGATAATGTCAGATTCGTACACGGGAGAAGAAGCAAGAAGAAGCCTCGTCCAAGCGGAAGAGGTTTGTGGAGGCTCACCGCGTTGGACGAAGATACCTTGGCACGTGATTAGTAGCACACGTGATATCGCGCTCTCCAGGAACCTCGTCAGAGATAGATAGAAATTATGGTCTCGTCTTTGTCGTAACTCGGTACCAGCTTGCAATTCGACATACATCATTATATAGACAATCAACCAAGCTGCTCACTTTCGCCAGATTAGAAAATTATACAGGCAAGTATGAACGCTTCAGTGCATTGTGTCATAGAGCGGTAGGCCCTCGCCTCGACATGGCGCTGCCGAAGAACCGCCTCCAATCCTCGGAATTCCTGTTGTTTGGCTCTGATTGAAAAATTGGAGACGCTATTGGTTCTTGCTTCGATTTCCTCTCGGTGGGTTGTGTGTTGATTTGCGGAGCGCCGCTCGCCGCCGCTGCTTTTTCCGTGGGACTGGTTCGAGCAGTGCTGTCAAGCCTCTGCATTTGTTTCCTCGATCTCCTAAAGAAGAGAAAGACGCCGGCTAACACCGCTAACACAGCAGCGATGATTCCAATCGCAAGACCACCTTTCGCACCTGGACTCAGGCCTCCCGATGAAGCCGGTGCCACTCCTGTTTGCGCTGCGCTTGATCCAGTGAGGTTCGATGTCCCTTCTCCTCCGGTCGGGGATGCGGTGCCCGTGGTCGAGCTTGCGTCTACCGTAGGTCTTGCGCCACTTCCAGTATGTGTTGCTGAAGGCGCTGCAACGGTTGCCTGGAGTGCATATGTCGATGCAACACCTTTTGTGCTTACCATGGTGAATCCAGCCCCAGTGACTGCATCGGCATGATTGTTCGCATCCTCGATCATAAAATGGCAAGATGCTGGGAAATTGGGAATATCCATTTCCGCTTGAATAGGCGCAATGGCATAAGTGCCATCTGAACTGACTGAAGGTATGTCAGCCAGCTGGTTAGATCTCACGGTGCCACGTTCTGCATACTCATGTTAATTGTCGCCATCGCCCATGTATCTTCATTATCCACCTCGCAGTATAGAGTAAGGTTTGCATGCTGCCATATCGTGTCGTAGCTCACTTGAACAGTGTCGATATTGTTAACTGTTGGTTCGCCGGTAGGATAGAGGAAGACGGCGTGCGCGTCGTCTGAGCCTGCGTCCGTTGTAGCAGAAGCTGTTTCCATCGAGGGATCGGCCAAGGTGGATGGCATCACCGCGGTTGGATACATTCGGATGGAATGGTAGTCAACCGCATGCCTGGCATGATGGAGCAGACTTCCTGCCCGCATCAAGGCCGCGTAGACCTGGTTAAGAAACAGGCGCAATCAAGAACTCCCACAATATGCACTCATGACCCCGGGTTCAACGAGATTCCCAGGCCCGCAACAATGGTGTTTCTGGTCTTATTGATGCTTTGTTGATACAGGAAATGCGCCAGTAGGGAAATGATTCACGTTTCATAGCCAAGTTCTGAGAAGCGGACAAATACCATGAGATCTCGCACGACCTCAAAGGGATTTAACCCCAATTACAGCATGGCGCCTTCGGATGTCATCATGCTGGATGGTCGACTAGGGTCTGAGACGGCGGCCGATGGCGCTTCAATAGGCGAGATTGCATCGTGGAGTGACGATGCTACTGTACTCTGACGGAGAAATCCTCGAGGCTCGACCGAAGTGTCATGTTACTCTGTACTCGTGCTGATATCGTTTTGGTTTGCCATACAGGACAGAGTTTGGATTTATCTGGCTCTATGACTAGCAGTGACCGTCGACCGCGGACAGAAAGCTCAAACATGAACCTCTTGAGATGGACATGCGGTGCGACGAAAAGCATCAACAAGTGCCGTCGGCCATCGGCTCTACCGGGGTTGGATGTGGAAACGAAAATGCCCAATGGCGCAAAGGTTCAGGGGTTTATTGCTCCACACCAGGAGCCCAAATCGGATATCTCATCTCGGCCCATTTCCGGTGTCTGAGACAAAGAATGAAATACGAGGTCGAACAGTTCGAGCCGTGAGCACTCTTCAGCAACGATTGGAGGAACTGCCGTCGCTCATGCCATGAACATCAGCAGTACGAGTACTACGAGTACTACATGCATGTTGTATAAAGTTCTGAAACGGCCGTTCATACCATGTAGCGATACTAGAAAGAGGCTAGTCCAACTATTGGTGCCCCATGTTCACGAAGAAGAACCACAATGCCCGCATGAAACCAGGTCTCTATGTAGAGCATACGAAAGCTGGGGTCAGCAACACAGGAGATAATTATTTTGGTTTGAGGCCTCGTCAGCCTATATGGGAACTGTATCCATGGCACCGTCAAAGCTTCGACGACGTCTAGCTACAGCTTATCCTTATATCACACCACTCTGCCATCCTTGTGCTGTCGTGCCAATTGTGCCCACGCTTGCTCCTCGTCGTCTAGTTCCTTCACCGTCCAAATTCAATTTGCTGAGAACCTCGGTTGGAACAGTAGGAATATATTTCCTTGCTTGCTCTCGATTTGTTCCCCCAATTCCAGCCCCATAGGAGATCAGCATATCTGTTGAAGTGGGAAGTGAGAATGGAAGCATCAAAGATTGGTCCAAGGTCAACGCATTGCGGCTCGATGGCGATTCAGCATCTGGCTCAACTGGAGACGCTGCGGAAGGCATAGAAGGCCCCTGTGGGGTGATCGGAGGCTTTGCAACTAGTGCTCCGTTCTCCTTGGTTGGCGTCGAAGTGCCTGTTTCTGAAGCCTCCACCATGGGTGTCAGGGGCCTTCTGATCAAGGACTGTTCACCTCTTTGGAGTTGAACCAGGAACTTCATATGTAATTTGAGAAGGCTCTTCTCTCCCACCTCTGCGCGGTAATTTTTGACAGCACTAATTAACTGTGTGGGCGTTAATCGTTGTAACTGAACCAGAGTCCCCACTAGAGAGTCGTGATCTTCCCCGAGAGAACTAAAACACTGCAGCCACTGAAGAAGCTGAATGATTGGCGCAAGGTGACGTCTAGCTGCATCTACAGTGTTCTCCCCTGTCGAAATCGTAGATCCATTTTCATAGTGCTCTGGCTGTCGATTATTAGCCCGTGCCCAGTCTTCAATCACAGAGACATTCATGCGGATTTGCATGGCTTTGGTCCGTGACAGATATTTTCTCGTGGTCATAACACGATTGAAGAGTTCTGCTCCGATCCAGTACAAAAGTTGTGCCAATATCTGCGCAGTGATCACAGAATGCACGTCGTACAGATCAAGTACGAACAGGGTCGATGATAGCAGAGAAGTAATGTTCCGAGGTGAAATTTGGGCGCGCCTTTTGGGTGAAGGAGGTCGAAATCGTTTGTCGGGCGCCTCTTCTTTCGCTTTGGGCTTCGACTTGAAGACTTTCCATTCACCTTGGAAGGCAATATCGTCGAGGCCAGGGATTGTCTCATGATCTAACATGGCCACATCGAGGATTTTGTTCATTCTTCGCTCTGCATCTCGGATGATGAGAATGAATATCTCGTTGATGAGCTCCGCCAACTCTAGTTGATACTTGGACGTAGCCAGGACTAATCCAGCATCCTTTTTCAGGTAGTGGAGGAGCAAGGTCGAATTCGATACCCAAAAGGCGAGCATGGTCATATCCCATTGATATCTCTCAATGACGTCGTTGATCCGGTCCATCGCTTTCTCCAACACCTCTTCTAAAAGGGTTCTAGTCATGTGATAATGTGCATATCGAGCCATCAAGAAGATGAGGTTTGCAGGGACAGGCTTCTGGGAGGGAGACCGCTGAGGTGTCATTCCAGTGATGATAAGGTCAAAGATGGGATCGAGTTGATCGGTTTGAAAAACAAACATCTGATCGCCAACGCAGCGATCCCAAATGAATTCTTCCTCGTCAGATTCGACATCGGTGGGTGACTTTTCGAGTTAGCAGAGTAGCACGAGTGCTTGGAATGTGCTCACCTCTGGGCCTTCATCAAAGCCGAGGGTAGAAAGATCCACTTCAAGATTGGTGGCACTTTCCTGCATCAGCATCCGTCGCTTCATTTCGTTCTCGGCCATTTCTTCCTCAAAACGGTCTTGCGAGAAGCCAGAGTTATAGAAATCATCACCAAGGCTGGACATGCCAAAGTGATAGCCATTTTCGTGCAAGTAGTGGGAGAAGTCCGAACCAGGCTGAACAAAGTCCAGGGCAGTTCCACCCGACGATGATTTGATATCGGGATTGGCACCATGATCCAACAGGAGTTTAGAGATCTGCTTGTGTCGGTTGGTCATTGCCCACATCAAAGCACTCCACTGGTTTTGATCCTGCTTGTCTACCACAGCTCCAGCATCCACCAGCGCTGCCACAACATCCAAATGTCCGAAGCAACTGGCATAGATCAGTGGAACCGTCCCTTCTTCGTCGGGCTGGTTGACGTCCACGAATTCCTTCGCTCGCCCTCCGACCAGCTTCTGAATTCGTGCCACATCTCCGTTGCTTGCGGCCATGTTAAGGCTCTTTTGTAGAATCGCGCTTTTCTCGTCACGCGACAGTTTCTGGTCCGTGGCAATTGCATCTTCATCTTGCCCGGGACTGCCATCTTCCCGGTGGTGGGCCTGTGCCGCTACCATCTCCATCAGGCGAGAATCGCTGTCTTGCAGTCGCGCAAAGGTCTCTTCTTCATCATAAGCCGGTGTATCCAAGTGGAGGTCGAAAGCAATTGGCTTGGCAGGGGTCGGGGCAGTGATATACTGGGAAGATCCTACAGATACACAGCAATGTGAGCGACGGCTCGTCACGGAAGAGGAAACGTGTCACATGAAAGGGAATCTCGACCTTGCCAGCCATCGTACATCTCAGTCTCTCCTCCATAGCTAGGAAAGGAACGGCGGTCATCGAGGGAAGTTGGGAGATCATCAGGTAATTTTCGAGGGGTTTCCGGAGACGATGGAGGAGAGTCGGGATCTGAAGTCGGATCTACGCGATCCATGGTGTCTTGTGCACAGAGAACTTGGAGGTTGTGGGCTCATGTCGGATGGGGTATCAAGGAAGAGAAGCCGTACATCATCTTCTCGGGAAGTACATCACAGGGTGTAGGAGAAGTAAGCCACAGGTCACAACGCGAGGAATGTTGGAGGGACAGGGTGATCTGTCAACAGGTCCCAGGAGGCCAAGGGGCGTGGTTGTGATGTTTCCTGGCGTCGTTTGGCGTGCAGGGCAATGGCTTTGGTGGTGACGATGGCAGCAGTGGCAGACGCAGTGGCAGACGGTTGGAGGGGATATGCAGGCGGAGTTGACGCCGGCCGGATTATCCATCTTCCGTGCTTGGCAGCATCTCCGGGTTAATATCTGATCCGGAGCTCCCCTTACCCCTTTTTGGGCGGTATTCGTAATTTCTTACATTCTAACTCTTATCCAAATCATATCCACGAACAAAGGTGCACATGTTGACAGCCAGCGTTTAACATCAGACTGGCTGGATATAGTATTTCATCCTGAGATTGCTAAAATATGTGAGCGAGGTTGCTTCTGTCACTTTGCTAGAATAAAGTCAAAGTTTCCAGGCCGCTGACCGCTCTACAAGTAGTATGTTGTCCGACAAACTCATTTCAAACAAACCTGAGGTGTAGATGAATTCCAGGTCAATCTGAGCCCACAGCGTGTTTACATTCAAAGAGTATGTTCAAGGTCTATTTACCATGACTGGCTCTCCGGTCTCAAGTGATTGCTTAAGTGCATTGCACACCATCAGAGCAGCCAGTCCGTCAACTCCGCTACAACTTGGCTCTTCTGTGCCCTTTATGACTGCGACAAAGTGTTCAAGCTGTGACTCAAACGGTGTTTTGGCATTGACATCAATCTGCTCACTGGACATTCGAGAATGCCAGGACTTGGTCGTGTCGCTCTCATAGGACCATATGCTCATGTCTGGCACACTTAAGGTCGCGTTGGAGCCGAAGATACGGTAGAAATCCTTCCCAGCCTTAGGTATTAGAGGGTTCTCGCCCGTCCCAGCCTCGAAATTATGCGGCGAAGGTGTATTATCGGCAAGCAGGAAGGAACCCACGGCACCGGACTCGAACTTCAGTGTGATGGCAGCGCCCTCGTCAGCTTCGAACCCTCTCTTTGGGGGTATTGGTTCCGCATAAACTCGTGTGATTGGGCCAAGAAGATAATGCATCAGATCGATCTCGTGAATCATGTTGATGAGTATAACTCCGCCGGTCGTCGTTCTCCTCCATTCTGCCGGCGGATCAAAGTATTCCAGCGGCTTATACGTGGACCATATACCATTCACTGCAATCAAGTCTCCAAGTCTTCCACTGACAATGGTGGTTTTAGCAGCTAAAATGTAGGAGTTAAATCGACGGTGATGCCCCACCAGCACTCGCACTCCCGCCTCGGCGGCCGTGCGAATGAGTTCTCGGCCGCTTTCGATATCTATACTGATTGGCTTTTCGACGAGAATATTGACACCTGCGCGAGCCAAATCTAGGCCTACAGGTACATGGATGTGATTGGGAGTGCAGATTATCGCACCATCGGGCTTGTCGACTGAGTTGAGCAGTTCAGTGACGCTCTGATAATATGGTACATCGAGTCTGGCAGCGAGAGCCTTGCCTGCCGGCATGGGATCAACAATTGCTGCTAGCAGAGCATTCGGGCTTGCTACAACTGTTTCTGCGTGTCTTGGACCGATGAGACCGACCCCGACAACTGCTATTCTTTTTGGCGTCGCCATAACTCCAACATGCACATCAATGAACCAGAGAAACTTGTAAAAAGGGCTTGTGCCTAAACCCAAAGGAACGGGTACAGACAGGTATCTTTTGAACCGAACGAAATCTGGCCTGGGAGTGGATTGCTGCAATTTTGATGGGGATCTTGAGCTCTATGGAAGAGCGGATTTTGCCTCCAGCCGGCTAAGATCTTACCCACGCCAGAGGAGTGGGCCGGTCAACCACCAGAGTTGCTCGATATATCCATATTGTTCAAATGAATACAAGACACGCACAAGACGAAAGTGTTCCTCTCCAGAAGCTTTTCAATGACTCAACCCCAAGATCCTGGTTGTCTGGCATCTCGCATAGGGAGAAGGTGGCGCACTGAAGCGGCAACACTAATTCCAACTTGATTGGTTAGAATTTCAACGGAGAGAATACTCGGGTGTCTCTTATCATATCCGTTAACAGGGGCAGGAAGCCTTCGCCGATGACTTATTCATTGCGTTAATTTTATCCCAACACGCAAGCAACTTGCTCGTAAAGAATGACCCTTCTGGGGATCCCACAACCTCGGTCGGATGATAACATGCGGTTAGCTTCCTCTGTCCTTGGCAAAGCTGTGTGATCTTTCAAACCAGTATCAACAACCCCTGGCTCATATTCCGTCCTTCAACGGTACATTATATTGTGATATTATAAGGACGAAATAGATTATAGTTCTATGTTACAAGTCCAATAATGCCTTCCCCTTCTCACAAGCAATCTCGGCCATCACAGCCTAGAGGACAAGATCTGGTATTTATTACCGTATCTCAGCCTGACCACCTCAGGCATCGAGATACCCAACAGAGAATCCGGCATCATGTCATGTCCCAAGTCGGTCGTTACCGAAAGAAGAAACCAAAGTTCCTCACTGTGGCATTAGAGCTCTCGACCAATGCTGATGGTGTTGCGACCTCCATTGTTGGAAATGAGAACCCAGTCCATTCTCGAGAGAACACAATTGTTCCACGGCCCCTGTTTCCCTACGGAATATACGCAGTAGATCCAACACCACGAGCCCGTGAGCTCATTCATTTCAGTATGCCACATGAATTAAATCTACACATGCATCGATCGCTTATTTTTCCAGTACATGTCGAGGCCGAGTACCTTTACCGTCCCTTCCGGCGAGAATGGTTCTCAATGGCGGTTATTGATACCAGTGCCTATTTTATCTCGCTTGCCAATGCGTCACTGTACATGAACAGAATGATCTGCCCTGGTGGCCTTGAGTATAGTGATTGTCTGGAGTCATCCAGCTACTATAGTACATGTCTCAACACCCTATCGAAGAGACTTTCATCTCGCACTGAACGGTCGAGTGAAGGAGTCATTACAACAATACTCGGTTTCTTATGCCACGATGTTAGTGATGTCACAGATGCTGTACTCTGACGTTCCGTCTGATGATGCCATAGTCAAACGTCAGCAACTGGCAGAGGTGGGCCCTTCACATGAAGGGCCTTCAAGAGGTCATGCAGATCCGCGGTAGCTTGCAAGGCCTGAGCAGCTGGGTCACGGGTTTTATCTTTTGGTATTCGTCTTTCCTTCAACATCCCTACTAGGGATTTCGAGTCATGATCATGTTAACAGAAACCAGGATGGACATCGTAGGCTCAGCAGTGTCCGACACTAAACCTCGTTTTAGCATCCCCGCCGATCTCACCCCGGTTTCCTCCCGACAAAATGTGGCTTCACCGTATCTCCAATCCCTAATGCTCCGACTAAGAACGCACAATTCCCCGGCGCTCAATGATACCGCCCTTTCGCTCGAAGGGGCCAGCCATGTCGCTGACATTGTCAACCATCAGGCTAAAAGCCCCACCTTCTGGAACGATGGTATGAACGGCACACGACTGATTGGTCCGCTCTCCCATCAGTTGCTCTCTCTGCCGAGACTGACAGAAAGCACCTTTGAATCCGCAACCGCGCTCGATGAAGCGCTGCGAGAAATGACCAGACTTGCACTTCTGGTTGTGCTGGCAAGGCTGAAGCTGGACTTCACATACATTGCCGACGAGCTTGGGCCTCTACAAGACCGATTTGCACGTATTTTCGCCCATGATATCAACCATGATGTCCGGTTCCCAGATCTACAGCTCTGGGCGCTCAGTATATTTGGGTCTGTGGCTACGCAAGGTTCAAGTCGCGATCTTTACACAGTCCGAGTCTGCGAGGTTGCAAATCGTATGGAAATCAACTGCGGGGCTTCTGCATTCCGTACCATAAGACAGATTTTCCTCATTGATGATATGATGGCGACGGATGTAAGGGCTCTTCTTCTCGAAAGCATCTGCTCCGACCGAGACTGTTGTCCCAAGAACCACTGTTCGAGATCTATCCAGCGCTCGTCCCAACGGAGCGATGCTCTTTTGATTTAAAGACTAGACATATCCTTGTACTAAAAGTATGAAGGTACCGCCTACCACAGCGGCCCGGCGGAAGGATGGACGTTGGAAAGTTTCTGAGGATCATGCTCATTGCAAAGCAGTCTATAAACCCGGGAAACCGTGTTCTTTGCCAGGGGAATTTGTGGAGGGAACACATATCGCAAATGGGCCGAGGAGACCACCTGCACATCCTTAGAGCTTACTAGCTCTTTCCTCCAGCGCAAAGAAGCGCTTGAAATCATTAAGACATTCGGGATTGGAGACCGTACTACTGACAACTTTGGGTGGCTGTCCAGTACAGATGACTTGTTTGACTAGCGTTTCCACTTTCTTCCCATTCGCCGTCATTGGGATTTCGTTGACGGCTAGGATGAACCTAGGAACATGCCTTGCGCTCAGACCGTTGCGAATGGCATCCTTGAGCAGGGTAGCAAGTCTGTGGGTGAATGTTTTACCCGGGCGCATGATGACGAAGAGGAAGACTGATTCGTCAGTGTCAATAGTCTTCCGTCGTCGACCTACGCAGAGGGTGGTTGAAATGGTATCGCTGAAAGGATGTGCTTCCGTGATCGAGTATATCTCTGCAGACCCGAACCGTATTCCTTGAGGGTTGAGAACACCGTCGCTAAAGACACATAGATTTAGCAGGACTGCTTGCGGAGAAAAAAGGCTTAAGTATCACTTCACGTACCTTCGACCATGTACAGTCCAGCCCTTGGTGTAGGGGTTATAACTCGCCCAATCATGCTGCGCCCAACAGGTATATCCAAATCGTTCAAAGTAGGACGCCCGGTACTTCTCATTGCCTTCATCGCCCCACATGAAGACTGGCATCGAGGGAAATGGCTGTCTGCAGACAAATTCCCCTGATTCTCCGGACTGTCTGATAGATTCTCCGGTCACAACATCTGCAATGTCAACGTCATGTCCCAGAATAGGCAGCTGGAGCTCCCCTGCATAGAGGGGCCCAGCTGGATCGGTGCCAACCCACGACGTGACCAGGTCCGTTCCGCCCGTCACGCTTGTCAGATGAACTCGCGGTGGAAAGTTTCGATAAAACCAATGATACTGGTCTGCCGCAAGATGAGAGCCTCCCGATTGAACCATGCGTAGTGAAGATAGATCATTCCGCTGCCTGATACTCACGTTAGTGGCTTCCAAGGCCTGCAGATAGCGAGGAGAACAGCCCCAGTAATTGACTTTGTACTTCTCGACAATATCAAGCATTGCATCCGGAGTTGGCCACGTAGGTGAGCCGTCATACAAGATCAGCGTGGCTCCAACGGAGAGGTGGCCGATCATGATATTCCACAACACCCAAGAAGTGCTGGAGTACTGGAATACAACCTCGCCTGGTGTGAGTGAATTGTGCAGGATCCCAATCTTCTTGTGCTGAATAATAGCACCATGTCGGTGTACCAGGCATTTTGGCGGGCCTGTTGTCCCGCTCGAGTATAAGATGTATAACGGATCATTGAATGAGATTCGTTCGTACTGTAGCTGATCTGACGGAAGTGAGCGGGATAGGAACTGAGAGAGCAACGGAAATAAAAGGACATTCTCCTCCTTTGTCGGAATCAGAAAGACTTCGTCTGTGCATGACAGGTGTTTGGCAATGCTGGCAATTGTTGCCATATTGGACTGCTGTTGACCTTTGTAAGTCCGATGGCTGTCTGCGAATAGTATTGACGGAGTCACTTGCTGAAGGCGAGATATGCAACCCTAGGATATGGTCAGCTCCAGCCAGCCATGCTATTTCCATAGTAATCCAGGGCTTATATACCTCTTCCCCTAGGTCTGGGGCTATGGACGTAAATATTGCTCCAATACTAGCAGCCCCGAGGAACAGTGCGACCGACCATACCGAAGTCGATATAATTGCGGCCACACGATGGCCCCTCCTAACACCACTACGCAAGAAAGCGCTTCTCACCTGTCTGACCTTCTCTCTCAGAACCATCCAGGACCAAGTCTCGCCTTCCAGCCCTTGGTTTTCCCTTAACCCGACCAACGCGATCGCATTTTCATCTAAGGAAGGCTGAGTGAGGACGTTTTCCGCATAGTTGACACAGACTCCTTCAAACCAGAGAGGTATATCGACCATGGGGACATCGGAAGCATATGCTCGCATAGTGTGAGCTGGCAGATGTGGTATCAAGTGGACATAAGACCAGAGATCGACCCAGAAGCTCTGGGGATGAGTAACACTCCATTGATGCAATTGCTGTGAGTCGGCAAGGTCAAGAGTGAACTTGCGGTTGACATGTGCTCGATATTTGTTTATAGGAATCTCAGAGCGGTTGATTTGTGGCTCCCATACTGGAGAAGGCTGCTGCCTCGCTGGATGCTGTCTTGCACTCGACTCCATTTCTTCCTCTCAGACTGGTGGAGGTAGTAACGGCTGGATGCTGTTCAGTACGTGTCGCGTGGAGCGGCGCTGCAGTATGCCCATTCTAAACCATCTAATCATTCACAAAGCCAGAACTTATGACCACGGACATGGGGTACGTTTGCCTGGTCGTGCTGGTTTCCATGACCCTATGTTATGTGGTATCGGGGCTTTCACGGCGATTCTGCTGGAAACGCGGGGAGCGGAGAAAGAACGGAACGACCCCGGAAATGAGGGGGACGTGAGGACTGATATCCAAATTGACGAACCCTCAAAGACGATGCCGAGGGATGGCAAAAAATGCTTTTGCCCTTAGCTCAATGTACAACTATTCGCCCCGACTCTTGAACGAGGCCGAGGTGCTGGTAGATTGAGAAGTAATTGGAGAAGTACAGCAAGACGTCTATTGGCGTTTGAAGAATAAAACACTCCAAGACCGGCACGGCTCACCGAGGGTGGGAGAATCGTCAGAGACGATTACTACTTAGAAATATAATATTGGTCCCAGCCTTGCCAATCTCGGGAACGATAACCTTTAGAGGCACCATGAAACCGTCGACTGTTGATTCGGGGTTCATTTTATCCTTGCCCCCTTTGCAAAACCCATATACGTCGGACGCTTCTTACAAACGAGTGTTAAAAGCATATCTTCCTTCCGGAATTTTACAGGTCGTGGAGCCCCGATTGACCAACTTCGCTAGCGAGGCAATCTCTAATGAGGTCTATGAATGGATCTCAAACGCAGAGAGAGAACAGCCATACGTGAAGACTCGAAATGTTTGGGGAGCTCGGTACCCGTTTGATCGACTAGTGACCTCCCATGGCTGGAAGCAACTGGGGAAATGGGGTGCAAGAAATGGGTATGCTCGTGTCCAAGTTGATGTCATTCCCGAGGCTAACTGCTGGTGTCAGTGTCATCGCCTTGGGATACGAGGAAGAATTTGGGGAATATAGACGCATCGTCCAACATGCATTGTATGCTCTCTTCCAGCGAACGCGCTTTCTTAGCACATGCTAACTGCCTTCCTTTCTGCTACAGCAACTACACCTACTCTGCGTCTTCTGCTGTCTACTCTTGTCCAGTATCAATGACAAGCGGTGCAGCACGTCTGGTAGCAAAACAGCTCTCCGATAAACCTTCAAATCATCCCTTCCACGAGATATACAGGCGGCTTATCTCGAGGGAAGACAACTGGATTTCAAGCCAGTGGATGACCGAAAGACCAGGGGGAAGTGATGTTCAAAATTCTGAGACGGTCGCAGTTTACTCACCACTGCCACGAAAGACAGGAGAGTATGGCAGTATCGAAGAGGGCGACTACCTCGTTTCGGGATTCAAGTATTTCTCGTCGGCCACCGACTGCAATATGGCGTTAATGTTAGGGAAGACTGGGTCTGGAGTGCTGAGTCTTTTCGTAGCGCCAACAAGGAGAAACATTATTGAAAATGGTCAAAGAAGACAGGTGACCAATGGGATACGCATTCACAGGCTCAAGAACAAAATGGGCACGAAAGAATTGCCCACCGCCGAGTTGGAGCTGAAGGATGTCAGAGCTTGGCTGATTGGGCCAATTGACAGAGGCATACCAACAATTGCATTGCTGCTGAATGTTACTCGAACACATAACTTCATCACAGCATTATCATGCTGGCGCCGAGGGATGTCTATCGCCAAGGGATTTGCTTTAGCGAGAACAACCATCAACCAGCCACTGTGGACTTTCCCCATGCATCTGAGACTGCTGGCTACGTTGGAAGTGAAGCATCGAGGACTTCTACAACTCGCCTTCTACACCACCGCCCTACTAAGCTTTGTGGACAATGGATTTCCGGAGGCAGCCTCTGCACATAGTGTGCCATTTCCAAACCCCGGTGAGGAAGCTGATGTTGTCTTGCGGACTTTGACGGCCTCAGCAAAAGCAGTTATATGCAAAGTAGCGACCATCGCATTGCAGGAATGCCAGGAAGCAATGGGCGGTGTTGGGTACATGGATGAACCAGATGAACCAGAGCATAACATTGCAAGACTAATGAGGGACACTGCCGCAAACATGACTTGGGAAGGCACCACCAATGTGCTTGCCAGTGAGGTCACTCGTCATCTTCTGAACCATGATGCAGGTAATCTTAGGGTATTGAGTTCCTGGTTGAATCGGGTGATCGGTAATGTACGCGAAGCGGAACTAAAAAGGCTCCTGAGAGAATCCTGGCACAGTCTCCAACAGGTCGTCGTCAAGGGAAAAGCTGACCTAAGCTCTGCGCTGTCGGACGGACGTCAGATCATGTTCACGCTGATCTGGATCATCAGCGGAACCTTTCTCGCGATCGATGCTCAACGGGATAACGACGAAGTAGCAATGGAGATAGCCCGTAGATGGGTTATTGACGGAGAAGGTGGCGTAGGAGAGTTCGTCTTTCCTCAAATCGTGCATTCCAGTCGACCGAGGATATCAATGGGAGGTCGCGATCGTACAAATTGGGATTGCAAACTGGTCTGGGGCATGGATCTACCTGAGAATGCCTCTACCGGGCATCGCCCACTGGCAACTGGCTCGAAACTGTAAATGTGAGATGGTAGCTCGCGAACTAACAGGTCCAAACGTGTATCCTCGATTCAAAAGCAGAGTCTCCAAGCCGTGGTAGTGGTTGAAGAGAGGCACTAGTGAAGAGAAAAGTACTTCTCTACATCAGTCTCATCAGACGTTAAATAAATGCTCAATTCAAGACGGTTCCAAATAGTGCATATCATCTATGAGATACCTTGTACTTTGTAGCCCCTACATCATCAACTTATTCTTTGGCGAAATAAATACCTAGCTTAGTTGCGTCACGTGATAGCTATAATCGTGAAACCCACGTGACCCAACCTAGTATCGAGACTTCCACGATCCGAACGTTCTTCGTCTTCTCTTCTTCTTTCCCAGCAGCATCTCATCTCTCAATTTCGAATGATTCTGTGATCAACAGCGCCACAGAGGCATTGTTGGTCCTGAGTCTACACATGTCAGGAAGAATAGTCAGTACAGCCATTGGAGGATAATCCACACACCTTGCATCTGGACCTCGACCGCTGAGTCATCTGTCCCAAAGAGAGCGCGGAGGCTTTGTCGCATATACAACTATACCGCCATACCGCCAAACGACAAACTTATGCCTCAGAGATGACGCCTCGTCCAAAGCTGAGTCAAGCATGCTCAATTTGTCACCGGAAGAAGGTTTTTTGGCTCCTTCTCATATCCTGGACGACTCCTGCTGACCACCATAGATAAAATGTGACTTGAACTCGAGTGAGCCACCATGTTCCAATTGCCGCATCGGAGATTTGCCCTGCAGGTAGGCTTTGTTCTATATGCTTCTATTCCGTTACGTTGATCTCATCCAGGCCGCATAAGAGGAAAAGAAAGCGGTACAACTTAAGCCCGTCCCCGGCTCCAGAGCACAGTCCTTCTAAGAGCTCTCATCAGACCCAAGCATTTCAAATCCCAAAGATCAAAAACAGCCAGCCCCCTGTTTTGGACAGTAGAAACTCATACACTCGGCTATCCGCTGACGAGAGTGAGCCGTCATCAGTGGAGCCTTCCCGTACTCTACAGGTCAATGAAGGAAGCACACCGGGACGTACAGAGACCTACATTGGGCGAGATGCCTACCTGGATGGCAGTATTCCTGTGGCTGAAGATACCACCAATGTATTACCACAAAACCATGATGGTCTCTCCGACATCGACATGCAGGTTCTCCATTTGTACAAAGCACTCGAGATGCCACCGAGGTCAGTCCGAAATAGTTTGATTGACAAGTTCATGGAACACTGCCTCCCGTGGATGCCTATAGTGGATCGACGCTGGCTTGAAGACCAACCAGATCATTCCCCTTCGCCGTTGCTCCTTCAGTCAGTCTTCTTGGCTGGGAGTCGTGTATCTGCAACACCCTTGATCGGAGCCACATCAGAGGATTACTATCAAAGGGCCAAGGTATTGTTCTTTTCCGGCCACGAAAAGAATCCCCTGATATCGGTCGTCTCGGCGTTGCTGCTGCACTGGTGGAATCCTACCGGTCCCGAGCAGATTTCTGCGAGTTCGAGTGGGTTCTGGGTACGTATTGCTGCGGGCCTTGCTTATCAAATCGGTTTGCACAAGGAACCGGCATCAGCCCGAGACAGGTCACTTCACCGCAGGGTATGGTGGACGTTGGTGGTAAGCAAACTCTCGACTTAAACCAATGTGCTCACCTCACTAACGAGCTCAAAGTGGAGAGACGATGTCATCTCAGTTGGAGTTGGACGCCCACGAACAATCAGCCTGAAGGACAGCAACGTCCTTCCACCCTCCGTGAAAGATTTCTCCTCTGGTAATCCTGATGCCAAGCTCTTTACGTCTTTCTGTAAGGTCTGCCAGCTGTTGGGCGATATCACTGAGTACCGGAGACGCAAAAGCTTCAGCGCAGACAAGCGACAAAGGTTCGAGAATGCCCTGTACAGGTGGATCAAGGAGTTGCCGTCAGAATTACGACTATTTAAGGTTGCCCACGACCGGGTGCTGAGCCCGTACAATTTCAAAGCACGGCAAATCGCAGTGGTATACTTTGTCATCCTCATTATCTTGCACAGACGCGATGAACCCAGCAGCCCGGCTTCGGCACCGTCACTGGTCGCCTCCTCTTTCCTTGCCGGTATCTTCGAAGACTTTCTGTCTCGAGATGAATTGCGTTATCTAGGCCCCGTGTTCGCTTTTTACGCGCTTGCAGCTGGACTGTCTCAGATGTCGGGATACAGGTACCCGGGACTGGAGTCAACTGCTGACCACGAGTTTCGAGTCATCTCGCTGTCGTTACAACAGCTCTCCGATCGTTGGGGGTCAGCAGTCGAGGCGATGAGGTCATTAACTGCAGCGAGAGATGCAGGTATGCGGCAGCCGCAGCTTGACACTGCGCCAGCTGCCATTGCTGCAGATGTTCTCCCTTTTTTCGCCGACTTTGGGCCTGATCTATGCCGACAGTGGCATCTCCTTGGAATGTCCACAGTTGACACTTCAACCCATGTTGCACATGCTCCTCCGCAAGAAACGAGCGGACTGACGGCATTGGAGCGAGGGTCAGATATGAACATGGGAACAAATCCGAATGGGAACTTTGACAACGGCGACTTTATGGCGCTGTCACATACCCCACTGTCCTTTGGCCAGCAGGATCCAATGCTCTACCCTGGAGTAGAGAATCTCTTCCCAGACCAACAGTTTGACTATCCGTGGGGGGACTTAGATCCTGTTGGGTCTTGGTTGCTTGGAGATTTGGGACTAGATAACTCGCTTGGACAAAATGCTTGAAAGTGAAGATCGAGATTGAACTGAGAAAACCGTTTTCAACAGGATCAACCTCAAGGAGATCGGAGTTTCCTAAGCAGGTGTCAGAGGCTCTCCAATCGGAGCGATTGTATCCGCCTCGGTAGCCCGTGGAATACTTACACGAGTAATTCGCACTTCCAATCGTAATGCAAAGGATCGCTGAGTCAGGTATTGTTCCATCGGAGTCGCAACGTCTGATCATTATGATGCCTGTTGTCAGCAGCATGAAATTTACGAAAGACCAAAAGTCTCATCCATACTATCAGACCCAATCATCTCACAAGATTCGCATACTGGGGTTAGCGTTGGGATCGTCGAGACGCACGACAGGGGTCTCTTCTTTCCAAATGCGGTTAAAAGATCTCGAAGTGCTCCACACGGACGGAGATGCATTTCATCCATGCCAGCATCCATGTTAATACCTCACAGCATTAGAGGACGAGGAACATAGAGCATTCTTGGGTGAGATGGCCAAACTATAAAGCTCGTCGTCTCCCATTTCTACAGGACCATCTTCTTCAATCCATCTACACATCTCTTCACGTCCTCGCAATGGCTCCAGACACACTATCACTCGAGGGCAAAGTCGCCATTGTTACTGGTTCCGGGAAAGAGAATGGGATTGGCGCAGGGATCGCCTCCGCACTGGCACGCAATGGTGCCAAAGTCGTCATCAATTATGTCTCTGATACAACCGGACCTCGGGCGGTCAATGTCGCCGCGAAGATTCGAGAGCAGGGAGGAGAAGCGATCGTCGTGCAAGCAGACGTATCGACCCAGGAAGGTACGGCCAGAATCGTCAAAGAGACTCTCGAGACGTTTGGTAGTGACAAGATTGACATCCTTGGTGAGTTACAGCTTTTTGGTTTAATGTTCGATTTTGGATGACTCGAGCCGAGAACTAATCGTTATATGCGAAAGTGAACAATGCGGCAGTCGGGGCCTTCGGTCCCGCCACCAAGGCCAGCAAGGAGGACATCGAGCGGACCTTTACCGCCAACGTATATGCACCGTTGTTCATGATACAGGCGACTGTCCCTGTCATGCCACAGGGAGGCCGCATCATCAACATCGGATCGATTGCGTCAAAGCTAGGCGTCGCTCCAATCCCGCTCTATGTTGCTTCCAAAGCCGCGCAGGATGCTCTCACCTTTGCCATGGCCATGGAGGTAAGTCCCGCCATTCTGAGACATGCCTGAATTTCTGTCTGGAGCCATATGGGACGACACTGGCTGATATGATGTATGGATAGTTGGGCCGGGAATACGGAATCACCATCAATTCGATTGCGCCAGGTCCTGTGCCAACAGATGGCATGCCAAAAGGCCCCATTGCCGATGCTATCCATAATAACCTTGTGCCAATGACAAGAGCTGCCGAGCGAGTAGGAACGGTGGAGGAAATTGCAGATGCAGTTCTCCTTATAGCCTCTGAGAAGAGCAGATGGATTACCGGACAGTTCATCTCTGTCAGTGGTGGTATCACTGGCGGGTAGCTCTCATTTTGAGAGGCGGAGCAAGATTTTGCAGCTTTTGCAGCTTCCTGCGTACCAGTAGACGATCTTGATAGCTACATAGACTCGTGCCAAACATGAACATTGTCAATCTAGGCGACCGCATATTCAATCTCAATTGAATGTCCAGGTCTATTCTGCCTTTGGGATTCCCCATTGATCTCTGAGAGACTGCAGCCAGTCGGCGATCGGAACAATTTCTCCACCTTGTCGTGCTCCGTCGACGAGCATTCCACCGACACGGACGTTCCCTTTGCCAACCTTCTGGTAATCCTCATCCGAGAAAGCCGGGATGTGAAGGAAATCATGGTCGGGGCTACAGATCACCCTCTTCAACATGCCTTCACGGAGTTTCTTTAGACATCTGGCATCAAACTGAACATCGCAACATATCTTGCAGCAGTAGAAGTCGTCCGCATAAAACCACCTAGTGCCGCATCCCCCATCGCAGAGACTACAGAGCTTGCCAGTACGGACCTTGGCTTCTTGCGTGATGATAGTTATTGTGGGACCGTCAGCGTTAGGGGTGACATCATTGGCTTCAGACGATTGGGCTGTGGATGTCGATGAGTTTTTCGATGCTCTTGACGAAGAATCATCGGCATCCTCGTCTCCATCTTCTTCATCGTCATCGTTGGCATGCCCTCGTTCATCTTCCTTGTCGGCGTTCTCGTCTTCATCCTCCTCGTCTTCGTCTTCCTCATCCGCATTGCCCCCTCTATCCTCATCTCCATCAATATCATCGGGCAAAAGAAGTGACCAAGCCGTGAGAGCATTCAAGTCGTCTCCTGCGTGTAGCGCAGCTTCTCCAATGGTCTGATAGCCTTGGAAATCATTTTCTGGATCGTCGTCGCTGAGCAAAAACAATCCATCCATCATGTCGCTCCGAAGAAGATCTCTAGCCTTCTCAGTAGCCATGGATGAGATATAACAGGCGGCAAGTGCGTACCGCACAATTCGAGCCGTCCAGTATACCTTCTGGGCCTCTGAGTAAAACTGCAGTAGCTCATTTAGCTGCTCTTCTGTATCATGACCTCCTTTCCTAGCCAACGTGTCATAATAGACACAGATACGTCTAATCGCGAGTGAAACTCCATGTGACACCTCGAGGTTAGACACCACATCCGCCAAGATCTTGAAGCCCGTTGAGCAGCATTTTTTCCACAATACTATCGCTTCCTTCTGCTCCGTCCTACCTGGGTTGTAGTGGAAGATTGCAGCCCCTTGAAGAAGCAACAGTCTAATCAAAGTAGTGGCATCATTCTCTTTATGTACCAATTCAATGCATCGCTTCAAGCCCTCCAAGATCGACGTTGAAATAGGATCGCCAGCTGTCAGAGATAAAACGAGATCAAAGGTCTCTATGTGCGCCAGGCCGCCAAGATCTTCAAACTTTAGGTTGAGGAGCATCTCGGCAAGTCGATCTAGGTCACCGGTTTTGTGTGCTGGCTGGACACTAGAAGCTCGCAAGAGTTCGAGAGCATCAGCGGAGAGGCCTGCATCAGCTAAGGTTTTGAAGAGCTTCCACTTGCTGTCGTGATCTCTAGCATCGATCTCCAGGATCTCCTGATACAAGGTAATAGCATTTTCAAGATTTGGGGGTTCGGACTTGAGATTCCAGCCAGCTTGCAGACGCAAAGCAGAGAGTAACTCAGCTTTATCATCCACCAAAGCGCCTTCATTCTTGTCCTGAGCTCTCAGCTCTCCTATCATGGCGTCGATCGCTTTTATTGCTGGTTCCAGCTCTCCCTTGGCTGCATGTGCTTCTGCTAAGCCTCGGATGGATCTAAGGTGCTTATCTGGTAGATCTTTTGACTGAATAAACGCTGCTATCGCTTCATCGTTGTATCCGAAAGCTAAAAAGGTATAGCCAAGGCGCTCAAACCACAAGGAGTCCTTGCTCCTAACTTTCAGCTCGTCTTCGACCCAATCTGCGGCCTGGAGGATTTTAGTCTCGTCCATGAATGTGTGTTCCTGGTCCAGAATGGTCGTTCCAGTGGGATACTCAAAAGTGACATCACCGTTTGCCTCCTGGGAAGAAGTGTCAGTAGTTAATGGCATGCCCAGCTAAAGCTCAAGTCAGCACGCCATTCTCCGAGATGGTGTAGCTATGGACAAGAATTCTTACCATAATGATATAATCATAGATCCACCGTGCACACTCATCAGGATCTTTCCAGTCACGGTGTCGAAGCCATTGTTCTGCCACCATGGAAGCGATATCACTAAGGCAACTTGTCTTTGGATTCTTGCTTCTGTCGCGTCTTTCGAGCCATCGACGATCCCTTGGTCGCAAAGAATCCGTGATATCTGAAAGGGACAACCACCATGAGAAGGCCAGCAACCCGAAGTGAATCTTGTTTGGACCTTTAGTCCAATGCTTCTCGATACACTCTGTATCTGAAACGAGGTTGATGAGCTTATCCACGATACTCTGTGTCTCAGAAATTTGCACTCCGCCGGGGCGTACATGCATTGTAAGGTATTCGAGATGTGCGGGAAGGAAGTATAATGCATACTCCACCAGTGCAGCGGAGGAGTCATTCGGCTCTGCTAAGAGGAGGTCCATACAGCGCAGTGTGATTGATACGTGAGCCTCAATTTCATGGGCATAAATGCTTTTCTGGCTTTCCACCTTGGCCTCAATGTTTTCGAACGCGAACTTTTCGAAAACTGCTCTCTCCCCTAAGTCCCACAGAAACCTCTGCACGGTTTGGATGTCGGCATTAGCAATCTTGATGGTCATGGAAATCTTGGGCTTGTCCTCGTCACCGACACCATCTTCTGTTCGATTCCACTGAGCGTTCTCCATTAAAAGGTCCTGGATGCTTTCTTTCAATTGACAATAATTATTTTCAATGGTAAACATGGGTTCGTATTTCCCTCTACCGCTCAGTTGCGCGGCCAACGGTTGAGCCGGGTCCGATTTAAAGCGCAGGAATAACGCGGCTCTAAGTTCATCCACTTCAAGATACCGCCAGCCATAGATAGTCCATATCATCAGTTCGTTGAGTTGGTCGATCTCCTGGCTGTTGAGCGACCTGTTGAGACGAGCGACCACCTGCTTAGCAGCAGCAGCGGGGTCTTGCGAGAGGTCGGCGGCCTCCAGATCCCGCATAATGTCTGATGCGCTTTGGCCTCTTTTGTAATCTTCGGCGAACTGATCGAGGGCGGTTTGCAAACGGTAGAAATTACCCTTTGCAAGTCCCGGAAGTTTTTCGCGAAGCCAGTCCTTCAGTTTAGAAGTCTCCACATCCTGTCCAAACAATTCTCCGTTCTGAGAGAGATAAGCATCGATGAAAAGGCCAATGTCCAAACCATTGCTGAGCTCTATGTGGATTGAGGGAATAATGGCTTCAGTAAAACGATCTCGCATGGAGTCCAAGGAAGCATCAAGAATGGCTTCATCTGAGGCTGCTAGAATGCGAACTCTAGGATTTTGGACGCTTAGCAGTACGTCGAAGAGTTCACAGGCATCACTCTCTGCCAAAACCTCCAAGCCATCGAATATCAGGTAGTGCATTGTATCGGCCTTGGGCACAGAAAGCTGCAAGGCCGTCCAGAGCTCATGGAAGGACATATTCGCATGGTCGGTTGCCTTTTTGGTTGCCCAAAATGTAGACATTTCTTTGGAATAGCTAATATTTTGCTCGGCAATTCGTACAGCCATGGATTTCAAAGCTGTGGCAGGAAGCTGTGGGTTCTTGATGGATTTAGACGCTTCCAGCTTCTTGTCCAGCTTGGAGAAACAGTAATAGGCTACTGAAGCCCGGCTTTCGGCTTTTCGTCCCTCACGAAATTGGAAATCCAGCTCATCAAGGATGCTGCCGATCAAAAAGCTTTTTCCTGACTTCTCTCCACCATACAGAAAGAGCAGTGAGTTAGTTTTCGTTGATGTATTGTCAGCCCATGAATGATACTCCTCTACGTCCTTCAACCAGAGACCAGAATTGGGAATGGGCGTTGTTCTGACGTCGTCCAAATACCTCATAGAAAATTTAGCAGTCTCTTGATTGATGGACAATTTTTTCATCAGCTCCTGGATTTGATCTGAGTGCAATCTCTGAGTCTTGTGCTCATTTATGTCAGCTTTGAGAACGTTAACACCACTGCTAATACCCTCAAGATACAAGAGTTGCTGGCCGCTTCTCTCCGAGGCATTTTGAAGCAGCTGAACAACCTCGTGGTGAGACACCATAACCTTTTCGAGGGTCACGGCATCTGAGATTCGGCTAGATTGATCGATCAAGCCTTTGAACTTGTCAAGCTCAGCACGAATCCCGGAGTCATCGTCCATAAGAGCAACTTTCAACACGGTCTTGAACTTCCTCCACTTGGAGCCATTCAGTAGCTTGATAGAGAGGGCACAAATATCTACGAAGCTGATCATGAGTCTGCCGGTGATTGCTTTGAGCTCAGGGTCAACCTCGGCGAACTTTTCGACTCTTTTGTAAATCTTAAAAGTTTTGAGGAATGTCGATATCTCCTCAAAGAGCTGGGCAAGTCCTTCATAGAGTCTGTCTATCCTTGCATGCATCTCAATGAGGAATGAGACCGCAGAGTAACAGATGTCGGCGGCACCACCAAACGCCTGTCTGGGTCAGTGGCGTTCTTCGTCCCAAGGGAGGGCTCGGACATTAGATACACACCATTGATGCACCTTGTGCAACGATCCCTCCCAAAATATTGATGCAGTTCAAAACATTCCGCACAATATCCTTCACGTTGGACTGGCTGCCATTTTTTGCCTCAAAAATGTTATCTTCAGGATATCTTTCTTCCAGCTCTTTCAGCACATCCTCGAGAGACTTCCCTGTGGCAGATTTGAGAGACTTTGCGGTCCTGTCCTGAAATCTCACCTGAGCCTGTTCCCACATCGCTTTGAAAGAATAACCATCCCTGTCAAAGACAGGAGATGATAAGGAAGCCATGGTGTTGTATCACGCTTTGGTAGCAAACGTGAATCGTAAACTGGACGTACAGTCAGGAAAGCCCAATGTTTATTATATAATCAGGCTGAAAATGGGGGATGGTAGCGTGTTTCGCAAATGCAGCATACACAGTCTTGCCAATAGGCCACACGGGGTCATCATTAAGCTTGCACAACAGATAACCCTGTGCGAGGGAGCGAGTACACTTGCTCTTTGAAAACTTTCAGCCAAGTCGCGATGGCAAGGCCTTGACAACGGGATTCCGCGGTAGTATGTAGTAGTCAGTAGTTTACTAGTACACGGAAAAGTGCTCCCCGAGCAAGTCGTAAGCGATACGGTTCAGGGGCGTGCATAGCGTGGGGCCAAACCCAATCAACAATGGATCTGGTCCTTGATTAGACGAGCGAGGTGAGTACTCGTAACAACCTAGTGGAATCTGGTGATCAAATTACAAGGATGACAGGATTGGGTAGAAGTCGTTCCCGGTGAGGCTAGAGCCCGACATCTTTCCCAGGCTGCTCGCATTCTGAACCCAGTGTGGATGGAGGTGCTCGGTAGGAGTTGGAAGGATTAGCGAATTGATACAAAATCAGCACTTGCTATTATTGTTGCAGGCTCCAAGTCAAGATGACATCTTCATACGGAGGAATCAATAGGCATGGAATTTCCTTTACGACGCGGTCAGATTTGACCGCTGAAAGAACTTCGGCAATGTGTTTTGAGGTCCAAATTTCTTGACACAAGACAAGAGTACGGAGTAACGTCTTCTCTTCCAATATGAACGACGACATCAGTGGTGTATCACGTGGAAGGCACAACTATCACGTGGCATAATTATCACGTGCTCACATTTCTACGGTGAAGTACAAGGCTGAGTTTTCTTCGTCATGCAAAGCCTGAGAGCAAATGTCCTCAAGAAGAAGCGCCTTGTCGGCGGCAAGCAGAATCAGTGAAGCCTCACCTCTTGTGCCTGAACGAAGCGGTCACTGTTACTCTCGCTGCTGCCTTCTCAACTGCCTGAGAAGAGCTTCACTCCTTATATAGTTTTCTGCTTCTGGATGATTCTCAGAATCCGCCCCATACTTCAACGGGCATCTTTTTTATCCTCTTGTAATACCCAGTCCACCAGAAACTTGTCCTCCCTTGGTCAATTTTACACATACTGTCAACGGTCAAAAATTAGTTCTGTCCTTTCCAACTTCCCAAGTCAACGTCGATCCCCTTTCGCCGTTTCAGCGCCCTGCGTCACCCTTGGCCGTCATCTCAATCTCAGAGCCGGCCGTGGCCCTCATAATTATTCGAACTTTTCGCAACAGCATAGATACTACACGGCCAACATGTCGGCCAATGGAGAAGCTCGCCCCAAGCGAAGATCTAGTCCTATTTCCGCGATTGAAAGACCGAAGAAACAGCTCAAACAAGAGAATGGAGTTCCAACCCCGGGAGACGCAACACCACAGAATGGGTCCGTATATGACGTTGAAGCGAAGTCGAGCTCCGTCCCCATTATAAACGCGGTCTCGGCTGCAGGTGACTCTCCAGAATGGCAAGCGACCATCGAGAAGGTGATCAAAAGCGTGGTTTCAATACACTTCTGTCAAACTTGCTCGTTTGATACTGACCTATCTACGTCAAGTCAAGCCACTGGCTTTGTCGTGGATGCAGAGAATGGTTACATTTTGACAAATCGGCACGTTGTCTGTTCCGGTCCTTTTTGGGGCTATTGCGTGTTTGACAACCACGAAGAGGTTGGTGCCCTTCCCTGTATGTGACCTCGTGCCAACCTGCTAATCTGCGGTAGTGTGACGTCCGGCCTGTCTATCGAGACCCAGTACACGATTTTGGCATCCTACAATTTGATCCCAAGGCGATCAAGTATATGAAGGTCCAGGCGCTTGGGCTACAACCCGAATCGGCCAAAGTCGGCGTGGAAGTGCGCGTTGTGGGCAATGATGCCGGTGAAAAGCTCAGCATTTTGTCCGGTGTGATCAGTCGGCTGGATCGCAATGCTCCAGAATACGGCGAGGGATACAGTGACTTCAACACCAACTATATACAAGCCGCCGCCGCCGCCACTGGAGGGAGCTCTGGTAGTCCCGTGGTAAATTTAGGTGGCAATGCGGTCGCCCTGCAGGCAGGGGGCCGTGTTGACGGGGCTGCCACCGACTATTTCCTTCCTCTTGACAGGCCTTTGCGAGCTTTGCAGTGTCTCCAGAATGGGTCACCAATTACTCGAGGAACAATCCAGACTCAGTGGATGCTAAAGCCCTTTGATGACTGCAGACGGCTTGGTCTGACCCCAAACTGGGAATCTGAAGTACGAAAACACTACCCGACTGAGAACAGTATGCTGGTGGCCGAGATTGTACTACCAGAAGGCCCAGCGGATACCAAAATTCAGGAAGGTGATGTGCTGATCAAAGTCAATGGGGAACTTTTGACCTCGTTTGTCAAATTGGATGCAATCTTGGACGCAAGTGTGAGTGGCACAGTACACCTCCTTTTCCAGCGTGGCGGAGAGGACCTCGAAGTTACACTTGACGTACGTGACCTGCATGCCATCACTCCTGACCGGTTTGTTACTGTGGCTGGGGGAAGCTTCCATAATCTATCCTATCAACAAGCCCGGTTGTATGCCATTGCTTGCAAGGGACTGTACGCATGTGAGGCTGCAGGATCATTCAAGATGGACAATGCTCTCTCTGGTTGGATTATCGACACTGTGGATCAAAAGCCGACACCCGATCTGGATACGTTTATTGAGGTGATGAAGGCGATTCCCGATCGTGCAAGGGTCGTTATATCATACCGGCATATTAGGGATTTGCACACCAGAGCGACTAGCATTATTCATATTGACCGACATTGGCACCCAAAGATGAGACTCTCGACCCGAAACGATAGCACTGGGCTGTGGGATTTCAAAGACCTTGGGCTCGCTAAGCCAGCAGTCCCACCGGAGCCTAAATCGGCTGATTTTATTCAGCTTGATGGGGTCAACCTTCCGGCAGCAGCAGAAATAGTTCGATCATTCGTGAAGGTGTCGTGCTATATGCCGGTGAAGATTGATGGGTACCCTCAGGCACGCAGGACAGGATTCGGACTGGTGATTGATGCTGAAAAGGGGCTTGTGGCTGTCTCGAGAGCAATTGTCCCTTACGACCTATGCGACATTACCGTGACGGTGGCTGATTCCATTCAGACAGAAGGCAAGGTTATTTTCCTTCATCCACTAACCAATTATACCATCATCCAGTATGACCCAAAGCTGGTGCAAGCGCCTGTGCAAACCGCCAAATTGTCGACCGAGACGATCAAGCAAGGAGCAGACACGATATTCGTTGGCTTCAACCAGAATCATCGGGTGGTGGTGGCCAAGACCACTGTGACCGACATCACGGCTGTTGGGATCCCCGCCAATGCGGCAGCACCCAGATACCGAGCGGTCAACCTAGATGCCATTACGGTGGACACTGGGCTATCATCACAGTGCTCGTCTGGAGTTCTGATCGGAGCGGACGGGGTTGTGCAAGCCCTGTGGCTCACCTACATGGGTGAACGAAGCCAGGGCAGCCATCGGGACACTGAATATCACCTTGGTGTAGCGACGACGATGATCAACCCGGTGATGGATCAAGTCCGGGCCGGGGTGATCCCCCAGCTCCGCATCCTTAATATGGAGTCGTATGTGGTTCAAATGGCACAGTGCCGAATCATGGGGGTGTCCGAAGAATGGATTAAAAAGGTGGCGAAAGCCAATCCTTCACGACATCAGTTGTTTATTGTGCGGAAGGTTGACTGCGGGCCAGCCAATGGTCCCAACGATGGACAATTGCTCCAGGAAGGCGATATCATTCTCACGTTGAACGACCAATTGATTACGCGAGTATCGGATTTCGACATCATGTACGATAAAGAATGGTTGGAGGCACTTGTGGTGCGTAAGGGGCAGGAAGTGCGTCTCCGAGTGCCCACGGTGCCGACGCAGGACCTGGAAACCTCGCGAGCGGTGATATTTTGTGGGGCGGTTCTTCAAAAGCCGCACCACGCGGTGCGACAGCAGATCAGCAAACTGCATTCAGAGATCTATGTCAGTGCACGGAGTCGAGGGTCACCGGCATATCAATATGGGCTGGCCCCAACGAATTTCATCACGCACGTTAATGGGACCCGAACGCCAGATCTCGATGCGTTTGTCAAGGAAGTGAGCAAGATCGAAGACAACACGTACTTCCGGCTGCGTGCAATGACATTTGACAATGTGCCATGGGTGGTGACAATGAAGAAGAACGACCATTATGTGAGTAGCGAAGCAAAGATATGGACGCATGATGGAGTTGCAGCTAATGATTGTACCAGTTCCCCATGTCAGAATATGTCAAAGACTCCAGTCGACCCAATGGATGGAAGGTGATTTCATACGGGCCCAAGGGCAAGAAGCCTGGGAGCAAAATCGATGGGGCACCAGTGACAGCCGAGGCCATGGATGAAGGCGCGGAGGGTAGCGAGGGTGAGGAGGGACCTGATAGCTGTGAAGAATAAAAGGGTTTTTCGCCACGGTAGAAGGCGCATGGAGGATCCGGATGTAGCAATAGCAGCAGCAACCGCAATACAATCGGCGTACCTTAGACGAGACAGCCAACAGAGCGAATCTGGGAAGCCTGGGCTTTGGTGCCTGCATACCTAGGTCAGTCGGTGGATACCAAATAATACAGAATCCCAACAGGGGAAAGAAGAGGAAGGCATAGGAGTAGTCGTCTGCAGTATCCCTGCGAGGTACTAACTCCCAGTGCTCAGGTTATGCAGTATATTGTATACGCATCGTAACGGTGACGGAGGATGGAATTGTGTCATAGCGATCGGCATCAAGTGTGGCTGATGCCAAGATTATCACATGTCAAAACCTTGAATTCCGGGACTTTAGGGGAGACGGCATGATTGGAACCAGGGGTCCCTCAATCCCAACTGTAGGGGAAATGCCATGAATCAGGGGCTCTCTCGTGATGGTGAGTAGGCAGGCAGCAAGAATTCTTGACCTAAGGATCATGTGCAGGGCGTGTGTGATGCAGGTGAACAAAGTGTCCAGATGATAGAGAATGTGTGGAAGAAGGAGTCGGGGCTTGGAGGAAGGTGTGTGGGTGTGTGAGTGACGGAATCATCGATCGTGGCTTCCCTTGTTGACTGCCTGTGTTGGTGGTGCACGCGACCGGTTGTCTTATTCGCACGGAAAATAAATAAAAAAAGGGAAGCAGCGAAAGGGAAAACAAGGAGTCGAGGCAGTTGCGTCAGAGGACACCAGGTGTGGCACCAGTGTGGGTGTGGATGGTGGTGTGTTGGAGGCAGTTACACCTAACTTAGAACTACTTAACTTCGCACTAAGGGGTAGTTAGTATACCTAGTGTACTAATGGTATGGCTAATGGTTCCTCCAGGCAGGCGTAGAGCTTCACTAATATAAGTAGTGACCTTAGTCTAGCTGTTAAATTAGTAGTGCCTCCGGAGTGCGCCATTCCATCAAGCGCACCTTGCACGAGAAACAGTAGCGGTTGCGTCGTTACAAAACGGACCAAGTTCCCCTTCTGCCTCTCCCCTTCACACACCCACTGCACTCCATCCACAGCGTCCACTTCCATTTCATCACTGGCCTTTTTGCCAACTTTGACAGCTTCGTCTTCTTCCACCTCATTCCATTCCTCCATTCTTCCATTTTCCATCCTCCATCCTCAACCCTCCATCGTTCCTCTATTGAATCCCATCCGATCTCAACCTCTCTCTCTACCTCTATAGTCCACATCAACCAAGCACATCAACGTCGATAATCAATCAGCGTTTCCCACTGCACAAGTATTATACACTCACTCTTACCATCGCGGTACATTATTCTAATTACATCCCCGAAAAGCCATCTCCAATCAACATGTCTACCTTTGACGATACCCCTGACAGCCCTCCCACCACCAATGGTGCCAATGGGACTCCATTGAAAGATACCCTGATCAACAGTAGGGTATGTTTGCTGCTTCATTTCGAATTCAATCTTTACGCTCAATACTAACCCATCAAACAGTTCTGGCATAATCTCTCGACCACTCCGCCCTCTGTTGACCATGTCTAGATGCCTCGTCCGCTGTCAACACCATCCAAAACCACCCCGTCACACAAAACGTGGTCAACGGTAAGAACGTGGAATCTTTTCACACACCCTCGCTAAACTCTGGTTCCAGGCCCCGTTGCAACCTCTATCAAGAACGAAGCTGGTGCCACCAAAAATGAATTCAGTGGTCTTGCCAGCTCTCGCCAGACTCCCTCGCACACCGCTGCCAATGATACACCCCTAACCCACTACCATTCATTCTTCTACACTCTCCTGACCGTAAGTCAAGGACACATCGAATGCGGGGACATATATCTAACATATGGCAATCTAGTGGAAGAACAAGCGAGCTACTGGAATTACTTTCCTTGCCGCAGTCGCATTGATCTTTGCATTCCGTTATCTTCCCGTCCTTCGATACAGCCTCAAAGTTACTTGGACCACCCTTGGAGGTACAGCATGATCCAGACCCTCGTCAATCAATTTACTTACCCTGTGTAGTGGTCACTGCCGCTGAAGTTGCCAGCAAGCTTGTGACTGGATCCAGCGTCACCAACGCCGTCCGTCCTCGAAGATATTACAAGATCCCCAAGGAGACTCTCGAGACCTCACTCGATGACCTCGAAAACCTCATCAACTTCTTTGTCATCGAGGCTCAGCGAATTGTTTTTGCCGAGAATGTCATTGTCACTGCAGGCGCCTTTGTCGCATCCCTTGTCTCCTATTACCTCATCAAGCTCCTTCCTCTCTGGGGTTTTGCACTCTTCAGCACCATTGTTACCTTCATCGCCCCTCTGATCTACATTGAGAACAAGGAGCTGATTGACTCTCAACTCGAGCACGCGGGAAAGATCATTGGCCAGCAAACAAACCAGATCAAGGACTTGACAGCTGAACACACCAGCAAAGGCTTTGATACTGTCAAGCAATACACTGGTGCATACACAGCCAAGGCACAGGATTTGGTGGGCAACATTGGAGCCTCTCGACAAAAGATCCCCACCCCGGCAGTCAAGGAAGATGCATTCCCAAGCGCTCCCAAGACTGATCTCCCCGCTCCATCAGAGGATGTCAAGGCCGAGCAGGAACCATTACTTGCATAGAATGGTACCTCTCCTTGCAACGGATGAGCCCAGGTGCAGATAAACAACCCCCGAGTGTTAGTTTAACATGTTCTGAATGTTGAATATGGTAATCCCTTCACAGCAGCCATGGGATCAAGGCGTTTCAGGGTGATGCTTCAGGTTGAGCTGGTTTCATTCTTTTGAGATTGAGTACTTGAGCCTCTTGCATTTGTACGATAGACGGACGAGTATGACTTTTTCTTGGTGCACACAACAGGCATCACGAGGGAACACGAGGTGCGGTGCGCAGTGGATAGGCAGATATGCAGACAGGCGAACAGACGAGCATGCACCAATGTGGCCATTTTCGATATGCGCCTGTGTGTGTTGTGTGTGCTGTGTGTGCTGGTCGGTGTGTAAAGTATGAGCAGCCACCCAACCAAACAGATGATAATGAGCATTTGCAACTGTGTCACGTGATTTATTCCACGCGTCTCCCGCTCAGTACCTGTCTGCAGTCACGTGTGGCCGGTCATTCTTCGTGTCTGACACTATTTCTTACTCCGCGTTCCCTGAGTCGGCCTGACCTTTCGGTTGCTCTTTCTCCGCATCTGGACTGCAACCGAGGATATTATCTGACTCTTGTTGCCACCAACCCACCAACCCATCGCTGGCAACCCGCCGACTCGGTCCCCTCCAAGCTCGCAACGTCCTGAACCAGCAGTTTGCCGGGGTTATTGCTCCTCGTCGTTCCTCGCCATGGGTTGGGTTTGACGCTTCAGGAAGGTTACGAGCTTCCTTGTCCTTTCCTCAGCTCTTGACTTCCTCCTATTACTGCTGTCCCTGTCTGCCAACTCATCCTTTCAATAATCGACAACATGCCTATCTTCAAGTCGAAGCAGCCTCCAATTCAGAGTAGGTTATTCTCCTGCTCCACCCTCAACCATACGGGCAGCGCTAACACCATCAACCTTTCTCAGTGCCATGGCATCTCCCTGTATGGACATGGCTCTTCGATTCCGAACACAGTCCTCTGCGGAACTTCAAGCCAGAAGAGGTCAAAGGATTCACCAATGCTGCCACCAAAGAGCATCTGAGCTACACCGATATGAAAGAGCATACCACTCACCTATCAACGGCACTGGTCAAGAGGTACGGCCTTGAGGAAGGACAGACCGTTGCCCTGTTCTCTCCAAATACCGTATGGTATCCATGCTCCATGTTCGGCGTGCTACGTGCCGGTGGTGTGGTCTCTGGTGCCTCCCCTGCATACAACGTTGAAGAGATGAGCTACGCCTTGAAGACTGCCAATGCCAAGTTCCTCTTCACCGTTCCCAGCAGCATGCAAGTCGCTGCAGCTGCGGCCAAGAATGCTGGCATCCCACAAGAGAGGGTGTTCTTACTTGAGGGCACACTAGAAGGCTTTACCACCATGTCTGAGCTTCTGGAAATTGGCAAGTCGTACGGCAAGACAGGCCAGATTGAACAGTTCAAACTACCACCCGGAAAGAAGAATAAGGATGTCTGTGGTTTCCTGTCCTTCAGCAGTGGAACCACTGGCCTACCCAAAGCCGTCATGATCGCACATTCCAACGTGATTGCACAGTGTCTACAGATCCAACAAATCTCCCCTGATACTCTCCGGCGTATTCTGGCCGTGTTGCCTCTGTTTCATATCACGGGTCTCGTACATCAGATGCATCTACCTGTTCTGTTGAACGCGAATGTCTACATGCTACCTAGTTTCTCAATGGACTCGATGCTCGCCACAGTGCAGGAATACAAGCTGGAGGAAATGCTACTAGTGCCTCCCATCCTAATTCGCATGGTCCGGGATAAAAAGACTATCGACAAGTATGACTTGAGCTCGATAAAAAGGTTCTCCTCCGGTGCTGCTCCTCTGTCGGCCGAAATCCTAGATCTGCTCCAGAAGCAATTTCCAGGTACGGGATTTAAGCAAGGCTATGGCATGACAGAATCATGCTCGTGCATCACCGCCCATCCTCCGGATAAATATGACTACAAGTATGCCTTCCGGGTTGGCACCATCGTGGCCTCGACCGAGGTGAAAATCGTGGATCCTGAAACGGGCAAGGAGTGTGGCTTGAACGAACCCGGAGAAATCTGGGCACGCGGGCCGCAAATCGTTATGGGCTATCTCAACAACAAGAAAGCAACCGAAGAAACATTCGATCGGGACGGTTTCCTGCACACAGGCGATATCGGAACTTTGGATAAAGAAGGACTGATCACCATCACCGATCGTCTGAAGGAGATGATTAAGGTCAAGGGCATAGGCGTTGCGCCGGCCGAGTTGGAAGATCTCCTTCTCGGCCACGAAGACGTCGAGGATGTAGCTGTGCTCGGCATTCCTGACGACTACTCGGGCGAACGGCCTAAGGCCTATGTGGTTCTGAATCAGTCAAAGCGCAACAATCCCACAGAATCCGGAAAGCGGCTGATCAAGTATGTCCAGGACAAGAAGGTGCGCCATAAATGGGTCACGGAGGTCGAGATCATCGATGAGATTCCGAAGAGCCCTTCGGGCAAGATCCTGAGAAGGGTGCTCAGAGACATGAATAAGGCGGGCAAGAAGGGTGTTGTGGTGAAAGATAGCAGGGAGAGGGCCAGGCTGTGATGTGATGGCATTGGGGCAAGAAGAGCCAATACTGAGCAAAATACAGTTTAGTTCCAGACGCTTGCACATGGAGACCTTGAGTGGCGAGGCAGACTTCGGGGCAGTGCGAGGGGTATGTGTCTTACAGTTATATGTCCTCCATGTAAAGACGGATCTGCTTCCGTGATTGCTGTGTAACTTGGGCGCCAGTAAATATGATTTGAGATGCTCACGCCAACACGGTAGGAAGAGAATATTAAGAACAATAGACCACGTAAGTTTACACGTCATGCCATGCACTAGTCGCAGCTCGCTCCCTCAGGTTACATATAGCAGGCTTCGAACGTGCGCGGCCTCAGCCTCATTCGCGTTCTCATTTCCATATCCATTTCAAGCTCCTGCCGCTCACAACCCATCCGCCGTCCTCCCCTCGCCCCGGGTCTGCTCTCACTTGTTCAACCACTTGAAGAAACTCCTCAACTCCCACTCATGCGCACCCCGGATGAAATCCGGCTCGGCCTAGACGTCGAGGATAGCGTAGCTATCCCAGTGATGGCCCGCGCCGGTAACCAGCATCTGCTGGCCGCCGTAGCGCGTGCTGGCGTTGTGCCAGTGGTAGCACACGTCGCCACACGTCGCTCGCGCCGTCGATCAGCAGCAGGCGCGGCGCGGCGATTCCGAAGTTCCCGTACGAATTGTACCATGTCAGATTGGGCCCGGACGGGTCAGGCACGGCCTGCGGTGACGATGGCCCCGCCGGGAACGCCCATGTGCACCACTGCTGCGTGTACGAGAGGTCGATGACGCGCGACAGCAGCGTCGGCGTTCCGTATGATTGCGGGGGTTGGTACGCGCCCTGTTCGATGCACGTGCTGTACAGGTACGACCGGGACCCGCTGTTGTTAGGGTCCGCGTAGAATGTCTCTGTGAAGGGAACGGGTGTGGAGTTAGTTTGGATGGGATGTCATGGGAGGGCCAGCGAGGGGCAGGGAATTGCGTCGCTTGATATAGTACAGGACTCGACTGGAAGAGGTGGAAAGGAAGAGAGCAGTCCAAAAAGTCCGACAAAGAAGAAGGCGAGGATGCAATGCAAGAGGATCAGAAAAAAGATAAGGATGACTCACGATTCTGTGTCGAGAAACACTCGGTCGTATCAACCAGGTCCTCGCTCTCACAGCTCGACACCACCACGTTCTTGACGTACTCGGCATATCCGCCCAGCCCCGTCCAGGCCGAACCGTTGGTATACTTGGCCAGCAGCGTGTCGACCGCCGTGATAATCGCATCGGCATTCGGGTCCGTCGCATTACCGCAGAACTCGTAGAAGTCCCGGTGGTCGTACTCCGGCTACCAGTTCAGCTCTTGCCATGTGTTGGTCGGGTAGTTTCATCGGTCCGCCGATCGGGAATGCGATTCTGTGATTGTTTGGTGGTTCGTTTGCATTTTGCTTCTCGCGTCTTCGCTCAAGCGGAAGTTAACCAGACGTGCAATCTAAGACTCACTATCATAGCGAAGTCTCACAAGTCACGCAAGCTTCCCAGGCCGAAGATTGACTTCAGCTCCTGGATTGCCTCGATGTTGTTTGACTGGATCAAAGAGTCCATCTTGTCGACAATATCGTTGATCCGCGCGATACAGTCCGAAGGTCCGTTGACTTGGATAGGGTTATACCACTCCGGGTAGCCCAGGACGGCATGTACGACGCCCGACGAAGCAATGCCACCTCACAACAAGCCCTCGTACTCGACGAGAGAAAACGCCGTCTGCGCACCCGCCAGACTGCCGCCGTACAGGATCGATCCACGGTGTCGTCTCGGCCGTGAGATTATCTCCGCCCGTGACGTTCGGAAAGACGGCGTGCTGCGCGAAGTATGCATTGTCCGCGATAGTTTGTTTCGCCGTCAGATACCGCAAGTTGTCCGTCGTGCTGTTCTCGAACGGATAACTCTCGCCGTAGTATCTGTTCTCGAGGATGACGCCGAGGCCATTCGTTGCGTTCATGAGGATTTGAACGGCCCCCGTTTGTAGATTTGAGAACCGCGATGGCCCCTCTGTTTCCCACCGATGTACAGGAAGACAGGTCCACCAGGCTTGTAGTATGTGTCATCGAAGTAATACCACTGCGTGAACGTCGCGTTGGTGTTCGGTGCATACCGTGGACTGTCTTGAAAGTGGTCTATCAGCTGGTCGATGGTGTAGGCTGTGTAGTTGGCTGGTCTGCCATTAGAGCCTAGAGGTCCGACTAGCCCTGCTGCTAGGCTGGTGAAGGCTATCGTAGCAACACATGCTGAGCTAGAGAAGTTCATCTTAGAAGGCCTGGCGCTGTCGACGTCCTCCGAGACGAAAGACAAAAATTATCGTCTGCCGAGGCAGGCGACGATGTTTTATGGTTCACATCTCGAGGGCACGAGTAATCAATGAGTGAATATAAATGACGATACACGAGGCACAAAAGGCAGGTAGGGTCCGATAGCATACTATGGCTCGCTAAGTATGTGCCTACTGGTAGTCAAAGCTCAAGCACTACCAAGCATGTCCGTCGCCGCGTGGGACGAAGCTTGCCTGTGCTTGTCAGAGTTCGGGGCTTTGGATCGGATCCGACCATCTGATTGGTGTAACTGACAGGGAGGAATGGATAGACCTTCACTCTAACGAGAAGCGGTAAGCCTGGTTGGCACAGATCATTACCGGTTTGGAGCTATTGAGGTTGCATTCTGGCTGGGGACGTCCCCTAGTTGCAGTCTTGCAAAAGCATGCCACATCCCACGACATTCCTATCATGGAAGGTCTCAGACCCCGGAGGAGCTAGGATGATCATTGCACCATAGGGAACTTGCATGGTAGTACGAGGTGTCAAGGACTTCTTTGGCTGATCACTGCTATCTTGGGAGTTGACTCTAGCTGCGTACTCCATCCCAAGTTCATGTTGGAGACAATTCCGCAGAGAGCCGAGGTAGGCCATGATTTCGTAATGCAGTCCTCCGATTGAGATGTTGAAGCCCTCCTTTCCGGTAAACAAAGTACGATGGCTTTAAACTGATTCAATGCGCAGAAACCACTCTTTGGAGTTCCAGGTCTTCGGGTTTTGTATGGTCTGTCGGCTCGGGTTTTTCTGCGAATTCTTTTGATCCGGCCTGAACTCTCGCACTTCCAGTTGCAGCCTCTTGCAGTTTTTGCATGTACTGCTGAGATTCAGCAGCATATTTGCACCGTGTTCGTATGGCAGGACCATATTTGTAAAATAGAAACGGAATTGGTAGGCACAGAACTGACACAAACGCCGGTATCGCGGATGCCCAGTGGATACCCAATGCTCTGTACATGGGGGTCGTAAACAGCGGAAAGATTGCCCCAAACATATATCGAATAATGGACATACCAGCCAATACAGATGCGGCGTAGATGGTATAAGCATCCAGTAGATAGTTCACAATACCAAGGTATATCAGCATTATACCAAATCCAAATGGCACCATCGCTGAGACACTTGCAATCCAATGTGTAGAAGGTGAATTCGAAAAGGCGAACCAAAACATTCCAATAGGCAAGGCGACCGAGGATACCATGCAGAGAGGGAGACGGGCTTCTGGCGGTGCAAAGCCCCTGTGTGCTTCCTGGACGCGAACATAGCGTTTGTTGTCAAACACAGCATAGCCAGTTCCGAGGAAGATTCCGATCATGACACCGAGGAATGGGAGACCGCCTTGGCCGGCACTCCAACCACGACCTTGTTCGTAGACAACCGGGAAAGCACCGAATAGCATGTAGAGTGTTCCATACACGATGGCAGCATAGAACGTAAATAATAGAACAATGGGCTCATGGGCAAGCAAGATCCATGGGCGAGACAACGCGGTTTGTAGGCGTTTCGTAAGAGTGGCCTTGCCCTTTTCAAGGTCGGTCTTGCTGCCATAGTGTTTGCCGGTGATTTTCGTCAGCTTCTCAGCACGTTTTCGAAGGAGCACCGGCGCATATGTCTCGGGAACCAGAATAGCCATCAAAACCCAGCATACTACGGTGCATGACGCCAGGAAGCCTTCCACCCATCGCCAGCCTGCTGCCGATCCGAGAAAGCCACCAATGGAGGGTCCAAGAGCAGGTCCTTCGAGCGTTAGTTCTGCGACCTCATTGGAAGTTGGTACAAGGCTATACATACCAAGGTAAGGAGTCGCAGCGAAGAGGCAGAGTCCAAGACCACGTTGCCTTGCATTGAAAAGATCTGAGATGACGCCTCCTGCATTTGTCAAGGGAGACGAGCCAAATGCACCCGCAAAGAAGCGGAGAACAATTAGTGACTCGATATTTTGTGCGCCAGCGCAGCTCGCAGAGAACGCAGCCATGATCAAGAAGCTGAAGAAGAAAGGGATTTGTCTTCCAATCGTCTCACTCAAAGGGGCCTTTCTCTGCATTAGCATCATCAAATCTTATTGGACCGGTGACTCACCCATATTAATGGCCCTATCGCAAACCCCAAGATAAACAAAGACAAACCCAAGGTGGCCACTTCATTGCTGACGTCAAAATGTTTAATGACCATGGACAAGCTACCAATGTACGCAGATGAGGTGAATGATACAATTAAGGTCGCGAAAGCGGTAGTGCCCATAATCACAATCTTCCTTTTCATAGTAAAATTTAATGGATTCCTAGAGTCGTCATGAATCCAGGTCACTCTGTAAGGGTCATCTTCTGTTCCGGAACCCGCATATTCGTGATTCAAGATGTCGTGGGTGATAGCCCCTTGATCGGACATGAGTGACCAATATGATAGGATTCTTGGGGCCTGAGCAGGTTCGTCGAATCTTCCAACATGAGTGCTTGTCATCACTGTAGTCGGTTTCCGGTACTTGTGTGTATTCAAGATTGAACCGCGGTCTTCGAAAGTAAGCCAATGCCGAGAATTGAGAGTTTATCTGACAATAAGGAGTGCGAAAAAGAATGAACAGCCGCTGTAAATCAAGGTATTCCAGTTGCAAGTCACTTCCCGACGACCTTTAACATGGTCATGAGATCGCTCCCATCGCTTACGGTATCTTGGGGACGGAGGTTAAGTGCGGATCGATGCTAATATTTGTACAGCTCAACGCAAAAGTAGAACGGAGAGACACCGAGAACGACTGGACGTGTTAGAATTCGTCAAGCGAGAGAAAAAGTTGGAAACGCCGGCGGTCTGGCGGAGGGTTTAGAAGGAAATGGTCATCTTCGGATAGAATGCGTGGGCACTGGGCAGCAATCCGCAATCCGCTACATCTGCGGGGTGCCTAAATAGGCTCAGGGAAATCCCAGGGCACTGAGAGACAAAAGTCCCAGTTTTAGCTTGAAGCCAAACAGTGGCCATTGACTTGGAGGGGCCAGCTCCTCGGCAATGTAACGCTTAATCCGCTGGAAGCTCACCGAGGCGTAAGGCTGAAGATATTGCCATCGTTTGATTGGCGGATGCCAATTTTCGTGGGTTCCCCTAGGGGCAATCCTCGAGGCCACGTAGGCCGGTGGAATCGGAGACATGCTGACAAGTGAGGATGGTTTTGGCATAGGCCCATCCTTCGCCACAGGTTTTGGAGGCCAACTCAGCTTGGAAGTTCTGTTTGTGCGGCTAGGGTTGCCACCGCCCATGTATACATGTATACATGTGGTAGGTGCCGTCTTTCCACATTGATTGTCTCGATCTGGGAATCATGAATGATGCTGCAAGGGCGGCAGGTACATCATATCGTATATAATCACGTCGAATGTGTTTTCACTTGGGAGCAGAGGTTGGGAATAGCCAGACAGTCGAGTTGCGTACTTTTGTTTTCAACACGGCCACACCGTTCCACCTTTCCGGATTAGGACTTTGCTCACCGCCACAATGCCGTCACCATAACGCCACAGTCACGTGAAGATCCGCCACACGGTATTATGTAATGGAGCCCCGCTCCCAAGAATTTCCGGGAAAATGCCATGAAAACGATGGCGCGTCACTTCGTGTTGCGAAACCTGTTCGACGTCAGTCCTTCGCATTTCCTTGGATCGTCTCTTGTGAGCACCTGATCGATGCTCAAAGCAAACGGGAAGGGCTCATCTCGCATTGACAAAGGCCGCCTAGAATGAATGCGGAGTTGTTCTCTTCTTTGCTCGTACGGTAGGCTGATAAGACCAGTTCTTCCTTGTCACACACTCTTCTCTCCTTCGCGCCCTCTACTTCCCATCCCAACAGCCTGCTAGCCTGCCGAATTGCTCACTGCCTTTTCTTTCTGTGACTTGAAATGGGCTTGACAGACCTGTCTATCCTTGTACTCCTGGGCACTGCCCTCGTCTTTTCCATTATCGAACTTGGCCTGTCCGCATGGGCAGTCGACGTAACTCCTGATGGCAATGAAGCCAACGACCGATTCGGTTTTCTGGTCTTTTGTTCAGTATGGACAATTTTTGTTACTGGATTTTTGATCGGATTTCCCTATTTCGGAACCCGGTCGAGAGGGGACGTGGAACGATGGTATTCTCCATTGACCATCGCACTCAATGCTGTGACTATGATCTTTTGGCTCGCTGGATTTGCAGCTGATGCAGATCTGTACAACGGTTACAATCCTCGAGGAACAGCAGGCGCACTGTTGGCATTTGCTGTGATGCTCTGGTAAGCTGCGCATCTCTTTTTGAGTGCCTCCTATCTTGATGCTAATCAAGTCATTGCGCAGGTTGATATTCCTTGCCCTCCTCATCCTGAATATCTTGACCGCGACTGGTGTCTTGAAGAGCGACAGAGCCGGCCACACAAAAATGACAAGAGGAAAGGCAGCCGCAACAGTCTGAACTCGTGGCGACGTCTTTCTCAGATCCTATGTCCGGGAGTTTAGGACTGTCTCGGGCTTGCCTTACAAGCCTATCGAATCTGCGAATACAAGCATGCGACGAGAATACTTTGTAATATCATCTGGTCTGAACTTCCTGGAATGTTTGAACTAGTGGCTTATCAGCATTCCTAGGCAGTTATGGCAAGAATATGGTCTAGCAGGAGAATGGAATGATGCTTTTCTTCACTCGTTTGGCGATAGGTGGATGTTGGTTCTATGTCTGGCCTTCAGAAAGATTGCTTTAAATCGCGGATACCCGGCAGGCGCCCACTGAGGTTGTTGATTCACAACTATATAATTTCATCACCCGATGTTTTCATGTATCGAGAGACTTTTCATGAAACTAAGGTTTCCACAGATGTCCCGATTATGATTCTGCTTGCATCAGCATGGGTTGACAGGAACAGCCTTGTCGATCCGATTGTCGCCTCCCATGTGGTTCGGTGTGCATTCTCCCTTACATTGCAGCAGCAATTCGCGATGTAAAGGCCAATCTCGAGGAGCTGTTCCTTGCATGTCTCATTCTACCATTACTACTTCACCAGAACCGAAGGACAATCTTCCGTAATTACCTATCATATCGCAACTGCTAACAGTGCTAGTTCCCAACATGGCGAGGCTGGCAAACAAACAGGCTCAACCTCTCAGCTCTCCCTGGGATTTACGATGCCTAACAAAGCCAACCAAAAAGAACTCGAACTCGTATAGCAAGAGCGCATACAGCTCCTCTCCAATGACATGGGTCAGTGCCCTTTGCATTAGCGCCGTTCGGTATGTAACAACTTTTGTATAGCCAATCAAGAGGTGCCATTTACTACCCTCCATTCAGCAGACACTGCTGGGCGTCACGGAGGGAATGAGGGTCCCTTGTCTCTAACGACTTTTGATACAGCCAATCATGATCAAGTCTTCCCTCACTTCCTGAGTGGCTGAAATGAAGCGGTGCCAGAAAACAAAGTGCAAATAAGTCGGGCTCTCATCCCAGCCTGACCACTGATCACTTCCAACACCTGCAACAATATCCATCTGACTTCTGCGTTCAGTGCCCCACGGAACGATATGGAAGCTCGGAAGCGATTCCATCCCCACACGAGTAAGGAATGGGAAAGCTTTCGACATGATTTCACGAGGCTCTATCAAGTCGAGGGAAAGAAGCTCCGAGAGGTAGTGGAACTCCTTCGTGACAAGGGCTTTCAAGCAAAGTAACGACGCCCTCCATTCCATACTACCTAGCATACTGACAGTTTGCAGTGAGCATCACTGTAAGACATACATAAAGAAATGGCGCCTGGGCAAGTACAAAAAGGTAGAGAAGACGCAACTCAGCTATACAGGCATGCTCACATGGATCATAGGAACTCGAGATGATCTTCGCAGCTCAGATACAGGCCAGGCGTCAGGGCAAGAAGACCATCTTCAAGTCTCGAGGCCAGGAATGTCCTGATGGAGAGATTCAACGGTATTGGAGCAGAAGACCGGAGGAGCCTACAGACTTTGAGCCTATTCCAAAGACCCCAGAAGGACTCGAATATTGGACTCCTGCACCAACACCAGGTGGCACAATGACAGAGATAACGCCCCTTGAGGATGTCTCGAGCCCTGAAATCCTTTCTTGTTTTCTACCCAGTGACCGCTCGGTGTCGACCAGAACATCGCCGCGCATCACTGAGATATGTGATGGTGCAGAGAATAATTCTCCCTCATCCGTTGATGACACCATATCCGTGGACGGTTGTAGCGAGGCTTGCCGGGAGTATGAGCAACCCTCATGCCCATCATCCACAGAAGTAGCTGGAGTATTTCTACCAGCAGCTTCCCAGATCCTGATGCCCAACTACCAATCATTGACATTACAACCTCTCCAGTCCCCCGAGTCAATCAGAGACCGAGAGTATACTCTGAATTGCGGCAGAGAATATTTTCAATGGTGGATTGAGAAAGTGTACCGGGCTAGAATTGCGTGGAATCATACTTCTCCGGCTGTGGAGAAATTCAGAAACGCAAGCTATAGTCTGGCATCGTTCATTGAGAATGACCTCTCCAGGGACCATATTGAGCTCACTTATCTTGACCTTGTTGAAATGACCTCTCACGTGCTGCACAGAGAGAATCCGACGACCATAATACTACTCATGGACATAATGGGAATTGCCGTGCAAAATTTCCCGAAAGCATTGCCGAAGATACAGAAGATACTGGACCATGCTTTGAGTCAAGCATTGGAATCATCGGGGAAAGATCATCCGTCCACAAATTTAATGAGGGCTATCCGTTTTGCGTGCTCGGACTTCTTTGATTTTGCAAGTTGTGCAATTTTGCCGGGAAAAGACCTCCTCGCAGAAGCTCTTAACGACCAAAACGAACTTGTTGCCAACTTGCTTCTGCTTTTGGTCGATTTAGGCATACGAGACAGGAGCCCAACAGCATTTCAGTATGCTCAGGAGTTGCACCAACATGCACTCGCCAGATATCGAACAGAGAAGACCGATGCGGCTTTATTCAGCCTTTCATCGATTGCGGTCAGAATTACAGAACTCCAAAGACGACAGGGAAACTACGACGAGGCTATGGGATTGATGAAAGATGCATCTGGGAGACTCAGTGCCTTCCATGACACGAGAGCACAGGTGCAAGGTCGTGCTGATCTACTCTTGCAATTAGGCTATCTCAAGTGGGATGAAGGGCATTTTACTGCTGCATTGGATGCCTTCAATCAGTGTCTATCACTCTCTCTCCGAGTATTCGGGGTGGACCACTATATGACAATGCATACTGCTGCCTGGGTGCGGCATGCTCAAAAAATAGTGGACCAAGAAGCCAGAGGTACAGAGATGTGGTCACGATTGCATGCGGCGTCACTCTGATCCAGAGTCTCGTGATGAGAATGTCGACAACTATCCTCTATATTTCCCTTTCGTATTGGGTGAACTTGATATAGACATACAAGGTCGAATGCAACGATCACAACTGCTCCCTGGAATGACTACATCAGGCCAAGGACCAGGTGCCCTTTTGTTACCTACATTTCAGTAAATTAGGATTCCCCACGAACCGCCAATTATGCTATGCAGGGAGCACAGAGCCAGGTGAAATCGCCCGCTCTGTGGAAAAGTATATGGATAGTTCTCTGCGACAAGTCTCAAAGCTGTACTTGATCTACCACTGAGATTCACCACAATACTATAGCCAATTTTGTACGGAAGTTATATATTCGAACGGACACGGCCTTGATGACCCTCCACTACAAACCAACTACAAGGTACTTCTAGTGCAAGGGTCCGCCAAAAATCTCACTAGACGTGCCACCATCTTCCAAAGCACGCGCATAACTGATAAATTCGGAGTATAATACTGCACGTGGCGTCGCACAAGGACAAGGATGGACTATAGCCTTGCCTTATCCCATATATAAGCTATGACCCTCTCAACATGCTCCGAGTATGTAATTAACTAGCTCCGATCTCACATGTCCTCCGTACGCACATACCGTTTACAGCACAGCAAGTCCCCGTGAACGAGGTAAAGCCCCACTTTCGTGGGTTAAGTTGGTGGCACGCAACGTGCGGACCGTCCGTGCCAAACCACCCTGGACCTGTACCGAACCATCTGTATGCTAATGAGGATTTTATATGTTCGTTGTGTGCATTCCTTCCTCGCCTGCTGCCGTAACAGTGGTAATGGGATTTCTAATTGATACGAAGCGGATGGAGATCTACCTAATACCGCCCTCATGCCCTGTCCACATCCCATCTATGCCCGAATGAAATCCCAATAGTGACCATATTCACAAAAGATGGTCGAAATACCAAAAGAGCTCGCTGGCACTACAATCACTTAAACCCAACCAGGACTTCGCCACGTCACTTTGATTTATCCAGCCAAGCGGAACGTCTCCACCCCCATCGTCGGCGTCTCAATCAAACTATCCCGCGGCACACCCTCGAGCCGTCGGCGGTGGTAAAAATGACCGCACTCAACCAGAACCTGGCCCCACTCGGCCAGAGCGCGCCCACTATACCGGGCGATCGGGATCTCATGGGCCGTAGGCTTCAGAGGCCTGATCTCGCCGTTGCGCGTTCGCATCTTCGCGTCCTCGGACGTCCCGGTCCCGGTGCTGCTACTGTGCGCGCTCGTGGCGCTGATGCTGGTTGTGGACCCGCTGCCGCCACTGCCTGAGCTCTGGCGGTTTTGAAGCTTGTGGAGGATATTCTGCGCGTTGGTGGGGAGAGTGGGTGGTGTCAGTTTGCGCGGGTTGCGTTGCTCTGCTGAGCGTTGGTTGTTCCACTCGAGGGAGAATTTGAAGGAAAATGTTTGATGAGGAGGTGTTGCGGGTTGAGAGGGTGCTTGGCCCGTGGTAGTAATTGCGCTGTTGGGTCCGGGGAGGTTCTCGGTGGATGAGTTTGGGGTCCTTTTCTCGTCGGGAGTTCCTGGTGGGGTGACCTCTCCTGGGCGATGATTGCCGGGTAGGGGCCCGAATACATTGAAACCTTTGAACAGACTCCATCGTTTCTTCGAGGGTTGGCTTGGATTATCGGCAGCTGGGATGGAGCTGAGGGCGGAAGAGTGGTTTTGGTATGGCGAGGTTTGGTTGATAAGTGATGATGGGAGATATTTTTCAAAGTTCGTCATTGATGCTGAGAGAATTGGCTGACTATCTGTCCGTACGATAACAAGGTATCGATTTGGTGCTGGTGAACACGGTGTGCAGGACGGCGGTGGTGTTTCTCGCATTTCTGATTCAGCCTTGAGATACTGGTAATGAGCCCAGAGCTTGTTGAGCCGAATCGCTAACGTTTGGAGAATTTCTCTGGTGCTCTGTTAGTCGGGGCGGCATGGAATGTCTGCCTCTTCGAGGATTCACTTACACATCCAATGGCGAAAGGTCCACATCATACCGCGCCACTCTCCAACACAACAGACGATAAAAATAATGTCGGACCATAGACGACCAATGGCAAAACATGGGCTCAAAAATGCTCGGATCCAACAGCCATTCCAAAACAAATTCACGCTTTCGTTCTTCATTAAGAGTCCACGTGGACCAAGTGCTGTACAAAAAGGCGATCAAGCGGATCTGCGTTAGTGTGGTCTGGCTCTTTAACATGTGCTGGCAGACCTGTAGCCAAAAGGCCCAGTCAAGCGTCATAGGGGTATCTTCAAAACTTTGGTTGTATCGAAACATAACGGGAAGGACTTCCTCCATAAAATCACAAATAACGAAACATGCGTCGTTGTTGTACACTGAAATTTTTCGAGCGGCGGCCTTGGTCACAGCGTCGAAAGATTCGATGAAAAGACTGCGGTGGAATGTGTTTTCGCGAGTCGCGTCGTTACAAATGTCCTTCAAAAGCATGATCAGACGATTCTCCGAGATGGATCGAGTGGCGTTTGCAATCGTCATGGGAAGCGGTGCAAGTGCATCGGGGTTGTCGATGTAGTTGCTAGCGCCAGCAGAGTAGTTGTCGAGTGACGTCTGTCCAGCTTGCCTGTAGATTGTCGTCTCGAGGACAACCAATACCTGAGCACAAACTGGGACTAAACCTGGAATGCCAGCTCGATCTTTGAGGCTCACATCATCGGAGACAAAATCAGCGACCAAAGTATGATAATACTTGATGAACACGAAAAAAAGATCACTGTCTCGTCCACACCATCTGCCAATCCACGGGCCATGCCAACGAACATGCTTTGCTCCCTGTGGAACTTGGGTACGCCTTTGGAGATATCGGGACAATCCTGCCTGGGAGGACACTGTAAGGCTCCGGACAGGTGGAGGGAAATTTGCGGCCAGGGCCTTTGATGCAAGGTCCAATTTATCTCCTCGTTCAGATCCAAATTCAGAGAACACACGGCGCATCGTACCCGGCGGGAGGCACCATAATCTGGTCAGGATGTCTGCAACACCAGGGCAGAAGAAAAAAGCATATGCGCAAACTTTGCCGGCAAAGGTGACGAGGCTAGCGGGAGTGCTACGCATAGATAGTTTATCGACCACAAAAGCCATCTGAGAAAGGAGATTTTGTACGAATGTGTTGCGAACGTTCTGGTAAACGGTGTCCACCAGGAAGTCTACCTCGTCAGATTCCAGCGAATTGGTCGATTTCGAATTCGGAATGGAGCTTCTTGGTGGAGTATCGCCTGGGCATGAGGCGAAACCTGGTGCTCTCCATTCAGGTCGCATCATGATGGCCGCTGCAGCCTCTAGGAAGGCTGGTCGATCGGTGCCGGAAAGTGGCTGATGATTGCTGCCATGAAGCATTTCCAATAGACCCGTCCACCATTTATTCAACACCGCTATGCGACGATCAAGATCCTCCGCCCTTAGATTCTGATTGGAGGGATGATGGGCATATTTTGTCAGAAATGGCAGCAGGCTTCCGCGAAGTACCTTGGCCCGCTGCAGACTTGTTTTGGCTTGGAAATTAACATATTCACTTTCTATTGATCTGAAGGCAGACCACAACGGATCTTTCTTTCTGGGAACCTCTGCGTTGAGAGCAGCCAATCGGTCCGAGGACAAGGAAGGCGGCAATGGAGGTGTACGGCCGAACGAGAGTCTGGAACGCGATCGCTCCGTGGATGCAAAGCTTTTCAAGGATGTTGAAGATGAGTTTCTGGAAAGACGTCTGAGGCTCAGTTCGCTCTTGTTTCTCGTCTGGAGAACGTCGATTGGTTTCTGGAAGGCGGGTGACTGGGCTTCAAGGTCAGGTTCTCCGGTTGAAGGTTGTCTGGCAACGGCCGGCTTTGGAATGGTGATGGAATTTGCAGCATGGATGCCGTTATTCTTTTCCGGAGACCAACTTCTCTCCTTCTTTTCCTTTCGAGTTGGCGATAGTGAGGAGGGTCTGGAGGTGCCAGCCCATGACTTCCGAGCAATTGATCGAAATGTGCCAGCAACAGAGCGCCCTAGGCTTTTGGATTGGTCCCCATTATCCGACGACTTTTGTGAATCGGCCTTGTTTTCGTCCTCATCTTCGGGTGACAAGGAAAACCTAGCGGCACTAGACATCTTCCGCTTCATCTTGCGCGAGGTGCGACGAAGCAGTTCCAAGTTGGTGGAGTGACCATCATCGTTCAGCTTGCCAGGCTTGTGTTCGGACGATAAGGAGATGACATTTTCGGAAAAGGTCCGCTTGATGGGAGGGTATTCGGCAACTGTGTCGGTTGCAGTCAGGCGAGTGAAGGTTGCGGAGCGGGTTAATTCTGCGTCTGCAGACTTGCGATTTCGTCGCTTCGGTTGATCGAGATATGGCATGGTGGAATGAATAGGGTTTAAAGCGTGAAGAGGAGGTGCCGGCAGAGCCCCGTGATCGATGGGCGCGGCCATTATCATGATCTCGTCCAGCACTTGGGCATTAAGTCGTCGAGCTCGCTGGTGAGTCCGCCGTGCTCGACATGTACCTTTTCCTATAGGTTGCCATTAGGCTCGAGCAGTGGCAGACCTGGCATTCAACACAGGAGGGGGTGTCTGATGTCTGGTGTAATATTAATGAAGCAGGCTTCAGGTAAGGTGACGGGGTAAGTGTCTGCGACTCCGGCTTTTCCGGTGCGATGTAAGGCGACACCTGTTGAACTGCGAATATGTACTAAAGATAGAGGTATGAATAAAGACAAGGCTCGAATGGTAATAGAGGGTGGAATAACGAGAGACAGTGACGAACAGTAGCGAGAGAATGGCGATGACGATGCAGACAACAAGCAGTGTTACTGGTACGAGGTGGATGTTGAATTTGGGGGTGCCAGTCCAGAATACAAAGTCGTCGTCGTCGTAGTGTAGTGTGCAGTGGAAGATAGGAGGGAAGATCGGATACGGATCGCGGATTGGGACAGCGCAGGCGGCAACCGGCGTTATCGCTGGAAATGACTTGAAATGAACTGGCCTTGAAATGGAGGGAACGGAGGCTGAGATGGTGTTTCCAAAGTCTCACGCCCCGCAGGCTTCAGGTCTGGCCCGAGGGCCTTGCAGTCTGGCCTGGATTGGCATTTGCTGGTGCTAAAGAGTGATGATAATCCCAGGCCTGAAGCGCCGCCCCCAAAGTCCGTCTGACTGAGCGCAGTGGTGAACAGCTGAGTGGTGAATGGTGAGTGGTGAGTGGTGGGTGTCCTCGTAGGGCTCCACGCGTCGGTGCTTGGTGATGAACCTCCGACACCAACTTCAGGGATACGAGCCAGTTCGAGAAATTCGATAGGATATGATCCATCAATTATTCTTAGCGAAACCTTGGAACGCCCACCTTGAACTGGGTTAAGATTAACATCCGCATGTTGTGTTTGTGTTGTGTTTACCATACGATATCTTGGTGTTGGTGTTTTGGGCATCCCAAGTGACGGGGTGGTCACGGGGTGGTCACGGCTGGTCACGAGTCACAGAAACACGTGCGTCGACCATGGTAGAGCTGTATTAATTACTAATACCCAGTACGCCTTACGTAGACGAGCAACACATACCTTGTATCTTGTATTTCGCATGTATTACACGTTTCAGACAAATGACAACAGAGCGATACCCTCTACCACTGGCATCTGCAAGTTCATGATGGAAGTCCGTAGCTGCAGCCACGTCGGACTCACAAAAGAAGCCTCATACGGCGGATACTCGTGGGCCTACGGACTATACGGAGGACATATATATACATACACCCACTTGCATGAGACTATCACTTTTTGACAGCCCATCTCGCCGGCAAGGGCTGCTTGAGTGTCAAATCACCTGCTTCAACCTCCATCTTTTTGTGACGCGTCTCCCCAGCCAGGCCATACATGAGAGTACGAGTGTTATACACAATAGAGAGTCATTCTGTCCAATCCACATTTCGAATTCTGGTTATCTACGGAGTAAAGAGCCGGGTTGGCTACGGGGTTGGTATGGTCATCTGTTGTTGGGCCCTGCAGCCGTGTCCCATTCGCCTGAAACGTCTGCCCAGATTTAGGTCAAGATAGGTCAATCCGTTCCACTTGCCACTCACTCATCTCGTCGAAAATAGATTCCATTATATGTAAGATCTGCGGATATCCAACGATGTCTTCCTTAGACAAGGCATACAGGATTGTATCAAACTCTTCCCATCCCTTTTGACACTGGCGTGGTTGCCAACCTGACCCTTCTGTTAGACATTTCAAAGGTGAGATAGCAGTGAAACAACTACGCAATGAACATGGTCCTGTAGTACTAATGAATATGGTGTCGAAGTGAACCCATCATCATCTAGTTCTTGGGCCAGGGGAGGTCTAAAGCTGCCAATGCAATGAATAAGTGCCGCCAAAACCCTTCTGAGCAAGCATGCTGAAGTGATGGCTGTTTTGGTCTTCATCGAGCCAGCTTAATGCAATTCACTACTATATTGCTCGAGTTCCATACGGCCAGTTGCACTAGACTGTCACGTATATCTCTTTTCTTTGGCTGATTGTACTGTACAAGCAATGCGATCCGGCCTCATCGTCATCTAATGGTGTGCTGGTGCATCGTCGGGTTCGGGCTCCTCAAACAAATCCTCTTGCACTGCCTGGGTTTCTCCTGACGAGCTTTGTCCCTCAACCTCGACTATCTGATCGTCATATGCCTTGAGATCACTCGCCAAATTGTTCTCTTCCGGTGACTTGGGGGCAGCCGGAGGGCTGAATTTCTGTACGTGTCCTTCTGCGTCCGAGGCCTTTTGTTGTGGGGGTTTGTATGCCTTTAGTTCTTTCAAGTAGAGGTCCTGGATCAGATCCGCTGAGATTCCAGTAAGCATCTATAATCTAGCTTAGATAGTAGTCAACTCACGCATTCGGGCCACCGAAGAGATCGCAAAACTTCGACGAGGAGCTTGCAGCAGAGACCTGGAGCTCATCCGAGCTAGGAGGCGAGACTACAAGACTGGTTAGTATAGGTCCAAAGCGATCTGGACAACAAGAACATACACTCGATCTCAGTGATTGAGCCATGTTTAATCTGTTGAAGCGGTGCCAAAGGATAGCTGGCTTGAGAGAACAGACAAACTGCGAGCCTTTCAATCCCGAGCAGAGGCGATCCTGAAAGCTCAAGAAGCAGACTAACCACCTTTGGCAGTTTCTCCATCACGTGCTTTTTCTCGCTCGCACGTGACTTTGCGCATCTCTTGGCATTTACATGTTTCGCCTTCTCATCACGTGCCATCGGTCCAGGCTCCATTCCTGCGCCCTCTTCCTCTTCTTCAGCCTCCCTCTTATTCCACGCCCTTCTCTCCTCTATCTCATCTCCCTTTCTCACCTCCATCTATCTTTTGAGATCGCAGAAGTCGTCAAGACACAGTATCTCTGCTCTGAAATTCTTCCATTTCACTTCGCAGAACCTGTATCTCGACGCACGACGCTTTACGCCTTCCCGATTGACGACGCGCCGACATCGACCATTTCGTGTTCAGAAGCCTCGCCTCTTCCATGACACACGAGACCTTCACTGGTTGAACGGTCCGAGTCTGCTTGCATCGTCACTTCATCGCGCCGTTGTCAAATCTCACCTGTGACTCGTTATCCGACGCCCTACCTCACTATTGCTCTCAGTGTTACTCTTCACCTCGAGTTAAAAAAGGTACTTAGATAGTTCTATCGAGCACTGTATGAACCTTCAGACTCCTGTTTGGCTTGTCTCATTCATTTGGTGATGGCCTTACTGACAAATTGGTGTCTGCAGTGTACGACGACTCTCCATCTGAAGTCTACGTCTACACTCTCAAGTCGCTCGCTAATTCAGTATTAAAACCCTTGATCCCAGTTTACGGCCTGTGCAAGCGCTCTTTTTAAAGAGCAATATTACCTTGGCGGCCAGCAGAGGCTTCTAGGCCCTCTGCGGTGACAGAATTAGCCCAAGCCCGTTAACTTTAGCGCCGCCAAACTGTATTCTCCGTTGTTCTTCAAGACTTTCGCAACTAATCATAACCTTCGAACTTCCTACCGGGCCATCAAAAGGCGCCAGACTCAGCGCACGCAATCAAAACTCGCAGGGCGTGTCGTTAAGAACGACCACAGGTCTAAGTCGTCCCTGAAATCCTCCAAGATGGCGAACATATCTGGGATAGAAAATCAACCCCCAGACGGCCCAGCATGGCATGACAATCTCAACATGCATCTGATCTGTCCCGATTGCAAACAAGTTCCTCCAGATCTCATTGAGGAAAATGCCGACACCATCTGCGGCAATTGTGGAATGGTCCTGGCGGAGAGATTGGTCAGTTATGAGTCAGAGTGGCGGACCTTCAACTCGGATGAGGGCAAGGGCGATGACCCCAATCGGGTGGGTGAAGCTGACAATGAGCTTCTATTGACAAACAATGCGGGTACCATGATTGGGGGCGGTGGCCCCAATGTTTCGAAGGAAACCCGAAAGCTCAAGAAAGCTCAAGCCCTGCAACAAGAGAACAAGGCTGACAAAGCTCTTCAATCTGCTTATGCGCAAATCGAGACCTGGGGTGAAAAGGCCAAGTTCACATCCTCCATCAAAACTGCCGCCAAGATGTATTTCAAGCGCGTGTACGAAGCAAATGCTCTCCGAGGCAAACAAACTGATGTCATTCTCGCTGGCTGTCTCTTCATTGCTTGTCGACAGATGAAATTGCCTCGAAGCTTCAACGAGATCTTCGGCTTAACTGCAGTGCCCAAAAAAGAAATCGGGAGGGCCTACAAGACCCTGGAGAAATTCCTGACGCAATCTTCTCACGACAACATCCAAGCTGTGGAGGGTAGTGGAGGCATCGCTAACCGGGATCTACTTGAATACCGCGGAACCCAATCCACCAAACCAGAGGACCTCTGCGGCAGGTATTGCAATATGGTCGGCTTGAATTTCCGTGTTCAAACAATCGCCGAGAGTCTGGCAAAGAAAATTCCTACTATCGAGGGCCTCGCGGGTCGAAGTCCCTTGTCCAATGCTGCTGCTTGTACATTCTTTGCCAGCCACCTCATAGGTTTCGGGAAATCCAGTAAACAGATCAGCGATGTTGCCGGAGTTAGCGACGCGACAATCAAGCATGCGTACAAGTTCTTGTTGCAGGAAAAGGAACGCCTGGTTGATGAAAGCTGGCTTGGTGAACAGCCTCCACCTCACGGCGGGTTTGGAGACCTGAACAACCTACCTGGAGCCTAGAAGGCATCGTACGCCCAGTCAAAAAACCCTCGTCCGGACTCCCATCTTTGAATTACTTGAAGATGTTTTTCCCTCCCCGTGATTGGGAGGATTCCAGAATGGGCGCACTCAAGTTCCATTTCCTCTGCGTTACGGCCTTGGAAACACATTTCTACCCTGCATAGCAACAAAATGGGCTGCGTGTGGTGGAGTCTTTGGCTGATGATCGACTTTTGATTGCTTTAAGCACGGCGTTGTGCAGAGCGAAATGATATCCCACGGCGGGTCACAAAAGTGATGCATGTAAATGATTAAATAAAAGCACAAATCAAGAAAAATATGAATTCCAGTTCAAGTCTCCGTGAATTATCCATACATATAGTGCTTGTCTCCGGGCTCCTGCGATGTTTGGATCTTCTCTGAATTCTCCGGAGAGCTTGTAGGCATGCGAGGTATATAATCGTAGTTTGTTCTACTATGGACTATACAGTATCGACACCTTCCGCTCCACCAGCACATTTGCAACAGTGAGGCCATTTGTCTTCCCTTGGAGGACGCCCGAAAGCTCCGCGGACCTCCGTGGAGTTTACTCCTCTTCTACCCACATTGCCCTTCTGTACTTTCGCTGAAGGATGACCTGTGGCAGGCTTCTTTAGAGCTACACGGGCGATCTTCAATCTGAAGGACCGGCGAACGTACGTCAAGACTGTCAAACACATCAACTCATGGTCCAAACCGGGTGGGTGCTGGTTTCCTTCTACAATGCTGACAAATGAATCCCGGTGATCCTTTGGCCATCCAGAGACGCCATGATCAAACGTCTTTTCTTTCGCGCCAGCTTATAGAATGCCTTCAAGCTTGCAAAAGAGCCGCAGCCGTCCCGACCCAGTCTCTTGCCAGTCATGTCGATTGAAGAAGCTGAAATGTAATCGTGTTCACCCATGCTCAAACTGTGCTGCTCGAGGGATTACCTGCAACTTTTTGGTGCCTCCCAAGAGACAGAACGTGACACACAGTTCAACGCATAGCAGTATCGAGCTTCTAGAACGGATTGAGCGCTTGGAGGCTTTGATACAAAAGCCACTCCCTGGCCAGGACTTCTCAAGTCATGGCATCGAAGATCACTTTCCGGATGGAATGCAATTCGTTACCCCAAGTCCTCAAAGCATTCTGGTGTCCGATGTACACCGAACTCGAGATGAAGATTCAATGTTGCTTGAAACTATTGGAACAAGGGCGGATGCAATCGTAGGTGGCTAAATAATGCCCTGCTTCCATTCAAACTCCCTTAAGTTGCGTCCACTAATCCGAGAACAGCATTCTTGTCTATCTGATGGATTGACGTTCGAATTAGCCAGCATGGAGGATTTGCTCGAGCGCCCCCGTATGAAGCATACAACACAAGCACCGAATCATCCCCGACCATCTGCAAATATTGCAACATTCCCGCCGTACAGAGTGGCAGTTCTGCTGTTCCAATGCTATGAAACTTATATTGATCATATATCTCGCATACTGCATATTCCAACTGTCCGCGCGCTCATGAAAGCCTTCTATCTACGACTTACCCAAGGTAAGTCTGGTCCGCCTGGCCAAGCTGCGCTGCTGTTTTCAATATTCGCGCTTGCCGCTGTCTTTTACCAGCCTTTTGAGCATTCCGAAGTGGTATCGAACGAGGATGATGCGATTAATCTCGCGAAAGTTATGGGCAAAGGTGCGCTAGACACCTTGGATTATTCCCGGCGGAGCACTTCAGGAACTCTAGAAGATATCCAAGCTTACATTCTCATGTCATATGTCATATTCCACCTCGATGGCCTTTCCGCTACGGGCCACCTACTGTCAGCAACAGCCGGTGTAATTGCGAAAGGCCTTTGTTTACATAAGTTGGATGTGATCACTTGTGGGGAGAAGAGTACTAATCTTCGTGATATGATTGATCGTGAAGTCAAGCGGAGAGTGTTTTGGTACATAGCATCGCAAGACTGGTATTTAGTGTCTTCCACAAGATCACCAGACACTGACCAACTACTGCAGGTTGTCAGCAGCGATTTCCGGTCCCCAGGAAGGGACATACTCAATCCACCCAAATCACATCAACGTCAGACTTCCAACAGACTGCAACGATGACGACTTTGTCCTGGGCGGCGACACGGAGTCAGAAAATGGCCCCCAGCCAAATAGTACAACTTATTTTATCGAAAAAATCCGCCTCGCACATATATGCCGCGAAATCGTGGATACAGTGCCATTGGACACCAACAGACTCCAGCAAATGCCCTACGACAAGATCATTGACCTCGACCAGAAGCTGTTAGACTTTATTTCGAATTTGCCTTTCTTCTTCAAACTTGATGCCGCAAGTCGCCAGCGAGCTAAACCACTAGAGACCATGTATCTCAGCATCCAACTCCAGAGATATTGCATCACCGGAGCAGTGCACAGCAGACGATGTAAATTGCACCAGAGGTTTCTACTCCGCCAATCATCCGATTCTCGCTATACTTACTCAAGGCGAGCATGCCTTGAATCGGCGCATACCATCATGCAGTTCTATGAAGGGTTCTCAGATGGCACCCCGCCGCGAACATTGAGATACGGTAAAACCATAGCTGCCCACTATGTGCACCTGGCGATGGTAGTGCTCGTCATGGACTTATGCTTCAACAAAGACCAGGCAGATGAAGTAGCGATCAAGAAAGAAGTCAAGGCTGGCCTGCAGATGTTTGAGGATGCAAGCGATGCATCGCCACTTCTTGGTCGATTTATTAGTTCGATAAATCGCATTCTAGCGAAGTATGACGTGTACCTGAATGACCCATCGACCACTTTGTCGGATCGGGATGTCCACTCTGGCAATGAGATCGACTCCGGGCCATTCGGAGCCACGTATACTGAACAATCACAACCTTCCCATCTCCATCTAGAAATGTCCGAGCCGAGCGAGATTCCCGAACTATCATTCGACGAGTTCTGGGAAAGAACTATGCAAGCCGAGCCGAATACCGATCTACTTGCCTGGGACAACATGTTCTCCACGCTCGACTCTAGACCACTCTAGGGAAAGACGGGGAGAGCACATGAAACATTCACTCTTCGCTTGAACCTAAGCGACGGCGATGTATGTGTAAGGCTCTTAGTGAGAGATCTGGAGGCGAGTTTCGAATTTATGGGACGCGGCATGAAGCCGTAGCAGAGTGGTGAGCATTGGGGACAGTGGAAAGATTCGTCCAGCATAGCGTTGGTGGACAGCAGGGGAGTAGCTGTTGAGGAGGCAGACGAACAAGTTTAAATCCACCAACTGGTAGAAATGACCTCCAAGTATTCGCTGAGTCAGTGGGCCAGCTCGGGACATGGCCTGAAGTAGCCTTGCTTAAGACTCCAGTCAAGATAGCAGTGTTTACGGCGGCTTGCGCGACCTGGAAAGACCGGGGCCTTTGAGGGCAGACGAGTAAGGCCAATAAGGTTGCTTTTCCCATCTTGACGCTGGAATTGAAGGCTTCTCCTCAACTTCATGCCGATCCCTCTCATTTAGAAAACGGTGCAGTTCCTCCACCTCCAAACTTTCTCCATGTTTCCGCAGCCCATTCATGTGTCGCCGGGGGATGATGTGAGGTAAAATCCTGGTCAGACTGCCTGTAGGACTGCATGTCTTTGGCGGGAAAAGAGATATGGGAGCTCATACTCGGCACAAAGAGGCCGCTGGGACGGCGGACTAGGAACCTCTGAGTCACAAGTAATATATGTGAAGGGAATAATGACTAGTAGCGATGCCGAGGCGGTAGCAGTGACACAAGACCACTACAGAGTTAGCCAGATCAAAGTCTTTTAAGGAGTGCAAAATACAACTTGTAACATTTAATTAGCATCAAACGCCGACTTTAACTGGCATTCTCCTTGGTAGATTCGAAGATGATGCGGCATCAACATTATGATGAAAGTCGTATCCCAAACCCCGACCCAGATACCTTCAGGATGAACCTTCTCCGGTTTGATGCCAGTGATCTATTGAATCATGCCGCACTTGTTCAGGTTAGTGGAGACCAAACACCATGATGCATATGGGTAGTTGGAGCAATACCGACGCGTAAAGGTAAGGACATACACTCCATTCAAATCTTCGTGGCGTTGTTCTTTTGCACGTACATTATCTGGCCGTTGCTGCCCATGGCTTGTGCCAGATACAGAGAAGACAATGCTCGCCAGCGTACTGCTGCCTTTCGTTGCAGAGATCATCAATAATAACAATAACTCCTTCGTCGGTGTTTCGATCCAGTATCGACTCGGTGCGTTCGATTTCTTAACATCAGACGAGGGATACCGCAACGGCGTCGTCAATGCTGGACTCCTCGACCAACACTTTGCACTGCAGTGGGTTCAGTCCTACATTTCGCTCTTCGGAGGAAATGCATCTCTAGTGACGGTCAGTGGTGAGACCGCCGGAGGCGGGTCAGTCATGTTCCAGGACCTGGCGTATGGAGGTACCCTTGGTGATGCTTTGTTCGTCATAGCATTGCCGCGTCCCCATACCTTCCCATGCAGTTTGGCTACAAGGACTGGGTTCCGTCACAATCCTACCATGCATTTGCTACGAAAGCTGGGTGTCCTCCCGGTTTACCATATGGCGCCCATCCACAGACGATCTTTGCATGTCTCATTGAGAAGGATACTGATGCTCTGATCAATGCAAGTGCTGAAATCTCCCAATCGGGCACATTCGGCACATGGGCGTTCTTGCCCGCGTGAGTGATCAATCTGAAGGCAGCTCGAAGTATCTACAGTGAACCTGGTGCCTACAGGACCGACGGCACGTTGTGCAAGATCTACCAAGCCAACAACTCTTACGAAAGCAAGTCAACGGTAGGAACATGTTGGTCGGTAACAACGCGAATGAAGGACCTGGCTTCACGCCTCAGAACATCACCACGGAAGACAACCTCGTTGAATGGTTGGAGCTCACCTTTCTACTCTTCACCAATGATGACATTGCCCAAGTGTTGCTCTACTACCCCAGTTCGAACGCCTCGACGAATCGGAATGCAACCCTCTTCGCGACCGAGGGCGACGAGGGTTCTCACAGCGTTGAATCAAAGCAGTGTGGGCACCGGCCAGCAACAAAGAGCAAATGTATGATCACTAAGGTGGATGAATCATTCCTGAATAATCAGCTAACAAGTAGCTTGCGAAGAACATATATGCGGAGACTACATTTGTCTGTCCACCCTACTGGATGGGCTCGGCCTACAACGACCATGGCAGGTCAGGGTACAAGTACCAGTACTCTGTGCCTCCAGCTACTCATGCGTTGGATGTTGCGGCGTGTAGGTGATTATGTTTGGATACTCATAGCAGAACCCGGGCTAACATGCATATTCCACAGACTTTGGTCCCACTCCCGCGAACGTCGGCCCAGACATGGCGTTCGCTTTCAAGAAGATCTGGGGCAATTTTATTACCACGAACAACCCAAGGATCTCCACTGAAATCGCCAATGGCGCGTCGTCGAACTCGACATCCGCCATCGATGCAAGCGATTGGGTCCCATACTCGGCTTACGAGCCATATCAGTTGAATTTGAACCAGCTAAGGTCTATCCACTGTAATATGAGCTTGCAAGATCCACATGCCAACCTCGTCGATCTGTTCATTGACACATCATACCTCAACAAGACAGGAGGCACCCCCATACCATACATGGTCTCCGTCGGCGTCAACTTGACAGTAAACGGAAACCCGGGGCTGCGGAACGACATCTTGCTGGTCGACGCATGGACATGGGAAGCCGGGAGAGGATATCGCTGCGAGTTCTGGCGGAGCGTTGGGCCAATAGTCCCGGAGTGGGAAGTGCCATTTCTGGGGTTGAGTTTAGGTGTTCTGCCGATGGATAGACTGGCTGATATTATGCGGTTTCCCAAAAACCATAATCATCACCTTAGAGCCAATGGGGGTTGCAAAAAGTAGAAGTCCAACTGCGACTATAAATGAGGTCGTAATTGCTCACCAGCCCCTGGAAGGCACATTGCTTCTGGCCGTTTGTAATGTCTCTGGACGAATACGAGCATGCGCCGTGGGGACGTAATTAGAGACAAGCAAGGTTTGATACGCGCTGCTCCAATCGACGGACTCCAAGACACGCCCTTTCGAGAGCATTTGCCTCAACGATAGCCTACTACATACGTAAGCGGGCATACCCCGCTTTATACTTGACCCTGGTTGCGGGGAGGTCTAGCGACTGAAATGAATAAAGGAGATATATCTTCCTGGGTAACGAGGCATCCCCTTCGTTGTCGATTCTAAGAATATATTTCAACCTTGAGTCCAAACCCCCAGACGCCTGTTCAAGTTGTGTGCAGCCCAAGAAAAGGACATCTGCTCGCACAGCCTGGCTTTACAGCATTCGAGAAAGAACTCTGGAGTCTGAACACTATTTCAACCAGCTCCTCTGGGAAGCAGTGCTGCTGAACAAGAAACCTGCTCCTCACGTTCAGCCTTCACTCAGTTTAGGGGCGTGCCGACGGTAGGAAATGGCTCTCACAGCGACGCATCTACAATGCCACTGTGCAGCAGTCTATGAGCCAGCAACACTCCTCAAGGACGAAACGCTCCCACTCAAGAATGATATGTGCCACTGTTCCATGTGTCGTTTTTCGACTGGGAGCTTGGCAGCATGGTTTGCTGGCCTCAAGAGGAGTCCCAGCGACAAATCAATGAGCAGCGTCACAGCGTACAATGCAACCAAAACCGCGACGAGATATTTCTGCAACACCTGCGGCTGCAATGTCTTTGTCCATATGATGGAAGAGGGGCGATGGCTGGCTTGTGCGGGGATCGTGGAGGTGTGTGTCAACGAGCAGAAGGGAGGAGGCGATTCTTCTAATGAGGGCAAGGTGTTAGGAAAGGAGGACTTGAAGGAAGATAGGTACGGCAAGGAAGAGCGCGTGCTGTCTAACCCCAGGTATCATGAATACGTCGGGTCTGCAGCAGACGGCGGTCTTGCGCCGTACATGATGAAGCTGGGCGGGCGGGACATACCATCGTACACCACCGAACCAGGTATTGACGGCGACAAGACCCTCGACCCTGCGGACGTGCTGGCCCTACGCACGAACGCAAACGTATCGCCATCCGCGCGAGGCAGCAGCATACAAGTCGCGTGCATCTGCGGCGGCGTTGAGCTGCGTATAGCGCCCCCCCCGTACAACGACACCAGCGAAGGCTGGTACGTAACGTCTGACAAATCCAAGTACTACGCCCGCCTGTGCAACTGCAGATCCTGCCGCTTGACCCTGGGCTTCCCCTTCCAGCCGTGGACGTATATTCCGCCGTCCCGGCTTTTCACCACGGCAGGCGACCAATTGATCGTGGGCCCGAAGGCGAAGGACACGAAGCAGATTCAGAAACTGAAGTACTATCAGAGCTCGGAGTCGGTACTCAGGGGCTTCTGCGAAGGGTGTGGAGCCACGATGTTCTATCAGAGCTTTGACCGGCCGTATATCATCAATGTCTGTGCTGGTGTTGCTAGGAGTAAGGTCGGCAATGTCATGCTTGGGGAATGGTTGCAGTGGGATCGGAAGGTGGTTAGTAAGAGGGAGGAAGCGGTTGAGGAGGAGATGATTGAGGCGTGGTTGAGGGCCTAGGTAGCAAATACTAGGTAGGAGCAGCGGCACTGTCCATCTCACACAAAATATAAGAAAATCGGAAAAGAATCAGGAGGCAACGAACGATGTTATGTGTATATATAAACTTTACTTTTCAGGAAACCTCCCTACGGAGGGAAAAACCTGACTATGCAAATTGAGCAAAGAAACAACCAATCAACAAGACAACCCCTCGAGCCGAAATCAAGTCCTCACTGCAGCGATTAGACGATCGAGCTTCCATCGGCAGGTGTTGATTTCCCGCTCTCGTTGTTAGCGCGTTGGGTCTTTCTCAATCTGTATCTCTTGATAGCCTTCCAACTCTCAATGACAGCAACATACACGATCAGGCATCCAACGACGATACCCCATTCGTAGGTGATGCCCTGGTGCTTGAAGACGAGGGTGTTGATCTTAGGGATATAGACCAATGGAAAAACCAGACAGAAACCGGAAACAACAGCCCAAAAGAGGAACTTGTTCTGGTAGACGGCGGGGAAAATAGAGAAGATGGTGGAACGGTGAGAGTCTGGATCTCGCTCCACACCGATCAGGCCCATATTAAACAGGGAGGCATTGAAGTCCTTAACCTCCCAGGCAGTGGCGAGAAGGGTGAATGACAGCACAGCGAAGACGGTAGCACGCGCTTGGAAGACGCGGTCGCATGTCCCATTATAGTCCTGATTACAGTCTTCACCCAAAGAGCTTTGCCCCCTGCCAAAGCCGTACACGACGCTGACGAAAGCGACCAAGCAAAGGGAACCCATCGTGATACCGTAGACCATCTTATCGATGATAAGGGATTTGGTGAAAACACCGACCTTCATGTCCCGTGGTGGGCGGTCCATGATATCCAGTACGGCTGGCTCGAGGCCAAGACCAAGGGCGAGTGGTGACGAAGTTACTAGATTGGCCCAAAGAATTTCCAAGGGCGACAGCGGGAACACAGATTTGTTGGTCCTGTCCCGGAATGCCAGTGCAGTGATCAGGAGAACCACTTGGGCGATGTTGGAAGTGAGTAGATGGAGCAGAAACTATGGACGGAGTTAGTATGTGCTGATGGGATTTGTTGGTGTTGAGCTTACCTTTTGAATATTATCAAACAGGCGACGACCTTCCTGAATGGCGCGAACAATGGATGCAAAGTCATCGTCAGCCAGGACCATGTCAGCGGCCTGCTTAGCGACATCACTGCCGTTCAGGCCCATAGCAATACCAATATCAGCCAACTTCAAAGCGGGAGAGTCGTTGATGCCATCACCGGTCATAATGCAGAAGGCCTGTCTGCGATGCAAGGCCTGGACCATGCGAACCTTGGTGGTGGGCGAGCATCGGGCGACAACCAACGGTAGCTTTTCGAGTCGATCGAGATGCTCATCCGAGAGCTTGTCAAAGTCCGATGCCAGCATGACTTCTCCACTCGCTGCGGAATCCACGGGATTCAACCCACGGCCGACAATACCGACTTCCTGGGCGATGGCAGCAGCGGTACGAATGTGGTCTCCAGTCAGCATGTGCACAGTGATTCCAGCTCGCTGGCAAGTACGAACAGCATTTGCTGTTTCGGCACGGGGAGGATCGTACAGGCCGATCAAACCCACGAAGCGTAGCTCTGACTCGGCAGCATTACGGTCTGTTAACATCTTCTCATCGTTGGCAGGAACCGTCTTGTGCGCAAGGCAGAGAACGCGAAGTCCTTGTCCAGCCATGGCCTCAGCATCCACATTGATGCGTGCCTTCTCTTCCTCCGAGCAGGTCGAGATGGGTAGGATTGCTTCAGTGGCACCCTTGGTGAAAAGGTCGACCATGTTGGCATCGGGATTAGTATAAGCCATGGTCATGCGCTTGATAGACGAATCAAATGGAAACTCTGCAACCATGGTGCGACGCTTCTTGGCGATTGCTTCGGCCTTGCCATGCTCGAATCGCATGGCAAAGACTTGTAGGGCAATTTCGGTGGGCTCACCGATTGCGGTCCAGCCGCTCTGCCCAACAGTGGCTGCGGGCTGGTCGGATTCGGTAGTTGCTTTGGAGAGGTTCTGAACGGTAGAGAGGTTGCAAAGCGAGACGATATCGAGGAATAAGTCCAGAACTGCACCACTTTGAACCTCCGAAATTTTACTTCCGTCTTCCCGTTCAACGGTGCCACTGGTGGGGTCGAAAGGATTGATTGAATTCTGGACAGACAAGATCTCCGCTCCAGCGACCAAGGCTCTCCTAACAATCATTTTGCCTTGGGTCAGGGTTCCAGTCTTATCGGAGCAGATGTTTGAGACGCCACCTACAGCTTCGAGGGACGAAAGCCTGCGGATAATGATGTTGCTCTTAGCCATTGCCTTGGTGCCGACAGCGATGGTCAGGGTAAGTACAGCTATGAGAGACTCCGGAATGACCGCGACAGCCACGCAGATACCGTAGATAAGCACTTCATCAGAGACATCCCATTTGGCGGTAGAGAAGACGATGATGGCCAGAAGAATAGCCAAACCGAAGAGTAGGAGTGCAAATTTGCTCAACTTTATTTGGAGAGGACTACCAACAAGGCCCAGGGCATGCTTAATGACTGCAGTGCTCTTATTGTAGAAACGGGTAAAGGCATTGCCTTCCGAGGCAGAAGCTTTCTTGTCCTGTAGGAGGACCGCAATTTTCCCGACTTCTGTGAGCATAGCCGTTGCAACGACAATCCCAGATCCTCTTCCCCGACTGACCATAGAAGCTGAGTACACCATGTTGGCACGGTCGCCAATAGGGATATCCGCACGATTCAAGGTCTGATTGGCAAATTTGGACGTGGGCATGGATTCACCAGTAAGTAGGGCCTCGTCAGTAGATAGATTTACAGAGTCGAACAATCGAAGATCGGCCGGAATCATCGCGCCGGCGGCCAATAAGACCACATCGCCGACGACGAGTGTCTCGGCTCTGATGACCTGGATCTGGCCACCCCTGAGGACTTTGCATTCCGGTGAGGAGAGCGCCTGAAGAGATAGAATTGTCTGTTCAGCACGGTAATCTTGGATAAATCCGACGATGATATTGAGTAGGATGACGGCCAAGATGACAGAGCCTTCAATGTAATCGTGGAGGCTGAAGGATAAGATCATGGTGATCAGGAGAACAAGTGTGAGTGAGTTGGAGACTTGTCTCAAGAGAATCTGGAACATGGAAATCCTTTCAGTATCCTCGATCTTGTTGGGTCCATCCTTCTCAAGGCGAACTGCCGCTTCGTTGTTGCTAAGGCCATTTTCGATGTCGACCCCTAGATGGGTCGCAAGATGGGCAACCTCTAGGGTATGGGCGTTCTTGCAGAGGTCCTCTCGGGAGAGGGCTAGAGTACTTCCACCAACACTGCCTTCAAAAACACTTTTCTCGCCAACTTCAAGGTGGTGTTGCCCACCTATAGGGGGTTCGTCGCTCACGGGCTCAACTTGCTCAAGCGTTGGGGTAGGGTTTCCATTGGAGGAAGTTGAAGTAATAACCATTCAATGAGGGGACAAGGACACCAAGTTTGGTGCAGCCTTGCTTTTCAGCAGGAATGAAGTCGCGTTGAATAGTTGATGGCTTCGTCGGAGTTGATAGTCGAACAGATCTGACAATCACAGATTGAGATGAGTTGATGGGAAGAGCGGAGGCCCTGACCGGGGATTTGGTTCCTTGGATTATGTACTCCGTAGAAGGCATTGGTGGTGGCGAGTGGGGCAAGCCTCCGACATTCCAAGGCTCTTCCACATCATCATGAAGGCACTGCCACGTCGAAATAGCCAGGCCCAATTGGATCAGGCGAGCCCATCAGTGGGAATAGAACATCAACAAGAGCTGACCATGCCTGGTTTGGTCATACCAAGAACGAGGACGGCATCGAGAGGAGAACTGGCTAAGGCTCGGCAGGGTTTCAAAAAACCGGTCATTCGCCGCCTGCCAGCCAAGGACGCAATAAGAAGCTGATTTTACCAAGTAATGACATATGCAACTGTTGGGGCTAGCTATGCGACTACGGAGTCCTAAAACCTGTTATCTAGCTTGGCCGCATATAACTCTGGTCCGTAGAGATTAGCTAGTGGGATAGGCGCAAGCACTGGGTCTACACTAACCAGCGAGAGCTGCCTCATTATCCGTCATTCTCCGCAACTGCTCGGTCGGCGCATCTGAGCACTCTGAAACATGCTTGGACTGTGTACGAGTAATTTTGAGCACACCTTGGCTGTCTTGTCCTACTCGTATCCAAGCTGAGGTCACTTATCCTACATACTCCCCACATTATACCCGCCATGACCACGACACCCGTGGCCTCATGCCAAGGCGCTAACCGATTCCGTCGATGAATTGACTCGGAGTAGGGCGGATGAGGGGGCATAGGGCGGCATCAAGGTCTACCCAAATCAAGGTGAGTTGCGAAGCCGCTTCACCAGGTCTTGGCATCGCGGAATCTGAATCAATCTGCCGGTAGGCAACAGAGGCATCTTTAGAGACCTCAGATCTTTTGCTCCCTCAGCTTCATCTTCAAACACGGACCACGCCCAGCCCATCCCTTCCTCGAAACCTTCGCGCACCCCGTTGTTTCAACTCATCTGGCATTGCGCTCATGAGCAGATAGCTGGGCTTGCAGTTTCCTTCAGGTAACACTTCTCCAACATGGCCGCCGCTGCGAAGCCGACAAAAAATCAGCTCAGACGCGCAAAGAAGAAGGCTCAAAAGACACAGGTATGTTTTATGACCGATTCTCTCGCTACCGGCACTGATTGCATCAAGACAACAACAGAATCGACATCAGAGCCTCCCCCCCGGGACGACGCCCCAGAACCTCCTCGAGCGGCACTAAATGGAGAAAAGATCAAGTCCGAAAACGGCCGAGATGGCACTGCTGTGTCCGACCCCCTGGTCCTTGACGAGGATAATCCTCTTTTCGAAATCTTCAAAGATGTAATGGGCCGGTTCGAGGAGCCCGACAAAGCAGATCCCGCGCTGAAGCAACCTGAGAAGCCAGAGGTGTATTTTGACGACGATGACGACATCCCAGACGAGGAAGAAGAGCTCGCAGCACCTAAAATCTCAAAGAAGAAGCGGAAGGAAATGAACCAACTCTCGGTCGCCGAATTGAAGGCACTCGTGAAGAGACCCGAACTGGTGGAATGGACGGATATATCTGCACCAGATCCTCAATTATTGGTGCACCTCAGAGCATACAGAAACGTCGTCCCGGTACCGAACCACTGGTCTTTGAAACGAGAATATCTCTCATCTAAACGCGGAATCGAAAAGCCTCCGTTTGCACTGCCAAAATTTATACAAGAAACTGGTATTGCAGAAATGCGAGATGCAGTTCTAGAGAAGCAGGATCAACAGACTCTGAGACAAAAGCAGAGAGAACGTGTTCAGGGAAAATTGGGGAAACTTGACATCGATTACCAAAAGCTTTACGAGGCATTCTTTCGGTTTCAGACAAAACCCGAATTGACTAGGTATGGTGAGGTGTATTATGAAGGCAAAGAGTTTGAGACGAACCTGCGGCATCTCCGTCCGGGCGAATTGTCCGATGAGCTAAAGGAAGCCCTCAACATGCCTCTCGGAGCACCACCGCCATGGCTTATCAATCAACAAAGATACGGTCCTCCACCTTCCTACCCATCGCTCAAAGTTCCTGGAGTAAATGCGCCACCTCCGCCCGGTGCAAGTTGGGGTTTCGCTCCCGGGCAATGGGGAAAGCCTCCAGTTGATGAGGCAACCAATCGGCCGCTCTACGGAGGTGATATTTTCGGTGTCTTGCAACAGCAGCAAAACACTCAACAAGGAGAACCAATCGAAAAAGAGCTCTGGGGTGAGCTACAAGCACAGGAGGAGTCTGAAGCAGAGTCTGAAGAGGAGGAGGATGACGAGGAAGCAGATTCTGACGATGGAGGCGCGGGTGTGGACACTGCTGGTGGCCTCGAAACTCCGAGCGGTCTTATATCTTCAGTCCCTACCGAGATCGGAGGGACCGAGACTGTGTCGGAATTTGACCTTCGTAAACGTCGTGGTACCGAGACTGAAGAATCCACTCAGCCACGATCTGCCTACCAAGTCATCCCGGAGCGACAGACACGAGTTGAAGGTTTCTTCGGTGGTGACCGTGCATACGATCTCAAAGGCGCTCAACAAAATGGCAGCAATCTTCCAATTCTGGGTCAAGAGGACACTCGCAAACGAAAGAAACCAGGCGATGTTGATGTTTCGATGGATCCAGATGCGTTGACTGCACGGGATGGCATGGACAAGGAGGATCTTCGCAAGGCGTACGAAGCTCAACGGAAGGCCGAGCAGAATCCTGGCTGGGATTTCCAAGAAGACTTATCTGAGATGATTGCTACAGAGAGTCGGAAGAGACAAAAACGAGATGAAGAAAAAAGGTCGAAAAGATGATCGCACACTAATCTTATCCTCCGAAAAGTGTTGTATTGATATTGGTCCCATCGAATAAATGGTATTGTCTGAGGCGGGAGATTCGACCTCGCACCACCCGATTGCAGGACCTCTAAATAGCTGTTGAAGAGGCAATCATGAGTGTTTACCTCTCCAAAATCTTCAGGTCAGGCGCGCTTCGTTTTGGTCTGGAAGGCAGTGACTAATGTCAGTGCAGAGTGGCCTTATACTTGCAATGGAATTGGGCTATTGACTCCACGAAGTCCATGCAATCAAGAGCTACAGTCCTGCACCTCTTCAATTTACTAGTGTGACGACCCCAGTTCGGCGGAAATTGATAGCATTGCCCAAAAAGTTCGCTCGAAGTGAGAGTTCACAGCCTTGATATCCCATCCAGATATCTTTGGCCACCGTCCTGAACGATTTGCAACGCATCAAACTGCGTTACAAACGATAACGGAACCCGAATGTCTTCCAATCTGTGACATCGTCATAATCCGCCTCCGACAAATGCACCGCTCTCACCATTCCGCCCACGTCTCGGTCCCCAGTGTCCACAACTTTTCCATCAGCCAATACACCGCCAGTTCCCGCGCTTCCCTTGATACCTTCACGCTTTTCGCGCCTTTTGTTTTCGAACTGCAAATAGAATCTTAACATCAAGCTCAAAGCGACCACAAGGGCGTAGCACACCATGATGGCTCGAAACGCGGTCTGGTAGTGTGGTGCCTCACTTGCTCGGAAAAATTGTGGTCCTGCAATGTTTCCAGCAGAATATGCGATGAACATGATTGCCGTCACAGTCATCTTCTTCGTGACGCCTTTGTAGTTCGCCTGGACGAGAGACATGGTGAGAGGAATTCCAGCAGGGCCAGTAGACTGCAGGAAATAACCAAAGAGCTGTACTCCTTTCGATGTCGCTGGACGTGCATAGATCAGCGAGTTACCGATCGTGGCGCAGAGCACGACAGTTGCAATCAGTATGCAATTGAGCTGGCGGAAACGTCCTGCCAGCCACCCCGTCCCAGAAATTGTACCAGCAGCGATGACTGAGGAGGGGATTACGATGAGGGTGGACTCCAACGAGGTGAATCCAAAGGACTTGATCACCAGGTTTCCAAAATTCTGGATACCACCATTTGGTATCTGGGTCAGGAGTGCGATGGAGAAGGTCAGCCATGTCTTTGGGTCGATGAGACACTCCACCATCTGGTCCCATTTCCATGGCACTTTTTCGGTTACTCCAGTCCCAGCAATCACCACCCGATCGGTCGCGAATTGTCGTTCCTCTGGTGTCAAAAACGTTGCTGATGAGATTCGATCAGGCAAAAATATCCAGATAGCGAAAGACCAAAGGAAAGTCGTAACACCCAGCACAATATACATCCATTGCCACGGGGACAATGGACGCTCGATATGACCGATTCCGTACGCCAAAAGGCTGGCGACTAAACCACCAATGCTGTTGCCCGCAAACCAGATTCCAGTCCTTGTCGGTACTTCATCTCGGGTCCACCAGCTTGTCGTGATGAACATGAATGCTGGCGTGATGCTAGCCTCAGCCACTCCAAGAAGAAAGCGAACAGTTATGAGGCCGCCATAGTTGGAACATGCAGCAGTGACGGCGACGACAATACCCCAGAAGAAAGTGTTGACAACGAGATACTTGGCGACAGGCAGGCGGGCTACAAGCAAGGTTGCGGGATACTCCCAGAAGAAATAGCCAAAGTAAAAAACCTTTTTCGGATGAGTTAGCCATGCAATCATTTCTTCTGTGCGAGGTTCCAAAGTACCGAGCTGACCCAGGAATATTCCTGTCCGCGAAGATGCTTTGAGAACTGTGTTAATGAGATATTACTCCTACGGTCCACGGCACTCACAGTATCCTCCCTCAACCCAAAAACACTAGCGCTAGACAAAATGGTTTTGTCCATGAAGTTGAAGTTGTAAGTGATGAACATCAGCGGCAGTAGTCTCCAGTCAATCTTACGCAGGACGGCTTTGGCCATATGGTTGTCATAGTCAGTGACGGTGGCGGGTTGAGATGTCGCCTCCTGGTGCACATCGTCTTGAGCCTTAGAATCTGGTACCAAAGACATATTGCGAAGTCTGATGCCGAAATCTGCCAAATCACCGCCTGGACGAGAAGAGGGATTTTTGAAGCAATGTTGTAAGCAGTGTGGGTAACGACCGCATATTATCACACTGAAATTTACAAATGAATGGCTTTGCATACGAATGCGCATCTCCCCGCCCTGTTACTCTATTATCTTTCGTTCTAGATAGCGATGTCGCATTGGGAGTCACGAAAGAACACCAGCCATTATGCTATCAAATGATATCTCTCCATTCCCCGTGGTGGCAATTGGTCGGGAGCACATATCGTTGATCAGGTTGATTGCAGACGCATTTTGCTAACCTCCCCACCTTTCCTGTTCCGCATATCCGGGATGTGAGGCGTGCAGATGCCGGCGGCCCAGAAAGATAAAAGCGTTCAAGTTCTGGTCGCTCAGTCGGAGTCATCCGTATGAGATTCCTAAAGGAGCGAATGGCAACTCATAATCAGATGATCATGCCGGTGATTTCGCTATCCTGAATTGTAAGCCGGCGACTTATCTAGGTTGACTTCAACCTACGACGCTAAACCAGGTTTAAGTATTGGCGCGCAATGCCCAAACACCTGTTCCGGTATCACTGATTGCTTGGTATACACTATTCCCTATTCATGGTTCTGCCTTCCCCTCTGGAATACCAAATCGTATGCCGGGCTGGAAGTAAAGAAATAAAGAAAAATGAACGGGCTAGAGATCTCTCCATTTATTCAGGCTCTGCCCAAAGTTGAACTTCACATTCATATTGAAGGCACGCTCACACCAGCCTTGCGATGGAAGCTTGCACAGCAGAATTCCATAAAACTCCCGTATGACACATATGAAGACCTTGTTGCTTCTTATGCCGTGACATACAACCACCGCAAGGAGGTGCACGGCGATAATGGAGCACCGACCTTCCTTGAGGCCTTCTACGCCGGATGTCAAGTCCTACAAACAGAAGATGACTTTTACGAACTAGCGATGGAGTATTTCAACAAGGCAAAGCAGATGAATGTCCGTTATGTCGAGCCAATGTTCTCGACACAGGACCACATCAAGCGGGGTATTCCAGCTCGCAACGTCCTAAACGGCTACCTGAGAGCTCAGCAAGATGGACCCAGCAAATACGGCATCAGAAGTAACTGGATCTTCTGCTTCCTCCGTGATCACCCCGTTCAAGAGGGACTGGATGCGTATGAAGGGGCGTTGCCGTGGGCAAAGGTAGAAGGCGGAAAAGGACTGTTTCACGCGGTGGGCCTCGCTAGCAATGAATACGACAGACCACCACTCCTGTTCAAGCAAGCATTCAGCCGTGCTAGCGACGATGGTTTACACGTTACTATGCATTGCGACGTGGATCAGAAAGACGCCTTGGCCCATGTCCACGAGGCTATATTCAAGATTCTCGATGGTCAAGGTGCTGAGAGAATTGACCATGGCTTGAACGCTGTGGATGATCCTCGGTTGATAGAAGGGCTCAAGACGAGAGGTATCCCCTTGACCCTCTGCCCACATGCATACCACCGACGCCAGAAGACGGAAGTCTTGTTCCCAAAGATTACTAAGTTGTGGAACGAAGGTGTCAAGATCTGTATCAATTCGGATGATCCTACTTATATGCACAATGTGTGGATTGACGGCAACCTGCAGAAAGTGTACACTTACTGCTCCATGACAAAAAGGGATATGGTAGACCTTGTACGCAATGCCGTTGACGCGAGTTGGGTGGAGCCTGGCGTCAAACAAGCGATCATGGAAGAATTGGCTGCTATCGATGTGGCGGCATGCGACTGAGTGAATTTTGGTTCCCATTACCTCTTATGCTTCAAAGGGGTTTGAGGACCTGGAATCGTGCGAAAGGCGCCAGGTATCAGGTCCTACCATGTCAATGAGTTGAGTCTGGATAGGAGGATGGCATATATCAGACTTTTTGTCGGCATCCAGCGCGGTTGCTCTTCTCAAGATGGAGATTGCTCCTGTCAAAATGATGTCATATCGGATGCATTCCTCCAAAGGAGAATTGTCTCCTCCGACGAGGCTGGGCCCTGAAAACTCCTCACATTTCGGCAATGATCTTGGCTTGCTGTATATCTACAATCAGGATCTGAACAGGAAATCGGCTGCAAATCTGAAGGACTTTTTGGCAGTTTATTCACCTACCACTTTCAACCGAAGAGATTTCCCAGGTATGTTAGGACTATCAGATTCACAAGGCGGTCGTGTTCAGTTACAGGATGTCTCAAACTACCTGGGCACTCCAGCACCGTCAAACCACTCTTCAATCTCAAACAGTGAGACCATTCCGCCCGAAAGAGCTGTGTCAGCACTAGAAAGATGGAATCAATCCAAGTCCAATATATTCAAAACTATTTCAACATTTGTTGGCTTCATCGTCATGGGCGCGAACGATGCGGCCTATGGTGCTCTGATCCCTTATCTGGGCACTTATTACCAAGTCTCGTATACAGTTGTGTCGTTGGTATTTCTTTCACCTTTCATTGGCTACATCGCGGCCGCTGCACTGAACAATACGCTGCATAAGGTGGTTGGCCAGAGAGGAGTCGCAATACTGGGCCCCGGCGCTCACCTAGTCGCCTACATTGTCATCGCTTTGCATCCTCCTTACCCAGTCCTTGTGGCCGTCTTCATACTAGCGGGGTTTGGCAATGGAATACTGGATGCGGCTTGGAACGCTTGGATTGGCAACTTGGCGAATCCAAACGAGATCCTCGGTTTTCTCCACGGGTTCTACGGCATTGGTGCGACGGTGTCACCTCTCATTGCTACTACGATGATTACTAAACGTGGTCTCCAATGGTATGCATTCTACTACCTTATGGTAAGCTCATGCCCTGTCCCATCTTTGAAGCCATATCTGATCATTATGTCTAGATAGGAAGTGCTGCTGTCGAGCTGGCTACTTCAACTGCTGCATTCTGGAACGAGTCAGGTAAAAGGTTCCGCCAAACGTTGTGTGACGACACTATCCATGGAGCTACACGAGCGGCGTTGAAGACCAGAGTTGCCTGGGTCAGTGCTTTTTTCCTGCTCATGTACGTCGGCATTGAGGTCGCGCTTGGCGGCTGGATCGTCACTTTCATGATTGAAGTCCGAAATGGGACCGAGTTCGAGTCAGGATTGATAGCCACTGGGTAATTTTCGTCGGCCAGCGATCTTCAATTCTAGCTAACCTCTGTTGCTAGGTTCTGGTTGGGAATCACAGTCGGCCGGGTCATACTTGGATTTGTCACCCCGAGACTTGGTGAGAACCTATCAATCGTGTTGTATCTCGCATCCGCCATGGGCATGCAATTGCTCTTTTGGTTGGTCCCTTCGTTCACTGTTTCTTCAATTGCAGTCGCATTCGTCGGATTCTGTCTCGGGCCACTATTTCCAGCTGTTGTGGTTGCAACGACAAAACTACTCCCGGCTCATCTACATGTTGCAACAATCGGCTTTGCAGCAGCTTTTGGTGGTGGGGGAGCATGTATCCTGCCATTCGCCGTCGGTGCCATCGCCCAGGCTGCCGGTGTCAAGGTTTTACAGCCTATCATCCTAGCCATGCTGGGGCTGGCACTCTTACTCTGGTCTTTTGGTATGCCCAAGATATCTGGAGAAACCGGCAAAGAAAACGGAGGAATTGCAAAAACCAAACAGGTCGTTTCGAGGTATTTTCAGGGGTGTTTTGCAGCTCGTTTGTGAGTGTCGTCTCATTCCACTGTACCGAGGATGTTTGATCTATTGGAGCGTGTTTGTGAAATGAAATCTAGTAGTCATCCGCCCTTGTCCTACCTTTCAATAGTCTGTCTGCAATATCTCCGGATTGTCGTACTCATACGTCCTTCAGCTGCCAGCTACTTGCATACAAGGCTGGCCGGCAATCCGCTGAGTACATTGTAGTCTCTAGGACGGGCACGATTTCATGAAACTACTTTCCGACCCTGCTAAGTTCGGGTCTTCCCCGAAACCTTGATTTTGCTCTGTCAATGAATCAGGTATCAGTAAGCACTGGCCAAGCCCAAATGAGTGTCGGGGTATTCGATCATGGATTGGCAAAGTCTGAGTGGGAGGAAAGCCGTGGCCCGAGATCCTAGTCATCAGAATGATCATTCCATGTCTGGATGCATGTCAAAACTCTACTAACAGGAGCGCGGAATCCAGGATGAACTCTCGTTCCCGAGGTTTAGCCTCGCCATGCCAGTTGGTCTGCAGACTCTTTTGCAGCTGATCGTGTCTTTAGAACGGTTGCTGCATGCTCGCGCAAACCGCACTTTGAGGGCCGTAACTCCAGATTTGTTGGCATATCGGCCGCACTGCAGGGCTCGTCGGAGTTAGAAAGCGAGTGTGCCGGGTCTTGGGCTGCTTCATCTCCGCTACCCTGGCTGACGGCGCAATAATTGTTGATAAGTCGTAGTTTAGAAAGGTTGCTAGTAAAGCAATATACCTGCCAAGTGCCGTAGTCAACTGTCGTCCGGCTTATGACTCACGAATAAAGACCAGAAACACGCAGCACCCAGGCAAGAATACAATCCGAATACGAGACCCAATCGCGAGATGAATTAACCCCAGAGAATATGCTATTGTGCAGTCAAATCTCGCAGACATACCATAAGCAATTCGCATGGTCTAGGAGCTCAGAAGCACTTAGCCAAGGGAAACTTGAAGAACTGCCAAATGACTAAAGTGCCGTGTAAACGTCTGGGTGCATGTCTTTGTTACGCCGCAAGACAGGCAAGTTTTACCTGATCTAGCCTCCTTCGAGCTGCTGTCAATAATTACCATCCCTTAAATGGGCGTATACCTCGCTTCTTCTTGCACACAATTACTTGCGATGAACATAGGGGTTATATCCTCAGGTTGGATTGAAGAAACAATACGTAATTGGCGTCGTTGATTCGTAATATGCACTACTCTGGGGCAATGTCACAAGCACTAGCTTCCTATTTCCGACAACATACTGGAGTGGGAGAATATAATATATTTGAGATGATCCTCCATTGTCCCCGTCCGTGAATAATATTGCTCGGTCGGTGTTGAAAGTGAACACATTCGATTTCTACAGCACAGAAAAGCTTTTACTCTTTGAGCAATTTGAGCTTTGAAATGCAGACACCAAGACCACTGAGAAGGCTTGAAGTCAGGTATTCATGACGATATTCAAATCTTTCATTCGCAAAACTGACAGGGAAACAGGCTAGATAGTCCTACAGTACTCATCAGCGCAACAGAAGATGAACACCCCCCTCACCACGTGACTGGGAGGGTAATCCTGATGAACCAAGAGCCCCTCCCTGTCAAGGCGATCAAAGTTTGGCTTCGAGCAGAGCGGAAAGTCTCGTAAGTCTGCACAATGCGAGTACATTGACACTGGATATCCTCAGGCTGACCCACGCCCTACAGATGGTTTATCAAGTCGTTCTCCTATCAATATGTCCAAAATGTCGATAACATTCTGTTGAAAGAGCAACCTGTTTACCCTCCATCGCCCCACATCAAACCTGCGAATCGATTGGAACCAGGAAACCATACCTGGCGGTTCTGCTTTGAACTTGGAACGCCTGTAATGGAAAGCATCCAGGGTCTCTCGCATGCATCCTTGAGGTACATAGTGGAGGGAGAGGTGTCGATGAAAAGACTAGTTTCTTCCAATCTTCGCGCTTCTCAGAACTTTCAAGTCATTCGTGGCATCGACGTGAGCCTCGCGGGAGATAGATCTTCAGAACAGGTACTCACATGCTCATCTTGAAAAGCATGGCCTCGAGCTAACATTGTCAGCAAAAACAATCCGGATCACATTCCTGCGGTCTCGAGTATCAAGTGCGTGCGCCTCCTGTGCTTCATCGATGGGGTGAACCAATTGACTTTGAGTTTCGACTTATCCCCTTAGCGTCCTACGACATCAAGTTAGGAATAGCCAGATTCGAGCTGAGAGAAAAGTTGAACCTTCAAGCCACCTTCGACAAAAGGCTTGTATCAAATGTCAATGAAGTCTCCGTGATGAGAGGAGAAAAAGACCTTTCGGGCGAACCAAACGAGTTTCATGTCCGCTTCCCCCTTTCCCACTCTCTCAAGATCTGTCGGCAGTCGGTTAGGGAAAGTCGGATACAAATATCCCACAGGATACATATCGAAATCGAGTTTGCGGATGGAGATGATCGGCTCGGACAGGTAAGAGCGTAACCAGATTCGCGAATGAGATTACCTGCTGACAGCGAATAGATTGCCCTTGATTTTCCTTTTGAGCTGGTCTTTCCTCCCAATATAACATTCGATGAAGCTGGGAATGGATGTTTCGATCGCGTCAGATCGGCGCCGATAAGAGATGGGGAAAGCCTTTTGGCAGCTCCACCAGCATTTGGGAAACACTATCAGGATGAACTCTACACGCATGATGATTCAGTGGCGGACTTTGTCGCTGCACTCGGGGGTCCTGTAATGCGACCGTCATTGGGCAGTAGTGGGGAAACTGGAAGCCTCCTAATTACAGAGGCATTGGGAACAACAAGTCCTTCCAACATAACGCCAAGCTATGAGTTGGCAATTCAGGCGCCGGAAATGTTCATAGACCGTAACAGCTCGTTGCCTGCATATGAAAGCAGCGGGGTTGAGATGGTTGATACAAATACGAGAGAACAAGTCCATATAGACGTTCCGCAGCCTGCTGTCTGTCGCAGCCGTCGATTGGATTGAAGCGACTTGCACTTTGAGGATGATTCTGCAGCCATTGGATAGTCGGCATGAACTGCTTTCCCGTGGTAATCTTGTACAGCGATTCCAATTCAGGAAGTTGGTCTCCCTAGGTAGACTGTGCCCATCCACAGATCCTATCAGGGGAATTAGCGTACTCAAGCTAGAGTTCATGTGTGGTAGGATAACGCGCGTGGTTAGATCATAGTCCAATTTGACAGCACGAGATCAATCTTCTGCTCGGAAGCACCTAGTCGTTTTAGGCACTTCTGTGCTCCCCGCATTTAAGAATTGGAGAGGGTGGGGAAATGTGTAACTTGGATATGTGCATAGCTGAGCATCACAAGGCTGTCTCTTGCCTGTTCCCCTCCCACCAACTGCCGCGTGGAGTGATCTGGGCACTAGAAGCCCCATGGCCGACTTCCAGGGTAGATAAGATCATGATTCATGATGCGGCTGGGTTCGAACAGAATTCATTTTTCGACGGACTAATTTGATACCCTGAGCTCCTGCTGTTCTCTTTTCGTTGCCCTTAATTCGAGTGCTTAGTATAGGACCACAGGATGGGTGACATTAGGGGCCGAGATGCGTCTGATACCGAGGTATCACATCACCCAGTGATAGTTGTCGGCGCTGGTCCAGTCGGCCTGACAGTCGCGACAAACCTCGCGAAGCTAGGAGTCCGAGTGCTGATTCTCGAACGCTCACATCAAATCGACCAGTCGCCCCGCGCAGCAAGCTATCAACCATGTGCACAAGCAGAACTACTAGAAACGGGGACCCTGGACGATGTGAAAAAAGAGTCCATCATCAATGATGTCTTGAGCTTCTGGGTGGACGGGAAGAGGGTTGCGCATGTGGAGAAGCGAGAAGGCGGGAGCATTTTCCCGGCGGGCATCAACTGCCCGCAGCCACAACTCGCCGCAATATTGCTCAGGCATCTCACAACCAAATATGACAGTGAAGCGCGGTTCAATCAAAAGGTGATTGCCATCGAACAGGCAGACAACGTTGAGTTTGTGGCGCTCACCGCAGTGGATCCAACGACAGAGAAAGAAACCAAGTATACCTGCGACTGGCTTGTAGGTGCAGACGGTGCCGGTTCAGGTGTCAGGAAGATATGCAACATCCCGTTCGAGGGCTTTTCATGGCCAAAGGAGGACTTTGTCGCGACAGATCTAAGATACGACTTTTTCCAGCACGGCTTTACGACTGCGAATTTCATCGTGGATCCTGTGCATTGGGCGGTCGTAACCATACTTGATAGAACTGGCTTGTGGCGTTGTGCCTTTGGAGTGAGAGCCGGCTTGACTAATGATGAGATCCGGGAGGAGCTCGATGAACATTATAAGCACATATTCCCAGTCTGGCCCATCGACTATGAACTGGTGAAATTGAACAAGTATAAGCCCCATCAGAGGTGTGCCAGAACGTTTCGATTGGGGAGAGTCCTCCTGGCGGGAGACGCGGCGCATGTAAGTTCGATGGCCTGTTGATACTGAAATTATTCGCTGACCACAGTTGTAGAGCAACAACCCTATCGGAGGCCTGGGCTTGACAACTGGCCTGCTAGACGCCGGGCCACTCGGGAGAGCATTAGGAGCCGTCATTCAAGGCAAAGCTCCCGAGACACTTCTCGACATGTGGGCCAAGTCACGGCGTGAAAAATGGCTCAGTTTCACCAATGGCTTCTCCATCGAAAACAAGAGAATGATCCAACGTGGCGGTTATAGCAATGACCAAGATCCGTTGAAGATCTGGGTCACTGACGATGTTGCGAAGGAAAATAACATGGACGAATGGTTGGCCGCGGCCACTGAGGAGAAACGGGAAGCAGACCTCAAATTCTACAAGAGCCTGGAAGATCCCCAAGCACAGCTGATGAGTCGCATGAAGCAGTGGGATATCACTATGGACCCAATGTGGATGGCAGAATACGAGGATCCAGAGCTGATCAAGTTCAGAATGTCGCTGCGACCGCCGAATCTGGCGGCTGCAGTTATATGATGAGCCTCAGAAGACTCGGCATCCAGCTGAAAGACTTCTAGAAATACTGGTATATCAGAGAAAAGGGGACGCCCAAATATTGACAGCCGAATGTTTGCTTCAGAACCGATAGGTGTTGATAAGTGAGCTTCAGCCTACTAAGTAGCCGCAACTTGCCCGGCCACCCGGGAATGGAGCCCATCCTATTATCAAGGTGATAAAGGTGATGAAGACAGAGCTCCTGAGTGTTATGTTTGCACGGGCTTCAGAAAATCAGACCTGTTCAGAGTAACAGTAAGCATGAGATTGGATAGCATGTGATCTGATGCCTTGATTGATACATAGACGTCATAATAATTGTGGCGGTTTACTCTCTTATCCTCGTATGACGAAATAAGCGAACAGTCCTCCTTCCTCCATGTCACCGACAAACAAAATTTGTTTGCAACCTCATACCTAATCTCAGCCTCGTGATATACTTGAAGCTTGCCTCAAATCTAGGGCAGCTAGATAATGGCTTCGTTCTTAAACAAGATCAAGCGTGGTACTGGGGCGCTTCCGCAGTCACACTCAGAGCAAAGTCATGAGCAGTCCCTCACCACAATCTTATCTACCCATGAAGATAAGTCAGAATTACTGCTGATAGTTGCCAATTGTGTGGGTTCTATGCGACGGCAGGTAATAGACATCTTCGATCCTGAAAGAGGTCACGAAAGCTGGACTCGTTCACTGTCGACCCTATCTGGAAAGGATCAAACACTCGCTCATAGTGGAGAGTCTACTGAGGCTGAGGCAGCAAAGTCTTCAAAAGGAACCAGCCCGGCACAGGAAGAAGAAGCACGGAAGAAACGCTACGAAAGAAGGGCGAAGGAATTGTCTAGTTCTGAGATGATAGCGTTGAGAGATGCAACGTTGAACCATTTCGACACGTGGAGAGACAAGGTCATTCAGCGCTTAGGCGAAGCCATCAACCAGCACCAAGATGATGAATTTGATGCGTCGAAGAACATGCCTCAAACTCATAGTCGAGAGGATGAGCTCAGCCAAGAGCTGGAGGATCCCGAGTCAGATCACGCATTGGAGCAGCCGTATCCTCCTCAAGAAACTCCACTACGAAGCTTGCCCCAAGCTCAAAGGGTACTCATCTTGCACTCCCTTGTACTGTTACTCCTTAGCCTTGAGGCTTACACTGCGGAATCTCGTGTCCTCTTGCTTCGAATAACCAGCTCCTTAGGCCTTCCTATGAAGATCCTGGCCAAAGATGAAGCACAGGTTGCGAAGGGCCTCCTCGAGTCTGCGAAGCAGCAGATGAATGCGGATGCCGACACCAAGAAGAAAGCTGAAGAAAACGCATCATCTCGCAAGTGGAAAGTCGGACTAGGTGCTGCAGCGGGTGCTGTTCTCATTGGCGTTACTGGAGGTTTGGCTGCTCCGCTGCTTGCCGCCGGTGTGGGTTCTTTGATGGGAGGTATCGGTCTCGGTGCAACAGCCACAGCAGGCTACCTTGGAGCTCTTGCAGGGAGCGCTCCTTTGGTAGGAGCATTGTTTGGTGCGTATGGAGGACGAATGACTGGACGAGCCATCGACCAGTATGCTAGAGAGGTTGACGATTTTGCTTTCATCCCTCTTCACAAAACTCATGGATTCCATATCAAAGACGCCGAGGGCGATTCAAGACATCTACGTGTTGCTATTGGTATATCAGGCTACCTCAACGACGAATCTGAAGTTGTCAAGCCTTGGCAGGTGATCGGAAACAGCGTGGAAGGCTTTGCGCTCAGATGGGAAGTCAAATCGCTCGTGAAACTCGGCAGTGCGTTGACAACATATATTCGAAGTTATGCTTGGGGATGGGCGAAGAAGGAGGTCATCAGTCGAACAATCCTGGCCACCCTTGCATCCGCATTGACACTACCTTATGGCATCGCAAAGGCCACAAAGTTGGTTGACAACCCATGGAGTGTTGCTGCATCACGAAGTGACAAAGCAGGAAAAGTCCTTGCGCAAGCGCTCATCTCGAGGGTTCAAGGGGAGAGACCAGTCACACTTCTTGGATATTCTCTGGGAGCACGTCTTATATACTCGTGCCTGGATGAGCTTGCAGATCGCCGAGCATATGGTCTGGTGGAGTCAGTCGTGTTGGCAGGGGCAGCCGCACCCTCGGATTCGGTTACATGGCGAAAGCTACGAGCGGTAGTCAGTGGCAGGCTCATCAATGTCTATTCGACAAACGACTATCTGCTGGGCATATTGTACCGGACAAGCAGTCTCCAGTATGGTATCGCCGGTCTGCAGACAATTGAAGATGTGCCTGGAATCGAGAACGTGGATGCTTCTAGCATCGTGGATGGTCACACACAATACCGCTTTCTCATCGGCCGCATTCTTGGGCAAGTCGGATTAGAAGACATTGATGTAGGAGAAGAGGAGCAACAAATGAGAGATTTACGACAGAGCCAGAAGAAAGACGCAGAGGAGCGGGAGAAGAGCGAGAAAGAAGAGAAGATGGTTGAGAATGCCTCAAGTGGCCCCTGATTAACTCGATAATGCTAGCATAATCAGCGATGCCCTATGTAGGTATCGTATATACCTACCTACCGACGCACAATTGCATGTATGAAACGTGTGCTTCACGCTTTATATTGCATATTCCTCACATTGTCGTAATTCTTGAGTTGCTGCAGGGATGATCTGGAGGAGGTGGAGGTAGTGGAAGCTGAAAGTGAAACGGGGATTGAAACAATCCTTAGATAGCCTCGCGACAGAAAACCTATTTAAGTAGTCGGTATTGGAGGAATCGGTTTTCTCCTAGAGGGAGAATGAAAGGTTGCTTTAGCCTGACCTTAATTGAGCCCTGAGGTGAACATCATTGAGCGCTACTTTAGCCCCTTAAGCAGAACACCGGGGACGAAGCACGAAGTAGGCCATTAGGTCCTGGACTCCTCAAATCGCCTAAGTCTGCCTCGAGTACTATATCGAGGGTCATCTATTTCAGAGGTGCTCTAAGTGCACCTCTGTATGTACCTCGTGCCTCGTGCATATTTTGCATGGTAGGGTATAGTTCCCCACGCCACCGTCCGCTGCTCAACCACGTCGAGCAGGCAAAGAGGTACTCGATGAACGGCCCAATTTTCGTTGGTACACCCACCCATCGTTCATGGTGTTAACGGTATCTAACTTCACCTTCGTTGTGGTCGCTCTCCCCCAGTGGCTTGCTTCCAACGTGGCTCGCGGCTGATATCCTCGACACCAACTTCCATGCAGCACATATGGGGCCCAGTGTACGGGCCCCTTGGTTTGTGCATTCTCCTTGCGCATCATTTCACAGATGGTGCTTCGAAGAGCCTGCGCCAGGCGCAACGCCATCACTTCCGGCCGCGGTTTGGCGTCGCTCTGCGTCCGCAAATTTGAATAAAACAGTTCGCTAAACCGCCGCGCGGCGGCGCTCTCGACAGGTCAGAGCGTCCCAATGACGGATGTTGCTCCAGCATAAAGTAGTGCTGGAATGATCCCAAGAGGTTCATCTCCGCCCGCAATGTCTTGGGTGCCGGAGTCACAGGCGACGACCGTCACATGTGGAGCGGAACTTTGCATATTGACATCGAAATATCTGCCACAGTGAGATTCTTGCTAGCGGTTTCGGTTTCGGTGGCGGAGGGATGGGTTGTGTCCGCCGAGGCCTCTGCCTCTTCCAGACCTCCAGCGAGGACGAGGCATGACCGCAGGACGTCGCGCTTGCCGAAGAGTGCATGTCCATGATAGTGGATCCAGCCCGACGAGGACGCGGCTTCCTTAACTTCGTGGGTCGAAGGCTATCCAGATACAGCCACGGTAAAGTCGAGGGGAAGTTTTCCAAGGCTGTTTATCCGTCCAACAACCGGATTGCCTCGCCCAGTCCCGGCGAAGACCCCATGGTGGTCAACATGGCCCCCAAGGAAGTTTAGGGGATTGTCAAAGTGGTGGAAGGGAGAAAGTACAGCGAAGTCTCCATCCCAATCATGTTCGAAAGCCCCGTCAGCATTTCTACCGGCGTTGAGGCAAGTTGGGTGCAGAGGAGAACGAGCACCAAGAGCACCGAATGGAGATACTTGTGACTTGTATCCCCCCTGCCTCCCTACCGACCACGTTTTCTGTACGGGTGCATGCCACTTCTTCCATGAGTTGTAGGGCGATTCTCATGCCTGGACGTCGCAAAGCGCAGGGGGTATGAACTGTCACTTGATACACTTGCTAGGGCATAGAGTATAGCAACTTTGCTCTCGTTCGAAGATGTTTTGTTGGCTTGTCTGCGGTGCGAATCTTGAGTCCGACATCTGGAAACGTGCCTGCCAAACCATGGAGATCTGATGAGCTGGTTCAAAAAAATCCGGTCCTGCGCGCTGCCTTTGATTTATCATGAATAACTTTGCAATCAAGTCGATTTCAGCTCGGGGAAGAAATACTAGCTGATGCTTCTCTGCGTGCTCCAGGCGTTACCGCCCTCCACGGGCTCTGAACAAGGTAATCCTAACGCAAGCACTTGATCTCCAACCCTCAACGATGTAGGGAGTCTCATGTTCAAGCAATTTTCCCGCTGATGTACTCTCTTTAGAGAGGTTGAGTAACAGACTATCCCGATAACTTGCAACATTAGTTTATGCTCACCGCATGGCAGGCTTCTAGTGTAGTAGTATCGACGGAGGTGCTCGCAGATAGAGACGTTCAACAGATGATGTCATGACTCCTGAGTCACGGCTTTCGGAAGTTCAATAAGCCCGCCTGCATTTTGGAAGTTTTGGAAGGCACACGGTGGACAGACTGATCGCGTCTTGTTGGCACCTTCCTTCCAGTCACTGCACGCGTCATGCTTCGCACGATCACGCACATAAAGCTGGTCTCCTTATGGGCAACTAATATACTATACAAGTTGTGTTGCTGCATGTAAGATAGATTGTCTTTGTCAATCACTGAGAGGCTGATACAAGGATGGTTGAAAACTTGGATGTAGAAAATGAAACCTCTTTATCAGATTTCCCGATTGGGAACAGCCCTGTGGCCTTGGCATCAGCTTTTGGGCGCCAGATGTTGACTTCGCTTCCTTCTCAACGTACCGAAAAAGACCACCACAGACACGGTTGAATGAGGCTTCCTACACTTCATCCCCCCATGTGTTGTGAACTTCCAAACCATCTTCTCTACCGTCATCATTTAGGGACATCCTACCCGTCGTAAACCCTCTGCTCTCCTACCCGCAGTTTCTGCCTGTCATCAACTCTCCACGTGCAATGCTATGGATCGTTACCGCGGGTATGTCAACATTGAATGTCTGGTCTGTGCCCACTAACGACCTGGCAGACCTCGACGCTCTCCTCCCCCGCGTGACAGGGACAGAGACCGACTGTACCGCGAAAGAGACGACCACCCTGATGTAGAATATTTTGGCGAGGGCGAGAGTTATCGTCCGGGGGGCTCTTCTGGGGATGGGCCTTACCGTCCTGCAAACCGTGAACGACACACTGCAGACTCGTGGGCTGGAGATCGACGGGAACCACGAAGAGATGAGAGGAGAGATGACATAGACTCGTACGTTCCCGCCACCAGCAACAGAGCCACACGACCGCGCAGCCGTTCTCCTCCGTTCCGACGACGATCGAGAACCCCTCCAAACCGAGCGCGGGAGGACCTATTTCCCAACAGAAGATCTCCACCCCGCCGTTTTTCTCCGCGAAGATCGCCTCCCCGAAGAAGATCAAGATCGCTTGGCCCCAGGCCACGGAGTCCACAAGATTCCAAAAGAGTTCGAGAGTTCAGCCCTGATACCAGGCGCTCGCCGAAGAGAGAACGAAGGCTCTCTCCCGATCGAAATAGATTTGGTCGTCCACGATCACCGCCTCGAAGAGGCCCAAGTCCAGACAGGGACTCATCAAGAGGTGGTGGCCAGTACAGACCCAGGTCGAAGAGTCCTCCGCGCAGGTTTGATCGTAGACCGCAGGACGACAACTGGAGGAGACGGTCACCTTCGCCTCGGAATTCAGCTCCTGTTTCCAACACTACGTCTCGCAGGTCCTCACCTCCCATCCACCCTGACCGAATTAGCCGGGCAGGGTCAGGCCCTCGTTCACCACCACATCAACCTTCGGCCCAATACGATCATGCAGATTCCACGAACTACGGAGAAAGAGCGGTGCCAACTGAACCTCTGCGGAATAGGGATGTGAGCACAACCCGTGACGAACATCCCACGAACGGGGAGTCATTACAGCCACCCTCAGGACCAAGTGTCCACCGGAATGGAACCTACGATCGTCCTCCTCCGACAGGGCCCTCGCGGAACTTCAGCCAACCTCAAAGATCGCCTCCCACTGGTCCAGCTTCGCTATCGCCGTCCATGTCCGCTTATGTTCGTGGAGGTCCCTCTGCAATCAACGCCCCGACAAGACCTCGCGGTGCGCCGAGTGGCCCGGCAAGGGATTTCTCAAGCCCTCCTATCCGTGGTCGGGGTAGTCTTTCATATCGTGGCTCGGCCCCTTATGGACCAAGGGGGGGTGGATACGCGCGTGGAGATTACAGTGGCACTCGTGGCGACTATGGTGGAGGGCGCGGTGACTACGGCGGAGGTCGAGGTGACCTCGGAGGAGGACCCCGCGGTGATCTCTCAGGAGGCAACTATCGGGGTGCAACGTCCGAGCGTGCAAGCTCCGGTGGTGTCGGAGCTGGGCAGAACGACACATCTTTCCCCTTCCGTGGTAACAGCAGCAGCAGCACGACCTACCCGCGCACCCAACGTTTTAACAGCGTGCAACAGCACCTCGCTACCACCGAGAAAATCATCCCAGGCGGGAAGCTTCTGCCCTCTGGCCTTCCTCCCGACCAAGACAAGCGTATCAAGATACTGGAAGCCGAAGCCGAACGAATGCGCAAGGAAATCCTGGAAAAGCAGCGAATCAAACGTGAGGTGATGAACGAGTGGGAGACACGAGAGCGCGAAAGCGACCGAGAGAGATTACGCAGTGAGCTCGCAGATGCACATCTGCAGCAGCTGGTGGAAAGTGACGACGGTATTGGTAGAGCGGCATTCTAGTAGATACGCTGGCTAGGAGCCCTATCACTCTCACCGTGGAGCAGGGAGATGAAACCAAAGAAGTCTGAATCCGATCAGAAGCACGATGATCAGCATAGAAAGCAGAATTTGCATAGCGATGGAATGACAACTACTGAACAGGCAAGCGAGCAGGCATTGAACCGAAGTCGCCAAAATTATGGGGTTGGGGATCTACAGTATCTAGTGTGTGTTTATGAAAGGCGGGAAAAGGCCAAAAGCGCATGAATGTTTCCACACAAAAGAATGCCTTTCAGTCCAGGTGTGAGCGTGTGCGTGTACGATTTTGGAAGAGAAAGCGGGTTGGCATTGGCATAGGATGAGCATTGGACAGGCGAACAGGCGAACTTGGACTAGACATTGGACACAAACTGATGGCGATGGACATGGACATGGACATGAATCTCAATCCTAGAATCTCAGTGAGCTGAAAATGAAGATGGACCGACTGCCGAAGATCGGGCTGACGTTTCTTGTGTCTGGTCTGGGTTGCTTCTGTCCTGATGGCATCGTACAGACTTGTTCGTGACTCTTCCCCCTTTCAAATTCATCTCGCTCAATCCTCAACCACTACTCAATTGTACCTCACTATGCACCAACCGCTCTTCCCCCATCGACCTCCAGATTAACCCCTGTGACGAAGCGGCCCTCATCACTGCCCAAAAAAGCACACACATTCGCGATGTCCTCCGGGTCCGTCAGCCTGCCCAGCGGCACATTGAACAGGAACTTCTTCATGTTCTCGTCGTTGTACGGCACGCCGACGAACTGTTCGAAGAGGCCCGTCCCCGACAGCAGGGGGCACAGTGCGTTCACGCGGATCTGATCCTTCCCGAACTCGGCGGCCAGGCCTTTGCTTGCCTATGGATTGCGATATTGGTTAGTCGACGTGGTCGGGGAGTCTATGCGGGTTGTGATGTATTCCCACTCACATTCGCAACGGCGCCTTTGCTGGCATTATACCACACCAGCCCCGGCCGCGGTCTCATGGCGCCGATACTCGCAATATTGATGATACTCCCACCGCCTCTCTTCTTCAGCGCGGGCACAACGGCGGGAACACTCAGATAAATGCTCTTAACATTCACCGCAAACACCCGGTCATACTCGTCCTCGGTCACCTCCAGCGTCGGCTTGTTCTTGTAGCTCGTGCCCGCGTTGTTGACGAGGATGTCGACCCCGCCAAACTTAGTCACCGCCGTGTCGACGAGCTTGGCCCAGTCGTTCGCAGACGTCACGTTCGCGGTCACGGCGGCGATGTGTGCTGCGGACGCGGAGTTGGCGTCGTAGACTTTGGCGAGGGCATCGCTGTTGATGTCGGAGGCGACGACTTTGGCGCCCTCGGCCACGAATTTGCGGGTTATGGCGAGCCCGAAGCCTGATGCGGCGCCTAGATGGTGGATGAGTGTGAGTAACAGTTCAAGGTTGAGGAGGCAGAGAAACAGAGAGGACAATCAGTGTTATGATGTACCTGTGACTAGTGCGACTTTCCCAGCCAGCCTGCCAGAGCCAGTTTGTACTTCATGGAGACCGGACATTATGGGCAGCAGTGAAGCAGGCTCGTCACGATGGTATGGGATGGAATTAATTCCAAGGAGCTACAGTGGAAAGAAGATGTTGCACATGCGGACAGAAGGTCGCTCCCGAGCAGATATAGATGTTCTTCTCCGAGCGAGAGAAAGAGACGAGTGCCCCGCATGGTTCCATCATCTTCCGAACGAAGGGACAATTCCATTTGGAGGGATGATGCAAGCAACCAAGAGAAGCAGGAGATAGACGTCGAAGGAACAGTCAAAAGGTGCAGAATCTGAGCTGTGGAGGGGCTTCCGGGGACGTTGCGGGGAAAGGCGAACAACGATTCATTCATCCAATGACAGAAGAAGAGCAAATCCCGAGTGACGAGAGCTCGCAGTGCGGAGATGGCCTCGACGCCCTGACGCCTTCATGCATCTGGGACCTTGGCTCGTCTCGAAAAAGAAAATCAATGATCGGCCTCTCCTCCGAGATCGGGAGGCGACGGGATTTGGTGTCCTGCTGCCCGTTTGAGATTTCGAGATGTGCTGTGCTATCTTGGCCTCGCGGCGTCCTCAGCGAATCGTGTTGAGGTGTTTTCGGGTAGATGGTGTTTTGTGTAACCACGTGTTCCATCGCCCTGGCAAGCGTCGCACGTCCTCTAGCCATGTCTCTGCCTGGGGACGAGAGAAAGTGGGAGTTGCGTGCTTTGCATTTGCATACTCGTATATAGAACTCCGCCGTGTTGATGCTGGGTATCATAATGTACATAAAATCCCACTTCTTCGCAGTGGCTACTTCTTGCCCGCCGCTTTCTTTGCCGCTCTTCCTTCTGTTATAACTGTTAGACACCGCATGCAACTGATCAAGGGACAACCGGGAATCTGTACCTGCGGCGGTTTTCTTCTTCTTGGGCGCGCCTTTGCCTCTCATCTTGGCAAGATTGACGTCTTCAAGTCGTTGCAGTTCTTCTTCGTTATATCCCACCAGACCAAACTTCTCAAATTCCTTCAAGACATCGTCGATCGTGGCAGACTTCCGCGGGTAGTATGCCGCCAGCGTTGGGCCTTTCAATCGTTGGCGGAGGATCTTGTTGCCCAGTCTTTGCTGGTTGGGATTGAACGTTTGGGAGAATATCGAGCATTGGAGCTGCAGAGTTGTTGTCAGGATATGCTAGGTACCTAGGTATAGATAGATGGAGGAAGAATTTGGCACCGGCTGCTGAATGCAGGGCCAAACGTCACAAGAGACACAGGTTGCTGGGGACACACCTTTGAGAGCTCCAGAAGACGACCTCGTGAGGGTAGAGGCAGCGACATCTGGACGGACGGCTCAAGGAAGGGTGGTGATCAATCGGCGGCGTGGACGGGAAAGGGCAGCAATTCAGTCAAATTCATGGCTTGAATTTCTGAAGTTCGATAAGCGGGTCACGTGATACAGCGCCCGGCTGCACCTGCATTAATAATCACGTGACTCTTCGCTTAAACATTCCACTACTCGGATGGACTATCAAAAACCAAAACCTCGAGGAAGTGAAACTCGGTCGATCCTTTTTACTCCTTGACATGAGAATCTCATTTGACATGCTTCCAAGTGATCCTACTGGCATGGCTTAGCCTCTTAAAGTTTCACCATGGCCGATCGACATCCAAAGAGGCCATTTACCGGCCGCCATGACCACCAGGCCCCTCATAAGAAGCCTCGCCATCAATCTCACAGCACCTCACCATTTGCCCTGCCCGCACATTCTGTTCCTCAAGTTATTCTGGCTTCTGACTTACCGGTAGCACCTGAGATTGATGAGAAATACTCTACCACTGTTTTCACCCATCAGAGTGTCGCTTCAAAAGACCCCAAATCGGGAGGAACCAACAGTTACGACCGCCTGGAGTTCTTGGGCGATGCCTATCTCGAAGTCATCGCTTCGGAACTCATATTCGACCGCTTCAGCACTCTACCTGCTGGACGCATGTCCCAGGTCCGTGAATCTTTGATCAAGAACGAAACTCTTTCTCGTCTGACTGAAGCCTACGGCTGGGATAAGAAGATGAAGAATAGCCAGCAGCTTCACCGTGAGTCAGCACAAGCTTGGGTCAAGATCAAAGGCGACGTGTTCGAGGCCTATGTTGCTGCTGTAGTGTTATCTCACCAAAATGGTCTGCAAATTGCCAAGGCATGGCTACAAACCTTGTGGGCGTCGGCTTTGGATTCGGTCGCTGCTCAGGTCTCGGCCCCGTCTCACAGCAAACAAGAACTTGCCATGCGAATTGCAGGAAAGGGAGTCAAAATCAATTACGTGGATGAGAAGCCACCAATTGTACACAAAGGACAAGGCGTCGAGACGTACTTTGTCGGTGTTTATTTGGACGGCTGGGGATGGGATAATCAGTTTTTGGGCAGTGGGAAGGGATTGAGCAGAAGTGCAGCTGGCCAAGAAGCCGCGGCCGCAGCGATTAAAAACAAGCCATTGATTGACGAAATAATGGCAAAGCGAGCCACTGTCCTCACCGAAAGAAAGAACGAACAAATAGGTGCGAGTCTCGATTCCTGATCCTGCCCAAGGTTATTACTATGGCACTGGACATCTTTTACAACAAACATCCATGAATACCCAGCTTAGAGCACTCAGTCCTGACTACAGACCTCACTTGTAAGTACCATATCACGTAACATCCCTTCACCGATTGACGATTTGGGCCTTCTACCGTGCTCTCCTGGGCCTAGAATCAGTCCCATCCAGTTCTCTCCCTTCAAATTTTGCCAAAGAATAGACAGCTTAAGCAATTGTCGTATCTGTCGAGCTAGCTTCGTATCCATAGCTCAATCAACCTCCACCCTGCACTAGAAAGTTGATTGCGGCAGCCTCGAAGCTAGATACGCGTCAGCAATACACCGCGATTCGAGATTGGCTTGTCAACGACATCACCATCCGGCGACCCCGTCGGTTCTTTGTTTGACCCTGGTTCGTCACCTGGTTGCGTGAAGAAGTCCTTGTCCAATTTCGGGTGCGGCAGATCGTGATCATTCTCTCGGGACAGCTGTTCTTTGATCGGACCCTCGCACTTCTGCCCAATCATTCGGGCTTTTGGTGTGCTTGGATGGTATGTGAATCCCTGCCTGCGTGAGTGGAGTCCACCTCTATCATCAGCCACAATCTCATTGTCCTCCTTGACCACCAAGCTCATGCGGTGAGAAGTGGACTTGAGCACTTGAATCATTTTTCGCACTGCCGCCCTTTTGCCTTTCTGCATAATTTTCTTGACAAGCGGCTTCACAGACTTCATTCTGGCGAAGCTCTTCTTCTTACCAGGTAATCGCGACTCCATACCATCGACCATGCTCGCACCTGGATTTCCAGGCCCGGCTATGTCATGACCTGCTACTGAGTGTTGTTGACTGGCCCGACTGGTGGTGTTTGTTGCTCCATCTGACACTTTTTCGGACGCATCATCGCTTACAGCAGATGAATCGAAAGCTCCGTGGATCTCTTTGCCACTGAAACCTCGTGAGTACATGCTCTCAACAGGCATCTCATGCCGGGAAGCCCCAAGCAAGGGATCCTGCTCGATGGTATCAACAAGAATGATGTTGGAGGTGCCGGAAGGTGATTCACGGTCATCGTTATGAGCTGATGGCGATGGGCTGGTTATCGTTGTTGACCCGGCTTGACTTTGTATTAAATCACTCCTTGCCTCGATATCAAAGAGGCCATCGGCGGATGATGTTTGTTCCCAAGAATAATGTCCACCCACTTCATGACAGCGAGGGTCTGGAGAAGCATATCGGAGTGTAAACAGGTCTCCCTGGCGAATCAACTCGAATTCCCCACCTGATCGACCTGCTGCTGCCCGTCGCTGACGCCGTTGTTCCACGCTGTCCGGTGGTGTTGCTGCTGGTGTTGGATAACTCATGCTGTCGACGAAGATCTAATTAATTCGGCTTGATTTTGCCAAGTGTTGGACCGGCCATTGATTGCAAGGCTGTCGTTGAGATGCTCCAAGTTTGGAGAAGGGTGAGTGGTTTAAGGGAGAAGACCTGTCCACCAGGCGACGATTTTTATTTGAAGGATCAAGCGCGCCCCTGTCTCAAGAAGCAGTGTTTGGACGTGAAGCATCCACTCAAGTTTGTAGAGTGCAAACACCCACAACATTGAAGAGGCAGTGGGCTGGTCTGACGCACTCCATCCTAAACCAGTTGTTATGTACACTCACCCGATTGCACAGCTGGGAGCTGCCTTCGACAGCCTTACCTATCGGTTATGAAATGTACATCACGGCCACTAGATGGTGGAAAAGAGTCGTTGCTCGAGGACACGAGGCATATTTCCGTAAGGTTTTACGGTTGACGATTTCTTGTGCTCGAGGGGCCCAAATGTTTGACTTGTTTGACCTACATTCCTTTTACGTTTTACCCGCCTAGTCGGAGAGATGATTTATTCACTTTTTTCTCCAGCACCAGCCTCACTGGCCAATCGAAGCCAATGCCTCTTTGACCTGAGTTGAGGGCGAACAGACCACATCACACCTGAGCAAGCAGCAAGCCGCCCGGGAGACGCCTGTAGTGATTTGAGGCATCGCGTCCCTGAGCCAGCACGATGGCGTCCACCATACCACAGCCGCTACCTTAACCTCTGCCTCTGCTACTGTAGCACGAGTTGCCACAAAAGACTTCAGCTTTGCAGCGCAAGATACTTCGATTTTCCTCTCCCCGGATCTCTGACTCCGCTTTGGATCTGAGCCCGGAGTAATGCGAGCTTCTGAGATCCTCTTCGTTCCTGGTTTCTCCCAACGGCCGCTCGCGCCTCAGTTGCGACTTAAGCATTATCGCCAGCGCGAACTCATCGCTGGGTTTAAGTGGGCCTGTTAAATAGACGTCCTCGACCATGTTATGGTTCATGCTCCAGGCTAAGAAAAGCGTTTCACAGCGAAGGCGGCGAGGGCGACAACCCTAAGCAGGCACGTCGGTAAAAGGCATTGTCTCCGATCACCTCGTAAAACCCATGAATTATTCTGAGTCACACGCAATTTGCTGTCTGCTAGTGCTGGGATCTTGCCTTCTCGGCAATTGAAGGGTGTATTGTTTTGGAAGAACTTAACCAACCTATGTTTCGAATAATCCACTGTTTATCAACACAATTTCCTTCAATCACACGAAATATTGGACCGTATTGCGATCGCTCTGCGAATGGTGGATGCCAATGCATGTACATACCAGGGTCAAGGATGGCTTTCTTGGAGAATCGGTTCTGTCTGGCTTCACGCGGACACCTATTCGCTGGCCCAATATGTGCTCGTCAATCTCATGACATCATCTGAGAATCTGGGGAACACGAAATAGCTGTCCATCTATGGTGTCCATCGAAAGCCGTGTTGATCTTTGGATGCCTCCAATTGCAAAATCGACGGCGCAACCCTTTTCGCAACATTCGAAGTCACATACACTGTCTTCATACTCGCTTGCTGCACGATGGGTATTCCATACTCCAGAGAAATCAATGCCGCTTTCGAGCAAGTGACGCCTTTGGTGGCCGCTGGCTTTGAGGTTCTGCAAACGACAAAGGATATTGCGATCCTGCTCGCATGCATTCAAGTTCTCACCGTTGCAATCTTGGCATTAATCCTGGTGTCTCTGTTCGGGTTATTGTTAACAATGAACCCGGACCTTGAGTACGAGAGACAACAGTTAGTCACACCCGCCTTACAATACATCTCTAGTTGGCTCCTTTCCTACGGTGCATCTGCAAAATGGCTGCTGAGGACTCTTTTGGTTGCCACAGCCATAGGATTTGTGGTGTTTTTTTGGTATGGCTTCATAGCTGGGTCGAGTGTCCCTGGGGAGGACGACAGGGATGGGGCGGAGGAGGAAGGCGACGAGCCCGAGGAAGAAACGAAGGGAAAGGGTAACGGCAAGGATAAACACAAAGGGCAGGAGAAAAGGAGAGGGAATGGTAAAGACAAAGAAAACGAAAAGGGGAAATAGGAGATTCCACGCCTCGCTCAGTCTCCTCAGTGGATGCAAGGGTTGCAAAGGAGACTACCTAAGACTCGAACATATCATAGTGCCCTTGTGCTGCCGCTATCTCCGAGCTCACCTCTGTACAAACCTAAATATGAATTCTTGAGTGCCATCCATACACTGCTAGTGCAAGTACCCCTGTCCTTGAAACACGGTCGGCTTTCGAAGGTGCAAATTATTTCGCTTCTACTAATTAGTAATAGCATTGTTCGGTTTCCTCCCACGGAGTTTTCCAACAGTCCACCAGCCGATCCTGGTTCAAAGGCTCATGGCCGTTCAGAGAACCAGCCTCGTATGGTGGGATTGGTGAATCTCTTGAGAACACCATGCCTATGGGTGCCTACTAAGTGTTGCTTCTCAATTCCTGGCGACCGTCCCGATTACCACCAACTTCCAGACTGCAACCTTCGCTTGCTCCATCAGCAACTTCGTTTCCCGCTTGCTGTGTATGCGCCCCTTATGACATCTGCTGTCGGTATGAAAAACGATTCTAGCTAGTGGTCAGGGCTCTTGTGACCCCTTTGCGTGATGCTGTGAAGAGCTCTTCGGCCCCACACTTTCCATCGATCTACAACTGCAACTTATGATACTCCCGAATTCAGATTGCAATTCTACTTGAGAGCTCATCTGATAGCAACCCCTGGACGAAAGTCTTCGGGCGGCGGCCGCAGCCTGGCCTGGGTCGTAGTGGTAGCACGCATTTCAGTAAGGAACCTTCTACAAGTATCCATCCACTCGGGCCGAACTTCACGCTAATGTCCCGAGTTGCACTTCGGCGTAGCCCGAGGACGTCCCTTTCCAGCCCGAGGAACCACCTCGACTGTATGACTGGCAGTGGTCGAATGTACTTGTCAAGGGACTCCTTTTCATTGAATTCTTACCACTTTTCAAGGAGAAACTAACAATAGAGTTGTTAGTCTATTTTCGTCCGAGGGTCCTTGGATGAATTTTACTGCATTTAGACAATTTTCTTCGTGCTGTTTATCCAGCCTTGCGCTTTCTCAGATTGTGTGGAAATGAGAGTCAAGGAGCCAGACAAGGAGGCCACTCCAGAATCTTTATTTGTAATGGGTGGAACCAGGTCGGACGGTGCAAAAGCTACAACAGACGATCCACAATTATTCAGGAACACCACGAACGACACACAGTACTTCAGCGCTCTGCACTTGTTCGGGATAAGCAGGAGTCATGCAATTCTGTTTTCACTATACCTTACAATGTTCCTCACTGCTCTAGACATCACAATTGTGGGAACTGCCCTTCCAGAAATCACGAGCCAGTTTGAAGCGTCCGCTGCACAGTACACCTGGGTTGGAAGCTCATACACCTTGGCGAGCACTTCCACAACGCCGCTTTGGGCTGGCGCGTCAGATGTGTTTGGGCGAAAGCCGGTCCTGATGGCTGCAAACCTCGCTTTTCTGGTTGGAAGTACCCTTGCTGGCTCAAGCACCTCGATTGGAATGCTTATTGCCGGCCGAACAATTCAATGCTTTGGTGGGGGCGGGCTTCTTATATTGAACACCATTGTCATCGCCGATCTATTTGAGTTCAAAGACAGGGCGAAGTATTATGGCTTCACGGGAGTCATATTTGCTGTCTCGTCCGCCATCGGTCCCTTGCTTGGGGGGTTATTCACACAGTCCGCAGGCTAGAGGTGGTGTTGTGAGTAGTGTTCATTGTACCGTCAATCCTCGACTCATTCTAACCTCATTTCGCAGTTTACATAAACCTCCCACTCGAGGGTATTTCGCTTGTCGTACTAACGTTCTTCTTCAAATTGAAGAAATCTGTACGGAAGCCGCTCCAATCTCTTATGGGCTTTGACTGGCTTGGAGGGATCGGCGTGCTTGGAGGGACCATCAGCTTCCTCTTAGGCCTAGAGTCTGGCGCAAGTGTACAGCATTCCTGGAAATCTGCCTACACTCTCGGTTTAGTGATTTCTGGCCTCGTGATACTGGTTTTAAGCTTCCTTTGGGAGTGGAAGTGCGCGAAACAGCCCCTGATCCCCATCAAAGTCCTTGTTGGAAGATCGAACCTTGCTGCTCTGGGAACCGCACTCGGTCACAGTATTGTGTTCATCTCATACGACTTTTACTTACCACTCTATTTCCAAACTGTCCTCCACACATCGCCCATCATCTCCGGCTTGTACCTCCTGGCTTTGATCCTGCCGCTGTCGATTATGTCCTTTGTAGCAGGACTGTATATCAGAAAGACAAACAAGTATTGCCGAGCTTCGCTACTCGGCTCCATCCTGATGACTTTGGGAACCGGTCTGTTCATAAGTTTTGGATCAACCACCAACTTTCCCAAAATCTTTCTCTATCAAATCATTGCCGGAATCGGTGGAGGAGTTCTTTTCTTGTCGCCCATGATGGCACTTCAAGCTCATCTTTCTCCTGAGAATATTGCAGCTGCGCTATCCGGGTTCACCTTTCTCCGTAATTTAGGAACTGCATCCTCGATCGTGGTAGGCGGTGTGATTCTTCAAAAAGGCTTAGGAACCAATACATTGACTACTGGTCACGGAGGTGTGATTCCAACAGGGATCACTAAAGAAAAGTACACCTCGGCATTGAGAATATTATTGATTTTTTACACATCAATCTGTGGTGTGATGCTTCTGGCTTCTCTCTTGATCGCACAAAAGGAAGCAGATGCCCAGCATGTGGGCCAAGATAATCTTGAGCAAGTGGACATGGAGATTTTCACTGGAACTAAAGGCGAGAAAGCTTAAGAGAGTATGACTCTATCTGTGTCAAGTACTAAAATTACAGATACTGATTTCGCTATATCTAAATCCTCTAGAGCCACACCTAGTCTCACAACCCAGGAACATCATCCTGATTATTGTCTCCTCTATCAGAGACCCATTCTTTCGTGTAACAGCTAACATAAAGTGAGAAAAATCGAGAAATCACCACACACAGTGAGAAATATACTCTATAAGACGAATAGAACCAGAATTCGAGCTTCAAGATTGCATACAAACCGCACCGTGTATTCTTAAAGCATTGGTAGTTGCTTGAAAAATCAGCCTCATCTCAATATAATTCCTAACGCCCTAGGCTATCGAAACTGAGAGCTTTGTGGAAACATGCTTGCACTGAGAATCCTTGTAACCCTTATCATCAAAGAATCTGTCATTCTCGAGGTACCAGATAATGTATGAATATCCTAGTAGTCTTGCTCGTTGCAATTGGCGCTTCCAATGTTTCATGAACAGTCAATACATGTGAAATATAGGCCCAACCGCGAACCCCTCTCTAGCAAAACAATTAGTAAACTGGAGCGTCTTGAGAGACATAAGTCTCACCTGGGATGCTTTGCGATCGACGTGTCCCTAACACGTAAAATATGTCTCTGACGATAGGGAAAGTAGAATGGTAGCACCGTTGTCAGTGTCAACATTGCGAAGGTGGCGATCTTTGCAGCCTTCGATGGGCACGGTTGCAGATTTGGATCATGAAGCATGGTCAGACACGTTTGCTGAGTCTCTGTCTATCTTGTTTACCAAGGGCAATCCATCAACTTGAAAGGCTGCACTTGGTATTTGGCCCGACCCTTCCTCAAAGCTCCATTCTTCGGCCAGTGTTAGGGATAGGTCGTGCATCCTTCTGCTTCGATATACAAGGCTCCTCGACAGGTGCTCGGCAATCCTTTCAAAAGCCCCCTCAAACCCGTTGCGTTGTCCCCACTTCGCAGACGAACGGTTACCATGGTACTATCTCGGCCCCGCAACTGGGTCATCTCGGGACCTGTGCTGGCGCCCGAGGGAAAACTGCTCAACCAGCATTATTGTTGCTGTAGCTCAGAAACGCGGAAAACTTGCAAACGCATGACCGTGGTAGCAAATCTGAGTATCTTTGTTCAAGACTGTTTGATATTCTGCAGACCGCGGAAAACATGAACCAGTTCACCGAGTAACCTTTGGCACATAAAGGAAAGTAAAAGTGGAGCTTCTACATTTGTGACAGAATGCTTGCGGCGGTACGGGAAATACCCTTTGCACTTACGATCCGACTTACTCGCGTTGAAATCACTAAGAAACGGGGCATGGTGAGCATATGAGTTGGTACCAAACAGCACATGCATATCATCAATGCAGCATCCTTACTACAACTAATGGACCGTCTCAACCATCAAAGGGGATCAATCCCCTATCAAGAAGACTGGTATCTCATGCGGTGCGGTTTGCCACACGAGCCAAAATCTGATCACCGCCAGTTAAGAGCCATTTCAGCTTACGGGATAGCAACCGGGAAACGGCCCATCGTGCTCAAATTGGCTTTGGAACTAGACGAGTAGGGCCATATGCTCATTGTGAACGCACAAATACTCACTACTTGAGCCTGTGAAGATCACAACAACGGCCAACTTGAAGACCAACATCTGCATCCTCCTGATTTGATCCTTCATGGTTACTTGACTACCACTTTTTCATTTTGTATCCACCCAAGCTCAATCACTGCTTGACCCATTCGACGATACCTCCTTGCCTGTTTCCCAATGATATGCCCCCTTCTCCTCGCTGATCCCTTGATGGCCGTGCACAGTAATAGCACCAACACTCTTTTCTCCAGTCGACTCATCGACAAGATCAAGTAGACGCCTTTCAGCGACAGCAGCATTTCCATTGGCTTCAGCCAGCATTTTGTGGTACTCAGCCTCATTGGCAGACACCAACGGATTGTTGAGACTGAAAAGGAGGTTGACCTCTTCCAGCGAACGATTTGCAGTTTCTGGGAAGAAGTAATAAATCAATGGTAGAGTAGCAACATTGAAGCATGCAAATACCAACAAAGTCTTCCAACCAAGGGAATCAAACATGCTGGGCAAAGCGAGAGTTGTGGACCCAGCGCCCATGGCCCAGCCAAGGATTCCGAAAGCATTACCTTTTGCACGGATCTCTTGTGGCCAGATCTCTGTCGGATACACCCAGGCGGCAACCAAGGTAGTGGAACAGAATACAAATTGATAGATGTACACCATTGAAGCAGCGGCAGAACCCCATGATTCTGAAACAGACCCGGTTGTATCACCAGATTTCTTCGCAAAAGCTGCCGAGAGGAACAGGACGATCATTTGAATGATTAATCCAGCTAGGAATGTCGCCCTCCGCCCGAATCGATCGATGATAGGAGCGCCAGCAAGAGTTCCGATGAAGCCGAATGTTTGCAACAGTCCCGCCATCCATCCAATCTTTTCTGGAGAAGCACCAGATGCTTTAAACAGAGCACCAGCGTATGTTGCCATTGCCATGATACCAGTGTACATCATCAAGAACAATGCAGCCCAAGCGAGCACTGCACGTCGACCCAGGTGAAGACGACCAGAGTGGCGACCCCCAAGCCAGATATTAAGAAGATTGTTTCTCCTCTTGTGGGACGTCTCGACCATTGCAATCAACTCTCTCATCTCACTCTCCAAGGATGGGTCATCCAGGGAAAGGTCGCCTCTAACTTTGGCAAGAATCTCTCGGGCCTCCCCTGCCTGGCCTTGACCAACCAGCCATCGTGGAGACTCGGGAACGAACCAGACTGCGCAGATGAGAAAGATGGATGGAGCGCAGACACATCCAAGAGGGAAGCGCCAGATCAATCCAGGGCTGTTCCAGTCTTCGATCGCGTATAAAATCCAATTGATAAGCATGAGACCGAGATAATTCGCTGAGAAGACAACTGCAAAGGTAAACCCTCGATTGTGCGACTTAGCCAGCTCGGAGATCCAAGAACATGTGATCGAGTTGATGAAGCCGATGCCGATTCCAGATATTACACGAGCACAGATGAACATATTGGCATTCATACCTCCTGTCTGGAGAGCTCCTCCGAGGAAACAAAACAGTCCACCGATAAAGACACCTCGTCTTCTTCCAAGTCGGTCACCGGTCCAGCCTCCCAAGAAACAGCCAAACATGGCCGCAAAATAATAAATACATATAAGACCACTGAAAAGGTCAGCACAAGAAGATCACAGGTCTAGCTAGACTCACCCTTGCTTGATGGGTCGAGTAATTATTCCATTCTCTCCAAGTCCCATGATATTGACGAAATTCGGCTGCGCACTGACGTTGCCCATGACAGCTTGGTTGCAGCCTTCGTATACGAGAGAAACGAAACAAAAGGTGTTTGCAAGAAGGAGTACAGCTTTTCCAGACATTTTCCGCCATATTGCGACACTTGGTAGACCCATCTTGAGGGATTTCAGTGGTAATCTCAGTAGTGATTACAATGGTAGTGGAGTGAGAGGATGATGGGTCCTTGAATGGAGTGGTCTACCTGAGCATCCTTATATGTTATGTTTGAATCGGATATCTATACAACCAGAGCACCCTCAAAAGACAAGAAGATATCGAATAGTTGGCTTCATGGCGACGGAGAAGGTGATGTTGAACTCAAAATCTTGAAGTGGGTTATGGCAGACGGCGCACACTTACCTTCCGAGGAACTCCAGTCAGGGTTTCTTGCCATTCTCCAGAGTCCAGGGTCATTGATTGTATAACACTAGTTGAGAGGGCGAGTGAAGAACGAATGCGGCACAGCGACTAGGGATCTCCTGCCTTCCAGGAACTCGTTTCTCCACGATACCCCACAAGGCTCCGCAATCCACAGGTCTCCTGCGGGGTCTTCACCACATGCGCGATAAATCGTGGGGTTAAGGGTCCACATTGAGGCGGCTGTCATTGGACAATGGAAGGAGATTCTTAGAACTTGGAAGATTGCAACATATTTTCATTTGGAAGTCTGACCCGATCGATTCCATGGACCGTGTATTCTTGGCCTCGGCTGTGCCGGTGCCCCCTCGGGCATGAGAACCTTCCTTGTTGACCTGTCGTGTCTGTGAGCCCCGTGCTGCCTCCAAACTTCCCGTAGAATTCGTCTAATTACAACACGACTGTTGCGATTTCGGGATCTCAAATTTCTTGGCGGGTTCCGATACATTGACTAGAACAGCTTCAAACCTGGATTTACTTTCCTTCCTCGATAAACATTTGTCTCTAGCTTTGACTGGACAATCCCAGATTACTTTACAGGTGCTCACCATGTTGTCTTCGGAGACAATTGCCTTCCTTAGAATTTAAAGCAACAAAGCGAGGGAGGGAAGCACGAACTCGAATACTTCGGTATTGCATAGTATTGAATGCAGATAAAGATAAGACATAAGGTCTCCTGGACACGTGGTTCTTGAGAATGGCACATCTTGTTGTATCAACAATTTGCACCATTCAAGGCTTTCTTCAATATGCTGTCCACCAGTTTCATTCAGAATTTATCCTTCTTACAGGATTCCAAATATTTCCTACCCTTATCTGCAACTTTGCTCTTCTTAAGTATCTTTGCCTGGTACCTTTTGACGTTTCTCCGAGATCCTTTGGATTTGCGGAAGATTCCAGGTCCAAGATTAGCTGCATTCTCGGCAGCATGGTCGATGAACTACTGTCGTAAGAACAAACGCTTTTGGGGCATCCACAAGGCCCATGAAAATTTTGGGCCTATTGTTAGAATTCAGCCAGATCATGTCAGTTTCAACGTTGGGGAGGCCATCAATCAGATCTACGGTCATGGGAAGGACCTCATGAAAGCACCATTCTATGACACTCTCGCAGCCCCACATCGAAGTATGTTCGATACAACTGACAGGATCGAACACGGTCTTAAAAGAAAATATGTTTCACACATGTTTGCCCCACAGGCGGTTTCAGAACTCGAACAGGTCATTGCGGATACTACCCAGAACTTGTGCAATGTCATGGACCGATACTCAGAGAGTGGAGAGTTGATGAACATGCGCTATTGGGTTAGTATGTATGCATTCGACATCATTGGCCAAATGGGCTTCGCGACAGACCTGGGCTGCTTGAAGAGAGGCGACGACATGATGGTTGGGCAAACCAGAGCAGGAAAGAAGTACATCGCTTCAGGAATGAAGGGTGTTTACGACGGAGGTTCCTACAATGTATTCTGGGGCCAAGCACCTTCCTATCTGGAATATACAAAATGGCTTACTCAGTGGACAAATGGCCGCTTCTATGCCGACTTCTTCTTCGACGTGGCTATTGAGCTTGTCAAATCTCGCGTTCCCAAGGAAGACGTGGCCGAATACGAGAAGACTCGGCGTTACGACTTGTTCCATCGCTTAGTGGTTGGCAAGAATGGCGATGCCCTTGGTCTCGAATTCGAAGAGATGTTCTCCGAAGCGGCTGTTCTCATGATTGCTGGCTCAGATACCTCGGGAACTGGTGTCTGCAATACTCTTCTGGAACTCATCCAAGATCCTGTGAGACTTAAGAGACTCCGTGAAGAGCTTGACGCCAATATTCCAAAAGATACCAAGGTCGCAACGCACGACCAAGTCCAGAATCTACGATACTTGGCCGCATGCATTGATGAGAGTCTTCGCCTCAGACCCCCAAATGCTCAAGGTCTTCCACGTATGGTTTCGGAGAAAGGTGCAACCATTTGTGGTCATCATCTGAAGCCAGGCACTATCGTGTCAGTTCCGACATACACCATTCACCGGAATGAGAACTACTTCAAGGACCCACTTGCTTTTAACCCAGAGCGTTGGATCGACAACCCGGACCTGCAAGAAAGATACAACTTGCAGAAATATGTTATTCCATTTTCTCATGGGAGTAGGGCTTGTATTGGCCGCAACTTGGCCAATCTGGAGCTTAGAGTCGCCGTTGCTACCATTATTTCCAGGTATGACTTCGAAATGGAATTTCCGGGCAAGCCTGTCGAAATATTTGAACGTTTCAACTCAAACCCTGAGGATTTCCATGTGAAAGTGCGACCCCGGGTCAGAGCTTGAGCTGGTAGATCTCGGAATGGGATCTTGATTCTTGTTTAGTTTTTCTAAAACATAGTCTTCAAATATATTGGTTGATTCTCCTACGCTTTTCCGAAAAATCATTCCTGTCGTGGTCTCAGGGGTTAGCTGACCAGGCGAGAATTCTAAAGATCGGTGGGGGGAGGGGGGGGGGGGGGGGGGGGGGGGCAGGTGGCGGACAGCCCCTCATTTTAATATGCGCAGAAGGGGGAAGTGCTTTTTGTAATCACAATGTGACACCCCGGGTTCACCTCCAGTGCTGTGCGTTCTCGGTATCGAGAAACCGGGATCGGATACCAGGCGTAGGCAAACTGGGCGGTTGACACATTTATCATACGAAGAAGTATTGTGCCTGTGGTTGACGTAGAATCTCAATTCAATGTGGAGCTAATGAAGTATAAAATCACGTCTAGATGGATCCCGTTCAGCCGTTTAGCCGTAAGTGGCTGGAGAAACGCACATTTTCGACTATCTACTGACATGGGTCGCTGTGGAGCAGCAGGACTCTGAGACGGTGTTTCCTCGGGGAAAGCCTTGTTGTTGATGGCGTCAGCCACCCCCAAGAGTGCCATCCAAAGTGCCATCGAAAGAGCACCCCTTCAAAGCCTAAAATCATGGTAGATGGTAGTTGAGTCCCCCACGCTCCTCTTTCTCTAAGGATTCATCTATCCTCGCATCTTTACTTCAAACCGCCCCTTTGAATCAACAAGTCTCTCAAATACCTATCAACAAGCGAAAATGACCGCCAGAGAAGCTGCAAAGCGAACTAAAAAAGGTAATTCTATTGTGATTCAAACGAAATCATCACTGACGATATCCAGCTTGGTGAGAAAAAGGAATCCATAAATAGAAGACCACATTTTCTAAGACCGCAAGAAGCGAACGATGTCGAACCTTACATCTCAGATGTGAGTTAGTCTCAAGTCGAATGCAATGGAAAATACTTACGAGGCTGAGGCGATGGGAAAGAGCAATGCTCACGATGTGAGGAGGGGGAAGTCGCTTGTTCATACGATAAGAATACTAGATTTATTCTTCAAGGTACAATTACCTTTGCTAGGCATGGGAGAGAAATATAATGAAATGCCGGTACAGAATGGAGCCCAGTCGAGGCCGGCTTGAGAATAATTCGACCGTCCACAACCTATCGAAGACATGCCACCTACAAACCAATGTTAAACGAGAGTGAGTTCATACTCAGCAATTCGAACTTGAGATGGATTCTAACAGCTCTAGACTCCTTCATTAGCGAAAACGAAAGTGTTGCCAACCAGTATGCAGTCACTTCACAATACGACAATTCTCCAGAGACACAGTATTCAACCCTTGATTCTACACCACCACAAAACTGCTGGCAAAATGCCACCGATGAAACTTCCCACGAACCCATGACAGCTTCAGAAGATTCATTTTATATGGAACGATATTGCTACGTTCTGGCATCCTGGTTCGATATCTTCGATTCGACCAAACACTTTTCGAAAGTAGTTCCTCATCTGTCTTTGTCTCACTCTCTTCTCCGGCTGTCAATTCTTGCATGGGCAGCCAAGCATTACTACCTTACGAAATTGACTCAATCAGTCGATACCTCTTTGGCCTATTACGACAGAGCGTTAAGAATGCTCACAACGACTGTTAGCGACAATTCCATGTCATCATCTCCCGCTGTATTTGCGTCATGTCTTCTTCTTGCCATATCAGAATTAATGGGTGATAGTTATCAAGATTGGCAGCTTCACCTCGAAGGCACCTACTCGCTGGTGATGACGCACGGTTGGCACGGACACAGCGTTGGACTGGGAGGGGCTTGCTTCTGGGTGTATGCAAGAATGGACGTGCTTTCATCTCTTTCGACAGCCGAATGCAGTCGCTTGCCTACAGAACTCTGGCTGCCAACCAACGACGAGGCGGAACTATACGGGCTTCTAAGCACCCCGAGTACTGAGGACTGGTCGAACCAAACCGTGTTCCTTCTTGCTCAAATCCACAACTTGTTATGTAAAGTCCGCGCTGAAGAATCTGCTGACACGTTCAGCAGTCTTCTCGCGACATGGAACGCGTTGAGGGAGAAGATTCAGCTGCATCAGCAGCGCCAGCCGTACCACTTCAAGCCTCTGGCAGTCTTGGAAGCTAGCGATACGAAGGATGACTCTTTTCCCACAAAGCGGTACTTGAACGAAAGCATCTCTCTCGCGACTCAATTTTGGGATGTCGCAAAACTGCTTTTCATTCTCGCCAGACCAGAAAGATGTCGACGAGAGCGTAGTGACAGATATCGGATAGAGGCAAAGACATTCATAACACTGGCGAGACAAACAATTGCCACCAGTGTCCATAACAGGCATGAGGCCAACTGGGTTGGAGCCACACAGCTACTGAGCGTCACAGGGATGGCACTCACAGACTGGGCTGAGCGGAAAGCGTTGGTGAAGTGCTTCAAGGACATCCATCTCCGAACAGGCTGGAATACGCACGAGATGATTGATGCTTTGCTCGCCTGGTGGGGCTGGTCGGCCCCGCTGAACGAAAGGGGTCAGTCTTGGACGGATGTTCATGAAGAGATAGGACCGTACGCGAGCGCCTCAGAGTGGATGCTTCGAATGTTTGATTGCGGCGTTGTCATGAAAGCGGCGAGGATGAGCGGCCATCCATAATCGTGAAACCTACATGTAAAACGAGCACTATAGTCCACTCAAACTCCATTCAAGGAAGCAGAAGGCTCAGCCGCTCCTCATACACGGCTTGGAGAAACAATTTTGGACTCTTCTAGGCTCATCCGCCATTGCCTAGCGAACAGACCTTCTAACCCACCCCTCACCATCAGGCTTCGTAAGCTATCTTCTCCATGGTGGCGTAAAAGGTGTGGGATAGACCAAACGAACCCCCACGCTCCTTCACGTTGTGGTGTGGAAGTCACAACCGTATTTGCAGGTCCATGTTCAGGTCTACATGAATTGCCTTCCCAAGATCACCGAGATTGCATTGCCATGGGAATCGAATGAACGACCCCCCCTCCCCTGTAGGACTGCCCGTTTGTCTTACCTGATTAGCTCTGAGTTCCGCACCAACCTCCACGTTTCCTTGGTAAAAGAGAGCGAAAAAGGAATTCTCACCCTCGACGGTACCTGCGCTCTCGCCAAGCTAAGCGCATCTCCCACTTAGATAGCTCTTCCTATATTTCGTCTTTGATTTCATATCATTAGAGCATGCCCTGTTCGGTTACGGCGCTATTCACCGTGATACGGTGGCGTTTAGACTACCGTTATGGAATAGGGCACAAAGTGCCGCTGATGTCTGGCATCTTATCCATTCCTCTCATGACACTCTATGCCAATATCCCTCGATGTTCGATCCTCGACTATATTATGAAAGGGGGGGACGGCCCACAATCAGCACGATGAGGTCATGAGTGAATGTGGGTCGTATTTCTCTATCAGGAGTTGTGTCCCACGTGGGAGCTTTTCCTAAGTCCTAAACTCTGAGGAAGGAGGTTCCGCACACTTGGACTTTGACCTGAGAAACCTTGGCCTCCACCTTCGGAGCGTAACAGGGGAACATGCATTACTGTCCCCATCTCAAAATCAAAATGGTTCTAACTCTTCTGCCAGATGCTGTAAATCCTCAAAATACTGAAAACAAAAAGTGCTTTGATAACCTCCATGCCGTCTAGTACTACTCCAGAAATCCGGCAAGTATGGACGTCCGATCCAGGGACCATGGCCAACGAAACGGCTGTCATGAGATGGCCAAGGATCATTCAGAACATCGTGAAAGACGTCACCGAGACGGTGAATCAGCTCTTGTCTTATAATGAGAAAATTGAAGGCCATAAAATTTGCCTGCAACTTGAGTCCCTGAAGAAAGAGATCACGGGTAACGAGTTATTAAGGTATGTCTGCATTCAAGACCGGATAAAGAGAACTCGACTTTGGTGGAGATAAGTTGACAAGTCTAGTCCCCTACCAAAACATGAAAGACTCCCCTATGTCACAGATTGGAACTCTCAGCTGCAAGAACTCAAGGGTTGCTCATGGTTAGCAGCGCCATGGTTATTCACCGAGTGTTACCAGTACAAGTAAGTTCCCAGCTTTGAAAGCACCGCACTTGATATGATGTAAATCATTCTTTGACTTGCTCACACTACTATTTCCAAACAGGCGCGTCCAAGTGATTTTCGCCACAGCAGCCACGCCTCACTGGCAATCCTATGACTATTTCAAACGACTGAAAGACTCGACATTTGCACAATCTCGCAAGGCCGTGGAAGAATTAGCCGCGAGATTCATTAGCATAGTAGTCCAAGAGAAGAGCTCTCTTGCCCGGGCCATTGAGATAACGACTGATAATACTACCGCCGACAACCCACAGAAGCTTTTGTTCATTGAGATGACCGAAATTTCCCTTTGGGGAAATGCCACCGACTTGTCCCTCTTGAGTCATCTCAACCTTGAAGATTTGCAGAGCCTCCAGGGGAGAGACAGCATACTCAAGAGACGGTGCAATATAGTCGATGACGATCTGGACGAGGCCTGGGGATTTCTGACCAAAACCCCACGCGCGAGAATTGACATTGTTCTCGATAATGCTGGGTTTGAATTCTTTACAGACATGCTATTTGCGACTTATCTGCTTGAATTAGAGCTAGCGTCCAACATCAGGCTGCACGTCAAGGACTTTCCCTGGTTTGTCAGCGATGTTATCCCCTCTGACATCCCTTCATTATTCTCTCATCTGGCATCAGCAGAGACTTTCCCGAACCACCGCAGCCAAATCGACCAATTGATTAAGCGCATGCAGAAGCAGATGGACAGTGGAGCCATTGAAATCAAGCAGCACCCCTTCTGGACTACAGGGTATACGTATCACGAAATGCCGTCCCAGGCTCCAGATCTCTATCATGATCTGAGCAAGACAAACAGAAGAGACCTGGTAATTTTCAAGGGTGATTTGAATTATCGCAAGTTGACTAAGGACGGGCTGTGGCCTCACACCACGACTTTTGAAGATGCACTAGGACCGATGGGGAGGGATAGTGGGATCAATATTCTCGCTTTAAGAACTAACAAAGCTGATGTGGTTGTTGGGATTAAGACGGCGACGAGGGTTGCGGAGTTGCATAAGGAAGCACCGGGTGGTGCGTGGACGAGGAATGGGAAGTATGCTGTAATTTCCTTCAATGAAGGCAGCTCGCCGAGTTAGATAGTAGACCTAGGTGAGTCGTGTTTCCAAGGCAGAATAGACACAAGAACTCTTTAGAGCTGAATTCAATTCATTTTTTTCTTATTAGTTCACATATCAATTTTTGCGACTGTATGACACGATGTGTATTCAAAACAAAAGATAAGGAATGGATGATCTATCGGAATGAATACCACATCTAGCTCGAGTACGGTTCATCATGAAAAGCTGCGCTGTCAGCTCACACATGGACAGGCTTGCAAAGAATAAAAGCTAGCTGGCATGCTTGAGCGGTGCAAATATTTTCTAGCTGCTCGTGTTTACCTAAATGAAATCATGTCCTGAAAAGTGTTGGAACGCTAGCCTCTAGGGAAGTGTCCTTAGAAACTATTTATCTCCATCCGTCACTGGTCTCACAACCTCCATCTTAAGAACGGGGTCCATCCTCTTCTCTAAGGGATAATTCCCCCAAAAGTCCTGCACATGCTTCATCACCCGATGCCACTGAAGACCCGGACCTGGTTGGATATGCCCAATGATCCCCGCTCTACGGGACTCGACGCACTGAGGGACAATGAGAGACCGCCCAACGATGCACTCGAGTCCCTTCAGACCAAAGTCCATTGCTTCTCTGGAACTCGTTGGAATACCTATCTCGTCGAGAAAAGCAATTCTAGTGGTCGGCATCCTTTTTTTGAGATAGTCGATGATGTTTGGGTTATAGGAGCCTCCGCCACCGAGATAAATCTCGTCGAGACCACCTTTCGGTCCCCATCTTTCGTAGGCATCGGCCAAAGCTTGAGCCGTAATGCGAGTGATCGTAGCAATGCAATCTTCTGGCGTGGCGCCTTTAGCCAGCATTTTTGCGCAAATGTCTTCGCCCATTGCGTCGCCGAAACTTTCGCGACCGGTAGTTTTGGGAATATCGTGGATAAAATATGGACCAGCCAGTACTTCGTCGACGATAGATTGGTCGACTTTGCCAAGAGCGCCCATTTTTCCATCCTTGTCGTATTGTTGCTTTCCACCTGTGAAATATCGGACGGCACTGTTGTTTTTTGGGTAGTTAGAAACAGTAGGAATGTTGCGAATAGTAGAAAGAGGGAGGAGAAGGGGAAAACCTGGCCGTCTAAGAAGAGCTTACGCATCAATAAAGACATTTCCTGGGCCGGTATCAAAGTCGTATCCTTGTTGAACATCACCCTTTGGTAATATCGTGATATTGGCAATGCCACCAATATTCTGAATTGCTCGATTCTTGGTAGGATGCGTCGCAGACAGAGCATCCCAGGCAACGAACAAAGGACACCCCTGTCTTCCCAAGGCCATGTCACTGACACGAAAATTTGATAGCGAAGTAATCCCGGTCTTTGCCGCAATGATTGAGATCTCGGCCATATCGAGATGCGCTCGTTCTTGATTTCCCTCAAATATTTCCGGTAGGGGAAGATGCCAGATCGTTTGGCCTTGACCAGCAATAATGTCCACATCATGCAGCAACTCGAAGCCTTGTTCCTTCGCGAACTGTTCGATAGCATTTGCTGCAAAGTTCCCAAGTTGGATATTGACAATTGAGATCTCTTCAGGAGACGTCTTGTTCTCCTTGATCATTCTCATGACTCGTCGCTTCAGGTCGCCGTCGAACTGGACTTCTCCTGCGTGTAGGAGTTGCATCTTCAGCGGGCTGTCAGGAGCTTCCTGTGTGAAATGCATATGGGCGATGTCTAAGCCATCCATTGATGTTCCTGCATTTGTTCCAATGACCTTCAGGCTCAACGGCTTGCCTGTCCAAGTTGTGATGGCCATGGTGGACTTTCGAGAGCGGTCAAAGAAGCCGGGAGAATAGGGGAGGGGTTTGATTGGAATGAAAACGGCTAATAGTCGCACAATGCTTTTACATTAGATGAATCAGCTAACCTGTTATATCGAGCTACAACTCAGCGTGATCATCCTAGATGCCTAGCTTTAAGTCTACCAAAGTGGACAGCGATTTGTACATTGTAATTTACCGAGGCAACAACAAATTCCTAGCTCAATTCGAGCACCTCAATTTGAGGATTCGCCACTTCTCAATGCTGAGAGGGTTTGGTCGTGGGGTGTGTACCCAGGAAGGAAGTTTGCTCCGGAAATGGAGTTGTACGGAGATATCTCGACATCTCACAGTGCTTTGCAACCATACTCCGCATGCAAATCTTAGCAAAATTTCCGGCATGCCAACAACGGCCAGCTGGAACCGTGATTCATTTCCTGTAAAGTCTTTTCATAAGGATCCTCTCGATCTCAGAAATCTTTCTTCATGGTCCTTCAAGCTTCTATATTGGACCAATTCTTCCTCTTCAATCTCATTGAGCGTTCGCAACAGCCCATCAGTCGCGCCCGTCAGCTACACCGGGAACACTTCCATGCCCTGATCTCTTCAATTTCGGTTCAGCAATGCTATGACACATGATTATGTAGACTTTCAAAGGTTCTTCTGGCATTAATGGTTTGCTTATACGTTATGCCATACATATGAGCCGGAAAGTCTCCCAGCTCTGTCAAGCCACTTTATGCCTATCAAACAAGGGTTGATTGAAATGCTCCTAAAGTTCCGAGACACTATCCGCGACATACTCGTCTTCCCTTTTTGTGCCTGGATGTTCAAACAATGCTTAAATGAAAGGCAATATCAAATGGCTCGGGAACTCCGGACCGCAGTGGACATTGTGCTTGCCTCTGTTTTGTTCATCGTCTGGCCTCGGTCCAGAGAAGCTCGTATACTCTTGGAGAGCAGGAAATTGCCCTCCCAGCTGCAGTGTGTTAGTCAACTTGAGGTGGTACAAAAGGTTGTGGGCTTGGACTTGCCCTAAGGCTGATAGTTTCACCTGCATTGAAATCAACCCCCATAGCCCAAATTCCAATCTCAAGCTTGACAATAGTGCCAGGTTTGATCTTATCCAGTTTCCGATGCGGGTGGAATGGGAAATTCGGGTGAATACTCCTTGACTCGTCGATTGCTCTTTGTGATGCGCGCAGGATGCCAATCGGCCCCATATGCAAGTTCAGTGTGGCCTGTTCTTTTTCAGGGATGTCATCAATCGATCTGACCGGGGTTGTGCTAAAAGGAAAATTGAGGTGCATCAATAGCTTTCCGTTGCTATCTTTCTTTCGCAGAATTGCAAAGACTGTAAAATCGTCGAGAGCATCGCATGACATGTAAACAACCGCTTTTGGAAGGCCGATAAGTCGTCTCGCCTTCTCGAAAGTATAGCTGAACTCTGCAAAGCTTTTGTAGTCTTCCGAGTCATAGGATATCGAGGCTTCTCCGGAAGGTCTCACCTTTACTAGTTTTCCACTGCTAGCATCGAGGAAGAAGTTTTGGTATTCGGTAGATGGCGCTGGAAAGTCTTCGAGGACAATGTCATCAATTGCCTTTCGGTCGCCGAATTGAAGGGCCGACCACCTGACCTTTGGTGTACTTGTCTCCCAGTCATTTTGTTCTTCTCGCAGGTAACGGTCGAAAAACTTCCCCAATTCAACCAGGGAATTTTTCTCGGAATACAATTCATACCATTCCTGCTTACTGCCCCACCTGATCCATTTCTTGCTATGAGGAATCTCAAACCAGGCACGTATTGAGCCCATTGTGTGGATGCCGCTAACATCTGACCTCGTATGAACACCGGACACAATATTTTAGTCATATCCACACGCTTGTCCTCCCAGTATTCATTCTGAGTGGGCGAGCGTCGATACATGGCATCGTAATCCTCCAAGCCAGAATTGGGCTGCCCTCGGACGATCGCTTTTGCAATGAGGTCAAAATTGCTCATTGAAAACCAACCACCCCGGCAGAATTGTTCGCGGTACATGTCCCCCATCCCTTCCCAGGGCGCAATGGTCTTTAAGCTTGGTGGTCTCTGGGCGGCAATAAACCACTGCGCAATTGCCAATGCTGAATTGCCAGCCATGTCGACATTTCCATTGCACCAGTTCATCTTTGCAACGGCTTCGACAACATCATAGCCATCTTCGGCATCTTGTGAACCCATGACGCAGATTTGTCCATCGCTATTCCCCGCTCCCCGTGTGTCGATGCTGATTATTGCGTAACCTTTTGGACACCAGTCTGCTGGATCTAGTCCCTCGAACTTCTCTAGGCCGCTCAGATCGCTGTTGGGAACACAGCAATTCCAGACGCATATTGGTAGCATGTCCATCGCACTGTACTTTTTGCCATAGAACGACCAACTCAGCACCGCTGGTACCTTTTCTTGTGAGGCTGCAGGTCTGTATACGTCAATGTATAAGCGCGCACCATCGCGGACCCGAATTTCTACATCATGGTCGATCTGTATATCACTGGTGAGTGCCTTTCCACCAAATGGTCGAGCTCCAGCCTTGAGGACCTCAGTTTTCCCCGGGTGGAATCCAGTATACCCATTTTCTCCGATTACAGGCTCTGCAACTCGTTTGGTAGCGACTTGCACTGGATTGGGCATCTTTATGCTGTAGTCGACGAATCGTTTAGAAGTTGCTCGTTTGAACCCGTGGTAGAACCTGCGACAGCGGGTAGTCAAGAAGTACTTATATCAGAATCGTGAGGATTTGAAGCGCTTGCTGGACGCCTCTCGCCTGCCTTTACACTGGATCTTCTAGATCTGAGCATAAACACCCTAATTTGCCATAGTGTATGCTATAGCGTATGTTATCGGTGCGCCGGAACGTTGGGGGAGGGGCAGTGGAACCGATCTGATGAATCATAACGTCCGCAAGTTAACCCCGAGCTTTTGTGATACCAAAGTGAATCTAATTGAACATCTGCCGCCGATTTAGCCAATATTTTTCGGTAGGTTAGATTTTCGAACCCCGTGGGACTTGGCCGAAGCTCGCTCGGCCGTTTAGAGTCCGAGATGGAGACCTCGGGGCCTGTCGGGGCGCCACTTTTGGAAACAAGGGGCTCTACGACCCTCAGTTCTTGTAGTCCCCGGGCGGCAAAGGCACTGTTCCTTAATTGACAAGAGTGGGCGGAAATAAGGTTAAAGAACATCACGCTTTAATAGCGCATGTGTATCATCATTCTATTTGTGAACGGGATGGAATAACCTTCATCATTTGTACATCACCTTTCTTGTTCGGCACCATATTAAGAGCAATTTGCAAGATATAAGAGGCTTTGCAGACATGAGCACCACCACCAAAACCGAGTCACAGACTCTCCGCTTCCAGACTGAAGATCTGGTCAAATTTGATCCTAATCGCGTCTATGGGGATTGGCGGGACGAGTTCCACGGAAATGGCTGTGTGCTGATCAAGAATGTCATTTCGAAAGAGCGTGCAGCATACTACGGCCAGAAACAATTGGACTGGTTGAAAAGGTTCAATCTAGGTTTTGATGAAAATGATGAAAGTACATGGACAGCTGAGCATCTTCCAGTCAGCTTCAAAGGGGGGTAAGTCATATGTGTTAGCTATTTTCTACGATCCTCTCCACTAAGAATGCAATAGCATGTACTATGGATATTCTTCACCACACGAAAAGATGGCCTGGGAGGCGCGTATGGAACCTGGTGTCATTGAGATTTTTGAGAAGCTCTGGGAGACAAACGAGCTTATCTGCTCCTTTGATGGCATGAACATTAGTATGCCTCGTCGGAAGGATATTGGTTGGTCCCCGTGGCCACACTGCAACCAGAATCCCGAGCGCAAGGGGATGCAGGCCGTCCAAGGTCTTCTTAACTATGCTCCCAACGGTCCAAAGGATGGTGGCCTGATGCTTATGAGAGGCAGTTCGAAACTATTTAACGAGTTCTTTGCGCAGAAGCGAGAAGCTTTTGACCATGAGGATGCGCCTCCTCCAGAGTTGAAGTATATGGACTTGTTTCTGTTCAGTGAGAAGGATGTCAAATGGTTCGAGCAACGGGGCTGCGAACTATTTAAAGTCAATATGGAACCTGGTGACTTCGTGCTGTGGGATTTGAGAACCATGCACTATGCAGAACATCCTCAAGGGGATCAAATTCGACATGTTCAATACATCTGCATGACACCGAGACGGTTTGCTGGGGAGGGAGACCTGAAGCTGAAGGAGTGCTTTGACAACTGGCTCGGTACCACCCATTGGCCTCACTGGTAAGTGCTCCATCAATAGTGTCATTTGTCCTAACCTTGATACGGATACAGCAACATCCGTCCCGCAGCTGAACCGCCAATGAGGAATGGCGAAGTATGCCCAAAAAATCGCAACGAACCGTTCGAGAAACCAGAGATCACAGAGGGACTGTTAAGACTTGCAGGTGTCAAAGCATACTGACCATGTTGTATATTTTTTAATCCTGCCCGACTTGGTTTGAACGGTCCGAGAAGCCGAGTCTTAGGAGGGATGGCACATTCGGTCTCCCTACAAGTAGATGCCAAGCATAACGTCCAGTATTTGTACTTTTCTGGAGCCTTTACAATAGGAATCAGTGTCCGAGGCGGCCGAGCGCCGACTAGGAAAATATAGTCTAATGCGCTCTAAATTTCAGACAGCGGCGTCCATAGTTAACTTAGACTGAGTATTTCAATTCCGACTTTTGAACAGGCCCTTCGGAGTCAAAGGGCTTGCTGCACATGAGTTGGGAGAAATCTGTTCGCAGAAGACGCTGAGAAGATGCATTTTGTCACTTATTGACGGAACTAATCCGCTGTCAAGCAGTGCATCTCTCATGAATGAAAAGGTAACATGAATTTCCAAGTACTACGAGTTCGGATCTGTGCTCTTCAAGCGCTCTCAGTGTTGGTTAGCATCAATTGATGCATGATATAATACACCTGAGTGCTAAACTACCTCCAATGCTAGTCAACGAATTCATGGAATCTTCAAATCGGGTGGCGAGTCCGTGGAGAGTCTAGCGTCATGCCCGACGTGAACATAGAGATAAATTCCTAACCATGATGATCTTGAGGCAATCTAGAAGCCTTCTAGGCACACCTAACCCTTTCCACAGTCCAGCATAAATCACCATCTGGACTCTGCATTAAAGCCTCGCTTTTACCATATGGGTTAGCCGGGCAAATGTGAACCGCTACTTTCACTCCCCATTCTTATCCTTAGCATACTTGCCGGTGATGGCTCTGAATTTCTTGCCGAAAACGTAGATGACCACGCCCAGGAGACCCAGGGCACCAGTCAGCCCTCCAAAAGCGTTGAACGCACCGTCATAGCCGCATCTCTCGATGAAAGGAGCAATGCCGTAGCTAACTCCAAAAGAGATAATACCGCAGAAAGCACAGATAATAACCAGAATTGGTCCAGCACGCGCCGGATAACTGTCAAGAAGATAGGTGATCGCCACAATATTGGCACCAATGAAGGCGAAGAAGTAAGCAGCAATTGCCCACACGTAAACGAACCAGTGGTACTTAGTCGTGTTTGCGGCACCTTGGCCATAGAGGACGGCAGTGAAAATACCGACCACGATGGGTAGGATGAGAGGGATCAAGCGGGCCTCAGGCTCGTGAATACCTTCATTTCGGCGTGCGCGCCATTGGATCAGCGTATCTGAGAACTGTCCTAGTAGAGGAAGACCAATGAAAGCGACAATGATCTGACCGCAGTTGGCATAGGAAGCCGAGTTCTGAGGCCAGTTGTAGGGTGGTGAGGTGACAATGTTCCCATATGTGGTACCAATCGCGATATCTACACCGAGCGTTAAGCCATTGAGTAGCAATGCCCAAAATACTGCAAGGAAGAAGAGTAGCTGGAACATTTGGACCAAGCATTCCGCAGCCTTATTCCAGTCTGGAGCGTCCACCCATAACCGTATATCAGGGCGAAATGTACGGGGTGCATACTTGTCAAAGTCTAAGGAAGGGCGATGTGTGAACAAGTTGAGGGCGGGAGCTGATGCCACATGACTTGACTCACTGTCACCATGGCCGCCTGTTCCGAAAGAAGACTCCTGGAATGAAGCCATAGGTCGGTTGTATTTTGTCTCTGGCAGCAACAGGAATGCCGCAATTAGTTGGACTCCAGCAAGGATGGCTCCGAGCCCATCCCACCATCCCGGAGTGATTTTTCCAGCGATCGGACCGGCAAAAAGGACCCAGACAGATGTAAAAGTTGTTTGCACGAGCTGTTGTGCCATCAGAAAAGTGCTTCGCTCGTGAACAAAGAAGATCTCCTGGATAATCAATGGCACCAGCGCCTCACTTTGGCCTGCCGCAAGCCCAAGAACCATCCGAGCAGCCAGATGCCACTCATAATTGGTCGCACAAGCACAAAGCACTGCACTAACTACTAGAATGACAGTAGATGCAAGTAGAACGATGCGTCGACCAACTGCAATTGCGATGGGCATGCCGATAATGTTTCCGATGCCCATGAAGAGCGTTGGGTATGTCATGAGGTGAGTAATATCGGCGTAGCCATAGCCGAGTGCAGCGTAGGTAGGGATGTAGAATCCGAAAAGTCCACCAAACCCGGAAACAAGTGAGAGACCAAGACAAGAGACTTGGAAAGCGTCAGCCAACAGCTTCAAGTCTCCATTTGATTTGGGCCAAGGACTCACAAACTGAGATGATAATCATTACCACCCATTTCTGCCAAATGGGCATGTTCAAAGGGTCCTGAGGATCTGCGGTCGCCGTAGGAATGTACACAATAACGCCGTCGGTCAGTTTCACGGTGCCCATCGTATCAACTTTTGCAAGACCATCGTCACTCAGGGTGCGCTCCATCTCAACGTGGCTAGCTCTAGCCTTGTCGCTGCTGAGATCAGCCATTGCTTCAAACTGAAAGCTTCAGGCTTCCTATACTGGCTGGTTAATGCGGAATCTTGTGGTTGTATTGCGCTCCATTGCGATAGGCGATGCTGGATAGGTGATCTTATAGATGATTTGTCTTCTACCATCCTGGACAGGTTTTCTCAATTCGTCGGCCCCAAAGTCAATGCCCGAATGCGAGGTGGAACTTTCCTGAACACTGCTCGTGTCGAATGCAAAAAGCGAACTACCGTCCATGCAATTGGCGAGAAAGGTGGCCCCGATGGCCTGGGTCTGGCACCTTTCCTCGGTTCAGAATATCGGGAGGAAGGTTCCGTTGTGGAGGAAACCCACATCCACAGAAGAGTTGTGGCAATCCCGGGGTAGCATTGCTAGGGTATTCGGGGCGTAGAATTCGGCTCTATCCGAAGCATCACTCGCCGAAGTATTCAGCCTCTGCTGGATCTCATGAGAGAGCATAATGTGTGAGATAGGCGAGAATCTGGGCAGTAAAAACACCCAGTTTCCATTGCAGGGAGAGAAATGTCGAACGTGATTTCCATGTCGTGGATATTGTATCCCTTGTATGGAGGCGTCTGAGATTCGGATTACTTTGTGAGTTTGTACCTTATATATCACCGAATCAGAAGCGATGATTTCTAACTCGGAACAGCTAGGACCCCAAAGAGCCAGTACCTAGATTCGTCACCCTATATTTGGTGATCAAGGAGGAAAGACAACTTTAGAAGAGGGCTTTGGTGGTCAGGACAGTAATAATTGACCACCTTCATGGCAAATCCATCTTTTTGTTATAGCATGATTACTCAACTCCAAGAATGAAACTTAGAACCAAGTTTGGTTTTGTGCTAAGCATGCATAATGGTCTGCTGAAGAACTCAAAAAGTAAATAGTTGAGCACACTTTCATTGATGTTCTACACAGCCATTCTGCACCTAGTTTGTGCCTTTAGTCGCTTGACCCTCTGATAATTACCATCATGCTTCAGACCTGATGTAAGGAATTCCAGTTAACTTAAATGCTCGTTCGCTGAGCACAGGGTCTTCTACAGGCCTTGTGCGATTTGCCGAGCACGGCGTTCCACCTCGCATTGCAATGTTAGACCCAATATGGCGAGCATTGGGCCAGTGTGTCGTTCCAAGGCGTTCTAATCGACAGTCATTGAATATCTTCGTAATGTATAACAGGTGCATATACTCTCAAAGGCGCCTTTCTTCCGAATCAGATCCTCCTGAGTTGCAATCTTTACAGGCATAAAACACGTGTAGATTGCAAATCGGTCTTGAGTGGTTTGGGTAGGGACGTTGTAATGAGGAGTCCGGCTGTCCCAGACCATGAGATCACCTGGATCAGCGCAGACCTTAATCCACTCAAAGCCGTGATCGCTGAGCCACTCCATGCCATTCTTTGTAAATCCGTACCATTCTGGTGTCCAGGCAGGTATTCGTTCTTCAGCTTTCATTTCCTTGTGGAACTGCTCTGAAACACGATGGCCACCCTTACACACAATAAGTCCACCATCATCGGGACCACAAGGATTGAGATTCACCAGACCTTGAAGACATCTAAAGCCAGGTTTCGCTGGATCTTGGTCTTGGTGTGGCCATAGCTTGTTTTCTGGAAGGTCTTCCCGATTAGCAAAGCCGACATTAACAACATCGAAGGAAAATTAAATCGGTGTCATCGTAGACCCTCTCAAAAGCCTCAACGACTCCCGGTTCACTGCGGATATCCCACACCCATTTCTCGTGGGTGACACCGTAATGCAGAATCATGCCCTTTTCATTAAGGACTGGGAGCTTCTCCTTCCTGACCGTTGAGGGGTCATGGCGGGAATACCCAAGACCACTAGACGGTCAGTGAATTGTGTTTTTAAATCTGACGATGATTCAACTTACAAGTCCTCAATATAGCTGTAAAATTTATCCGAGTATTCCCCAGCTCGTGTTTTCGGGATTGCACCCTTGATGACTGCGTATCCATCTCTGTTCAAGTCGTCACGCCAATCGCCGTAATTGGTAACCTCGCCATCGAGTTTCATGGCACCAGATGACCTACTTGGGAGAATCATGGCGCTTACGCACGTTGAAGTGGCGGCAGTAGTGGCCATAGTCAGTGAGACAGTTAACAATGTTGATGCAAAGCCTTTTGGAGACTTTCCAACTTCAAATACCAAAGTTTTCGGTGGAATGGTTTTATGTCTAATGCCTACCCAGAGCCTCGGAGTAGCGATACAGACCAAACCTCTGGAGCAAGCCATAGTGCGAGTATCAGTGCAAAGGATCCCCGAAATCAGCCTAAACAGTCGCCCCGAACATTGCAATATCCTGACCGAACTCCAAATATTGGAGGACCATTAAAAGGGGCAGTGTAGGTCGGCCATATTCCTTGTGAAAGCTCGGCCGAATAGTTCGGCCACCTCGGACGACGCCGACGAGGCCCGGGAAACTCGACACGACTCGGCAAGGACATCTACACTCTTAGATCCGAGTGTAGATGTTCCTGGCGCAGGGATAGCATCACGAGGTTTGCATCCGGCATGTGGTATGAGTTGGAACCTGGTTTATTACTCAGAATGGAACGCTAGGCAGATGGTACAGGCGGCCGGGGAAAACATTGAAATTCCTTGGATTTCGTGACCCAGGTCCAAGGTTCAAGTCGGCAACAGTAAATGGCAGAATCATTCAGGATTATCATAGTCGGTGGAGGGATTGGTGGCTTGTCCGCTGTACGTTATCGAGCAACTGAGGACACCAATTTACTAAGAATATCCCAGGCAATTGCGCTACGAAAAGATGATCGAGAGATCACGGTCCTCGAGCAATCTTCTTTGAATCGTGAGATTGGAGCAACGATCTCTTTACAACCTAACGCTTCGAAAATTGTTGAGAGGCAATGGGGGCTGGAAGCTCCCCTTCACGCCAAGGGGTCGATGATTGACCAGGGATTTCAGGTGTACAATCTTGATGGTGAACTCCAGATGCGACAGCCTCTAAACACGACGGCGAAATATGGATCCGAACGTATGCTTTACCATCGTGTGGATCTCCACGACGTAATGAAAAGTCGGTGTACAGATTCAGCATATTCTGGTCGTCCAGTGACTATTCGGGTGTCTAGCAAAGTCGTCTCATGTGATGTTGAACAAGGCACGGTTGTGCTGGAGAGTGGGGAGAGGCTGACGGCAGACCTAATCGTAGCAGCCGATGGCATCAAAAGCACTATCAGGGAAGCTGTTCTCGGAGATAGAGTTGACCCTATGCCGACTGGCCATTCTGCATATCGCATTGTGATCCCTATGGACGAAATTGCAAGCAGTCAAGCCTTCACAGATGTTTTAAATCCACAAGAGTCATTCACAACGATGGTTTTAGGTCACGACAAAAGGCTCATAATGGGACCGGCAAGAAACTCATCAATATACAGTATCGTCGCCATGATCCCCGATGAGACCATGCATGAATCATCCACTGAATCATCCTGGAACACCAGAGCCGACCTGTCCCAAATGCTGTCCACTTTCAAGGATTTCCCAGCTTGGGCAAGGGTGCCTCTTGAGCTTGCAAAAGAAGCTGGTCTATGGAAGCTAAGAGACATAGACCCATTACGAACATGGTACAGGGGTCGTGCCATTCTCATTGGTGATGCAGCGCACGCGATGCTCCCCACACAGGGTCAAGGCGCAAGCCAAACTGTTGAGGACGCCGAGGCACTTGGAGCGTTCTTCTGTGGTACAAGTGGCAATCAAACGGCAATAGACATCGAGGCCATCAACAAGCTGGTTTTCGATTGTAGATATGAGAGAGCTACGTTGATTCAGACTTTCAGCCGACAGGCAGCAAGACCTGCCACTGATCTCAGCGACCACACCATCAAAATGAATCCAAACGAGTTCATGCATTATAACTTTGATTATACTGGGGCACTGGATTGGATAAAGAGGCACGATTTGCCCACTCCACGTAGACAAGAGAGTGACAAGGCATTTGGAAGTAAATTCACTTCCATGGATAAGGGAGACACGGATTTTCGACGACTACTTCAGGTTGTAGAGCCATAACATGTTATTATAAATAAAGCCGGGTCATGATACGTAGTCCAAATTTACTAGCACACCTTCCTATAAGTGCCATATATGGTACTATTCAGCTAATAGGAGTGAACGAGGATGGTCTGTTTCTTCAACGAAGAAGCAAGATTATCCTGTCTTTATCTACAGACACATGAATACTCACCAAACAGCTATCTGTGGAAGTTGAATTGTTCAGTGAACACTTCCACGTTATAGGAGAGCAGCTACATGTGCATTCCAGTAAAGAATAGAATGCAAGCCACGTCATTTAACGCCACGAAGAAACGTTCACGTTATCACTAGACTATGTCGGAATTTGTAATAATGATGCAGATATCTGTATTCACATAATCCTTTTCGCCGAGGTTTCTATTACATCAGAAAGCGATGAAGTACACAGATGGAGCGTTGAATCGGATTTCCTCCCTCCGCGCTTTGCCATCGCCTTTGTCCTGGGATTTCTCTGTACTTGACTCGGGCCCCGAATCAAGGAATAATGGTTCCCACACGGACAGATGCTTGCGTTTTGCTGCTCAGCGAATCTAAATGCCAATCTCGCTGGTGTGTAAGCCATAGCACCATACCTCTATCAGCCAGCTTTTGGATGAATCGTGTGGGTGAAATCCACGATGACGAGATCTAGGAGCGACTTGCGTATCGTCGTTGTCATGGGGGCGGGAAGAATCACAGGCAGTCCCTGAGCTGAGACCATTCACTCGGGATATATGCTCAATCTCGATCATGGGACAGGCTTGTAGACAGAAAGCTTAATCGGTGGAAAACTCACTCCGGGTGCCGACTCCGACCGCTGATCCAAGAGGTATATCAAGTTCACCGGGTAAAGCAACATGAGCAACTAACACGACTTACTGATAGATCCCTTGAACATGAAATCGTCCCAGGTGGTCATAGTTGTGATTGCCCTCGCCTCCCGTAAGCATCTCAATGCCGTCGAATCAACCTTCTTACCAAACCGGACTAATCTAGTCTCCACCATCGCATTGTCACTGATATCTGCATTCGGTGGATTGCTGGGTTTTTACACTCCGAGATATATTGCGAAAGGCAAGAGCTATGGTAGCATCACTCCGACGCAGGGCCTGGGAGCACGGTGTGAGATGTGCTTACTTAGGTCTCCTTCAAACTCCAGGGGAGTTGGAAACCTATTGGGAATGCCAATTGCGATCGCTCTCGGACGTCGAGTTGTCATCCTCGTTGCGGCATTAGTTCTCATGATAGGAGCTATACTTTGTGCGACAGGCTCATCATTTGAAATGCACCTTGTGGCACGAGTACTGCTTGGTTTCGCCGCCGGACAAGGTGAATCAGTCGTTCCTATGATTATCCAAGTAGGTGGTGATCTGGACGTATTTGGCGCATACTGATTTGTGCAGGAAATTGTGCAGGAAATACATTTCCTGCACAAAAGATCAAGAGGTTTTTTCATTCAGCACATGGTTCAGATCATTGGCAGTATGGTTCTGGTCCTCCGTGTGGGCCCTATCGCGGCCAGGCCGTCTCCTGAATCGTGGTATGGACATGCAGCGATGCTCGCCGGTGCTGAGTTAATTGCAACGATATTTCTGCTTCCAGAAACGAAATTTCGTCAGCCACATAAATCCCCCACGCAATATTCTCACGTCGACACATCTCATGATTGACATCAGCTACGCCTCAGGATACTGAATATACCGTAGCCCTCACAGAATTTTTGCCAAGGACCTGGCTCTCAGATCTGCGACTCTTGGATGGCCAACCTGAGTGGAATAAAGGCTTTTGCCTTATTCGGGTGTATAAGAAGGCATATCCTGCTGAATCTATTAATGGCTCTAAGGACCAAATTTTGCTCTGTACAGGCCAACACAAGCTATCAACTGCGGGCAAATATTTACCTGAATTAGCGGTTCTTCCTCTCTTAGGATAATAGTCCGATCGTTTTATTTAATGGGCAGCTCGTTGCCATGTGGGGATATATGAGCCTAAGTATCGACTTGTCCCTCTCGTCTTACCAATAATCGTGGGCCTGTTCACGATCATTTTGTGTGTGCAGAAGCATTATTTCGTTCGCTATCACTTACAAGATCGCACCCTTCGTTAGTGCCTTCGGGTACGATTGACAATTCCTCACCTTTGGTGTACGAACAGAATTTGTTGGACTTCTAGGTATACCAGTCCTTGCTTCTGGAAAGTCTATAAGCGCACATACAGGCCGTTGGATAAAAGAACGTCCCTTATAACAAGATGGAGTGAAGCCTCAGTACTTTTCCGCAAGAGGGTCACTCATTGTCCACTGTCACACAGCGGGAGCAGCATTCAGTAGACTTGACAGCATGAACTATGGGATAAAGATAGACTTGAGATTTTGACAGTAGCGATTTTCTGTCTGATAGAAAAACAGCTTGCTTTTTGTTCGATTCATTTAATACCACAGGCACAGAGCGGTTACTATGCCTGGTATACCGGATGTGCGAGTTACATACTTGGTTCGCACCGATAGGAAAACGCCCAGAAGGGCGTGTTATTGGCGCCGAAGGCGTCATCAGCTCCTCTCCTCGAACCTCGGAGGCCTGACTACCACCCATAATCTTGCCTAACTCTGACTTGACCAGACCACTAAAGTTTCCGATCAAAAATCTCGAAACGAGAACTACCCCATTCCATCCATCGCACATCTTAATAAGTTGTAGTTGTTTCCAAACGACAGAAACAACACTGACCTGATTGCTGTTATCATCCATGGCGACATGCCTCAAAGCTGCCAACGAGACATGATTCAGATTAATTGGTGATGGCAAAAGTGCCTTCTCAAGACTCACGAGTTCCATCCACCCCTTGAAGCCGATGCATGCTAGGAACCGGAGTGGTCCCGACTTGGGGGGGGTTAGAATCCGGTGCCTGCCAGGTCCCCACGAAATGAACATAGGGAGAAAGTGGGAGAGGTGCCTTTCCTCCTGGGGAAGTCAGTCTGATTAAATGCTCAGCCACCAAAGGTATTCTCATTGGGCACAAACTACCGAGCGAGCCCCAACTATACGTAACTAGCCACCAAGATTGAGCAATGTAGGTAAGCAACGCATGTTTCCAAGGTTCTTGAGACAGCAAGGGCATTCAGTGCGGGGACATTCTTCTATCCAACCAGTCGCTGGAGAATTCCAACCATAGCTACCTACAAAACAGCTTATGCCAGCTCGACAAATCCTCAGACAATAGTCAATTCTCCTCCCCACAAGCGTCTGGTCCGAGCTCAGGCTCAATAGGGCCATAATGCAGGCCCCTCCAGCGAAACGGCCACGGCTATCGATGGCATGCAACCAGTGTCGGAGGAGAAAGGTCAAATGCGACGCTGAATATCCGAAGTGTCGACGTTGCAGACAGCGCAGCGACGAGTGCATAACCACTGATCCGCGACGACCTGGTATCTCGGTGACGAGGGAATGGTTGGATCTACGAGTACAATCTCAAGCTCGCAGCAACACTACTTCCGACATTTTGCCTAGTGAGGATGAGCAGACGTCGGACCTGCTGAGTGACCGTGACACTATCATCCTATCCGCCGGAAAGAACTTGGAGGAGATAAGCGAGGTTCCTGGTATATCCCCAGTGCATCAGCCTCACGAAATGTCATTTAACATCGATAGCGCCACAAACAGGATCAAGATGCTGGGGGCTAGTAGTTCGCAGTGCCTCTCAAAATCCTTAGACGTATACTTCAAGTCGGCTAACTCGAAGCCTTTATCAAATATCTTCAGGCATGGCATGAGACATGTGGAAGAGCTCAATCTTGCTCCTGTTCTTTCATGGCCACCATTGCCAGACGCAGCGACCTGCTCGGCACGCTTAGAGGTATTCTTCACCCGTATCCATGTCATCTATCCTGTCTTCGACATCGACTTCTTCAAGGCAACTGTCATCAAACTGGCTTCCGTCTCCAACCTTATGGCTTTGCCACAAGAGCAAATCCCGCTGCTCGTGTCCGCATATCTTGTGATGAGTTTGGGCGCCGATGAAGTTGCTCACAAACTTACTCCGGATGGAGGAAAGTTTATGGAAGCAGCAGCAGGATTGGTAGGTCATGTGGTCTTTATGCCATACCTTGCTTCAGTACAATGTTTGCTCCTATTCACCATAGTCTGTCGAGGACAGAATCAAGACGGTGTCGGATAGCAGACCCTAGGTATGGCGGTTCGAATCGCTCAGACATTAGGCCTTCATCGACACTCGGCCGTTCAACCCTCAACTCAACATGGTGTGCAGAAGAAAGCCGAGCAGCTCTTCCACGCCCGGATCTGGGCGATTTGCTGTTGCCTTGAAAAGTTCATGCAGTTGGAATCTGGGAGGCCAACAATGATAGCTGCGGTCGATCGAGATCAAATGATGGGACGTGATCAGCGGCCACCTGGTCCTGATTTCCTGCAATGGCTGATGGGTCTGGCCCAATACCAGGAACGAATCATACAACATATCTACGGGTACAAACCTGGTGAAAGAACGGCTCGCACCGTGTTGCTTGACACTGCAGAATTGGATAGCCTACTATTAGCCTGGGCCAACGAAGTGCCCGCTCAATACCGGCTAGGAGCTCACCTGTTCTGCTTTGTAGATGAATACCATTTTGCAGCTTACCTGTCAATACAATACCATCAGGCCATGATAGCACTCCATCGAGCAGGGCTTATTGCGCCAACGACTATCTATGAGGCGGAGGTTGCAACACACTGTGCTGGAGACCCTTCGGAGTTTCGATTGAGAAAGGGGGAGTATATCTGCATTCATAGTGCTCGCGAAATCGCCACATTGACCCTCGAGCTTGCAGATCGCAAGGCTAACTCACGAATACTCAATGCGGGACCGCCATTGATGGCGTGTATCGTGATTGCTATATACCTCATGAAAAATCCGACCAATAGGCTGAGAGTGGCAGATCTAGAGGTATGTGCTCCATGGGTCTGCATGATGCAATGGAAGAACTCATTTCGAATAGCTTCTCAAGGAATGTGCAAACTACAATGCGGACCACTTCTTGGATTCTGGTCATGATCCACGATTCGCCCACGGTATGTGGAACAAGTCCCTATGTCAATACTAGGAGGAGATTCTCATCTCATCTTCCAATAGGAGTCGTCACCATTTACGAGCAAGTCAAAGCACACTTCGATAATTTTGAAAACAATAATGGCAGAAAAAACGCGAAATCCTCGCGCGCATTGATTGAGGGAACAAATGAGCTTCCCACACAAAAAACACAGCCAGAAAGCCAGCAAGGCGCATCTCTAGCCTATCATGCACCATTCTCTCCAAACCAAAACTACCAGTTTTTCACGAACGCGGATGGAGGGATTCAAATGGACAACCAAGGCAATGCGTCACTTGACTGTGGGATGAAAGATGGCAAGTCTAGCAACAATTTCGACTTGCAAAACGGCAACGTAATAGCGCTCTTCCCATTTGACGGGCTCAATGTGGAAGACCTATGGAATTGGATGCTTGTCACCGATGCAATAGAACCAACAGATGAAACAGAGTGGATGGGGACCCAAGTAGTCCAAAACGGTTCTGAGCCATTACGGGAAAGTTGAGATTTTTCTCGAGATGGCTAAAATCCGAGAACCCATACTGCAGGACGACTTTCTGAAAATTTTAACAAGCCTCGCCAGGGTCACACTCAACTACATTCGACGTTGATAATGAGGCCCAACTAATGCCGCATCTATTTAGCCATACCTCTGTGCAAACACGTGGAGGACAATCAGTGGAAAACAAGTTGTGAACTATCATAAGTGGGAGAGCCATCACTCATCTCTACGACAAAGACTCCATAATCAAATTTTTGCACAGTGATTGTCTTTGATATGCGGCGAAAAGTGCAAGCAAGTCCAGAGGCCGGATGCACCCTGCACGAAAGGTCCTCTTCACCTACAATCTGACCCCACATAGCAGAGGACATGCAGCATACCTGGAAGCCATCAAAGAGAAGCACGACTGGTTGTATATCGGGCTCACCAGTCGTAGAGACCGTCCTTATGGATGAATTTTCCGACACTTGCATCTCTTTCCCCTTCGAGGATACTCAAGATTGACTGGCCGGAGATTTTTGGATCTCCTGCAAGTCCACCAGGGTTCCTCATTTCGTCACTATGGCCACGCAGGTTCGACACCACGAATCCAGGACAGAATGCAAATACTTTCAATCCCATGCCCTTGTACTTTTGGTACTCGCACACCGCAACCATGTTCAGGGCCGCCTTCATGGCTTTATAAGCCTCTGAATTGGGTGGCTCCGGATAGGTTTTTGGCTTCTCTTCGCTTGCAATCGAACCAGCAGCGCTGGTCACATATATTGAGTACGGAATTCTGGATTTGAGCAGCAATGGCCTGAATGCCTCAGACACCAAGACTGGCCCAAGGAGATTGGTCTGAAAGCTCGCCTCGAATCGTATTCTCGGGCTGGGGTTGTTGTTTCCAACGGCAGCATTGTTGATCAAAACGTCCAGTTGGCCGAAATCTGTCTCAATCTTCTCCAGGGCCTTCTGAATGGAATTTTCGTCGGTGACATTCATTTCCAGCGTCGATAACTGGCCTTTGAGGCCGCCGGCAGCTTCTATTTCTGCCATTGCTTTCTTCAGTTTCTCCAAAGATCGGCCAGACATGATCACTCGAAAGTCCTCCGACGCCCTGGCAAGAACTTGAGAAGTCGCATATCCAACGCCAGAATTAGCACCTTCATCTCTACTGTAAGCAAAAGCCTCATGTTGATAGGGGATGGTGTGGTCTTACCAGTAATCAAGACGACTCTGGAAGACATGTCGAATCGCGAATGGAAGCCGGATATTAGACAGGTCGTGAAGATGTTTCAAGGTCAGTTGAGCAAGTGTTGAAGAATACCAGGAGTTATTGTAGGTCCGTTCAAAGGGGCTTCGTCTTTTATAGGCATGATATCTACTCCCAAGACCAGCTATACCGCCAAGTTGAAGGCACTAATAGAGACACCAAATGCTGTAGCGCTCCTGTCTGCAGGGGTGCCATGTTAGCGATATGGAGTTTGCTGTCGTTTGTATGGTGCCAGCACACCGTAGATAGGTCTTTAACTACCCTTTATATGTCGGACCTATATATTTGCCTAATAATTACTATTCTGCCCTGCTAGAACCCAGGGGGTGACAGAGCTCGTGGACCACCCGAGATATAGCCAGTTGATAACATGCATTTTAGCCTCTACGGACTACCAATCCTCGCCTTTTATACGCTTTCCACCCACTTTTACAAGTGATTCGCATCGTCTAGGTATGGGCCTTAATATAGGTTAGGTTAGGTTTTAGTAGGGGTAGTTAACCCGCCCAATGGTCACTGGGTTGTTATAAAGCGGAACCTATCTCAGTCCTTATTTTAGTAAGGCTAGGCTAGGTTCAGGTTAGGTTTCTATCTTAGCCCCTGCCATTCAAGATCAGTCCATCTGAGGACTTCTTGGAACGTGAGTAGGGAATCCGGATACCGTGTCGCAAACTCACTAAGTCAATCCGTTTTGGGAGTATCCTGGCGAAAAGTGACGTTAACCCGGCTATCGGAGATTAGGACCTTTTCTCCGTTGGGTTTAATGCCGGCGGTTTTCTTTAGATCGTCCGGTTCAGCATCTGTCAGCCTCCTCAACCAAGCAACAAATGTATTTCTGGGACCGTTGTGCCCTTGTTAACTCGAATGCAATATGACTGCACTAGGAATTGGATGTCAAACTTGCAAAATCAGACGGGTCAAGGCAAGTTGTTGATCCACAAACTCCATCCACACCGCAGCTGATTTCTCATCCAAGTGCGACGGAGTCCAACCTACTTGCCGTAGATGCCTGAAATCTAAGCGGGTTTGTCTACAAGGTGGCTCCAAGCAGCCCGCGTTCTCAATTCACAATGAAAATCGTTATGCCAGTGGCCAGACTAAGCGGCCCAGAGGACCCCGCTCCTCTCTCAGCCTCGTCACGGCAGGTGTCAACAATAGTCCCATGCTACTCAACCCGCGATTCGATTTGAAAACAAGAGCTCTTGCCTCCTATCTTCACTTTCAGCTCCAGACGCTGACCAATGTCTCAAGTGTCTGTAATGGGCTCGCTGATTGTGTGGCCATCTGGGCGTCTGGGAGCAATTGCTACATGGTCGAGCTTGGTATCACAACGTTGGCCTTGGGAATTTTCTCTAATGTGCACCGAGATTCCCCTGCTGCAACAATAGCTTCCAGAAATTATGAAAAGCTCCTTGGCATTGTGCGTCAGACTGTACCGACCCTGGATGAGAAAAATGTCGATTCCTGTCTGCTAGCAATTTTCACCATGGCCCGATATGAAGCTACAATCTATGACGACATATCAGGTAATGTGAGCAACTGCAAAAGCCTTTCGCATCATGACGGAGCGAGGGCAGTATTGAAGCTTTGGAAAACCGGCTTGAGCCAAAAAATGGCGGCTACTGAAGTAATCAAGCATACTAGGAGGGGGCTAATTAGGTCTACCCTTCTGACTGGATCTCTGGTACCCAAGTGGATGCAGAATGGCCATGACTTTGGTGAACGTGGCCGGGAGCTGGCTTTTGACCAAATAATGGTACAGCTCTTAAATCTTCGCCACGAGGTTCATCATCTCTGTCGCAAGCACGGCGACGTACACGGATTCGATTCAGACAAAATCACACCGAGAGCTCTGGAATTATTCGATGAACTTCGGGATATCGACGGCGCACTGCAGGACTGGAAGGCACATTTTCCACGCGGTTGGACTTATCGAACCGCCTATTCTGACAGTGAGCTTTCTGGAAATAGAACGGATACTGCCCCGTGGACTGTCTACAGCTACACGAGCCCGGTGCATGCATGGACCTGGAATCAGTATATCACAACTTGCATGCTGATTGACAGTACACGCATCAGAATTCTGGACATTTGCCAGAACCCGAGCGCGGATGAGTATTCTCGGAAAGAGCAACTCAAGCAGTGCACTTCTCGCATTCACACCATGTGTGATCAGCTGGCTGCCAATATACCCTACTGTTTACAGCGATTCAAGCCTAGTAATAGTCGCACCTCCGAAGAAAGAGAACTGGATCACATCTGGTATAGTTCAGACCGAAAGATCAAGCCTTATGCCGCCAATCAATTAATCTGGCCGGTTGGGATCGCTGCAGGTATCAGCAACATGGATCCAAAGCAGCGGGAATGGTTCAAGTCCATGCTAGGGGCCTTGGGGAGGATAACAGGGTTGGGAGTTATTGCGTGTGCAGATACGAACAACTGGCTAGAGCTTTGATGTATTTGCCCCATCAAAACTGGTCACCAGTTAGTGGTTCCATGAGCCGGACACGATCCTAGCGAAAGCCCAGGAGCAAATTCACCACAAAAGGAATGCTAAGCCTTCGTCGCCTTTGAGATTCCCAGTGCAGACTCGGTCCCACCCACCCTCGATTCCCTCAGCTCCACGCAGTCCCTTATGAATACCTAGCTTGACACCAAGGACCGCATCGCTTCCATTGGCCAGCTGCTCTTGTAGGAGCTCGTCAAAGGCAGCATCTTGATCGCTGAAGAATCTAGCTTCCCCAATCGCGGCCTGGGCGTCCTCCCGGATTGCAGACGCATTGCATCGCACAGCTCCGAGCCTCGTTATGATTGCTTGTCGCTCGGCGAGGTCTTCGGGGGTATACACTTTTGATTCTCCCCCCACAATCAGGACCTCCACTTTAATCCCTGCTTTATTTGCACGGAGCTGGTTTGATAGTGGTTCACAGACTCCAGCTCGGCCGGCGAAATCAACAATCACAAACCTGTCAATAGATTGAGCAAACAGCCAGTCCGATGATGTTCCGCTATGAAGGTCTGCATATTTGATAGATTTAATTTGAACTTCGCTTTGAAAGCTGGCAAAGGGGCTCAGCTCGGGCGCAGCGGACGAAACTTCAAGGACTGCCACAGGGCCGCTTCCAGGCGCTCGCTTTGTTGTAAGCTGGTGGACAAAGCTGCGACAGGTTTTTGTGCCAGCACCAAGACAAATAACTAATGTCCTCTTCAAGTCAGCATCCTCCGGGCTCCAAGGATGCCCTATTCCAGGATGCAGCACAGGATCACCGGGCAAAGATGCGAAAGCGAAGCGATTGAATGTGTACGCAGATTTCCAGGGTGGTAGCAACGCCGATTTCCACGCCAGCTCCCTCACGCCAGGCGATGTTTCAGATTTGACGCTCTCCAGGGTGTCCGACACGGATATGTAGCGCTGGTACAGTGGCATTACCTTCGCTCTGTGCTCACTGATCTCTATGAAATGCCCCTGAATTTTAGGGGACTGTTGGAGGAACAGGTCGACAGGAAACGTGGAGATGGGAAAGAATCCCCATAGCAGGGAACCGTTCTTCAATGTTGGGATTGTACTTTCGAGAATTGTTGCATATCCCCACCCAGGTGAGATACCGTACTGAGAGCGGTCATTGTAGGGTGCTTCAACAAATTCCGGTACGGGGAAGGTGTCCCACCAATGCAAGACTTTTCCAGAAGCGCAGTACGCAAGGTTGTTTGACGAGAGCCCGAGGATTGTCGATTGGATCCTGACACTTGAATCGTCCAGAGGACCCAGGTTGTCGGTGGAGGGTGTGACGAAATATTGGCGGTCGTAGTGCGTCTTGTCTACGATGCGAATCGTGTGCTTTTCGGTCGACATTGTTGTAGGCCGCTCTTTCAAGGGATTTCACGGCAATTGTTTCGCAGTGAACCTAAAGATCAAGGCTGGTGAGAGTGTCACTCTCATAACTTTGCCCTCAATATGGAGCGGCTTTTATGATAGAACTTTATACGCCCGTAGATCGACAACTCTCGGGCTTGGAACATAAGCCAGCATAAGCCTGTTTACGATTACCCTTCGTCCTGCTTAATTACCCAAACAATGCTTAGATCCCAATAGGCAGCGGCATGTGGGGGAGCAACCCGTGGCTATCAAAGATAATTCTGCGAGTCGCAGGAGGCCTAACTCTTATAATGAAACTTTTGACTAGGTCATGACTCAAAGAACACTTTCCCGTTAGCCGGTTGGCTGTTATACGCAAGACGATTTCGGACCGCGGCTAACGGCCACCTGCGAACTATAGCCTGCCCACGCCGTTGTATTACTCACTAAATACTCTCACAGTTTCGCATTTCGTCCTTTGGCCAGCATGAGTCCGATCATCCTTCGCCGAGGAAAGGCCGATGGGAGTCAGGACTTGCTCTCCAGAAGGTATTGTGTGCTTGTTGTCCACGAGGATTATGGCCGCGCGAGTAGCGTTACTTTGCATCTTGCAGGTAAGATCACGTGATTTGTCAGACTCTCTCTTCTTGAGTGATGCTCATTTTGTCAATCCGGACTCTGGTCCTTCCTACGCTTGATACCTTTGCTACAGGGGAAGCGCAGTGGCGAGCCGTGGGGCGAGTTTTGTCTCCATTGCTGCACTGGGCTCATGTCTCTCTCTCTCGGCAGTACCTCTCCAGATTTCCTGGACGGAGGGCCTCTAGCAACTTTCCTTCGTCATATCCATGGACTCGCGTCATATGCTCAGGTCGATTCCACTCTGGAGGGAGTCCATTTCCCTCTCGGGCTCCGTCACATCGTAGGAGTTCGCAAAGGAATGGGTTTCGTAGCTGTGATGATTATAGATTTCTCTCACGACGAGATAAGTGAGCATTGGAAGAAGATCCGGGTGCATCGCACTCGGGTACATTGCAAAGTTGAATGATCGCTCGTCGTTGTGTGATCCGTGAGCATCTCTCTCATTAGAAGAAAACCTGGCTTCATTGCATTCCCCCTCCTCCGAGAAACCTTGCGATCCAGCGTCAGGCCATCCTACAGATGTCTAGGGCTCTACCGACCTCCACAACGCCCGTATCATGTTGTATGTGATAATGAAATCCTCCAATGGTGGTCGATGGCCCATCGACATTGAGCGAAACTTCAAGGTCGGGGTGATCTCACATTCAGAGTCCTCGCCAACCGAATCTCGATAGTGCAATCCCCGCTCTTGGGGAATCGTTTTCTCACATTCAGCAGAGTTGAAAAATCATCGTAGTGGTTGTGGCCGGGCGGCATTGCCGCTTGCTTACGCTGTCATGCCGTTGAGTGGCGACAGAGATTGGGAGGGTTCGAGAGCAGAGGTCCTGTCCGCCATTTATGTATGACTGTCGGGGCTCGACGGCCAACATCCTACCACCTGCCAGCGACTATGGGTAAATTCTTACAATTTAAAGATTCGCGAGCTCACACGTGTGTGTAACAGGTTATTCCCTCGCCCTGGATTGGCCATGTCATGAAACATGGTGATGCATCGAGGGGCAGTCAATACCAGCATCCCGGGGTGGTCAACTGTGCTGGCGCCAGCTGCCCATAACGGTTGCTGCATAAGATATCTTCTATCAGATGGCACCCAAGAACCCGTGAGTTGGATAGTCTGCAATACTTCAATTACAGTAACCATCGACAAAACCTGGGAAGGTGATCAAGACGAAAGGGAAGAGGAAGATGACTAATGCGGGGCTGTTGTGCGGCCAGGAAAGCCCCTGAATCCTCAAGGGTCAATCAACCACGCAACGCAAAGTCTCTATTAGGGCGAAGTGCCACAAGGTGTTGAAGGTATCCGTGTTTTCAATGACTTTCATAATGAACGACAAACCAATAGATACTTTACCGTGTATAACATATCGATGAAGTACATTTGGTAGATGCCGAAGTTGCGTCTTCGTGGTGGTGGTGGTGGTGGTGGTGGTTCGTCCCTTCCCCCGCACGCGTCAAAATCTAAGACGCGTTCCTGACTACTCGAAAACGGAAAGAGCTACTAGGGCTCCTTCCACGACATTGGAATCAAAACAAAAGACAGCAAACCTTCTCTTGACCTCCAAGCATCAAATAGACACAGACACTCTATCGGTGAGAGCAATATGGCAATGATATTCAGCCCGCTTTCCCAATCCGGTTCAGAGATTCTTCTCCCATGAACCGAAATTGCCTGGACTGGACGATGATCAACATTGGATGGCGGCCCTGGAGCCTCTAGTTGCGCCTAGTGCCAAATCGGAACTATCGAAGCCCCTGGCCCACCAGCGCCAAACACCAGCACAGATGCAGACACAGACCCAGGCACCACTACTACTGCTGCTGCTGCCCGCGGACGTCCCTCTTTCTTCCTCACCGACACCCTGCCAGTGCCTCTCTCACGAGCTGTCATTGTCGTCGTCGTTGTTGTTGTTGTTGTTGTCGTCGTCGTCGTCGCTGTTGGAATTCCCTCGCACGGTCGCCGGCGAACCCTGCGAGCAGTCTCTCATTTGGCCCTTGCTCAACCTTGATCGACCTTACCTCCACCAGGGCTCACTCTTTTGCCCTTCCGCCCATTCCTACCGTTTCACCTTGGCTCCTTGGAAATCTGCCTGTTTGCCACTACCACGACACCTCCAATATGACCGACGTGGCTGCCAGGAATGACGGCGACATCTCTCCTGAAGACGTTCCTCTCCCTCGAAGCTCTATGATCACCGTCCGACTCTCCGAGGTCGACCTAAAACCACTTGTCCATGCAGTCTTGGAACAAGACGCTCCTCAGGACCCGTCGGCTCCACAGAGCAGTCCTTCCTCTACACGATCCAGTCGGTCTTCTTCGCAAACATCAGACAGTTCTACCTCAATCGACACTGTCGACTGGGAAGAATTGGACAAGACTGAGGAGCAGGAAGCCAAGGATGACGCCACTGATGAGGTACGGAATGCAAGATTGGGTTACGCTCAACTGGTTGTTTACTGATGGCTCTAGTCCACCGCCCTCCTGTTAGCTCGCCTAGAGAAAGAAAATGCTGCCTTAGCAATTGACCCTAAGGCCAACATCGCGCCCCCGACATCTCGGCCACGCAAAAACACCCGACCAATGTCAGTGCAGCAGCTGAAGAGGATGATTGACGGGCCACAACGGCAGTCATTGGACGATCCCCTCCTTCCGGCTTTGCTGATGAAGGAGGGAGAGTTCTGGGCTGTCCTCGTCCAAGACTATGCACAAACCGCCCAGCGCTTGCCCACTCTGACAGCCAACAAGATTCGTGGAGGGGTTCCCGTCTTCTTGCGTGGCGTTGTGTGGCCCAGTATCGCCCGAGCTAGTGACCCTCAACTCCATGCAGAATATCATAAACTTGCCGATCGTCCGAGTCCGTACGATGCCTTGATTGGGAAAGATGTTGGGAGGAGCTTTCCAAAAGTTGATATGTTTCGAGAAAAGGATGGCGAGGGCCAAAAGATGCTGGGCCGAGTCCTGAAGGCCTTCAGTCTGTATGATGAGAAGATTGGCTACTGTCAAGGCCTTGGCTTTGTTGTCGGCCCTCTACTCATGTACATGAGTGAGCCAGAGGCTTTTGCAGTCCTCGTCAAGTGCGTTCAGTTCCCGGGTCTCATTGTTTGCGAGTACCCATCGAGCTAACCAGAATCCAGGCTTATGGAGGATTATGACCTTCGATCATGCTATCTCCCCGACTTATCTGGCCTCCACCTGCGAATATTTCAATTTCAACAACTGCTGCAAAATCACCTCCCAGAATTGGCACAACATCTTGAAAACCTAAAGATTGAACCACTCTATGTCTCGCAGTGGTTTCTATCCTTCTTTGCAGTTACTTGCCCCTTGCCGATGCTGCTTCGAATCTACGACGTTATTCTATCCGAGGGAGCAACCGAAACACTCATGAGAGTGGCTCTATCTCTAATGCAACGCAATCAAAAGAAGCTTATTGCCTACACCGAATTCGAGGACGCCATGCAGTTCCTTCTATCTAGGAGCCTGTGGGACACATATGCTCAGCGCGCAGATGATCTCGTCACTGACTTTGTATCCCTGACCGGCCTGGTAAGCCAAGAGTCTCTCCATTCGTTAGAGGCGAGCTTCAGGAACTCCCAAAATCTAGCGCCTGCCCCATCGCTCAAAAGCGCAGCCTCCTCCTTTTTGGGCAGATTTTGGGCAGGTTCGTCACACAGTCCGTCCCGCTCAGCAAATCTGAGTTTACTCATCCCAGGAAGTAGTAAGGGGGTGAGGAAGTCGTCTTCGGGAAACAGCTTAACTTCCACGGTGATTTCGATCGAAACGATTGGGTCTGACGCTAGCACAGTGGCCACAGAGGTGTCAGAGGATGTAATGAGGAAATCCACAGCTGAAGCATTGCTGAGTGATTCGGTCAGCGTCACCGCACCAGCCTCGACAGATCGGGACCTTCACCATCAGATTGAGGAATTACTCACCGAGCTATCCAAGGTTCAGCGACAGCATGTTGAACTCGCGCGTGATCTTCAACGCGAGCGGGAGGAGAGGGAGGAAGACCGCCGAATGGGACAAGCCTTGCTGGCTCGATTACAACACCAGACCACAGAGATCCGAGACCTCATTGGCGAAGAGAACATAGAGGAAGACGAGGAGCTCGATACGCTAATTGAACAAGCTAGCATGCACCTGTTGCAGGAAAAGTCCAAGCGGCTGTCCATTCTTCAGTCCAAACACCAACTCCGCGATGCAGTTACTGAATGGAGGGACAAACATGGAGCTGAAGTCTCGAAATGCCAAGAACTGATGAAACAGTTGGACGATCGTGAAAGCGAGCACACTTCGCTAAAGGAACAATTACGCGAAGCCCGAGCTCGGATTCAAGACGCACACCGGGATAAGCAACGTCTGGAGCGGACGGTCTCGGATCTGAAATCTAGGAACCACTCTGTTCCCGAGTCCCCATCTGATCTATATACGCCTGTCAGTGAATTCCCGGATCTCCGTCTCCCCGCTGCAAAGGCTGGCCTGCGTGAGTTACGGTTAGGCAGACCAGACCAAACCAGGTCATCGAGTGTCGGGCCCTTTTCCAAGCGATCAAGCAGCCTCAATACCCAAGCAGTCCTTGCGACAGAGAATCATGAGCCAGTCTCCAATGATGCGCTCTTACTTGAATTGGTGAACGCTAAGACAGCTGAAGCGGTCGCCCGCCAAGAACTCGAAGAAACTAAAGGGAAACTGGACGCGTTACGGAAAATTATCAGTGGCTCGACATCTATGCCCGCTGCGAGAGCTAGTCCCATGGAATCACCAATTGCTGCGGCCTCGAATAACGTCAGTCCCGGGGTGAAGGAACCCAACAAAGCGGCTCATACTCCCTCGGCCAGTACAGGAGGGTTTTTCAGTGGCTGGGGCAAACGTGGTACTTGAAAGTCCACCCAGCTCAGCTGTGATACGTCTTTGTAGCTTTTTAATTGATGATCTAGCACGCTATGCCTGGCGTTCAAAGCCACATAGCACATGAATATTTATTATAGTGAATGTACGGCTAGCCTTGAACAGCGAAGCGACGTGGATTCTTGCAACACGGACCTGTCTCCGGCATATTTTCCATCTCAATGATGATAATTCTCCGAGCGCCAAGTTCAATGATATAGTTGGGCCAATTCGCAACCACAGCAAATGAACAGCAAGCCTCTTTTCCATCTACCAAGAATGGATCACTAAGGCCCTACGGAAGCGTACCTGGTCCTGGGCGCGCGCGCCGCTATTCCGCACATCCTGGGTTCTGCTTGATTTTCCCAGCTTGCTGGTTTGTATGTTCTCCGTACGGATACATCCCAGACGAGGAACTCGAAAGGGTACCCACCCAAGTACGCAATACGAGCTGACTGACTATTATCTGTAAGGACCCTCTCTCGTCGACCACAAACACTGCGTTAGCCGTATTGTTTTAGCCTCACCGAATTGCCCGGATATGTGCAGAGTACTCGGTACGGGCTCCTGGTCCCCTAAAGTTACACACCTATGAAGGATAACTTTGAATTAAACCCCCGCACTAAGAAGGTCCAACCACACTGGCATCACTTATTTCGCTTACGATTGACCCATTTTGCAGACAGCAGTCCTCCATGGTGATTGCGGGATATTGACATCCACAATGATAACGAGCTCCATCTATTCGCTCGGCAAGAGGCACGAGTCATCATCTTGATGCAAGGAGACTGCCGGGCACCCTAGACATTCACATCTACCCAGTATTATACTCACATCTACACAATATTACGAGTACTCCGGAAACGAACCTGGGGGTTCAGTGGAGATCCGGGGTTTGAACCCCGATGCGGACTTAGATAACTCTCTCGCCGTGTGGATCAGTGCCCAGTGCCGATGGACATCTAGCCGACTCCAGCTGCCGAATGAACTGTGACGACGCTTGAGTCAGGGTCTAGATCGGCCTCAGCCTGGCACATGGCGTCGCTGTGGAGACCGGGGTGAGAGAGAACCAATTGAGTCCCTTGCATTTGTTGTTGGCATCCACCAACACTCGCTGAGACTATCAAGTCCACGGTCCGCGTCGTATATCACTACTCCGTACTAGGACAAGGATAGAGCACAACGAGCCAAATCAATCAAGTCCTCTTAAGTTACTCCGTACCAACTCGTGATAACGACTGTCGATGATATTTTACTATCCACTTTTCCTAGGCCAGCGTGTCGAACGTGCTTGACAGTGGGCACTAGCGACTCTCTATTTCGTCTCGTTCTCCCGATGGCGGAGGAGCAACATGTATTAATACCCACCCATGCCCCAGTCCTCCGCGCCAGCGAACGCATATGCCAGAATTGAAGTCTTCTGACTCTGCGGACTTGGATACTTCTACATAGAACTGTTGCTCTTCTGCGCGCAACATACCGTCTAGAGGCCAGCTTAGCCCAGCATGGAGATGAACTATGATGAAAACGTAGGTCCCTCCCTTGTGGAGCCCTCTTCGACGACTCACCTCCTGCTAACGAATGCTATCGCCAGACACTCCATCAGGTAATAATGACTCCGAAACATACACACACACCAGGCATTGTCCTAACCGTTCAAATAGCTGGAGGAGGAGCTTCATACTCACATCTATCCCGGTACTGAGATAATGAGCGATGTCGGCTCCCACCACTTTGTCAAATCCTCAGCCAAGTCCGACCAGGTCCTCGTTCCCCAACCTAGCTCCGACCGAAGTGATCCATTGGTAAGTCCATGGCTTCAGGGATGTTGACTTTGCACCAAAAAAGCAATGTTTTGACCGCCTGACGATTAGAATTGGAGCCCGTTCTGGAAGGCCTCAGCGATGACAATGGTCACGCTCGTCAGCTTTGCCCAGGGTTTTGGCCCTCTGGCATTGCCGCCTATGTTTCCGCAGCTGATAGAGGCGTTTGAAACCGACCTGGCTGGCGTGGTGCAGTTCGTTGGAGTCTGCATCCTGGTGCTTGGATTCAGTAACTTTATCTGGTGAGTGCAACGTCAACCGTTCGGACTCCTGGAAACGTGAACATCGTGCTGTGTCCCCAGAATCACGGACTGGTAAAACGTCACTGATCTGACTGTGCTTGCTGTGCTTGCTGTGCTTGCTGGCACGATGTTCTGCTGCATCGGTCACGAGGGCCTCAATAGTTGTGTAACTTGCTGACTGTGGTCTGCATCAGGGTTCCAATTCAAACATCCTTCGGCCGCCGGCCCGTCCTCATCATGTCGACAGTGATTTGCTTGGTCTCCAACATCTGGAGGGCGGTCGCCAAAGACTACCGAAGTTTCATGGGCGCCTGTATCCTAAATGGAATTGGTGCCGGTCCGGCAGAGGTAGGCCAAGATCGATGAGGACGACTTTTGTTGACTTGTGCTTACAATTCTGATTCAGACCGCTCAACCAACCGTTATTGCCGATATAATGTTTCTCCACGAACGTGGCGGGTATAACACGCTTTATTTCACTGTATACTTTGGAAGTTTGATGGTGAGATCCACCCGTTCGGCCTGACCAGCCTAACAATGGGACCAATATTAACAACGAGAATCAGGTCGGTCCCATTATTGCAGGCCCCATGACTGAACATTCCAACTGGCGCAATTTCTGGTGGCTCAACGTCGCCTTACATGCTGCCATCCTGGTTGGCCTTTTCTTCCTATTTCCCGAGACCAAGTGGCACAGAGCGCATCCCAAAGAGCTGGTTCTACAGACCGCACAAGGAATCAACGACGAAAAATTCCAGCCCGAGATCCTAGAAGACCCCGAGAAAGCAAAGATTGGCTCCACGCCCACAACGATCACCGCAGCGAACGCTCCATTGTCGGCACTCACTGAGGTCGCCACGGTTGAACGAGACCCTTACCTCCATAAGGGAGCGCCTTCGAAGCAGCAGTTCAAACTCTGGCAGAGCAACGCGCACCCATTCAAGAGTATCGCTCTGGATCTCTGGATTCCGTGGAAGCTCTTTGCGTTCCCCATCGTTGAGTTCAGCTCCTTCGTTGTCTCCTGGTCGGCAAGCTCCTTCTTAACCATCAACTTGACGCAAACCCAGAATTTTGCAGCTCCGCCGTACAATTTCTCGTCCCAGAGCATCGGATTCACGAATTTCGCCATCCTAATCGGTGCTATGATCGGTCTGGTGACAAATGGTAGGCTCAGCGATTGGATTGCCGCAAGGGCCACGAAGAGAAACAATGGCGTTCGAGAGCCCGAAATGAGATTGCCAACCTTAATTCCTTACGTGCTTATTATGTTGCTTGGCAATTTCGTCGTAGCCTTCGGGTGTGAGCACAAATGGGATTGGAAGGTATGTCCCCTCTTTTCAGTCCCCCCAAGGAGTGAGATCAGTTGGTCTAACATACATCTTCCTAGGTGATTGTGATCATCGGATATGCGTGTGCTGGTATCCAAGTCGCCGCGATTCCAGCCATCGCGTCAACATACAGCGTGGACAGTTACAAGCCTGTTGCCGGTAGCATCTTTGTCGCCATCACCGTCAACAAGAACCTGTGGGGTTATGGCTTTAGCAAGTTCATTACCCCGTGGATCATTTCAGACGGCTATATTCCTCCAATCATGCTGAACATGTGCCTGATTTTCCTTTGGTGCGCTTTTGGTACATTGTTCTATTACAAGGGCAAGACCTTCCGCAAGTGGACCAAGGATGATTCAGTCCATAACTTGTGATGGACGGGCATGATCAGGGCAGCGAGAGAACAGACGCAGCTGCCAGACCGAGGGTGATTACTGGTTCGCGGAGAATGTGCAATGTGACCGGACCCGTGAAGCTGCTGCATAGTTGCAGCGCTTGGTGCTTCAGTCAGGGTGCGGTCCGGCAGGGCTAGAACACAAGCTAGATAGCCCCAGAAGCTAATTAGTGCGGGCCGATTCTCGCAATTCTGTGTGATGCCTCCGGTCCCCCTAGACTTGACTAGTCCTCTCTCTGCCCTATAGTAGATAGCATCCGAATGAAAGCCGTCTCCTCGGAGCCGGGTCTTCAGTCGTCCTCCTCGTCACTACTAGGGAAGTCCAAGTCCAGCTTCCTCCTCGGCTGCGCCTGCTGACTAGGCTTAGGTACTGATGCTCTCCCTGCGGTTGGTCGCGGCTGGTTTTGGCTGCTGCTTGGAGCATCTCTTGCTGTCGTTTGTCTCGTTACCTCCGGACTCAAGCTTATACTTGAAACTGCACCCTCAGGGTCTTCCTTTCCAAGTAAAACCCCCCCAACATTCTCCGTCTCCCTAACCAAACGCTCGACTTCCTCGTCCATCGCCCGGTCCACAGCGCCATCAGCACCAGAAGCAGTCTGGACCTGGCGCTCACGAAATAGCTGTAGTTTCCCTAGCTCTCCTGCCCTAAGCACGCCCGCTTCGGGGAACGCCATGCCCATCTGCGCTCTTGTTGCCGCGATGGTATTGTTGATCCGCTCAATCTCGGCATTTGTCTCATCTGTCCCATTCCCCACCATCGTTGGTGCTTCCTGCACACCGTTGGGTATTGTCGTACTTGTAGCGTCTTCAATTCTTCGAGCCGCGATCTTGAACCGTCTGGACTCGGCCTCAGCCTCTCTAGCTGCCACGGCATTGTGTTTTCCTATCCTTGCGGCAAATGCGAGGAGGGTGTGGTAGTCAAGCTCGGCCACGTTCGCGCCCTCATCTAAATCCTCTGAGGAGTCCTCGTCCGAGTCCGCAGACACGATCGAAGGGTGGATTCGTCCGACCTCATCCCTCAGCGCGACGCACTGCCGGATGGTGGATTTCAGCTGCTCCTGGAGCGTGGCGACCTCTGCACGAAGATTCAGGATACGTGCGTAGTTTTGCTGATGCCGATGTAGCAGATTCAGCGAGCTAGTAAGTTCGTCGTCCGTGTCCAGTAGTGTTTGCGCGATCTGCGGAGCGTTCGCATAGGTGTTGGTCTGCGTGAGGCATGTCACCAGGGAGTTGAGATGTGTCTCAAATGCATTGAGAGGGGCAAGGACTTGGGTTTCCATTGGAGGAGAGAGAAAGGAATTGGGTGGAAGGCGATCGGGGTTCGCTGTTGAGGAATGGAATAGTGGTGAACATTTGAAGGGATTGGATTTGGCGGGGATGAAACTTATATCACGTGATGGGCCACTGTCCATACCACGAGATGTATTCGCATTTACTCACAACCTCCAGAGATCCGTAAGTTCATCCTCACCATCTTCTCGGCACAGCTAGTTACAGATTAGGTCGGAGACACGACTCGAGCGTACCATTTTATGGGACTAATGACCAGTCTGCGACAGGTCGTACGTGTATATATACTCTTGAGTCGAGAGAAAGAGTGACCAAAGTAGGTCTCGAAGATCCCTTAGGTAAGCTGGTTCTTCTCGTGATGTCGTCATAGTATAAGGAGCCTTGACGCGAGATCTTGGCAATGCCTACACGTGACCAGGCTAGCCACGCGCTGTCCAGGCCCCGCGACTTGGACCAAACTTGGAGATCTGGATCTGAGCAGCTTCGCCATCCAAGGGAAGAGGTTGGCTGTCCTCATATCTGCGTGTCAATACGACCACTGAATCCCGACCATAAAGGCGACATGTATCTTCCGCGCAGCCTGATATCGCTTCTCTACACGAACCTAGTCCGCTCACACCACCCTCTATCACCTCCGGTCCTACTCCTCGTATCATTCGATCCCGATTCATTATGCGCGTGCCGAATTCTTGCCTCATTACTGAAGCGCGACTACATCCCTCACAAGATCCAGCCTGTGTCCGGATATGCTGATCTTTCGAAAGCGGGTGAGGAACTCGTGCAGCCCATGAAAACAACTGACGGCGGGTCGGGAGGCGTGGTAATATGTCTTGGTGTAGGTGGACTGGTTGACCTGGCCGCGCTACTCGGACTCGAGGTAGAAGATTCCGCAGAGTCAATGTGTGGAGTGGAGGTCTGGGTTCTGGATGCAAGACGGCCATGCAATTTGTCCAATGTGTTTGGCGGCCTACCATCCGAAGCGGCAGTAGGGAGTGCTGTCCCTAGAATTCCCGGAGTGGACAAGGGACGCATCCAACGGTCGTACAAGCCAGGCAAAGGAGGCATCATCGTATTCGATGACGGAGATATATCGAACGACCTCGAGGCTGAGCGGGACGCTTACTGTGCCCTGGCTGACATGCCGGAGGTTGAGGCAGATTCAGACAGTGATGACGACGAGCAGAGTGGAGACGAAGATGCCGAGGAGGATCAAGACGAAGGCACAGACACGGAACGAAGCCCATCGTCAAAAAAGAGGAAGTCCTGGTCCGACAAAGATAGCAATGCGTCTGACAGTGACGACGCGGAAGAAAGGCCACGCCAACGACGAAGGGCGAATTCAGGGTCGTCTATCAACTCTACTCCGCAAAGTCGAACCCCTACATCGTCACAGCCAACCTCACCCACCTCCAAATCCAATTCGCCGAAGCAGGCGACTGCTAAACAGTTACGAAAACGCCTGAGGAAGCTACGAAGAAGCCATGAAATTGTTCTAGAAAAATACAACGGCTTAGGCATATCCTACTCGGAGCCAATCTCAACCTTGGCGTACTCTTTGGCGTCAGACCTCGGTCGAGAGGACAACGATCTATTGTGGCTAGCCATTGTTGGTGTTACATCCCTCGAGCTATCTGGTCACACATCTACGAGCTTCGGCAAATCGACACGACTAGAGCCCTCCGTCGAACACCCTCATTCCTGGCGGTCAAATCGATCCCGCCAGACTTATGCAATTCTCCGAGACGAGACACGACGATTGAACCCACCGCCGATGGACCAGTCTCCGTCAGTGTCGCCTGGATCGGGGGTCAATTCCCCCAGTGACACCTCCATCCGTCTGACCCCTGACCCGAGATTTTTGCTTCTCAGGCATTGGTCGTTATATGACAGTATGTTACATTCCCCATATCTTGCCTCACGTTTAAAGGTCTGGAATGAATCTGGGGTGAAACGACTGCATAAACTTCTGGCCAAAATGGGGGTGAGCTTGAGTCAATGCAAGCAGACTTACACTCACATGGACATGGACTTGAAGAAAACATTACGGGAGCGGCTCCTCAAGTACGCACCTGTATACGGCTTGGATGATCTTGTCCCTACAGGTGCTGGTCGCTTCACCTACGATCAAGACGGCTGGGGCTTCATCCGGTCCTGGGGTTGGAAAGCCCAACTTTCTGCTGTTGACGTGGGCCTCATCCTAGGTGCTATCCTTGATGTCGGCTCACCCTCAGCTCTTGGTTCTAACAACGCATCCACACCTGCTCCCACACTGTCGCAGTCCCAGCAAACTACAGACTCGAACCCAACCCCTCGTTCACTCGCTCTTGTACCGCGCTTCTTCGCAGCTTATGATGCACTCGCGCCCAGCCACCCGACACAGCTCCTTACATCGATCCCGCAAGCCCAATATCTCCTCCGGTCCATCCTCCGTACAGGCTCATCGTTGCTCGTTAAGCATCAGATCCGCCATCTCCGCGCATTTCGCATGGGTGTTGTCAAAGATGGCCCCGATCTCGGATTGTTCGCTAACTCGCCCGGCGCTCTTGTGAAGCTTGCACTGTGGGTAGGCGAGGCCGTCTCGGGCCATGAACGTGATAGAGAAGCGGATGACTCGGCGAGCCATGTCTTCGTGCCTTTAGTACTGGCCGCGCTGGATGAGGAGAGAGGCACGTATGTGATCGTGGGGACAGGTGGAGGGGACAAGAGCAATCGTTTCGGTCTTGCGTTTCAAGAGGTCGTGCAAGAGACGGACGCCAGAGTCGAAATCGACAGTTTTGACCACAGCGTCGTCGAAGTGAAGAAGGAGGACCTCGGCGCGTTTCTAGAGGCATTGAGCCTAAAGGCTGTTGTAGGTGCATGAAGAGGCGAGCATGGAATGAAGCCTGTAGAGGTGGAGCGGACTGTTACGAGTGACGAGGTTGGCGGAGGAACATTTCGTAGCCCTGACTGCTGGTCACATCAACATGAATTGCAAGCGTTTGGCATCGTTAATGGCAGCTGCGTGTCAGCACATGAATTGGAAAACAGCATCATACTCTGTGCGGTTTGCGTGGGCTAGTCCTTGGTTTTGTAAGACATCGATCACCCGGAGCTACTCTGCTACCTACGTTTGCCATCCGCCCAGGCCAGCGCCTCAGTCAGAGAACCGATCCTGAAGCCTCTCCTCTTCAGCTCGGGCAAGACGCTTCTCGGCATCTCCGGCGTCCGCGCGCGATCATGGCAGATAATGATCCCGATCCCACCGGCTCGCGCCGCTGGCAGGATGTGCCATGCGTTGATCTACGGAATGGAAATCTGGGCATCGTGCGGATATACAGAACCGAGAACCACGCGATATGAGAGACTGTTCAGGAGCGTGAGCATGCTCGCGGTGAAGAACCCAGATCCAGGGCGGAAATACGGCGGCGGCGAAGCAGGTTTCGAGATGGGAACATTTGATGGCTTCGGTAGCAACACGAGTCATAGATCCTTTGTAGCTTCCGTTGAGTCTCCGTGATCTGCTCCGTCAGCTCGCCCATCATCGAAGTGCTCGGAGCGGTGCCGTCGCTACCCTCTCTTGACAACAGGAGTAGTCATTAGGGATGCATCTGCTCCGTGAGATATTGACGATGACTTTCAACCATATCTAGATTCGTGGCACCTCAAGAAACGTATGGATAGTTGGCCGGAGACACCGAGCTACTGGAGCAGCTTGCCAGTTTGCTGAGTATTTATTCCGACCTTCGGTGTTCCTCAGATTCATCTTCTAGTACTAAGTACTGCCAGCCCCCATACGATAATTGACTCTATCTATGATGACTGAGATGTCGAAGGTGGTTGACAGACGCCAAACTTTGAAACCTCCACTCAGCAGTACTCCGTACTCCGTACTCTGGATAGCTAGCCTCGCTGCTTCCAGGCTGCCGTATGGCGTATGCTTATGCTTGTCCCTACATGATCTCGAGGCTCTCTGCAGCCGGTGATTTACGTTCGCTTCTCTGCAAGTAGCTACGGAGGAAGCTGCAGAAAGAGCCATATGCCGAAACCCAGAAACAGATCAGCTGGAAATAGATGCATCAGGGTGCACTTCCCTTGCATCTGCATCCCGGAAGGTATCAGAAAAATAGTGGTTGTGGTTGGAGACTTGGTCTCGACGATTATTCGTTGCCTCTCGTTGGCTCCCTGAGGCTCTTTGATGCTATTGTATCAAGCCAACCGCCCAACGAGCGTAAGAAATAGGGGGCACCTACACGGCTCGGTGGACCGAGATGAATCTCGAAAGTTTGGGGCGCCAAAGTGCGGAGGTGCAAACTGAATAGGCCGACCTAAAATCATGGCGCCCTTGATTACTCGTACATACGGAGCTCCAAGCCTCAATGGGGACGATATCCGGCTAGACGAGGCTGACCAACGTCTACCAGAGGCCTGACGGGGTGGGCAGAGGGGTGTATTGCTAGATGAGAAAATGTGCCTCCTCGTAAGCCCTGTCCGGGGATTCTGCGATGTCTATGTAGATAGTCGTGGACAAACTTGAAAGGCGTTGAACGGCGGGACGGAGACATCTTTCTAAATGGGCACGCACCCGCCCTTGGCCTGTAAAATAACATCGCCTGCATACGTACGATAGCTGCCTCGACATGGCTCAACAGGACGGAATACCACTTGCAACGAAGGGATACCGTTGGCGGGTAGGTGTTTGTAGCGATATGAGCAGAGTACCCGGATGCTAGTTATGACTTTGTTCTGCGGTGTGGTTCCTGGAAAAGAAATCCCTTGCCTTGTTCGGTTGAATGAGTGTCGTCGAAGTGGGAGACACGGGAAGTTTCGATGGGAGGGACTGTCGCAGAGATATGCACACTAAAGAACGGTCTTTGCCAGGAGCATGCATACAGTTTCAGGCGAATACCCGTGAGGTGGACTTCACTCTGAGGAGGACGTAAAGCAACTGCTCCGTATGTACGAGTAAGAAGCATCTCTGTTGGGTGCCTATCGAGTAGACTGATCTTCCGAGTAATAATAGTAAGATAGCGGATCTGGACAACCCCCTTGCGCTTCTACCATGTATGGGTGCTGTCCTCCCTACCTGGTACTGGAACAGATGGAGCGAGACTGCACGGTACTGTAGATGAGCTGGTGTGTGCTCCAGACCCTTGATCATTCCGGACTCTCAAATACTCCGTACCTTGAGTCTACCTACGAGTATATTGATTCTAACAGCGACCAATCTCGGTTCGCGATTCCTATGCTTGGTAAGTTGGAACGAGGGGCCTAATGGACCTGGCACGAGTACAGAGGGCCATGTAATCAACCAACTGGCAAATAATGAGGGGGTGGTTGTTGTTGTTGTCCACCCAGTATGTATTCTTTTCTATAGAGAGAGGGTCCTCTCATTTGAAGAGGATGAGTCTCCGTGCCAGCCTTCACTTGCGTCAATACGAGGTATTCGGGAGGTAAAAGGGGGGTTTAGACCACCGACTATCATGTCTTGATACTCATTCGCCAAACCGTCATCCTCATGGTTACCAGTAATCGCCCTGGATTCATGATGAACTACCCGAGTTCAAGGCCTCCTGCGACGCCACCAGGACCACCGGCGCCCAACACACAACAAGGATAGGATATGATTGAGCAGCCCGCGTACCTTGCAGCATCGGCCTCTTAGCCTGGACCTGAAACGCGCCATAACAAGACTTCACCAAACCGTGATGGGTCGAAAACGTTCCCACCTGCATTCAAGGCAGTCTTCCTCTGCAGCCGGCAAGACTGGTGGCTTTGTGGTTGAACCATCTAGAAATCGATCTACGAGTAACAATATGGCTGCTTGACGCAGCTCAAACCCGCAAGGCAGCATTGACCCCTGTCCTTGAGCCCGAAACATCAAGCAGCCGTTTTGCCCCAGTCGGTCTTCCACATTTGGAATGCCTTTGCTTGTAATTATGTTACGCCCCAACTAACGCCAGTCAACGGTCGAAGGCAAGCGAGGGTCAGGCCCATGTTCGCCAGTCGTACTTAGTGGCTATTGAGCTCAAAAACATGTCTCCTGAAGCTCGCGTCCTGCGAATGGCAAGGCAATCATGGACATTGGGACTTCTGGCCGGTCGCCGATTGAACACCCTCCTCTGCTCCATTACGCCGGACACAACGAAGCTCTCCATCCTCATTCGAGCCCGCTTTTGTATACTTGTCTCCCAGATTTCGGGTCTGCCATGCTCCTCGACCTGTCGATGCTCTTGGACTGTGTATCAGCATAATGCTGCTCTTCGAGATAGCCTTTGCGCTTGTCCACTTGCTCAGCTGCTGCCTCGCTGCCGATCAAGATATCCTCACCATCTTGAAGCAGCAGACCGGTATCTCGACATTTACGGGCTTTTTGGAGCAGCTGCCAGATCTAGTGGAGATTCTGAATCAAGGCACATTCTCTGGTACGGACACTACACTCGAAGCCTTGGATATCCAAAGACTGACAATACCAAGTGCTAATTCCGGACGATGACGCCTTTAGTGCGTTCACCGCGAAAAATCCAAGCACCACCAGTGACGAGGAGGCTCTTTTGGCCTTGTTACAATACCACATCGCAAATGGAACCCATCCCTCGGCCACGTTTGGCCTTCAGCCATTATTTGTGCCTACCCTTCTGAGCAACGCGAACTACACCAATGTCACAGGTGGTCAGGTGGTCGAGTTGGCCAGGTTCAACGACACTCCTACTATTGTCACTGGGGTCAAGGCCGAGTCTCGGTTTGTTGAGGCTGTAGGCACCTGCATATCTGAGACCATACACGGAGCCCGAGTTTGCTGACTAGTGAAGGATATCTTCTTTATCGGAGGGCTCATACACATTGTGGATTCCGTGTTGACCATTCCCATCTCCTTTCCCGCGACGATCACGAAAGCTGGATTGACCAACCTGGTTGCACTACTCAGCAAGGGCGGTTGGCTGACACCGAGCTCGCCCGCAGCTGATATTGTTAACGGCCTTCCTGACTTGACAATGTGAGCAACGAGTGGGGAGGACACACCCTAAGGGCATGTGCTGACCTTCCGTAGATTTGGACCCGATGATCCTCGCTTTGGGCCAACTTTTGATGGATTCGAGGGATTGTCCGCAGATGACCTTCTCAGCATTTTGAAGTACAGCATTGCTCAGGGTGAAGTCTACTACTCCTCAAAATTCAAGAACAATACGAAAATCATGACTCTGGATGAAATACCGTCGACAATGACGCAGACGATCAATGGATTTTTCATCGACGCGGCGCATATTACAACGACTGACTACCTCACCTCAAACGGAGTGCTCCAGGTCATTGATAGGTACTACTTACCCCAATCTAATAGTCTCAGAGCAATATGTCCTGACAAAGCCATTGACATAGCCCTCTGAACCCCAACGCCACCAATGCTCGACCAGCCCCCGTGCCTGTCGCTCCATCTGAGTCGGGATCAAAGGGGCTCAGTGCTGCCGCGGGAGCTGGCATTGGCATTGCTATTGCAGCGATAGTTCTCGGAGGAGCCCTGGTCATCGCGCTTTACTTGCGAACCAAACGTCGAAGAAGAGCACAAGGCCCACCCGGCCTGCGCGGAATCCATGACAGATTGGATGGCGAGTCACAGGAGCGAGTGTTGGATCGTTCCACCATGATGGATCCTCCGCCAACCTACGAGCTTGACACGAAATCAATAAATGGGGACCGCGATGGGAGAACGACCACCCACCACGTCCTGGAAGTCCACCACCCTCCCAAGCCGCCATCTCCCTTAGAGATCGATGGCACGGAGCGAAGTAGGATCAGTATTACGATCACGGGTAGTCCGCCTCGACATGTAGGTTTCCAGGCTCGCTTCAACTGAATTGAAGTTCATTAAAAAAAGTTGCGGGGCAGCCCATTGTATGGAATTGACTTAACGACCGGAGGCTACAGATGCGGTTGGAGGTATGTGTGTGCCCTACACGAGAGTTCTGTATTCGCTATCTGATCGCATGTATGATAAACTTTTCAAACCTTTCCATGCTGAGACGGGCTGGGAGGACCCAAAGGCTGAGGGTATCAGGACCATTGTAGAATCCGTTTGTATCATCACTAATGACACTTGAATTTTCTCTAAGCAAGTCTTTGGTACTCCATACTTCGTACAATCCATGCCAAACAATGCCTTTACTACCTACTGCGAGGAATGGAAGGAATTGAAGAATTGAATGCCTGGACCCGGTCGCTCCAGGGGCAGGGCCCAGGGGCTCGTACATACGAACTCCGAACTCGAGATGGTCGTGCCTCCCTTGCCGACGGTCTCGGAAGAAGGATATTCCGACGCATCATGACCAAGTTGAACCTCACTGCTCCTTGTCTAGCAATACAAAGAACATACTCGATACTGAGCACCATGAATTGACCACGGAGACGCTCTCTTGTGAGGCCTCCACTCGTGTAATCTCTTGCTGTCTATCCCCCTCCTCGTCCTTCCCTCTTGAATATGCAACCTCGACCCTAAGACACAGTCCGCCACGACCCATACCACCATGAAAGCCCTCCACTCCCTCTGGGCATTTCTTGCCTTGACTGCAATCACACACGCTGCCCACACGTCTAACTGGGCCGTCCTGGTAGCGACCTCTCGTTTTTGGTTCAACTACCGCCATCTCGCCAACACTTTGTCCCTGTACCGAACGGTCAAACGCCTCGGCATTCCCGATTCTCAAATCCTCCTCCTCCTTCCCGATGACATGGCCTGCAATCCACGCAACGCCTTCTCCGGCACCGTCTACTCCAATGCTGACCGCCGTATGGACCTCTATGGCGAAAACGTTGAGGTCGACTACCGTGGGTACGAAGTAACCGTCGAGAACTTCATCCGCCTCCTGACCGACCGCTGGGAAGAAGGCGTGCCCGCCAGTAAGAGATTGCAGACCGATGAAGGCAGTAATATCCTCATCTACATGACTGGTCATGGTGGAAGTGAGTTCCTCAAGTTCCAAGACAGCGAAGAGATCTCCAGCTGGGACCTGGCGGATGCTTTCTCACAGATGCGTGAGAAGAAGCGATACAACGAGATGCTCTTCATGATCGACACCTGTCAGGCCAACACCCTCTACAGACAATTCTACGCTCCAGGTGTCATTGCTACAGGGTCCTCCGAGGAAGACGAGAGTTCGTATTCACATCATGCAGACAACGACGTCGGGGTTGCGGTCATCGATCGCTGGACTTACTATGTGCTGGAATTCCTAGAGACTCAAGTTACCGGCCCAACATCCGACAAGACACTCGGCGATCTCTTTGATAGCTATGATGTTGGAAAGATCCACTCGAAGCCCGGCGTTCGCTGGGATCTGTTCCCCGGAGGAGAAGAAACCGGCAGAGGTCGCCGCGTCGTCGACTTCTTTGGAAATGTTCAAAGTGTGGAGGTCCAGGAAGGTGGCGTTAACAAGACTGGAATCGAACTCTTGAAAGATGATATCGAGGGTCTCAAGAGACTAGTGCAAGAGTATGAATCTTTTGCGAAGGTTCAAGAAGGTAATCAGACTCAGATGGCAGACGTCCTGTCCAGGAGGACGAGAGACGCGCAGTCGATTCGAGCTGCTCCCAAAAACCAACACCAAAAGACGGTCCGACAAGTCAAACTGTCTGCTGACACAACCACTCAGTGGGCTAGACAGGCCGCCGGAATTACCGTCCTCTCAAGCCTCGCAGCTCTCTGGTACTTTGCACCGAAGGTTTTGTGAGTCTTCCGCCCGATTGCATGCTGTGAAAAGCCGATGAAGACTTGAAGCCTCCCACCGTCTTAAGATGCCTGTTGCCTGGGTCACAATAAATGCGGAAATTAACCGATCGTCTACCAATCTCTTCGGGCAAAATAACTACGAGAAGAAGGCTCTATAGAAGACAACGTCTTTCTACTCGCGAGACCTTGCACCACCTTCGTTGTCCCATATGCTCGCTGCAGAAATTGGGATGAAAAGGCTGAACACATCACTGGCAACTCGTTGGGGATACCCATCTCCGCGATACACCATCCTTGACCCGTTTCCAGCGTCCAGCATTCAGCAGCCCCCAGAGATCCGACGCCGGTATCGTATGAGCTGGAACCAGGAGCTCCAGAATATGGACATCGCCGTCGACACCGTCACCTGCAATCCTGACTGAGCTTCTTACAAACGTCATCGCGCAACAGCGCAGCAGCAGAACGCATCTGAGTCGTCATCATGAGGCCGCCCATTTTGTCTTTGGTGGCTGGGTGAAGATGACCGTGAAATGCAAACAACCTTATAGCCGCACAGTCACGAATTTTCGAGGTTAGGGGACAGACTGAGCTCGTCGATGCAGCCGAGGCTGATAATTGAGAGCGCGTAGTCAAGTGTGATTTGGTATTGGGTGTGCCAGAACTATACAAATGCCTAGATACCCAACCACTCACTTGGGTATAGTTTTGCGTTCTCCGAGTCTGGATAGGTCCGAGGGCTACATACCTGTATGATATCTAATCTATGGCCCTTTATGGTGTGCCTGAGCTTGGGTTCCTCTGACTTCCAATTCCCTCTCCCAATCTCTAGACGACTCCCTTCCCTCTAGGCATAGTTGAAATTGTTACGACACAGCGGACAACTCGAGCTATTCGAGCTCTTGAACCATCGAAACAAACAAACACTATGGAAGGTATTCCTGCATGTGCCACACCGCTTGTTTGGCGTCTGCATGTCCGTGCCGATAATGCTGTAGCAGATGGCGCATTCACTCTGCCCCTTCAGCGCTCCTTGCACATTGCGCCGGAACGCAATCAAGCCCTCGATGATGCTCCCCGTGCTGAAGATGATGATCTGGAACGTCCGGAGCCACGATTGCCAGTTCTTCTCAGAGACGCCGACGCGTGTGCGGGAGGACACAGTCGGTGAGTCGAGAGGGTAGCTGCTAGGCAGAGAGATAGCTAGTGAGATTGGCGGTGATTCGGGGTCAACTGTGATTGAGGCTATTATTTCAGACCCGTTCGTGGATGACTTGACGACGATCGGGGCGTCGCTTTCCCCTTGAGGTTGGCTTGCTACCCATGCCGTGACTGTTGTGATCGCTGCTGAGGTTAGAAGGGACGAGAAGTATCTTTGCGTCCATCCTTCCAGAGGTGACTTGACGCGGTTTTTCTGGTCGATGAACCAGCTTCGCGTGAGACTGGGGAGGTAAAGAAGGCAGCAGTAGTAGAGATGTACCACAAGCAGCTGATCTTGCATCTTTTCTGTCTCTGCCGGATTCAACTCGAAGGTTCGGATGTTGAATTTCGACACATCCAACGGCCGGCCGCCGGTGATGCGACAAATATCACAAATGAGCGTGAGCAGCCCAGGTAGGATGTCATGTGCCTTGATATCAGTGCCGTATGCTTCTCGGAGCTTGTACGATGCTGTCGTGAAGTGGTCAAAGAGGAGGTGCCAACCGAGGAGGTAACTTTGCTGACTGGTGTTTGAGCTTGAGTTAGGAACTGACGCGTTCGGCACTGACGCGTTCGGCCCGTCGGTTAGTATATTCATCAGATCTGTTGGCAAGTGCACTGTCCTGTGATCCAAAGCAAGCTCTAATGAGATCGATTCCTGCTCTGGTGGTATCGACCGGTGCAAAAGGTCGTACGCTGCACCACGCACGGCGTCCTCGGTGGAGGTGATAAGCAGGTACAAGTTTGGATCATGGGAAGGAGAGATCTCCATGATATGTCTTCTGAGCAACTCAGCGGTTATTCGGCGGGGCTGATTGATGCCTGGAGTTGATTGCGAAAAGCTCTCTAGACATTGCTTGAGACCATCTTCCAACTGTGGCTTTTTCGATGTCCAGGCGTCGGAGATATCTTCGCTTGCATCTTCGAGGCTGGAGAGCGTTCTTAATCTCCCGTAAAGGCGTAAGCTTGCATGAAGGAGAGGGAGACTATTCTGGTCATTCTCATTCTGCCAGACTTCACACAGCCAGTCCAAGATCCGTTCCCAATGATCGCCATAGATCTCTGCCGTTGCTGATAGGACTGGACTGAGCAGTTTGGCCACCTCAGCTTTTAGGCCGAACGTACTTGCAGGACTATCAAGCAATCGAACCAATGCCTGCATCAGAAAGACCACTCGTTGATTCGGAATGACGTCCAAAGCATCAGAACTTCCAGCGAGTAGTGCATTCAAGAGCACCAGGCGTCTCATGATCAAAGCATGATCGTCGGAGCTCTTTAACTCTGTGCAGAGGACAATCAACTCATTCAGAAGTTTTCTGCCTTGCTGCGAGCCGATGACATATTCGTGAGTGGCCGAAAGAAGGCTCACAGATTTGACGAGGTCAGGAGATCGATGAATACGGGCAATGTCCTTCTCGAAGGACGCCAGCACTGATCTCTGGTCATGCCTAGCAATATATCGGGAGATGACATCTGCAAATGCGAGGCCATGTATATATGAACGGGGTTTAAAATCACTGGAAGAGCGAATAATGTCGGACCATATTCTAGCCATGGTCTCATTTTGTGACCAGACCTGGAGAAGGGTTGAGCCCTGAGAAAGTACGGCCGCGGCCTCATCTGCAACCTCCAAGGTAGTATTGTACCAGAGCTCATTTGCTGAATCAAGAGTCAATTTCTCATTCAGCAGCTGAATAGCAAGAGGAAAGTTGGCATAGAGTGCGTGCATTTGATCGCCGGATAGGTGTGTGCTGATGGTTGTCACTGACAATAGCTTGCTTACGTACAACGTAAGCCGAAACAGCAGGGAAAATTCATCGGCATCTTTACTGAGCGTCAAGGGTTGTATTTTCGAATCACGCTCGAGTAGGAAAACAAGACCTTGAAGGGGGCTTGTTATTGCCAGAGATAAATCTCTCGTTCCAGAGAGGTGTGGTTCAAGGGCAGCCGACCATTGTTCATTTGATGGGAGCAGTGACGAATACGTAGTGGGTACTCCTGGCTTCGCCTTCGCAAGTTCCTCTTGAGCTGAATCAACAAGAGCAAGTATGGGTAAATGAGTGCCGTGGCCCGATAATTGCTCTGCGATGAGTTCATTCGAAGATACAACAATTGATGAATCACCGACCGCAGGGAACGATTTGATTCTTGAGGCAAGCAAACCCGAGAGCTCGGCAACCTCCGCAACGTGTGAATCAGATAGTATTAATAGGCTCATAAGAAGGTTTTTACCGAGTGCCTCGGATAATGTTGGAAGAGAGACAACGGATGGGGTAAATAGACTTGACAAGAATTTGAGCACGGAATACTGCATCCTTGGATCCGTGTCCGAGCTCAATTGGCCCAGCAATTGCTCAAAGCAACAACGCGAGATAGCTGAGTTTTTAAGTTTGGAGTTTTGAAGAACAGCTTTGGTGATCACTTGAACCGGTCCCTCATCCAGGTTACGCGACACTTGCTGGGAAACAAATTGAGCGAGGTCACCATGTTGAGATAAGTCAGAGTCTGAGCCCTGGCTTAGAAGCCGTGCTAATGCATTCGCTTTGTAGCCGGTTAAGTCGGGACTGGTCAAGACGGAGATTGCTTGTGCAAGGTTGCTTCCACTTTGAAGCTCGATTGCAATGAGGTATTCAGCAGAGGGACTATCGAATAGGGTTTGAGCGTCCTCTACCAGAAACTCAGCCAAACTAGTACTCTCCGAAAGTTTAGTTTGGGCTGTGAGTGATTCTAAGAAGGCGGCAGCACCATATGGTTTGCCATTTCGAGCTTTGAGTGTCTGAGTCGCGATGACGAGAAGGGAGTCGTCAGTCTGTCTAAGAATTTCCATAACCTGCGATTGGATACTGTCGTCAGGGTGGCTATCTCGCAGTACAAAGGCCCGCAGCCGCAAGAAGCGTTGTGATTGTGCCACAACGGAATCTTGTGACTTTTTGAAATCAGCAGAAGACTCGGGAAGTGAAAGCTTCATGGCATCTGCAATCGCTTGGGCAATGCCGCTCCATGTTACCTGGAAAACTTCGACGAGTCCATGTAGAAGAGCTACTGAAAGAACTCTAGAAGACATTTTGAGACCAGAAGGACCTGGAAGAGCCCAGGTTGTATCGTCAGTATCTGGGGAGACATAATAAAGGACCAAGAGTAGGAGGTTGTCTTTGAAAAGAAGGTCTTTCGAGTCCACCTGGGACAATTGGCCAAGGAACCAGGAGGCAATATCCATGTAGGCGGTCCAAGCAATTTCCAAATTGTGTCGGGGTTCATCGCCGTTGCTCAAACTAGCTCGTAAGGACTCTAGTATCAATGTGGCATCTTGGACATTGACAGTTCCATTCTCAGAATTAGGCGAGAGAACTTGGGGGGGTAGTATCGGGAGAAGGAGAGCAGTATTGGCCCAGAACTTATCAGATCCATGTTGTGAACCGCCGCGTAGATACTGGTTTAATCTCTTAGTTGGAGTCGTCTTGCCTGAGTAATCGGAGGTCCACATCTGAGGTCTCACGCCTGTTAATGAGAATAATGCCTCTGAAAGTTGCGTTGTGGAACCCAACTGCGAAGTGTGCAGAGCCTTGCCAATGAAGGCTCCACTGATGACATTCCAATCCAAGTCAGAGGTGAATTTGCTGATAGAGAGCGTTACCAAGCTATATAACCCTTTCCTTAATGTGGATTCGTGATGATGAGCATAGTCCCACAGTTTCTTGTTACAGACCAACTGACGCAAGTTCTGTGGCGTCGGAGCTGCGTGATTAAGATTGGCCCTGATGGTTTGGGTGAGCATGTGCATGGCTGTGCTTACTACACGGACAAACTTGGTTTCGGCATCATCTAGGCTGGTTGAGCGTTCATCACTGAGGGTTTGAGCGGTTTGAGTCAAAATAGCATCTTCGGCATACTCGACAAGTGCATCCTTGTAGACTTTCCACAAAGCCCTCCTCTTTTCGTCAGTCGGGAAGGATATTGTAATGGATTCCTGAGCAGCCCGAGCCACTGCCTTATCACTGTCATATGCCGCCGAAAGCCATGATCCAATGACCCTGGGAAGGTGAGGAGCAATCCGTTTTCCGGAAGCGGCAGTCACAGAGCCTTGTAAGACATGGGCAAGTTGACGGACTCTCCGAGAATTGTCTATAGAGGTTCGAGGATATAAGCTAACCCAGGCCTCGAGCAGGCCTGGCTCGATGGCCGTAGAAGAGGAAATATGATCCTGTAACTCCTGGAGGGCTTTTGATTTGGTGGTGCTGTCCTTCTTGCCTAGGTTCCGCAGGGAAACGACTACGTTAGGGTCACTGATGGTACTGAGGTCAGGAAATTCGGCGATGTAGGAGAGAGAGGAGGGCGCAGTCTGGAAGGCATTGCCAAAGGAGGAGGAAGGCGAGGATGCGGCCCCGAACGCAAATGCAGAAGCAGCCCGGGCGCTGGAAGCCTGCGACTTGAACTTCTTGCTCATGCTGCTTGTCGGTGGCGGAGTGGACTGGATGGATGAGCCGACGAGAAGGAGGAGGAAAGGTGCAAAATCAATAATTTCGTCCAAGGCTTGAGATTGTGAGTCGAGTATTTGAAATGACGTAGTTTTGGGGTGGTGAGGCAGGCACGATGGCAAGGGTGAGCGCGGGACGCACGCGCAGGCAGGCAGCACACGCGTGCCTTCCACTTTAACTCCTCACAGAACCATCCGCTTTATTACGACTGCTATTTTCCCGGTTAATGCGACACAATACATCCCCAATTGTCCATCCACGGAATGATACTCTCCTATGTTATGTTGTTACTGACGATTCAGTCAGTTATCTAACTCCTCCGTCCCATGACTTTCACACTGCGCGGTCATTCAGGCTGTAGGTGTGGTTTGATGCTCCTGCTCGACCACAATGAAGTTTTTTATCGAGTATACTGTGTTTCACTCCCGTGTTCCCATGTTTCCAGGCTAACGCCTATCAGTGATCTCCCTATCCTCTTCCCCTATCCTCGCATCTACCCTGAACAGTATGCCTACATGTGCGATCTCAAAAAAACCCTTGATCGCGGGGGTCACTGCGTTCTGGAAATGCCATCGGGCACTGGCAAGACCGTTTCTTTGCTCTCTCTGATTGTTGCATATCAACAGCATTATCCTGAACATCGAAAACTTATCTATTGCTCCAGAACAATGTCCGAAATCGAGAAGGCCCTTGCTGAGTTGAGAGCTCTGATGATGTATCGATCCGACCAACTGGGCTTTGTCGAAGATTTCCGTGGCCTGGGCTTGACAAGTCGCAAGAATTTGTGCCTCCACCCATCCGTCAAACGAGAAAAGAGTGGTGCTGTCGTTGACGCCCGCTGCCGCAGTCTCACCGCTGGATTTGTAAAGGAGAAAAAAGAGCGGGGTGAGGATGTCGATGTTTGCATCTATCATGATAATCTCGATCTCCTCGAGCCTCATAACCTCATCCCTCCTGGTGTCTTCACACTCGATGGCCTGCTTCGCTATGGCGAAGAACACAAGCAGTGTCCCTATTTTTCCGCTAGAAGAATGATGCCATTTTGCAATGTCATAATCTACTCCTACCATTATCTGCTTGATCCCAAAATCGCCGAACGAGTATCTAAGGAGCTGTCAAAGGACTGTATAGTCGTCTTTGACGAAGCCCACAATATTGACAATGTCTGTATAGAGTCGCTTTCCATCGACTTGACCGAAGATTCTCTGCGCAAGGCTACTCGCGGCGCTAACAACCTAGAGCGTAAGATCGAGGAGATGAAAGCGTCAGACGAGGAGAAGCTTCAGAGTGAATACCAGAAGCTTGTCGAAGGACTACGAGAGGCAGACGAAGCTCGTGCCGAGGATGCCTTCATGGCCAATCCCACTTTGCCGGACGATTTGCTGAAAGAAGCTGTTCCAGGCAACATTCGTCGAGCGGAGCATTTCGTCGCGTTCCTCAAACGCTTCATCGAATATCTGAAGACACGGATGAAAGTCCTATACGTGATCCAGGAAACTCCTCCCTCCTTTCTGTCTCATCTCAAAGAGCTGACCTTTATTGAGAGAAAGCCTCTGCGCTTCTGTGCGGAGCGACTGACCTCGCTTGTCCGTACTCTGGAGCTCACAAATATTGAAGATTACCAGCCGCTTCAAGAAGTCGCCACTTTTGCCACCCTCGTTGCTACCTACGAGACGGGGTTTTTGTTAATCCTAGAGCCGTTCGAGACAGAACAAGCTACAGTGCCCAACCCTATTCTGCATTTTGCATGTCTCGACGCCTCCATTGCCATCAAGCCTGTCTTTGAACGTTTCTCATCCGTCATCATCACCTCCGGGACCATTTCTCCTCTTGAAATGTATCCAAAAATGCTTAACTTCAGCACGGTTACGCAGGAATCCTATCCCATGTCGCTTGCACGACGCTCATTCCTCCCCATGATTGTCACTAGGGGCTCGGATCAACAAGCCATCACCTCTGGCTTTCAATCCCGATCCGACCCCGGTGTCGTTCGAAACTACGGCGCTCTTCTCTTTGAGTTCGCCAAAATCACCCCCGACGGAATTGTTGTCTTCTTTCCCTCCTATCTCTACATGGAAATGATCATCAGTATGTGGCAAGGCATGGGAATCTTGGACCAAATTTGGACCTACAAGCTCCTTTTGGTCGAGACACCTGATGCCCAGGAAACTAGTCTTGCACTGGAGACCTATCGTACGGCCTGTGAAAATGGAAAGGGGGCTATTTTGCTTTGTGTCGCCCGTGGGAAGGTATCTGAAGGAATTGATTTTGACCATCACTTCGGGCGCACTGTCCTGTGTATGGGTGCACCATTCCAATATACTGAGTCACGGATCCTGAAGGCGAGGTTGGAATTCCTAAGAGAAAATTATCGCATCAAAGAGCAAGATTTCCTCTCCTTCGATGCGATGAGACATGCGGCTCAGTGTTTGGGGCGAGTCCTGAGAGGCAAAGATGATTATGGAATCATGGTGTTAGCTGACCGTCGATTCCAGAAGAAGCGCACGCAACTTCCACGCTGGATAGCCGAGGAGATTCTTGATGGACAAACGGGGTTGAGCACTGATGCTGCAGTTGGCATGGCAAAGAAGTTCTTGAGAAGTATCGCCCAACCTTTGAACGCCTCACAAAAAGCTCCCGATGGCTCCACAAAAGGAAAAGACAGCTGGGATCTTCGAGAACTCGAAAAGTTCCAGAAGAGCCAGAAAGACAATAGGGGAGAGGGTGACGTGGGAAGATCAGATGCCAGAATGCACGATTACATGCAAATGGAATTGAATGACGAATCCTTGCAAAATGGAACCAATGAACATAGAACAACCAACGATGAGTTCGACGACGGCCTTGCGGACGAGGATTTGCTCCAGGCTGAGTGTATGGATATTGAATAACCATACGACGAATAACAGGCGCAAAATCTTTCTCATGGCATGACCGAGAATTTTTCCTCTTTCAACCAGTGACTTTTCAATCTCGCAGTTAGAGATTGAACAGGCCAGCCTGTCCGCTTCTGGCTTTCTATCAAGCGATTCACGATCTCACGTCGATCATTATCATTCATCAACCTTTCGCAACCTATCAAATCAGCCCCTTACCCTAGTTGTCGAATCGGAGACCTACTGAAGCAAATCGGACCATATGAATTGACGAAAACAGCGTCGTTTTTCGAGGACAAGGCAAGCCCACAGATTATCCGCGCATGCCGGTCCAGCTCGATTGTTGAGATGTGGCTTCTGTCGAGCAACATCACAGCGACATGGTAGTATTGTAACGCAGCGACTATCGATGTCAGCTCTGTCGGTGGTGTCCTCCATTACCAACCCACCTTGGCAAACATGAATCATGAGAATCCTAGGGAACCCTTCATCTTGAGACGTCTCGTGATATGGTTCGAATGGTAGGCTTGAACGCCATTCACTCAATTCCTTGCGTAGGGTAACTCCATCGTCTTCTATGTCAAGAAATACCTTATTGATCACTCGGGCGAGAAGGAGGGTGATCTGACTTGCATAGTCGTCATCTCGATACACACCAATGCGAACACTGCCTATATTTGTCTTGAGGGGGTACCTATTGATCAGCGCAAATGTGATGTCTTCGCGGAGGTAGTTCCAGAGTCCCGCAAGCAGAAGTGGCTTGCTCGGTAGCGTTGAACTAAGGTCTGGAAGGAGAGAAAAGGCCCCAAACAAGTGACGATTAGGGTCATCCTCCTCTAATTGATCAGTAACAGAAACTTCTCTAGCCCTTACCTGGCCACTCCACTCACCAGCAAGGATTTCATAAGACCTTAACAAACACGTGGCAGCGAGGGCTGTTCCGTCCGACGTTTCCTGATCCGATTGCTGTAGTCTGATGAGGAGGCGTAAGCACCGAGCATGGTAGCTCTCTGCCAAACCTTTCAATGATGATTGGCCTGTTCGGCATTTGTGCATGGCAGAAAATGCGAGAACAGCGTTGAGGAGGAGATCACTATGCTGCGCCTCTCGACCAACAATTCTCGCAAAAGAGCAATCAAAATCATTCAAGTCATACCAGCAAGCCAAAACTTTGAGATAGTGTTCGAACAGCTGCGCTGTCTGGTCGCTTTGCAAAGTAACCCGAAGCTCTTCGTCCACCTCTGTAACGGTAACAGTGCCATTTATTTTATTTCTGTCACCCTTCTGACCACCAACATTCTTTTGGACACGAATTTTGAGCGGCCCTGTCTTGTCACACCACCGGCCTGATCGCTCACATCGTCCACATACTGGCGTGCCCTCGTCACCTTTTCGAGGACGGTCAACCAAGGAAGATTGGATCCCGAGAATACTCACATTTAAGCTTGCGAAGCCTGCATGTTCTACTACTGTGGATTCAGTGGGCGAGTCATGCCTAGCATCGAAGGATCCCATACCAAGCTAGAAATTGTCAGCAGTTAAAAGACAACGCGATGGCAGCGACCCTCACAATCCTTGCTCACTTTCTTGGCCATGAAGGAAATTTGAAACTGATCACGTTGGTGGAGGTTATCGTCTTGAGTCTATGCTGGTCGACCATTGGCTATGTCCGGCGGTCGTCGCATTGGGATGAAGCAAAATAGAGACAGATAGATCCCAGGTCCCCAAAAGCGGAGAACCCCAGATTTATTAAAATGACCAGGGATTGCCAAGCAAATGGTCCAAGCCTCATTTAATTCCGATCAAAGTCAGCTTCAATCGGTTACGACAAAGAAGAAATGCGGCCCCTCATCATCTACTGCGAATCATGAAATGCTTCTCTCTTGATAACATTCGGTATCGCACTAGCGGCCCTTTGTTTCGTGGAGGAACCGCGGCTCCTGTCTCAGATCCTGGGACGAAATACTCGCTCAGATGAAGCCTTCCACTATCTCCATAGAGCATATCTTCGGCAATCATTCTTACGGTGTCTGGTTGAAGTCATAGCTGTTTCCAAAGCCACGATCCAGATACTTGCTGAGGGCCTCGCTTTCACTAACCCAGTCTGATCGGATATCTAATTCCCTCAAATTTTGCAGCATCGGCCTGATCTCCTCGGCAAGCTCTAGTCTCATCTGATTGCGATACCATGGCGCAAAGTGTACTGTTATACATCAGCAGGAGTATAATAATCTCGAGAGGGCAGTTTACTCATTGCAAGCATCACCCTAATGTCGTTGGAAAAGTTTGGCATACCCGCGTGCCAAAGTCTCAGGTCACGGATAATGATGCTTCCTTTTGGTATGAAAGGTTGTGTTGGGGGCTTAATCTTCTTGCGTTCCTCCAAAAGTGACGGCTTAATTCTGCCACTCGCTCGCTCGCCATGGAGACCTTCCAGTGCCTTCACACTAGACGTACTGTGGGTGCCTAGCCACACTTCGGTCGATCCATTTTCAGGACTCATGTCGATAAGAGGTACATTCACCACCAGAGCAAAGGCATGATCCGGGTGTGCAAAGTCCGCGTCCGAATGGACAGGTTGCCTCTGAGGAATGGAGCCAGCTTCCAGAGGCATGGCTGAATTGCCAGAGCAAAAGGTCAGCTTCGGGCGAGGGCCTAATACTGCGGACGTTATTTGAGTTGCAATGGAATCTGCCGATCCTACATTAGATTCTTGCACGGAAGTTTGCATAAGTTGGAAACGAACTTGTGAAAATTTCTGGAAAGAAGAACTCTTTCACAGGCGGCGGGTCCTGCTGCAAGTTTCCTTTGTTGTAATTGAATGGGGAATTTTCACCCCTTGACCTCAACTCCATCGCATCTTGAACCATTTTCTGATTCAAAGTATCGAGAATACCATGCTCAATGATATCCTGTATGACAACAAGGCCATCCTTTCTGATATGCCTGACGGCTTTCTCGAGATTCTGGTCCCCCAGCTTGCCCGAGACCCGTTCATCAACATGGGTATGGATGGAAATAGGTTGCGCTCTCAAGCATGGGCAAGAAGAGAACCTTTGCACCAAAGGAGGGTTCAATTGATGGATGCCAGGTGTTTTGATCCAGTTGATGTGTTTAGTACCTTGAAGCAATCTGAAGATCGCTGCCATGATTGCAGTCATAAATGAACGTTAGTTTCCACATCATCGCCATTGCAGTTGGGACCAGCAAGATTTTGAGCATTTAAATACTTCCTTCACAATTGCATCAATCTCTACGAGTCTCAGCGGTGGCCGAGCGCCGGCCAAAATTTCCAGACTAGGATTAGCTTATCCCGCGATTCTGGAGGTAATTAATGAAAACAACCAGTGTGGAGGCTGGACAAAGCCAACAAGGGTGCCAGTGACCGTCAAATCCAAAAGTCATTATCACTAGTATACCAGAACCTCAAGCAGGAGCCGCTTACTTGTTGACAGCCAGGGAGCAGCCGAAGTCTCCAAATACAACTTTTGGGACTTTCGGTAGAATAGCATGAACAGAAGATACATAGTACTACTATTGGGTCAATACCGCTGTGTAAACTAAGCTTCCCTTTCAGCCCGTCGGAGAGACAACCTAGCCGTCGTCTGGCTCAATGGCTGGGCAGCGCAGGGGAGGCCAGGGGGGCTTGTGACCTGTTCCTCACTTCCTACGATGTGTAGACAGGGAGTAGACCTGGTGCACTATGGTAGGCTCGACAACACTGGTTAGACTTCCACTGAACTAAATCGGTGGTACGATGTGGAACATGCTAGGAGCCAATAGCATACAAAAGATAAACAGCAGTTTTGCGGCATTGCAGGAGAGATCCTCTCGCCTCCTCGGCGCTCGCCGAGGGGTGGACCTGTGCGTACCCAAAACACCGTAACGGAGAGCATTCTCCCTTCCTTTGACCGCTCCCATGACCGCTCCAAAATTCGCCTCGTTATGCTTAGAGGAATTCATTGTATTTCGGGCGGAGGGAATACTGGGTTGGATCGAGAGCTGAAATATGTGGAATTTGTTGCCATTTCATTCTTCCCCGACATAGATTCGACCGCAAGCGTTCCTACGCACATTTTATGTCAGAGTACCGTGGACATGTGTCGCGCGCTACAGTTCCGGAATCCTGCCCAGCCATTGACAAAGAACATCATGGCAGATGGCTCTTGACTGGCTATCAGGCTGGTGATGTCGTTCTGCACAATGCATATTCGGTGGGTGAGATTCGATACGAATGAACGAATAACATGAGCTATTTACGCAACTTGTAGATTCACTCCTCAACGATCAATCATGATCCCGAAAATAAGATTCGTCAGGGTACAGATCTGAGATCTGTCGGCAACTCACGACCTCGGGATACGCGGTGGTCTAAGCACTACTCATATGGGGATGGAGACTGATCCATGTGCCAATTTTGGGAATATCTAATACTCTGACAGAATGATGGATGGACAAAGGACATCGAATAGTATCTTCAGGTGCCCCATATAGTATCTTGTGCGCCGAACTCTCAGAAGTCATCCACAATAAGACCCAAATCCTTCTCTTTAGCCATGCGCAGCAGCTTGGATGCCATGAAAACATCCATGACCCCAAAACCAACGCATTTGAAAACAACAGTGCCCTTGTCCTCCAAGGTCACCAAATCCTTGTCTAGGTCTCCAATCTCAAGCAGTTGTTCCTCCTTGACGTTCGCCATGATCAACTCACCTGCTTCGGCAAGGCATCCCTCCTTCGTGTCAACGTAGATCCTATCACCTGACAGCAGTGTCGCCGCATCAATTTCCTGCATGTGCGGCTTGTAAGATCCTATCAACGAGATAAATCTCGGTGTCGTCGAGTCCAAGTAGGACGATGGGAAGTGCGGGACCACAGAAGGCGTGCAGCAGAAAATCACTCTGGCGTCCTTTAAGCGCGCCACTAGCAAGGCATCGTAGTCTGGTTCACCTTCTTTGGTAAGGACATCGAATTTCACTGTCGGATACTTGGTGCGAAGCTCCTCAAAGAGCTGCACCGTGCGACCCGGTCCCGACCTATTGACAACCGTAATGTGCGTAATATCGGCTAGGACGAGCGCGAGCTTGATGTGCCATTCGGCCTGTCTGCCTGCCCCGAAGACGATGATGTTCGCCTTGTCATTCGGATACAGGTTGAATGGTATCATGACCGCCAGCGAAGTGCGAAAAGCAGTTATTTCGGCAGCATTGAGGACTCCCTCGAGCTCGCCGTCGGGAGCAAATACATTTATTGAACCTTTCAGTAATCCCTTGGTCGGCACAGTCACGACTTTTATCCCTGTTGACGTTGTCACCGATGACGGCATGAACAGGGTAGTGTTTCCATTATTTGTCACGATGGAGACCCTCTCCGGTTGATGGATCAGCTGCTCCGAGGTCTGTTCATGCCGGCTATGGCTGTACTGTCTCAGCAAGTCGTGGAAGTCCAAGAGTAAATTGTGGGCGTCGGGCAGAGGCAGATTCGACAACAAAGACACAACATCCTTTTCTCTTAAGACTAGCATTTTCGAGGCGCTGACTTGTGGTTAAAACTTGGTAGAGGAGGCATTCGGGATGGGGATGTTTAAAATGGTTTAGTTCTATCCGATGGAGGAGGGAGCGAGTGAGGACTACGCAATATTAATTTCGGCTCGAGGGAGGCTCCCGGAGCAAGGTAAATAGGACTTCTCCGCATTTCGGAACCCACCTCCGACTGCCTGTGTTGTTTAGTGGCTTCTATGATCTGTCGCCGAGAAGTTGAAGTGCACTAGTCATCGACGAAGACGAGCAGAAGGATATACCAAGCAAGACGATGCTGGAAGGACACTTGCTCAAAGCACCCGCGATAATGTTTGGGAAGGCATCTATGACGACGCAAAAGCTAATCAGACGGTTCTCGTGACGTGAACTTATGTTTTCTGTGCGATAAATCTGAGGTAATCCAGCCCTACTGAAAAGAAACGATTCTTTTTCACATTGAATCACATAGCAGCCAGATATCTGGAGCACTGGTGCAGCTACATGGGTTTGTCGAATTGATCGATCGACCACGGGCGCCTATGCCACTGGCAAGTTCTTCCCCATACGATCAGTGGTGGTAAAACCGGTATCGATACCCCAAGCAATACTGTTGAACTCGACGTAGAGGCCATTGATCTGCTTCTTCTCACTGATCTCAAACAGATTGAATCCCTGGACAGGCAGCTGCTTGGTGCCGATGGCGGTGAAGCGCCACTGCCAGACAATGTTGTTGCCCGATGCGAGAATCTTGATGGTTTCAGCACCATTGAGTCCGGGAGCATTGAGCACGCCGTTGATGTAGGTTTGCTTGCCGGTTGTAGTTGTCGAGCCGAGCGGGAAGCCAGCGAGCATATTGATGGAATCAGACTTCTCGAAGAAGTTGTCGGCAATCAAGGCCTGGGCTGTGGCATTGGCAACCGAAACGTCGGAATGCGAGAGGATTGTGATGAACTTGGAAACGATGTCTGTAGCATCTCCCTGTGTCAGAGCGTTGTTCCAGTCGTTCCAGCCGCCTGGAAGGGCGAAGCCGGTCGAGACCAAGGTAAGATGTGCGAGAAGGCTGAGGAATTTCATCATGATTGGTTGGTTGATTTGATGCTGTGGGTGAGTGGGATTAAAAGGTAAACTTGCGTTAATGATAGTGTGTAATGATAGCTAACGAAGGACTTGAGTGAGGCAAAATGAGGGAATGGGACAAGACTTTGACTTGTTGAACTGAACAGGAGCTTTTCATTGTCAGTACCCGCCTCAAGTATTTGTACTTGCTGCGGAGCAGAGCAAAGAATCCTTTCGAACAATCAGCTGAACAAAGGATTGAACCAGAATGAGAGAATACGAGCGATGTTCAGGGGATGTGCTGGCTCATGGACCTGCACTTTCATCCATGTATCAAGTATCCGTCCGAAAATAACATTACGCTGCAAGGCATACGGGTCCAGGCAAGGCTGTACAGCATGGGGAATATTATATTTCTCGAGTTTGGATCGTTGGCCGCCTGGGCTTGTCGGACGGACTTGTTCTGGCCGTAGATATGGTGTCAACAATCCGGAAGCAGCCGACTTAGCGAGGTCAAAGGAAGAGATTAAAGGGGTGACTACACCTCGTCGAGGTCGTCGAACAAAGGGGAGGATCTCCATAAAGGTGGGATTATGATGGTACAGAAGCATATTGTTAGGCTGGCACCACCCTGCTGCCCTTCCCCCACAAAGCATCATCCCTGGCGTTTTTACGAGAGCCTAGATAGAGGGCATTCCACCCTTTCACCTTGCCCGCAGCAGGTGCCTGTCTATTAAAGTCAGAAAACATCCTGTCTAGGATTGGGAACAAAGAACTGTAGCACCAACACGGACGTAGAGTCAAGGAAATATTGGACGAGATTAAAACGAAGTAGCTAAATGTTCCACAAAATTATTAGAGATCGGGAGTCTGCTTATGCTGGCTCCTTCTCGACAAAATTTTGTTTCAAATGCCCAGGTGTCCGCCGTGATGTCGTGCGCGAGAATGTAGCTCGTACCACCTCACTATGTTCTGGAGAGAATGCTCGATAGCTTGTACCCCCCTGCATACCGTCAAATAGTACAATGCAAGTTAAAACTTTTATGGCATACGATCATTGATTGCAGGGTTCTAAACCGACACTACAGGGCAGGGGAGAAGGAGTTTTAATCCAGCTCGTTATGAGGGCGGAATTGTCCAACACGTTTGGTCATTGCAATCAGGACCGTGAGCGTTTCGCCAAGATCACAAAAAACTGACCGGGGCTGATTCAGCAGATCAGTGTGAGAACATGAGCTGCTGAGTAGGGCGAAAGCTCATTGCGGTTGCTGACAAGATTCTCGTGGGACGATGGGAAATTTTCAGCGAGTGAAATCAGGCGGCGCCAAGGCTATATGTTGATCGCAATCTGTACCGGCATAGTCAGTAGTATGAAAGTAAGATTTTTGAGAAGCACGTACAAGGTATCGTATATGGGGCGGAAGGATGTTTGAGATGATTCAGAGGAGAACATCTGTGTTTTTTCTCCACCGGCTGCAGCTTGGGATCAACCGAATCTCAACTGGTCCGCCAGGGCTCAGATCATCGTTGCAACGCGAAGAAAGTCTCCACTGGGAACCTTTCGCCTGGTAGCGGCTACCATCTGATCTTTGGTCTCGCCGAGGTCTCATATCGCAAGAGAGCGACACTACCGCCATGGGAGAAGTCAAAAAGGTGTCTGAGCCTCGCTGAATGAAGACTGCGTGTAGCTTGGGTTACAGGAAAGAGTTGACAACGGTAACACACGTGGTGTAGATCATGCACACAAGGCCGAGAATGATCAGTGCAATATCCCCGATCTTTGCCCACTTTGACTCTGCGACGCCTTTGTAATGCAGGAGTGGGGGATAAATATAGACGAGCGGTACGCAAGCAAATGAGCCAATCAACGCCACAAACCTATCCAAGTTGTTGGCTCCGAGGATGGAGACTAAAATGCAGAGAACCACCAGCAACGACCTAAATCCATTTTTCTTCCACTTTGTTAGGGCGTCCCTCTTTCCGGAGCGGCGGCCGAATATCTTGCCTTCTAAAATACGCACTGGTGGAAAAAGCTGGACCGGAGTACCCACCAATACGGCGAGCGAGTAAAGAAACTGTACTGCGTTGACGAGCTTGCTTTCTTGAGGGAAATTGGCAATGACCTCGATCTGGGTGGCTGATCCAAACGTGGCATAACATAGAGCTCCGACCGAAGTAAAGATGATGGTAATTATGAGCATGATTAACCAGAGAAGGGGCTCAAATTTGTCTGGCTCTTTCATCGATGATTGAATGGGGAGAATGAGCCCTATGCCTTCAAAAGTGAAGATCGCAGCTCCGATGGTCAATGTAAATTGGTCAGGATTAAAGAGCTGAATGCTGGGGTGAAGTCCTTGGCTAGAGATGGTTGCAATATCGTAGTAGTAGATGTAACCGAGCCCGAGAAGGATAAAGACGTCAGCTATTAGGGCACTGGGTCCTAATTTTGAGATATTTCGAATAAAAGCTAGTGGGATCAGGACCAAAAGTTGCAGTGCAATTAGGATATTCGTTGACACGGGACTGTGGCCATTCGAAACTGCCACCGTAAATGAATGAAGGTTTTGTGCCACAAACACAGTTCCTGCACACACAAATCCAAGCTGTGACACTGTGACAGAACCCAATATGACGCTTCTCATCTTCGGACCGCCGATGGCCTCCCCAAGCTCTCCATAACCCGACTTTCCATATAGTTTGCGGCATTTCAGAAGGAGATGGAAAGCAACAGTGGTGACAACCGAAACACTGAGCAGGGCCATAGAGGAGAAGAGAATACCACCATTATTGAAAGCCTTTGGGAGAAACATGATGCCAGTTCCAATGAAAGCCTTGAGCAGGGTAAAGAATGTCTTGACTCTACCAGCGTCCCCAGGTTTAGTGTGCCTCGTAGATCGCCGTCGTCCAAGAAGTGGTCGTCGTTCGCCTGCGGCTCTGCCGTCCGCTTCTTGGTCATCAATCGAGGACTCGTCTTCCGAGTCCTCTAGATCTTCACCAGCAAAACTCCCATAAAGGGACAGGAACTCGACGAAATTGCGAGTGACTGGAATGACTGCAGGATTGAAGCGGCCATATTTTTGTTGAACAAAACCTCGCCGGAAGCCTCCTGGCGCACGCTGCTCGGTCGCCGTCAGATCACTCTGGAGATCGGTCGACGAAGTGGTCGGGTGAGAGAAAGTGGCCGCTCGTTGATGCAGCTTGGCTCTGCTGTGAATCTTGTACAGATCCCTGTGCACGTCGCCACCCAGCAGTGTGAGTGAGGACTCGGGTTCCTGCCCTGTTCGATCAGCGATTGGATCATTGTTCTCGAGATCTCCATCGACCAAGCCAGCCGTATAACCAGAAGGAAGATGGTCTGAAATCACTCTGGCGGCATGCTCGTCGCTGTGTGGGTTTGGAGAATCGGCCATGATTTCTAGTAAGAGCGTGTCCTTAGGCTGAGAGCACGTCCTTTGTAGGCAAGGGCTATGTGACGGGAAAGACGACAAAACCTAGCCTGGCAGGCAGACCTGTCTACGAGCCTTCACAAGGAGGATCTCTAGGTAGTTGTTACCTGTGAGGGTGATGATTTGATAGGAGGCGGGCTTTTCAACCTTGAGGAGAAAGCTTTGGTTTTTTGAACGTCATGTTGTTGGATTTCGCCATTGGAGGGCAACCGAATTAGGAGACACAGGTTGTAATTAATTAAGGGCGGCTCGGTTGCTCCTTCCTTCTTGGCATGGGGTCGCTTCCCTTGTGGACAGATAGGGCGGAGTATTAGTGCACCCAGTGTAGCACGTGTTTTCCATCTTCGAGCCCAGGAACAGCCTGCAGTATGATTTACTACATACACTTCGTCAACTTCGACATGAATGATTTCTATGGTTAACGAGACAATGCTGTAACCATCCCGGCAATTGATCACATAGAATACCGTCTAGACCTCCGATATATTACGTTTCAAGAAGTGAATCGCCTCGAGACCACCCTGGATGTCTACCTCACGCAGCTACACGAGCAGAACTCGCACACGAGCAGAACTCGCACCTTAGCCAACTTTCCTCCAGCCGTCTTTCATATCTGGTGGTGAGAAGATTAGTGTCACCACATCGCCTGCTCGGTGGGAAAATGGCTATGATAAGAGGTGCGGCATAAATGTGCTGACTTGAAGGGAGGAAAATTGCATGGACTCTGCACTGGGCTGGCTCGTGGGAAAGAAGAAATTCCTATACTGGTGGCACCCAAGCACTTCCTCCAGTCTCACTGGCAATGACCTCCCGGCAAGTGGTGGCGCTTGGGCGAATGCTGCCGCGAAAGATCAAACGACTTTTGCTGGACGTTTTCAAGCAGAGGATGCCACGGGTATGACAGTGTCAGGCAGCTGACGTACGACCGACGAGACCACCGCTCAAGAGATGGATCCGTAGACTCTGTCGGTGTAGAGCGCAGACAGTTGCCGTCGAAGAGACCGACACTCGACCTGGCAAGTGGATAATGGCACTGAGAAATAATGGGAGCTGACCGCCTTTTAGATATTCATGTGGCAGCAACGGTGATTGGGGTGGTCGCGGGGTAGCCGTGACTGAGACGCGGCATGTAAGTTTATCCGACGCGGCAGGCGCCCCTTGTCCAATCAGGTATTAGGACCGCTCGAGGGCTGGTGCAACCTAAAAAGGCTTGGTCTTCTCACTCCCACGACTTACCGCCCACCCTGCCTGTACTTTCGTACCTGCGTTCTGACTCTGACTTTCCTACTCGGCGGAGTTGGCTTGCCTGGAGAATTTAGAGGTCTCGAACCTTTTTCAAGCCTACACCATAGACGATTGCTCCAAGGAGATGCGGTATACTCTCTCGTCTTATATCAAGCAGAGTTGTGATTCTGTGGGCGACTGTTGACCGGACCGCCTCTATTGAAGGTGATGATCAGCGGTCAGCAATCATGGTCTCAACTACAGGCTACCGCTTTGCAAGCACAAAATTCTTCTCGCTTAGGCCATTTGTTGAAGAACCTCCAGACCTAGCCGAGGAACGGGCAAAGAGCCCAGGGTCTCGATGGCATCTTCTTGTTCTGCTCGTTTTGTCTCTTGCCGGATTCACAACGCAACTCTTGGTTGCCCTGAACCACTCTCTGGCTTGGACTACGACTGCTTTCTGGATCATTGCCCTTCTGTACAGCGCTATACAGCGGCCTAGGACTGCCTCGACGTTGCTTCTCCTTATCTCTGTGGGAATTGTAATTGGGAATGTCGCTATCATTGCAGTCTGCTTTCAAAGCCGACTGTCAGGATCATACGTACTGCTTACTGCCTGTAGCGGTATATGTGCCCTTCTGTCCGCCACTACCGTTATCAACATGCCGTTACGCCCTGTGCAGATGAGTCGACATGGCATCAGTCGCCCTTTTACGGTCCCGACGAATGACTTGCGCTCACCTGAAGACAATATGACCCTCTTTCAGTGGATGACAGTGTCCTGGATGGCACCCTTGATCAAGATTGGAAACGCTCGGCAGATTAATGAGGAAGATGTGTGGCTTCTAGGCTACGAGTTCCAACATCGATATCTACATGATGCTTTTCGGGAGTTGAGGGGCTCTGTGGTCCAGCGCCTGTTGATTGCCAACTGGATCGATCTGGCATTATTGACTCTGCTTGCAATATTGGAATTGGCAGCAAATTTTGCGGCTCCGGTGATCTTGCAAAAGCTGCTGCAGGCTATGGAGCTTATTGCCACTGACAAGCGTCCAGCGATCACGTTTGCTGCTCTCATGCTTGCCGCAAGACTTGTTGCCGCACAGAGCTCGGTTTTCAGCCTCTGGTTTGGCCGAAGGTGCTATGAACGTTCTCGCGGCGAGATGATCACAATGCTCTATGAAAAGACTCTTAACAGGAAAATCGTTGGTAGCAAGCTAGAGCAACAGACCCTGGTTGTTGCAAACACTTCGACCACAGAGCCGGCCTCTGAGACTGATCCTCTCCTTGACCGAAATGTGATGCGAAAACCCAGCATGGGCGAAAAAGTGAGAAGATTCGCGAAATCACTCAAATTAAAGCTGATATCGCCTGTCACTCCGCATAGCAAGGAGGAAAAATCATCTGCATCCATGGGCAAGATCCTCAATCTCATGCGAAATGATGTTTATGAGGTAGCCCAGCGCTTTTGGGAGTTTCAAACTCTTATTAACAAACCTCTTGGTTTATGCTTCTCAATTTATCTGATATGGATGATGTTGGGATGGGCTTGCCTTGTCGGTGTCACAGTCGTGATTACAGCCCAGATCCTCAATTATCTCCTCGCCCGCATCCTTGTTGGTTGGGAGAAGAAGCGGCGGCGTGCGGTCGATGTCAAGCTTCAGAGAATATCTCAATATGTTGAAGCTATCCGACATCTAAGGTGGTATGGGTGGCACTTCAGCTGGCTTGAAAGCATTATGACTGCTCGGCAGCGAGAGCTGAATCTGAGGGTCGTGGTGTATCTTTGGAACACTGCTATCAAGTTTGTCAATTCTCTTGCAAGTGGAATGCTTCCTGTCGCAACATTCTATGCATACACCGCCATTGCCGGCCAAGAATTGAGGGTCGACGTTGCTTTCCCCGCTATACAGCTGTTTGCGATGTTACAGACAAATCTGCGCGAGATTCCTGCATTGATCACAGTGCTTCTAAATGCCTCCGTGGCAGTGGGTCGGATATCTGATTTCATTGCTGAGCCAGAGAAACCAAACGACTTCGCACAAGGATCTAGTATCGACGAAGAGAGACTGGAATTGCAAGACGCCTCGTTTTCATGGCCCGGGTTTGCTGCACTTTCACTCCACCAGATCAATCTCACGTTCCCTCGTGGTCTGACCGTAATATACGGCAAAGTCGCTGCTGGGAAAACCGCGCTATTGCAAGCTCTTCTTGGTGAACTAGATCTTCGTGCAGGAAACTTGATCAAGCCTCATACCGCCATTGGTTACTGTGCACAAACACCATGGCTGCAGAACATGACCATTCGAGAAAACATTGTCTTCATTTCTCCATACGACGATGCCCGGTACAAGCGAACACTGGAGGCATGTGCCCTTCTCCCGGATCTAGCCAATTTCAAGCACGGAGACCTAACCAGCATTGGCGAGAATGGAATCGGTCTCTCAGGTGGCCAGAAAGCCAGGGTTGCGCTTGCTCGTGCTGTTTATAGCCAGGCCCAGGTGTTACTTCTGGACGACCCTTTGAGCGCATTAGATCAACAAACGGCTGAATGGATCTCCACCAAGTGCATCGCAGGCCCCTTAATGGAGGATCGAACAGTGGTCCTTGTCACTCATCGGATCGACATTTGTCGTCACCACGCCCTGCAACTGGTCGAAATCTCTCATGGCTCGGCCATTGTACATCAAACTAGCGAGAATATTTCGAATCCTTCGTCTACAGCAGTGACTTTCGCTGATACTGAGCAGGAGACAGACCCTAGAATTGACGAGTCAACTGCTGTGCCCGACAAATTCATAGAAGAGGAACGCAGAGTTCATGGAGGCGTTCAACTTGCTGTGTATTGGCAGTATATCAAGGCCGGAAAGTTGAAATGGTGGTTCATGGTGATTCTGTCAGCTTCTCTCTGCCGTCTGCTTTATGTTGCTGAGAGTTGGTTCCTGAAAGAATGGGGTGAAGCATACAACCATATAAAGGAATACGCCATCCTGTTGCAACAAATAGCTTCAGAAGCCCATACACCAAGAAATCCCATTTCGAAGCTATTCGAGCGATTTCCAGACCCAGCAGCCGATGTCAATCCCTGGCTGATGGGGTTCTTGATCATCATTTTGTGTGAGACCGTTGGGCTCATACTTTCTGATTTGTTCATGCTTGTTGTCACCTACACTGCAGCCAAGCGCATGTTCCATGACATTATGGCTCGTATTAGCGGCGCTACATTTCGATTTTATGACACAACTCCTATTGGGCGGCTGATGAACCGCCTGACTTCCGACGTTGGTACCATCGATGGACCTATTGCGACCCAGATTCTGGTAGTAATATGGTACTCCATTTCCTGGGTCTCATCAATGATCGTTATTGCCAGTATCACGCCTGTCTTTTTGATATTTGCCATTTCTCTGACTCTTGTTTTTGTCCGAATCTTCCTTGAATTTCTACCTACCTCTCAAAGTCTACGACGCCTGGAAATGGTTTCACTGAGTCCTCTCATGGCGAATTTCGGAGCATTATTGAATGGGTTGATGACTGTAAGGGCATTCTGTGCCCAACATCAATTTCAGGAAAGAACAATCCAGGTTACCGATGCATTTCAAAAGATGGATCACTTTTACTGGAGTTTACAAGCATGGCTAATGTACCGATTCGATACACTGTCAGGGATTTCGACGTTTGTTCTCACCTTGCTGGCCATATTTTCGAATTTGACCCCTGGTCTCACGGCATTCGTGCTTGTAGCAGCCAACAAATTTGTTCAATATACTCATGCAATTTGCAAGCAATACGGACAGCTGCAGCTCGAGTTTGTGTCCGTTGAACGGGTAGTTGAACTGTTGCATATTGAACAGGAGCCGACCGGAACCATCCTTCCACCGGCATCATGGCCAACGTATGGCAGTGATGTCATTTTCGAGAACGTCAGTGTACGTTACCAACCTCAGATGGACCGTGCACTTTCTGATGTCTCTGTATGCTTTACTGGAGGAACCACGAATGCAATCACTGGTAGAACTGGTTCAGGCAAATCTACATTAGCGCTATCACTACTCGCGACGATTCCTCTGGAATCTGGCCGTATTCTCATTGATGGTATCGACATTAATAAGGTTGACAAGCAAGTACTTCGAAGTCGTATCACATTTCTTGCGCAAGAGCCGGTGCTATTTCCCGGTTCACTGCGTCACAACCTTGACCCAATGGAAGACTACTCTGATTTAGCATGCCTCGAAGTTATAGCAAGAGTTTGTGGCAAGTATGGATGGACACTTGGAACGCAAATTGACGAAGTTGGTCGCAATCTGAGTCAAGGACAAAGGCAACTGGTTGGTCTAGCTCGTGCTATTCTCAGACGTAGTGCAGTTGTCATTATGGATGAAGCTACCGCCAGCATTGACATGGAAACGTCTGCAGAGATTCAGCGCATTCTGAGAGAAGAGTTAAAGGGAAGTACAATCATTACTATCGCACATCGGGCGGCTGCGGTCGAGAATAATGAATTCTGCTTGGTCTTAAGTGAAGGGCGGGTCCTGCAGCAAGGGAAATCCACAGAGCTGAGATCTTGAAGTATTATTTTAAGCCACTGTGACTGAGCAAGACCTCTCTACCATGGGGGAAAAGGAGGACGAATCCCTCGGCCCCGGAACAGATCGGACAGTGAGCAGCATTGAAAGACACCGCGATTGGCTTGCATTAGGAGAGATAGAGTTGATTTTGACTCCTGAATCGGCAGTATTTATAAATATAGCGCTGGGGTTCCGGGTATTTGTTCTTCACCTTGAAAGGCTTCACATAGTTATAAGAAAATCCGCCTTAGACCAAAAGTTATTTGGAACGCTATGGCAGAAGAATTCTTGTCCATTGAGGTGTCGATGCGACAAAGGCAGTATGGTTCACATTTTATATCCGCAGAGATGAATCTTTGGCTTACTCCGGCAAAAGGCTAAAAGTTGTGTGATCACGCCACGCTCACCGGAATGTCGTTGTAGCGAATTCGACCCGAAATTATCCAGTCAAATCTGACAGGGATTTTCCATGGGAGCTTCTGATCGGGCTAAGTCCGCAACACAAGTAAAGATGTGGATACTAAGTGTTTGTGATTGCTTACTACTATCGCTGCTTACAGAATAGGCACACAATAGTGCTTGCTACCGAGCTGAGAAAAGACCGTTCTTTTCATTCTTATCAACTTCAATCTGCTGATTGATGCAGGCGGCTTACGCGCTAGTGGTGTGAAGCATGGGAGCGCTCTCCACACTGAACGCAGGTGATGCTTTGGCAGAAATCCGTTACAATTCTGCTGATATAAATTTAGCACCCCTATAATCATCATGATATTAATGTTCAATTCAGTACTTCTCACTCTTCTTGGAGCACGAATCTAATCAAACTCAACCTGAGATGGCCGCCGACAAAGTTCCTATCCTCACACAGACTGCTCTTGCAAGTGATGGATGGATAACATCTGCTGACTCGGATCTTGCTTCCGGAGCACAAGCACACTATCACGCCGATTTCTCTGAAAGCTTCCCTCTAATTAGTGGCGAGATGACAGTTTATACATCTACTGACCTGGATGAGCTAAATCTTGTTGCCCAAAAGTATCGAAGTCGGAATAAAGGCTGCTATTCCACCAAATATCCTTCACAGTTCATCATACCAAAAGAGCACACGAAAGTCAAAGCTGAATATTCAACTGGTAGTCTTGGATTCGAAAAGACATTTCTCATCATGAAAGGAATGCAGGATGATGGGATATACGAAGAATTCAGTTCATCGTAATCAGAAACGAGTGCTATTTTCTCTGCGATCCTGTGCGAACTTACGAACACCTTCTTCGTTGGGGAAGCAAAGGAGAAATTGGAAAGCTGATATACTGTCAAGGGAGCAGAAACGAAGTGAAGTAGCAGGAATTGATTGCCAGGTATGCGTCACACGAACAACACAAACCGGCCGCAGGAGTACGATAAATGGAAGCGATGAACGTACTTTCAATGAAGTGACAATTTATCAACGCTGCTCAGGAGATTATGCTTCTTCGTTCAGGGATCAATGGAAACTTGTTTCAGGACCTGCAATCATGCTAAATATATCCCTTGCTTTCTACTCCATTTTAGGCAAACTCCTCAGCAGCTCGACGTTTCACCCAAAACCATGCTTCACGTTTAGTGATTCATATAGGTTATCTTTTGCCAGTCACAACGCGCTCAAGCATTACAGATGCCTTTCATGGTATCCAGCTGGACCCGACGAAGACGTCAATCAAAGCTTTGAACGCAGTGATTTCGTGTGGGATGCATCTTCGGGTTTCCTGCCTATGACGAACTTGGTGATATGTGCGCTGAAGACCCCATAAGTCTGTGAATCTTCTTTGACCTGACTCACTAATTTCCTTGCTTCAATTCCTGCCTCGGCATCTCTTGCCTCGAGAATAGGCAGTAACTGTGCAATCAACGCATACCAGTGTTCGTGGAATGCTCTGAATACCATAGGCGGAGGTCTGATCTTATGGTCTTGCAATTCTTTGAGTCCAGCTTCGGTGAAGTATGTGGAAAGCTGAGCAAAGTGATTCTGTGGCCAACCAAATGTATCCATGATCAGCTGCCATATTCTTGTCGAAGAATTGTGAGTTTCGCGTGGATTTGGAACAAGATCTGGATCATCAACTGAATATACATGACCCTTGTCTGCATCCGCATAGTCATATTCGTCCCATTGCAGATACCCCCCTGGTTCTAAGTCTTGTCAGAAATCAATTCCTTGTTTCATATCGCTTTCAACATACTCAGCATTGTTACAAACTTTTCAAGGACCGGTCTCGGATCTTGAAAGCCTGCAAACGGTTGGATGAGGAGACGGACATGAATAAGGTCGAATACCCCTTTCCAATTTTCGGGGACCTCGTCAAAGAAGTTCCATTTCGAAATCAAAAGATTGGAAGGCCGTTCTGATGAAGGAGGTACAAGATTAAGATCAATATCGGATGCCTCCACCAAAGCTGATGGAAATTCCTGGGCCACTTGCATTGCCCACAAGCAGTGACCTGTCGCGAATTCGGCAATACGGAGGCCTTTCTTGTCTTCTAGTTGTATGGACGGATGTATGTTGCCATTGTAGAGTTCCCTCCAGAGGAAATGTTGATAGCACAGTCTGCTTGCGTCCGGAGCTGTCCTCCAAATGGCGTACTCGTCATCAGACATGCTTGACAAATGCGGAGTCTGGGCAAAGGTTGTTGAGAACTCGTCCACAATTGACTTATGTGGCAGAAGCAAACTCAAGATTATGGGTTCTGGTACTACATTTTATGTCGAACTGGTTTGCCGCTCAGCCGGATCGACATGTTGTGGCAGTGAGAGCATCAAATACTGCATTCGCCAGTGGTTATCCAATAACATTGCCGACTTGCCTTCGAAGTTTGAAGAACTACTCGAACGGTGCCTCCGATTATTGCGGCTGAGATGATAATGCTGTTGACATAACACAGGTGCGACCAAGGATCGACTTCCACTATGAAGAACTCTCCAACTGGGGCGACTCCGGCGGTCTAAAATGTTTTGACAACATTGTTGACATAAAAAGCCCATGCAAGCACTAAGTGTTGCCTAGCGCTGCAAAAATTGTTGCCAAAAAGTTTTGGTCTGGTTGATCTACCTCCAATAAAAAATGTAACCATGGTTCTTGACCTTGTCATTCCGTCTATCAGCTACTTCTCTTCAGCTACTTCTCTTCAGCGCCATTCATCTTATTTCAAGCTGAACTTGCGTCAAGTTGATTGATGATGAGAGAGATGACTTACAATAGGTCGAACAATTATCGTTTGACTCTGTTTGCAGAAATGTGGTATCGTTCGAATTTCAAGGCTCAAATGGAATATTTAGATCGACGGTGCTCTATGCAAAGCGGTGACTGCAAAGATTGTTCACAGCTTCAAGCTTCTACCATCCACTACTTGCAAACATGAGCTTGGAGTCGAAATTCCCAACCACAGATACAAGAATTGAGGACGGAAACATTGGGCGCCTTGCGGAGCCAACTCTCCACCAAATTTGCTGTGCGAGGCCAATTAGCAACTGATATGTTTGTGGAGTGGTTGCTTTTTGGGACCAGAGTGTTGATTACACCATGTAGATATGGGGATTCTCTGGTAGAGGTCAATTCAGAAGCTGAGACAAAGCTGCGGAGAAAGATTGATTGGCATATTATTCCAATCGTCTCATTCCTCTACTTGTTTTGCTTTATCGATAGGGCAAATATTGGTAAACAATCTCAATAACCCGTCTTTCTACTACTTATATGTAGCACAGGAAATGCCAGGCTAGCAGGTCTTGAAAGGGACCTGGGTTTGGACGGATTCGACTATAACCAGGTCCTATCGGCATTTTATGTCGGTTACATTATATTCGAACTTCCTTCAGCTTTTGCATGCAAATTACTTGGCCCTGGATGGTATATTCCGTCTATAACGATCGGCTTTGGCATATTCTCCATTGTCACAGGGTTTTGCACAAATATTCATAATATCTCTGCGGTAAGGTTTCTTCATGGGGTATGTGAAGCTGGGATGCTTCCAGGCATCGCATACTAACTTTCCCGTTGCTATCGGCATAAAGAACTTGCTCTGCGACTTGCGTTGTATATTGTAATGGCACTATTAGCTGGAGCATTTGGAGGCCTACTGGCATCAGGGATTTTAAAGCTTGATCATTTCAGTAGCTTGCGGACGTGGCGAATGATCTTCGCTATCGAGGGAATCATAACATGTGGCCTTGGCTTGATAGCCTTATGTATCCTACCAGATCGACCGGAAAGTGCAAGACGGTTGTCCACCTCCGAAAAGGACCTATCAATTATACGAATAAAATCAGAACGACCTGGAACAACAGAGGTCATCGACAAATTCAATACTACCAAAATCACCAAGGGGCTATCCCGCAACTTTGGCCACTTCCATTGTCTTTCTGCTTAGCAACATTACATCCCAGGGGCTATTATTCTTCACACCAACGATTGTTAGCAGCATTTACCCGGGACGAAGCGTTGTCTCTAACCAGCTATACTCCGTACCACCATATATCATTGGGGCTTTCTTCAGCCTACTGATTGCTTACCTCAGCCGAAGAACAGGCCGTTATTTGGTCCTGTATATTTGTGTGATGCCTTTACTGATGTGCGGGTTTAGCTTTTTTTTAGCATCACCAAACCCAACAGTTCGCTATGTAGCGACTTTTCTTGCAGCGAGTGCAGCATTTTGCTTTGTTGTGCTGGGAAATGCTCTGATATCGGCAAATGTGATCTCTGATACATCCCGATCTGCTGGTATTGGATTGAACTCCATGTGCAGCAACATTGGAGGACTGATTTCGACATGGTCATATCTACCATTTGACAAACCGGACTTTAAAATCGGCAACGGAGTTAACCTTGGAGCAAGCTCAGCTAGGTTGATTATTTGTTCTCTTCTCTGGGTGTGGATGATTTAGGACAACAAACAACGATCGAGGAAGGATGTAGAAACTGAAATTAGGAGCTTGTCCACTCGAGAGATTCAAATTTAGACTGGAAACACCCTGCGTTCGGCTACTACAAGTATTGGCGATCTAGCAACATTAACAAGTGAGTCCGAAAGTCTGACTTCCAACATATATATTGACCTCAAGAGTTTAGGCAGGTAGCCACAGTTCCAGGTCGTTGGACCAGTAGTTCTTTTTGTGTGCAGAGGAGGGAGTGGGAGACGATGTAGAGAGTGGCTTTTGGCAACCCTGAAGAGTAAAGCTCCTGATATAATGCTGCTTGCCTTTCCCGGACCTACCAGGCTGCGAAGCCTAAAATTTGGGTGCATGCGTCTGATCCCCTGGTTCCAACGTCAATGCAACGCTGATTATAAAGCCCAAGAAGAGTTAATGTAGTGAAATACTATAAGTTGCTAGGGTACAGTACAGTCTCGAGACGACCAAACTCCTCCTTGAGGGTCCGAGGAGAGAGGAATCGTCTCAAGGAGTCTGCACTTCCAGCCTTGTCATTAGTACCACTGCCTCTGGCGCCACCGAACGACTGCTGACCGATAACTGCTCCAGTAGTCTTGCAATTTGTGTAAAAGTTACCAGCCGAATATCGGAGCATTTCCTCCGCCTTTTCAATAGCTTTAGTATCACTGGCAAAGATGGCACCCGTAAGAGCGAAATTGCCACCCTGTTGGTCGATTTTTTCGAGCAAAGTATCAAAACCAGCATCTTCGTAGATGTAGACAACTAGAACCGGACCGAACAACTCCTGGTCAAAAAGATAGTGGTCCAGGGTATTTGACACATATACGGTAGGTTCGATGTAATAACCTTTACTGTTGTCGTAGTTGCCACCATTTATGAGTTCTAGCCGACTGTCTTGGTTTGCAGTTTCTATAACGCTAGTAATCCGGTCATATGCAGGTTTGTTAATGACAGGCCCCAAGAAGTTACCAAAGTCTTCGGGATCACCCATTTTGATATCCTTGAGGTGGCCCTTTAGTTCATTAAGAAACTCTGAAGCTCGACTTTTTGGTAGGTAGACCCGTGAGCACGCCGAGCATTTTTGTCCAGAATATTCAAAAGATGCCCGCATTGTATGCTTTACGGCATTGCTGATGTCGGCCGACGAGTGTACCAAATGAAAATTCTTGCCAGATGTCTCGGCCACCATACGAGGGAAATCCCTGTACCTTTTTTCGATGACACCCTCTGCGGCCTTGTGATAGAGGCTTCGAAAAATGTCGGAGGAACCTGTGAAGTTGAGAGCTGCGAATTGGGGGTGGTCAAACACGACCCTTGTGATCATCTCGGCATCTCCATTAACAAATTGGACAACATCAGGTGGTAGGCCAGCCTCCAAAAGGATCTGGTAGACAAGGTGACTAGCATAAAATGAGGCAGGAGAAGGTTTCCAGAGCACGACATTCCCCAAGAGCGCAGGTCCAGATACTAGATTTCCACCAATTGCGGTGAAATTGAATGGCGAGACCGCATATACGAAGCCTTCAAGAGGGCGCCAATCTGTCCGACCAGCATGTCCTGGAGCATTGAGAGTGGGTTGCCGATCGTATATATCTTGAGCAAAAGATACGTTGAAGCGGAAGAAGTCGGCAAGTTCTGCAGCGGCATCGATCTCTGCTTGCCATGCATTTTTGCCCTGACCTAGCATTGTAGCTGCCATGATCTCGAAGCGATATTTACTGGATACGAGTTCGGCAGCCCGAAGAAAGACAGCAGCTCTGTCGAAGAAAGGGGTAGCGGCCCATTCCACCTTTGCTTTCATAGCAGCTTCGATTGCGGCGGAAACATCCTGTTGAGTTGCAGGCTGATACTTGGCCAGCACGCTCGCGTGATCGGCAGGCATATGCTGCGACAACTCAACACTGCCCTGGCTGGTGACTTGCTGTCCATTTCGAATGAAAGGCACTGAGATGGGGACTTTTGACCGAAGATCTTTCAGTGCTTCTTCCAACTTCTTCCTTTCCGGAGATGTCCTGGCATAGTGAAGCTGTGCGACTTAGCGATTTCGGCCAGTATCTGGGTTTCTGACTTACATTTTCCTCGTTAAAAGGTTTTGGTGTTCTGTGGGACCCTGCTGTCGCTATTGACCTTGATGGTACTGTGTTTGGTCCTGGTATCTTTCGTTGCTTGAGATAGGTGCAGCTAATTATTTGTCTTTGCGTTCTTGCCCTTACTTGTTGCATTGCAATTGAGTAGTTGGTGGACATCTAAAACGGACAAAGAGTCTTCAGACCTCACTGCTCTAGTAGGAAGTTCCAGTTTTGCAATCGTGTTAACCAGATATTCTAACAGAATTACAGATTTGTGCAGGTACTGAAGCCACCTTGAAAGGCGTCTGGGCTCATTTCCCGTGCTGTGGGATCAATCGGTAGCACAGCCGAGAGCCGCGGAGAGTGGCGACGTCCAACATCGGAATTGGAGCCGTAGTCTTCCCAAAAGACTGCGCCAAGCTCGGGGATCGGCACTGTTTGAGATATCGAGACCACACACCTCTGTCGGGCGATCTGTTGTTCTTCTGCACATGGATCAAGGCTGATTGAGATTATATTTGGCACAGAATTGAATATTGGAAGATGAGTAACGTAAGCAGCGAATTTAGCTTGAAATTGGGTGTGATAGGGTGTGGTAAGATAGCTTCATGTAATCGCTCACGTTGCTCTAAGGCTTAACTAATGTATTGTTCAGGAAGCCTGGGCACTGCAATTCTTCGTGGATTACTTACTGCGAATAACGCAAACCTGACGCCAGCTGAGGTTCGAGCATCTGTTGTCTCCAAAGCGTCTGCCGTTGCTCTGCGCGAAACATTACGCAGCATATCGGAAAAAGTGGCAGTCAATGTCTACCAGGGTCAGAATGTTACTGTTGCGCAGGAATCCAACATTATTATTCTCGCGTGTCCCCCACAATTCATGACCACGACCCTGGGAGAGGGTGGCATGCAGGATGCACTTCGGGGGAAGCTATTGATTAGTGTACTTGCGGGAGTCACAACGCAAAGTATCCATGAGGCCATCTCTAGAGGCAGATCGTCATCAGCAATGGAATACTACGTGGCCAGAGCATTACCTAACCTTGCTGTCGCGCAACATGCTTCTGCGACTGCCATTGAAATTGTTGACCCTGAGCTTCCTGCTGATAAAGGAGACATGGTGTCTGCAGTCTTCCTACAGCTTGGCAGAATTATGTACCTGCCAGCCTCCCTCATGGATGCAGCCACCGTAATGTGTGGTTCTACACCAGCTTTCATTGCCATCTTCCTCGACGGTATAATTGACGGTGCGGTGGCCGCTGGTGTTCCGCGGAACAAAGCTGATGTTATGGTTTCTCAAGTCCTAGCCAGTACAGCTGCCCTGATGCAGAATGGACAACGCGCCTCATCATTGAGAGAGTCTGTCTGTGCCATGCCCGGATGTACAATCCAAGCCAGCATAGTCCTCGAACAGGGTGGGGTTAGAGGCACCGCTGCAACGGCTATGAAGGCAGCCATCACAGCCGCCGGAAAACTTGGGTGAAGAGAGATCTCTGAATTTTGTATACATCATGGAGAGAAAAGGCCAATCGGTGCCTGTGGGATGATGTTAAAGTACAACATCGGCCTTGCAACTCATGCTTCCTATAGAAAAAGATCTGCGCATAGAGGAAAAAGTGAATCTTTGAAAGACCAAGCAAGGCACAAGCATCGCGTTACTTTCAGCACTGATGGTCATTTCATTACACGTGCTTACGTGATAAGGTCAATCTCTCCCACAATTCCTTTTTCAATCGAGGTATACCTTCCTTCATTCTCGCCGCAGCACCTCGATTCTCCACCAACCGTCGAAAGAGATACTGCATGCATTCTTGAATTGAACCCCAGGTTAAACACTTGTATACCTTGGGCACGAAGACTTTCTGCCCAGTGGCTTTGTTTTGGTTGATAGCATTCTCTCCTCTTTGTATGAGCTCACATCCGATATCGTCTGCCATTCCTTGAAGCTGCGCAAACTCCACTTGAACTTTGAGCTTTGATTCTTTCATTAGATCGTCCGCCAATCTCGCCGCTCCGCGAATGGTTTGCGTATTATGACCAGCACATAGGAGATCATACTTCAAGTCTGGATTAGACTCAAACACAGTGAAGCCAGTTCCTCGGAGTAAGTCTTCAACAATGCCATTGTAGCAGTCATCTGTTTCTGCTTTGGTGTCATGAATATTCTCTCTTGCATCAATCGCAATGTAGGCTCCACGAACGAGCTTAATCGCCGACTTCCAGCCTTCATCTGCCGCAATCTGCATTTGACGTTGGGTTTTTTGTCTGGCCGACTTAAGATAAGCCTGAATGGTGTTATACACAAGTGGCTTCTCGCCTCGATTATACTTTCTCATTAGATCGAACGTCCAACGATCAATAGATGGTTGGAAGACTTGCTGCTCGGAATCAATCCAAATCCGGCATCCTCTGGAAGCAGCTTTCTCACAGATCTCGTCCATGGCTCGAACCCAGACTTCAGGAGCAGATTCGTCATTCATTAACGCCTGAGTAATTTGTAGGCCAGCTCCCGTGAGTTTGACGCCTAACCAGTCGCCCTCCTGAGTCATATCTAAAGTACTCAAGTTCCCTTCCTTCCATTGCTCTACCTCAACCTCCACGGCTGATGCCTTACCGCTGTATCCATGGAATCCACTTTCCGTACTGAACTGAACTTCCTTCCCATAGCAAAGAACAGCCCCAGAGAAGCCTAGCTGTTTAATAGCTTTAGATGTATTTTGAATTTCTCTCTCATTTCTGCCGGCACAAAATTGATCATAGATGACAGGTCGGATAACCGCACGTAGGATTGGGTTTTTATCTGGATTGAGGAAAACCGTGTTTGAGTGAGCAATTCTTGAGAATATGGCTAACCCTGGGTTAAACAGCAATGGCGAGGTAAAAAAGATGCTGAGCAAAAGGCTTCGAATGACGCTTGATACTGGTAAGCGAGCAAGCGGAGAGTAAGGTAGTTCTGTGGCCTTCACTGACACTTCAGCAGTATCTGTCAATCCTTTTTCAGCCTTGATAGCCCAGTTACTCTGGTAGGATGCTTGTGGTCTATTCCCAATGAAGATCCGCTGGAAATTATTCGTTGTAGTCCCACAGCGACGTGGTAGGAAATATGTGACTGCTCTGCGCTCCATTATGCACTGCTAATCCGTTGCAACCAAGATGTTGATGTAAGGCCAGTAGTTATAACAATACGAACATCTATCATGCATATACTACAAGTATTCAAGAGTGATGCAGGATCAATAGTGCCATGCGGGAAACCACAAGGATGCTACCCGTATACGGGGGCCTGTTGGCTAAGCTACGGTTTCAACGCGGTTCAGTCAAAAATCAGGTGCACGATGACACGGGGATAGACGAGCTGAAAATAGTCAGAAGACCCGAGTCCCGATTCAAAAACTTGTTGCGTTTTGACAGATGGACCCCATTGATCTTGGACATGGCGGATCGGTTGCCGCTGGAGTTCGGTAAGCCGATGCACCAGTGCCCTACCGAAGCGAATTTTGGTTTTGCTAAGGGACGTCACAAAGGAAGTACGATTCAAATCACTACAGCTTACATTACAGCTTACATTACAGCTCACATTATAGCTGACATTCTCAGAACAATGCAACTATTGGCAAGTCGAGTGGTTAGACCGGTCTGGTCGTGGGAGATTGAGTATTCCTAGTGAACTCATCACCTAGATCTACAGGGCTCCTAAGCCTATTCACAACTCTCTAGGTCGCAGAGCCTGTAGTTATGTCCTCGATGCCGTCAAGATCTAAACCTTCCACCACTGTCATCAATTGGTCAGCGGTGAAAGTAGTTGGCCACATAGTATCATCGAAAAAATTGTAGCCAAAGTTCGGACCAGCTATACTTGCGTCTTCGTTTGTACTTCCAAATAGAGTATTTACCTGCTGCTCTGCGTTTACACCGCGGTCATCATGATCCAGACTGTTCATGGTCTGGTCCGTAAAGTTGGGTGATTGGCGAAAGATTTGTTGCAACTGCTGCATTTCATTTTTCCGGGCAACGGCTTGAAGGTGTCCTTGCCGTGTGAGTTCATCTAGAACGCCGTATACCATGTCAAGCCACGGCTGAGGAGTTACAAGCAGCTCTGCGCCCACAAAAGGCGCTAGAAGCAACGTCATGCCACCTGTAAATGCAGCCTCAAGATCAAATGGCATGAAGCTTTCTGGACTATGTCAGGATATAAGTAACCAGGAGGAACATTACACACCGAGAAGGCTTTGCGCTTTCAATCTCTCAAGAACGGCTACAATGTGCTGAGCGGACTCAATTCCCATATGTAACAAGGCTCTTGTGCTACCAGATGGGGAAATTAGATTTTGTACGTCATCGGCTCTATCGAGCCTTTTCTTCAGTAGGCTGAACAACAACGGTCGGATGGCGAGAACAACACACTACTATATCAGCTCTGTGTCCAGCACTGAGCAGTTAGTGTGGTACTGGATCTTACCTGATGATGTAAGAGGTGCAAATGAGCTGATAAGCGTGAGATCCCTGCAACGGCTCCTGTGGCAGGAAGATCAAACGAGCTTTTCAGTTGACTAGTCACTTCGGCAGTGGCCTTCAGAGCGTTCTTGGTGCTATGAATGAACTTCTTGTTCAAGCGTCCTTCCGTACCGTATACAGCTATGAATAAGGTTAGTCATATCAAGAAAAGGTGTTCAAACTTACTGTTCATGATCTGGGATAATATACCCGAGAGCTTAACATTTAATTCCAATGCCAGACTTTTTTGTGATGACGTGGATGAAGTCGGAAATGAGGCGCTGATATCGTCATCTTTCAGCCCTACCGGTACTCCCATTAATGTTGACATCTGCCTATCAAGGATGTAGACTGTCCACCACACATTACGGCATCTTTGAACATACTCCTGGTCCAGGCCATCGTCCTGCATATTTGTATGCATTCCTTCTGCAAGCGCTATCCTTAGGGCTTCGCCAATCTACAGCATATTTCAGACATTGCAGGGATGACTGAGGGATAGAAGACATACCACAGTATAAGCCGCTGACCGAAAATCTAGACATTGAAGGTAAAGCGCCTTGCAGCAGAGTACTTCAACGGCTTGAACGGGTTGTGTAAGAAGAAAAGTGACCTCCGGCATTATTTTCATTGCGTGGACGAAGTATTCTGCCCCACGAGGCCTTCGATCATCATTTTGGCGAGAGACGAATACTTTACCAAAGGCAAGTAGTATGAGGTAGTGGACGTACCAAAGTCCCGCGGACTTTGGTACGTTACCTGTTTCTTCACTGAACTCAGTGAACTTCAGCATGAAAGTCCGTTCATCAAACAGATGAAACATTTGACCACTGTAAAATTTCACAGCGTTGATCAAGTAAAGAGCATGGTCCATCGAAGGAAGTAGCGGCTCTTCTGAAATTGAATCATCTTTCAAACCATCCCAGCCTAGATCGTACATTGTACCGTCAAAGGATGTACTCTGCTTAGGGGCAGGCTGACCAGTGAGTCGATCATAAGCCATGCTGAGAACTTGGTGTGTGAATGCCCAGTTTGAAGAAGTACCGAGATACCCTAGGAAGCATAAATTTTTGATCAATGTAGGTGATAGGGTTGGTAAAACGTACAAGGGCGGCCGGTGCTGTCGGCGACATAGCGCGGCGCATCGCTGGAGAATGGGTTGGTCAATTGTGCTGATGGAGTTGCACGTCCAGAGTCTGAAGCAACTCGCAGATTGGTATCATCCTGGAGAACTTGATCCGTTTGAGAAGATATCTGTTGATTATCTTGCCCATGGCGCTCTAGATGAATGGCTCGAGGAAGTGAGAATATTGTTTGGATAAGGCGTAAGACTTACGAGAGACCAGGCAAGCATCTCCAAGAGTAATGCGCTCAATAATATTCCCCGAACATGATGGCAACGTATTGGGCTCTGGAGCTACATATCCCTTTGCTCGCTTTTCCAGTTCGCTGATAAATCTAGAGAATGTGAAGGTAAATTATCAGTACTTCCCGTGGTGTAAGGAGGCCTACCTTCTAGACACCAGGACCTTTTGCGCCTCGTCCTCAAAATAACATAGCAGGTTCCTCTTGGTACATTGTTGACATGGATGGCGACCCGAGCAGCGGATCTTTTGCTGTCGACAGCGAGTACATCTTGATTCTCACTATTAGCCGTCGGTCACATTAGCCTTTCATGTAAGCAACGCACGCATTCGCCACACGCTTCCGCACACCACTTCCTCGGTGATCCGTAGACTGCGGGGCCATCTTATCCGAGACGATGCAAGCTGAGTTTCTGCAGGTTAGGAGCCGTGAAAAGGGCCAAATACAAAGACCCCGATTATTGAGGTCGGATGCTTTGCCGGCTCATCCAGTGAGGTGCAGCCAGAACCTAGAACCGCGACTACGGGCTCTAACCAATCCTGGTCAAAATATCCGCGAACTCGTGACGAATGTCAACCGAGTCGGTCTCTTCCCGTGCTCGGTACAAACTCCGACAATATTGCGCTTCGGGCCAGGGATAATCGGAAAAAGGTTAAGCGACCGAAGGTGATATCTGATGAGCAGCTATTATCTAGATAATGCATTGTATACTATTCATATCTTGCGCGTTACAGCCTCGCCTTGAACATATTATTCTGCTCTTCAAAGACGAACCGGATCTCCTCTGTCGTACCAATTCTCCATGTCGGAATTGCCAACTAAGCAATTTCTACTGACTGTTTTTGAACAAGTCAATCACCCACGATCCCGCAACCGGCATCATCGTGAATGCATGTCCTGATTTTCCGGTCGTTACAATCACAAAATGATTTGTCTTCGGTAAGAATTCGATGCAGTACTCGGAATCTGCTGTATCGGTGAACCAACGCCTTTTCCTATCCACGGAAGGTTGGTCTGCTAACCACAGCAAAGATTCTTTAAGTAGCTGTCGCACCTTGGCTTTGTCTTCAGCGGGGATATTGTCCTATGACGGTTGTAGATCATCCATAAAAGGTAGCGAGATACCGGTACTCTTGTAAGTGTTGACATATCCTGCTCCAAGGGGACAGACCTTGAAACACTTGGTTTCAGGGTCTGGTTCGAAGAAGGAGCATAAATCCTTCATATTGAGTTCTGGAATGCCTTATAGGAGATCACACTCAGTATTTGTTAATTGCATGTGTGCTACAACCTACAGACCAAGATTTCGCGATGCTGGTGAAAAGCTGCAAGACAAGAGACAAACTAATGCGAGTTTGTGAATTGTCTCGTCCACGGTTTTGACCGTAGTACATCTTTAGAACTTTCCTGAATATTATAGATAAGTTTGGTTACTTTGCCATGATGGTGTCCGAATATGAACTTCACACATTTACCACATAGATGTTGATGGATGCCGTTCATCACTTTGGAAGCATTTACAGATCTAGCGAAGCAATTGAGATAGCCTTTGAAGCCTGTGACTGGACCATTGGACTGCCAGAACAGCTTCCGACAGTTGTCTGCGGTATCTAGAGGCGAGACGTGTGGCTTAATCAATTGGTGACCATTTATCAACGCCGAAGCCTCCTGTAAGTGTGTATTAGCTTTCTCAGGGGCCCCCCCGTTGTCGCTACCACATATCTAATTTGATGATAATGCGGCCCCAAGAGTGGTGGGCTTCACTCACTAATACTTTGCTATTACAATGTTCGACTCGGGAAGAAATCGGCTAAGATATCCGCTTCCTAATGATAGATCGATGTAGAAAGTGCTTTCACACTCTGGGCGGACGATTATATTGAGACCAAATCCACCTAAATACTGTGAAGGAAGCTTTGCAGCTGTATCAAAGATAGTTAGATGCGAAGGACTTCACGGCAGCGGATTAAGGATCTGTCACGGACTGTTGAACTTGCCCCTACTGTATTGGTAGTAGTTAAGTGAAAGGCAAAGACATAGCGCACTGGTCGTGATTTATCGGATACACAGTTCAATACAATTTGGATTATTGCCAATGCCAACGACCTGAACATGGAAGAGGCTTTAGTCTTCTTGTAAAACTCCAGAAGCTAAAGCAATCATTCTGGCTAACCCTGTCTTCCTGTACAATCCATTTTCACCATCTTTTCCTCGTCCCATGGACAGCCTTCCGAATTCTCCCCAGATCTGTAGCCGCCAACTACCAGGCTATGCAGATAGTCCTTCGCACCGTCCGTTACACTGCATGTAATATATAGCCCTTCTTGTCAGCCCCAGGGAATCAGGATTCCACTCAAAACTGGTAGGGCAGTGCTATGGTGGCGAGACGCCCTAAGTTGCGTTTATGCTTCAACCGCTTTGTCAAACACGCAAGATCTCCAACTGGAAGGTTAAGAGGGAATGTAACTGAAGACAAGATTTGCACCAACAGCAGATACTAACCAAGGATGCAGACAATGAAGCCACGAGCACCGGCCGCTGTCATAAGTTTTGTGGCAGCGAATCCATCTACAGCCTTGAAAAATATCCCAGAGATACATCCCAGCATAGGAACCCAAAAGTAGGAACGTCAGCATGAGCACCACATTAGTCTTCAGAGAGGCAATGGAGTAGATAAAGCAAAGGAGCCCCATGTACAACGGGAAGTAAGCAAATGGGGCATTGAATGTCGGGTTTGTGAGTGCCGTTTCAGGTGAATCGGGTTGATATACTGCAGCCGCGTTAAAGAATGGTGTTAACGTCCCAACGAATGACAACCAAAACCCCCAAAGGATCCAAACACAGCGACCTGAAAAGTGCGACCTCGGAAAAACTCAAGAACAGACGCAATGATTATGAGAAGGTCGCCGAAGAAGTAGAACACCCCGCTAGGAGAGGGTCAGTAGATTGCTCCTTATTTGAAAGGCCGTGGGATACGGCTTGAATTTCGGCTGCTCCGAGGCCACCGGCCCCTCACCAGCGCATCAAAGCATTCGTCACGGGCGTGAGCGACATCAGGAATCCCAACAGCGCCCTTAAATCCCACTTGTCAGTATGCGTTCCTTTTGAACTTAGCCAGCAAAGCGAGATCCTACATAGGCATTGGGTTACCAAACGCAGCTTGCGGACCCACAGGCAGTCTGACTCCCTCTTCAAGGTCCTCTGCTGGGCTGACTGCTGGCAGCTGATTCTCCACCTTGGGCATTTCGTTATTGGGCATTTTACCCATCTCCGGGTCCAAAGATTGTCTTTGGCTTTCCATTGGACAGAGGAGCTTCAGGGTTGTCACAATGAAGAGATGGCAATAAAGTGAATAGGATTTAGCAATGGTGAAGACAATATTTAGTCTTGGAGACCGAGCCTGACTGACGTGTCCCTATAATGGGGCCCAACTATGGTCGTTATATAGTCCTCTCTTCGAAAAGCTTGAAAATCTTTTCCTTCCATGTATCCGGAGGGGTTTGCCCCTAAAGTCACAACTGAGAAATATGCTTTCAACAAACCTTAATTCAAATTTAAACTGCCATGGAAATAAGTAGATTCTAGGGGACTGGAGGTTGATGGCACTTCTGGAGGTGAGTGAAAGGGAGTATAACCAAACTCTAGAGTTTTTCTGGGGCATCTTGTATCCGAATTTGCCCGTACAACAGGTTCCTACGGAGCCTTCCTTCGCTTCACTTCAACGGTCAATCTCAGACTAAATTGTGCTCGGTAAACTGGAAAATCCTTGACAGAAAGTTGGTGAGAAACTTAGGGCACGGACAAAAGGGTGAGCAGTCTCAATATGTTTAGGACTTAAGATTTGGTATCCGACCATATACAGGATAGACTAACGAAAGCCCAGAGCCAAGTCGCTAGGCAATGAAACCGCCAGACAAATACTTACTAGGAGAAAGCAATTGATCTTACGGCTATGATCTGGTCGTTCTGGGAGGCTAGCGATGCCACAGAGCGGCTCCGCTACCAAGGTTATCCCTCATATCTTGTATTGCTGTCTTCCACCTATATCGAAACAAGGTAATTATATAGAATCATGTGGCCGCTTTAACTTTCAAGGCGGATGGGATATTATGGGTTCGCGTCCTAACGAAAATAGTTCCCATGGGTCTACTAACTGGGGACAATATACATCTGCACAATTATGGCCGCAGTAATATGTGCTAGTATAGAAATAAAATTTCCAGCTTTACAGGACTTAGCGCACTTCCGACATCAGTGGAAAAATCGTCGTCTCGACAGGATCAGCCAGAAACGAGTCTTTTGGCTCCGCGATAGGAGGCACCTTCTCGTGGTGCGGAGCGTAAGTACTCTCTTCGGAGAGGAAACCGAGTCCTCCTAACCCTCTATACTTCGTATAGAGAGTTGAATATCTCTCCTCGCGTGAGAGAAAACGTTAATTTATCGTATAGAACACGAAATCTAGCACCTACGATAGAATTCTTATAGTTACGAAAATATTAGTATATATACATCTTAGTACTCTTAGCGCTGTTAGTAATAGGTAAGTAGTGAGTAGCCTCGCCCTACTACAATAGTCTAAAGTACGATATAGTAACAGGAGTAACGAGACGCTACGATATACTATAAGGAGATACCTAGAGCTCTATATAAACCTAGAATAATAGAAAGTAACTTAGGAGTCGTAAATAAGGATTACGAGAGAGTTTAGGAAGTTACCGAGTTACGAAATCTCTATACGACGCTACCTAGTAGCTCGAGAATAGAAGTACAAGTCTTTTAGCCCTTAGGATAAGTATCGCTCTAATATAAATAGCTACGGAGGTAATGAACGAATAGAGAAAGAAGAAGAGTAGAATACTAGCTAGATTTTAGCGTCTATAAGGAATGAGGAGATATAAAGAACTATAGTATCTCACCTAGTATAAAGATGACTTAAGTAAGAAGATCGTGTTGGAGAGACAATAGTTTTTTATCCTCTAGAGGGTTTTCCCATAGCATAGAACAGGATAAATTCCCCCCATAAGCCTGGTGGCGGCTTGAAATAGGTGTATAACTAAATTAATCATCAACGAGTCTTTTGATATATTATTACTCTGGTTAAGAGGTTAATATATCATTCACATACGTTCTAACCTTTTATTTACAGGTGTTGTTCTTGCGTCTCACGATAGTAAAATCTCCATCGAGAACCTTATCACGTTGACCGATATTAAGTCGCTTGTGCTATTCAGTCATCGATGATCCAGCATTTAGCAATAGCAATATAACCTTTCAGTTCAAATTGCCTAGAGATGCTCCTAAACTACTGGGCGGGACAAGATATCCCCACAGTCAGGGTTTACTATAGGCTACGCTTGGAAAACACCAAGTCCTGCCCTTTTGAATACTTAAAGAACGGTTAAGCGTACCCGGCAGATTTCATACTGGCTAGAAGCAACTTAAGAAACAACATGCCAGTTGCCTCACTCGGTATTTTGAGATCTCCGATTTCTATCCACGGCTTCACATCTCGCTCCGGCGAGCACATCACCTCTCCCATAAGATGCCTAACAGACATCTTTCTAAGTGTACATTTGAGACCGCGATAAACATCTCGTTGGTACTTGAACAATTAGAGCCATGTCGAAGGGTTCACGGCGGAGACACGAATTAAATTCGATATGTATCACTCCCAATGACCCTTACAATAAACATCCCGGGCGTGGCCGACTACTTTCTACCCTGGGACACCAGGCAATCCTTGAGATGTTACATTAATGATACGTGGGAAATGAATACCTCCTTTCCACCGTAAAGGGACAGTCGAACACGAGGCTCGACCGTGAGCGGCTCGTGTTCAAGTCAACCTCGACAACCGTAAATAAGTGTCGTTGCGTCTTCTTCCGGCCTGCAATTAACCCAAAGGTATCTCACCATTACGCCGCGATCTCTCAGCTTAACCTTCCTATACCTGAATTTATCAAGGAGCCATCCTATTAGTGGGGACTGCTGTCCAGACAATATAGTTTGTATATCCCCCTCGCGTTTGACAAACTTAAAGGACAACTACTGCTAAATTTTAAACTGTCCTCTAGTTAACTGTGGATGTAGGCGAGATCTTTACGGAGGTCACAAACGATATGACGATAGGAAAGTCGGCTGTTTTATCGCAATATAGTTAGGATACAGCAAAGGAGATGACGAGGGGTTCACTTCCTCTTCCTCTATTGCTAGCCTCAGTATATGTCTAATGGCTTAATTAACCTTGGACGAATGCGAAATTCACACTAGTATAAACTTAAACTTCTAACGGTTTATAGAAGTTAAAGGTAGTAATTAGATCTTTGAATAGGGTACTGATTGGTTCTTGGGACGATTATAGATAGATTAGATGGAAAATTCCTGGCTGGGGACTTAATAGGGCGTTACAACGCCCTAGAGGGTTTTTCTTGACCAACGTTAAATGCTATATTAATGAACTACTATATATCTAGACTACTATAATGCTTGGGCAAAAGCCTAGAAACCGGTCCTGTATATCTCCTCACCGCTCGAAGGATTAGAATAGAGAGACTCTTACGGAGTAACGCTAGAAGTTATATTGTAGCGCTAGCTCTAGTTACTAGACACTACCGCTATCCCCTAAGCCGTCAGCGTATGACCTTTTTTTTTCTTGGCGTGACAACTTAAAATCGCGCTTCGTAGTTTTCAATGTAAACAAGTACTAAAGACTACTATCGCTATTAACGGGCGAGTTGGAACTAATTTTGTGACTTTATGAATAAAAGGGTAGATTTACGGTCTAGGAGGAAGTAATAGCGATTATAATTTAAGTTAGGATTCTTTCGTTACCGAGTTAAGGATATATATCGGTATAGCGATCCGGGGCGCCTAAAAGGAAGCATTAGGCTACCTTTTCGTATAATATAAAGTTAAAGTCGATTCTATTACGGGTTAAGCCTAAAGTATAATCTTAGTTAATACTAGTAAGACTTATATAAATAAGGCCGTTTAATCAATATAGTTAAGTAATCTTAAGTTATATCTATATTGCGAACTAGGTTACGGATGAGGTCGCTATAATAGGCGTCCTACGTTCCGAGGGATAGTTTAAGGAAGGCTAGCCGATGGAGGACGAGGCTACATTACGTGACTAGGAGATATATTAATGTATTATTATAATACTTCTAACATAGTATATTAGGGCTCGAGGCGCTTAGTTATAAAAGAAGAGAGAAGGGGCCTTAGTATAGAAGAATAAGTAAGTAAGGAGGAAAGTAGATAATCTAAGCGACGAGGATAAGAAATAAGTAACCCTACGTACGAGAGCGTACGTTAAGTACTAGGTAGTAGTTATAAGAGTATAGTTTATAGAATTAAGAGTATTTTCCTTCTACGAGTTCGGCTCCCTACCTATATAGCCTAAGTTTTAGTAGTAGTAACCTTTACGAATAAGGCTATTATAGCTTTATTATTACGGGATGGGACTACGATAGACCCTAGAAGTACTTATCCTATATTAAGACTAGTCCTAAAATACTAAGGGGCCTAGTATATAAGACCTTAGGAGCTATACAAATCGTATACGAGGTATTTAAACTCCTTAAGTTCTTATAGTCGATATTCTAAGGACTATATAGTAATTAATCGATTATCTTAGTATTCTCGTTAAGTTACTTATACTCTTATAATTCTATAAGAACTTTCCTTAACTACTATACTAAGGAAAGACTTAGGAATATAAGCGGCGTAGCTAAAACGCGTACTTAAAGAAGGTTATTAACTTAGATAGAGTAAATAGAAAATCTATCGCCCTAAGTAGGAGAGCTATCGAGCTCTACTTAGCGCGTAGTAGAGGAAGCGCGGAAGACGCGCGGATCTCGAGCGGACTCGAGTAACCTACTATTATCGCTTAGTAGAATTAAGGAAGATACTCCTTAAGGAAGC